ACTACTACTACTACTACTACTACTACTACTACTACTACTACTACTACTACTACTACTACTACTACTACTACTACTACTACTACTACTACTACTGCTGCTGCTGTAGATTCTTGGTACTATATCTATATTTGTTCCTCGTTCTTCGTTCCTAGCACTACTGTATTTAATTCCTATTCCCCATTCTCTATTCCTCATTCCCGTTCCTTGTGCTGCATCTGTTCTGTCCCGTAAGGCAAGAGCCGCGAGGCGCCAGTGGTACAAGGGTATATACAATAAACACAAGGGCATATACAATAAACGTGTGAACGAACAAACGAACGACTCGTCTACCATCAAGTTGAGCCGCAGCGCCCGGGGACAGAAGACATACGGTAATTGTGTTTGGTGATTGATGATCCTGATCCGATCCTGCTACGGCGGCCAGGTCGGGTCGTCGTCTCTGCCTCTACCTCTGCCTCTGAGTTTGCGCAACTTCTTCCTCCGCGTTTGCTCACTCTCTCTCCCTCTCCCTTTCCTTTTCCTCTCCCCCTCCCCTCCCTCTCCCTCCCTCTCCCATCCCTCCACTCACAACTCCCACCGCCAACGGTCGTTCCTCTCGATACAGGGCATCACACCTCACACCCCCAACGGTTGGACCTCTCGGTACAAGGCATCTTTGAGCCCCTGAATGGCACTCTTGATGAAAACAGAAAGCGTGCCCGACACGGCCTGGATCCCATCGGCATCGACCTCCTCGGCGTCGCAGCTCCAGGTGATGGCGGTGGTCTTGTCGTCGACGGGTTCGAGCGCCACGCTGCCGTAGCCGCCCTTGAAGGGCAGGGCGTCCGAGTCGATGATCCGGTACGAGACGGTGTGGCTGTCGGCATCAGACACCTCCAGTTTCTCCTGCAGCACGTTGCCCAGGAACTCGACGCTCCTGACTGCCCCGATGCCCTGGCCGGTGACGGTGGTGCCGCCGATGGTGGGGATCCAGGTCTTGACTGCCCCAAAGGCCGACACGACCGCCCACACATTCTCCACGGGGAGCTTGAGCGTGTCTTTTTCGCGGGCGACGAGGGTTCGAGACATGATGGACTGTAGAACTTTGTAGAACTGACTTTGTAGAACTTTGTATATCTAGTTCTGGATCTTTGCCTGAGTAGTAGTAGTAGTGGTAGTGGTGGTGATAGTAGTGATGGTGGTAGTGGTAGTGATCCGGGGAATGGTGATCCGGGGAATGAAATGGAGTAAAATTCCCCGGACCCATCGATGGATCTTTCCTTCCCTTTATATTTACATGATTGCCTGCATTGTCTGTATTGCGCAGTGTTCGCTCCGGAGCATCTTGTATCCGCTAAACCATTGTTGACCGGACCGACGGGGACGGACTATCTCCTTTCTCCTCCTCTCTCCTCCTCTCTCCTCCTCTCTCCTCTCTCTATAGGAATAGTAGTAGCCCCTCACCACTCGCCTCGCCTCGCCTCTCACCTCTCCTCTCGCCGTTGTTATGTAAGTAACGTACTGTTGTGCCGATGTTATGTATCGGACGTACTGTCATGTCGCTGTCACCCCTCGCCGGATTCGCCGGGCCGAGGTAATGTTCTTTCCATCTACCGTGGTGTGTGGTGTGTAGGTTGTGCACAGGTGTGTAGTACTTAGTACTAAGTACTTGGTGTACTCGTACCGTCTTGAGATGTGTCTGTATACGGTTGAGGGATGAGGTTGAACGGCATGCCTACTCTGAGCAGGACTGATGACTGATCCTGCCAAAACAAGGTGGTGAGTTGATCACTGATCCTGACCAAAGCAATGTGGAATCTACTCAATCATATGTAGAGTATCATCTATCGGTCTCGTCTTCGGTGCTACAGTGCGTACGTGCGTCGGGACCGATAGATACTCTACATAGGAAAGAGTAGATTTGGGTCGACGCAACCGATTGGGGAGAGAGACGAGACCAGTTCAGTTCAGATCAGTTCAGTTCAGGTCAGTTTAGTTCATGCCCGAGACGAGACCAGTCAGTTCAATTCAGGCCACTTCAGTCAGTCATGCCCGATATCGATCTACAAAAACATGCTCCTTGCCCACAAAGCACATCATGGAATTCGGCCTCATGAAGCCACTGTCCTCGTCCCTCCTGATCTCCAGCCGGGCGCGCTTGGCCGTGTCGTCCGGCTGCGGCGGGCGGGAGCTGAACCAAACGGCGGCGTACATGTGAATTTTATAGGGGGCGTCGACTCCTACGGCCTTGGGAGCCTGATCCTGAGCCTGATCCTGATCCTGATCCTGATCCTGATCCTGAGCCCGCTGGCTACTAGGCAAGGCCCACGCCCACGCCCCGGCCCCATCCTCCGCCAGCTTTTCCGCCACCGGCCCGTCGTACGGGTAGTTCTGCACGTACTTCAGCACGCCCAGCGACGGCGCCCAGCGCTGGGTCAGGGCGGCGTGCGAGCGAGCCCAGTACTCGAGGCTGCGGGTCAGCGCGCCATCGTCGCCGTCGACGGTGAAGGCGTCGGCAAACACCACCGCCCGCACCACGTGGTTGTATTCCGAGGCCACGAGCGAGTCGGGCGACCCTGGCAGCACAAACGGCCTCTCTTCCACCAGGCGCATCTGGCACCGGCCCAGGTCGAGGTGCTGGCTGCCCACTTGGACCAGCGCCTTCCAGGCCCGCGACCCCGTTTCCGACCCGTAGTTGGCCAGGAAGTCGGCCTCGACCCCGTCAAAGTGGAACTCGTCGACAATGTCGTACGGCGCTTCCGCTTGCACCAGGTTGGGCCGCATCGCTCGCAGCGAGTCGTCCATCGCGCCCGGCGTCCGGTGGATTTGCACGTATTTGATCAGCTGCAGTCCCGTCTGGAGAGATGCCACCTGCGGCCCGACCTCTTGCCGCCACACCTCTTGAAACCGCTCCGTCGTCACTCCCGGTTGCTGTCGTAGAGCTCGGACGATTTTGATCGGCATGGTGGTGGTGGTGGTGCTGTTACTGGAAACTTAACTTGTTCCCACGTTTAATTCAGTTCAATTCAGTTCAGTCGGAGCATGGCATCTAGCCAGATCCTACTGGAGAGTAGTGGGAAAGCCCCTTGGAGAGTAGTAGGGAAACCCATCGACTTCCCGTCCAGGGCAGGGACACAGGGACACACATCACATATAGGCTCCTAATGCTCCTAATGCTTCCTCGTCGGGCTTAATGAGCAGTTTGATCCGAAGCCGTCGGGAACACAGCTGTGTGAGTCAACCCCGCCACTGTAGAGAGTTCCCCAGAAATCCGGAAGCAGAAAGCAGGGTTCTGAGGAGCCGGAGGCTTAGCCAATCAGCCCCGCGTTTCGCAATGGCCTTGGCCTCGAGAGCCTTGCCGGTCGGGACATATGCGAGCCGAGCCGGTCCCGTTCGAGAGGTATAGGTAGAGGGTTGTGAGTGAGTCTTGCAAGTATGTCCCTACCGACAGACAGACATCAACCGTCGAACCTCCGCTGGGAGAATTTTTCATACGAGCAGAGACCTGCTCTTCCCTTGCAGCACATGTCCAGCTGGACCCAGAAGAGAGAAGAAACCACAACAATGATGGGAGAAATGATGAAGAGAGAAGAAACCACAACAACGACGGGGCCATGACAAAGATTGTGACACCGTAACCATAACCATGAACCATTCATTGCAAGCCACTCGCTTTGCTTTGATGTGGCCTGCCGGAAGCATGGCTCGATCAATTGGTTTAGGATGTGTTCTCGGTCATGACGGCGTCGTGGTGGCATATCATAGTTCAGCATGTTGGCTCCCATGTCCAGAGCCTCAAGACAGGTAGGTAGGTGATCGTGTGGGGGTTGGGTACGTCCAAGACGTCGATGTCTGCGGCCGGGATGCTTATCAGTAGGACGCTCATTGAGTTCCCATTCCAGTTCCCATTCCAATTGTCCATATCAGAGACATACGACATCACGCTCTGACAGCGGCCACGGCCAGCCTGGTCAGTAAGCGGCTAGACCTAAAACAGCCACGCGTCCGGAGGTTGGTAGGCTCAGGGGCAAATACTAGTGGTGGTGGTGGTGATGGTTGTTTGATTGATTGAGGTAGAGTACTCCGTACTCCGTACTGTACATGTATCTTGTATCTTACGACGAGCGAACGGCCTTTGTGGGCGATTTGTGATTCAAACTGGAGGGTTGTGCCATTGGCGGCTTACCCATTCGGCGGAGGCAGGTTGGTTAGTTGCTCCTTGACTTACTTGTTTGTTGTACTCCGTACATGTACATGACGAACTCTTACAGCGATGCCATATGTATGTTACTCGGTACACACCAGGTCCAGACACTGAGACACTACAGCGATGCCATATGTACTCCGTACACCGTACCCACCTGGTCCAGACACTAAGACACCACGCTATGTACGGATCCGGACGCGAATGCGAGTACTCCATATTACTTGTATACAGCCCCCAAAGAGGACCCCAACCTCGACGGAGTACGCAGTATGGAGTTTTGAATCCATGTGTAGGGTGTAGGTCGAACTCCATCCAATTCGAGGAATTCAATTGGTGACCGACCGTTGTCGATACGGAGTCGACATTAGGCAGTAACAATAGTGGTATCCCTACTTGGTACCTGACAAATAGCTAGGAATTAGTACTCGTACCTGGGGTGCCTGAGAAATAGCTAGTAATTAGTCAGGGGAAATCAATGTCCTCCGTACTCGGTGCTCCATTCTCCGGTCTCCGTACAAGGTTCAAAGACCGGACGGTCTCATCATGACTACCTTTAAAGACGGTCTCATCACGACTACCTAGTATTATTGGATCATCATGTACCTAGCATTACTGGGTGCGCCTACGAGTGCTCCGTATTCCTACAGCAAGACTACTATACTATACTAGTATAGTGGTGCTCCTAGGTGCTCCGTAAGTCTCCCAAGCAAGGCACCACAAAGTACGGGATAGGAACCCGTAAGTCTCACAACCAAGGCACCACAAAGTACTATATACGGGACAGGAACCGGAGATGCGTTGTGACTGGATACATGCATGGTATGGATACTATACTAGTATGGGGAGTTGGAACGGGATTCGACTTGGACTCACGATCACGGCGAGATGGGTTAAGGGAGATCTTGCTCGTTCGTAGAAAAGGGAAAAGAGAAAGGGGAGGGGAATGAATCCTCAACCTCGACATCGGATCCGAGGAAACTTGCACGAACAAGGTCTTCTTTGCGGTCTGGGCTGCGGGCTGTAGTAGTCATAGGCGAGACGAGGAAACTCCTTCCGAATCATGTTGTTTTCAGACTCATCGGCGATCCTCCTCCTCCTACTACTGCCGAAATCGGCTGTACAGTGCGCAACTTGACTTGGATAAAAGTTGTTTCATGAAGGATTCAAGTTCCAGTTCCAGTTCCAGTTTGGAGTTTGGTATTCGAATTCGAATTTGCCACGGGTATCGAGTATCCGTACGGAGTACTGAGACTGAGACTGAGTACTGAGGATATAGTACTGTGTGGAACTGTAATTGGGTTCGATGGACCAGCCTGGCTACATTTATTGTACCTTCAAATCCAGCCTGGAATATCAGTGCTCCGTGTCAACACATCTCAGACAAAGTCAGTCCAGTGCAATCCGGCCGTTTCGTTTCGTTTCGTCTGGTCTGCTGACACGAAACAACTTGGTCCCTTCCTTGACGGCCTACTATACTATGTATGTAAGGTAGTGATGGAAGTGATGGAAGTGATGGAAGTTATATGTGATTACACATAAATGTTATTTTCGCAGGAAGTTATATCTGATTACACATACACATTGTCTTCGCAGGGGAGCAAACTTGACACAGGCTTCTCCAGAAGGTTGATGGGCTTGTCCTATGTTGCCACGGGCACGGCCTACGCCCGTAGGACAGGGGAACCATAAGACATTCCTGAAAGAAAAAAGAGATTGCGCAGCGCATCATGGATGACAATGACGGAGCTACTATGTATCATATCATAGGGACCGACGGATATACATACGGATACACGCAATGCTCTGCATCCGTAGATGTAGAAGATCCTAGTATAGATGCCGTAGTACTTGAGTACTCCGTACTTTGTCGTTGCATTTCATCACCCTTATTGCTCATACACTTACATACAGACCGGCTCAGTGTCACCGGTTGCCTAAAAGAGATTTCGCACCTTTCTTTCCTTTTCCCGGGGCCGGCCTTGACTTCGTCTCTGAGAAACTGGAAGCCGGTGCCATCCCTTCGCCCATCATCCAGCATTTGCACTTGCACCGGCACCTGGGTCAACCCTGGGCCTGAGCCCCATCCCAGATGTACTGTACATCCCAACTCCCTTCCCTCCTCCTTCCCTTTCCCTGCGCCCCCTCCCACTCTTGTGTTGTCCTGGGCAATCCACATCCACTTGGGTCTGGTTGGTTTGATCCTGATTCTAGACTTGTACCTGTACCTATATCGCCGAGACCGTCACCGTCGTTGTCTGCCAGATTGCTTTGTCACTTGAGCCATCGTGGTCATGTTCGTCGTCGGCCGAGCGACCTCGATCACCGGTTTCGGACTCATCGCCGTCACGGCCGGCATAGATTCGAGTGGTGCTCAGCTCGATCTCATCGGGGCCGGCACCTCCCTTGCCCATGGCGTATTGCCGGTCGGTCAGATTGCTTCGATCGATCGAACTGCCAGGCCCCGTGAGGCCCATCTTGGACGACGGCTTCGTTTTCTTGGCCGATGAGATGTTACCGTAGCCTCGGTGCGCCGAGTATTCGCCAATGATCTTGGGAGCGACCCGTCGGAGGAAGGTGCGGAGGTTGGGGAGGCAGAAGCAGATGACGATCAGGTTGGCCTCAACCATTCTATACACAGGTCAGTACAGCAAATGAATACGTTGTTTTCCGGTCTGGTCCGGTCTGGTCCGGTCTGGTCTGGTCCAGTGCACAGATATCGGGACTTGAACTTACACCCATACGAAAGGGATTGATATGGCGTAGGTCTGGTCCACGTTACTCAACATTGGCACCATGTAGTAAAGCCGAACGACGCTGGTCACAAACGTCCTAGTATTCCAAGGCAGTGTTAGTACATGGCTTCGCTCGACCAGACATGCCAAATCAAAAATAAATCAAAAATCCACTGGGAAGGGCAGGGAAAGAAACCTACGCTGAGCCAAAGGCAAAGACTCCCAACAAAGCGAATTTCTGCACCGTCGGCATCTGTAGCTTGACCACCAGGGGAATGGGGAGCAGCAAAATCATAATGTCAGTGATGGCATTGATGGCCGCGTTCGCCAGATAGATGGCCGGTTTGTCCACACATTTCCCGCCGGTGATGGTAGGATCCCAATTCTTTCGCACCGGCCGGCAGGGGAAGATGAAGGCGAACATCAGAGCGACGCTGTACGTGGTAACGATGGCCATGTTGATGTAGATGGCGATCTTGAACCAGCGGATCGGGGAGAGGCGACGGTAGAGGTACAAGATGGAGATTTTGGCGAACCCGAGGCATGGCACATAGATGATGGAGACGCAGGCGGTGACCTGGAGAATACATAAATGGTCAGTCAAGTCTAGTCCATACTAGAGTATGGAAACAAAGTCAACTTGAAGTGACCGTAACTTACAAAGGAAAAGGTGTTGAATTTGTCGACAGGCACTTCCCATCCATGCACACCCGAGGCCTTGATGACCCATGTGTCTGATCACCCGTCACCATCAGCATGAGTTTTCTTTTAATTGCTGGAACAATTCACAATTCCATGATGGGATGGCCACAAACTTACAGAGACAGATTGCCTGGGTCCCAACTCCAAAGAGCTATATATATAGATATATAGTTAGTGCTGCCCTGGCCAGGTGGGTTGGGCTGTGTGTTCATGACTAGCAATGGATGGTATAGTCATTATAGAGAATAGAGACGAGGGATCGAGGAATCAATGGATTTCCTTACAAACCCGAGAATGAGAGTAGCTGAATTGGAACCAGGATGTTAGCTATAGTCGCAATACATGCAGACAGACGATCGATATCCCGACTGGGCATGGGAAAGAGGAATACCACCGCCGCTGAGGGAGAGCTTACCATCATCCATTCCAAAATTGCGCGAAATAAACACCTTTGTATAGATACGGATGCTCAGGAGGATGGTGGCGAGGGTCAGACCAACTCCCGACGTCCAATAGCCCTGAATGTGACCGGTTTGATGAGGGTGTTCAAAGTCGACCTTGTAGCCTTCCGGCGCGGGCAGGTATCCCACCAGGGTGCTGTTTGATGCGGACATGACTGTCTGTGCCGGTGGCGGGTGTACCGTATCCGTGTGCCGTGTCTTCACTTCAGAAAGGGTCGGCTACCAGTGGTGACAGGCGTCTGGCGTCTGGCGTCCGGAGTCTGGCGTCTGCACTGCCCAGGCCTGGGACATGCAGTGGAAGTCGGGGTGACCTTGTCGAAATGCCAACCACACGGGCTGGGCTTGGGCTGGGCGTGGGCTGAGGCTGAGCTCAATACAGCAAGCAGAAGTGGATGTCAACTCATTGAACTCTCGGGAGAAGCAGAACAGAACAGATTCAAAGCCCTGATCCCCGCCGCGGTCTCTTGTATACTATATGTACCTCCATTCGTCCAACACTCGATATAGGCCAGGGGCTTAGGAGGCTCTCTAGTTGGGTTCGAAGACCTCGCAAAAGGCTCTTCTTCCCTCGCATGTCCCATCTACAGAGGAGGACTCTCCTCTGGGATTTTCCGGGAGCAGTAGTGTTCCCCGTCCTAGTGATTAGTGTCGTGTTGTAGTGTCTTGGACTGCAGCAAAGCGAGGACAATGGGGCTTTGGGCACGGCGATCATTCTCCTTCGTAACAAGAATCATCCCCAGAAGAATTCCTAGGCATCGCCTAGAGCTAGCTCGGCTTTGAATGATACAAGTAGGGCTTAGGAAGGTGAACTTGAAATTGACTATCGCGTGGAATTTTCTTGTAGCACCCGCGGGTATGTGACTGGCGCAGCCGGACGACGAGGCGTTGGGCTAAGGGGGGAGTCGGGGGTTTAGGGGTCCACAAACGGAGTAGGGACAAGGGACAAGGGACTAGGAAGTACTCCATACGCATTCTGTACTTTGTAAATGTACGGTGTAGAGTGTAGAAGCATGTATGACTAGGAAAATTTGAACCTAACGGAGTAGTCCCACGAATTGATCAAGGTCCCTGGTCCTGGTCCCTGGTCCCTGGTCCCTGGTCCCTGGTCCCTGGTTGACATCCTGACATCCTCGCATCCTGGCATCTATTCATCCACTCATCCAGTCATTCTTGCCATGCCCTGCCATGCCCAGCCTGGGTGGAAACTAGCGGGACTCTTTAATCCCTCAAAGGGGAATTCCAGTTTCCAAGACAAGAACGTGGCTTGGCCGGGGTGGACCAGCTCGAGGGTTAGATTGCAGCCAGCCGTGCATAGAATGCATGCCTCGCCTCCCCTCGTGGCAGAGGGAGTGTGTGTTATGGCTTGAATATATGGATATTGACCATATAGCCCTCTGCCCTGGGAGTGCTGGACCATGTACAAATAGCAAGAGCAGGAGCAGAAATTGCATCAAGTTGTGCTACCATGGCTTTAGCCTGGAGTAGAAAGCGAGAAATTGGCCAGGCAGGGAACGTTTCGATACTAGCATGGTTCGCTACACTGTTCGCTACACCGACTACTGCAGACGAGGCCCAAGGGGCGCCACTTGGGTTGTTTCTCAGGCTCAGGCTCGCCGCGCCGTCTCCCTGCGAGGCGAGCAGCAGCTACGGCTTACTTAAATGGGGCCTAAGGCCTAGTACTACTACTAGTAGTTAGTGGCCAGCAGTGGCGCTTCCAGCCGGCGGGGTTGAAACGATCGCCTTGCCATTTGTGGGGATTTCCGGGGAATTAGGGCGCTCTCGATGCCTGACAGCCTCTATACCAGCGTAGACTGTAGACTGTAGACTGTACTCCATAGACTGTGATTACTCCATGGACTGTAGACTATAATCCTCTGGTATGGCCGCTGGATCCCCCAGTGCCTTGGTCTCTGGGTTACCTAATTAGATACATCATCCTACCAGTAGAGTAGTGCTGTGCCTGGACAGTGGCTGGGCAGTGCCAGGGCTAAGGCTACTACCCCTGACCGACCGTCAGGTACCAGGAACCAAGAAACCAAGGAACCAGGGAACCACGAGTGCTAACTCCTCCGTACCATGTGGCCGCGTGAGGCCTTCTTACTACTATCATCCACGTTTGCATTAGTGTCTCACTCCAGGGGCGACCTCTGGCCGCACTAGGGTCTAGACCTAGACGCTGGACAGCATTGTTCCTGGCCTGCCATGCAGCAGAACTAGTTGGGGCTTCTAGCGTTACGGACCGACGCTGAAAATTCAGCTGTCATCTTGTCATCTGTCATCATGCCACATGTCCAAGCGGATGGGTTGATTTCAGATCCCCTTCTGGTCTCCTTCTGATCTCCTTGTCATCTCCTTATGATCTCCCTCTGATCCCGTCTGAGTCTCGAGTTCGAGTGTTGAGTCCCGAGTCCTGAGTCCTGACATCGGCTGCAAATCACCTGAAATCAAACAAAGGGATTTCATTCCGGCTGGAGCATCGGGATCAACAGGACCCGTACCCGTATACGGATCCTCAATTGGTACTGGGTAGTAGTACTGGGGACCTACTACCTATGTATATGGACGGTGCTGATTAGTATGATCCTGCATTCCTTCCTAGCCTTGACTATGGATCTTCTTTCCTTGTTCCTTGCTCACCGCACTGGGGGCCTTGCCACCGTGGCGACCGTTGAAGCCGTTGCAGCCGTTGGGATCTCTATACGGAGTATCCGTACACACTCCCACTACACAGTCCAGCTTCCAGTGCCCGGTTTTTTCCAAATTGCCCGACCAAAACCGAGCCCTCGTTGGGATTAGTGAGGTTGTATTGTATCTCGTCTCCCTGACTTGCCATGGAGATAATCTAAGACCGACCTCAGATTGGCAATTGTCGGGACAATTGGCCCTGACGGGCCATCTTTGTACCTGGATCGGTCGGAACAGCGGGCGGGCATCAAATCTCTGCGGTCTCCTTGAGGCAGTATGCATGTTATTACCGACGAAATATATATTTCACTCCTTCCACGGCCCCTTCTAGAAGTTCTCCAAGACAGCCTCAGCCCTCAACCAGCAGCCAGCCAGTCTTCAAGATGAGGCTTCTCACCCGCAGTCTGCTGAGTATATCAGCCCTCGCCACTCTCGCGCAGTGTGCGCCAGACGTCAGCCTCGATGTCGATGTTGATGTCTCGCTCAGCACTGCCCATCTGGACTGTGTAAGGAAAAGAAAACTCTACCCCCTACCAGCCATGGTCTCAGCCTGGGACTTAGACACAGCTTGCTAATACTCATCCCCCGACCTAGTGTGCCAGCCTCGTCGCTGCCGGGCTGGGAGACCGAGTGGTCTACCCCAATGACACCAACTACATTCCCTTGGTGGATGTACATTGGTCGTGGGTGGCTCGTCTCGAACCCAGCTGCTTCGTGCTCCCCGAAAACGCAGCCGAGGTGTCGAAAGTCGTGACGACGCTGGTGGGCGACAACCGGTACGAAAAATGCCAATTTGCGGTGCGAAGCGGTGGCCACACACTCTATGCGGGAGCGGCCAACATTGTCAACGGGGTGACGGTCGACCTGAGCAAGATCAACGCAGTTACATACCATCCGGAAAACAAGACGGTCAGCATCTATCCCGGAGCCAGATGGGGCAAGGTGTATTCCACCCTGGATGCCCTCGGGGTCAACGTGGCCGGCGGCCGTGCGGCCAGCGTGGGCACCGCCGGTCTGATGCTCGGAGGAGGCAACTCGTTCTACTCGGCCCGCGCCGGCTTCGTGTGCGACAACGTGGTGAACTACGAGGTGGTGCTGGCCAACGGCCGGCTCATCCAGGCCAACAACAAGACGAACTCGGACCTCTTCCAGGCCCTGAAGGGAGGCTCCATGAATTTCGGCATCGTCACCCGCTTCGACCTGATGACCCTCGAGGGAGCCGACCTCTGGGGCGGTGTGGTCACCTACCCCAACAGCACGGCCGACCAACAGATCGACGCCATCATCAATTTCGGCAACAACATTGTCAACGATCAATACGGCTCCGCCATCACCATCTTCCTCTCCGCGTCCGTCAGCAACACCACCACCGTGGTCAACGCCTACGATTACACCAAGCCCGTCGTGAGACCCGCCGCCTACAATGATTTCCTCGCCATCCCGGGAAACACTTCGGACTCGATGCGCATTACCAACATGACCGATCTCACCATCGAGCTAGAGCAAGCTCCAGGTTTCCGGTATGACCTCCTCTCCGTACCTTGCTTGGCCTTGGCCTTGGCCTAGCCATTTGAAATCACTTGATGGATGCTTTTGCTGACATGTATTAGTGACACCTGGCTTACCGGCACATTCAAGCCCACCAAGGGCTGGATGCAGTTGGCCCTCCAGCAGCAGGCTATCATGTTCGATCTCCTGTGGGAAGCCAGACCTCACGGAAACTTCACCGTGCAAACCCTGTTCCAGCCCATCCCGACCATTTTCTCCAAGCACAGTGTCGAGAAGGGTGGAAATGTGTTGGGCCTGGATCGCTTCACCGACAACTTGATGTGTATGTTTGATGCCTATCCTATCCCATCCCTACTCTACCATCTGGCACGCTTTCTTCGTCTGGCCACTTGTGGCTTGCGGGGATGGGAAGAACTTGAAAACCCCCGGATTTGAGACCACATGCTAATGACGTTTCCCACCTCTAGTGTATCAACTGTACTTTGCATGGCACGGCGAAGATCAAGACGACCTGTTCAACGGCAAGGGACACGACGCCTTCAACACGGTGGTCGATTACACCAAGAAGCATAACCTGTACACCGAGTTCGAGTACCTCGACTACGCCGACATCTCGCAGAATCCCCTCAAGGGTTACGGTTCGGCAAACGTCAAGAAGATCAAGACCGTGGCCAAGAAGTACGATCCGACCGGCGTTTTCCAGACCCTCGTGCCCGGCGGCTTCAAGATCTCGAAGGTGGCTTGAATCAACACAAACAACTACTAGTCATCAGTACTATGTAGTTAGTCGGACTTCTCAGGTGCCAGGACCGGAGATATTCAGACGATACAGATGCGGACTCACTCTCAAGGAATCTTTAGGAGGTGCCCTTCCGTTTCGAAGGTCTTGACGTCGATGTCTTGAACACTTTGTGTCCGACCGAGCAGCCAGGCTACCTACATACCACTCACTACAGCCGAGCCAGCTGTGCCTTTTTTTCTGCAGAGACTCTGATATGCATACTACTATATAGTAATTAGACCGTTGTGCCCTATGTCTACTACCAACACTACAAATTCCGAGCGGGTAAGTACTATGTAGCTCAGTAATGCCATGCCCTTAAGGCTCCTTATAGCTATAATATTAAGATTAGTATTGTTGACTGCGAGTGATTTACAACTTGTACGAAGTAGTTCCTCTCGCACTGCATCAAGTGCAGACTTTAACTTATCAACACCCTTTCTTCTAGTACTACATAGTATTTCACGAGCATTCAAGTTTCGATCGAGCAGAGGGCAAAGCCAGAGCCTCAGTACATAGTAGTATCAGCAGTCATAGTTTCTTCCATAATATTACATCTTACTATGTATGTATGTAAGATGTAAGATGTTACATACATACATACTACTAGTAACATAAGTATATACTACGGTTGTTCGATCCTGAGTGGCTGCCCGCATGGGTAGGCGAAGCCGTTGACCTTACAAAGGTCTCGGATCAAGGTGCTCTATTTCTTCGTGAGCTGGAGCAGGCTGACATAGATGACTACCTCAGATGCCTTTGTCCAGATTACTTACTGTCCATGCACGTCTCCATTCTCTTCGTCCGAATGACCTCCGATTTCAGATAACATGAACTCGCGTACTTTTGACGCATTCCAACGCCAGAAAGATTTCCTTGAGCTGACGGCCGATGACTTTCCACTGCTGGTGAACAAAAGGAAACGTCGAAAGGAGCGGGAAGCGACAAAGTCGCAGGCACGCAAAAGTCGCAGGCACGAAAAAGTCGCAGGCACGACAAAAATGCTCGTCTCAGACCGAAAAGGGTTGGGGGCAGGGCCATCCTTACTGTATTACTCGGGAAAGGGCTCCCGTAGCAACATGATCTTTGCATTTAGGAGCGCCCCCGTTCGTGTCCCAGTCCTCAGTGTCAAAATGGTCTCTTTGCGAACCAGGAACATGATCTTGCTGCTCTTGAGCCTGCCAGTGCCAGCAGTGCAACCCGACTCCATCCACGTCCTTTTCCTCGTCCTCACATGAGTCTTCATCGACTGCTCCAAGTTCCGCCCCCGTTACTAACTCGCTCACTCTTATAGGGAAGACACTATCCTCGAGGCAAGACGCACATGCATCGGGCAGCACCTCCACACGCCAGCAGTACATACCATCATTGAGCACATTGACAAAAGAGCTGAAAAGACCGCTCATGCACACCACGTCGCAAAACTTCCTCCCTAACTGCCTCTGAACGGCATAGGCTGCGCGATGGCCTGCCGCGTCGCTGCCGAAGCCAGTAACAGCAACTCCTCCTCCTCCTCCTCCTCGGGCCTTCTGCAGTCATCATCAGTGGCAGGAAGAAGCCCACCAACATTCCCCTCGGAGTTTCGACGACTACTAGTAGTACTAGACGCGACTTCAATACACCGAAACCTTCAAGGAGGGCAGGGTAGTACTAGACGCGACTTCAATACACCGAAACCGTCAAATCAGGATTGCAGGACAAGCCGGACCAGAAGCTCGACCTCCTTATCATAACCCAGGGCATCATCGAAGCGGTCGATCGCAAGATGGCGCTGCACTATTACGGGAAGCAGCTCCTGATACGTGAACTGATGCCGACGTTGATGAGGTCATCGTCGTCGGTGTACGGCAGGTTCCCAATATTGCGCAGGCAGATTCCTTACTACTAATCCCGGATCGAACCCGGATCGAACCCGGATCAAATATAGAGATTAAGTTTATATAAATACTAACTATATCCTAGCTAGATCTAGATTAAACCTACTAATTAGTAGGACCTACTAGTTTATTAGGGTTAGTATACTAGTACTAGTACTATATACTAGTAGGTAGTACTTAGATAGTAATATAGTACTAGGATTCATCGTAAGTTACCTACCTAGTAATCTCCTACCTGGTATATACTAGTACTCAGTATTTAGAATCTATACATATAGTATCTATATCCTCTTTATAATTCGTACTCACCACTTCCCCACGGTCAAAACCCCAACGGGTCATCACGAATGACAACCTTCCTCATTGAGACTCACATCGCGAACACTAGTACTCCGTCTACTAGTACATAGTACTAGTATCTACACTTTCGTAGTTTCCACCTCTTCTTCCTTACCTCCGGCAGCAACAGTCGTTTCGGCGGGAACCCCAAACACGCCGGTTGATGCTCGACGCTCTTGGTCTTGGGCTTGCGTTCCAAACCTGCGAATGACCAACCAAGCTGGAACCAGTGCAAGAGCCCATAATGCAAAGTTCAAGTAGATACCACCAATCTCGGCGAAGAGGTTGACCGCATTGAGACCATAACTGAGAGCTTGCCAGGCCGACTCGGTTCCTCTGAGCAAGGCAGCAAGCCGGACAGTCTCCGCCGGGGTCGTCGTCAGCTGCCCAATGACAAAGTACAAGTACAAGTAGTTGATCTGGAACCCAATAACGAGGAAGAGGAAGAGGGCAAAGGGAGCCGCAAAGCCGTGGGTGCCGTCTGCCCAGTCGAAAGTCGGATGGGTGCGACGGTAGCGGGTGACGAGGACCGTGGCCCAGATCCACAGGCCGAGCTGCAGAACGCTGAGGACGAAGAATGACGAGCGAGCTCGTAATCGAAGCGAGACGCGGGCGCGATCCAGCCAGAAACCCAGAAGATTACCCGCAGTTACGGCCACGATTCCAGAGAGAAACGACCCTAATGCTCGCGCACGTACAGAGAACCACAAGGCAGAGAAGGTGAACATGACCGCCTCTGTGTACACGGCCTGACCGATGAACGGCACAACAAGCAAGAAGTTCTTGGTGAAGAAGAGCTTTGTCGTTGCTTTGAGCTCGAACCAAGGATGTTCGACAATGGAGAGGTCGACTTTCCGCCCATCACTTCGTTGGACTTGGGACGGGTTGTTCAGAAGAAAGGCGATAAAGGGGCCCAAGGCTTGGAGGGCGATAAAGACCAGGTAAACTGTGTAGGACACCTTGCCTGCTTCGGCTTTATGTACGTTGATGCCGAGATTGATTGCCCCTCCCAGGATCTGGCCTGAAAGGCGAAAGCTCAACCAGAATCCTAGGAATTTGCCTTGATTGTAGGGTTCGGGGTATGCGAGCGCGATGGCGGCCTCGGCCATCCAGAATACACCCGCCGAGATTCCACAGAGGGCAGCCCCGAACAGGACGAACCATTCTGTACCGAATCGATTGTTGGTGTACATGCCTGCCGCGTAAGGGGCATACCCCATAGTTCCAAAAATCAGTGCCCATTTGATGCCCACGAGACGGACCAGAGCGCTCGAGAAGTAGCAGGAGATGATCATGAGGCAGAATGTCAGAGCGTTGGCAGCGTTGACGAGATATGGTTTTGCCTGTCCGCCGGCGCCGAGCGAATTCATGGCACCCCAGAGTCCAGGGGCAGAGAAGTTGGCGAGACCTAGGATTAGGGCATTGTAGAATGTTGAACGGTACCATTTAATGTCTTTAAGGCATCGGGAACAAGCAGTGTTAGCAGCTGTAGGAGTGCTCTCCGTCCCATGTGTTACGAGAAGATGGGAGTGTACTTACGTCGGTGCCCAATTCTCTGTCCATCGGGCGCTCCATCCACCACATGGATCTCTTTGCTGGCCATCTTGTGACGAACACTTTGACGAACACTGTGCTTGGGGCGGGAGTTGTTCTATCTACTCTTGACTTGGAGCGGGTCCTGAGAGGGGTCGGGTGGTGGGAGACATTGCAACACTTATAGCCTGACTCTGTTTCGAAAACTCTGCTCATGAAGTACCTTAAGAAGGTGCATTACCCACGGAAAGTGCATTGTTTCGGTGCCTCGAGTGGCAAGGTAGCAAATTGGCTGATTTTCGTAGCTAATGGTGTGATTGACAACCCTGTCACCCCGGTCAACTGCATGAGGGATCAGCAATCGGGCCCTATCAAAGTCTGCATAGTCGAGCAGAAACGAACAGAAACGAACAAACGATCCTGCATTCGAAAGCGTGCCACCGTGGATATGTGTAGGGAGTCGGCAAATCTCATGGATGACAGCACCAGCCATCCACGCCATAGTTCCAAGATACTAGTCCAGTCTGGGTGGAGAATTGGGTGAGGTAAAAGAATTCATCCTATCGACCGGCTACTTCGCTGAAACCTGGGGAGTCGTAGTGAATGTGTGTTTTCCAGGTCGTCTGGGCCGATTGCGTGCTCGCACCACAATCTGACGGAAGCGCAGGGGTTCTCGATACCCAGAAAGGTGACAACCGGAAGAAAGCTGCATCTGCCTCAATCCTCATCTAGTAATTCTCGCGCCCCTGCAGGTGGTGTCCGAGGGAAAGGCGGTAGGGTAGGTCTTATCACGGTAAATAGGCGCCAATGCGACCAGAGAGGATGAGGATGGCAGCGACGGAAACCTGGCCAGTTGTAGCGACTTGACTGCGCAATGGTTGGTTTGCCGGCCCAAGTATTTTTTCTGCAATGAACACTTCGGCTTCCCGCAAGGCTGGCTAATTCGACGGGTCAGGCTGAGGTCGTTGGCACGAATGGAAGGTGATGAAGAAGATCGTGGTTGTCCACCGTCCGACTCAGACTGCGCCCCAGGGCCGTTAATAATTGTAATGACGCGAACAATGGGATAATATCCCATGGATGAAATCCACTTGACTGTCATCATGTCATTCTTCTTTACCGTCACGAAACTCCCTCCCATCTCTCCCCGTGCCCAATCAATCATTTCGTGTACACATACCTAGGTAGGTAGTATGTTACTTGCATACCCCGTACATGTACATGCGAAAGATCGACCCTGGTCCACGGCCCAAACTCGGAGGCGCCACCGTGCTCTGAGCGGCTGATTGTCGGCCGCAGCCCGCGGCACGTCCCTTGGATAGCAGCGCGGTCCTGTGCACCTGCAGGCTCCGAGCTCAAGGAGCGATGCCAGGAACCACCTGGTACAACACAAAGCTCATTCTCCCTTTGCGTACACTGTACACAGCTCGTGCGGCCTTCATGGTCCATGGGCCGCCGCAGTGATGCACCCAAAAAGAACGAGAGGGACCCCGTGTCAAGCCTCTTAGGAGTGAGGACAAATGTAGTATACGAATACAGACAGCTTGATCTTCGAGGCTCGGATCGGACCAAACTAAGACATGGGCCCCGTTGACTTCAACAGCATTTCATATGATCGCGGAAAGAGTCAGTCTGTAGCCTTTGCCGCGTACTGTCTTTGTAAGACATAACAACAACCTTCTGGAAGGTGTATTAGAACCCTTGTGTCCTCCAGGCAAGAGAGACTAGATAATCACGAGTGCCATACAGTACTGACACGCAAAAGTTGTAATCTCCAACGATTGCGGAGGCTTAGGCGGTGTTGGGGAACAAGAGACTACTGAGAAGTCTTCCATTCAGGTGCCACCCCAACCTCATCTCCATCAATTATCTAGAGAGGTAGGCCCTCAGGCTTCCCCCAGGCTCATGAGAGCACCCCTTCCGTCATGTCGTCGACACCGTATCTCGACGCTCTCAGCAGGGACGGGTTCGTGACGATTCCCAATCTGATCCCGCCCCAGTTGTTGCTAGCCCTCAAGGCATGTAGTAAATACACCACCGATAGGGCACGACAAGGCAAGTGGCCATACGTTCGGACGGTTCCAAAGCAGTATCCGCCATGGCAAGAGTGGAAGCCAGGAGACAACATCTGGGGCATCCAGCATCTCCTTCACGCAGACATGAATGTCCGAGACACGTTTGCCGAGCTTTACTTCTCTGACGAGGTATTATCGGTGGTCAAGGAGTTACTGGGCCTCAAAGATGATCCTAACGGCGACGAGAAGTTGGTGATGGAGCTGTTCAATCTGCTTGTCAGCCCGGCCCAACACCAAGATTTTGAGCTGAGCTGGCATCGAGACGACATTCGCCCAGACGTGACGCCGGAAGAGGAGGAGAGGCTACTGCAAGAGAAGAGTCCGGGGGGCCAACAGCTACATGCCCAATACAACATTGCCCTGTTTCAGGATTCGTCTCTCATTGTCATCCCGGGCAGCCATCGGCGTGTGAGGACCGAGACAGAACGAGCGGCTGCTCCCTATGAGCCACATTTGCCAGCACAACTTGTGGTGGAGCTTCAGCCGGGGGATGCCGTGTTCTATGACAGCAACATTCTCCATCGTGGCATCTACAAGGGCATTGATGTAACGAGCGACTTCGGCCGCATGACACTCCACGGATCGGTTGGCCTGGCAGGGCATGGGAATGAACGGGCACGTCAGGTCCTGCAGCACGCTGTTGGAGACTGGGTGGACAGAGCTCAATTCTCGATCGAGGGCCGCAGGGGCGAGCGAGCAGAAGGCATGCGAAGGAGACTGGTTGACATGGGCGGCGGAAAAGATCTGGGATATTCTCTAGTAGGCTGAGGATGTGTAGGAAGAGAGAGAGAGAGAGAGAGAGAGAGCGTGGTACATTTAATTACTATTTACTGTCTCCGTACTGCCCGTATAAAGCGACAGCGCAGGACGTTCATTTTACCCCACAACACGAGGACAGTGGCGTCCAACACATCATCTGCCCACTTCCTTATTCCCACTTCCACCACTCTCCACCGCCACTCTCTACCATCACTCTCACGAGCCGGTCTCGTCTCAATCCTACAGTCAGAGGAGATATACGGGCCGTTCTCCCAGACCTGCCTTCCTTCATTGTGTCCTGCCAGCTTTGCAATGGCCGCTGACCTGACGAGCATCAAACTCAACCCGGACAGTCATGTCCTGCTGGTATCCCTCACCTCCGCCCCCCAACTCTGTGGAATCTTTACTAACCCAGCCCCTGCAGGACCAGCCTCTCCTCCGGCTACCTCATGAACTTGTCAAGCGAAACTTTAGAAACACTCAACGCTACGTGGAGCGCGAAAGAGACCAGATCCTACCCTCCCTGAAGGACACTGCGAACGCAGCACTCAGTTCCTCTCAGACCCCAGAGGAGACGCTTGCCTCGCTCGATGCCATGATCCAGCGGATGCAAACTTTCAAACGCAAAATAGACAAATTGCACGCCGAAGAAGAGACGCTCCACGAACACTCGGCAAAACGTATCAGACACCTCCAAGAACTATACGAGATTCCTTCCCTTGCGGATGTCAAGTATGATGACTGGGCTCGCACTCGTCTTGACCGTTTGATGGTCGACTACCTCCTCCGCTCGGGCTACTCGAAAACGGCCTCCTCGCTGGCGGAGACGAAGCAGATCTCTCACCTCATCGATCTCGACACATTTGTAACATGCCACAGGATTGCCTCTTCCTTGAACCGGGGCGAGACGAAAGATGCCCTCGCCTGGATCGCCGAGAACAAGAACTCTCTAAAAAAGCTTATCACGGCACCCTACAAGTGCACGAACCTGGAGTTCGAACTCCGCCTTCAACAATACATCGAACTCGTCAGGGCAGGGACAATACCCAAGAAACTTGAAGCAAGAATGTACGCTCAACAACATCTGACGCCACACGCCTCCTCTCGTCCAGATGCTATAATGCAAGCAGCGGGTCTGCTTGCCCAAGAGCCCAATACAGAAGCAGAGCCGTACCGGGGATTGTTTGCCCCTTCTCGCTGGCGCCATCTGTCGAACCTGTTCATCGAGACTCATCACACCCTGCTGTCTCTCCCGGTACAGCCGCTTCTCCACGCTGCCTTGTCTGCCGGCCTCTCCGCGCTGAAAACTCCAGCGTGCCACAGCGCCTACAACCCGGCGAGTTCGTCGACGCCGGGACACGCACGAATCGCCACAAACACCTCTCTCTGTCCGATCTGCAGCATGGAATTAAACGACCTGGCGCGCAACGTACCGTACGCGCATCACACAACCAGCTTTGTCGAGTCGGATCCTGTTGTTTTGCCCAACGGACGCATCTACGGCCGCGAACGCCTTGAGGAGTTGCAGCGCAAGCTTGCAATGTCTGGCTTGGGTGGCGGCGAAGGAGGCATACATGATCTGCAGATTGGGAAAGAAGGCGAGGTCCGGGACCCCACAACCGGTGAGAGCTTTACATGGGAGCAGGTCAAGAAGGTGTATATCATGTAGTTGGGGTTAACAGAGTTGTCTGGTCGTCCTGGGAGCAGGAGTAGCGCCCTCTCCATATCTCCGGGTCTTCGTGCCAACGGAAGAAAGCGATGGGTGGGAACACACCACGATCATCGACCGAAATAGTTGCGCAACCCATATACTCCCTGGTCTTGTCAGTTACAGTCGGCCTGCTTCTCACACGTCGACGGCTTTTGATGACACCATCTATCAATCCGCCGGTACCACAAGCTTGCGCCTTATCTGGCTCGTCTAGGAATGCACCCATTCTCCAGCTCTTACACCCGAAAGCCGCACTTGATGGTACTCGCCTCTATATGGATCTTATCACAACGAGCAGCGATTGAAATCAGGCAGGCAGACTGCTCGAGGTTTCTACGACACGAAGGTCGTGAAGTACGAGCCTTGATGTCATCAATCCAAGCCCAGGAAAGGCCTGGGAGCATACGCAGTCACTAGGGGCTGGATGACTACCTACGTACCTATATGTAGTATGTCAAATGTGCCGGCCGCATTGGTCTGGGGTACACTGTATACGGATTGGATACTCGTACTGGAGACAAGTTAGAATGAATGCGATATGGAACCAGGCTTCAAGAGGTCATCAAAGGCATGCATTCATTCATCTGTTCATTCTCTCTAAGTTGGTCTCGACATTGCCCATGACGCCCATCTCACACTCGCAGTCGCAATCCCATTCCTGCCATTCTCGACTGTCGTTGGACTTGGTAGGAGTAGTATGCTTTATGCCCGAAGTTGAGCTCATCAAACACCCTCCCGTGCATTATTCCGCAATTAGCAGCCACAAACCTGAGAACAACGCTGCCCCAACCAGTCAGATTTTATTTCTGTCTTAATCGACAGATTCTGAACTGGACTCTGAAATCAAGCACGCAGAGAGAGAAAAGCAGGCTTCGGGGCCTCCATCGAAACTTGCAACATGTACTGTATGGCGTGATGTGGCGTGAACCTCCAGTAGTTCTTCGTCCCACCGCTGCCTGCCCGCTCTGCGTCGCCTCGCTTCCGCACCGTCTTCATCAATATCCTTCTGCCTTTTCTTTATGCCGATGTATCCGCCGTCGTCCCGGATCTCGTCGGAGTCGCACTGACGCCAGACCATGATGCAGCCACCGTCGACGCCATCGGCCTTCCCGGCGTTACACCGGGACCGCCTCGTCTAGCCGTCCCACGCAAGCTCATATTCATACTGAGTGCTCGATGGGTATGTCCGTGTCCTGGGGCATGTCGATGGCTGTGACTGAGCGTGGAGACATCATGCTTGCCTAGACATTGACAAAAATACAACGTTAGTGACCCATCACCAGTATAACCGCCCGAAAGAGCGAAAGGGGGCTTGACTTTGGACTTACCATCACAACAAGCCCTCACGTTCTCGAGTCCACCGAACCCGATTTCTTCTTGCCTGAGCATTTCTCGCCGCAGTTCTTCCGCCGAGTCGATGCGTCCGTCGGTGACTATGCTGGCGTCGTAAATACTGCCACCTTCGCTACGCACACCGCTTGTAGGGTGGACGTTCGCCGTCTCGCTCATCCTGCGGCTCCGTCCGGTAACTGATCCAATCATGCGCGAGAACCGGCTCACACTACTCGCCCTGACTGTACGCTCATGGTCAGCGTCATGAGAGTGCTCGGTTCGACTCCTTCGTATGCCCGAGTTAGGAGCAGTCCGAGTCGTGACGGAGTTCTGAGGGGCATGTAATGCACTGGTGCTGGTGACACTGCCCAACGGAGGTGGCTGTCGCTGAGCTGCCGAGGCTCGATTAGAACTGGTGCCTCGTGTGGTGCGGGAATTGTAGCTTGACAGACTCATGCGACTGCCAGTAGGGACAAGTGTGGCTCCATATCCCCCAGCATTGACGTTGAATTCGTTCAGGTCGTCTCCAGTAATGCTGTTTCCTGCAACCGCATATGTTCCAGGATTTGCGTCCTCGCCACGGAGCAGCAAGTAGTTCAGCGCATTGAACCAAGTCTCATGTCGCTGACCGGTAGTCGCAGTAAACCGCACGCGTCGACCCGGAGTGATGACCTCGAGGCTCTTTCGGTGAAGGCCAGGTGGCATCGGGTTGTTATCGGCTATAACCTGAACACTTTGTATAAGGACGCTCTTTGCCTTGAGCTCATTCCTTCCTGCGGTCTGTGGATCCTTATCAGACCAGTATAAAGTTTTGGTATAAGGATGCACCCAGAAGTATCGGAGATGGCGTGTCTCCGACATCTCTGCTCGGCCCGCTTTTCGCGTATACTTCCACAAGAATTCGCCGATCATAGTCTGGGTAATGGCTTGAATAATCCTTGGGTCTGTACCGAGCCCGTGAGGCACACCCTGCGCGTGGGGATGCATATTGAACCGTTCGTCTATTTCCGAGGCAAAAGATGACACTGATGATCGATGGGACAGTTCAGAAGTGACGGTTCCACGGTGGGAGCGGCTAACATTAGAGGTACGTGGCGCGTTGCTCTCCCGAGTAGGAGACCGTATGGACTCGCCCGGCGTCTTTGGACGCCGCATTGCCGACGCAGGGTATGCCGGCGGTCCCATAACAGTCAGCACTTGGTCAGAGTCGCTTCCTTCTCGACTAGGCGACGCAACTCGGCCTGTAGCCTTTGCGATTGCTGCTTTATGGTCAGGTGGAAGAGGTGGATGTGGTGCCGTACTGCTAGGGCGCCGCTGGCCCAATGCAATTGATAGTCGCTTGTTGGGGGATGGGACTGCAGCGGAGGGAGCAATTCCAGCCTCCATCTGATTTGCTGTCATTTGGTTGCCTTGAGTTCCTTCCACTGGCGTCAATGGATCAAGAGGACGTGCAATGACCTCCGACGCGTTACCGCTGGGTGGCAATAACACGGGGATACTGCTCTTGGGGCGAAGCGCCTCCTCAATTTGTCGGGCAGTCAGGAGCGTTTGCGAGCCTTGGTCATTGCTAGAGGTCAACGGTGCGCTGTCCATTTGGTCAAGCTGCTTGGACTTGGGTAGCGAGGCCGTTCTGATGGGGACTCTGTTACCAGAAGCGTCCTGCAACGGGCGCGTCTCCTTAGACCGCAAGTCATTAGCAGATTTCTCCGGTTCACTTGTTTCGTCCTCAGCGATAACGGGAGCAGGGGCTTCCTTGGATTTTGCGAATCCAAAGGCAGCAGCAGCTGAAGCGAGCAGACCCGTGGCGCCCACTTTTTCCGACGTGGTCAGACCAGTTGGGAGATCGTCTACCTGCGTCGAGGCCGCGATACTAACAGGCTGTACCGGGGGTATCGCCTGGATCGGCTCTGTCGCTTGTGATTGGATGGTAGAGAAACCAAGGAGCTTGGGCGCTTCTGGCGGAGACGGAATCACATTCTCAGGAGACTTGGGGGTAGTGTCGTGCATCACAAGACCCGAATAACCTAATCGGCGAGGCGTTTCGAGGTGATGAGTGGGATCAATTTCCGAGTGCAATGACTCGGAATTCTGAGCTTCGTCCCACACGGTCTTAGGAGGTGTAATGAAAGCTGTATTCCTCACCGGACTGTCTTGTAGAGTTCTCTGAGGAGTATATTGAGTACCGTTGTCAATGTGTTTGATAGGCGAGGTCGGGACCGTGGGGGGTAAGGGAAAGTCTGACGGTAGCGGTGTTCGTAAGTTGTCTCGATCTGGAGAAGGCGGCTCCATAACTGTCCCTGCATCAACAAGGGCCCGTATGGGAAGATCTTCTTTTGGTATCCATGGTTCTGTCATCATCCCAGAGTCAACCATTGGCCTCTTCGCGATGCTCTGTGCTGGTTCTTGAGGCATAGCCTGCCCACTCGGGGTGTAGGTAGTAAAACCTGGAGTAGACGTCGCAGAAGCTATACTGATTCTACCTGGGGTGCCGAAACTAGAGGCGTCATTAAAATCACCAAGCTCCGCAAAGAGGCTCTGTTCAGCAGCCGGTGGACTGCGATCGCTGGTGACAGTGGCGGGCGAATCTTGGGATATGGCATCTGACAGGAGAAGTGTAGCTGCGCTGTCGGTAGGCACTCTTGACTGTCGAGCAAAAGATTGTCGCCCATTCCTGAGACGGAATTTGTGTGACTGAGCGACAACTGGAGTCTTCAGCTCGTCTTCGTCTTCTCCAGCAGACGTGGAGGCCGTGCTAATGTAAGACTGCCTATCACCCGCAGGCTTGAAGGCGAGACTCGGCTTAGGAGCTCGGCCAGGACCTGTTCGCCGGATATGAGACGCTGTGTCTTCTGTCTCGGTCAAATCATCTGTGCTGTCGCCTGCCAGACTTTCCGCTCCAGTTTGGAAGTCCTCGCTTTCCGTTGCATGTCGCTCGTCTGCCGTATCGAAGACGCCCTCAGTCTCATTTGCGGTCTGATATGCGTCACTTGCGTCCGTTATACGCCCTTCGGTAGCGATTGGCAAAGTCAGATGCTTGTGGTGAGTTGGAGTGTCCACAAGATGATCTTCCCACTCATCATCCTCCAGTTCCACATCGGTGCGCATGCGCCGGCTGCCTCCCAGCATGTCGAGCCGAGCTGGCTTCTTAAAAGCATCCGACTTGGTCTTTTGTCGCTTGTTCCCACTGCCTAGTGAGCCATCTCCACGTCGTTGCTCAAGTTCGTCTCTGGCATCCTGTAGCATTCGCTTCAATTCAATTTTTTCCGTCTTTTCACGGTGTATGTTATTTTTCAGATTCTGAATCATCCGATGAGCGTGATGCAACGAGCTTCTCAGAGTCTCTGACTCCAGACCTCCGTGCCTGGGTGTCGCTTTCGTAGGTGAAGGAGGGGGAGAATTCTCTGGGTCGTCATAGTTGTTGAATTCCTCGTCATACTCGTGAGTTGCAGACATCTCTGCGTCGGGATGTTGGCCCCGTAGGCGCGCAGCAACAGCTCGTGCCAATTCGTGGTTCTGAGCTGTCAACTCATCAATCTTGGTTTGTAGTGACGCTCTATCGCTATCGCCCAACTCTATGGTGCGTTTGAGAGTGTGTAACTCGGAATCATGGGCCTTTTTGGCTGTAGCATGTTCATCAGCCAATTTGTCGTGGGCCAGTCTTGTTTCATCCATTTCGCTTTGCAGACGATTTTTCTCCGCTAGTGTGGCTGCAAGACTGGCGGTGAGTCTTTTCTCACGATCAGCAGCCTCGCGAGCCGCAGCAAGGAGCTCATGCGTCTGCGTTTCGAGATTCCAGTTTTCATCCTTGTATTTCTGTTCACTCTCGTCGAGGGCACGCAAACGCTGAGTAAACATAAGCTGGTCCTCTTCCAACCGGTCTCTTTCAGCGTTGACCTGCTTCAGAAGTTCATCCCGTTCGGCTACGGCACTCTGCAATTGTCTCACTTGGGCTAGAAGCGATGTGCTGATGTCGGCTGCAAATTGCAGGTCCCCGGCACGATTGCTGGGCTGATTTCGTTGGCGGCGACTGGGAGCTGTTACCTTGGTTGGAGACGCCGTGGCCTGGCTTGAAAAGGTGGATTGTTCAGACCCAGGCTTTTCTTCGCCGCTGACTGCTCTTGATTTGGGACCCAGCAGCGCTCTTGCTATCTCTTTGCCGACATCATTGTGTTCTCTCTCCAAATCAGCCAGTCGTTGTCGCAACTCTGGCGAAATTTCCGCATCACCCTGCTGTTCTTCTACTTCGCGCAACTTCTCCGTAAGCTGTGATTGTTGTAGCAAGAGTGACTCTCCAAGCTTTTGGGCATCTTGTAGACGGCGCTCGGTCTCGGCGAGATGCGCAACTATACTTCGTTTGACCTGAGAAGGTGACGTGCTTGCGCCCAGCGTAATCGATTCAGGATCTACCAGGCTGGAGTACCGGTGGGCATGTGACGAGTGCCGGGGCTGCGGATCGTCGACAAACGGATCAGACAATTCATGCACTGACGCGTGCAGATTTTTGTTCAGGGTATCTTCGTTTCCTGCTACCGCAGCAGTCGTCATGGCTGCGTGGATGGAGGTTGTATCAAACCAGCCTGGGGACGACGTTTAGGGTGATGGCCGGACCTGCGCAGCGGCAGCATGCATTTCGAGATAATGACAATCGAGAGGAAGCTTGAATGGGATGACGGACGGTGCCCACGACGAGCAGCGTTGTCAACAGAGGAAGTGCGGACTCGGCCAAAGGAGGAATGATTGGTCAATGTGTTTGTTGACGCGTCGGGATGAAGTGGGAGCTGGGGTCTGACCAGTCGCAGTCGCAGTCGGAGGAGGTAGTTGGCGGCGACTAAAACCTGTTCTCAGCCACACCAGTCAAGGCCTTTGAGTTTGCAGCCTGGCCCGATATAAACGAGAGGATGTTGAGTGAGTGTCGAGCGTAAAGATAGTAGTAGTGATGAACAGATGACGGGAGAAGCCCGCACTGGTGAATAGGGCATTTATCGGGGAGCAAGGAGGAGGTCCTTAGGTTCCTCCGGCAAGCCTTAGGAGCCTTGGCCTTGGTTTCTACTACTAGCAGGCAGTAGTCCTACATGTTCTAACTCGAAGTACGGATTACATATTATCATCCCTCATGGTGACAGCTCGGCTTCTGCAGGTGGTGTTGGCATTTTTGCGAGGAGCACATCATCCTACCCGATCTGCTTCACTCCGCCCTTGCCAACCTGGAGGAATGGACGAGTTCAATCGCTGCGAGACTAATAATGGCATCAGAGATATTTTGTTTTTGACATTTCAGGATTCGGGCCCAAGTGCCGTCACGTCGCAGAAATGATTACAACCCATACTATATGTACATAATGTCCGCATTAGCTCTATGAACAGCGTTCCCAATTGGTATTAGTCGCCTGCACCAACATGGTAGCAGTAGAAGCCGGTGTAGCCTGAAGGACCTCTGGCCGTGGATATATCCTGTCGAAACTTGATTAACAGCCGCATTGTAGCGTGCAATGATGTAGGAAGTCCTCTCCTATGCTGGCGCACCGGACGATCTGGTCCGAGAGCAACACCGGCTCGCAAGAGCCGAACTCTATGACCACTTCTGCCCCGACGACTCCTTCTCTTTGAGTCCTCCTATTCGTTCTAGGTCGAGAGATTGAAAACGATCGGCGTCTTCTTTCTGGTAGGGTGGAAGTGGCTCACGGTGGAGAGGTTCCATACCAACACTTCCCGACTCTGTAATATGAACCACAACCACGCGTCCTTGTTGATGGCTGCCGGCATTGCCCTCTTCGTCAGGGAAGGTGATGTGAATTTCAGGCACGGTAGCCGACGGCGGACTCGAGGAGTTGTGAATGAGGTTCATCTTTTCATCGTAGACAAATATGGATTCGTTCTTCCCCTGGGCGTTGAAACTGCTTATTGATGGGGAGCGATGATGCGAATGTCCATGCTGATGGTATGTTGGTAACAAGGCTTGCTGTCTCCTTTGCTGCTTGCGGCGCAGGCAAAGCAGGATCAAAGAGCAGAGTGAGGCAAGTAGGAGAAGGGCGAAGAAGACAAAGAGTAGGTGACCCATTGTATAAGATGATGGTTTGTCGTCTGTGAAGTCGGAAGAATCGCGAACCCGGAGACGATGGGACTTTAAGACGTCCATCACGAGGTCGGAAGCGTCGTGGATAGGTGCGAACGTCCGTCAAGGACGTAGATCAATATAGATCTCGAGATAGAAGGCTGATGTCAGGGTGATCGGCGATCGGAGAATGCGAGTGCGATGGAGGGGATAACGTTGGGCTCAAGTTGGGGGCCGTGGACTCGATACTGTTGCCTTCTGAGTTTGAAAGGAATCACGTCCTGTCGTGATGAAAGGAGGCTGGCAAGGTCGGTACGCGTACGCGTGTCATGCAGACCAGATCTGATTTGCACAGTCTGTCGGAGGTCCGAGTCGCGATTACGCTTGCGCAGAGTCTCCTGGACCAGGCGGGTTGACCGTGTGTTTGTGGCTGGAAAGACAGAATGAACGGACGGCACGGGCTCAGCAAAAGAGTGAAGCTGAACACTGCCAGAAGGGGAACGCACGGAGCGTGAGAGAATGGAAGCCGATGAAAACGGGGGAAGGAGGTTGTATGATGGCGAGGTGTGTAGGTAGGTAGGTAGGGAAATACAATCAATATCGACAACAGAAATGAGATTTTGAGTATTGTTCCAGGGGGAACAGCAGCATGCGTATGCAGCACTCTGTATCCGTACTCCGTACTGCCGGGGGCCGACGATCGTGGGCTACCTACTCGTAGGTCCCTGCTAAGTGCCTACAGAACCCTCCGCTCAGAATAACAACACTGCCCACTGTGCCCAGGCTAAAGGGAGGCCGGCCATCTCGCCTGATTGCGCGTTGACGTTGACAGGGGGAGATGGATTTCACCAGTGACAATCATCCATGTGCCCCAGATGGCCAGTTTATCTCTGTGGAGTTCTTCCGTAGGCTGTTGAAGCCCCCAATCAACGGACTTCCAAGGGAACCAGCCTCCCGCCATGTGGGCTCACCGGGGCTTAGGGGCTTAGAGGCTCTTACTGGTGCTTACCATTGACGAGTCGCAGGCTTAGACTCGGCATGTCGGAGGTTGAGCAATCTTCCATCCGTGCACTGCCAGTGTACTCCGTATACGAGTAATTTCCTCCAACCAAGCAAGATTTCTGGCTTGCCACGTATCATTGGTCTGTCGCTGCGAACTTGGAAATGGAGCACCGTCAACAAACAAGCAACATCAGTCGTTTCTATCCATTTCTATCCCAGATGTTTGTCTTTCGCTTTGAGTACTAGTACTACGCCGGACTTGTATTGCTCCACTGCTAGCTTGTTTGCAGCTTTGCCAGTTGTCTTGTTACATAAGGTATATCTCCCTGAGGAGAGAAGCAAGAGGGCACGTAATGCGATCTTCATGTTTCCATCCTAGAGTGCCACGCGTACCGCGAGTGTTCTTAGGAGCGGAGATAGCTTGAGCCTCACTGGCGTCTCTGCTCAGCTTACAGAGTTGGAGCTCCAACCAAATTTTGGTTGACGCCCGACCCAAGAGCAGGTTACTCACTCCACAGAGTCCAGACTTCTCAGTCTATGGTGGGTGGTGAGAGATAGTGCCAACTAACCCTGTCGGGTCAAACAAACAATAATGGCAAGTTGGCTCTTCGATCGCTGGGAGAATGTGTGGCTATTCTGTTTGCTTGTGTCCACTGCCCACTGTCGTGGACACGACGGAAAAGTCTGGTCGTGGATAGCATGGCGGTGAGTCAGGTGTTGGTGGTGTCTATCTGCCTGCTGACTGGGCATCCGGACTGGACGCTAAAGACGTTCTCTCATATTTGGCCACGTCACTGCTGGGTCGGGGCGCAGAGTGTTTGCGCTCAAATGGAGACGGGGACCTCAGGTGATGGGCAGAAGTAAGCAAACAAACCATCTGGTAGGTAGGTGCTCGGTATTTTCTCGTGGGTGATGGGGGACAAAGAAATGCACATAGTACGAGTATGTGCCCGAGAGGATCGACGGGGGCTGGCCATGGCTTATATGCCTGGCGGGGAGTCAATCAGCCTTAAGCCCAGGGGTGGGTGTCAAAATAGATGGCAGGTTACAAGGCGGTCCTTTCCTATTAACAAAATGTCCTACTATCGCGTCGAGAGAGGCCGTAATTAGACTATATCTGGTACCTCAGAAGAGCATTTATCTGGTAGAGCCAGAGAATTCCCTAATAGTCTCGGAGCAGTAGTTGGATCTCGTATCTACTGTACCTGAACCTGGTGCGGATACCTTGTATGTGTACTCCGTAAGAAATGGGACATGCTCACCCCAAAGATCCCACAGTCGGCGGAAGCGAACAGATAGTACCTACCTAGGTAGATACAAGCAAGCACTTTGCACGGTACGTATTTCTGGTCGACGCAATGGCCCAGAGTGCCGTGTGCGGCGATGCCATGTTCGGTCAGGTTGCGATGGATCTACGACTGGAGGGCTTAAGGCTCTTTAGGCCCTAATCGAACCGAGGGGCAATTGCAATGGGAATGGCGATGTCTGATGCGCAGCTGCAAGCCACAGCCGTCGTTAAAGAGAAAGCCCAAGAATTCGAAGCTTGACCCCCTTGCGGCCCGGAATTAGTGGGCAGGGGCAGGGGCGGGGCTTGGGAGCCTTAGGGGCCTTAGGGCCAGTTGGTTGTAGCTTAACGGACCGCCATTCCCTTCTCGAGCAATATGACAGCGCCCAGCTGGCCTACTGCCGATACAGAAAGGGCCCTAAGGCCGCAGGTGAAGGCCTGTGTTTGAAACACTTCAAACACGCCCACGCCCGCACTTTAGCAGCAGAACGGACGCTCCACTAAGCCCACACCAGCCGTCGATCTGGGGTCTCGATGCTGCCTGCGCATCATGCTCATCCGAACAAACACGTTTTTCTGATATACTAGTATCATCTTTTTAGGCTTCCAGAGGCAGTTCTTTGCAACCTGTCTGCTTCTCATCCGTCGTGTAACCCTTCTTCTCGACCCCTTCAGTGATTGTCTGGCTGGGCGTTCCGATCCACCTGCTTGTCCAAAGAATTCTCCCCACCGCCCGTCCCTCCACGCCTGCCCATCCCTCACCGCAGACCCGACTCGTCTAGCCCACCACCACCCACCAGATTTGCGCCTTGCCTCGCACGAAACCGGCGACGCAGCATTCCACAACTTCCAACGTCCATCCCATCCCTTGCTCCATGCTCAAATCGCGGTCGACCCGCCTATCTGCTGGCAGATGCTTCTCCTCCCCCATCGCGCCTCCTCTGACTCCTCCTGTCGCTTCCCGTCCGGTGCGGAATCAGGCTTAGTCGGCCATGATTTTCATTTGCCCTGCGGCTGCCTGCTGAGATTGTACCATCTCTTTCCTGGCGAACGAAGGGGTACATGACACCGCCAAACCTTGCTTCCTTCGATTCACCTTCGTCTCTTTTAATTTCTCGTCCCTCCCTCGGGTTCCCTCCTTGTATTTGCGACGGGATATATTATAATCCGGGTTTGGTGTACATCTCACCATACATATCTTCACAACTGGGTACGCTCATCATGTTCATCTCTCAAAAGAGGTCAAATCCGGTAGAACTCGCTGACTAGTTTCTGGTTGACAGTCTATATTTCGTATTCTCTTGGTTGTGCCTTCGCTTGTTGATACATCGGGTCAGTCCCAGCCCAAATCCTCTCACAATCTCGCGGCCGTCCCTCCTCGCTGTCGAACCTTTCTCTCTCGCCCCAGCCAAAGTTACCCACGGCTCATGATGGAGGGCGGAGGTACTTTGGAAAATGTTTGTGTGTCCAAGATATCGTGCAGTTGAGGGCTGATAAGTATAAATTAGGCACAAAAGACGACCCGTGGCTCAGCATTTGACCAAAATCCTTCTTCGAGAACACAGTTGAGAATGGGCAACGATTTCGAAGTGGGAAAGAATGCTTGGAATACAACGAGTCGTATTTGGGGGACCAACAAATCGTTCCTGGAGTCAGATGTCGACAAGGAGCCCATGAGACGTGCGTACTGGATGGCAGCGAACACAGAGCCCTACTAACATATATACCAGCCTCGCCTGTCCGTCAGATGTCTACATCAAACTATACCCAGGGTAGGCTGGATGCGAATTCCTTCCTGGCATCAACCGAATCGAGCAATGAAAATGCCCTCCCATCAACCAAGTTACCTTGGGGCTCCACCTCAAACAGCATCCGATTATCATCCAGATCAAGAGGTCAACCACTCTCACCAACAACCCACAGACAGAACCGGGGCCTGGACCTCTTGAGCAACGACGTCCATGGTGATTTGAGGGACTCAAGTCTTTTTGCCGGTAGCTCCCCGGATGTTGAAGTCGGATCTATCACCGGACAGCAGGCGCATCAGTCTTCAGGCGTTGTTAATACCAACTCGCGCTTCCGGCAATCTCCACCGCGTGAAACCAACTATAATCGGGGTCAAGTCGAGGCTCAGATCCAAGCTGTCAATTCAAACAGGTTCAATAGGAATGGCATCTTCACTTCGATATCCGATTACAACAATGGCCCAGAATTGTCATCAAATGGACTGCAGTCCCCCAATGGAAATGCTCTGAATTATTCGCAGCAAAACGGCCACACCACGAGAGGACCAATGTTTCGAGAAGAGACTGGGAGTTCTTCGAGGTTTCTCTCTGCGCCACCAATATTTGCAGGTGTCAACGATCACTCTGTCCAGGGCGAACGATTTCAGTCTTGTTCAAGCCCCCAGGTCGAGGAGACCATACGCTCTTTGCGGGCGCTAAGCTTTGACCAGGCTCAAGAACTTGAAGCTGACACTCAGATCATCCCCACACGCCGGACATCGGTTCCCCAGCCACACCATCCACGCGATATTTTAGCTCATCCGGTCACGACACACGTCTTGACGCAGCCAAGCTTCTTCAATACTGTGGAAAATAGATTTCATCCATCAGCAGGAGATGTGCAGAGCTCTGGGTGTCAGCTGGAACCCCAGGCCGCTCCTCACTACACTGGTCTTCCCAATGGAGGGCGCGCAGCTCTCTCCCCATTGACGAGTGATTACAGAAGCAGTTTGCACAGCCCCTTGTATGCGACAACTGGTACGCCTCCGACCGGACTGCAGTCTATTCGGAGCACTCCCACAAGTCGAGTTTCAAGCCGCACGTCCCATAACGATACAAGGATGGGCGACCGCAAGTTCCTTAACCTGGAACAATACGGTTTCGATCAATCCCCGTTCATACCCAATCCCGTCCTGTCCCAGATTGGTAATGGCTTTCTTTATGACTACCACAGACCTGCTCAGCCAATACGCATGAACCCTCTCGCGCACCCATATATTGCCCCTGTACATCCCACGCTGCACGATTTTCCTACACCTCGGATCCAGATCCGTGAGGCCGACCAAAACCAAGTTGTGAGAAGTCCACTACTTGAGGAGTTTCGCGCAAATAGCAAGACCAATCGTCGATTCGAACTCAAAGACATCTACAACCATGTGGTGGAGTTCAGCGGTGACCAGCATGCATCTCGATTCATTCAACAGAAACTGGAGACCGCCAACAGTGACGAAAAGGAACAGATCTTCAAAGAGATTCAGCCAAATGTTCTCCAACTCATGACGGATGTGTTCGGTAATTATGTGATTCAGAAGCTGTTTGAGCACGGCAATCAGTCGCAGAAGAAAGTCTTGGCCAACCAGATGAAGGGCCACGTCCTCCATCTCTCACTCCAAATGTATGGTTGCCGCGTAGTTCAGAAAGCGTTCGAACACGTCTTGACCGACCAACAGGCGAGTTTGGTCAAGGAATTGGACGGACCTAACCTGCAGATCCTCAAAGTTGTCAAAGACCAGAATGGCAATCACGTCGTGCAGAAGGCCATCGAACGAATCCCTGGTGATCATATTCAATTCATTGTCGACGCACACCGAGGACAGGTGGCCAAGATGTCGACGCACCAGTATGGTTGTCGAGTGGTTCAACGAATGCTTGAATATTGCCGACCACAGGCGAAGCGAGTCATCCTGGATGAACTTTTGGAATATATCCTGCCGTTGATCAGTGATTCTTATGGAAATTATGTTGTGCAACACATTATTCAGAATGGCGAACCACGGGATCGGCGACATGTCGTCGACATTGTCCTGCAACAACTCCTAACCTTTTCTAAACACAAGTTTGCCAGCAACATTGTGGAGAAGAGCATTGATTACGCCGACGCAGACCAGCGGGCGAAAATTCTCTGCGGATTGACTGCGCCCGACGAGCAGGGGGTCACACCAGTACTAGGACTCATGAGAGACCAATATGGAAACTATGTCCTGCGTAAGCATCAATGTTCCAATACTCACTTCAATACACTGACAAGAGTAGAAAAGGTACATTCTCAGCTCCAGGGCGCAGAGCTTCTCACTCTAGAAGCCGAGATGAAGCGGAACTACCCTGTCCTCAGACGAACCAGCTACGGGAAACAAGTGATGGCCATGGAGAAGCTTTTGTTTACTGGAAATGGTCCGTCAACCGCAACCACCAGCAACCGCAGTTCCGCTCTTCCCAGCACCAACGCCAGCAGCAGTGGCGACGTTGAAGGTACTCCTTCATTACAGCCGGGATTTCAATAGCCGATGCGCGGTCTATGCCTCACACAACCTGTCTCAGTACCTCGACATACTGGCGAAGGTAATACCTTTCCCACTATTCGATTCCCGGGGGCCTGTTGTCAGTCCAATGGTCTGGCTGAACCACCTCATTTTCTTGGTACGGGTGCTCAGGATCTCTTTCCTTGTTTGATTTGGGGTTGTATGGAGTTTGGGGACACTTCAGACCAGGTTATGAATATTTCATTGCGAGCGACCAGTCTTTGATACGTCTGGTGCCTGTTACATTTTTGTTGGAACGAAGATCAAAAGGCACCCCAAATGCTTGTGACGAGGATAACGACAACCACAACACAGTGGATACCCTTCAGGACTCTGGCTGTTCAGTTAAAGGGAGGGGCGAAATGGCATGCGTGGTATGTACATACGGAGTACACAGGACGGAGTCTCGTGGAGCGAAGAGTGTTTCATTAGTGCGGGAACGTGCTGTTCGGGACAAATATAGAGCGGCCGAGTCTGTAATTTCATACCTTGCCAGGTCGACTGCGGATAGTTTGGCACAACAATCAGTGAAGCGATATGAAGCTTGGTGCCGGCTCTTTTTTGCAGATGGTCAAGGACGGTCTGTTGTGTGTTTCTTTGAGGACGGCCGAGGGCTTGCCGCACAATAAGAATATAAGCCTTGTGCCCTGTGATTTCCTTCTCTTCTTCGAGGCAAATTTGGAATAATGGATCCTTCTAGAGAAAGGAAGAAATTGGATGTTCTGTAGTGGGTGGTCTTGGGGCGAGCCTAATGTGCCCCTTGGTGCAGACTAAAGCTGGGGGGTCGGGATTAGCCTCGAGGCCGTTGTGACGGACGTCTCCTTTGAGATTCGGACTCGGCTTAGGGGCCCGGGGAATAGGCATGCAAAGGTGTAGGTGGGTGTGAAGGATTCTGGAATCTGCTGTGTTGTTATTCTTATGATTCCTGTCCAAGACTTGGGTTTCAAGTTCAGTGAGAGATGAGATGAATACTAAGCGAGGCAGATTTGAAGTCTGTCAAAGTCATTGAGGAACCAGGGTGGACGTTGGAGACGTTGACAGACAGCGCCACTGCGGTCGGATGAGCCAATAAGGCTCTTGATCTGCTGTGCATATGGAGTGACTGCAGAGGTGGTAGAGGCAAACACGAGAAGGATGACGGAGGATCAACGCCAGGACGTACACAGTATATTTTACTGGCAGTCTTGTCAATTAAATGGTCTTTGGTTTGCGGCAAACTCAATATACGTACTGTAATCCGTACTCCGTACTCCGTACCTCTGTTGGCACTGACTCCAATTTCTGCGCCTGCGCTGCTGGTTCCTCAGGCCTCCCGAGCCCTCCACCCTAGATGGATTTGGCAGCGAGCGTATGTATCCATCTGAACTTGGGCCTTCAACATGGTAAGCAGCCTCATCTCGCCTGGCCCGCCTTGTCCAATTCTGGGTTGGCTGTCCCCATTGATCGCCCCATTGTACCCGTACCTGAGTTTCCGCCCCGGCGCCATGGGTACTCTGCAGTCCTGCCGCCTAACGAAGGGGCAAGACTAAAAGATGGTGTGTTTGCGACGTGAACAATTATTGCCGATGCCCGCTGGCGCTGGGTCTTGAGATGAAAATCCCAAAGCTCTCGCTAAACATGTTGAGCCGATCGTTGTTCACCGAGCCGGCCGAACAGCAGAGGCGACGTACGGATCCTCGATAGACCACTGCATCACTTGTGGACGCGATTCTCATGTCCGCGACTTGGGGAGCTTCGATAGTCTTCTCTCCTTCCGCCGGCCTCGTCTATACCAGAGTCGACGTCAACCGACGGAGAGCGAAGTGACGACACTATACGAGAGTTGACCAGGATGGCCACTGTCATGGCACCCGTCGAGTTGCCTGCAGGACGGCGGTCTTACTACCACGCTCCATCACCTGGACCTGACATTCATGATCCCAATTGGATCCCTGTGTTGGATACCGCCGCGCTCAAGGGCACTGCTTCTCTGGTCGACAGAGATGTTTTCGCTTATCCTCAGGCCTCGTTCTCCCTATTCCCCAGCCAGAGCGGCTCCAACTCTCCAACACTGCGGCAAGGCATCTCCCACAACTATTCCAAGAGTTCGCTGGCGCCGGAAAGCGTAACGTCGGAAACAAGAGCTCAGAGTCCACGGGACATTGTTGAACCCCCCCTACCCAATGCCGGAAACGCCGGACAATGGGAAAAGCATCGTCGCTCACCGTCAACCGGGGCAGGATCGGGTGAAGAGAAGATGACGGTGGACACACAAATCTCAGGGGAGCTTGCCAGCACCCCAGGCAGTGAAGAAGCTGCCAGTTTGGTAGGGGAAGGAGACTCGGGTCGTCAAGGGCCAAGTCAAGCGCATCACGCAGGAGTGTTGGTCGATCCTTCGACGCGATCGTCCATGAGCTCGACACGCAAGCCCACTATGCTTCCGCCCACTTCTAAATACAACCGCAAACCTGTGTCTTCATTGGCGACTTCAATACGACCGGCACTGATCCCAAGTCTTCCTCAAACTCCCCAAGAATCACCCCGTCTAGGTCCTAGTCTACATGTCCAGAGCGTGTCGTCCCCCAAACTTCCGCCCCCTGAACCCCAGTCACCGGAGCCGACTGCCAAAGTCCACCCTGCGAAATCCACCGCTTCAGAACGACGCCAGCGCGCACTGCATTCTCATCCCTCGGACTTGTCACTGAGAGCGCAGGGCACATCCAGTTTGGATGATGGCGAGATTGACGCGCAACCTGCTGCCGTCCGGCCCAAGTCCCGAAAGTCCACAGACTCGCGTGCAACGACCCCCAGATCTACGTTTTACGAATCACAAGTTCCGACACCTGCACCCACCACTCCACTTCCACAATTACCCCCTGAAGCTCGAAGGCCGCTGCCGAGAGAGAATGGATGGCAGCAGCCGGCGCGTACGCTTCCCGATGGTCCTGCTCCTGCCCTGGGCTCCAGCGGTGGACTTTCTGAGCACGCCGAGTTGGCATCATTCATGGTGGAGAAGAACACGATAGTATTTCGCCGGTTCGACGATGTGCACGTTCGTCTCCTCTTGTGCTTACAGGACGAGATATCCCAGCTTGAGAGAGAGCTTTTGAAGCTGGAGAATTCAATACTGTCGGACAGTCCGGCCGAAGGGATGGTCCAGAAAGCCAGAATTTTGCAAGAGCTAAGGAAATTGGTCGGCGAATACGGTAAGAGTGCTGACATTGCAGGCTGGAGCGAGGAACGGCTAACAGTGGCCAGATCAAATGTTCACGACATGGAGCAAGATGCAAGCCAACCCAGTGAGTCCAACGACAACCAGGGAGTTGAAACAGTGGATGGAAAAGCCCGCAACCGGCGTGGGCGACGGGTTAGGAATCACAATTCAGCAGGACCGATTGTGGTTGGAAAACAGCAAAGACCTTAGCAGCATCGCACTGAACGAGAAAGGAAGGCCACCACCGGGGCAGGAGGAAGGACAGACAGGAAGCTCGGGCACAGGCACAAACACGGGCACGGCCACGGCCACGGCCGCAGATGGCGGTGGACGAGGATGGATGTCATTATTCAGCTGTGCTGGCAAGAGGAAGTAATGTCATGATGCATGGTATGCGTGGCATTGGCGAAAGCGCTGTTCAAGTTGGAGGGCGACGAGAAAAGGCAAGGGTGATTCTGGTCTAGTTACTCGGGATGATAACGTTGAACGGCTGGAAAAAGGTCTGCTGCAGAGACACTTGTGCTGTACTGTACCATCTGTGCATTTGCATCTACACCGCGGCATTGCCAGACACGGCAGAAGTTGGGTTGGCCCTGTTCTCTGGATTGAATGTTCCATACTCCATAGCTACGTGTGTGGCGCGCCTGGGGTTGCCGTTGGGGCCGTTGGGGCCGGGATGAGTTTAGATTTGTCACAACTCACAACTGCGAAATTCAATTCCCCGGATTTTGCAGGCTGCGGCCGGGTCACGTGTGCAGAGTTTTCCAACCTCGAACCTCAAACCTGCGAGCCTCTTGAGGTCTCAAACACCAGAGAAGCGTCAAGCATGTCATGACTAGATGCGGCAGCCGTCCATTGTTCAACGTGTTTCCATTAGTCCCGCCTTGCTAGGGAGAACGACCTACACATTATTGTTGTTGGCGACGGACCTCGGACACCCCTCTCCCTCACGCTCCCACAGAGTCGCCCCTTCACTCGTTCCTCTGCAATTGCAGTACACATAGCAAGGCACTGCGCGAGGTGTGAGACGTACGGCAGAATGTTTCCTCCACAACAAGGCATCTCCCTCGACCTCGAAGCTCTCTCCGGCATCTGCGGTTCCATTTCCATCGCGTGCTGGGTGGTGGTGTTCTCGCCCCAGATCATCGAGAACTTCCGCCGCGGGTCGGCCGAGGGCCTGTCCATCGTGTTTATCGTCATCTGGCTCGCCGGCGATGTGTTTAACATCCTGGGGGCCATCATGCAGGGCGTGTTGCCCACCATGGTCATCCTGGCTGTCTATTATACGTTGGCGGATATTGTGCTCTTGGGCCAGTGCTTCTATTACCGTGGATTTACACTGAGTGACTACGTCAAGAACCGAGACCAACCTGGGCAGCAGGATGCGCATGGAGATGGGGGTGAGACTAGACCCCTGCTTCACAGCAACCCCATCACCCGCCCGTCGTCGTCGTTGTCGCACCATGACGAGGACGACAACGACAACAACACACCGCACCCGATCGCACGACTTCGACGACACTTATCTGTCGATGCGTCGCACCTGTCGCCCGTGACTCCGCTCATCGACCCACCGAATCCCCTTGAGCTACCTACCGCGGTCAAGAACGCCAAACCGACGAGCGCCTGGCAAGCCGCCCTGTTCAACATTTTTGCCGTCCTGCTGGTCTGCGCCGCTGGCATTCTAGGGTGGTGGATTGGCGAACACAAGTCACGACACCATCGCCATAGCCAGCACGAGGATCAGCAGCCTTGGGAGCCGCTGCAGTTCGACCTGCTCGGACAGATCTTCGGCTATCTCTGCGCCGTTCTGTACCTAGGCTCTCGCGTCCCACAGCTCCTACTCAACTACAAACGCAAAAGCACCGAAGGCGTGTCGCTTTTGTTCTTCCTCTTTGCCTGTATTGGCAACTTAACCTACGACATGTCCATCTTTGCCTATTCCCCCGTTTGTCGGGACCCGGGGCATTGCCAGCCAGGAGAAGCCAAGACAATCTATCTCCGATATATCGCTGTCAATGCTAGTTGGATTGCAGGCAGCTTGGGGACGTTGCTTCTGGATTTGGCTATCTTTGTGCAGTTCTTCTTGTATAAAAAGCCCGAGGAGGATTATGACGGCGACAATGTCGCTGTTGCCGTGGAAGACCGTCCACGTTGAAGTCATGCTGCATAGACAGAGCAGAGGTTCTGCATGGTCGATTACCAGGCTATTGGGTCCTGAATTCAGCTTCAGCGAGCGCAGATCTGGAAGATGGGACATGGCTATGATGCCGCGGCGGAAGGGCGTCGAGACGAGTGAGTTATCAAACTTGCTGTGAAGTCTGCGACTGTTCAAATCCAGCCAGGCTTGTCAGTGCCATCGTCCAATGCTACGATCTGAATGCGGATCGAGCTCGGCTGCTCTCATCCTCATCACGGGTCCTGCGTGGTTGATCGACGCTACCGTGCAGAGTGTGTCTAGTCCACGCTTGGGGAGCCATAGGTCAGGAGTATGATAGAAAACTGTATGATGCATGTGTGGTGATACAAAAGGGGAATCATGGGAATCTACAAAAGCAGCCAAACATAACTGTTGCGGATAACCATTGGGGAGGGCTACCACTTTACATTGAATCTGGGTAGTTAGACACCTATTTAGAAGATATGCGACCAAACTTATTGCACATACATCTTTCAGCGCCTGACGAGGCGTTGATGAGTGTCTGCCTCTGATAGATGGTCCAAATGTATCGCCATCCAGAAAGAGAAAGAAATACTACTATTACTATAGATAATAGTATGTGTGCTCTGCACGAGGGGAGTAGATCTAGGGTTAGGGTTAGGGTTAGGGTTAGTTGTAATCAGGTTGCCTGGTCAACCGCAGCTGAAAACAAACCAATGATGCCTCAAACAGTGCACTCACTGACACCACACACTGTGCTGCAGATACTCCGTACATTGCATGTCTGGCCTGCGCACGGAACTTTCACGACACGCTACGGATCCTGGACCACCACCACCACCAAGCTGAACGAGCTGGTCTTCCTTTTCCTTTTCCTTTTCTCTTTTTTCTTCCAGGCGAAGAATCATTCATTCTACCTACCTACAGTACGAACCACCCAGCTTTCCCTTCCATCCCTCCTCGAGTTCGCCGGCGCCGACACCGCATATCCATCCGACCCTCCACAACAGAACAACAGGGTAGTCAGACTTCCTTCTCACTCGGTCGCCCCTCTACAACAACAGAACAGGGTAGTCTCCTTTTCACTCGGTCGCATCAGCCAGATACAGCACAGCAGCCTCTGGCAGACACTGAGCTCTGTCCATCTCTCTCGCCTCGTCTCGCCATCAACTGTCAAGTCAACCCACCCCCCCAATCCCGTCACCATAATGTCTCCAACCAAAACAGTGTCTTCGTCCTCCCTGGTGAACTCGAACTCGACCTCGACCTCAACCCCTCTCTTCGAACGCTCTCCAAACACCGCGTCGCCGTCCAAGACCAAATCATCCACATCCAGCAAGACCATAACCACCATGGATGATAAGCCTGTGCCCCGGTTCGACCACACCGCGCAGAAATATACAGTCACAGCAGCTCTTGGGCAAAGTCAGAGTCAGAGTCAGACCTATATCTCGCCGTCGGACGCTATGCAGAGCCCGACGACGAAAAAGTTGAGTGAGATCAAGGGCCGCAGATTCATGTGAGTCCACACAGTACAGGGTGTTGCTTTGCCCTGCCTTGCTTTGCCCTGCCTTGCCTTGCCCTGTCTTGCTTTGCCTTGCCCTGCCTTGCTTTTGCACAAACACTCACATGATCCCTTTTACACAAACGCTCACCCTGCCTTGTTTTGCACAAACGCTCATATGGTTCCCTTTTCACACATAGGAACGCGAAACCCCAGACTCTGTTCGCAAAGACTCTGAATCAGAACCATGAGAGTCTCAAAGCCCAATCTCGAACCCAATCCACGAGCAATGGAGTCTAAAGAACCCATTTCCAGAAAGGCGGGGTCGACACAATAGCAGGAATGTAGTGTGTGTGGCCTACCATGGGCAGAGACGGTGTTTGTGTCAGCTTGTTTTGTTCTTTGTTTGCTGCCAGGGGTGTAAGGCAGAACTCCGCGTTGAGGCTGACTCTGGTATCTTTTCAACGGGGAATGGGGTGTCTGGAATACCGGGGGAGGGGGATCTCTTCAGGTCATCAGGACGGAAACGCCGCAGAGAACAAGTGGATAGATTAGACAGGACAGCATCGATCCGCTGGGCTCTATGTGCCTGCCTCAAAGGCTGCATGCAATTGTTGTCTTGCATTGTATTGCATTGCGTTGTATTACATTGCGTTGTATTACATTGCATTGCATATCTGACATACAGTAGCATGCATGAGATTGATAGATACAGAGTACAGCTGGCTTTACTTGTTGCGCTCGCTGGCTGGTCGTATAAGTATCTCACCTGGCTGGTCGGTCGGCCATACCACTAATATACAGCCAATGCATCAATCATGTCTGTCATTCATTTCTGTCTGTCTGTCTGTCTGGCAAACTTGAATCTCTCAGGGAATATACTGTAAAATCTCTTTCTTCATGCTGATGCCAACCAAAGTGGCCGGACCACGGATCACGACGAGCGCGGTAGAAACACTCTCTTCCTCTGTCTGACGGCTATATACACCAAGTGGCTAATTCACTCGTGAATTACTTACTTCGTCCTTTTGGGCAACTGTCGTGGTGTAACAGTTTGTGTCAAGTCAACCGTGACACTCTGTCTGGTAGGATCGAAGTTCTCCTCTACTAATTATAAAAAGGACGAAACTCTCCTCTACTAATATAAACAGGACGAAGCTCTCCTCTACTAATATAAATAGCATAGAGCAGTCAGTGTCGGACTCGAAACCGGCCCATCCCATCTGAGGAGACACCTAGCAGGCGTGCCAAATCATATCGCCCACGCATCCACGTCGTCATCTGCATGGATAAAAGGCTCGTCAATCTGCTTGATGCCCGACTCTCCACACAGCACGCACTGGTCGGCAACCAGGCCGTCCAGCTCTTGGACCAGCTTCTGTCGCTGAACTCCTACGCTCAACCCTTGATTCACCTCGGTCTGCAGGTCTTTGATCCTCTTTCTTCGGCTGGCGCCCGACGTCTCAAGCACTCGTTTGCCTAGACAGTCGCTGTGGAATGCGTGCTGGCACGGGAAGACGAAGAACTGCCGGCTCAAGACCGGCAACGTGCAGATCCAACACCGTTCCCCTGCTTCCACGATGGCGTATCGGTGGTCCAACGCGGCGATTTCCGCCTTGATCTGTTCGGCGGTATGCTGCGACAGGTCCATCTCTTGCTTGAGGCTGTCGATGTGTCGCGAATATTCCTCCAGTGCCTCGCATATCTCCTCTTTGAAGTCGTCAATCACGACGAAATCCGGGAAGAAGGGGATCAGGTCTTCGATTTTCAGCAATTCGCATCGCTTCAGGAAACCGATGGCTTCTTTGATCGATGCCGCCTCCTTGATTTTCTTCTCGGCAATCAGCAACCAGAGTCTCTTTCTGACCTTGTCGTTGTCCTCAATGCGATCGGCAACGATGGCCGCCAGATCAATGTCGTCGTGCTGAAGAGCCAGTTCGACCGCCTGTTGGTATTGTCCCATCGCACTGTAGATATGGACGCAAGATTGAACCCGATTGTTTTGGATGCACAGCCTCAAGGCAAAATCAGCATCGTACAACGGAGGAGTCGGCTGGCTTTCGAGATATGTGAGCAGCGTGGTTTCCGAGGGCGACGGATGTGACGCCATAATCGAAATGAGTGCATTGTGCACCGAAGCAGGCACGTCAAAGTTGTTTGACACCACAAAATTCAGATATCGCACTGCTTGGTTCTGGTGCAAAGGCACGTTGGCGTTCTCGTTATAACTCAGGAGTGCCGGGATCATCCTTTGAGGGTCGATGTTGCTCCGTCGCATGAGGATCTCTACCAATCCAGTGGCTACATGGGTCATCAGCACGTTGCTGTAGCGGTAGAACGTGTCCGGATTGGTCTGCTTGTTGAGCACCGACAGCGCTTCGGTCCATTTTTCTCGTTGCACCCAATACGACAGGACATAATCGTAGTCGGGGATGCTGTTGGCGAAGAAGAGCAGTTCCTCTTCTCTATCGTGACTTGAAATGACCTCGTATACCGTCTGTGCATCGAGGTCCAACTTGTGCTTGGTTACAAAGTCTTGGTATTCCGCTCGGGTCTGTTCCAAATCTCGCTTTGCACCCCCAGCATCCGTGTCTTCCGACAGCTCGGCCTTGGTCGCTACCGTATCATCGAGAGAATTGAGCTTGGCCATGAAGATTTGGACTAGCCATGTTGCGATCATGACTCGTTGCATGATGGACGACTTCTTGTATGATCCCAATTTGGCGATCAAGTACTTGCGCAAAGCATCGTCTTGGCCGTGGTCGACGAGAGACAAGCACACCTCCTCGAATGCTTTACTACTCTTTCCCCACACGTTCGCCGCATCAAGGTATTGTCCTTTGCTGGCGAGAAAGTCGCCTGAGGCCGTCGCGACAGAGTCCTTCTGAGCGGCGTCTTTGGCATATCGGAGAGCAGCGTCATAATCTTGATTTTTCAGCATAATCTTCCATATATCTCGTTCTTCATCGTTGGCCACCACCTCGAAGATCTCCTGATTGGTGAAGAGCCAGTAAGTGTTCTTTTTTATATCTGCCACCAGTCCGAGCGCACTCTGGCCCGGTTCCAGCACGGCTTGGTCATAGACCACGCTTCCGTCCACCCGGTTGACGGCGACGACCCGCCCTTCGGCGAGAGCTAAAACATGCCACTGGGACAAAATCGTCGAAACAATTGGATCTTGGATGAGTTTACGCCCTCCACGAGCAGACACTGTCTCGGGGAAAATGGCGCGGGGGTGAAGTTTTGCGTCGCTGAATATTTGGGTTCCGAGACTGGATATCGCGGGTGAGGTCAACAGCTTGCCGGTGAGAACGCCTTGAGAATAGAGCCAGGCAAAACTGCGGTCGGGGTCAGCTCCAGGATTCGGTGGTTCAGGTGACACAGATAGGGATGACGGCGCGGTGGAGGATGCGCCGGTAGTCTCGTGTATGACAGGCGCCTCTTTCGCAAAGAGATCCGCGTATATTGACGCGGAACCCTCCTTGCCTCTGCCGCCGGTTTTGCCTAACCAGTGATACAGATGGGAGTGCGAAGCCACCAGCACTCGTCGTAGATCGGGTCTCCCTTCAATCGTCTCGGCCCAGAGACCGGAGACGGCGCCATCTGATGTTTTCCATACATGTGCGGAATACCGTTCTTCGCGCCGATAGAACTCGGATGATGGCTCGATATAGATCTCGTAGACACTGCCGTCGGTCGCCCCGACCAGGATCTCACGTGTTGAAGCTGTGGGCTGAGAAGGGTTCCAGGCGATGGCCTCGATTAAGATTCCTTTTAACCTCGACAGAGCTTTGGGCTGTTTGGACTGGCTGTGCAGGTAGAAGTTCTCTCCTAGGGTAGTGCTGATGATCAAGTGGGAGGCGGAGGGATCGAGGAACATGCGCCGGATGAGACCGACCTCGCTGGTCTTCTTGGGGAGGTCGACATCTGTTGGTGGCGGGCATTACATTAGCTGCGGCGTAGATGGGTGGGGGTGGCATAGAGTGAGAACACAGAACACACCGTCAATGTCTGAAGGACTCTCCAAATCGATGCGGAGGATGCGTCCGGTGGCGAGGGCGAGGATCAAGACATTGTTGGCCACCTGGGCGGCCACGAAGTCGGAGGCGATGTTGAACTGCAGCTGGACCCGTTCGACATTGAAGATGGGCAGCGTGGTCTCGACACCACCATGGGCGAGGCCGAGGCCGGGAGCCACATAACCCGCGTCTAGATCGAGCGCCATGGAGCGCTGCACGAGAGGAAGATCAGGACATTGTCGACAGAGAGACCATACACTCTTGTTGAGCGTGTCCTGCAGTGCGTGGTGTTGCAGGGCGAAAGCAGTTGATCTCGAAGAGCCGAACTGCGGCGGGCGTCACCGGCACGTGATCCTCATGCGCGAGGCTGTGTTTACGGTGGAGCATAGCACCGTAGTGTAGTATCACAAGGCTGCCAACACAGATTCTCCTTTCATCTTGGCTCCAGTCACATCTTGAATTCAGAGGCTACGAGTATGTGTACTGTGTACACTTTACACTTTTCTGGCGGGGACAAAGCGACCCCGTTCGCTACCATCATGCTCCTTTTTCCTTTCCTTTTTCCTTTCAGTCCGTCCTGCTTGTGACAGGACCAGCACCAGCACCACCAGCACCACCAGGAGAAACTGCAAGCCTGCTGCATGTGCATACCGTGTCAATTTACCCATACACCCGACAGGCTCCTCGAGCCTGGGGTCTTGGTCCTATAGACGACAACTTATGTCCAGCGGTCATGCCTTGTTTGTTTTCTCCACGCCCTCCACAAACTCCAATGCTTCTTCTGCAACCTCGTCCGTGACTCCCGGCAACGTCACATCGGGCAAATACTTGCTGTGACTCTCGCGATGGGTTGCCGGACCGTCGAGGACTTGGTGAGCCTTGTCGGTGAGATTGTCACTCAGCCCGGGCCCCGTGCCTCTGGATGTTTGCATGAAGTCGTGCGCAGCTCGGGCCGCTTCGTCTGTCACTCCGCTGCTGGAGCGCCGAATAGTGCCAGTCATGAACTCATGTGCCGATTTGGCCGCGTCGTCCGAGATCCCACTGCTGGTGCGACGGTGGTGGCTGGCGCCTGTGGGAGCCGCTGCTGCTGCTGCTGGTGTACTTGGTGGACTGGACATTCTCGAAATGAATTCTCGAAACGAAAGCCCTTGAGGACTATCTCTTGCGGTATGTGTGGGATAGAGCGTGCCTTGTTATAGGTACTGAAGCTGTGCGTACTGCTACGGTAAACGGGAGTTTTCTGACCACGATTAGCAGTCTGAAGAGCTCCTTTATCATGTCTTGAGGGGTCTCGTGCCTTACTAAGGTAGGGTTCAGGCGGGGTTTCTCGACTGGCAGGGGTGCATGGTAGAATTGAGTAATGGAGCGACGCAAGCATTTGACTGATTCGTGGATTGTCATGAGAGGGACATTCTTGTTCGAGAATACGAGAGGGGACCCTTAGGCTTGATGACACTGCCGAAAAGCATGATATCTACCAACATCGACTTGGATAGGATGGGATGTCATCGTCCATCAAATCAGAATGGTTGCTCTCCTGGGTGGGCTCGGAGACATTGATGAGTGATCCGCTACATGGAGGTTGACAATGTTGCATCACTCAGATATCTATTCAATGTATCGTCGCGGAGCCTGCTTCATGCACACTCGGCTCAGGCTGAGGTACAGAGGGCCCATCTCTGCGGGCGTATAGCCATATACCCATATACCCAACGCCTGAGCCCTACACAAGCAGCCAACGGAGTAGCGATCTTGTTCCCAATCTTCATTGTCTGGTAATTGTTGAGCAGTGCGCCAGACAAGAAGGCTGTTCGTGCTGCTGAGAGGTGTGGTCGGGCCCATCTCCCGTGGGAAATGAATACCTACCGTCCCCCGTGCCATCCAAAGCCAACAAACGACTCACCATCCATCCCATCCCGCGAAAGACCGTCTCTATGTCCAGGACGACCAACTCCCCCTGGCTCAATATTAAATACTCTTCCCAGGAGTCCCGGACAAGGTATTTACTGTACGTGTCTCTGATGGACTGGATTGATTCGGCAGAGCGGAGCAAATCCTCCATCCCCCATTCCCCGAGAGATTCCCGGAGGTACAGTACCTAGATCACCGCTTCAACCCTACCATCAGGTACAGTACGTTATTCCCCCCAGTCCGGCCAATTCTCCTTCGTGCCATAACCTTGTCCAAGCTGAAGCCCGCCGTGTGTTTACCGTTCTGAAGTATATGTTGGTACCGGTACCGGTACCTGTGGAATACTGGTCTCTACTCGCAACATCTCTTTCTCCCAACTGCCGGTCTCCAAGGGGCGTGGGGAGAGCACGTAACGGTCTTTTGCTTTATTAATATAGAGTACCGACAGATCTCGCCATAGCCCATGGCGATACAGAAGCAAGACGCCAAGGACTCAGATACGGACAGTCTAGCTGCAAACAACAGTGCAAGGAACACAGAGACGCCTTCCCCGATGCCGATGCCGATACCGACGACCACTGCAGCGCCAACAACAACGTCGACTACTAGTACTGGTGCTGGTGCCACCAAGCCTGAGTCAAGTCATTCTGGTACAGGCAAACAACGACCACGGCTACGACCACGGCTGGACTATATTACCTTGGAAGGTCTGTTTCCGCTTCCTCCATCTCAGTCCCAATGGCAGTCAGCCACAGACAGCTCCGGACCATCGCCATCGCCATCGCCACTGTGGTATATCTTGACAACGGCGGTCCTGCTAGCATTCCACAAGGAGAAGCTGATCGGCGACTTGTGGACGTATCTGGCCAGACCACGCCGCGGGGAGAGTCATGATGATGACGACGACGACGACGACGATATTGAAGCCGAAGAAGAAGAAGAATCACTGATGGTGATTGCAAGACGGATTCGCGAGGCCTGTCTCAAAGCTAGCACTCTTGTCGGCTTTCCCAGGGTAAGAAACTAGTCCTCGACCTCGACCTCGATCACGCTGGCCCAGTCCAGTCCAGTCCACCCCCTATCCTATTCTCTACCAATATAGACTTTGCCCTATCCTATTCTCTACAATATAGACTGTGCCCAAAACAAAAGCAAAGCAATGCATCACTGACTCGGATCTCGATCTCCAAGGCAATCAACGCCCTCTTCGCACTCAGCTCGGCCATCGAAGCCACGCACCCGGGGCTCGCGTCCATCCTGGCCCACGACACTTCTCTACGAGCGCCGCTCCGGCCGGCGGAGAAATACGACCGAGGCATGTCCTTCTTTGCCCAGATCTACCAGCAACACACGGCGCGAGTTCTGACCGCCATGGACGCCACGTCCGGCGGCGACCTGACCCATTTCGCCATCTCTTGCATCTACGGCGAGTTGCTCAGCGAACAGACCATTGTGGGCGCCGTCGACACCGGCTTGTTGGAGTTTGTCTGTTGTCTTGCCGACGGGTGTGGGCCGCAGGCTAAAGGGTGAGCTTGTTCTGGCTTGTCTGTTCTGGCTTGTCTTGCTTGGCTTTTACCTTGCCTCAGGTCTGGGTCTGGGTCTGGCTTGGGCGGCTAGGTTGGTCTCACAACCGTGTCCTCGTCCTCGTCTACGTTCACACAATCATACAGCGAGCTACCTACCAAGCTACATTGGCTAACATCGCAACCAACCGCACACACAGGCATTTCTTCGGCTCCATCAACCTGGGAGCGACCGACGCGACGCTACGCGCTGCCGTGCAGCTCACGGAACTCCTGGCCCAGCAACTGCAAGTCGGCTGTGCGTGGAAAGCGGACGAGAACGCGGAAGCTGACGACTTTCGCTTCCTCGAGAGAGTCATGCAGTCGGACTCGGCCTGAATTTGAATTTCTGGTTGGACATGAGAGAGGAACAAAGATTCTTGGACATGAGAGAGGAACAAAGATTCCTTGCTAAGATCTCCCGATGGAATGAGTGCTCAGCCTCGTTGTACTGTGTGTTATGCCTCCCGGTGGAGTGAGTGCTCAGACTCGACTACTATTACTACTAGTAGTAGTACTTTTCGAGGGCCTAAGACCTCTGTGCCACAGTACAGTCAGAATCTATCGTGGCGGTGGCGACTGTTCCTGGGCCCACCTCAGGGTTGTATTATTGTATTGTGTTCGCGTAGTGTCCCATGCCATGCCAGGCCAAGCTTGGCTCGACGTCTCCTGTTCAAATTCTGGCGCCTTAGGCCATACTGGGCAGGAGCAAAACAACCTCAACCCGACTTCATTTCCCTCCCCTCTGTGCAACCATAAACCATGAGGTGGCTACGAAGGTGCCCAGTGACATTGACGAGGCAGAGGCAGAGGCGGACGGAGACAGAGACAACCAGTCAAGGAGAGTTTCACTGTCGGCAAATGTCACGTCTATTGTCCCGTGTTCTATAGGTAACCTATAACCTCTTGTCCCGTATGGATATACCACTTTTCCCAGGACGGGTAGAACTCACCACTCGCGTGGGATTTTCGTAGGGGGTGGATTGGAAAGTTCTCAATTTCGTTCAAGGAGAGATGTAGACTGATAAAAGAAGCGGCCCAAGGTCATCATTGTTTCCATGTGAAAAAAAAGTAGTCAACTCAACCCTTCCTGTCATAATAAAGCCATGCTCTTCAAGTTGTTCATCGACCAGCTCCACGCCAAAGCATTTGAGAATCTGGAACTGTGGTTGAAGGTTGGTTCAGAGTCGCGTCCCATGGCAATGCTCCTCCCATCCCCTTTCCCTCCCCCGTCGCCGACCATAATCAGTTATCATCCCGACTCCGAGCACGCCCACCAGCTCCTTGCTCGTCAAAAAGGCTTCCAAGCTCAAGTCCGTCGGGCCACCCGTCGCCAAAGACCCCTTCCGCATTGGCATCAGCGCTCGCCTTTCGCAATTTGCGCTCTTCTTTCCTCGCATGCCGAACTTCATGGTCTTGCTGACACCCGGCACACCAGCGTTCTTTAGGCAACGGCCCTTCGTATGCCAGTCCAAGGAGATAAGTCCGACGAGGACAGTTGGGGACCCAACACGATGAACACCTGAGTTCTCGTCGATTCTTGGGTAGAGGAATTTGATCCACGGCGCGCCAATGTGAGCCACGCCGTCCTGTGTCTGGCCCAGGACCTCCAGACAAATGCTTGTGATGATGGATTTTGCTCTTGCTGTCCTTCCATTCGACCAACGCAGCCTTGCGATCCGAGAAACTGCCTTTCCATGCGATGCCGGGGACGAAAAACCACTTTCGGGTCCTCCGCGCCCCAGCGGCCTGGTGTTGTCTTTCATTCATTTCCCCACGCATGCGCCACGCCTCGACAACATTGACAATCTTGCGGTGTAACCCATTCAACTCCTGGAGATCTTGATCTTGACGTCGCTTCTCCTCCCGTTCAAAGCATGCAACGCACCCCCACCACAATTCGAACGTACCGCTACCACATTTGGCACAGACGCCAATCTCCTCTTCCGGGTTGACCAGACTCTGACCCTCAAATGCCCATTGACGGATTCGGCGACCTCTACTGACCTTCCGCACCATATCGCTCTTCTTGACCCAGTTCTCCTTGTACCACCTGCCCTCTATATCGCGATAACGTCGCATGCAGTCCTTGCACATTCTGTCCTGGGCAAATTTGGCGCCTAAGCCCGTGCCACGGTTGCTCATCCTCTCCACGAAACACCACAACGGTTTCGCCTCTAGACATCCGTAACACCGGAGTTCATTCGCTGGTCGTTCGACGAGGCGAAAGTCGAACGCCGCGTACAACAAGTCCCAGAGGTGCCCGAGGCGTTGTCGCGGATTGACGGTTCGGTAGGCACGGAATTGCTCCTCCTCCGACTTCAAAGATGTTTGGATAAAGCTAGATCTCACGCGCCGGACAATGTCCGGGGTTAGAAGTGAGTACATTGCACGACACGTCTGTCGGAGCGCGAGGAGTGTGTCGAAGTCCAGATAATGCATGGCAATGATGTAGTGTAAGTCTGGAGGCAAGATCGAAAGGAATGGGGCTGGGTGATATCGAGAGCCTCGGGTCGAGTGTGGTTTAATCGTGGTTGGAGGCATTGAAATCGATGTAGGGTGCCCTGGTCCTACAACCATGCCCGAATGCGACTTTGTCGATCCCAACTTGTTTGCGTGTTGCTCGAGGATATCTGTCTGGGTAGATTCCCTGTGGTCTGTGGCGTTTATGCCAGACTCGATGGGGCTTCGATTTGGGGATTCGTATGTAGATCCATCGCCCAGGTGCGGCTGAGAGGATGACTTCGGTAGTGGATGAAGGGACTGATATCCAGCCTCGCTGGTGTTGGATTTCTCCTCCATATCCCTTGCTCTGAGACACAGGCGACTAACAAGGGAGAGTGCTACATCACAACAATATGCTGTGAGGAGAATCATTCGGCTCAGGCAAATATCTTGGCACCCTGGTTTCGATCGATCGGGTCAGGCATGCAGAGGGAAGAGCCGATTGATGAGGCTACGTCGTCAGGCTGTATCGAGCGATTGTCTCTCAACCGGAAATAAGCCGTAATAGTGGTAGTTCAATGGAAAGATTCCTAGGGTGTTGATAGGGAATCTCGCTAGTGTTTGGAGGCTGATGATGGTTCTGAAGGCAGCCAAGGCCTCAAAACAGGTCAGGACGATACAGACTGGATGGACGCCGGTGAGGTTTGAAGTTTACAACGGCCGAGTGAGGTTTGAAGGTGGTTGAGGGCGGGGAGTGTGGCTGTAATGCCGATCACTAGGCAGGTATGGAAGAACACAGAGACAGGGCATGACACTGTACGGAGTACGAAAGCAGCGCCACCGGCAGTGATCCATGCAGGATTACAGACAAATGAGATTCAATGAGCTCGTCGTGGGGTGGTTGATGCCAGGGATAGTCTGTGACGAACAATCAACTATTGGTGATGAAGTGGCTGCGGAGGGTCGAGGCCAGTGACATTCGGGGATAGTACGGAGTACGGGGGTCTGGGGTTATTGATTTACAGTATCCGTACTATCAGGTACCGATCCGTACTCTGTACGGAGTACATTACAGTAGGTACAATAAGGTACCTAAGTTAGGTACCTACGCATAAGAATACTGTAGGTGTACGGAGTACCGTCAAGTGCCTGCGCTGCTGTGGCTGCGCCTGCGCCTGGCTAGGTGCCTGGTACCTCAACCACCAAGCTATACCACTGATCACCAACTTCTAGAGATGCTAAGGCCTACATAACAATGCTGAACAAGGTGCTCATTCATGTTCCAATCACTCGCTTGTCCATTGAATGCTGTCCAAGCGACTCATATACGCACAAGAACAGCCAGAGCGCTCTGCATGCCTAACGCTTCAAGTACAAGTACACCAGCAACCAACAAGCGTTCGCACGTCTAGACTCTGCTATCCAGATCAGATCTACCGCCAATGCACGCATGAGAGACAGGGTCGAGACAGTCGCCAAGTCAAGTCGTACCTATCCCACACAGGCTATCACATCATGGACATTAACGAGTTTTGAGCATACGCCTAGGTAGTCATGTCAGTCAGGGCCGGTTCTATGTTACAGGCAGGGGCACGTTTCTCACCATAGGTTTGATGTCCGGGTGTGGGACCGCCTCGAACTGGTGGTATTCAAGTTTCAGGTCAGGCCCAAGGTTGATGTACGCTCCCTTGTTCTCCGTCGTGTCGCAGTATTTGGGAGCCGAGAAGACTGAAGTTGTTAGCCCTGTCAATGCCTCCCGGGGAGCAAGCGTTCAACCTACCAGTAATGCATCTCCCATCATGCTCGACTTCATAGCCATCCATCCTCACTTCGTGACTTCTGATCACAGCTTCCAGGCCATTGTTTTCACAAAAGTTCTTCGTCACGTCAGGCCCGAACTGCAACCCAACACCTCGCTTGCTGGGTCCTCTTCCAGCCTGAGGCTGAGGATCTGTCCACAACATCTCCATCATCAATCCAGACTGACCCGGTTGCCGTTGAATATGTCGATCAAGTTTGCGGATGTCATCTAGCGTATATTTGTCGTCGGAGAACAATCCACCGTGGAGAACAAGATATTTCTTGCCAATAAGTGTCGCCAACGGAAGAGCGGAAAACGATTCGGAGAACAACTTGAACATTTTTTCGTTGTACTTGGCCTTGCATTCTCCTTCAAAACCGTACACTCGGTTCATGTCGTCGGTCTCGTGATTCCCCCGATTCAAGAAAAAGTATGACGGCCGCAGCCATTTGTAAGCGTACAACAATAACGCAATCTCGGTCGACCAAGAGCCACGATCCACGAAATCGCCGTTGAAGAGATATGCATGCTTGTCCGTAGGATAGCCGTTGAGTCGGAAAATCTCCAGCAAGTCGAAATATTGCCCGTGTGTGTCTCCGCAGACGGTCAACTTCGTGTCTGAAGCAACCTCCACCTCCACCATGGTAGGCTCATCATAGACAATATCTCTCACCGCCTTGATGATCTGGAACGCATATTTTTTGTGGATCGTCTTGCCGTTCTTGAATCTTTCTATCATGTCGTCGATGAACTCCTGAGTCATTTCGTCCTTTAACCGGGCTCCGTCGTATGACTGGTCCACCTCTATCGAGTCCAAGTCCAGGTCTTTGAAAGCCGAAGGGGCATCCTCCACCTCAATAGCCTTGAGGAACCTGATCTTCTTGACCAGCTTTTCGCATTCGGCAAGTCTGAGCTTCGCTTCCCTATTGCTCGGCTCTTTTCTGACCACAGTCTTGAAATCTCGCAGGGCATCTTGCGGGTTTAGAATGGCGGTGCTAGCGACCGCCCGCCTCCAATACGCCTGAAGGAGAGATATGTCAGAAGGTAGTCTGATCGCGAGATCACTTCCAGCGTACCTTGATGTAGTCTTTATCCAATTCGATGGCCTTGGTGGCGTCTGCGACGGCATAGCCGTAGGCCTCGAGCTTGATGTTCGCCTGAGCTCGATTGCAATAGAACGACGGGTCCGACGGGTTCTTCTCTATCGCCTTGGTATAATAGTCAATGGCAGTCGGCCAGTCATGCTCCTGAAATGCTTTGTTGCCCTTCTGTTTGAGGGCGGTCGCCTCGGCTTTGTCGGTGGCGGAGGCCATGGTTCAGGGAGACTGGATTGCGGCGATCCGACCGGAGATGGGAGAACTAAAACGTGTCAGGGAATGAAAGCTGTGTTATCGTACCATGCCGAGACTGGGCGCGAGTATGGGCGAGATATGCGTAGTCGAGGCTTCACTGCTAGTATCGCTACCTAGTCTTTCGGCTGCCGGAAAGTTCTCGATCATGGAGAGCCACTTTTTGCTTTTGCCTGCGGTTTTTGGCCGGGGCTCGAGATCTTTGCTAGCGGTCGATCACCCGGAAGCTTAATTGGCGCAGTTTGCAAGCAGCAGTTTCTCAGTCAGGACTCAGGACCTTGTCTCTCCCCCACGCTCTTCTCATTCCTGGTCGTCAACCATCAGCCTGTCTCCGCTCTTATTTAGGCCATCTACCACTTTGGTCACCGCTTCCAGGTTGAACTGCTGAGCGCAACTTGACCGCCAATCTCCGGTGTCGATTGTCGAGTGCTATTGCTACATTTTTCACCGTCCCAAATTCGAGCCTTCCCTCACAGCATCAACCCCCATTCGAACCCCATCATGGCCGGCCGCGGGAGTCGCCAACGCGCTTGCATGGTCTGTTCCATCGTGCTGAATGCCAGTGTAAGTGCCTCTATCCTCCTGGGACTGGCGCTGCACTTCCCGGTGTTTGTTGACACAGCATAGGAATTCTACAAGACCGGATGTCCCAACTGCGAAAGTGTCCTCGGCCTTCGAAACTCCCAAGACGCCATCCAGGAATGCACGTCACAAGTGTTCGAAGGTCTGGTGATGCTAGGCGACCCGAAGTCGTCGTGGGTGGCGAAATGGCAACGCTTGTCAGACTACGTGCCTGGAATTTATGCGGTGAAGGTTGTCGGCCAATTACCGCAGGAGATAATAGACACCCTGGAAGACAATGGCATGAAATACATCCCTAGAGACGGCACCTCGATCGAGGATGATGTTGCTGCGTAGCCGCTCAGGTATCATGATCGCAGCACACAAAAGCCTGATTCATGGGGAGTCGGAGTCTTGGGGATTCCTGTTTGAGTGGTGCACACCAGGACAAGTGCAGTTTGGAGTTCTCATGATGTTTATTACGGCTTACGGCTGAAGGCTGGGTTCACACTCGAAACTCGGTTTACAAAATGCGCAAATGGCACGGACTCAGACACGACGGCATTATATTTTGGTCCAGGTCTACGCCATATGTGCTGCAAGAGCTACAAACCTCCGCCCAAACAAGGAAACTCCATCCTAGAGAGCACCGCCTTTTCAAAGAGACTTGGCCAGGTTCTCGAAGCCATCGAGAAGAATATCGGCGTGATGCTTTTGGAAGATCAGCATAGGTCGGAGTCGAACCGCAGAGGGGCCACAGCCACCAATGTTGATCCCGAACGTTTTGGCCTTGAGCAGGAACTCGTCGCGCTTGGGGTTATCAAAGGCAATGTAAGTTCCCTGGCCCTTGCCTCGAAGGTTTTGGAATTGCTCGGGGTATTGCTTGGCCAGTCGCTCAATCTCTCCATAGAGATAGTTACCAACTTTAGCCGTGTGTTCCACCAGGTTCAGTCGCTCGATCTCGTTAATGATGGCTCGGAAGATGATGGCGCGCGCCGGGTCACCCATCCAGGTGTTGAACTGTCGGTATGCCTTATTGGGACGGAGAGCAGGGTTGCCAAAGTAGAAACCAGCAGTCTGAGCCTTCTTGGAGAAGGTGACAATGTCAGGAGGATCTTGCAGGTTCCAGTGGTCATGTGCCCAGAACTTTCCAGTGGCCCCGACACCGGTCTGGACCTCATCCACGATCAGCAGAACGTTGTTACGGCGAGTAATTTCTCGGAGACCACGGAAGAACGCGGGGCTTGCGTGGTTATCACCACCTTCGGATTGAATGGGCTCGATCACGACAGCGGCCACGGGGTTGTGATAGGTCTTGATGAGATGCTCAGCTTCCTCCAAGCATCTCTTCTCCTCAGCGGCGTTCTCCTCGACGTGCTCTTCGAGGGGGTACCGGAGATTGGGGAAGGAGCACTGAGGCCAATCAAAGGCTGGAATGTCCAATTTGTGAATGGGCTTGCTGCGGGTGGTGGACAGGCTGCCAAATAGACGTCCGTGAAAGCCAGACTTGAAGGACATGATGGACAAGTCGGGCGCACCTGGCTTCTGGTTTTTCATGGCGCTAGTCAACTCTTGCTCTGTAAAGTCCACGTCGGGGCCACCACGCTCTTGCTGTTTCTTCCACATGAAAGCAGCCTTGTATGCGGTCTCATTTGCGTCCGAGCCCGCCATGGCAGTGAAGACTTGGTCCAGGCCCTTTGGCGCCACACGCAGAATGCCGGTCTCAAGGATGGAAGCCCAGTCGTGTGAAGGGAAGTTGCCCAATGCGGGTCGGTTGATCAGAGCAGAAATCATTTGATCGGACTTTGCGGCTTCGATAAGGGCGGGATTGTTGTAGCCGACTGGGATCGAAGCGATTTGGGCGTACACGTCGAGGAGTATGTTGCCGTCCGGATCAGAGATATAATTGCCATAGCTCTTCTGGTAGTTTGCCAACATGTTCAAGCTGCGGGTGTCAAACACCTTATTGAGCTCCGCAATGTGCTCCTGGGCCTTGGGGCCTGGAATGGCTGTGACCACCTTTGGCGCAACGGGCTCATCGGCCAAGAATGACGACTCGGTGGACGACGAGCTTGCCAAAGACCGGACGGACGTGTACTTGAAGGAAGACCTCGCAGGAACCGCTCGACCGGTCATTGAGCGCAAGCCGCTCGAAGCTCGAAGGAAAGAAGCCATTTTGGAGGCAGGGCGTCTTCGTCGACAAGGCACTGTAAATTAGGAGGGTTCAAGGCGGGGAAGCCAGGAAATCGGATCTAAGTGTAGCCTGGTGTCCCAAATCAAGCTCGTCGTTGCAGCACCGAAGAGATCAGACAATGCGACCAGCCCTGCACGCACTCTCAGACTTGGAAACCCAACAACAACAAGCTCGAGGAAAACACATTGCTCACCGTGGGTTGGCCAGAGTTTTATTGGAATGGCTCATCGCTCGTTGCGGTGCGGCAAAGGGCGCGAGGAGGAGCGGAGAAGAACGCAAGCAGCGGAAACCAATGTTGACACGAGAGCCTGAGGGTTTTGATTATCACCACATTACGATTACTATTGGCCATGGGCACAGCGGGTATTCACGCTTGACCACATGCTGGCGAACCAGACACCTTCGCGCCCTCCACCGCGTCCACCGCTGGACAATTAGAATGCTTGGGGGTTGTAAAACCTTCCCGATTCTGACAATTCTCCATAGAGGAGGAGAGGAGGCCTCCCGAGCCTACGGACTAGGTCCGCCAACTCTCCCCAACTCTCCTTCCTCTATCGGGGGCGCAGGCTGGCAAGTGACCCCCGAAGCCGGAACCCCTCTCCATTTCCAGGACATGGGTATTTACTGTCCATCAGCATATACTGTGTAGGTGTCGCACACTGGGTAGGAGGGATAGATACATTATATAGCATAGGTAGGCCTTGGGCCAGATACCTACCTACATGTACGGATACATGCCACCTAGCATGCCAGTACATAGGTACCTAGTAGCTAAATGCTCTCGATATCTTGCAGAAAGCGCAGGGTTGCAGATACTGTCTGTCACTCTTGGGTGTCGACTCCTTTGTTTCCTCCTGCGTTTCGGCAAACTTCTTCTAGGATTTTCGTTGGAGTGCAAGGTTGAAAGTTCTCGTGCTTACATCCTTACCTATATGTACCAGCTGGTGCCAGGTACCTTAGGTTTCTCCCCCCGCACCGACGCTGGGCTGGACAGAATACCGAGGCACGTCGAAAACACCAATTAAGTACATCATCCCATCCTGCTCTGCATGACACCATAAATTCCTCACAGCGTCCTTCGACGGTTGCATCGAACGAAATCAGCCCACCTCGTCCCTTCGGTGTTCGCCCTCGAGTCTTTCGAGCAGCCATCAACAGCGTATCCGCACTTGCATTGACTACATCAACACTTGCTTGAATTCCCAGCCGGGCCTTTGCGCGTAAGCATGGACGGACCAAACAACGGCATAGTCCTGTACCATTATTCCTTCTCTCCTTATGCCCGGAGAGTACTATGGTATCTCGCCCTTCGAGGGATAGACTATGCAGAATGCGTGAGTCACTGCAGCGACCTGTCATGCATGGGACTTGGTCCGGCCTGTTACTGATCTCCTCGTGCAGAAACAACCCCCTACCATGCCTCGACCAGACCTCAAAGCCATAGGAGTCAACTATAGGAGAATTCCTATCTTGGCCATTGGGCGAGACATCTACAGTGATAGTCGTATCATTCTTCGCAAGCTCGAAGAACTGTTTCCAGACGAAGCGCTTGGTGCCACCACACCCGAGGGGAAAGCAATCCAAAAGTTCCTCGAGATCTGGACCGTCGAGGCTGGCATTTTTGTGCGGGCATCCCAACTCATCCCTACCAGCATGCCACTCCTCAATGACCCTAAATTCATCAGCGACCGCGAAGAATACTCGGGTCGGTCGTGGAACAAGGATCAAATCGCGGCGAATAGACCCGAGGCCGTGGCGGCCATCAGGAATGGCTTCAAGTTCCTGGAAACAACCCTGCTTGCAGATGGCCGAAACTGGGTGCTCAAAACGGATAAGCCAACCCTAGCAGACATAGAAGGTGAGCATGAAGTACATTACATATCCCCTACAGATTGGCTAATGCAAGACCTCCAGCCATCTGGACGTTTGATTGGTTGAATGGACTCAAAGGAGGCCTGCCGCGGGAGTTGATCTCTGAGAAATCATACCCCAAGGTATTTGCATGGATAGCTAGGTTTAACGATGCCCTTAAGACCGCCAAAGGTCAAGCGCCAAAGCCGGTCACCTTGGACGGAGGCGCTGCTGCACAGCGGATCCTCAAGGCCTCGTTTGCAGAGAAAAATCTGAGCTTCGATCCAGCAGATCCTCTAGGCTTACAGCAAGGTGCGGAAGTGGAGGTGTTTCCGATTGACTCGGGTTCCCGGCATCATGACCGGGGACGGCTCGTTGGTTTGACCGACGATGAAGTGGTGTTGAGCACCCAGGTCAAAGCCACCGAAGTGCGGTTACATTTCCCTCGAACTGGGTTCAGAATCAAGGCCGTCAGCGCCGGAGGAAGCTTCAAGTTGTAAGCCGCCACAGGAGGACAAGCGGCTCTCCAATCGCAACGCAAATGGCACTTCGTGCGACGAATCCTTCACAACTGCTCTGCGCCGGAGCAACATCGCGTGCGTCCATCATACCACATGTTGTACTCGTGCCACCCATTGAAAAAGTCGGAATGTACGCAGCGCGGGTTGCAGTCGCATCTGTTGTGGGTTAGTGACAGGGACCGGTGCCGAGCAACTCGATGCCAGCCTCTTGTCGGCCTCTTTGTCTGTGCTGTGCCACTCTGGCAATGCATCCGGGTCAGGCTTGCTCACGAGGCCTGCTTCACAATCTGGTCGGAAGGATCAAGTGATTTCTGCCGCACCACCATGGAAAGGCACATGGCGGGCTGAAGATCCAGGCCTGACTACCGTAGAGAGAAACAAGCCCGTGGCAAGGAAATTTTCTTCTGTGTGATGGCAGAGGCGATCTTGCTTGATTCTCGTCCGTATCTGCTGGCAATCGGCAAGGAAAGCGCGCAAGGGCATGATGTACAGGCTTCTTTTATGTAGGTACGAAGAGACGGTGAGAGGGTTGGGTTCCCTGGACTGTTTCTCTCCTTGGTCAGAATTGTGCCGACGCACGAAGCGATGCCCAACGCCTCGAGTTGGCATCATTGGAGCCATGGGACCTGAATCAACCCAAGCGGCGTGCGTGATACACTGCCTGTGTGGATAACATGTTGTAGATTCGCGTTGGTGCAGGAGGACGGACGGAACGCCACCTGGCATTGCTGCCCAAAGCAAGTGGGTTGGCCAGTAGCAGCCGGCAGATGGGTTTCCTTGAACCGGCCATGGCCCATGGAATTATTCGGCTGTAATGCGTTGTCGACCATACAAACACGAGCGGCCCGCTGGGCAGCGTTGATTGAGGGAGGACATTCGGATCCGCCACGCTTCCCTGGCGATAGTTCCTGGTCTATGGACGACTCATCTTTGGTGTCTAGATGTAAGTTAGGTTTCTGGATAGTTTCATCTTGGGGCGGATCCTTCTTCATTCGATCATAATCAATATCGCATTGTAGTGTATGGTGCCTTTGGCGGCAAAGAGCTGGTGAGCATAAGGTAGGTATACTAGTGGTGTACGCCGATGAAGGCAGCAGACCCGGAGACGCATCAGGTTGGAAGCCTAGGCAGTAGCGGGAGCTAAGAGGTACCAAAAGTCGAGAGCACACATACATGGTGTGTAGGGATCCCGTACCTTTGCCAGTACCTGGTACACAGATAGGTACCTGGTCTCAAGTCCCTGTTAGGCGCCTGTATCCGTACAGAATGTAACGGGGTCTCACTGACATGCTGCCACGCTGGCAGTCGCTCACCACTACCAGGTCGGGTGGTCGGTCTGCCAGCCTCTCTAGTCCAATAGGTATTGAAAGATGCCTTTTCAGAGACTCATTGCTCCAAGGAGACAATCCACCGCCGTCGAACATCCCCAGTAAACACTACTGTACTGTAACGCCCTCTGCCGGTTATTGCTGGCCCGGTAAAAGTCTGTCCAGGGCGAGCTCGTGGCTGCTGCTTCTTATTCTTCCAGCTGAGCTTCCTTCTTGCCTCACTTCGGCCAGTTGCTATTGTTATTGTCTCACTGTCCCACCCACCTCATCCTGTTCTTGCGTTGTCTGCAGTGCATGCTGGGGCTGCGATCGTCGGTCGTACTGTATCCGTACAGGGTACAGCGTAATCATCCCACGTAACGGCTCGACGGTCCGGGTCCTAGGCTTCCCCAGGGATTGCTAGTTCTTGTGGAATCCCTCCCAGGGTCCGCGTGGCTGCTCGCCGCTCTCTACGCTGGGAGACACGGGAGACGCACAAAATTTCGCCGCGCCGGGGAAAGGGTTTCAATCAGGTATCGACGAAGATCTATACTAGATAGATAAGACTGCTGGTCGGTGGAGTTTTGAGAAGGCTTCTTCAGCGTGGTGCCGCTGGTCCAGTGATTGGTGGCCCTCTCGCTTGAATCCGGTGTGCGGCCCAAGGCCCAGAGCAAAGCGTGCGCAGCCTGCGCCAACAGTCAGATCCCTCCATCTCTCACAGAGCCCTCATCCAACTTTCCACCTTTACTCTTCCGTCAAACAATCATCGCGCCACTCTCCTACCAGGTCAACCCAACCTGGGCCCATTGGATCTCAATTTCTCGGACTTCCTGGACGTTCTAAACCAGTGGATCTGGCACCCCTGAGGATTTTGCCTTCGCTTACAAGGACTCGACCATCTTGACCTTACCCGCTTGTCCTGCGACACTTCTCCTGACGCACTCCCTCTCATTTGTTCGTTCGCTCCTTTTGCTGCCCAACGGATCAAGGACCGAATTTTGCACACGCCCGAGATCATTTAAAGTCTCATTGCCGCCAGGATGTCGTCGCGCTATCCAGATGATCCAGACTACCGCCGCGGTGAGCCTCGTCACACCTCCAGAAGAGAACCTCGCGAGCGTGACCACCGGGAACGTCTTGAACCTACAAGAGAAAGGAGAGTACCAGAAGGCCGTATGGACCGAGATACCCGTATGAGTGATGCCATGGACACCCGAATGGATACCCGTTTGGACACCCGGATTGATCCCCGCTTGGACTCCAGGATGGACGCCCGTATGGCTGAGCAACGGCCCAATACAACCTCTCGTATTGACCCGCGACCTGATCGTGTTGATCCCGAGGTCATCTTGATGCGTGATGCGAATACAGGAGAAATCTACCGGGAAGTGAGGAACGCGCCCGCAAGATCCCCCTTTGCACGCGAGGAGCGTGACTACGACGCCCCGTCCAGAAGTCGGGCCACAATGGAAGTACCTGTCAGCAGGGACCGTGATTCCATAAGGCCCGAGTACACCGAGTACTTTTGCCCAGGGGAAGGTATCGAAAGAGAAGTCATCCAACATGAAATATGCAAATATCTTGGTCAGGACGCCACTTGCCGCCCAGGCCGGAACAATGAAGTATGCTGCACCGGTGGATGCCCATGGTAAGTGTGGTCTGCTAACGTAGCCGCATAGGGACGTCCTGGATTTTGGGTCAAGGCCTATCGCCCGTTTACCACAGTATGACTGGAACCCCTTGGTATTCCCTTTGAATTTGATGCTGATCCGGGATGGGCAGGCAATGGAGCACTCTCTTCGGGAGGAGACTGTCAGATGGCAGCGCGAACGAGAACGGAGGGCCAGGCAGGGCCGTTCGCAAGGTATGGCTCATACCGAGAGGCAATCAAGCAGATCTAAGGATCCTGTAGGTTCCTATGCCGACATGCAAGCCCGACAAGAAAGCCAACGAAGATATCCTGGAGAAATGGAACTTGACGACGAGGACTATGGACGCCCCCTTCCAAGGCATCGTGAACTTGAACCCCGTCCGGTGGCCAGCGGTCGTGTTGCTATTCCCGTTACTTCTGCCTACCCGCCAGACCCTGGCTATCCTGCGCAGTATACCATTTCTTCAGGCCAAGCAATATATCCTCCAGGCCAGTCCAATTATCATGGATCTGATAGGGAGCCTAGGACTTTTCCCGGTGGAAACGCGACACCGCCATCAATCAGCCGAGCCGCGCAGGTGGCTGGAGGCTATGGACAGCCACCCTATCCTACCCGGACAGGACCACCCGTCTCCTCATCAATACTATCTGGTTCCTATGACCCAAGGAGAGACGTGATGGGTCCCCAATTTGCTCCTGGATATACTGAGTCACGTAGGCATGGCAGAGGATGACTATCTTTCGCATGACCTTTATGGACAGTGCCTTTCTGGGATATTGAACTTGTCGTTGGCCAGGGTTTGCCGCAAATCTGGATCAAATGCCATCCATCTCATCGGGGCACATGGCTGTACCTGCCGTCGTGGATGACACGTGCCCTTTGAATGATCGCACTGGACCATTTTCCTACCGTGTATCGGCACAAAGGATTACAACTCAAGCAACTGCAACCGGATTGTTACATCAGCATTTATGAGGCCATGGCTTTTTTGATTCTGGAGAGTACACTGACCCCTGTTGTCCTTGGGGCTGCGAACGTCACTAAGCGATCAAACATCGGAGTTCTAGGCTTCTTACGGCATTGTTCCCTTTTCCAGCTTCTGGCGGGTCTTTCGAATACCACTCAAAACGGGTTTCCTTGCAAGATTGATTGACATCTATGGCAGAACGTCCTACAGTTTGGAGTTATTTGTACCTAGCATTGGGAGGCGTCGCCGAGCTCTTTTTTGAACTGCAAAGCTGTGCCTGTTGGAATGATGAAAGCACTAATGGAACGACATGCTAACCTTTTCTTTTCTGGCTTCCATCCTTTCTTGGGCTCGCTACTTTTCTTATGTACACATCACCTTGTCCCATCCGGCATTGATCTACTTGTTGGGCGTACCGACGGTGTCTTGGCTGGCCGAACATCCACGATTTGTTCTCTCCGGGTCCCATGGCAATCATCCGGCTTCAGAGTCCTGGCTCCGGACTGTTGACAGTGTAGACACGTGACATGTCGAGGTTGCGAGCCGGATCATATATTGGACCAAGCATACCAGTCGTGCCGCTTCTCCGGGCTGAGACAACGAGGGCGATGGCGATGGCGATCTAACTTTGAGGCTCTGCTGTCCACCGAGATCAAACCATCGATACCTTGTCTCCTGTTGCAAGACATCCCCAAAGATCTCGACAGTCCTTGCTCTCCTGGTCTCTCTTCGTTTAGTCTCACCTTTCATGGATGCAACTCCAGGTCTCCCTCACCCTTGATCAACAGCCTCAACCGCTCCCAACTGCTGACTGCGAAAAGGTTGCAATAGATTCCCGGTATGCCCCCTTCCCAATATGGAAAACTGTTTTAATGAATCTATCCCTGCAGTTGATTTGAGAAAGGCGATGACCGAAGTCCCATCTAAACAGGCTCGACCTGAAGTCATTCAAATTCGCCTTACTTGCCCCTGTGTCGCCGTTCGTGATCAAACTGACCTCACTCTTCACTTCACTTAGGGTGCACGCCATTTCTGCCGCACCCAAAGGCAAATGTCAACAATAACAACGCTGGACTTCACTTCTCTGGTTTCGCATATAAATGTGCAACTGACACGTATCTCGCGTCTCATTTTCCCATCTTCTTTCATCAACAGCCCTCTCACCCAGAACACGACGCTTACTTGATAGTGCCTCTGTTCATCGTCACCCGTCGCAACAAGATATCAGCTTGGTCAATATGGCGTCTGCTGCGAAGTCAGATTTCCCGCAATTCCTTGATGGCGACGTCCTCCTCGTTGTGTCAACCACCCAAACCTACAAATTGCACTCTCAGGTGCTCTCGACGCACTCAGTCTTCTTCGCACAGGAGATCGCTGCTAAACCTCCCCCACGTCTCAACGCTCAAGCTCGTCGCGATCGTGCTGCCGCCTACCGCTTTGAATATGTCACTCCGTTCGAGACTGGTGAGATCGGCAAATGGGTGCGCAAGGTATGGAATTGGATCAAATTCAGCCCCCTTGAACAGCCCATTGACAAAGCTTGCGACTAGGATGTGAATGAACATGGCCGCATACCTCGAGCCAGTGCCAGTGCGGCTCTCCTGCCCGACTTCGATAATGGAAAGGTTGCAAACAATACGTACAAGGCTTGGGACTGGCTTTTTGGCATTTTCTACAATCGCGAGCCATCTTTCGTCAATGATGCTTTAGCCAAGGTCATCGCCGACATCTCTGTCCTCATCGAATGCGCCGAATCCGTTGGCTCCATCGACCATGTGCGCGATGTTGTCGACCTTGCTCTCCTTCGGCAGGACATAATGCTCTGGAGCTCAATCTTGGGCAACCCTGTGGCCTGGCTCGAACTCGGCCGTCGCGTGCGTTCGCCAACAATCTTCAGCGAGGCTGCGATTCACTTGATCGGTCAATGGGGCACGTTGCCAGAAGACGACAAACTAAATATCCCCGATGACCTTCGTGATTTCCTTGAGCATAAGGCCAATGAGCTCGATCTGGCCAAGGAAGCCATCGAACTGCGCATTCTCGGCCACTACCCACAGTTCATGTTGCGGACTGCTGCCGACAAACCCGGTCGCCCGTCCTACTCCTCAGATATCTACATGTGGATGGCCGTCTGCTTCTTCCGTCAATGGTTTGCTCAGAGCATCTCGGACGACCGCACTCGTCGTGCCCCTGACGGCGGTCTGAACTTTTATACTGCGCTGTACGAAGGCGGCCAGGCTTACTTGACACACCTCGATTTCCAAGAGTTTCACCGCTACTTTCCCATGAGCATCAAGGCCTGCCATGTCCTCGAGGCCAACATGGGCGTCTTGAAGGAAGATGTCAAGAATTTCGTGAGTGATCTCATGGTCGAGTGCACCCATCTCAAGCGGGACGATTACCCTGCAATCACATGGTTGACTTGTGCCAAGATCGACAAGGATGACCTGCCATGGCACATTCCGACTCCTAAGGGAAAAGACGACCAGTTGCAGACCTTGTACAACCAACTCGACGACGAGAACAACACCTTGGCCGAGCAGGCTAGGCAGAAACAGAAGAAGGCTGGCGCCGTCGCTGCTGCTACTAGCCCTCCAGTTGCACGTACTACTCCAGCTGCACGTACCCCAGCCCGACCACGAAAGCGTGCTAGGATCATTGAAGATGATGGTGATGACGACGACGATTTTGATGATGTCGATGATGGGTCCGGCATGTTCATCCCCGAGCGTCGTGACGACGTCATGGCCGATGACGACGACGAGGAGGAGTAGATCATCAGATGATCATGGGCAGTGGCATGACATCCTCGGGAGCTCGTCGTTGAGCCATGATAGCAAATGTCCGTGGGACACCGTCCCGCTTCTTTTCCGATCATACCTTTGGACGGGCTGATATCAGAGAAGGCCCTCAGAATGATATCTTCAGCTTTGTGGCGCTTTGTTTGAGTTGGGATCATGGCGAAAACGCATTCTCCGGCTGGCTAGAAGTGTGAATGGCAATTGGGGGGAATGGTTACTCTGTGTTTCTCGCGAAAGTGCAACAGTGCAAAAAGGAACAGCCTTGGCAGTTGGCCCAAATGCTTCCGTTGAGCTTGAGACATTTGGTTTTTGCCTGGTTTGTTGGGACCAGGAAATTCATAGGCTATGTACAAAATTGCATTGCATACAAACATCGAAGCTCCTTCTCTGCCCGGTCCTAACACATGTAGGTCCCGCATTGCCGTCCTCATGCACGAGGGCCCCTGTTCATCTTGAGGGGATATTTGGAATTCACTGTGCTTGTTGGGGCTGTCGTATCTATTCGGGATCGTCAAAGCCCTCTGGAATCTTCCTGGAACCTTTGGGCACTAGATGGACAAGACGTATTAGCTAGATGATTATGCATAGTGTCGAAGCTGTAGCATGTGTGCCATTTGAAGGCGATCCACCATGTTACGCAATTGCACACATGGAGAGCATATCTGCTTTGCCAAATGGCCGTGCGGATGGTTGTACTTCTGGGTTTCCGAAAGGGCAGCTCTGCTCGAACCTTCCACAACGCCCAAAAGACAGGAGGATGGATAAACTCACCAGGATAGGTCAACGGGAGCCTCGGGGGGTCTACATCGCCGAAGTACCTCCTCAAGGGCGGGATGAACGCAAATGACGCCGGGCCTAGTCCTCCGATAATAACGCTCCAGAAGATCGCTGGCTTCTCGTGTGCCGCCCACCGCAGGTACCGTATCGGCGAGCCCCAGAACTTCTGGGGGACGCCCGACATTGTGATTGTGTGAATCTTTCTCGGAATAGAGCGTGGAAGTAGTGATATGGAGGCTGGACGCGGAATCGAGCTGTCAGCAAGGAGGGATTACCCAGGTCGCTCGCTGGTCGTCGAGAGAAGTTATGGTCGTGCGGGTGATGCTTGCGGAGTAGAGCTGGGCTGTCTCCGGTGCGTGCGGTGGGCTTCTTTTCAGGTTCAGGCGCGCGGGCAATCGGCGAGGGAGGGTTCGGCCCGCTCGTAAAGGTAGATATGTCTTGTCGTTCACCACCCTCGCTCTCAGTTCGATAGAGGGACTCGCTCTGCATTCAAGTTGGGCGGTCGGAAGCTTGAGATCCCAGAGTACTCCGTACAACAATCTGGGCTTGGCATTACGGCACCGTATATATTGGCTAAGTGCAAGGCTGTGTGGTGTGAGCAGTGGGCATAGCTCAGACAATAGCGCAGTCTGGCATTGCGAGAGGCGTCAAGAGAGGTGACGGAGTTCCGAATCTCACCACTCACTACTCACTGGACTCCTCCGCGTGATCTGAATACTGCAATGGAGGCGGTTGTCCACAGAGTTGCTCAGGGTGCCATTGGCGCATTCAATGCCTGCCATACTAGTACTACGGCGGAGCACCCCATTCGTTTCTTGGCTGATATTCACGCAGCCGAGCCGCGTATAGACTGACCACGTCTCCTCTGCGGAGTACGATTGAAAGACTGGTAGAATTGCGCCGCATGACCTCAATGAGCGTGCACTTGTAAACACGGACAGCGGTTTGGTTGTCAGTGTGTTCCAAGATGCGCCTCTTCTCATCTTTATGTCTTCTGTTACTGGCATGCTTGGGGCTGGTGTCGTGCAGAAGCGCAGTTGGGAATAGAGTGCTCGTCATCTTGGAGGATGAATCGCAGAAGAGCCTGTACTCCAAGTTCTGGGCTGACTTGAAAGGTATGACTGCAGAGACCTTCTCTTGACTAAAACTGACACTCGATCGTCCAGCCCGGGAGTTTGAAGTGTCCTTCGAATCGCCTCGAAACGAGCTGTTGTCGCTGTTCAGGCATGGCCAGTTGGCCTACGAACATTTACTGCTGACACCGCCGAAATCCAAGGGTTGGTACCGTCGTTGCGGCTTCTGGGCGCAAGTACTGACTTTGACTAGGTTACGGACCATCATTGACGCCCAAGATCCTCCTTGACTATGTCAACGCAGGCGGAAATGTCCTGCTCGGCCTCTCCTCCGAGTCGGGCACTCCCGCTGCCATATCCTCCCTTCTCCTCGAGTTTGACATCTCATTATCTCCCGACAAACATTCCGTTGTCGTCGACCATTTCAACCATGACGCCATCTCTGCGGCCGACAAGCACGATGTTCTGCTGGTCGAGCGTCCGCCACAGTTGCGGCCAGACGTGGTCAACTTCTTTGGTGGTGATGGCATCTTGGCCATACCGAAAGCTGTGGGACAGACACTTGGGCCGGCTAGTCCTTTGATCGCCCCAATTCTCAAGGCGCCCAAAACGGCATACGCGTACAACCCCAAGGAGGATGCGGAGAGCGTCGAGGATCCATTCGCGACCGGATCGCAGCTGGACCTCATATCGGCATTGCAGGCTCGCAATTCCGCCCGATTTACTGTCCTCGGGTCACTGGAAATGTTGCAGGACAAATGGTTCGACGCCTCTGTCAAATTGCCGGGCGGGAAGACCAGCAAGACGGTCAATCAGGAATTCGCAAAACAGTTGACGGAATGGACGTTCCAAGAGGTTGGTGTGCTTAAGGTCTTTTCGGTGCAGCACTACGAAATCACTACGTCGAGCAAACCTGCCGAGAACACAACTCAGATTGGGGAGTATAACCCTGCTATGTATCGGATCAAAAACGATGTGGTACGTCTATTCTTTACCTACCTCTACGCTGACAGTTGCATCTGTACTGACAAGCTGCAAGAACTTCTCCCTCGAGATAGGCCAGTACGATCGGACGCATTACGTGCCATTTGTTGTTCCCGACACAGACGCCCTACAGCTCGAATTCACCATGCTCTCTCCCTTCCACCGCCTGCCGCTCATCCCATCCTCCACCACCAGCAACAGCACCATCTACAGCGCGACCTTCACCACGCCAGACCAGCACGGCATCTTCGCATTCAAAGTCAACTACAAACGACCCTTCTTAACCCCCATCGAGGAGAGACATGAAGTCACTGTCCGGCATTTTGCGCATGACGAGTGGCCCCGCTCGTGGGCAATCACCGGCGCCTGGCCCTGGCTGGCTGGATTGTGGAGTGTCATTGCTGGATTTTTGTTCTTTGTCATCTTGTGGCTGTACTGTGAGCCGCCGAAGGAGGAGGCTGCGCGCCGGCGAAAGCTGAGTGTAAGTGTGTCCAAATAAAAGAAAAGTCTCCGGCAATTAGTCCACCTTTCGTGGCAATGTGCATTGGGAAGCGGCGGAAAGTGTATAATTCGATGGGATCGCCGAACCGGACGATTGAAACGAGGAATAGAAAAAGTTTCGCTCAGTCTTCCTTAGTGAAAGTTGCTAGAGATTCTAGTTGGTCTATCTTGTTGTGCCCGAGCATATTTGCCTTCGGGATACTGTACAATGTTGCTACAGAGTGATGGTATCGATACAACGCTCTTCATCCAGAGGCAGAGGCTGTCCTGCCTACCAAACCCCCTCAACATTCGCCCAAGCACCTCGCCTCTAGAGCGGCCACATGCCACACTGCAGTGTGTACGTTCTGGACAAGCCGCGCTCTACGCCGAGAGCTCGCCATCTGCACTATAGCAGTCAGCGGTCTTGACAATGATTTGCAAGACCGTGAGTTGTCTCCATGGTGTGCTGATAAAGGATGTGTTGACGCTCTGGTATTGGCTCTAGGGTGGTCACACAGCCTTGAGCATGTGCCCATGTCCATCTGGAGGTGGAGGCGGTGACCAGGTCTCCCTTAAATCGTGCTCGGCCAACGATTGTATCGTAACCGTACGCTCCTGCCTGGACGTCCAGGCCGAGCCGGATTCGGGCCTCCAACACCTGAGTGGAATACCGGATCTAGCGGGCTTCGAGTCCCAGAGAGGTAGGTGTCAGGGAGCGCGCGGTAGTAGCATGGCTTTAAAGGTCTTCCAAGGAAGAACAGAGCTTGACCGATGCCCACAGTGATCTGAGGTAGCAAGATTTTCTTTTACTTGGCTCCCAAGCCTCAACCCTTGGATTTTGATTTCCACCTCGGATCATAGAACCTCTTGTTCTGCTCTCTCGGATCATAGACCTCTTGTTTTGCTCTCGTCGAACCCGAGCCCCTGGACCTCACCCCTCTGCTCCTTCTTCATGCCGTCCACAACATCGAACGCCGGTTTGCCGCCATATAGCTGAGCGGGCTTCTTTCCTGAGCCTTCGAGCTCGACGCTCGTCGAGATGGGCGCGTTGCCGCGAAACCGTTTCCTCATGTCGACCATTCCGCGCTTGCAGTCGCGGAACCCGCGTTTCAACTGCTGGCATTGTTCCGGAAGCGTCTCGAGCAGTGGAGGGGAAAGGCACTCGAGCGGCGTGTGGCGGTCGACCATTATACAGTCCGAGTTTTGCAGGCACGCTGCAAGGGCCGCACCTACCATACGGAAGATGTCAGTCTTTGACCTTAGACCCCGGGCCAAATGGTGGACTGGACTTGAGCGGGGCCAAGATACGTACGGATGTCCTTGCATGAAGACGGCATTTTCTCCGAAACTGTCTCGAGGCGAGTCTCAGAAAGACAGGCCTGGCGGCGTTGGGCAGATTGGGCAGCGGGGACCTGGAGAGGGAAAGACAGACACAAGCTGAGCGTTTGTGATGGTGCTTGAAGAGACAAGGACAAGAGAGACACGGAGCATGAGCAATATACCGGTCAAGTAGAAGAGCGCTCGTGGGTTCTACGCAGTATGGAGTAACTCTGTATTTGGTCGTGTGGAGTGATCTCGGGTGAGTTTCCCTCGTGCAGTATGATCCGCAGCCTTGTGCAGCCTCGCCAGCAACATGAACAATCTACCGAGTATGTACCATCCACCCGTCCAGAGTGCGAAGCGAAATGGTGACGAGTATGGCAGCGTTTGCCCCTGGCTGGCCGCAACTAGACAGGGCAATAATTACACATATCACAGTATCAACCTGCTTGTTCGTCCTTGATACAAAGTCCAAGGTAGACAAATCATGTACCATCCTGTGCTCGGAGCTATGCTGTTGCTGCGGCTGTGCAGGCTTCATGTTTATGTACTATGCCAGGCTGAACATGTCAGGTCGTCCAAGGCGGCCCCCTCAATGCTCCTGTAAAACACAAAACTCCAAGTTGACCGAACCGACTTCACCCCCTACCTATATACACAACCCGGCCATGTAACGCCCTGAACCAAGTCAGTCCGTTCTTCGTTCTTCACAGGCAAGCAGACCCTGGGTCCAGGGCCAAACCCCCATCATTGTTCCGTCATTTGCACATCACTCTCCAGTCCTGATTTCCACAACATGCACCGACCATGGTGCTTGCTCAGGAGAAGTTCTGACTGAAAAAGGGCATCACTTTCTCCAGGTAGCGCTTGACCTCGGCGGCTTCTCGCTCCATCTTGGCTCGCTGCCCCCTCAAGCTCTCCAAGTCGACCTGCAACTCTCTATGTTTGGCCTGCATGCTTTCGTGTCGTCCGGATAGAGCGTTATTCTCCTCGCGTAGCCCTAGTTTCTCTCTCTCGAACTGTTCGACATCCGACATGAGTGCCGCCAGCTCAGCTTCTTTGCGCCGGAGCTGCTCTTCATGTTTCGCAGATGCCTTTGACATCGAGGTGACCTGGTTGCGAAGCTCCTCATTCTGCCCCTGTACCTCGCGTAGCAGTTTCTTGGTGGTAGTGAGCTCGGTACTGGCCATTTCCAACTTGCTTTCCGCAGCCTGGTCCACCTTCGAGAGAGTGTCTTGGAGAGCCTGCAATTTTCCGTCTTTCCCGCTGAGCTCACTCCGGAGTGCTCGGATCTGGCTTTCAAAGTCCTCGATCCGACGCCTATTCTCTTCTGCGCGAACTGACTCGACTTTCTGCAGCTTCTGTTCCAGATCCTCCGTCATCCGGTCTTTCTGCGACAACTGACTTCTCAAAGACCGAATCTCTTGTTCCAGGCTGGCAGTCCGGTTGTCCCTGTCCTTTTCAGCTTGCTGCAGACTCGCCTCGACTTCAGCAATCTTCCGGTCCTTAGCACCCAGCTGGCTTTTCAGAGCTTGCAGCTCGTGACTGATGTTCTCCAACCGGTTGTCATTCTGTGAGTGGGTTCTTTCCACATTTTCCAGCTCGTCTTCCAGCTTGTCCAGTTGTCGTTGCAGTTCTTTCTTCTCCGCCTCCAGTCGAGTTATGATCTGCCCAGCCTGAAGGACTTGCTCTCTTCTAGTGACCAGTTCTTCTTCAGTCTTTTTCTTGGAGTTCATAGCTTCATCCAATTGATCCTCAAGAGCCTCCTGCTCGGCCAAGGCCTCCGACAACTTTTCGGTGAGCTCGCTTTCACGATACTGTAATCTCTTAAAAATTTCCTCTTTGTCGAGAGCCAACGCTCGTTCGGCCTCGAGTGTCTGCTGGATTCTCTGAACCTCAATTTCCGCACGTCTACGCTCGTCCTCCAATCGGTGTTTCTCGGCCGCCTCTTGTCTCATCTTGGTGTGCAACTGTTCAATCTTGTCGTCTCTCTTCTTGACCTCACTTGCAGTTCTGGTCGCTCCAAGCAGAGGCTTCATCCGCACGAACAAACGCCACCATGGGTTGGCTTGCAGGTCGAGGTACACATTAAGATTGCGCTGGATGACTCTGGTAGCTTCCGCGCGATATAGCTGCTTGAAGGCCACGCGACGCTGCATGAAGCCACGAGCGATAGATTGGAATCTTGACATGATGTCCCGAATGAGACTGTCGCGTTGCTCCTCCAGATCGGCAAGCACCCCAGCCCGGAAGAACACCTTGGTCAAGCCGACGCGATAGTTTGACGGATCCATCTTCAAGCAGTTCAGCATGATGGTTGCGGCTTCTTGGCCACCGAGATAGCCTCTAGGCATGTTCTCGCATAGAACTTCGTATCGTGATCTGAATTCTGCAAATGTCAATCGATTGGGAAAGCCAGTACGTGCGATCCTAATGCCCTCCAGGACACCGTTGCATCGCAGCTGATCGAGCACCAATGGGGCATTGAACTGTTTCGGCTTCTTCTTGTGGTTAGGGAGAATGCAGCGAACGAAATGCGGTTGCGTTGAGTGTAGCTGCCGCATTAAACAGCTCAATTGTTCCTTGTGTCTTTGAGCGACAGTTCGGAAGAGCCCTTTCTTGACGCGACTTCGAGGGCTGTATGGCTCATCAACCTCATCTACACAATCCCCGAAAAGGGTGGCGATGTGTTCGTCTTTGGAGCCCGACAGCAGTCGGGTGAGGTTGTCGTTCAGGGGGTCTTTGTTCTTCTCCAGCCAACCCTCCGTGGAATATTCGACCTCTGCCGCATAGTGCGTCAAGATGAATCCTTGCCGAGTGCGAGCTGGTGCATACTTAGGGGTCTTCTTCTCCCACAACGAATGTAGTTTGTCTGTAAATGATTTGTCTGTAGCCTTGGGCATCACCGAGTCCTCGTCCAGGCAGGAAAATATTCCGATAGGATTGGGAAGCTCGATGAGATCGATGGTTGGCTGAAGGTCCTTCCCAAAATCGATGAATTGCCATTCAATTTGTTCTCGGGCATATTCCTCTTGTTCCAAGACAAACATGTAGTGGTTGAAGAACTGCTGCAATTTTTCGTTGGTATAGTTGATGCAGAGCTGCTCAAAGCTATTGGTTTCGAAGATTTCGAATCCAGCAATATCGAGCACTCCGATAAAGTGGCTGTCATCGCTGCTGACGCCGCCTCGGTCGAGTTGAGTGTTGATTTTGGATACCAGGTCCCCGAAGCCGCGTTCATAGACCCCTTTGGCCAGGGCGTCCAGCGCTAGGCGTACCTGGTCGGGGGTTTGCACTTTCTCAACCCATTCCCGCCCAGCCTTGACCTTGGGATGCAACAGGCCTTTGATGAAAGGCTCTGTCTGCACGCCCATCAGCCGACAAGCCTTGTCCACAGATGCTCGGGCTTCGGGAGTCAGTGTAGCCTGGTCCGCTCCTCTGCTTTCTTGTCGGACGGAGACATTTCCAAGATGCAGGACTGCAGCGATTGTCTTGAAGACCGCCATCTGTTCCTTTTCCGAGAAATTCATGATATGAAATGCTTCGATCAACGTGTTCCACTCGTCACGGTCGGAAACACCGCCGATCGTGTCATTTCCAGCTCTCGTGTAGGCAAAATCCTCAACATCCATGCCGGAGATGAGCAGGGCATCTCTCATTCGCTGATCGGCTCCAGCGAGAAGTTGATAGAAAATATGGTAACTTCGTTCTTGTGGGCTGACTTTGACGACTCTGGATTTCTCCAGGAGGTACCAATCGATGAATGCGCCTGCGATCTGGCCAGATCGTGTGAATTGGATTCGAATGAATTTGCCGAATCTTGACGAATTGTTATTCCGCACGGTCTGAGCATTACCGAACGATTCCAGGATCGGATTCGCCCGAAGAATCTGTTGTGACAGGTTCGAGAGTTGTTTACCAGGTGTCCTGCCCGTCAATGGCGTGTCGAAGTCGGAGGTCGCAACGGCTGCGAGATATTGGATAACCTTCTTTGTGTTCTCGGTTTTGCCTGCACCAGATTCTCCGGTCACTAGGATACTCTGGTTTTCCCCCTCCTCGACCAAGCGACGAAATGCCGCATCTGAAACAGCAAATATATGAGGACGAGTGTCCTCTCGAGTCTGGCCTTTGTACATTCTGACATAGTCATTTCCGTAGATAGGCAATGGGCAGTAAGGATTCACTGTAACCAAAAACAACCCCGAGTAGGTGTAGATGAGATCAGCTTGGTAGCGAGTGTGAAGATTGTGAATGACAGAAGCCTCGTTCAGGTGGGTGAGCTCTGCCATATCATCGGCCTTGTCGAATTTGGCGGGGTTGACCTTATCCACCTCCTCGATGTCGACCTCGACTTGAGCACCAGACTCAAACTGTACAAGCACCTTGTCTCCCGGAAGGTCTTGGGTGATCCATCCTCGCACAAAAGCCTTTTCTGGATCTTTGACCCATACATATCGCCGGCCCGAAAAGTCATTTTCACCCTCAATGGCAGAGATCCTGTCATCGCTTTTCCGTAGTTCTTCAGATTTGATGAATTTCGGTGCAAAGGTACTTGACGTGCTTGCCTGTCGCTGCAGGGAATGCGTGCGAACGTGTGATGGGATGGAGGTCAGCGACGAAGGGGAGTAGGATTGTTGGCGGTCCTGTCGCGACGCTTGATGAGCGGTGGGTGAGGCAAACAACAGTGATTTCGAAAAGCTAGTCGATGACATCGGCGATGCCGCAATAGACATGTTGGAGTTGTATGATGTGTTGAATGTGTGATGTCGTTGAGAAGGACCGTTAAACGGCGAGGTATCTGGACTGCGTTCATGGAGCAGCATGTCGCCGCGACGATGATGGTTTCTGTATCATACGATAGATACTGTCAAAACATGACACCTCGCAGTGCAACGACGTTTCGTTGACTCCTTTCACGGTGGTGTCGGATCGTGCACAGTGGCTGTAGCTTTTGGTTGCCGCAGACAAGCCGTCATGGACGAACTGACCGAACAAGTATTTGTTGATGGGACGGGACACGCTGCCCAGCAACGGTGCAGCAGTGCAGCGCTATAATCATAAGTAATCACGTGCCGCAGGTGCAGCACTTAGGGGCCTCATACTGCACCGTATATCAAAATGTGCTTTGGGCTGCATGGTCTGCCGTTGCCTGCGTCGGGGCATCGACTGTGATTTTCGTCAGAACTGTCCAGCTCATTGCGTCTGCCAGAAAAAGCACCGGCGTGTATATTACATATTGCGAAGGCCACCGATCCTCTTACCGATGTGCCCACTTCTCTGACCGTGCAGATTCACTATCACGGATCCCGAATGACTCTCCTGTGAAGGTAGCTTGCGACACACTCCTGCCGCCTTGTCTTGCGACCAGTGGTGGACGCGAGCCAGCAGTAAGACTCTTCCTCCCAGCTTTGTGCACGTCTGGATCTGCGAGCCGCCTTGATGATGTCTATTTCTCGCTCTTCTGAATCAGATTGCCTTTATCGGCTTGCCAAAGTCTTCCAGTGATATCCAAATTCTTCTCTGCGCAGGACAGTGCTCTGCGCATCGCAAATGGCGCATCCGTACTCTTCAACCCCGTCGTATGGGGGTACGACATCATACACGCCGCAACAGCCATATTACTCTCCCTTTCCACCTAATGGACTGCTGCAGCAGCAGATACACACTCCTCCGGGCCAACCGCAACAGCCTCCGCAGCTGCCTGGCTCCTACCAGCCAAGCCCGTCGACAAATATCCCCAGATTCGACGCCAATTCCCAGATTCGACCTCCTGCGCCTCCATTTCCTCATTTCCCTCCTCCTGCCGCTTTCAACCCGGATCTCTTCAAGCAGTTTGCAAGCGCAGGTCTGCCGCCTCCTCCGCCTCCCTCATTCCCCCCGATGCCTGTAAACACCACGGGATACCCACAATTCCCCCCTTTGGTGAGCAGTGCAGCTCCATCGCCCTACACTCATCATAACACCTCTGGAACTCAAGCAGTTGGTGTGGGATACAGTCCCAATGAACAAGTGCCACAACATCTGTCAGACCCTTTTGGAGGCCCACAACAAGGTCAGACCGAGACCAGGGAGTCGCGGGATTCTCGCCACGGACCGCAGTCTTACGGTGCACAAAACGCCGGTCAGAATGGGGCTTCGTATCCTGCGCATCACATAAAGACCGTAGATATTGATCTCGGTACGTGTTTGTACCGCAAGCTGGCTTCTAAACTAACTGTCTTAAAGATAAGGGTCTTCCATCCTTTGGCTCGAAATCCGATCTTGATCTACTCTTTGCTACTGCCCAGGGACAGGTTGAGCAGGCAACAGCTGATTCAAGGATGGGTAACGCCAGTTCTACCGCTGGAGCCTCAGCGGACGGCGGAAATGTGTCTCGTAGGTGCTTGAGGATCTCTTATTTCAAATCTCGCTAACTCGTTGTCAGCCTATGATCCATCTCGACCTGCCACAATCCAGGATCGAGCATCTGCCGGCTTCGGCGCATCCACCTCTGTCTCTGGAGCGACTCTCTCCAAGTCAGTCATGAGAACGTATGACAACAAGTCACCGACCGAGCTAAGGCAGCTTGCAAAAGGTGCTCTGTTGTCGCTCGTCCCCCACAGTATTCTTTACAAAGACCTTGTGAGGGAGGGCGTGAACCCACAGGTGTTGAGGAATCTTTATGGCGAACTTGGTATCAAGGTCGAGCTTGAAGAAACACAACAAGCCCGGGAAGTTGCTCAAACCTCATCGTTGCCAAGTACCACCGACGTGCCGGCTACGTCCGAACAACCCTCGGTGGACGCGCTGGTGCAAGGCGTTGGTCTAGACAATATCCAGGCCACAACTCATGTGCCATCACCCCAAGCTTCCTCGAAGGCCTTGGGGTTGAGCGTACTACAGAAGAATGAAAAGCCACCACTGCCGGTGGCGTCAGATGCAACGAATGCCCCATTAGCTCCAAGTCCCAATCTGGAACGAAAGGATCGCATTGCTCAATTGCTTGCTGCGAAAACAGGACGTCCTTCGCCCGCGACTACAAACGCAATTCCTCCCGCCAACGACGAGTCTTCGGTGTCGATGGAAGCCGGAAAGCCTGTTCCCTCTACAAATCCTCCTTCAACATCGAGCCCTGCGACTGGAACAGCGCAAGCTCAAAACCTGCCCAAAGCTAGAGCGCAGACAGAGGTAGTGAAGCAACGAATGGAGCAACTACGACGCGAGGCACAAGCAAAAGCCGAGACGACTACCCTGGATGGCGCAGCAGCAACCGCAACGATTGCCGGTGGCAAGAGCATAGCAGATTCTGTGACGATAAGCTCTCAGGCTATAGCTACATATAACGCCCCATCCGGAGAATCAACTTTCATCATTCCAGGATTATTCATGACCGCAAGCGGAGACCTTGGCTTGGAGGAGACTGCCGACCGATCGGCAGTGCGCGACTCTGGAGACGATACTGAGATGGGCGGTACTCTGAACAACGAGTATACCGCGCAAGACACAGTTGTGCCGGCGGAGCCGCGTAGCTCGGTGTCTCCAACTATATCTCTAAAGCGACCATTGACGTTTGACGCCAACGAGTCAGGTCTTCAGCCTCAGGCGAAGAAAATAGATACTGGAGAACATTCACACGGAAATGGTGCTTTAGGAGATGCCGGTGATGATAATCCATCCGAAGGGGAGATTCTTGAGGGATCAGAGCATGACGCGATGCAAATGGAAGCTGAAGCAACACCTCAAACCCCCGCGGAGGGCGTTGGCCGTCCCGGTCGATACTCTGACGCCTCTATGCTTCAAAAGCCTGAGACTTCTCTTCCCTCCCTAACAGCATTGCAGGAAGACCCAGCCAGTGCATCTGACCAAGCCGGAAGTGGACTCTTGTACCGCGCCAAACAGTCAGAAATCGAAGCGATGCGTCGAAAAATCGCCGAACTCGAAGAGCGTAACAGGTTGAAGCGGAGCAGGAGTCAGATCGAACCCTCAGTTTCATCGATACCTCAAGGGGGGCAACAATCGAGCAGCCCTCCAGCTCCACAACCTCCTGCACAGGCTGCGCCTCTCGCCTCCTCGGTCCAGAGACCGTCCCTCGGGGCTCGGACAATCTCCAAACTGACTCCAGCGCAGCTTGCACAACGAGCAGCCGCCTTGAAAGCCGATTTGCTTAGACAACGTGCACAACGACAGCAAGTATTGCAGGAAGGCTTGCCCGACCTCAATGCAGAAGTACAGAAGACCGAGGTCCGTCTTGAGAGAGCGAGGAGCGATCTCGCCCGTACCCAGGCAGATGTTGAGAACTACCAAACGGCACTGGAACGATCAACAAGGCGGGTGAATGAGCTCTTAGGAGAGATTGCGGAGCTCGAAAAACAGCTGCAAGAGGGTCGTTCAGGCCAGAAACAGTATGCCGACGAGCTTCAACAGATCAAGCTCGACAAGCTTGCGGAAGCCGAACAAGTTCGAGAGAATCCTGCGGAGGAGTCAGAGCCCGTACCCCAGACACAGCCTACCACGATCACGAGCACGGCGTCACCTCCGGGTCCAAATTCATCAAATGACGACTCCGGGGCCACTTTAAGTCATCCCAATCGAGAAGTACTCTCCAAGACTACACTTGAGGACTCTACTTCTGCCCAACCGGCGATCGATGCAGAGACCGCGACTACTTCAAATGGACAGGCCCCTGACGCTCCCTCAAAATTTCTAGTTACAACTGCTGCTCACTCCCAAGAAGCGGTGGGAAAAGAGGAGGCGCTTCAAGCAGCCGCACGCGTGGATACTCTACAAACGGATGCAATGGAGATCTCCCCTGAGCCGGAATACCTACCCGAGATCCACCAGACTACCGTGCCGGCTTCTGACTCGAGACGACCATCCAACGATACCTCCATGGACATGGATGATGATAGCGAAGGAAGTGTCAGCATGTCCGATAGTGGTTCTGAGGCGGAGGAGGAGGATGATGACGACGATGACGATGATGAAGAAGAAGAAGACTACGAACCTGCTGATGCCGACACCAGTCAACCTACGCAACAGTCTGATGAAGACTCGGACGAATATGACCCGGAAGAGGCTCCTGTACAGGATCTGACGCCTACAACAGGGGTCAACGAGGAGTATGAACTCAGCGAAGATCAACTTGACACCGAGGCTGGCCGATCCGAGGACATGGCACATGAGCCCGTCGATCAAGGACAAGTGGTGTCGGCGACGTCAGCCGATACAAAACTCGATGATAGTGAATCTGGTCTCGAACTGGCTGAGGCGGACAGCTCGCCCAAGACGCAGGATGTACCTGATGGTGAATCACCAGGAGCTACGTCCATTCTTGATGGCAGGGAGCCCTCGACAGTTCATTTTGTCCCTTACAAGACACCTCTCAGTACCTTGAAGACGTATCGGTTCCACCCTGACTACAACGACACGGTCAAGACGGGATATCGGTCATTAACGTACAGCAATCAGATCGACCCATCACGCCCTCTGTGCCCGACTGAGCTCTCCGGCGAACCTTGCAGAGACCCGAAGTGCGAAGAACAGCACTTCAGCCAGCTTGGCCTTTCTGGTACGTGGACAGAATGAGACCGCGCGTTGTGCTTCACTAGTTCGTTTTCTCTTTAGCAAGTCGACCCCGCTGATACTGATCTCCGTGTGCTATATCTACAGATGACAAGATCCTCATCCAAATGAGCTCGGCTGCCGACATCAAAGATAAGACGCTGCGAGATCAATTCATCGTCGGTCTGAAGCAGGTAATTGCAGGGCTGAAAGCTCGGGACGTCAAAGAGTTCGAGGAGGTGGCGAATGCACTATCAGCGTATCGCCGCAACTTCTTCGCAGAGAAGGAAGAGGCTCCCTAAAAAGGGTACGGCATACGCTGTGTGTGTAATCGAGTCCTTCGACGATCGGTGCTCGTGTCGCATCCTGGCGTTGATTGTTTTCTGGGCAATTGGACCAGACACGGCTACCGGCATGCCCCGATTTGAACCGGTTCACTTTATGATCTAGGGGCAGTGAGCTTCAGAGCGTGTCCTCTACGCCTGTGTATTTTCTTGTACGACCAAAACATCGGGATTGGGGACGGTGGGAATCGAAACAAACACAGAACAGGAAAGGCGCCGTCGAGCTGGGGAGCATGGCCGACGTTGGACCTTGCATTAACAGGGACTGTAGCGTTGCATCTAGCCTAAGATCGGTGTTGGTCCTAGCCTTGTATCATATCGATGTCCATTGCATATCACATTATCCCCGAAAGCATTCAACTAGGGCAAGTAGACAAACGCCAGACGCACATGGTATGTATCTCTACAGAAACCTTTGAAAAAACCCGTGCAGTCATCAACATCACGCTGCATACACATGGGAATGCTGACCGCCGTCACCATTCCCATCAGTTCCTAGAATACAGAGCCCGATGGGCGCTCACCAGAGCCTGTGACCTTTCCCTCCCAGGGCAAGCCCACAAAACATAACATTGCTGCCTGGTTTAGTATAGAGCGTCCCATGGTCATTCATCATCGAAAATGCCGCAGTTGGGGTGCAAAGCATAAGCAAGTCGCTGGCTTGCAGCACTCGAGGGTTGGTCATCGCCGTCATCTCCAACGAGTCCTTCGCCCCGGATCGGGATGATTACACTATCCTGTAAAATGGGTCAGCGCTTACTTATGCAAAGGTCTGTGATTGGAGCCAGGGGTGTGGCAGGAGAGATCAGAGGTGCAGCAAGAAAAGAATATACGTACCCGAACCATTCTCTTCAGAACCTTTTTGGCCAACGATCTCTCGGCGTCAAGCTCCTCTTCATTGTTGATTGTATCCTCGATCTGCTCGAGATACCACAGAAGGAGCTCCTCGTGCTCGGGACCTTCACCGGTTTGGTCCTCCAGGTCGCGGATCCGTGATGCCAACATGTTCTGGATCTGATGGTACTTTTCAAACGTAATCTTCGTGGGAGCACGGGTTGGCGCGGGTGTACCATGCGCATGGCCTGCCGAATTATCTTGTTCATGGGCATCATCCCCCATGGGACTATCGCCATCTTCCTGCGCATGTTGCGCAGCTTGTTCGGCATCAGCTTCATCTTCATCGTCATCCACCTCAACATCGTCCTTTTCCACGCTGATGATTGACAGACGTAGCAGAGAGAACGCTTCGAGGACCATGGGCTCTGTAATGTCTTCGACACAATTGGCTTTGGCGATGGCCTCACTCAGACGGATGAGCGATTCCAATTGTCGCACAGTAATGCGGTAGCTGTTCCTTCCCAAGCCGCCTGCGTCGTTGGAGCGGAGTTCCTTGTATTTCTCGACAAGCAAAACTTTGGCCCGTGGTGTGAACACCGGTTTGAACGTTCGCGCAAAGCGAATGTACCGTTGCAATTGTTCGGTAGAGAACTCTGGCTGTACAAAGTCGTCCTTCAGCATATGGAGGTTGACAATGTGGTCGGCAAGATGGCGGTCAATGTTCTCGTTGCATTCATCCAGAATAACGAAGAACAGATCGAATCGCGACATGATAGGAGCTGACATGTTGATGTTTGCTCTTAAGGTAGTCTTGCGGTTATATCTGCCTCCAATGGGATTTGCAGCTGCGAGGATACTCGTGCGTGCATTGAGCGTCGCGTGGATGCCGGCTTTAGCGATGGAGATGGTCTGTTGTTCCATGGCCTCGTGAATGGCGACTTGGTCGCTGATATCCATCTTGTCGAACTCGTCAATGCAGCACGTCCCTGAGTCAGATAACATGAGAGCACCGGCCTCGATGGTATGCTCTCCTGTCTCTTCATCTTTTACCACGGCTGCGGTCAAACCTGCGGCGCTGGAAGCTTTTCCTGAAGTGTAGACGGCCCGAGGCAGGAAAGAGGCAATGTATTTGAGGAATTGAGATTTGGAGGTCGACGGATCGCCGACAATGCAGATATTGATGTCGCCTCTGAGTGGCATCCCCTCAGGGGTCATCTTCGCAACCCCCCCGAGGAGTTGCAACAGTAGACCTTTCTTGACAATTTCGTGTCCGTAGACCATTGGGGCAAGACTCTGAACAAGCCTGCTGTAGATCTTGTCAGAATGGACCATGTATTTCAAATCTTCGATCTCAGCGTGCGTCAGCGTCTCAAGATATGCCTCTTGAGCTCGTTCTCCACTGTCATACTGATCAAAGATGTCGGTCTGGTGGAGAGAGTTCAGGATGTTTGTCGATTGGCCATTCAACTGGTTCGCGGGCTGGCCGGGAGTCGTTGTATCAGGGCAAGAGAAGCATGCTAAGAATGCCATTCGATAGGTGAGATCTCGGACTCCCAGAGCCTTCAGACCTGTTACACCAGATCCACCGGCATCTGCTCCACGGAAGTTTCTGTTCTCCTTCGATGCCTCTGGCCGCACACCAGGGATGCCCAGCTGAGACACATCCGGCACAACGATCAGAGTACCCGTGAAAATACATCTCTCACCAGGCTTTGTGCGCTCAACCTGCTCACCCCGAAGTATAACATCCATCGTCCTCGGCATACTTCCTGTCGGAATTTCCGAGCTGTTCTCCTGGATCCGACATCGTTGCCAGTCCACGAAGGTGCTGTTTCGAATATCCAGTCGCCAGGCCACTTTGTTGCCACACACTAAGTTGGGACATACGTTCGGTTCCGTGTACTTGAATGTTTGTTCGACATTGGGGACAGTGGTGTTGCATGCCTCACAAATGAACGTCCCTAGAGCCAGCTCTGGACGGACTTCCGATGTTCTTGTGACCGTGCCCGAGACAGAAAGCAACTTGCCTATCTGATCTGTTCGTAGCTGCCGTACTCGTGACACAATTGGCAGATTGTAAAAGGCCAATGTGAATATTTTGTCGGTCTGTTGGTTGATGGTTTTATCTCCCTGGCTGCTTGCCTCGCTGGTTGCATTCCCCGCCATCGAGGAACCAGCTTGAGATGCATTGCTGGTCATCTGGCGATGATCTTTGAAGTATATCGGCTCATACTTGGCTAGGAGGTTATGCAGAGCTTTTGTGAGAAAAGGGAGGAAACGATAATACTGGCTTGCAATTGCATCTGCCAGGATCGGACCTTCTTTGTAGGACAACAGATGTCGGTAGTCAACATAGAGTGTGGAGAGCTGAAATTCCCTGAGGCCATGGATCTGATTGATGTAGTATTTATCAGTTTTCAACTCGCTGGACGGAGGGGCCGCAGACGAGGACGGCTCTTCGGTATGTGACTCGAGGAAATCCTCAAAGGCCTGCTGGACTCTTTCTCCTGCGCGATCTACGACCTGCGATACATTCCGATCCAGGGGGTTTCGGTTTCTTCCTCGAGCTGCGCCCACGATTTCATCGTCTGGAAATATGTCGGCTTCTGAAGGGATCCCATTGCTCTCAGAGGGGGCTGGACGAGCACGGGAGGAAGGGATGTCGTGGTGAGTACGCCGTGGTGAGGAAGGAGCGGCTCCCAGAGCATCTGAGTTGAGAATCGAGTCCACTAAGGCTGACATTGCTGCGGTTCTTCGAAGTGAATTTGTGAGGAATCCTTTCGCATCGATCAACTGCAAGCAAACACAGTCTTCAATCAGAGGCCCCTAGAACTTCAACACGGAAACGCGCCTTCACGCGTCGCGCGTAAAGTGGTTCTTGGCAGACAGATCTGAGTCACGTGTAGCTGGCAGCCTCTACTACAACGTTATGAACGAGATCACCCAGTTCGACGTAGTGAACTGATTACACGATTTTACACTAAGTTGGTACGAGGAACTCACAGGATGTAAGACTGGTAGAGTACCAGCTGCGAATATGTAAATGAGGCCGGATTGCGTCGAATCGAATCGAATGATGTGTCAACGAGCGCACCAGACGGCGTTCCCAATCAATATACGTGGTAGCAAGAAGAACAGGCGCGACTCGGATACCTCAATGAGCGAATACATGCGGAACACTGAGTAGGAGTCAGGTAGGCTTGTTACAGGACGCAGGCACCTGATTAAGTAGGCGTCGGCGTCTAGGTGCAGCAAGAGAGGCTCAGGAGCGACCAGTCCTTACTTACTACAGCACACGAACATTGATTTTCCTTATCAGCAGACCCCTTTTTACTCCATACACCGTATATAATGTACATATAATGTTATCATCATGCTAACGAGTCCTTTTTCAATCTGTAGATGTGCTGAGAGATGGGAGTCGTCCCAATCAAGACTCGGCATGGAAGACGATGTGATCAAGTATCTTGGTAGCTGAGGCTAAGCGGTGGGAATTGTTCTTGGGGTCAGGGGGAAGGCGCGCCCGAGGCTACGAGCCGCCTAGAGCACTCTAAGATGCCGCCAAAAGAACATACGAGTACTCAGTACTGCTACTAGGTAGTAGGCACCTCCAGGTACCTAGTAGGTACCTAGGTAGGTTGGCCGAGTAATAATATTGCCGCCAATACACAGTACTGTAATAGGTACTCCGTACATACAAGTGGCTGGTGTCCAGTCTTGGATCTTGTCCATCGCAACTCCAAGCTTGACGCATCTCGACCATCTCAAACCACCTCCATTCTCTCCACGCTCGAACCACAGCGTCCACTTTATCCCAAACCCACGTCCCGCGCGACCGCCAGCCATCTCAAACACACCCCACGTTACTGCTGCAGCGTCGATATCGAACCTCCATTGAACGCAAAACTGGAGAGCGCCACCCTCTGCCCGTCGCACGCCTCTGCACCGTGCCTGACAAGCTTGATTTGTTGCGGTGGCAGCACAACCCACTTACCTGGTCACATTTGGCTTCGCCTGAAGATTGCCCACCACGGCGTTGTCGACCTACAACCCTATCGACACTTCTGACGACAAGACATACATTGCGCCTCCCCCTCATCCGCCGACGTCTGAACCATCCTCCTCGAGTCCGCCCTCGCCGCGACCGCCCCCGTTCTCCTCCCTCTACTTCCCCTCCGACGCCGAACTCGACAGCATAAGGGCTACTATTACCGAGACTGCCTGCGAGTCACTTCTAGCCACAGCACCGGCACCCTCCTTCGAGGAGGCTCTCGCCGCAGACGAAGCCGAGTCCAAGGCTGAGGCTGAAACTAAAGCTGCCCTTCCACAGGACACAAAGGCCCAGTCTTCCAAGGCAATCGACGACGGGGAGCCTCCACCACCGTACACAGAAGGGTCGAGTCCAATAGATTCATTTGCCTACGTTATGGCGGCCGCTGGTGGTGCTGCCAGCATTATCACTCAAGTTCAGCAGACAGCCGGCCCCCCCATCAATACATTGGGAGGTAGGCCATCAACAGCCAAAGCCAAGCTTCATACAAGTACTAATCGAGTTTACAGCGGGAGAAATTGCAGCCGATGAACATATTACACTGGACTTGAGGTATGTCCACCGTGTGTCTGCATTCCACGAGTTACGTACTAACGGTCTTACAGGGGGACTCAATTCACCCTATCTCGAGATGAACTGTTGACACTCCCCGAATTTGTGTTGCTGTCATTATTCCCGAATGGCCTTCTTCCAGACGGTCACATGAATGCCTTTCATGACGGCGATGTCTATCCCGTTGACGTATGTCTCTCTCAAACACCCCATGTCATTTCTGTCCTTAGCAATACTTGTATTTATATCGGAGATGTAACGTATCTTTCGCAGTATGACCCAGCATCCCTGCAGTATATGTTAAGTTTCTTCCGCGATGTTGCACAATCAATACCCTCAGCATCCCCTTCACCAACAACACCGCCAGAGAACGATCCGATGTCAATCGAGCCACTACAAGGGTCCACGAAGGACATGCTACAAGATAGAGCGGGGATCATCGTTTTGAGAGAGGATCTCGACTTCTACGTAATCCCTCCTCGACCGGACATTGAACAGTTGGAGATGACCGAAGTCAAACGGGCAGCAGGCAGATCTTTACTCAAACAGAACGGCATCTTCTCTGGGCTCAAGAGGAGTGAAGAGGCCGGGACGACAGAGCAGCACTTGATTGAAATGTTGACTGCTGGGTATGTTAGGTCAATTTGTGTTCTTTGTGAAGGTATGCTGATCAACTAGAGGGTTCAATCACGATGATGCTTGGGGTCATCGAGCAGGGGAGCCGAACAAGGCGGTCATTTGCAGTCTCGCCCTGGCTCGCTTACGAACAGACATCAAAGGTGACATCGCGGGAAGTAACGCTGTCGGGATGGCCCAAAAACTATTACTCTTTTGGCGGAAGCCTGCACGAAGGTGCTGGTGGGAGGGTGTTGAGCTGGATGATGTCGAAGGGGTGGCAGGCAAGCTAAAAGTATGGATACGAAGGGTGTGGACCCTTGAAATGGTGAGTGATCCTACCCTGACCTACCGGCAGTCGTGACTTATATTCAATGCAGAGCGTCATCGGTTTGCGGTGACATAACAGCCGCGTTCGTTGTGGCTCTTTTGCTTGATTCTGCGCAGGCCATTGCATACAAGATTGATTTGTGATATCCCACGATCAGGCATTGTTCAGGACTCTGAGTCGATATCGGAATAGGGCGTGGAGTTGGTCATGGAAGGCTTGTACACAGATAGGATGCACACAATACAGCAGACTTTTCGCGTCCACTTTGATTGTTTTACAGCCGTATGTCTCGTCCGGTGTCACTAGGTGCATGAAATCAAGCGTGCCAGTTTTCGGAGCGTTCATTGTTGCTGAAAGCTGTGCATGCAGTACATGTACTCTTGCAGTGTGGTGCCAGTGCGGGCACGGGCGAGGCTGGCTGGCTTATGTAAGATTTGCGACTGGGCTTGGCGGGGAGTGAAGCGAATGGTGAGTCGCGTTGCGAACATTTCAAGTCGTCCCAGACCCGACCTGCGCTTTGAACCAGACGTGTTTTCCTCCGACCGCGACCGGGGCAGCACAACCGCAGTATTCGGCAGTCTTATCGCGTGTTGCCTTTTGCCATGTTCATCTAGTGTTTACGCTCTCACCATGGCTCCCGCGCAGGCTTTTATAACCAGCTATGCTCCGCGAATTCGTCAATACGCCAACACTTTGCTCCAACCTGTCCTCCAAACCCAGAATGTCGTGCCGGGCAGTCGTACGACCAAAAGAGGAACAACCATAATCAATTACGCCGACGATGCATACGACGAAGATGACTTTGACGATAGCGAAGGTCCGAGGCGACCAACAGGTCTTCGATCACTGCGGCGGGAGGAGCTCGAGAAGAAGGAGCCGCAACATGGAAAGGTCGGCAAGGAGATACATGAACCCGTAGATTTACAACCCATCTACAGAGACTGGATCATCAGGCGGACCGCAAGACCCACGTAAGTCAGAGTCCTTTTGAGCTGCTACCGGGAGATTTTTAACACTCTTTCTTTTCGCAGAACCGATTCGCAGGCCCATGTTCAGGCGCAACTCCCTCTCACTCTCATACCTATCCGAATAGACTTGGATGTTCCTCCCCACCAGCCAGAAGCACCATTTCCGTTGCCTCGAACTGGGATGGAGGTGGGCATCAACCCCTCCCTCCCAATGTTTAAGAGACCGGAGATGGCCCCGGGGTACAAGATTCGTGATATATTCCTGTGGAATCTTCACGAGGAATTGCTAACTCCCGATGACTTTGCCATCAACTTTGTCCGAGAACTCGACCTACCAAACCAGACCGCGCTTGCTATGAATATCAGCCAGCAAATTCGCACCCAGTTAGAAGACTACGCCGGTGTGGCCATGCATCCACTGTTTCATACGCAACCGAAGCGTACCCAGATCGCGGACGCTAACATTGCGCCGACACCCTTGGCCACGGCTAATGGAAGTTCACGAGATGGGACGCCCCGGCCACTACTAGGAGCGTCGATATCTCGGCCAGCATCAACGACACCAGGAACACCCACACCATCCACACCCCGACCAATATCGTTGAGTAATGGTGCTACCGTCACAGCGGCTGCTTCACCCTTTCCACCGGAGCAACAGTTGGGACATAGTGACGAATCTGCGGAGGATCCATATCTGAACCCTGACGACACCTACCGTTGCGTCATCACGTTATCCATCTATCTTTCATCCAAACTCTACCAAGACAAATTTGAATGGTCATTGCTACATCCACCTGGCGCCGCCGAAGCATTTGCGAAGCAGACATGTGCAGACATGGGGCTGGGTGGAGAATGGGTCATGGCTATCACCCATGCCATCTACGAGGCTGTGTTGCGATTGAAGAAGGAGGCTTGTGAAGGCGGAATGGTCATGATAGGCGGCGGTGCTTGGGGTAGCGGCGAAATCGACAACCAAGCAGTCCGCACAGAAGAGGGAGCTGGTTGGAGGTACGACGTGGACGATTTTGGGGCTGAATGGGAACCGAAATTCGAAGCTCTAAGCAAAGAAGAGATTGAAAAAAGAGAAGGTGATCGAGAACGGCAGCTCAGAAGACTACGGAGAGAAACCGCGAGGTTCAGTTCTACGGCCGGGATGGTACCTACCACTCGAGAGCAGGAGGCCCAACAACGCGGCAGTTACTTCGACTACATTTCCGTTGGAGCGAACGGCGATGAGACACCACTGATGGGGCGCGGAGAAAGAAACAGAAAGAAACGAAGGTTCCGATCAATCAGTCCTGTGTCCAAAGCTCAAACCCCGGAAGGCGGCACTTCCGCCGGTGCTGGCTGGGGAGGGGAAGGCAACCGGCTCCAGGAATATGAGAGGCAGAACTGGAGATGCAAGCATTGCCTGATACCCGGCAATGCCGTGTGGGCCGTTCGAGACGGTCCTTTTGGACCAAGAGTGAGTTTTCACCCTCGACCCAATCCAGCTTCATCACTAACACGTCCTAGACTTTGTGCAACAATTGTGGTTTGATCTACGAACGAGACAAGAAGCTTCCAGTCTGGTCGCAAGGCCTACACAGACAGACTATCCCACTTGGCAGATAGATCCGCCTTGGATGACGCAGTTTTTATCCTTTTCTACCTTTTGCATCTTTTGCGCCTTTTCCAGTCTCCTGCCACTGTGGTTTCTTGGATCTCATCTCGAAATACCCGACGGAACTTTTTTCACTGCGTTCGAAGGGAGTCGATCAGTCTGGGGGGTTCTTTGCTTGCTGAAGGACATCTAGCAAAGGTGCAGGTAGTGGTAGCAAGGTGTTTGGAATCACACCAGGGTTTAAGGGCGGATGTGTAAAATAGAGCTGATTTGGCATGTGGATATGATAGGTTTCTGCCCCAACCCTGTGGGTGGTCGACAACAGGATGTCATATGTGTACGAGAACAGGCAAAATACAAGCCCAAGCTGCGTTCTACCGTGTGCAAATGCATCTTAGAACAGGGCTATACAAAGTAGTGTGCCAGTCCCAAATGGCCTTGATTGTAACAGGCATGATAAGATAAGATTTTGATCTGGCTTGGCTCCAGAACTGCGGGAGAACCGCGCTGCACTCTCCCTCGTTGGACTGTCGCTCGTTGATGCCAGATCAACAGATCACCGAACGCAATACTTCTCAATTACATCAGGGCCCTGCTCATAATCTCCTGGACGCATCTCGAACTAGGACGACCCTTGATCGCCTTCCCAGCTATGCGGTAGTGCAGTACTTAGACTCCATCTTCTCGTTTCCCAAAAGCACTTCGTCCTGCTAAACGCGGTGTCCTGTCCTCGCGAAAATGGTACGTTTACCAATCTGCCTTCCCGTGTCAAACACCTTTCATTGCACGTAGAATCCAATGCGTGTGATTTTCCTGGTACCAGGGCCTTCGAGACGTTGTCGCGGAAGAGCTGGTACACAGATCGGGAATTGGGCTGCGCAAGAACCACGAGACTGGCTGAAGGCATTACGGAATAAGAGGTGGAAGTGTGGAAGTTCGGCTTGAGCATTTCCTTCTCCTACCACGGCATGCGACATTTGAAGATGCGGAACACATGGGATCATATATGAATACGTTTGCTAATTGGAACCACGGACAGGCGCAAGTCATTGCGAACTCGGGCCACGATGATATGATTGTACGTCCTCAGTCTCTTGAACCTCGACCTGCTTCCTCCTCTTTCCCTCTCCTTCTCGATCCGCAACTACTCCGACAATACATGCCTCGAATCGCCCCCGGCTTACGATGATGCCCTTCCCTCCCCTTTTCGTCTCCCTCACCCTTCGCAGCTCCCTCTGCACCTCACTATGTGTTTCCTCCCTGCGGCGACCAGGAGAAGAAGGCAAATCTCTAATGTGATATCTGTATAGCATGATGCAGTACTAGACTACTACGGTCGCCGACTAGCAACATGTTCCAGTGACAAGACAATCAAGATCTTCGAGATTGACGGCGATCAGCACCGATTAACTGAGACATTGAAAGGGTATTCTCCCCTTTGGTTCCCACACTCCTCACACTCTGTTCGCGGATACGACGTGGTCAATCAGCTGCTGACTCTCCATTACAGTCACGACGGTGCCGTCTGGTGTGTCTCCTGGGCCCATCCAAAATTTGGCACGCTGCTCGCCTCCTCATCCTATGACGGTCGCGTGCACATCTACCGCGAATCACCTGCCCAGCAACCCAACCAGCAACCAACATGGTCTCTAGTCTTTACCTCAACCATCCACACCGCATCCGTGAACATGGTGTCATGGGCGCCACCGGAGCTAGGATGTCTGCTTGCCTGCGCCTCGTCCGATGGCAATGTCAGCGTGCTCGAGTTCCGGGACAACCAGTGGGCGCATGTTATATTCCCCGCGCATCCAATGGGTGTCAATGCTGTAAGCTGGGCCCCTGCGGGAGCTCCGGGTGCGATTGCGCGCAAGGACGGCGGCGCGGGGACTCCGCCCGCTCGACGCTTCGTCACCGGCGGCAGCGACAATGCCGTCAAGATCTGGGATTTCAATACGGCCTCACAGGCGTATGAGAATACTGCAGTTCTTCCCCAGGGACACTCGGACTGGGTCCGCGATGTGACGTGGTCACCTACCTTATTGTCGAAGACATACATTGCCAGCGCAAGCCAGGACAAGACGGTCAAGATCTGGACCAATGCCAGCCCGGATATGGCGCCGGGATCGTGGACGCTCGCCAAAACACTCGAGTTCGACGCCGTCTTGTGGCGGGTCAGTTGGAGTTTGAGCGGCAATATCCTCGCGGTTAGCGGTGGGGACAACAAGGTCACGCTGTGGAAGGAAGATCTCAAGGGGAACTGGGAGCTGGTCCGTGAGGTTACAGAATGAGCCGAAACTTTGCAGAGTGTGGTTGCTTGCTTTCAAGACGTACGAGGACCATGTGCAACGGTCGAAAATGTACAAGTTCACGATGTGCCAGTGTGCCAGTCTCAAACTCCGCAGACTTGGCTGACACGGGTTCTTGAGCTGACGGTTTGGACTCGGAGAAGACTCGAAGCATGGGAAAGGAAACCATGCATGCAGCATAGAAAAGCTACCTCATTCGACCAGTAGGTGCCAGGGATGACACACGAAGAAAACGTTCAAGTCCTTCTCATCGGGTGCTTCCACGATTCCATCTGCTGCGGTGTTACACTGTATACACTATACCGACCACCATGCTTCCTCGGAAAGTTAGTAAGACTAGGCGATAAATGTAAAAAAGCGGACGGTTGAGAGAAAGGTTACGACAATTAACTACCTTCTGGTATTATACAGGTACAGTACAGACATGGCGTACAAGATGTAAAGTGGTATGATACCTAGACATGCGGAAGAGGAAGCGGTTACAGAGTATAGGCATTCCAGGCCTTGTCAAGGCGCCTCTTCCCATCTCGAGTGCCGTTGAACGCCTGCGCCTCAAGGGCATGGGCATCTTTCTTGACCGTGCCGGCCTCGAATTCTTGAGCCAGGCGGTTCGCAGCCTGGATTTTGCCCACAGACGTGTCGCGGCCCAGGATTTGCAGGGTTACGGCGATGCCTGGGCCACGCTCGCCGCCGAGTAATGCCCAGCGCAGGTAGTGGTAGAGGTCACGCTTCCATTTAGCAGCGGCGCCGACGGCCTCATCTGGGACCTGTTGTTCCAGCATGCGCAATTGAGAGTGGTGGACGGCCTCGGCCCATTCAGACTCCGGCACAAGGCACAACGTCGTCGCAGCCACGCGCAGATAATGCAGATGGGCCGGATCAATGCCTGCCTCTTCGAGCTTTTGCGGCGTCGGAGGCACAGGCTCAAAAAAGATGGAGCACTGTGCGGCGAAATCCACAGCGGTTCGGTACGGCAGCGACCCGACTTGGAGGATGCTCGCCAGCACGTCGTGAAGAGACCGCTTGGCCAGAAACTGCATGACTCGCGCGGCGCCGTATCTGTCCAGGACCGCAACGGCCACGTCGCGGATCATTTGCTCGAAATGTTCGCCCTGGGCTTCAACCCTGCGTCGAGCATGCTTGATTTGCAAATACTGCAGCTTGTCGAAGGAGACAATGGTGTTGCCCTTTGTGATTTTCAGGTCGAACAGCGCCTCGAGCTGCGGAAGGTCCAGCACGTCGTTCTTCTGGGTGTGCGACCAGCCCAGCAGAGCGGCGAAGTTGACCAACGCTTCTGGGAAAATGCCCTTCTCGCGGAAACTGGATATGTCCGAGTCGAAGTTGCGCTTACTCAGCTTCTGGCGGTTCTGGTCCACCAGCAACGGCACATGAGCGAACAACGGCGGCATCCAGCCCAAAGACTCGTACAGTGCGACGTGTAGTGGCGTCGAGGCCATCCATTCCGACCCGCGCACGACGTGGGTGATGTGCATTTCGTGGTCGTCGCAGACGTTGGCCCAATGATACGTCGGGAAGCCGTCGGACTTGATCAAGATCGTGTCTTCATAGACGGGTTCGTCGACCAAAAGCTTTTTGGTCTTCTCCGCGCCGTGTCCGCTCCGGCCGTATACCAGATCATTGTATCGCGGCCATTCCTCTGGCGAGCGGAACCGAATTACATGCTGGTGGCCGCGATGCACTCGTTCTTCTGCTTCCTCGGCGGACAGGTGAAGACATTTTCGATCATAGCCGAGATTAAGCCCTTTGTCGTGCCGGCGGCGATTTAACTCGTCAATCCTCTCGGATGAACAGAAGCACCGGTACGCTCGACCGCTGGCCAGCAGATTCTCAATATGCTTCTTGTAGAAGGGTAACCGTTCGGATTGTCTGTAAGGTCCGTAGGGTCCACCTACAATCGGTCCTTCGTCCCATTGTAGACCAGCCCACGTTAAGTCCTCGTACAGTCTTTCTTCCGCGCCTGGTACCGTTCGCTTTGCATCAGTGTCTTCTATGCGTAGGAGAAATTGGCCATGGGTGGCTCGGGCGAGTAGGTAATTGAACAAAGCTGTCCGAATGGATCCGAGGTGAAGGTTGCCTGTGGGCGAAGGGGCGAATCGTGTTCGAGCCGGTTTGTCAGGGAGTTTGCCTCGGGGGGGAGCGGCAGCGGTGGTGCTGGTGGTGGAGGACTTTCGAGTCTTCACAAGGCTTACTCGCGCGGGCGCAGGGCGAAGGTGTTCGGCTGCCTGGCGCGCACGACAAGAATTGCAGATCCAGCCGGCGGCAGAGACGAGCCTAACGCTCGGGCGCGTCCTCATGTGTCTAGACGGTAGGTCGAGGAGGGCACTACTGGGCGTGATGTGGTTTGGACGCAAGGTGTGGTAATCCGACAAAAATCTTCAAGTCGAATGCGCGAGAATGTTCAGGGCGTCTCGGGGCTCAGGCTTCAAAGCTGCCAGAGGTCCTCAACCGCCACCGATACGCACCAAGCAGGGCCAGAATTATAGTAATTAGTACGTACTCCGTAAAGTGTACTCCGTACAGCAGCCAACTTGAACCACCTACTCCCTCATAATGGTGCGGATTAGGCAGCCTCGCTAGTAGTGACGCTTGCTGCGGGCTTCGGGGCTTAGGCTAGGGGGCTTGGGGGCTAGTCGGACTCTGTAAGCAAGATTTCAACCGCTGCGTACTCGAGTGTTGATCCCAGGCAGAAAAAGCACCAGATTTTAATTCTCTCGTTTTCCATACATTTTTGGACCTTCAAATTCACTCTTCTCCCATCTACCAACCACCAGAAAGAGGTTTCATCGTGAACAAATCCCAACATGAACGGCGACCCCCGTAGCGACAACAACGACGTCGACCTCTATGAGGTCCTCGGCGTCCCCAAAGATGCCTCCCAGGCTGATATCAGAAAGGCTTACCGCAAGGCCGCCCTGACCCATCACCCTGACAAAGTTCCAGACGAGCAGAAAGAAGAAGCCGAGGCTCGATTCAAGGCAGTGACTCAGGCCTATGAAATCCTGTACGATGATGAAAAAAGACAAATGTACGACAGATACGGTATGGCCGCGTTCGACAGCTCCAGAGGAGGGCCCGGTGGCATGGGCGGCGAAGTCAACATGGAAGACATTCTGAACATGTTCGGTATGGGCGGCGGGATGCCCGGCATGGGAGGCATGGGAGGAGCACGGAAGATGCGACGAAGTCCCGATGAGAATCAAAAATACGAGGTGACGCTGGAAGACCTGTACAAGGGCAAGACGGTCAAGTTCTCCAGCACGAAGAACGTCATATGCTCCAAGTGCACCGGGACCGGCGGTGTGGAAAAGGCCCAGCCCAAGGAATGTTCGACCTGTAAGGGCAAGGGTGTCAGGCAGATCTTGAGCCAAGTTGGCCCGGGCATGTTGACGCAGCGTATGGTCGAGTGCGGTGCCTGCGAAGGCACAGGCCAGGTCTGGAATCCCAAAGACAAATGCAAGAAGTGCAAAGGCAAGCGGGTCACTGAAGAAAGGAAACAGCTGGAACTCTATATCCCTCGGGGTGCCAGAGAAGGCGATCAGATCAAACTCGAGGGCGAGGCGGATCAGGTCCCGGGGGCAGAGCAGACGGGCGATATCATCTTCCATCTGGTCGAGCTTCCACATGAGACCTTCCAGCGGACCGGCAATGATCTCACCGCGAAACTCTCCATCACTCTAGGCGAAGCTCTTACCGGCTTCCACCGCGTCGTTCTCAAGCATCTCGACGGGCGAGGCATCGAACTTCACCATCCCCAGACACCCGGCCAGGTGCTTCGAGCGGGTGAAGTCCTCAAGGTGCGCGGTGAAGGAATGCCTTTGAAGAGGAGTGATGCTAAAGGCGATCTCTATCTTCTCGTCGAGATCGAGTTCCCTGAAGACGGCTACTTCTCCGACCCGGCCGCCCTCGAGGCTCTGCGGAAATTGCTGCCGCCGCCGCCTCCACCGATCGAGGCCGACGAAACCGACGAAGTTGGCTTCGAGGTCGCCGACATCGAGGAGATCGGCGGTCAGGATGGCCGAGATGCCTGGGAAGACGACGAAGGGCCTCAGCAGGCTCAATGCCAAACCCAGTAAACCAGCGAAAGGATGACGGATACACAGGCTCCGCAATGAATCACGATCTATGAGAGACTGGAGCAGATGGCAGTGAAATGCGAGTGGTATAGGTCCTCTCTCACGTCGACCGAGAGGCAGCATTAGACGGCGTTCGGATTTCAAAAGCAGCATTTGCACCGGCGTTGGGTAGTCCTAGATAGGAGAACAAATGAGGGATGGCATAGCAGAAGACCCTGGGGGCTTGACTTCGAAGGGACAAGCTTTCTTGCCTTGACTTGACTTGAGATGACACTGCTGGTCGAGGTCGAGGTCGTGTTGGAGATGATGAGGGACCGGCTCCATGTTGTCATGTTGTCGGGCTCGCTGTGATTGCCCCAATGACTTGCTTATGATGGAAGAATCTTAGAATATCAGAATCTTGTTCCCACACCGTCCCCTGTTAGGTTGCTGTCACAGGTTGTTCTCTCTGTCCATGTCTAATCATTGATCCATCTCTATGACTTTCATCCTTCCATCTACCTTATCTATTCTATACTCTGCGATTAGTGTATCTTCGAAATTTGAGCGCGAGGCACTTCTGCTCTCTACAAGTGAAGCTCGGGCGCCCGCGACACGTTCAGCTTGCTGCCGGCAAATCTCTTGTGCAACCTCTCCCGCGAGACGCGGTAGCACGTCGGGAACCAGGCATCCAGGTTGTCCTCGGCCTCCCGGCCCAACACCATACTAGCCGTAGCCTTGGCGCACAAGAAACAGAGGACCATGCCGTGACCCTGGAACGAGACGTCGAGGTACAACCCTTGTTCACCAGGAACACCCCCTACAAAGGGATAGCCGTCACTCGAGATTCCCATGATGCCACTCCACACGTAACGGCACTGGCCTTCCGGGTGGTCGGGCCCCCAATGGCTTCGGAAGTACGAGCGTTTCGTGCAATCAAGCAGGTACGCGGCGCTGGCCTTGTCGTAGGTCGTATCGTCCGTGTTGCCATACTCGGCCAAGCCCTGATCTTTGGCCACATGCGTACCACCGCCTATCACGATGTCGCCTTCGAATTTGGTCCCCGCGGGTCGGGAAATCATGTACTCAAAGTCATCCCCTTGCACGAATGAATAGGTCGTCTCCAGGCCTTTCTGCGGCATCTGCTGACCTGGACGCTGGGCGGTGACCACGCCGCGCAAGGGGACAACCACGCCCTGCAGCGGCGGGTAGAGGTGGGCGGCATAGCCGTTTGTGGCGAGGACGAGTTTCTGCGTCATGATATTGCCTCGAGGCGTCTCCACGGACCAGAGCCCATTTGCGGTGGTCTTGGTGATGCGGTGTGCCGGAGTGTTGCACTGCAAATTCAAACCTTTTTGCAGCGCAAGTTTGAGTACTCCGATCGTGAATTTGTAGGCGCTGAGACTGCCGGATTCATACTCCAGACCGCCAATGCTCCCATCAGCTAGAAACTTGTCGGCCGTTACTTGGCTGTCGTGGAAGATGTGTTTTGGAGCGTGCGAGCCCATTAGGGTTTCCATCAATGTGACAGAGTCCTTGGCCGCTTGCCACTTCGCGGCGTCGTAGAAGACATCCACCGTCTGACATCGTTTTGCATCGCAGTCGATCCCATGCTGGCGGGCAAACTCGTGCACGGCCACCATGGTATCATACTCCAAGCGGGTGATTTTCATCGCATCCTCGGGGCCGACAGCCTTGACATTGTCGCTGAACGACCGATAAGTGGCGGTTTTGGTGTGACCGCCTTTTGTTTGAAATGATTTGCTATCAGAAACCATCGCAAATATTGGCAATAACAAAGGAAACAGCACGACAATGAATATCATGGATCATGGCGGCATGCGAAGACGTGCGTCACCTACCGTTCCGACCACTGGCACCGCTGGCAGCTTGGCGAGCTTCAATGAGAACAACACTCAGACTTGGGTCTGAGGACAACAGGTTATAAGATATGCTGGCTCCGCTGATTCCAGATCCAATGACGACCACGTCGGCATGAGAGGGCAAGTCGGGAGTGGAGCAACAGTCTGCGATGTCTGAAGGAGGATCTTGCCAATACGATTGAGTGGGACGGTCCCTGGGCAGACCAGGAGGCATGTTTGCTCTCCGCTCCATGCTGGCGAGGATAAGGAATATGAAAGGGGAAGTAGGTTGGAAATGATACGTGGGACGACTGTACAATATACAATCGTCAGACCTCGTTCAAGTACTCCGTATAGATATTGAGTATGGAGAAAAGCGATGTCCAGGCTGCGCAGGCTGCGCTACCGCCACTACTGCGTGTCACGGGATCTCTGGTGGCGGTAGCCTATCCTAACCGGCACTGCCCTGATCACGTGAACTATTCTCGCCAACCATGCCATCGATTGACGACTTATCACGTGATGGTTCTCGCCGCCGTCCGCCCGGTGCTGCAAGCCGCCTTTGTCCTGTCAGTCCTTACGTTCGTTGTCAACCCCGTTGTCTGTCTTTGTTCACCACGAAAACCCGCAGCAATTCTCCCTCACCTCATTCCACCCGTCCAGAAAGCCTCAGCGACGATATTGCACGACTGTCGCCTGTGCCGACCGCCTGTGATTCACGCCCCTCCTCTCGTTATCGGCGTCTACCACCCGGCGAACCGTCGATACAGCACGACGTCCCCACCGGTCAAGAAAGGAAAGAAATAGCTCGGCCAGAACAATTGTCCTATCCGCACTCCCCTGCCGTCGCTCATAGCGAGTTCAACGCCTGCGGACCGAGTCCTTGCATAATTTGATGTCCTTGTCGTCGTCCTCTCGATCGGCCGCCGTTCCGCTTTCGCCAACCTCACCACCTGACTTGGGTCTCAAACGACGGCGCCTGTCTAGCAGTCTCCCCGAATCGCCCAAGTCTCCTTTTTTGATGTCAGTCGCTACAAAGAGTTATGTCTCTCCCTATGGAACCGCCCAGCATCAACATAGCGGCGAGGTTTCGGGCCGTTCGTCTCCGCGCTCACCAAGACGGGGGCCAGAATCGGCATCTCGACCCATCCATCCTCACTCTCTTCCGACTCCAGCGCACAGTGTGACGGGAATTTCAGGTTTTGACATGGCAGAGGATACGGATCAACATCGCGACAAGCGGGCCAGGTTAGATCCTGGTGGAAATGAGGAGGCGGACCCAACGGAGGTGGAACCACTGACACAGGCCACAAACCATGACCGGCAAGGTGCGATGGAGACAGACAGTGCGATGGATGTTGATCATGCGGAGAGCGCAGGATCGATGCAGAAGGACTCGAAAGACGGCGGCGCTACCGACAATTCTAGGTTTGTGGAGGATGAGATGACTCTGGAACAACTACAGAAAGATATGGGCGAAGCCTTTCTTCTCTGTCGATCCAGTAAGACTCTCCCCCACCTCCCACAACTTCAGAAGGTTTGTTTTGGGCGGGTTTGTTAACATTTGGGTTTGCAGCAGTCGAGCGTCAGCGACCAAATCCGCAGCAGCATCTGCTTGCGCTGTATGGGTTAGGTCCGGTACTACGCAGCGTCGCTCGAACAGATCCCAAGACTGGAGAAAAAATCAACAAGCTGCGAAAGTCATATGAAGGGCAGATCAAAGGCTTCGGTCTGGCCGGGCGGAACAAACCTGTCAAGGGGGAGCGCAATGTCGAGGAAGATGAGCCGGGACCGTTAAGGCGCATGGCAGGGTCATCGGCATGGGGTCTCGAACCAGACGAGCAGTGGAACGCAGAGCATGCGCGGTCGAAAATCGAGGTGACGCCAGACTTCAAGGCGAAACTGAAACAAGCAATGCAGATGCAACCGGGCACGGTTAGGAACAACGCTCACTGGGAGGATGTTCTGGGGTTTGACAAGCCCAAGCCACAGCCATATGGCATTTCCGCACAGCAAGCTGGCGCTGTCCAACCTGTCATGTCCCGGCTTCCCAATGGTGCAGCAGTTCGACCACTGCCTCCGCCTCCGCCACCGGCTGTGATCCAAGCTGGAGCTGGCACTGGCAGCGGGCCTAAACGGCAGACTCGTGGAAAGAAGCGAAGTTATGGCGATGACAGTTTCGTGGGGTATGGAGAGGGCTTTTCGGACGCCGATGATGGCGATGATGGTGACGACTATGGCAGCCAGCGCAAGCGCAAAAAGGTGACGCTGATGGCATCGTGAAAAGCGTGGACAGCACAGCTGACAATGGCTCAGGACTCCATTGGCACGCCGCTCAGTTACGGGCCGCAGCACGGAGGGCGTTAGGAACGTCAAGAGAAGACAGTCTCTTTCTGTGTTGGCTGGTGATCTACATTGAAAACAAACAGATACCCTTTTTCTTCAAAAACGTCGAGTGGATAAGATTAGACATTGAACAGCAAGGAAGGTGGCCATTCGCGATGGTAACGGCGGGATGGACATGAGATTGGGTTAGGACCGGGACAAGGACAATTGAGGCGTTCAACGGACCTGTTCCAAGGCTTTTTTGCAGTATTTACGCTGGAGTTGTGTTGCCTGAAGCTATGGCCAGCACAGGCATATTGATTTGATTACCTACCTAGGTACCTACCTACCTACCTACCCAGGTACCTCATGTACGGTATGATGCTGTAGTTGCAGCCAAGACATGACATGCAGTTGTCGACGTGGAGCAAGGCCAAGTGAAATTAACGCAACGGGAATGACCGTAGCGTCTGCATCATTACTACAAGGTAGGATACAGGGTACGGAGTAGATCCTACTGCCACTGCCACTGCCACTTCTACTTCTACTGGACGCCCTATGGCAAGATCCCAGACAAGGGCGTGCGTGCGTCAGTGAGTCAGTGAGTGTTCGGATATAATACACAGCACAGCACACACTACACACTGCCGAACATTCCATGGAAGTGGAAGCTGGGGCGGAAAGACGCGGCAGTGCAGTGCAGTTGGAGTACAGAGTACGGAGTACAGTATGGAGTGCTACCTTAGGTATGTAGGATCGGAAAGATCCGAGTACGGAGTACGGATACCTTGCGTAACAATAAGATAGTAAACTTAGCTTCTTTGAGAATATAGTCAACTAATAGCGAGACGACTGCGGAGTATCTTAAACTAAATGACCCTTGACTGGAGTACGTAAGGTATATATGTACACACCATATAGACCTCATCATATCTCTACCTCTACCTCCCAGTATATCTGTATATAGTATATAGGTTGCACCCAGGTGAGGTAAGGTAGTAGTGTCCCTCTACCATCAAAGACTACCACTACCACTACCACTACCATACTGTACCCGAGGTAAGTAAGCATCTACCTACCTGGACGACACACCAATCCACGATACTAAACCTAATGCTATATGGACTGAACCAAACACTGACTCTAGTGCAGGGTACTACTACTACTGAAGTCAGTCCAGTCTACTCTGTAGACTGATAAATATCTGGAGAGTGTGGGCTCAACAGCATCAGCAACAACAACATCAACAACATCACATCAGCAACAACATCATCAATGGCCACCGCCACCTCCAACGCAGGGACTGGTACAGGCTCATCAGCCTTACCCATGCCCGAACCCACGGTACCACGCCGACCCTTGTCGTCATTCAAGCTTCTATCATTCGACATCTACGGCACGCTGATCGACTGGGAACGCGGCATCCTCGACCGACTCGAGCCGTTGGTGGCGAGGATCCCGGCCGACGCACCCGCGCATATCGCACAATACCGAAAGGGAAATGAAACCGAAACCGACAGTCATAGTGAGCGCCGACTCAAACTCGCCTCGAAATTCAACGAGGTCGAAGCTGCTCTGCAGACCGAACGGCCTGGGACGCGATACTCGGAGATCCTGGAGGCGGCGTATCTACGACTTGCGCGGGAATTGGGGATCGTGGCTGTTGACCTCGATGCCGACGAAGGAAGCAAGGTGAAGAACGACCAAATCAAACAAGAAGCCCGATCCTTCGGAGCCAGCATCGGCTCGTGGCCCGCCTTCCCCGACACGGTGGCAGCAATGCGCCGACTGAGGAAACACTACCAGTTCCTGGTTCCCGTGAGCAACGTCGACCGGGCCAGTTTCGCCGCGACGCGCGCGGGCCCGCTGAACGGGGTGGATTTCTTCACCGTCTACACGGCCGAAGACATCGGCAGCTACAAGCCGGACCTGCGCAACTTCGCGTATTTGATCAGCCATGCCGAGCAGGACGCCGGCGTGGCCAAACACGAGATCCTGCAGGTCGCCCAGAGTCTGTTCCACGACCACGCTCCGGCCAAGAAGGTCGGCTTGTCCAGTGTTTGGATCAATCGTTCCAATGCCGGCATGGGCAGCGGCGGCGGTGTTCGGGAATTGCATCAGACTGGCCAGGTGGGCTATGGTTGGCGCTTTGATACTTTGGCTGACTTTGCAGACGAGGTGGAGAGGGAGCTGGCAGAGGAGGCGAAGAAGTAACTTGGTGCATGGCTGGCGCTTTGATACCTTGGCAGACTTTGCTGACGAGGTGGAGATGGAGCTGGCAGAGGAGGCGAAAGAATAAGAGTAACTTGGTGCATGGATACGGATGGAAGAAAAGGAGACGTGATGGAAGAAGGAGACGGATGGAAGAAAAGGAGGCAGCTGGCAGAGGAGGCGAAAGAGTAACATGGTGTACGGATGGAAGAAAAGGAGACGGGGACCATGGGGAAGATGCAACGGATCCAGATACAATGGATTGAGGCCTCAGAATGGAATGCCTTCAGGGGTGCATGGAAACATGGAAACAAGGCTCTTGGAGTTCAAGTTCAATTCTATGATACCGTCGTACCTTCATACCATCATACCCATGTTCATTGTCATCATACTTATAGTCATACTCATGGTCATACTCATACCATGATACCCATGTTCATTCTGTCATCATACTCATACTCATACTCATAGTCATACTCATTGCAGGAGTGCATGCTCGGTCGAGGCTCGTAGGGATAGAGAGACAGGGTGCCAAATCGCGGATCCCCATCCATCATATGCTTGAAAAGAACGGGTTGTGTTAACACGCTCACAGCTACCGCGAGACGATCCTTTTTTTTGGTTGCCGCACCCTCTCAAGCTGGATATGCCTTTGTCCAGCCAACCACTCAAAGGACTCTGTAGTGTACCACCTGAGCTTGGCCTTCTTCCTCCTTGCGTTTGGACGGACTCGATCGTACTTTAATAGGTTTTGTGGATTAATTCGTGCGTGATAGCGTTTGTGGATTCATTCGTGCCTGATATATCGCCTTTGTGGATTGTTTTCTGTGGATTCGTTCGTGCCTGATAGCTTTTGTGGATTGTTTACCGTGCCCGACAACACAAACCATTTGTTTACCGTGCCCGACACCTCAAGTCATTTGACCATGCCGACTCATACCTTCGGAGGTATCTCTCCTGATCCTTGACTAGGAGTCAAGGTCTCGGCCCCGGAGCCTGGAACAGCAGTGCTCTTTCCACCGTGCTCGATGCCCGCCGTGGTGGGTTGTTGTGTATTGTCCTTGTCCGAGACGCCGACACCGGCCACACCGCCCTGGGTTGGGGTTGGGTTTGCAGCTCCAGCTGCCGAATGTCCACTTGTACCCATGACTCCTGATCCCGCGCCAGCCCCGGCCGTGGTTGACGGTCGTTTTCCTTCGAGGCCGAAGAGGGCAGAGTGAGAGTCCGGCGCGACTCCCTTGCCGGTGTCGGTGCCGGTGCCAGTATCTGACATGATGACGGGGATGAGAGGACGGACAAACGCAAAGTCACTTGTGGAGGTGGAGGAGGTATAGTCAGTGTTGGGTAATTCTCTTCTATCGGTCGGGAGGTACAGTCAGTATTGGGCAATCCTCTTCTGTCGGTCGGGAAGGGGAAGTGGACTTAAGTGCCAGTCTCGTGTGGATGTGGAGTGGAGGTGGTGGTGGTGGACGGTCGGAGCAATGCATGCCAGGTCGGGCTGTTACCTGATACTATATGTGCTGGAAGGCAAAGGCAGTTTCACCACCGTGACTTCACCAGCGCCAGGCTCTGACGACAGTGCCACCACGGCGAGAGGGGCTCCCGCTCATGACTGGCCCCGGGAATTCCAGCCGTACTACGGAGTACACGAAGCTGGACTGAGCCTTGTCATGTGCCTGGTACTTTGAACCCTGTTTATCGATGCGCCTGCCTGGAAGACGAAGACAGGAGGGATGGGATGCCAGAACAGGTAGGATCGAAATGCTGTCGCAAGTAAAGACACCCTACTGTATATATAGAACCGAGAGAACACTTGAGCAAGTGCTACTAGTACTGTGTCTTCTACCTGAGGTAAGGTAGTTACAGTATCAAGGAACCCTTCTTCTGGCAACCCAGATGCCTGTGGTGCCTGGCTGTATGTAGCATCCAGCCATGTAGACGTCAACCCATGTGCGCTGACCAAACCAGGAATCTCGCCCGCTCTGTTCCAAGCAGTGTGGCTGTGGCTACTGTCTAGACTGTCGATTGAGCAGCTTGAGCGCATTCTTGCTGCACAACTTCTCACGCTCCTCCTGGTCAGGAAACACCTCCGGCAAATACTGATCATGCTCCAGTGACAACGGCGCGACGGTCTGCAGCGGTGTGAAGGGAAAGTCACTCCCGTACAACATCCTGTCCACTGTAACGTACTGCAACAAGCCTTTAATTTGCTCCGGCAAAGCCCATCCCGCGGTGTCAAAGTAGAACTGCTGGTTCAGCCTCTCCTTGACCCACGTCGGAGTGACTTTGGGGTCAAGTCCCGGCAGATTCAAGGCCGGACCAACGCTTGCAAATCTGTTGATCAGCGGCGGAAACGCGCCGCCGACGTGAGGCACGAGGAATGTAATGTTGGGACACCGACCAACGGTCCCCGATAGAAACAGATTGATGACAGCACGGGCAGTGTCAAACAAGAATTCAAACATGGGCCTCGGGAAGTCTGCCAGAGGCGTTGCCGCAGCGCCGCCGTGAGGTAAGCATGGGGTTGTCGGGTGCATGAACACAATGGCTTTCCGTCGATTGAGCTCATCAAAGATCGGGTCAAAGTCTTTATGTCCAAGATATGAACCATGGAAATTGGTGAGAACGACGAAGCCATCGGCGTTGAGTTCGTCCAAGGCATAGGGGATTTCTTCCAAACAACCCTGGACGTCGGCCAAGGGCAGCGAAGCAAAGAAGCCAAACTGATCCGGTCTTCTTCGCTTGAGGTCGGCACCAAACTCGTTGACATATCGCGTTACCTTTCGAGCCAATGCGTTGTCGCCCGCCTTGAGATGAGTGCCCGGGGAGCTGATGCTGAGAACGCTCTTGGTCACATTAACGGTCTTCATCATGTCGAGATGACTCTCTTCGCTCCATTGCTGAAGCCTGGTTAGTGGCAACAGGCCAGTGCACAGATAGCCATGGGGCTCACCGGAATTGCAGGCATACCGTCAGGATGCGTATGGCCATGTTCGGCGAGCGCCTCCCGATATCCACTACTGGCTGTCAGCTACGGTAGTAAGTGCCTCTTGTGCTATGGTAGCACTAACGGAGGAAGGTAATGAGAGTGACAATCGATTTTGGGGTATGGAGGCATGTCGAGTTGGAGTAGATGCTAATGTCTCAGTTCTTTGGAGAGTGGAAGAGGCGACTTGTTGAGGTTGATCGGGTCTGGTCTTATAAACAGACACGAACCGGCGGGGCGCCTGCGGAGTTGTACATACAGTCCGGAGTAGTCGGCCGGGCAGAAGCTGGTTGGCAGACCGATCCCAATAGCGGGATACAGAGCTACCAGATCGCCCAAACAAGGCACTAGCAGAGGCGACAAAAGTGTAGGACGAGCGTCAACAGTGTCGGTCAACGAGGGTACACAGGTCCCGCAAACTGTATCCCACCTCCTGTGGTTCTTGTCCTTGATCAAGATATGAATAGTGCCTGCAGGGACTCGACATGTCCGTGTGGGACGCTTGGCACCAGACGGGGCCACAGCCACGTTCTCTGCGGCCCAAATATAGTCGAACAGTGATGTTTCCTGTTGCTTCGAAAAGATGTCGTCCGGTCAAGTCTAAGTCGCGGGAAAGGCCTCGCTGCCGATGGCGGTACAAGAGGCAGATTAGCCTGCCAAAGCCTTTCCAACCAGCTCTTTGGCCCGATCGCTCAGATCCATGGCCAAAGCGAGCTCTTGACCACGCTTGCCCATCTTTACCCAGGTCTTTTGCAAGATGCTAACGATCTTGTCTTCGTCATGTGCCTTCTCAAACCCGTCGAACTGGTCGTCCAGGAACACCAGACACGCGACATCTTCAATGATCTGCGCGTCTGGATCGCCCTTCCCTTCGCCCTTCTTGAGATCTTCTTTGGCGACCAATGCTGCGACTTTATCCGCCTCGTCTGTGCTGTAGTCGCTCTCCAAACAAAGCTGTCTGACTTGTTCCGCCTGTCTCTTTTTCAGGAATGCCCTCCATGCGAGGTAGCCCGCTTTCGTCCTGGGATAGGAGTCTCGAGGAACCTCCCAGCGTCGGAAATGCTGGGCTCGCGCGGCCGTCACGAGGAGAGGGTCGGCGTAGGGAGTATGGAGGTCGAGGTATTTGGACATCTTCTGAGCATAGTGTAGCTCGTACGGGATTGATTCCCCATTGACTTGGACTATGTTCGGGTCTTCTCTGTGAGCTGCATCAATGAATTCTAGGGCCTTGTTCACGTTTGGAGGCATCGTGACTGCAGGTATGGGAATTGGAATGACCCAATCTCAATTCCACAAGCTGGCAATACCAGGTCAGTAAATGTCCAGGCATAGAACGATTGTAAAAAGCACAGGCGAGAGAGCCCACGGCGCGCCAAATAAGAAATTTGGCAGAATGGAGCAGAGCAAGAGCAAATAAGCAACGACGTCATCGCAGGAACGCTGAAGTTCAAGTTGTCAACAGGTACCAACATATGTACGGAGTCCTACAGAGTATCGCTGCCATCAACTCTAGGCCTCGTATGTATCTAGCACAGCATTTTTTCTCCCAAAAAGGAGGATATCTGCTTGACTAACGATATAGAGAGTAGAGATCCCACCACGGACTCCTCTCGACGGAAGCCCTGCGCTGCGCATGATTGCTTTCGCCCGGTTCCATCTCCATCTCCATCCCCGTCCGTTCCAAGCCCCAGTTCACACCCTCTCGACACCGGCGCGAAAGACCGATCCCGATAGATAGTCCTGCTGTGGAAGTACGACGAGAGACATGGCATTCACGCGCCGCCCTCCCTCTTCGCGTACTCGTCTTCCATCCGCTCCTCGTACTGCGCGTCTGTCAAGCGCTTCTGCTCACCGAGGCCTCCAGTCGTGATTCGTCCTTGGGCCGGCTGACCCGCGCCATTCGTGATCGGCTGTTGCCGTTGCTGCTGCTGCTGCTGCTGCTGCCCCTGCTGCCAGCCATTGTCGATAGGCACTCTGGTTTTGGTCGAGGTCGTCTTCTTGTGGCTAGCATTGGCCCCCAGGGACAGACTGCCCGAGACGGCCCCGGCGGCGGAGGCACCAGCAGATGCGACGGCCTCTGATGTCCTTTTGAAGAAACCGGCGTTGTCCGACATGATAGTGACAAACAGATCAAGCTCTCCTTTTGGAGGGGTGAAGCGAGTTCAGATCTCGCAGGATATATGGAGGACTGGTGGGGTAATATAGCCACACACCCAACAAGCAGCGATGAGTATCCTGGGGTGAGTGAAAATGATACAGGTGTCTTCCTCGATACTGTAATATACAAGGACTCAAACTGGTGGAAATGAAATCCATATCAACGCAGGATCCAAGTCCCTAATATACACAGTAAGACCCAGGGTCCGTTCAGCAAAACCGGTTTTCGTCGTAGCCTTCGCCATTCCACCCCCAAGTACGGAGTACCTGAGGGCTGCCGTCGTACGCATGTACCTAAAACATACCTAGGTACCTTACTAGGTCCCTAATGTACTCGTACCTCTGGCTAATTGATCTGCGGGCTGATCAGAAGCGATCAGCCCGGCTGCCTTTGCCCCAAGCCATCGATGTCATACATTTCGCCACTTCGTACGTTTTACTCGTATCTCACAGCATTTGAATTGCCATGTGAGACAACCATCTTCTAAGTGGTTTGTCATTGGCCGTGGTTGTAAGCGCTTAGGCCACCACCTCTTTGTTGGATTTTACTCCACGAGGCCTAAGCCCTAAGTCTTTGTTCGGACAATGAACACAGCAGTTCGGAAGTGCTGAGACTTGGTCCTTGCCAAACCCAGACTGGACCCTGTCGTATTCCGACGCTTTCGGCGCTATTGTCCAGCCATTCTGCTGGTGCAAAGAGTGTTGATTGCGTACACGAGGCTGTGCTAAGGTAGCTAGGTAGCTAGGTACTAGGTAGGCAATTTCGACCTCCCTAAAACCCTCAGCCTCGTCCACAACGGTCAATTTGGTAAACCACAGTTATGTAGAAGACCACTATCAGTTGCAGTGGAGAGCAACACCCCAGTAGATGAGGGCCATGACATCTGAATCAGGACAACTCGGCTGTTTCTGCCCCCTCTCGTCCACTCTTCTATTCATGTTACTGCTCCCAGGGGTGGCGGCAGTGGCATGCATAGAATGCAGCAGCTACACACTGCCTCGAGTGGCGGAGGTGGTGTATCCTGCTTAATTCACACAGCACGTTGTTCTGGTTGTGAATGATAGACTGGTCCTGGTGTTCGAATTCGGCCACTTCACTGCCTTCATTGCCTTCACTGCCTTGGGTGGTCGATTCTGCCGCACCCTGCCTCGAGGTGCTGGCAGTATTGCTGCGCAATTCACTGTCCTGTTGTTCTCTGCGCGTGAATCTGCCGCTCGTTGCCTCGAGATACTGGCAATATCATCTGTTGTCCACCTATCCTGCCGGTACCTGCGTTTTTCGCACATTCACCCACCTATAAATATTCCCTCTTCACTCAGCAACCCTCTCTCCCTTCTCTTCTCTGTTTCATAAACGCGTTTCACCTCGCATCCTTCGTCTTTGGACTGATCGACAGCAAGCCAGTGTTCTTGATCGTTCTTGATTCTCATCAGTATCTTCAAGACCACTCTTCCAACGCTTCTGTCAAGCCTTGACCTTTCATGCGAACCCGAAACCTTCTCCTATCTTCTTACCTCTCCACAAACTCTTCACAAGCAAGAGAACCACCAAACCCTCCTCATCTCACACCGCACCTACCTCTTCACAAGCAAGAGATTCTTCAAAACCATCCTCATCTCACACCATACCTACCTCTTCACAAGCAAGAGAAACCGCCCTCCTCATCTCACACCGTACCCACCTCTTCAAAAGCAAGAGAAACCGCCCTCCCCATCTCACACCTACCTCATAAGCGCAGTTGAGACAGGAAGACAGATCCTGCAAAGCGCAAAAGCAACACAAACAGCACAACAACGACAGGAAGACAACATCCTGCAGACGCCAAAAGAGCGTACGACAAACACAAACACAAACACAAACTTATCTTCTCTCCGCGAACAAGACCACAAGCGTCGTCGCATCACACAAACCTTTCTCTCTCTCTCTCTTGAAAAGACCAGTCAACACCAACCATGACTCGATCAGTTTTCGTCTTCCTCTTGCTCTTCTACCTCTGCCTGGGGTCCTCTGTGATGGCGCAACGCATCACCCCCGAAGGCGTTCAAGCCGTCGCAGTCGGAGCCGCCTTGTTCGGCGTTCTGAGCTGGCAAGTCATGCGGCAAGGCCATATCGATATCGATATAGGTAAAGAGAAGACACCTGAGCGTGTTGACACCAGCAGCTCCTCAGTCGACGTGGCAGTGACAACTGCTCCTCCTGCTCCTCGTGTATTGTCCACGAGGCTGCTCTCAACGATTGGCACAGGCCTGATTAGCACGCCTCCGTCCGCGACGCCCTTGACAACATTCTACTGGGCCACCCACGACGAGAACTACCGCATCATCGACTACCAAGAAGTCGTTGGCTGGAGAGTGGGCAATCTCAAGGGCGACCTGCCCAGCAGCTCTTACAGCACCGCGGTGGTTGGCGATGCCAGCCCCAATGCCGCACACACCCCGGCCTTCGAAACGGCCAGTACAAGGGGCAACGAGTCCAATGCTTCCTCCTCCGCCTTTGCCACATTTATGGCATCAAAATGGCAAGACTTGGTCGTTTCCCATCTCGAGGATGGCTCCGCCGAACAACTGGGCATATGGCTCGTCAACCAGACCCGAACCCAACTCGCCAAGACTCTTGGGTTCGTGGTCAGAAGCATCCTCAAGCTCACGGATGTCATGGGTCTGTTTGCGTTTCTGGTTGTCGCCCTCGTCGGTCGGTACTCGTGGTTCTTGTGCAAGGAGCTACCCTCCCTCTCCCGCAGATACGCCTCTGTGCTCGCATACCTTGTGCAGTCGTTGGTCAACGGCCTGCTGGCGCGAGGCGCCGAGTCACTCCATGGCCTGACCGTTGCATGGGAAGAGGCCAGAGGGAAGTACCAGCTGCGCAAGCTCGAACTGGAAAACGCGATCCGTGAAGCCAAGTTACGGGCCCGAATGCTCGATGAGCAGATCTCCAAGCTCCCACGGCCGGTGGCCCCAGTGGATCAGAGCACCCAGACCGACGCCCTGCCCGCCCCTGCTCCTGCTCCTGCTACTGTCCTTGCTCCCGGCCCTGCCCTGAAATCGCCCAAGAAGCAGCCCCGCAAGCTGCCCAGAGAGTCTCCGTTCTTTTCCGGGCCCAATCTTCCAACAGGGATGGACCTGGACCTTCCTCTGTCGTCTCCGGCCAAGCCTCAACCGAAATCTCGAGCCCCAACAAAGTCAATCAATGAGGTTGATTGCGAGTCCTCCGATGAGGAGGAACTCGCGCGGTTTCGGGAGAAAACCCGGTTTGCGTCACCTGTCACCAGACCATCCAGAAGACGGCGGACTAGCGAGCAACAGAAGGCTCTCGATGAGTGGCGAGCCGAGCGAGCCCAGCGAGCCCAGATGAAGGCCAATGCCCGTCTCAGTTCACTCGACCCTGGGATGTTTCCGACCTTGGACAAGGCCGCTGCAAGCGATGAAGACGTCGTCGCTTCGGATGAGCAAACTCAGCCGACCATGCAGCAGGCAGAGTCCACAAGTCAGGAAGCCCATCCCGCAGCCGTAGATGACGTTGTCGTCGGACAGATTGCTGCGCTAGAGGCGATGCCTCAACAGAAGGCGCAGTCGAGTCCTCCCGCAATGCCCGGCGCCTGGGACGCTGACGAGGAGCCTGAAAAGGCCCCTTCTGAAGCCGACGAGGCACCATCTTCGGCTGAGACGCCGGAGGTGGCTGCTGAGTCTGAGATCCCGGCTGGCGTAGAGGACTTTCGTCCTCCCACAACCCCGCCTCCTCAATCGCAGCAAGACAAGACGGTCGAGGAGGAGGAGAAAGACGCCGACGACAACGACGGCAAGGACAACGACGATGACGACGATAGCGACGACGATGACGACACGAAGCCCAGTTCGGAGGGCTCGTTGTCTGCCGCGGCACTTTCTCCTGCACCTAATGCAGAGCCTCCGTCAGATGCAGCTTTGCCAGCCGCCAATGTGAGCCTCTCTGGCGTGGGCCAAGAGGCTCCCAGAGCTGCAGGATCGACACCACGGGGGATCTTGCGAAGTGGAAATAGTACTCGCCAGGTCTCGGCGCGTGTTCGCTTCGCTGAGGAGACAAACACATACCATTTCCCGGGAGATCGGTGCCCTATGGAGGCGGAGGACTCTGTGGATGTCGTCGTGAGCATGCCGACGCCGGTGCCAACGCTGCCGGAACCCGAGGCCCCTCAGGCGCCTCAAATGCCTGAGGTTGTCGAGGGCGAAAGTGAGCGGGCGCAAGTTGACCAGCAGCCGACCCCCTGGCAACAAACATTAGTCCGTCCAACCGAGCTAGAGGAGGCGGTGCGGACTAGGGGGGCGACGGTCAATAGGGGACGTCGTCAGATCAGGCCTATACGCCGGAGACTTCCTCGAAGAGAGCCAGGGCAGGGCTCCAGCAGCTCAGTGTTTTCCCATTGCCTGTCAACCGCTGCTGCCACTCAGCCAGAGTCTGAGCCGGTTCAACCAAGCCAGCAGCCCGATGGGCTCTTCCCTGGTCTTGTGAACAGCGAAGCCTCGACAAGCGCTGCTGGGATCAGCACGACGCCGGAAGTGGATATGGAGGAAGGCGGAGAAGAGCCGCCCGCTGTCGATGACAGCTTCGATCCCCCATCTGAAACCATGGACGTCGATTGGGAGGAACCGCCGAGTGAGACAAACGCAATGGAGGTTGATGCGGACATCCCTGCCGCAGAGACAAATGCGAACAACGCCGATGGCGAGGTGCAGACCACCACTGCACCAGTTCAGCTACCTCCCGGGGCCTATGTCGGAGAAGACGGAGTCATTGAGCTCGGCATGTACACTGGAGAGGGTGAGAGAGACCCAGCAGTGATTGCCTACAGAGAGCACCTTGATTCCGAGAGCGAGTCTTGCTCCGACAGCTCCGAAGACTCGGCGGATTTCGAACAACTGAATGGCAACCTGGACATTGACGAGGACGGCTACTATCGGAGCAGCGCCGATAGCGATCTTGACGGCGATGCCGTCGGTGAATCAGAGAGTGAGGAGTCAGCTTCTGACGAGGAGTCAGAGGCTGAAGACTCCGACCTTTATGGTTCGCCGCCCGGGAGCCCGACTTTCACCAGGAATAGGCTCTCGGATGAAGATCTGGCGCTGGCTCAACGATATTGGCCCGAGCTCCTGGAGAAACAGGGGGAATCGGAGGAGGAGGATGAGGAGGAGGATGCGGAGGAGGATGAGGGGGAGGACGAGGAGGAGGATGGGAGGGAGGGCCCAGGAGGCGGCAGCGGAGGACAGGGCGGAGGAGACAACAACCGGGACGGAGATGCCGGACACGGTGGCGGAACGGATGGAAACGGCGATGCCGTAAAAGAGCCGAACAGCAACCAGGAGACCGACAGCAGGCACAACCTCGAGAACGCCAGCCAAAACCCAAGCCCAAGCCAACCTCAGTCTCGACAAGAACAGCCACCCAGCTGGAGACAGGTGATGGATGCAATTGAGGGCCTTCCACCGGTCTGCTGGGTCGAGCCTTCGAAAGTCGAAATGGTGATTGAAAATGGTCAGATTGTGATCAATGGGGGTTGGGTTGCCGACAACCCTGGATTCACCTTCAGCACAACGGGGAAGAACTTCATCCGATGCAATGAGAAGTTCCGCGTGCAGCACGGCTGGAGACTCATCAGGAACTGTGAAGAGTGGAAGGCTGGCAAGTCGCATTGGGGGCCCTGAATGTGGCGGATACCAAACAGGATCGGGACAACAGATCCCTGAGCCAATGACACATGCATCTTCCCGAAGCCCATCGTTGACGTTGTCGGTTTCGTTTTCGGTTTCATTTTCGGCCTCAGTTGACTCTTACGATGTGTGTGGCCACCGAGCATCGATACACAGTCGGGACACGGACACAGAGCGCGGCCGAAAGGAAAGAATCGGGGTTCCTTTCAAACCTTCTTCTGTGTCAATACAAAGTCCTCTTCTTTCTACCTCGGCCGGTGTCCATGTACTATGCCGTCATTATCGATTGGTCTCAACGGGTTGGAAAAAATTGTTCATTACTCGGGGATGCCGCAAACCCTGCCAGCAAGATCTGCCCAATTGCCATGCGCGGTGGAATCGAGGAAAATTACTTCCTGGCGAGATACCAAAATCGATCGTGGAGACCAGAATGAGGTCCTGGACTATGTGCCAGTGGCGGGACCCAGTTCAGGCGCATTCGGCCGACTCGGCATGCCAGGTTGATCGCTGAGATTGTCCCGCTTCTGGCATCTCTCCTTATGTTAAAAGTGGTATACGTGACTGGAGCTTATCAAAAGCTCCGTCTCGGACGAAAAGGAAAAGGCTGGCGTCGGATCCGCCGGGCGCTCCAGGAGACCGAGAATCCGAGGTCATCGTACTTCGTATTCGTTATTTGCCATCGCTAGCGGAGCAGGAACAGGGGCAGGAGGAGCAGGGGCAGGCGCTCAAGTGAGAAACCGACCGTGCGGCCATCTGCCATCTGGCGCAAGTCGGGGCCGGAGTCTCCGTGGAGCTTCTTTTGCTCGGTCAGGGCACCTGAAACGGACCTCTGAGGTATCATCAGCATGGCTCCCCCCAAATTGAGGTTGCTGCAAGGATCCTGAGACTCGAAGGGGACTGACCTGACGGCAGCCACAGCCACGTTGACAACAAGCTGCATGTTGGCATGGTGGCCGTAGCCGTGTCTGGAGACCAGTGAGGGCCGGAGTACGGCGTGCAGCGCAGCAGATCTCTTGTGAATCATGCCAGTGGCAGCCAGCAGTCATGTCGGAGGGACGGAGATGATGGAAATAAGAACTTGAAAGATGGACGCCACCGCAGACTCAAAGAGCACGGACACTGGCCAGCAATGCGCATGCCAATCGCCCCCACTGCCAGCTCTAGTTAAAGTGGGTGACGCCCGGGGTGACTTCTCTACTAGGCGCCTTAGGCTGCTTAGGCTCCCTTGCTTACCGTATGGGGGGTGACTATTAGTTGTTTCTGCACTGTATGTACTCCTGTAGGCGGCCAAGTCTCGTCACGATTATCAATTTAGGGAGTCTGGGCACACGGCCTTACACAATCACCAGCCCACCCTGGTGCCCGTGTGGCACGAGTTCTTTGCAAGGCCTTCCGACTCCAGGCTTCCATCAATTAAAAGTTCTGGGACCTGCTTCTGCCTCATAACTAATACAGTTCAAACGAGCTCTCACGTCTCATCTCCTGTCTGCCCGAATTCCCCCCTCTTCTACGACACGCTCCCTTTCCTGCCGTCGTCCTCGCCACCTAACGTTAACGTTATGAGCCTATTGGCTTACAAATGCTGACCTTTCCCGCCCCTCTCTGGTCCTTCGTCATCGGGTGGCTCCATTCATCAGTGTCACAAACGAATATCCGAAGTCCGCTCGATCCAACCGGCCGGGGAAGAGGTCTCTCTGCGGGCGACCGCATCTGAGCCAACATGGACCATCAAGGCGGCATAGATAGTCTGGGATTCGACATGTCCCAGTTTGTATCCCACCAGACGCCTCAAATCTTCGGCGCTTACAACGGAGATGGCAATTCTATAGCATATTCTGACTTCAATGATGGCGGCGGCGACGAGAACGACCCGAAGCGCCGGCGCATTGCGAGGGTGCGTTCTCAGCCAACTTGAAGACATACTTCGGGCTCTGACATTCTTGGCAGGCTTGCGACATGTGCAGAAAAAAGAAAATCAAATGTGACGGGAAGATGCCTAAATGTGGTCACTGCATAAACTACAAGACGGAATGTGTCTTCACACAGGTGGAAAAGAAGAGGAATCCGCCAAAAGGGTATGTGGCACAAATGGTCACTGGGTTCGATTGGGAGCATGAGCTGACCTGCGAGGCTAGTGCCAAATATATCGAGGGCCTGGAAAACCGCCTCGGGCGCATGGAGTCTCTGTTGCGCATGTCCGGTCTCTTGACTGAAGACGAGGCCGGCAAGACTGATCTCGGCACCCTGGAGAAGCGTCTGGCTGAGAAGGCTTCCTCCAGAGAGAACACAGCACAAAGAACAGACTCGCCCGCTCCACCGAAGAGTGGTCCAGGCTCTTCAATACCAGGAACTTCTCCTCAAACAGGGTCTCAGCGAGATTCCCATGATACCCCCCGCGAATCCTTTACCACCCCAAGCGCCGATGGCGATAGAGCAGGCCGAGAAGATGTCGAGAATCTCTCGGAGGCCATGTGCTCACTTGTCACCAACAATGTGGGCGAGACTAGATATATTGGTGAGTGCCTGAACGGTCAATCCTGTCTCATTTTCACACTGCCTTCTAATCACGACCAGGGTCATCGTCCGCGTTCTCGATCTTTTCAAGTAAAGGCATTGAATGGGTCAACGAAAAGACAGGCGACACGTCCTTCCAAGAAACTATACAGAATGCCGTCAATGAAGACGAAAATAAGTGGCAATATTGGAAGCCCGAGATATTCGGCGACATCTTTGTCCGCCGGGTTTTCAAGCCTTTACCGCCAAAGGAAGAGGCTCTCTCATTGTTCAAGGACTTTTTTGAGAATTTCAACTGCATGTTTCCGCTATTTCACGAGCCCACTTTCATGCACTTGGTGGAAAAGCAATATTCACGGGATCCCTACCAGGGCAGTGGCTGGTGGGCCAGCATCAACGTCGCCTTAGCCATCGCCTATCGCATCAGAGTCATGAGCAATGTGGTTCCACAAGAGGACGACCGTAAGGCGTGGCTGTATTTGAAGAACGCGATGGGGGTTATCACCGAACTCACCATGCGGAATACCGATCTGCTCAGTGTCCAGGCCTTACTGGGTATGGCTTTGTTCCTGCAGGGTACTCCGAACCCTCAGCCGTCATTCTTCCTCATCGCTGCCGCGATCAGATGTTCGCACACGATCGGCCTTCACAAACGAGGGTCGGCGTTCAACCTGAATCCCATCGAGGTCGAGCAACGCAAACGAGTCTTCTGGATTGCCTACCTCCTCGACAAAGATGCGTGTCTTCGGTCCGGAAGACCCCCTGCTCAAGATGACGACGATATGAACGTCGACTTGCCTTCAGAGGATCCTCCGGACAATATCGGCAATGTTCCGCTGGGGGATGGGAAGGGCAAGATCAATCTGTTCCGTCTAATGTGTGAATTTGCCACCATCTCCAGCAAGGTCTACCGACAACTCTACTCTGTCCGGGCCTCGAAGCAGAGTGACGGCGAACTGCTCAACACTATCGGCGAGCTTGACAAAGAACTCGAGGCTTGGAAAGACAGCATTCCGATCGATTTCCGGCCAGAGCACGAAATCAAGACAACGCACACCCCTCTAGCCCTGCACATTGTCGTCCTTCATTTCTCCTACTACAACTGCCTAACCACCATCCACCGAATGTCGGTTCACCATGGCTATTGGACCAGTCGGTTGTCCGAATATGCTATCCAAGGACTCAACGCTCGGCCGCTCAACCCTCGAGTCTTCTCCTCCGCCGCTCTCTGTGTCTCAGCCGCCCGGGCCTCTATCCATCTGATCAAGTATATCCCACAAGGAGACTTTGCTTGCGTATGGCTCATCCTGTATTTCCCTGTCTCCGCTCTGGTCACACTTTTTGCGAACGTCCTGCAAAATCCTCAAGATACGCGCGCCAGAGCCGACATCAAGCTGATGGACCTCGTTGTCAACTTCTTATCCAATATTGCTCGTGATGAAGGCTCGGGGTCTTTGAATCGCATGCTCACTGTCTGCTCCGAGTTTGCTCGTATCGCAAGGGTTGTGGTTGAAAAGGCGGAGAGGGAAGGCTCCAAGCGCAAGCGTCGGCTTGTTCCCGAAGAAGTTGTGCGGGTCAACCAGTCCGCGATGGCGCAGGTGCAAGCTCAAAAGAATAACCGGCCTTCCGGTTCACGGAGGTCAAGCGGCACTGGAGGATCTCCTCGAGGAGTTGGCGCCGTCCCGTCCACGAGCGGGATGCCTCCCACATCAACAACCACGACCCAAGGCAACGGTCTTAACACCAACGCCTCATTTTTCCATATGCCCAACCTCGACAACGACTACGCCGACATACTCAACCAGCCTGGAATGAGCCCTGACCTCGGCCAGCAGCACATGCCGAGCTCTACCATGTCTCCTCTCAACGTTGGTTCTTTTCAACAACCGTTCGTTCCGCAGGATCTATGGCAGATGCCCATGACTTTCGAATGGGACTGGGTCGACTTTGGGCAGTCTTCGGCCAACGATTTCATTTTGAGCGACGGACTAAATGATGGAACGATGCCTCATCAATGAGGGTGGAAACACGATTCACAGCTTGTATACGAATTTTCGGTCGAGTCGATGGTCTTGACCTTGACGACGGTCACAACAAGATAGGCATATGGATGAGAGCGATTCTGGTCGACATGAGCGGTATCTGTTTCTTCCGGGCCACCAAACTTGTATATTACTTATATGATACCCCCAAATAGCACATTTCGCTGACCCTGCGACTTGTTTCCTTTCCGTTACAGTGACTTGGACCTCTTCAGAACCTTCTGACGATCCATAACAATGCCGACACGGGGGGGTCGAATCGCCTCTTCAGCGAACCGGTCCGGTCAGTACCCCCAGCCTTGCAGCTACCGGCATGCCCTCCGGTCTAGGCTGTGGCTGTGGCTCTGATTCCATGCTCTTTACAGACTGGAAGCACACGCTGGGACACAGACCCAGCCCGTCGAGGCGCGGACATGTCCTCTCAGCCTCTATACTTGGTAGCTTTCATTTCACAAGCTTCCTTCACTTCCAAATCTTGATGCAGTAGCGTTCTGCCATTGTTCTAATCTGCTGGTATCTTTGTTGGTTGCATGTTCTTTGTGCCGGTACCCAAAGGACATTCATTCACTGCCTTGGGCGAGCTCAACACAAAGGACATTCATTCACTGCCCTTGTTGATTTCACCAGCAACCTTTCCACACAAAGGCCGCATATCTTTCTTTCTTTCTTCCTTCTTTCCTTCCTTCCTTTCTCTCTCCACCCCAGCACCAACCCATCCCATCGCGGATGCGGATGCGTTGTCTCTCTACTTCAAATCCGATCCCGCATGATCTTCTTGATAGCGCAAAGCCTGCAGGTCGATCCCAATCCCACTGTCTGATGGCAACAGCATCATCAACACCAGACGCGTTCAACCAAAGAGCGCACTCTCCTTTCAGCCCACCATCATCCTCTCGATACCATCAAATCTCCAAGTCATACTGTATAACTCTCTACTGGTTATCAGATATCAAACGCGTTCACCACCAGCGCACGCCAGAAACCACTCAAACACCCGCAAACACAACCAACCAACCAACCTCACCCACATCAAATCCCTTCAAATACTCCAGCAACCATGGCGCAAGAACAGATCTTCTGGAAGTACTTCTTTCTTATGCTGAAAGATTGGTGGTTCGGGCCCACCAGCAGCAAGGCCACCATCGACGCCCCGAAATGTCCTGACTTCCCGCATGACTCGACCAGCTTTTCCGGTGCTGCGCTTTTCGACGCCAACTCATGGACAGAGGAGGTTGTGGTCCTTCTTCAACAACATGACCATCATTATAAATTTAGAAATAGCCATCGAGCTTCTTCCGACGAGTTTAGCGTCGTCCACACCTGTCTGTTGCAGCCAATCGAGCAAGCCATCTTCAACCCGGTTTGCCCGGTCATACAGACCCAACAACATGTTCAAGTCCAGACGGAGTTTCTGGCAACGGCAGAGCAGACGTCGACGGACCTCGTCGTCTGGCACGGTCGGCCAGAGTGCAGCCAGCCGGAGTACGGTCAGCCGGAGTACGGCTCGAGCGATGCTCGCCATCCCAGTCCTCTGTTCGCCACCCCGTTCGTCTCTTTCTTGGTGCTCTTGTTCCTCACCTACTTGTGCTTCACCTGCTTCGCCTGCTGTGTGTCGTGCTTGGCCCGGCCTCGGGTAAACAAGCAAAAGCGAGCGCTGGAGGAGGCCATCATTCAACAACAAGCCGAGGTCTTGAGGTCGCAGGAGGAACTCATCAACAAACAGACCGACCTGGCCCGTGCCAGCGAGGAGGCCATCAAGAGTGAGACGGACGCGATCAGCCAATGCAACTGCTTGGTCGATACTCTGACCAAGAAGCTCGATGAACAGCAGCGGTCGCTAGACGGCTATGCCGTCAAGGTCGATGACCTGGAAAAGACCGGCAAGGGACAGCAGGCTGGTTTGGACGCGTACGCCAAAGTAGTGGCCGATAAGGAAGCGACCATCACTGACCTGAAGGCCGTCTGTGAGAAAGCCAAGTTGACCCACCAAGCCAGCAAGGACCGGATCCTACGGGATCAAGACCGCCTCAAGCTCCTTGGAGAGTCGGTGAAAACCCGAGACAAGAAAATCCATGAGCAGGAGAAAGCTTTAGAGACGGCAAAGTCGGCGGCCGAGTCCAAAGACAAGAAACTCCACGAGCAGGAGGTGGCTCTGGAGACGGCCAAGTCGGCAGCCTGCTCTAAAGATGACAAGATCAGAGAGCAACAGAGAGCTCTCGCCACCATGAACTCGGTGGTCAAGTCTCGGGACGGGAAGGTCAAGGAGCAGGAGCAAGCTCTTGCGGAGGCCAAGTCGGCGGTCGGGTCTAAAGAAAACCAAATCCGAGAGCTGAAGAAGGCTCTGGAGATGGCTAGGTCGGCGACCGGATCTAAAGACAAGAAAGTCCAAGAGCTGGAGAAGGCTCTAGAGACGGCTAGGTCGGCGGTTGGGTCTAAAGGCAAGAAAGTCCAAGAGCTAGAGAAGGCTCTAGAGAGGGCTAGGTCAGCGGTCGGATCTAAAGTCCAAGAGCTAGAGAAGGCTCTGGAGACAGCCAAGTCGGCGGCCCAGTCTAAAGTCCAAGAGTTAGAGAAGGCTCTAGAGACAGCAAAGTCGGCGGCCCGGTCTAAAGACGACCAGCTCACAGAGCAACAGGAAGCTCTGGCCACCTTGAACTCGGTGGTCAAGTCTCGGGACAGCAAGGTCAATGAGCAGGAGCAAGCTCTGGCGGCCCTGCAAGCATCGGCCACGGCCAAAGATGCGACCATCACCGAGCAAAAGAATGCTCTCGGGGCCCTGACCTTGACCGTGGAGTCGAAGGATGGCGAAATCCACGAGCAGAAGATTGCTCTCGCCGGCTTGGAGGGATATGTCAAGGACACGGAGGACACGGTTGCCCAACAGCGGTGCAAGATTGAGGAGCTGGAGCGACAGGTCAAGCTCGCCGAAGAGGGCCAGCGAATGGAGGAGGCCAAGCGGCAGAAGGCCGAGGAGGACCAGAAGGACTCGCAGCACGAGCTGGACCGAGTCAAGCAGGAGCTCAAGGTACGAGAGGAGCGTGTGCCCATCGTTGGCGCCGACCGGCCCGACCTCGACCCCTATCCCCGGCCTCCTTCTCGTCCTCATCTGCAGCTGCTGACGACCTTCACTGAACAGGACCGAGCCTTTACCGCCAATGGCGCCGACGAAGAATCCAGTCCGAGCTTTGCTCAGACTCGCGTCGAGTCGGCCCGGCCGATGGCCCCAGTGCCGGCTCAGGCTCAGGCTCTCGCTCCTGCTCCGGTCTGCAGCACCTTTATCGAAGAACTCGATTCCTCCTTCTGCAACACCGCGGCCGATCTCGACACTTCGCCGACAGCTCCAGGTGTCAAAGTCAACTTGCTGGGTTCGCCAGCCCCAGCCCCAGTCCCGGCGTCAGCTCCGGTGTCAACTCCGGTTTCCGCCGTTGTTGTTGCTAGTGCAGATACGGGTGCGGGTACGGGTGCGTCAGGGCCGATGGCCAAAGACCGTGACCACATCTTTGGCGAGCCGAAAGTCAAGCACCAAGGCCACGGTCCTGGGGACTTGATGAAGAGCAAGTACGCCACACCAGTGGTGAGTGCTGTTGCCTCTCCTGCTGGGGACCTGATAAAGAGCAAATACACCACACCAGTGGTGAATACGGTTTCCACCGTTGTTGGGGGTGGTGCAGGTACGGGTGCGTCTGGGCCGATGGCCAAAGATCGCGACCACATCTTCAGCGAGCCAAAAGTCAAGCATCAAGGCCACGGTCCGGGGGACCTGATGAAGAGCAAGTATGCCACACCAGTGGTGAATACTCCTACCCCTCCTGCCAGGGCCAGTCGTGCCGGTGGGCCTACTCCTGCTCCTACTCCATCCCCTGCTCCGGCTTCTGGGTCTCCTTTCAGCTCTTCTCGTCTTCCTACACCGACCGGGTCGGTGAGCCAGAGCGAGAGAAGCCACATTTTCACTGTGGCCAAAGTCAAGAACCAAGGCCACCCTCCGGGCGATTTGCTCAATAGCAAATACGCCACAGTGGCACCTGGCCCAACATCGGCACCAACTACCCCTGCTGGTCCTCGCACTGCTGTTCTCAATCGGTCTGGCTCCCGTAGCTCTCCACGCGTGCCGGGAGCACCGACGCGACCCATGACGAAGATGGAGCGGGTCATTGCCTGGCAGACGGCTGCTCGGGGTTTGCCTGAGAACACACCAAATCGGCCTAAGACGCCGGTGGAGCGGGCTGAGTCGAAGCGAGGATCACCTTCCTGATGGACCAATAGAGGACATTTGTGAGGGTCGAGGGATCATGAGGAGGAATGGGTAGGAATTGAAGTGGAGGAATAGGGAATCGGAGGGAAGGGGAAGGGAAGGGGAAGGAGGCCCAAGTGGAGGAGAGGAAATTAGAGCATATAAGACGCCGGGGGAGGAGAGGCGGAACAGGGAAGGGGAGGAAAGAGGAAAGAAGAGGTCGGTGCGACTTTGACCGGCATATGGAGGGAAGACTGGCGACAGTCACCACTGCAGAGGGACGGAAGGACAAGAATCCCACAGCGGGCAGCGGGCAGGACCCCTGAATGTGGATGTGAAAGTGAATGTAAAGCAAATGGCCAAAGAACACTGGCAGTATTGAACTATTTCTCTTCTCCCTTCTGCCTTCTGCCTTCTCCCTTCTCTTTCTCTCTTCTGCCCTCTCTATTCTCGTCAATATCACAGTTAACAAGATCACGCTGGATATGTTATGTTGCACCTTCAATATCACAATTGACGATCATGCTAGATATGTTATGTTGCGCCGTCAATATCACAATTAACAAGATCATGCTGGATATGTTATGTTGCACCGCCAATATCACAGTTAACAAGATCATGCTGGATTGATATGATGCACTGCACTGCACGCCTAAAGAACTGTTCTGTTTGTTGCTTTGCTTGGAGAGGCGGAGAAGGTCGTACTGTAAATAAATCAATACCTTACCTAGGCTACAGGCCCAGGTCCAGAAGGTATACCTTAAGCTACAGACCCAGTCCTAACCTTAGCCCAGTCCCAACCCTACAGCAAAGTCCCTGCAAGACGTACAAAACCCCCATGTCTGGGCGCAATTGAACTCGATGGACTCCTGACTGCTGGAGGGGCTGGTTGTGGCGGCACCATCGGAGAGGAGGATCACGTCGTAGCCTTTTGAGAAAGCCTAAAAGGTGATGGATGGAATAGTTAGTCAAGTCAGGCATAAGCTCTAGGTTAGGGGGGTGGGATGGGATGGAATTGTTAGTCTAGTAAGTCAGGCTCCAGGAGTAGGGGTTGTGTAAGGGTAAGAGTGGGTGTCAGAATTCATGGCGCCTTAAATCTACAAGCGTTGTGACCAGCACGACATAAGGCGCCATGAATTCTGACACCCACCCTTAGGGTGTTGACCCTAACTCTCTAACCCTAGCCCTCACCTCACCCTCACCCTAGATAGACAGAAGGAGAGAAAGATCTAGGGCTCCATAGAGGCTTGGGGGTCGGGTAAGATGTTAACCCTAACCCTAACCCTAACCCTAGCCCTTGGGTAAAAGAAAGATTGGGCAAAAGAAAGATCTGTTCTGGCTCCATGGAGGCTTAGGGTCGGGTAAGGGAATTGACCGTCACCCTAAATAGACAAAAAGACAGAAAGAAGGAGAAAGATCCAAACTTACATCCTGCAAACTCCCTCCGACGCATTGGTCAGTATTAACCCCCGCAAAGAACAGGGTCTGGATGCCCTCCCGGTCGAGAAAGTCGGTACAGTCGGACCGCGCGCCCCAGAGGCCAGACATGCGGTTCTTATGGATCCAGACGTCGGGCGGATTCGCGGCCAGGCCTTGCTCGTACGCTTGTCGCAGAGCAGGCGTGAGGTCGGCGTTCCATGTGTCGCGCATGAGGAGTCTGCCTGCATCCACGGCAACACCGTCATCGAGAGTCACGGGCCCAATGTCGGTGCCGAGACCTCTGTAGATCCGGGGACGAGTCTGAGTGTGCCCGGAGCCTGGGGTTGTTTTGGCTGTGGTATCGACTCCGTCGCCATCACCGTCGTCGCCGATCTTGTCGCAACCTTCATTGACGCCATGAGAGTCCATTGCCGCTTGTTTATCTTCGATGGTGGCATACGCCTCAAAATCCTCGGCGCGCACCGTCTCGAACCCAAACGCCCGAAGAGTGCTGGGAGGCATGGCAACCACCTCTTCGTCCGTCAGACCCCAGTTCAACCAGACCACGCGGATGCCGGCCTTGCGCGCCGCGGGGATGGCGAATCTCAACAGCTGGTGCTGCGCGAGCAGGCCTTTGGAGTCACGCGGCCGACCGAGACTGGGCGACAAGAAGAAGTTCTGCATGTCGATGATGACTAGGGCCGACTTGGATGCGCTGATGGTCACAGGCTGTGTGGTCGTGGTGATGGTGTGGCGGCCTGTGGAGGTCGAGGTGGAGGTCGGGGTGGCTGGGTGGGTGAGGTCGAAGCCGGTCGTGGTGTCGTACAGCCAGAATAGGCCGTTGGGGTTGCCGATGATGGCTTTGCGATGGGTTGGGATGGGGGTGTCCATGGTGCGTGGGTCCGTCTTGTCCATGGTGTGTGGATGGGCTAGGTTGGTGTTGTCCATGGTGCGTGGATGGGCTGGGTTGGTCTTGTCCCTTGTGCGTGGATGAGGATGAAAATGAGGATGAGGATAACACGAGGCTGGGCAGGTCAGGGGCGACTTTCAAGGTGGATAAAATAGTGGTTGGTGGATGGGACGGTGGATGGATGAGCCTGAATCTAGGTCCCTTGTGTGTCGGCCGCTCGGGGTTCGGCACTTGCACTTCGTCTCACATGGCTCAAGTAGGTAGCAAGTAGCAGTGAGAGTGCAGGCTACACGGCAGATATATATACCTACCTAGGACCTAGTACCTAATCTACAGTATCGTATCGTATCAGTCAGTCAGTCAATCAGTCAGTCAGTCAGTCAGTAGTCAGTCAGTCAGTCGTGGTCCTGATCGAGGGGAGGGGAGGGGAGGGACGGATAGATGATAGATAATTGATAATTGATAACCCCGCCGCCGTCTGATAAGCCTTAGGCCGCTGGTCGAAATAGGAAGGAGACGACGGGCCTCCTAAGCCTAATAAAGCCGTTTTATAAAGACTGTGCCGAACAGGCCCTAAGGCCTTGTTATTCATTTAATGTTGGACTGGGGAGTCGGCTTTACAGTATGTACAGTACAGTACATTGTAACAGGACCTCAGCACGCAGCAGAGTTGGATTAAGGCCAGGAGACGGCCAGACAGCCAGACAACCAGACGGCCACACAGCTAAACACATCGAAACATCAGGATCGGGACTCATAAGCCACTTGCAGTCTTCTTTTGGTGCGTGTGCGTTTGCGGGTGCGTGCGCGAAGTCTATTTATTGCTCGAAATCTATTTATTGCTCGACGCTCCCATTCCCGTTTCCATTACCATTGACCTCGCCGTGTGATCGAGCACACAATTCTGGTAGCGGATGAATGCTTCGCAATCCGTTGGCTCTGTACGCCTCTACCCAAGCCGGGCCGCCCTCCCTGGCCAGTGTTTCAGCCACGGCATCTCTCCAGTCTAGGCCGACATCGACCAGGCCAGTGTGGCTTCCGTTCCAGCTCATCTTCCGCCCGCCGAGGCCGAAAGATTCCCAGGCGCCCATCTCGCCACCCGCCATAAACTTGATGTACGCCTCACTCATCTTGTCCGCCGTGATGGCCAGTTCCGCATGCGTCTGGCAGGCCGGTTGGTAGAACAGAATCGCGTTACCGAACGAGTGCCATGCATAACCTGACAGTGGGCCAGGACTGTGCCCGTCTAGAGCCTCGCCAGGAAAAGGATCCGTCACGTCGATGGAATAGCAGTAGATCTTGCCCGGGGACCGTGCGGCACAGGAAGCAGCCGAAGCGAACTCCAGAATGGGAGCAACGAATACGGCTTGCGTAGCCAGTGCAACTAAGCCGCGAAGCGGTGAACTGGCGGATTTCATCGGTTCGCTCGAGAGGATGGCCGATGCGAATTTCGGGTCGGGGTCGATGCTTTGCAAGTGCCGTCGCACGTCAGTCTCGCTTAGGTCGGTGCCATAGTTCGGAGTCAGGAACAGCGAGGCTTCATCTTTCGTATGGCCGACGATGATCCTCGAACACCAGGTTGGCATGTCGGCCCAGTACTCGAGGGATCTGACTCGGTGAGGATCCCAGTCGACGAACCAGTTGGCATCTTCAATGGCAGTCGACAAAGGCATGTCGGGTATCAACCCGATCAGATCCTGGGCCGAGTAACTTCGTAGAGCTTGAAGCTTGACTTGGTATGGGGCCTTCTCGTTGACTCCGGCAGCTTCAACAAGCCGGTCGAACAATGCTTGGGCCTGAGAAAAGGGGCGGAACGACGGGCGAGGGGAGGAGCAGATGATTGCCTGGGAGAATAGAGGCTGCTTCCCCTTCAGCTGATACAAGACTGACGCGGCGCCGGCCGACTCGCCGGACAGCGTGACGCGTGAAGCATCCCCGCCAAAATAACCAATGTTCTGTCGGATCCACTGCAGGGCGATTTTCTGGTCGTTCAACCCCTGGTTGATCACGGGCATTTCGCCCGCCTCCTCGGCCTCGGCGACGAGTTCGCGAGACGAAAGGAAGCCGAGGATGTTGAGACGGTAGTTCAAGACCACGACAATGGCAGGTTGCCCCAATTCCATGGATCTCTTCACGAGGTGGTTCCCATCTGTGATAAAGGGTCAGTGATGCGGGTTGTGACAGAGATCGGAGGAAGACCCGTACCGAATTCGGTCGTGTCATCACCACAGTTAAACGCCCCTCCATGGATGTAAGCGAAAACGGGGAACTTCCTCGCATGCTGATTCTGCAAAGCTTCAGGTGGTGCGTATATGTTGAGGTGCAGACACTCAAATTCGCTGGAGTACTGAGACATGGACAGTTGCTCAAACATATGCTTCATCAGGTCGTGGATCGGATCGAACGGCTGCGGACATCGCGGTCCGTATTGAGTGGCATCCAGATGGCCTTTTGTGCTGCAAGGCGAAAGCAAGCGCGCCGTTTTGAATCGGGCTGGGATCTGTGCATACGGGATGTTGAGAAAGTTGGCCACTCCATGGGTTGATACGTATCCATGAAGCGTGAGGTCGGCTATCTGCAAAGCACAGTCTGAAGCGTAGTTCTGGAGGGAGAGGACGACTTTCCCCCTATTCAACCCTGGGGTGAAGACCCCATTGGTTTCCGTTGCCGCTGGCATCGTTTGGTCGCACTCGGCTCTGATCTCCAATCCTGTCGTCCCAGCTGGAGAGCCGGGCTTCCCAATCCCACGGACACTCGCCCCTTTATGCTGCCACAATGCCTTTCATCAGATCAAGTAACAGAAGCGTTGGCCGGCTGTTCCGGCGCTCTACCGCCGATACCACAATTGTATCTTGGGGCCCACGGCACATGATTGTTTGGGGATCAAGACCGTTCGCTCCTGATTGCGGCTCGTCGGCGATGGACCGCTGCCGCGTGACTTGAAGAAAGCGGTTGGCCGCCGATGGACCGCAAGCTCTCATCATTTCCCGCAATTTCAGATTGCTCGCCTGGGGATTGCCCCAGACTTGTTGGCCATACTCGGTCAACTGTCGAATGAAAACGGATCCGGTGGCGTAGCCTGAACAATCTTGCCGTGGCACGAGGTCCAGACTCCAGACTCGACCGTCCTCGAGCGCAAGAAAACGTCGGAAGACGCAGCGGTTCACCGCCGACGGGCCGCCAATATATTTCCGCCTTCAGTTTGCGGGCGCGGACTGTGCGCCTGCCTTCTCCACCAGGGGGAGTTGCGGGAGAGCCAGGGCCCCTAAGCCTTGTTACTTAAAGACCTGCATGGCCCCGTCCCACGTGGAAACTGGGGAAACCCTGGGTCATCACTTCGGAGTGTGTTGGATGCACAAGCCTGACAGCTGACCCTCTGGATAGAGTGCCGCACTGCGTTTCTTTCTCTGATCTCTGAGGACCAAAGATGACAGCCGCAGCCCCCGGCAACATGGCGGACGAGCAACCCCTCGCGAGGCGCAGCAGCGTCCTCAAGTCAGTCTTTGTCTGTTTGTTCATCATGTCGGGCTCGTTGCTCTTCGGCATTGACAGCGGTGAAATTGGAGGATTCATGGCCATGGAAAGGTCGGTCTTTCTCCCCCTGCATGAACACCGTTGTCGCTAATCTGAACTGTTGACAGCTTTTTGAAAGATTTTGGATACTATGACCAGGCGACCCAAGCATACAATATTGCCGCACACATCCAACTTGCTTTGAACGGCATGCTCTTCACAGGCTGTATCTTAGCGAGTATCTCGGCAGGTTATATTGGAACAAAATATGGCCGTCGAGTCGGCCTGTTCTGTACCGGATTGGTCTCTATCATTGGCGTTGTATTCCAAGTCTCGTCAGCCCATCTGGGCACCCTCTATGTCGGTCGTATCTTCACTGGAGGTGAGACTGTCATCCCAACTGGATGAGATGGTGTTTTGCTGACCTCCTCACCCAGCCGGAGTCGGGTTTGCCTCCAACTTCGTCCCGACCTATAACGCCGAAGTCTCACCGACGCATCTTCGTGGCATGATGATCGGCTTGTATCAGACTGGCGTCAACATCGGACAAGTTATCGGGACTTGCATAAACGAAGGGACACATAATATGTCTTCGAGATGGGCGTATCGGATTCCGTTGATGACACAACTATTTTTCCCCATCGTCCTGTGCTCCTTCGTGTGGCTGTTCCCAGAGACACCTCGTAAGTCTTGTCGTTCGCGTACCTGACCACACTCGCTCATACCATTCCTTAGGTTGGCTTCTATCCACGAACAAGCATGAAGCTGCCGCCAGAGCAGTCCGACGATTGCGTGGGAAATCGTACCCTCAAGATCAAATCACCGAGGACATTGATGAGATCGCGAAACACATTGAAGCGGAGAGACTGCTGGAGTCGTCAGGCTCCCTCTTCGATATCTTTCGAGGCTCGGATCTCCGAAGAACACACATTGCTTGTGGAACCGTTGTGTGGCAAGTGTTGAGCGGCATCTCCTTCATCAATGGCGTCAGTACCATGCCACTCCCAGAAGAGACAGAACCAGTGCTAACCTGCTGCGCAGTATGGAACCTACTTCTTTACCGTATCGGGAATCAGCAGCCCGTTCGTCATAAGCATCATTTCGCAAGTCTGCCAGCTGGCAGGACTCATTCTGATGTTTCCTTCTCTGCAATACATGGGGCGGAGAACCATCTTGCTCTGGGGAGGCGCAGGACAGACGGTTTGTATGTTCTTGTTCGCCATCGTTGGCACCGCAGCTCCAGGGAGCGTAGCTGCTGCTCGTTGTCTGGTCGCCTTCACTTGTCTGTATGGATTCTTCTTCACCTGGTCGTGGGGTCCAGTCGGGTGGATTGTGACGTCGGAAGTTGCTTCAAACACGTTGAGGTCAAAGACTCAAGGATTGGCATCAGCCGCAAGCTGGCTGGGCACCTTGGTTGTTTCCCTCTCCGTGCCTTATCTCATTAACACCGATGAAGCCAATCTCGGAGCAAAGGTAAGCTTCCAACCACGGCCAGTGGCTTGCCTTCACTGACCGCTATTAGGTGGGATTCATCTTCGGCGCTCTCTGCCTTCTAGGCTTCCTCTGGGCATACCGGTATTTGCCAGAGACCAAAGGTCGAAGTTTAGAGGAGCTTGATGAGCTCTTCATGAACGTGAGTTGAAAAATCTCTGCCGGAAAAAAGTAGTGTCAGGGGTGCTGACCTTGGCTAGAATATCTCTGTTCGCGACTTCAAGTCGTACATATGCCGAGGCCATATCGAACACCATGGTCCTGGTCAAGTCAAATCTGTCGACCTGGATGACTTGAAACCTGAGGGCCAGACGACGGTTGAAAACGTGTCACCTTAAGTTGCGGTTTTCTGCTTGCCAATTGAGCACTCCAACGCAGAGGCGCCAAGGATACACACTGGGTCAGACTCAGTGGACATGAGCACGTATCTATAACCCTTCTTTTGTCAAGTCACCAGCTCATTTCGAAATCATTCAAGCTTGGCCAATTGACTATTTGATCGTAATCAGCGAAGAAAGCATTCCAATCCGTCGACTGTAAGGCGCTGTCCACAAAATCTGTGCCGTTCATTGTCATGTCCCAGTGGCCAGAGCCTGGTGACGGGTTGTGCTGTGTTTGTGGAGCCGTCTCAGTCGGAATTACTTGGTCAGCTGTAGTCCCTGGTTCCTGTGTCGTGATCCTGTTATCGTCATGTTGATCAAGACGAGCCAGGATTGCTTTCATCGTGTGACCCTGAGTCCAGTGCACACCCCAAGTATGGTCTCGCAAGAGAAAGTGCATGAAATCCTCTGCACTTGCGACTGCAGCGTGTAGTCTATCCACCAAAGGCCGAGGGAAAACCGCACCGTGGCGAGCGTCTCTCAGAGCATCCACCACAACCATAAGGGCCCTCGAATTAGCGTAGAGAATGATGTTCAGCTGACCAGGCAGCGATCTCAAAAGCTCGGGGGTAGAATACTCGACAGTTTGACACGCTTCGAACACCAAGGAACCACTGTGCTGGATAAGCATCGTCCTGACCGAATTTGAGACATCATCATGTTCTGGTAACAACGACCTTAGACCCAAGATGAAAAGCAAGCGATTGTTGTTGTGTAGCATTTGGAGTGCACGGTACGTCTGCAGCTCATAATTGTTCTGAAGCAAGTTAAGCTGGTTCTGATGCCATTGGATCTGAACAAGAATGGAAGAAGCCTGATCGCGGAGGGCCGTCCCCGTTGCTGGGTTCGGTCCAAAAAGGTGACGAAGTATTAGGCGGAGACAGCACGAGAGGGCAGTCAGGTGGAAGAAGCAAGCATGTTGACTGAATGAGCTTGACTGGTCCTTGCTCCCTGATATCTTGACGTAGAGTACAGTGGAAAGATTTTGAGTGATATGATCGCTGATATTCAGTGTCTGACCGAGGGCTGCCGAGCAGTAAGCATCTTGGTGGACGCAAGTCGCCCACATATTTTCTCTCAGCTCCAGGTCGGCTTGATCGAATTTACCAGCTGTATCTGAGAGATGGAGGCCGAGGTCTTGTGCCATCGTGCAGGCGAAAGATGTGTGTAGCGAATACCTGAAAAGATCCGCGTGGGTTCTGGTGCAGAGCTCGAGTCGCAGTAAGACAACAAGGAGACCCTGGAGAGTTTGCAGGTCGGGTTGGTAAGGCTCTCGAAGGCTGAACAAATCCTTGAGTTCAGTGGTCAGTACGTCTTGAATATGAGCAAAGTCCCTCATTGAGGCAATGGCAGAATGATGGCGAGCTGCGCATCCCAGAATCGCTGCGTCCAGGAGTGTGTTGTGTGGGTACCGCGCAAGGCTAAGTCGGGTTACGACGGGCCACACGGGTTGAATGTGGGTGAAGAATATTTCGTACAGATGCTGTCGGACATTTGAGTTGATCACCAGCCGTGTCTTCCCTGGGTCATGAGTTGCAGTCTGAAACAACGGATCCACAGAACGAGAGGGACCCAACGCATGTGGCGGCGAGGGAGGTGGCGATTTCTTGTGGAGGTCGAGAGGGTGTCCTCCGGCATTTGAAGATAAGCCCCAAAACAGTGCTCGAGATGGTGCAGTGGGAAAGGACAAGATGGAGTCCCTCAGAGCTGCAACAGTCCAGGGCATAGAGTTGAACAAGCACGGCAGACCGTACGTGTGACATCTTGAACACGACGGATCAAAAATCTGTGATTCATCCCACGAGCACTTTAATTTTAACCTGCGTGATGTATGGTCAGTCAGGCTCAGGCCGTGACGAAGGGAAAACGGATTGGAGATTGGCCGGTACTTTTTGCATGAGTCGCAGGTGACGACTCCTTTCATGGTTGAGAGAAGCTGATCTCGGAAAGACGAGCTGGGGGGAGAAGAGCCCAGCTCTGACTTGCGACAGTGGTCATACCAGAGAAGAGTGACCAATTTGATATTCTGGTCAGATCAGGCAACGCGGGTCGTCTTGACTGGGCGGCCGCGGGTCTCTGCCATCCAAAAGGGGATCTGCCGGAGACCACAGGACGTACGGCGTGTGAGGGAGCAGGAGCGGCTGTGATACTGGGTGTTCAAGGAGTATAGCAGGCGTCTATCAGGTGGGTTGAGGTACTAGAAGAGAGAAGAGCGAACCTCCCTCAGCCTGACACCCCGAGCCTGATGCTGGCAGTACGAAGGATTGGCATGAAGTATGGAGGATTAGGGTTAGGGTTAGGTTAGGGTTAGGGCGATAGACACACTAGTCTAAACACAGCTAGTGCAACGGCAGAGCATTCCCGCAGCCGGTGTCTGTATTATCCGGGGGAGCACCTAGTCACTGGACGGCAGATGCCTTCCTGTTCTCATTCCCTGGGATATCGATCGGCCCTGTGTACGGAGTAGAGGGCAGCAAGCCCCAAGCTTCTAGAGCGCGAATGTCGCGTCCAGCCACCAAGCGACTTCGAGCACCCGCAGCTTGTGACCAGTGCAGGAGCTCAAAACGACGGTAAGAATGAAGAATGTGCCTTCCCCCCCCCCCCCCCCTCCCAAGGACTGTCGTGATCTAACCCACGACTAGCTGTGAAGGAAGAAGTCCGTGCAAAAACTGCTCGCGACGTCAAATACCATGCACTTTCAGACAATCCACCACTGGGGCAGGAGGCGGTGCTGAGCCCGTCGGTGCTGTCGAAGAACGGCAGCAGCATGCAGGTTACTCGCCTTCCTACCGAATAGATTTGCCTCAGCCCTTGCAGGTCCATTTAACACCTCTTTTCGACTGGTTAGGGTTTTCCCCCCTCAATCGGGTGTCTACTGAGAGCTGCCGTGTAGGTATTTTGAGGCCATCGCGCCCCATTGGCCTGTTGTCGAGCGAGCAGACTTGTCAGGAAAGCCTTTTACTTCTCCTTTGCTGACCCGGGCCGTGTGCCTTCTCTCGGCCATGACCATACCTGACAATGCTGCGAATGAGCTCGTCCCAGACATCATCGAGTCGATCCGCAAGTGCTTTGACGCATACGATCTGGTCTCCTTGCCATCGACGTCAACTCTGCAGTCTCTCCTGCTCTTACTCTGTTGCCCGACACTATCGCAGCTCCAATCACCAAGGATGATAACCGCAGCCTGTCGCATGGCGATATCGTTGGGGTACCACCTCGCTCACTCTCCTAGGCCTATACTGTATTGGTCGTGTGTAGGGTGGGCTCGATGGCAATCAATGAAAGATCCCAGTGCAAGAACTGGACTCTGCTTTGATTTGGCGAGCGCCCGTCCACAGACCGAGCCAGATCCATTGTCTTGTTTTGGCAGACTATACTCCCTGCTTGCCCGAGCAGAACAGTGGCCAATATCTGGGTCGGCTTTGCGCGACTTTGTCGATCATGAGCCATCGGCCAACAGAGAGGGCGAAGATGGCGGATGGCTTGTGTCTGATTCCGGTCGACCACGGGTCGAGGCCGTAACGACAACCCTCGTGCGGGTGATGAAACTATATCTCTTCACGCCGGCAGCGCAGTGGGCTGCAGAGTTGGAATCATTGTCTATCGAGGACTCGCAACACCCTTTCCTTCAGATTGATCCTTTCTCACATATAGTCCAAGCCATGCAGTCTGTCAGCTCCAAACAGGAAATATGACTCCGGAGACCAAGTCCTGCAGAAAACTTGAGACCGCTGTCGGAAGGAATAATAATGCTGACTCTATCAAGCCTGTCTAAGGCCAGTGTACACCATAGATTCGTGGGTCTCAGTCCGAAATGGGGACATGCGTGGGCCATAATAGGTGATATTTATGGGATGGGATGGGACGGAACTTCCCTGTGAATAGCTGACAAGAATCGCGGCTTGGAACTGACAGCCTAGGTAGTGTGTGCGAGAAACGGTGAGACCTACGGTACGTCGACTAGGTAGTAGGTAGGTATTCAATATTCTAGAACGTCCTAGGACTGCCATCGGCAGCGATAGCCTTAGGCCTGTCACGGCCCTTAGGCACCGTTTCGCCTACTTCTGGCGTGCGTGATGGCGGTCGGTCGGTGACTTCAATCGTCACCCTGGATTTCTACCCCACAAACTTCAGCCACCTGTTGCAGAATCCCGTCCAGCTTTATTTACATTCCCTTCCCATTAGCTACACCTCTTGCCACGACTTACAGCCAGCTCTGCATTGCCCCTCTGCTGTTCTTCTGACTTGCTCTTACGCTTTTCTCTGTTCATTGTGTGCATAGCGTCTGCAATTGCCGGTTTACCATCTCTCCAAATGGCCCTCCTTCAAGGTCGAGCGAAAAGTATCTTGTCAGGCGATACCTTGGTCATCACCAACCACAAAGGCGCCGAACGCACTCTGTCTTTGGCCTATATCAGTGCCCCTCGACTGAGACGTGAGGGTGACGAGGTAACGTTTGTCTCGTTCCTCTGCTACTGTGCTCAAGCTGACCGCACTACAGCCATTTGCCTTCCAATCCCGTGAATTCCTTCGGGAGCACCTCCTGGGAAAGGTGGTGCAATTCCAAGTCCTGTACGCGATTCCCACCACGAAACGAGAGTACGGCCGAGTCAAGCTTCCTAACGGCCCGGACTTCCCCGATCTGATTGTACAAGAAGGCTGGGCCAAAGTGAGGGAAGATGCGGGCAGGAAGGAGGACGACGAATCCGCTCTGGCATATCTTGACAATCTGCGGTCACTTGAAGCCGAGGCAAAGGCAAACAACAAGGGGCTCTGGGGCAAGGGCGGCCACATAGAGAGCTCCTCCGAACTTTCTCAGCCGAATGCCTTGGTGGAGCAGTACAAAGGCAAGAAGATCGAGGCCGTCGTGGAACGTGTCCTCACTGGTGACCGCTTGATTGCTCGCCTTCTACTCACGCCGACCAAACACGTCCAGACCATGCTGGTCCTGGCGGGGGTGCGAGCCCCTGCTACGAAGCGGACGTCTCCAGAGGGCAAGGAGATTCCAGCCGAGCCTTACGGTACCGAAGCTCATGCCTTTGTGGACGAGAGACTGCATCAGCGGAAATGCTCGGTCGAACTACTGGGTGTGACGCCGCAGAACCAGCTAATCGCCAACGTTCTACATCCCAAAGGGAACATTGCCAAATTCTTGCTCGAAGCCGGTCTGGCCAGGTCCAACGATCAACATGTCACCTTGCTCGGCAATGAGATGGCGCAGTTCAGAAACGCGGAAAACGGGGCCAAGAGCGCAAGGAGAGGACTCTTTACCGGTGCTTCGGCCACGAAATCTTCTGGGGTACAGGATGCAGACTTCGTTGTGTCCCGGGTTCTGAACGCCGAGACAGTCTTCATTCGACCACGTTCTGGCGAGGAACGGAAGGTTACTCTATCAAGTATCCGTCAACCCAAAGCCTCGGATCCCAAGCAAGCTCCATTCGGGGCAGATGCAAAGGAGTTCGTGAGGAAGCGGTTGATTGGTAAACATGTCAAGGTGACGATTGATGGCAAGAAGCCGGCATCGGAAGGCTTTGAGGAGCGGGAGGTCGCCACGGTGACGTTGAATGGGAAGAACATTGCGTTGGCTCTGGTAGAGGCCGGCTATGCTTCCGTCATCAGACATCGACGGGACGACGACGACCGGTCACCGGACTACGACGCACTACTTCTGGCCGAAGAGTCGGCGCAGAAGGAGGAAAAGGGAATCTGGTCGTCCAAACCGCCCGCAACCAAACATTATCAGGATTATTCTGAAAATTTGCAGAAGGCTAAACTGGAAGCCTCGGTCCTGCAACGTCAGAAGAGGGTCCCGGCAGTGGTTGACTTTGTGCGCGCTGGATCCAGATTTGTCGTCCTCGTCCCCCGTGATAACGCCAAACTGACATTTGTGCTCTCCGGCATTCGTACACCCAGACCCGCTCGACATGCGGGCGACACGGCCGAGCCCTTTGGACAAGAGGCATATGATTTTGCCTACCGAAGGTGTATGCAACGAGATGTGGAGATTGACGTGGAAAATACCGACAAGGTCGGCGGCTTCATTGGCACCTTGCACGTCGGGCCGTTGAATTTGGCAAAAGCATTGGTGGAAGAGGGTCTAGCAGAAGTGCACGCCTACTCAGCCGAGCAAAGTGGTCATGCCAATGAACTGTTCGCCGCCGAGCAGAAAGCCAAAGAAGCTCGCAAAGGGATGTGGCACGATTGGGATCCCAGCAAAGAGGAGGAGGTAGATGACCATGTTGCCAACGGCACAAATGGCACGAATGGCGAGTCAGCTGAGGCGACGTCAAGACGGAAGGACTACCGTGATGTGGTGGTGACTAATGTGGACGAGGCTGGCAAGATCAAGGTCCAACAGGTCGGACCGGGAACTGCGGCGTTGACCGAACTGATGAATGCCTTCAAGTCTTTCCATTTGAATAAGACGAATGACCAGCCTCTTCCCGGAGCCCCCAAAGTCGGCGACATTGTTGCCGCCCAGTTCACCGTGGACAACCAGTGGTATCGGGCGAAAGTCCGGCGGGTGGACAGGGAGGGCAAAAAGGTCGACGTGACATACCTGGATTACGGCAATTCAGAATCCCTACCATGGAGTCGATTGCGACCTTTAACCCAACCGCAATTCTCAACGCAGAAATTAAAGCCCCAGGCGACCGACGCGGTTTTGTCTTTCCTGCAACTTCCCACGTCGCCGCAATATCTTCGAGACGCTGTGGATTTTATTGCGGAGCAGACCGAGGCACGGGACCTGGTTGCGAACGTGGATTATGTGGCCCCGGATGGCACACTTCACATTACCTTGCTTGATCCCAAAGTATCGGCCAAGATTGACGAGAGCATCAACGCGGAAATTGTGCAGGAAGGATTAGCCATGGTGCCGACCAAGCTCAAGCCTTGGGAGCGACAGGCCACCGAGACCTTGGCGCATCTGAAAGAGCTCCAGGACGAAGCGAAGAAGGAGCGTCGGGGCATGTGGGAGTATGGAGACTTGACAGAAGACTAAGCTGGATGTCTCTAGTTAGGACGGAGAGAAGCAAAGCGAACAAAAAGCATCTGGCTTGTTTCTAGAACATTGACCCAAGGCTTGCTGCCAGGAGTGACACTCGATCGATAAGCGCAACTACTACTAGCCTCGCCTCAGCAGCGCGTATGTACGGAGTACTTAGGCCAAGGAGGCTTTGCTTACTGCCCTAGACCTGTTGACATAGGCAGCATTACCTCGAGACGAGTCGTCCAGGCAAACAACGAGTCTGACTTCCTTCCACCAACTGCCTAGTGCTGACCGTGTATCGGAGCTGATCAGATAGCAGTTTGTTCTGGATAGAGAGATACGTAATAAGAGTAGGCATGTAAAAGGAGACAAGAAAGTGGTAATTATTGCCGCCATGCGATCGCGGACCCGGAAACAATTTTGTGCCTCGCTGCTGGGAAAGTCGCCGGGGGCCGAAATGTGCATTGTTGTTATGTGTCATTACTATCATCATCATCACAGGGGATACGCCCTCCCTGGCCCGGGCACCAAATAAGATGTCGTGGTGGCGCTCTTAGGCTCCCTAGGCTCGCTCCCGTAGGTGCCCGTGGACGGGATGATATCAGCGACGTTGTCTTAGCTCCTTAGCCTCCTGCGCCCTTGAAGTTGGGCTTAGGGGCTCCTTTTAGGCGTCGACTTCCCTCGGGCCCGACTTCCCTCAGCCTGTGCAGTGCAGGCCAAGTGTACACACGTATCCGTACAGTGCTGCCCCTCTCCAGTCGGGCCAAAATATGAGCGACTCCGTCCATCCTGCTTGGTGCTTGGTTCACCGCTCAGGCTGATGACTACCTCCCAGCACAGACTCCAGTGTGCTGGACCAAACTGACGGCTAAGGTTAGGACTGACTTTATCCCGGCCCGCCGATTAGATCTTCGGCAACAGTCTTAGTTCGTCCTGGTGTATATTTTCGAGTCTTTCGAGTCTTGCAGCGCGCCTGAAATGCGTTTAGATCAACCCAACAGCTTCTCCTAAGACTGGCCCTACATCGACCTAGTCCTTCTCTCTGGCATTCTGGCCATATACCTCTCCTAGACACGCATTTCCTCTGCCCTGACAGTCCGCTGCTGCGACACGGGTCAAGCTTGCGAGTGAACACCGCCCTCCTCTAAACCCACTTGAGCCGAAATGAGCCAGCTCTACAGGACCTTCACCGGCCAATCGCAAAAGTCCCATCACTCGCATCAAACAGATGCCTCTACACCAACGCACCCAACCTTGTCAAGGACCAACACCGCAGACCCGTTGACGGGCACCCTCCACCACCTGACTCCGGTCCAGGAAGAGAAACTTGAGGAATTCAAGGAGCGGCTGCTTAAAGCAGGATGGTGGACACCCGATGGAGTCAACGGGAAAGCGAGCCATGATGATGGAACGTTGCTGTACGATCTCGATCTGTATCACATGGCATTCTCGACCTCGCGCTGACCCCCTGTTGCAGCCGATACCTACGAGCCCGCAAGTTCGACGTCCATGGCGCAATCGGCCAGTTCACCGACACGGAGAAGTGGCTCAAGGACCAACGTGTAGAAGAGCTCTATGATCACTTCGACGTGGAGGCGTATGAGAAGGCTCGGCTGATGGTAAGCCATCCTCCCTACGCGCAAGACAATCCAACAGAGTTGACTGGGAAAATGATTGATAGTATCCTCAATGGACCGGCCACCGCGACAAACGAGGCATCCCCATCTACGTCTTCTTGATCAAAGGACTTGACAGCAAGAATGTGCAAAAGTACCAAAAAGAGTCCCAGTCCTACAAAGACAGTCTGCCCTACCATAAGAGCCTCTCCACTCCGGCCAAACTATTACCGCTATTCGCCCTTTATCAGAACCTGCTCAATTTCGTCATGCCCTTTGTTTCCACCCTCGAACGACCCAATCCCGAAGTGCCGGTAACAACTTCGACAAATATCGTTGATATTTCAGGGGTCGGACTTACTCAGTTTTGGAATCTCAAGGCACACATGCAGGATGCTAGTGTCCTGGCCACTGCCCATTATCCAGAAACTCTGGATAGAATATTTGTAAAGATACATCCTTGTCAAGACATCAAGATGCGAGGAGCTGACTCATGCTAGATTATCGGTGCCCCTTCCTTCTTCCCTACTGTTTGGGGCTGGGTTAAACGATGGTTCGATCCCGTCACCGTCTCCAAAATCTTTATCCTGGGCAAGCATGAGGTGAAATCCACCCTGTCCCAGTATATGGAGACCAAGGACTTTCCTAAACGATATGGCGGCGATCTGGAGTGGGAATGGGGCGATCTTCCTGACCTGGACGACAAAACCCGAGCCGCAGTGGAAACGGATGGGAACAAAGGTTGGGTGCCAGGCCCCTGTTTGTGGCTTGGGGGCCAGAGAGTTGTGGTCGGGTCAGTCAATGGCAAGCTCAGATGCTCGGATGCCGAGGTCGAGAAGAAGAAACCCGTTGTCTATGCTGCAGACTATACCGAAACACCAGTACACCCGGACAAGAGGTTGTCGAAAACGTCAAACACACATGCAAACATGGCTAACGGGACAGCCTCAGCGCATCATAACGCTGAAGAAGCTGCAGTGGCGGCAGGGACAGACGGTGCAACGGCAGCAAACATCATCGCAGACCGAACGGAATCAGAACAAGAACCCTCTTCCCCGTCCTCTCACCATCATCACCTCCTTCACCTCCCCCACCGCCACAGCCATCATGCCCAACCTCATCCACCGGCTATGCCTCAACCAGGCCCCGTGCCTGCGCACACCGTGGCCATGACGCAAGCCGTTGCTGCCAAACTTGCGGACGAATCCGTCTCGACCATCCCCGCCACTACTAATGAACACGCAGAGTCCCCAGAAGCGCACCCGGAAGTCATTGTTGCGAGCGACACCTCTATAGGCTTGGCGATTGAGACGGAGAGATTGACGCTTGTGGAGGAAGGGTACGAAAATGGGAGAGCAGACAAAGAGGCCGACATCCAACTCGAGCGACCATCGATTGAAAGATTTGTGACGGCCACAGAAGTCACAATTATGCGAGGAGACTGAGAGGGCGCAGGTACGGGTCGACTCGATAAGAAAGAGAAGCGATGGAAGGGAGTGGGCTATGTCTGACGCCACCTTGAATTTGGTCTGTTCAGCCCATTGGCGATGCCATCGGGTGAAAGTTGGCCAGCCTGCGCCTTGCATTTACTCAGCTTGGAGGGCGTCTGGAGAGACTGTGACAGTGGCCGAACTCGAGCACTTTTATGTTTGGGCCTCCCAGTCGCAGGGCTCGGACTCTGAACAGGCTTACTCTGACCCATGCGCTCAATATACTCGCTATGACTGTGCTGGACAGGTCGGATATCTTGCGGAAGAGGGTCCTTATAAGCGCAGTGACTGCTATTCTGGCAAACAACACGATTTGGAAACGGGAAGGTTGGCTTGTCGATGGAAGCGCGAGCCGCACAAGGCTATATTGGCCGTGCAGTGTACTATATTGCTCCGAGCTTTCTTTGGCCGCATATTTCGGCCACGGTGAGACTCGGGCTGCCTGCTTGTGTTGTGTTGGGATGGAGGTGGAGGTGGAGGAACAGGGAATTGGTCCATGTCTGATCCGATCGCGCCGTTTCATCACAGAGTGGCCGTTATCTCTTCATGCTTGTTTCCTCGTTGGTGTCTGGTCGCGCCGTTTCATCCAGAGCGGCCGATGTCTCTTCATGCTTCATGCTTGTTTCCTCGTTGGTTCTTGTTCTTCTGTGAGACTGTCCTGCACTGGACTGGACTGAACTGCGCGTGGAGCGTTACATATACAGTACCTAGGTACCTCATTATAAGTAGGTATGTACCTGTATGTATGCAGTCCTAAGCTTATGGATTATGGCCCCCCGGTCCTGGTGCAGCTTTGACTGCAGTGCAGGTGCCTTCAAATTGCGATTCAATATCCGTACAGCAGGCATGTTAGGTAGTGAGTGGTATGGCATCCGTCCACTGAACTATACAGCATGAACCCACTGAAAACGGAACGGAATGAGCCGGGACCAGAGACGTGAGCTTAGGCTGCCGAGGTTGATCAAGTCAGGCGAGGTGAGATGGTTGTATCGTAGTATAGTGTAGTGTAGTGCCTCCTGTGCGGTGCGAAACTGCAGTGCCGGTCTCTTGCTCTAGATGGTCCCTTGGTCTGTTCAAGGCACAAGGCCATACCGTCCATGGTTGTTCGACCAGTGTCCTCTTTTGGTAATCAAATCCATGGAGAAGCTTCAGCTCAGTACTGGCCAGTGGTAGACTGCTTTGCTGTACTCTGTATACAGCTATTGCTCCCCGCAACCCCAAGAGGACTTTTGTGTTTGACTACTACCTAGATAGTATTGGAAGATATATGTTTGACTACTAGTCTTGGAAGATATATGTTTGACTACTAGTCTTGGAAGATATATGTTTGACTACTATAGGTAGTATTGGAAGATATATGCTTGGCTTAGAGAGTCCTGGGTAGAACTACCTTCGGTCTTTTCACGTCCCCATCATCCGCGCCATATATATCTCAACGGTCATCCGTTCTCTTGTAACTACATATCTCGCGAGATCTTGTCGAGATAAATATCATTTTCTTTCTGCCTGGACTGCATTGGCCGTGGCCGGCACGTTGATCATATACTACGTGATGCTTGCTTGGGGTTCGACGTCAAGACATGCTATGCTGTCCAATTATGCGGCGATACCAATGACGCCGCATGCAGGTCGCGGACCGGCGTTGCCCGTCTTCTTGCTCTCCTCGTTACCACCTCGGCCGAGATCATCGGTGCCACCGTGAACGACGACAGTTCGCTGCGTTGGAGACGTAGAGTCAGCATATAGTCACTTTTCTCAGGTTACATCGGGGCATGTTTGGGAGCTTACTCCGAGAATGCTGTGTTCACCAATCAGCTTGACCAGGCTGTCGCTGACGCTGCCCTTGGCGTTGCCCTGAGCATCGGTCTTGATGTTTCCAAGGTCGCCAACGTGGCGTTCAGAGTCGGTTGGGGAACCGTGAGTCTTGCTGAACGGGTTGTCTAGTATAGCAACGAGCGTCAGCTTATGATGTTGCCCGACTCTTGCTTTCGGATTGGGTCTTGATCTTCTTCCTGCTCTGATTGGGGACGTGGGTCTGAAACATACAATGAGGACCAGCGCTGGTGCATCCGTTGGTGTTGTCGCCAAAAGTGTGGATGTGGAAGCCACGCTCGGCGCTGGCGTCGTTGCCAGAGATGTCCCAAGTGATGGTGGTGGGAGCGGACTCGGAGGCTTGCTCGAAAGTCACTTGGCCGGAGACCTTGGAGTCCCCACGGAGGACGGCAACTGGAAGGGAGGAAAAGATGTCAGTATGATGCTATCAACCTCGACATGAAACGCTGTCGTTCTGATTGATTTGGCGTGCTTGGTGCTTGGTGCTTGGTGCTTGGTGCTTGGATTGATTGATGCTGGATGCTCACAGCTGACAAACCTCCGGCACCAAATATTCTACACCGTGTTGGGTGGAAAGAGGAGGTGACGAGGACTTACCTGCTTTAACCATTTTGACGGATTGATTGATTCGAGTTTTGTACAAGCTCGGACAGCAACGATTAGATGGACGAGATGGAGGTGGACGCTCAAGGTGTAGATGATGGAAAGGATGGAAGAAGGAAGAAAGAAAAAGGCGTAATCAATAGAGGGTACTGGGGACTCGAGTGGAGTTTAAACAGAGCGAACGGCGATGATGGAATCGAGCGCAGTTCCGCAGTATTTCGACTGCCCATCCTACCTAGTACTAGTAGGTTGTCACCGATATAGGCGCCGATGAAGCAATTACAATTGAGCCGGGCGAAAGTGAGGGGCACTGAGGGACAGTCGCAGCGCAGCTTGTGGTGAGGGGCAATTTCTGGGCCTATAGAGCACAGAGTACGGAGTTTAGGGGCTCAGGGCCTGGGTACCTTAGGTACCTAAGGTCAGGTAGGTAACGTACGTCGTACAGTACTACTACGGCGCAGCATTGATTCAGGCACGTGCAGCTCTCCGCCGCACCTGAGGCACCCCATGGTGCCCCTCTTCGCGTTCCGGCACTCCTGGTCCCCGACGCCGGAATAGTAGGGAGAAGCCGGCCGGAAGCAATGTACTGTAAACCGCTCGACCATCCACCGTCCATGGTTGATTGATCGGTCCATCATGTTTCACCCTTTCGTCACTCACGCCAGCCTCCGTGGTCCATCATGATCCTTCTGCTTTGAGGCGCCGTTTGCAGTGCTGGCAACCTCACCAGTTCGGCGCATTGTCACTTCACCAACCCACCAGAATCCTTGCTATGGTTATCACGAAGAGTGATAACGACATACATCACTGCCTCCGTACACACTCACACCTTCGGAACTATACTATCATCCCGGGAAACTAGACCATCGCGTCTTTCTGTCGTCTCCCACACCTCTGCAACGGTAAGTGGTAAGTCCAGTACCCGCCCAAACATCACCAGGCACCCATCATCCCGTCTCCGTTCTACATCTTCTCCATCAACCATCATGTCGTCCGCCGACAGAGCCAACCTCCCCAAATTCTTTAAGGCGATGGAGTCGATTTATGGTCCTTTTCCGGAATATCTAGACCCCAGCCTTCCCAAATGGACCCCTCCTCCGGCCGCAGAGGGCCATCGAGGCCGTTACTTGTGGACCGATGGATTTGCCGTCGTCAACTTTTTGACTCTTCACAAGTTGACCGGCGAGGAACGTTACTTGACTTTGGCCGCAAACCTTGTATCCACTGTCCATAACATTCTAGGTTACACCCGTGATGGCAAATCCAGGCTTCCTGGGGCGACCGATGATCGCCCACTCAACGGCGGCTTACGCATTGGCAAGTTGGACGAGTCGGGTCCAGATGGGGATGGACAGTACTTCCACTACCTCACTGTGTGGATGTTTGCACTTAATCGTATGACCGTTGTGACGGGCAATGAATGGTACAACGACCAGGCCGTGTCCATGGCCAAGACTATTCTTCCTCGCTTCATGACACACATGTCTCACAGCAGACCTCGGATGTATTGGAAGGTCAGCATGGATCTTTCTCATCCGCTTGTCACGTCGGAAGGCAACCTCGATCCAGTTGACGGATATGTGACCTACAAACTTCTTCAAGACACCAGTGGTGACCATGCAATCCTCCAAGACGAAATTGCTGCATTTCAAAAGATAGTCGACACAAAATGGCGCTATTACACCTCAAGCGACACCCTGGATCTGGGAATGACCCTGTGGACGGCACACTGGCTCAGTTTGGAAGAGCCCTGGGCAGCTACGATCTCTCGCCGGGCCGTCTCGTGTCTTGGCTCTCTCATACGGGACGGTTATTTCGACGAGCCAATCAGTCGTAGGCTAGCATTTCGCGAATTCGGCACAGCTCTAGGGGCTCGCGTGGCGATGGCTTGGATGGATGAAGCGGATACAACCAACACCCAGCTCCAGGCCCTTCCGGATCTCATCTGCAAGACATGGGAAGATGCTGGCTTGGTCCCGACCCCGACGAAGCAGGTACAGGGGCGGATGGCTGAGCTCATGCCGATCACTGCGGTCATGTATGCATCCGCCTTGATTCCTGGGATGATGTGTCGGCAGTCATGATTGCGGACGACACTAGTCATTTCTAGGTCTGCCCGGTCGAGCGTTTACACTACCTTACCATCTATCCAGGAGTTCCGCACACCATCTCTCGCTCTATTTTCTAGTTCGAGACTCTATTTTGAGAGCATTTCCAGCTTGGCAAAGGCTTACTGGTGGTATTTTATTTGACAGTGGGATAATGGGGGTAACCACGGAAGTCCTACAATTCTGAATGCCAAATGAAAGGAATGTCCTGATTGCGAACATTAATACATGGATCTCTTGCTTTTCCAACTACACAAGAAGCCGAATGCATAGATTTACCTGTTACCAACGAAGCATTGAAACATAGGTAGTCAAGTGTACGTAAGAATACTCCTTACTAATTCGTACAGCGGATGGATGCACATGCCAGAGAAATTTCCCTTTATTGCCTCTTCATATAACTATGGCAGAGCAACAGTATATGTTACGAAAACGCAAACACCAGTAACCAGTGATGAAAAGTGTATTACGGTAGGTGGCACTGTGCCAGTGGTGGTCTTCGATGCATCGATGGTATTTGAGCGAGAGGCTGGCCTTGGCCTGTTTGGGGTTAGTTGAGATGCTCGTGATCGGCTAAACCGGTTTAGGACAGATCACAGCGAGTGACGACAGCGGACGACATTCAGACTGGTGAGACCTTTCCTGAGAAGGTACCAAAATATACAGGTACATCGGTAAATGACATCCTCTTCCTATATCTACTTCCTGCAGGTATCCCGACCCAGAGCGCGATCTTGTGTCACCCGGCAACCCGAGTGTTCAGCCCGTCGGCTATTACCTCACTCCGGCCTCGAAGTCGGCTGATTTGAGGGCCAACAATGGCACAATCCGACTCAGCCTTGGCCTCGGCCTCCTTCGACCTCAGCCTGTATATCCTAACGTTCAATTGTGCGCGCACGCCTGTTCAACCGGACGTCTTTGCGCCGTACTTGTTCTCCGCATTGAGTCCAGGTCAGCGGGCGCCCGAGCTGCTCGTGCTTTGTCTGCAGGAAGTCGCACCCATCGCGTATGCCTTTCTTGGTGGCTCCTTTCTGACGCCGTACTTTGATGCATTCCGCGCCGTTGTCAAGCTGGCGTGCAAGCACCTCGATGCGAGGACAGATGGTGATACTGGTCCGGATACCGCTACTGCTACTGCTACAAGCTATGTCAATGTCCTCTCGCGCAACCTGGGACTCACTGCGATCATGATCTTCGCCAGGGCCGATATCGCGGACAATATTGCCTGGATTCACACGGCGGGAGTCGGGCTGGGAGTGAGCGATATGGGCAATAAAGGCGCGATAGGAGCCAGGCTGGGGTACAGGTACGGATCAGCTAGTCCGAGTCCTGGCGAAGCAGACGACAAAGAAGTCCAAATGACGTTTGTCGCTGCCCACCTGGCCGCAATGGAGGATGCCTTGGAACAACGGAACGCGGACTACAAAAACATCGTGCAGAGGCTGGTGTTTGTGCCGGAAACCACTACTTCAACCCAACGGGCGGGGCCTAGGGACGAACAAGCAGAAGATGCACCGTTGTTGCAAGGCCAACTTGACCCTCCGCTACGAAACGCCCCCCCAGAGACAGGCATCTACTCGGCATACTCGCATCTCTTCATCGCCGGGGATCTGAACTACCGCACATCGCTCCTCCAGCCCTCGCCTCAAGATGTGGAAGAACGGTTCCCACAACCTACCAGCGACGAAAACGATCCCAAACATTTCCATCATCTTCTGGCCGAGGACCAGCTCACCCAGCAAGTCAAGGCCGGGAACACACTGCACGGGTTGACGGAGGCGACGATCGATTTCCCTCCGACATACAAATACGACCCAGATAGCAGCAAGGCTGTAACTCTCGATAGAGAACAACATTGGACCTGGGCCCGTCACCGCTGGCCCAGTTGGTGCGACCGCATCTTCTTCTGGAAACCAGATGGTGATGTGAAGGTCAATCCACTGAGATACACGTGCCTGCCATTATTTGCGACCTCGGATCATCGGCCGGTGGCGCTGGCCGCTACGGCACCATTGAAAGCGGTTACGGACGCAATAAAGGATCAAAATGCACCTTACCCCATTGATCCGGAGTGGAGGAGTCGGAGAGCGACGGCACGGAAGAAAGAGTTGGTCGTAGGTCTTTTGGCTTACTTGAGTTTGACAAGAGAGGGCAATGGCTTGCTAGTGGCTATCACCATTGGTACCCTGGGAGGATGGTTGGTCATCAGATCGCTACTTATGGCTTGATGGTCGTGACCCGCTACGTTGGCCTAGAGGAAACGCATCTGCGCGCACGAAACACGTCCGCCATAAATGGAAAGAAACCAAATCCATGAACTGGGCGGTTTTGCGATGGACGTATCAAAGCGACCAATGGCATGATACGTTCTCAACGCTTCGATGCTGGGCTGATCTTAACGGAAGACAACTTCGCTCTGGGAGTTTGGTTCGCCGTTTCAAACATCGAAAACTGTGAGGTTGCAAAAAGTCGCCATTTGCAGCAGGCTCCGACTTCCTTCTGTACTGGGCAACCGGACCGACGAGTGGTGTGGTTATATTGGTGCACTGGTCGTGGCGGAGCATCTCAGGCGAAACCCCCAGATCCTGTGCCAGGCAGCAATGTTACCTGTCTAGATATTCCCACGATTGTACAGGGGTCGGGGAAGCAGGGAAGAGGAGGGTCTAGGCCGTCAGACTCTGATGACCCTGAAAGCCTAGGCCTCAAGCCACCGGTCCGAATTGTGAACAACAGTGAGCCGTGTGCAATTTTGGGCGGCGAATCGACGGCGCTTGTACGAAGTTCCTTTCCCTCTCTTTGTACGAGCTGTACAGTATCCCGCTAGCTGAGGAGTGGCACCCGGAGAAAGAATTCCGGGGATGGAACTAGATATGGTGTGACTCTGAGAGGCTGTATGTAGGACGCATGTTGGGACAAGAAGGATTTAAGCTGGGCAACAGGCAACAGGCAACGCAGCAACAGGCCATTCCCTGTAAACATGTCAGTAGCATCCTCATTATTGGATGACCGGCGATATGCGTGGGTGACCGGGAAGCGATCTGACGAGTGGGTGGGTGGGTATTGATCAGGCACAAACCAAAGGCTGTGGGAGCTTCAGCCTAACAAGAGAGAAATCAGGCGCAAGCGGTGCCTGACAGGACCGACGTAGGCGTGTTACAACTGGCGCAGGGAAGCAGAAGGGTTGAAAGGTCAACAGCTCAAAAAGCAGGTATGATTCGATCGATCGAAGCGACGTGGCAAGCAATCAAAATGCATAGCCACAGCTCTGGCCAGGAAGGAGTTGCGGGACTGCCAGCCAGACTGTATCATTTGCCGTGCTCACTTGAAGTTTGGTGTTTTTTGGTTTGTTGCTGCATCTGGTGGTGGTTTAGGTACATCCATCCTCCGTCCTCCCGGTCCTGTTCATCAGGTAATTAGGAAGTTGTCGCCGGTGGGTGTTGCGATGCACGGATAGCACCTATAGTCATGACACTAGCGGCTTTCTCAGCCGGGCTTGTTTCTATTGTACTGTAGGCTAAGGGGCCTTAGGGGCCTAAGACCCGAGGCTTAGGCTTCGGCCTCCTTTAAGGAATGCCCGGGACAAATAACCTTTCACGCTAGAGTCCTGTCCAGCTGAAGAGACGCGTACGGATGAAACCCTGCAACACACCTAAGGGACCTGAGGGACCTGAGAACCCCTGTCGGCTTCAATAACCAACTGTCCAACTGTTGTACGGAGGGCCTTAAGGCTTCGGCTTATTAGGCTTCTCAGGCAGCAGGTACGGGAGCACCGAGGACTCACTGTAGGGAGTTACCTAGTAGCTACCAGGTAGCCATCCTTGCTCAACACCATGCTTACGACGACTACTACTGTAAATACCGGGCCATCCTCACTCGTCTCCTGTCAGATCTCCTTTCTCCCGTCAACATCTGCCTCAGGCTGTACACTACTAATACTCCGTACTTTGTCGCCCCTTTCAACCTCTTTCAGTCTTGTCCAACATCCGCACTTCAGACAACCCATTGAATTGCTTCTCTTTCCGGGAGAACAGACCCTCCCGTCACCAAAAACGCCGAGCAATATTGCCCTATTGTGCTATATACCTAGGTACCTTACCAGGTACACTTGGCTCGACCATATCATTTTGCCTGGCGATCTTCCTCGATTCCTCCGAGTAAGGCACCACCCGAGCCTTTGCCTCGCTCAGCTCAACTCCACCATCCAATATTATTATGTTCTCCTGTTCGAATCAGCCTCGGGGATGCCGCGGACGGTGTGACACAGCTGGTGGCAAGTGTGCAGAGTGCCGGGTATGTCCTGTTCTTCCCATCTCATCTCTGCACCACCTTTCTAACATTTGTCCTTGTCAGATGTACAACTTCCGCAGTCGGCCTGGCAGGCCCTTTCGATCCGTCCTGTCGCAGCCGCCGAGCTTCCGGTCGCAGTCGCAGTCGCATTCGACGTCATTTGATGCTGATGTCACCACCCTGCTGTGCCCTGCAGATGATGCGAGGTAGCGCCGCAGCCTAAGCCCATCCACACCACCACCACCACCACCACCACCACCACCACCACCACCACCACCACCACCACCACCACCACCACCACCACCACCACCCACCCTCCTCTCCGTATTCCTCCCCCAACCCCCAACTCAACCAACACCCGACCACTCATGACCTCCCTCCAGCAGCTTCCTCCTTGGGCCGCTGCATGGCACCTCCTCAGTCCTTCCCAAACTGCCCGGGTATCAGGATATGCCGGCAGCGCGGTGATGCCACTGACGACCTCTGATTGTACTCCTACGACCCGAACTACCTGACGATCCTCTCATGACGACCTACGAACTTTTCGACTGATTTCCACACTATTCCCCTCTGAGTCCTCACAGCGTTTCTTCAATTTGGCCACACGGTCACCCTGTATTGAAATATTTGTTATCTTACTCACGTTTCAGCGATGGCGTATTGAGGCACCGTTTTTGTTGTCTAACTGTTTATCTTACTATGTATTTTGCGGATGCCTCAGCAGGCTGAGATTGTGCAGGCTACGACGGCGGCACTTGCTGCACCGGAGATGTATAAGGAAGATAGGTTGGAGGCAATGGTGCAAAGTTAGGACCGAAGCTTCGCAACAATGAGTTGGCAGACTGGCTTTCTTCCTCTTGTACATGATGCGCGCTCGGCAATCAGAGCTGGACAAAATTAGAGTGTAATTTGGAAATACGGAATGACACCTGTTGAATCACACATACTCTACGAACTATCTAACTTGGCTTTCTGGCTAGGCAGTGCTCGTCTCTCATCTGCGTCTGCTTCCCAACTGCTGATCGATCCGTAGCTGACGCAGAAGCGTTGGCTTGAATGCGTGTTGAGGCTGCTTTGATCGCAATGGTTTAGCTGTGGAACTACATATGTACTGTACTGACTACTGTAGGTGCCCGACCGCAACCAGGCCCAAGGGCCCTCAGGCCCAAGGGCCGTAAGGCCCTGAGGCCTGACGAGCCTCCTTAGTCCCGCCCGTCCATGGCGATCAGGCACCTGAACCACCACATGGCATGGCAATCAGACTCACTATTACTAGCGGGGCTTAGGACATGAAACTCGCTGAAACCTACTTCTTCACCCTTCTCTCGCCAGCCTGAGGCGACTTGACTGTGACTCCGGCAAGTGCGTTCGGCAATGGCGTTCGGCAATGAGCATTGGGCGCGTGGACGATCGTGAGTTAAGCAGGCGGTCGTTGCAACTTGCAAGCGGTTTGTTAGGTACATACAGTACCTATCCTCCGGCACCACCGGCGGCTAAAGGACCCTTAGGTAGGATTCAATCACACATGCCAGTGCTTGTCAGACTCTCAATTGAATTGCCTTCTCACTTCCGGCGATCCACGTGACTGACTGTATCTGCAGTCTTCAGATTTGGTCGTCAACATCAACATCGCCTTCGCCATCGCTTCTCACAATCCTATCATTGACGATCGGATGGTGTTGCCGCTTCAAAACAATAGCGCTGTGGCGTTACCCCAAAAGCACAGACCCTGAGACCGCCCACAATCGCCCCAGCGCCATGGGGTTAGACTTCCGCGCCTCGGACGCCATTGAAACCTGCCTCCACCGAGCCCGAGCCTGAGCCTCCGTACGACCTGTCCACAAGAAGCTATCGACTCCTATACTGTCTGGAGAGACATTGCCATGCCTGGAGCTCTCTGCACCCAGTAGCTTCACACACTTGTTCGCTGCTCTCCAGTAAAAGGATGGTGTAATACTTGCGAGAATCTCGCATGCATTGTTTGGTGCCTTAATCAAACACTGGCCGAACAGACTTCGGCCCCATTGGAACCCAAGGCGAGTGAAATCGTCGTGAATATGTTGGCAAGAGTTTGGCATCGACTCTATGTAGAAATTGGCTTGAAAGCATGGATGGTATCGCCTTACAACACCAAGATCCTCTGCCTTCAGCGGTACTTCCGATTCCTTGCATATGGTGGCTCCACGCTCATTCTTGCTCTATCCTTGTCGAGCTTGGAAGTCTCGGATCAGAAGATTGGCCCTTTCATGACCTTGACCCTTCTAGGTGACGTGTTCGTGAGCCTGATCTCAACCGCCATCGCCGACAGCATTGGCAGACGGCGGATTTTGGCGATTGGGGCATTGTTGATGACTGCAAGTGTGCTTGCAATGTTCCAAGGCCACCGAACTGCAGAGGAGCAAGCCTTGGAAAACTTCGATTCGCAAATCCAACATGTGCGGGAAGAGGACTCAGATGATGTTCGGAACCCTGTGTAGTCGGTGGTCTACCTTAGTGAGGCAGGTAGAGCCTTGCTTCCGTCATGGGAAGAACTCATCGGGTCCTTCGCAGCTGCCTGCTTCATGACCCTTACTCATGACTGCTGGTTTCTACGAAGTTAGGTTTGCTGGTTTGATTTCTTTCCAGCCTCCTCTCTGTCCGCTGTACCCTCGACTTTCAGGCCGCTTTTCACTGTCGCATTCACATTGTTTGTATCCTCCCTTTCGATGCTGTCAATTTTGGATAAACAGCGGTCCGAACCCTTTCCAATCGTGAGCAATATTCAGCTATCCGTACAGAATAACGAAGGAGGTGTGGGAGTCTGGTGTCTACCACAAAGGCCTTTCGCCCAAATAAGGCACCTGGTGCACATATGGATTTCCCCGAGCTGGAGATGGAGGAGCGGATCTATGCGAGGATAGCTGCAAGAAAAGCCATGAAGTGGTCTTGGAGACGATACCTTTTGGAGAGTGACGAATCATCGGAGGGTGGTATCCCTTCCCATTCTCAAAATCGAGGGAAAGAATCTGGTCCATGGAGCACACCACGCAGGCAACAACCAGTGGGGATTGGCCTATTGAACAAGACACTGCGTACCACACAGAAAACAAGACTACCACAGCCATCTGCACAAGACTTGACCAGAACTACAGGTCATCATGCCCAATCTTCGAGCGGATCTGAAGTTAGGACGACGTCTGAGAACTATGGTGCGTTGCCTTCCTCTTACAGAAGACTTCGAAAGGCAAAATCCATGCTGCCAACGCACCGTCGAACATTGGGAAGCCAGGAGAGCCCCCTGTTGACCCCCCTCGGCCACAGCCGAATCCCCCGACGAGTGAGTAGTTTTGCTGCTCTATCGACAAGCAATTTTCGACTACGGTTGAAACGATCCTTGACAACACTCCGTCCCAAAAGCAAAATTGTTCAGTACTCAGCATTCACCGACGGGCCGAGTCACGACCAGGCCGTCCAAATTGCTCGAGCACAATTTATTGATGAAGAACAGCAGGGTTCGGAGCGCAAACAACCAGCGCCATTAAGTTTAAAGTCGAGTGTATATCACAAGCCATTCAGCAAGAGCCTCAAAACAAGTCGAAACCAGGACCTGGACAAATATCCCACTCCTACTGCGAATGGAGTACACTCTCCACAAACGGAGTTGGGAAAGAGATCATTTTCGGCTTCACTACGCGACAGACTCCGCAAAGCGCTTGGTAAAAGTGGGAAGGATAAAGATGGCATGCCTTCACAGCAACTCGAGGCTCGAAAGATTCATTTTGGTGAGCTCGCGGGCGACACGGAATCTATAAGTGGATTTGACGCATATTGCGCCGACGAGGAAAATCAGAGCCGGCGGCAGAGCGTTTATTTCCCGTCGACTCCCGAGCACGATGCTCATGAGGATCTGGACGAGATGCCATACAATCTTGAATTGACTGCCAGTCGGGAAAGCCTGCACTCAAATACACGCTCCCGTGTGACAAGCTGGACTGATTCTAGCATGACTGGGTCTGTTGGTCTTCGATCAGGACTAATCGAGCGCAACCGGTTGTCCATCATCAAAGAAGACGGTGGGCCTCATCAGCCTTCCTCTTCAGTGGGTCGCCATATCGGCGGAGTCTCACTGTTCCAAGAGCCATTACGCTCGTCCGCGAACGAAGGACGCAGCTTACCTCCTGTGGATAGCCAAAGCGTCTACGCAGCCTTAATTAATCGCATTAACCAAGAAGAAGCCGAGGTCGAAAGAACTCGTTTAGCATTCGAGGCGATCCATGATGAGAATGACAATGAGGGTGACAACCCCCCTGGCGCCCCTGGGCCGCCAACCGATGCTAGACCTACAATCCGGGTTGTGCACAGCGACTCGTCCCTAGCCACAATGCTTCTGGAGAATCGGAGTCAACATTTCAGCAGCCGTTCTTGTTCGTGGGATCAGCCGGAAGGCGGCATGACACCTGAACAGCATAAAGAAAACCTGGAACGGAGGAAAAAACGACTCGCGGCACAGGAGTCGCAGTCAAGCTTTTTTCCTTTTTCTAGTGAACAGAACCCAATTGCCTCAAGTCCTTTCCAGAAATTTCTGCACGACAGACGGCAAATTGAGCGAAGAAGCAACCGGGGTGAGAGCTCAGACCTCGACGGGAGCAGCGTCGTCATTCCCAATCGCGAGTCAAGCAGTTACGTGACAGGAAGGCCGCACTTTGCGGTCAGCAGCGACAGTGTCTACTCTCACACAACAAACGGTGGCAGCTGCGAGCATTACAGACCTCCTATCGGAAGCTCCGAAGAGTTGTCAGTCCCGACCGATGCTGGGTCAGAGATAGCTGGCATGGCGACAATACTGCCAACCGTATATTGTCGTTCGCGCTTCAGGCCTCTTTCTGGAACGGACGGCCACAGCACCGGTCAAACGAACATTCCCGATTGGAATCCTTGGTCTGACACTCGCCAAGACAACGAAGAATCCCCGCCTGATACTCATATACGGGAGCCGGCCCAGATCGAGTCCGAGGAGGCCACCCGAAGCGGCGAGAGAGCAGTTCTTGAGACTACTGTGCAAATTGACCATTCCAATGACAAGTGTCGTCCTCTCAACATGAATGTTGTCCCGAAGAGCAGCACTACGAAGTCAAACAACAACCTCAGCGCCAGGGAAAGCCATACGGGACTGCTCTGTACGACCCCTGGGGATGTCTTGCATACTATCTCTAACCGGGCAGAGGACGGCAGGAAGAGGGGCGATAGCCTCCGAAAGCTTAGCCCAAGCAATCTGGCCAAGGTTTTGAGAGAAAAGAAGAGCAGAATCATGACCAGGCAAGGTGAGGCAGGCAAGGAAAACATTCCGGCAGACCAGAGCGAATCTCCTCCCATAAGAACACCCGGGAAGTTACGCCTCCAGTTTCGAAATGGAAACTCGACAGGGCGATTAAGGAAAAGAGCTAGTGAGGCGACGTACACCTCTCACAGAGAACCCCATTCTACTCCTCAAAGTGCGTTCAACTCGAACTCGACCACACCCAGCGGTTGCGAGGAAAGTCCAAGTGAGAAAGCCAAGGACCATCTAGCCGCACGACTCAGCCGGCCATTCAACATGGATGTACCTCCCCACAATCGCCCGTTCGACAGCATGTATCTGGGCAAGAGAACCCCGGGCCACCCTGACACAATAGGGAACAGTCGGTTGAGTGTTGCGCCTCGTGTCCCGCCGAAGTCAGATGCGTCCCATGTGCAAGACTCTACTGAACACGGTGCGACTGGCACTGATACCTTGCCATCAGAATCGTCCACGGCGGGCCGAAGCGCGGCCAAGGTGTTGGGGTTGCTCAACAGTAAAAGAATGGTCAGCAACTTTCTGAAGAGTCGAAGGAAGGAAAGAAGTGCAAGTGAAGGTGGGCAGAGTGTGGCAGGTGAGAGTCAAGCGTTTATCTGAACATGCATTGCGGTACCTGGACCTTTGAATAGCAGCATCATTGGGCCGAGTTGGGTGTCAGCCTTTCTCTCTTGTGGGGGGCGGCAGTGCACGCCAGAGCCGTTCTTGTTCCGCCAGCACATCAGTAGGGGGAACCAGTAGGAGAACATCCGTTGGGAGCAGACGGCAGGGAAGACATGTATAGGAGAGCATGCATAGTAGAGGCAGACGCAAAGCGGGCACCTAGTTACACTTACACTTGTCTCGCACTGTCTGGGTCAGCCTTGCGCACTGGCAACGATAGACGAGGCTGAGCTACCGTATAATTTCTTAGGGTGACTAAGCAAGATTGGAGTACGGGGTGACTTAATTTCAACGACAGGCGAACAGCACGCACGACACAGCACAAGTACATCATGATAGAGACATTGAAGAATGGCTGAATGCTCCGGCCTCGGGTGGTGTGGTGCGCATTTCTCACAACGAGCGCTCCCTGCTCCCTGACGCCTGTGCTGGTGCTGTATTTACGCGACGAGAAATAATACCCGTGGTACGTACCTCAGCATCTCTCAGACGACTGCCGTCCACCCCGTTCAATTCACCGTCCAGCGGCTCCGTCGTCCGCCTGACTGAACCTCGAACCTCTGCCCGTCCGAAATCTCTGCCCTGATTACTGTGCAGTCGCGACCGGCGCAGTTACAGTACCGGCGCAGTCCACCAACGCAGCCTGAACCCCCCACCACCCTCCTCTATGGCCTCAGGCATCCCCCAGCTACCACGCCGCCACCAAACGACGCTGCCGCTGCCGCTGCCTGCCCTCGTCGTATCGCAGCCTCAATGTTGGCCATAGCAAGACAGGTTGCATCTGCGTGTTGGCAAGATGACGTGACGCGTCGACAGCTCTCCAGCTTTCCAGCATTCTGACCAGCGAGTCTCACGGAGTCCATTCGCCTCCTCGTTCGCCTTCGGCCGCCGTACCAGACAGCCACGCTCACGGCCTCAGCAGCATTGGCCGACTACCCAGACAAGGACTATCCCACTGCCATCTCTCCAGCCGCATCACAAGGCTGCACTGACGATTGTGCCGGCGTTATCTGCCCTACACGAAAGTCTCGGCCAAAGCAGAGGTCGTACCTCCCATCGAATCTCTCATGCCCGCTACAACTACGATTCGAATCTCTCAAGCTCGCTACAACTACGATGTACCGGATGGGCAGTGCTAGAAGATGTAGTAAAATGGGACTATAGGCACCTCTGCGTCACAGTTGTCCATCGGCAATACTTCCTGCACGCTTCTCGGTGGCGGTTACGGCTGTGGATGTGACCTTTGAGAAACTTCATATCGCCTTGTCAACGGCGCCACTTTAGGACAACTCTGCTTCCCTTTCGTCGAGGAACGCGTCCGCTCCGCTCTCTTCGCAGGGCCTCCCTCTCATTAGTTGAACCATCACGCGTGTGCCATCCCCCGAGAAACATCAGCTCTCTGTTGTGTACGTCACGAACCCGCCTTGCCTCTGGAAACGCTGGGCACGCTGCAGAGATATAATCGCTACTCTCTCGCTTGCAATCCTTCCTTCCTTCTTTCTCCTCTTCCTTTCTTCTTTCTCCTCCATGTCAGTATTGCCTCAGTATTCCCCTGCTCTGCTTTGGATTGCTACTAGATACTGCTAACTGTGTACAGACCGTGCTCTGATATCTGTGTGACTGAAGTGTGTTGGAAGTTTGAAGCTGTTTGTTTGGTAAGTTCTTCCACCATACCCTGCTCCTGCTCCTGCTCCTGCTCCAGCTCCAGCTCCAGCTCCAGCTCCTGCTCCTGCTCCTGCTCCTCCGGCGTCTTCCTCCTCCTCCACCACCACCACCACCACCACTCCATCTAGTGTCCTCCTGGCTGCTATCGTCGGGCTGGCTTCTATCCACCACTTCAGCGTCCACCTGCCACTCATCTCCCCTTCTCTCACTTGTTCAAAATGCCTCACCACTTCATCTTGTCACATTGTTCTTCCATTCTCTCATTGAGCTCATCAAAGCTAACTTCCCCTCTCAACAGGTGTTCTGTTGCGATGTCACAGGACTCCATCTCTGATTCTGGGTCTTCGGACTCCGGCGTCAGTGACCTGAGGAGACGCATGAGGGATACCAGGCCTCGGCCTTGGTTGAACAACAGCGTTCTCCGAAGACGGTCAACAGCGACGTCTTCTTCTGGGCTCGATGGCGGTGCGGATGCCCCTGCACTGCCGGAGAGCACCACTGTGCCAATTGTCTCGGACCTGCCGTCGTCCACAACTGTCTTGGGTTGTGGGCAGTCTAGGGACAACACCAAAAAAGAGCGAGATTCGTCTCGTCTCTCCCGCGCCGCCGCGAAAGCCGCGACTTCGATCAAGGCTCTAGCAAAGTGCGCGGGGTCCAAGATCCCCCAATGGGTGGGTCTTAAAGGTGTTTTGTCCCGAAGCTGCCCGCCTCCGCTTGACAGGGACGGCGTGCTAGGAAAGGGCAAGTCAACTGCCGCTTCTCCCACCCGCACAGGGGAGAAAACCTTTGCGTCCCGACTCCCGGTTCGCTTCAAGAGATCGCTCGCTGGGCGACGGCCTGCTTCACAGCAGGTGCGACTCAGCCAGCCACAGCCTCTTGTTGCGTCAACTGGGGGAAAGGGCAAAGAGGCAGGCAAACGTGGGACTGGGGGATTTTGGGGGGTCTTAGGACGGCACGCCGAACCGGACCAGAGTTGTTTCAAGCCGGAGCCAATCAGGACTCATCGTCGTGAGCACCAGCTCACTTCGATCCTGAAGCACCAGGGCGAGCACTCTGGGAAGGGGAGGCCAGCAGCGCAGCCGACGACCCCGGCTTCTCATGATGGTGGGCGCAAGCCAGGTGTGGAGGAGAAGCCGGGGAAGAAGGTTGTTGTGCTGGAAATCCCAACGTTCTCGACGCCAGCGCGCCACTGGCCCAGAGGTCTGATAAAGGCTTGGGTCTGTGGAGGGTGCAGGAACGAGACTGGGTGTGTGTGTCCGGCGACCTCCCGACATGCCGATGGGCTCCGGCTCGGAGGCAGAGAGTGGGTGAAGGACCAGCTCCACAAAGGGTATGACTACCTGGAGCTGTCTGGAGGCATGCTTAGCGGCATTGACCGACTCCCTAGCTGAGGCTTGAAACCCCTCGATAGCTTTGGAGTTGACTACAACCTCCTAGAAGGATGATGGCGGAGGAGGCCTCTTGGCGGTTTGAAGTCTTCGGCAGGGCTATTGCTGATGACGGATGCTGTCTTATTGGTCGTGAAGTTCTGGGCCGCTGGAACTTCACTTGGGGGTTTCTTTTCTTTTCTTTTCGCAGGCTATGCGCAGGAGCAGGACACTACTTGAAGGGCCTGACCATCTCTGCAACCTGAGCAACTGAGCAACTTGCGCACTATAAAAAACACAAAAAACCGCGGAGGTTACTCGACGGAGTTTCTGAAGCACCAAAAAAACACGAGAAAACAAAAAATCATACTCTTTAGATAGTTTTGCTTTTTTCAGTTGCATTTCAGTTGCTCTTTTGATGGTTGCAGAGTGGTCGGTGACCCAGGACACATTGAAAGTCACACGGCCTTTTGCTTGCTGGTGATCAGATCGGATCCTATACGGATGGAATAGGGTTCTGACTTCACCCAAGGTCTGATGTATGAGACATTTTCTCTCGTTTTCTTTTTTTTTTGCTCTGCAATGGACAGGCACCTTCTCGCGGTGCAGAGTGTTAAGCTGGATGCAAATCCGGTGAACCGAGACCTGTCTAGATAGGATAGATAGTTGGATGGTGTTCACAGGGGGAGAATCTTGTGTCGACTGTACTGTTCACGGTCGAAAGGGAGAATATTTGCAGGTCAAGGCACAGCGTCGGAGGCCAATCATCGTCTACAAGGACACTGACCGAGGACAGGATTGGGCTTGGAACAGAATATCAGTATTCTCGCCACCTTCAAGGACCTGGACACAGTGATGGCCCAGCAAACATCGCACGGGAGGCCGCCGGAGCGACTTGCAAGCGAGCCAACGACCCGTCCGACCCGTCTTGTGGCCGGAGAGATGTTCAGCAGCAAGCAGCAAGCAGCAAACAAAAACAACCCGAAGCTGAAGCAAGTCTCACGCTGACTGCCGGGTGAGTGAGTACATATCAACTCCGGCGTCCAGGTGTCTACCTAACTTCTGACCTGGAACAGATGAGCGCCGTTGATAATTTGTCTCAGTTGCCCGAGAGCACCAGCCGTTCGTTCCCCTTTCTTCAGTCTCGCCTCTGCTCTCCTTTCGCCCCCGACCGCCTCTTTCTGCTCCGAATCTGCCCCTCTTCTGAAGATTCGAGAAAGGCTTCGGACTGTTCTCTTGGCTTTTCGGTCTCGGCCCATGCATGGCACATGTGCGAAATCCAGGATGGAGGCGAGACACAAGACACACAGCTACAATACTATGAAAAGACACACAGCTACAATACTATGCAACCACGGCCAACAACAGCGGACCTGACTTGAAACCCAACCACGGCTAACAACTGCGGACACCGACATGAACGCATTGCTGGTACTTTCGGCATTGCGTTGATTGCCGTCCGTTCGAACCCCATTTCACCTCCCTGTCCGTCTCAAGAACTTTCTGGTGATGAAGAAACATCTACGACGAGACACATAGAAGGACAGATGAGAAGGACAGATGAGATGGACAAGATGGACAGAATCTCGTACAGACATTGGTCATCTATAACTTACATGGCTCGCCAGCTCCGCTATTCATCACATGTCTTGGGCCTTTTATTAAAAATCATTGATCAAGTATCAGTATAAGCGTCAGTCCGCATCAGTCCGTATCGGTCGCGTGGCACCCTGCCTCAGTTTATAGACTCATCACCTAAGCCCCGGCTCCAGCTCCAGCTCCATCGTCCCCGAATCCAACGGGGTGTGACATCCTCACTGTTTGCTTGCGCTTATACGTCTTCGCCTATACACCCACATACGACAGGGTGCAGTATTGCTTTATAGTCCTTCCGTCAGACTTGGGCTTGCAGTCAATTCTGGGCAAACATGTCCTGCTCCAGCATGTCGGCATACAGTTCCAACGCGGTACCGATCATATCGACAATGGCCCAGCTGGTGTTGCCTTTGAAGGTCTTGCTCCAGACTCGGACCACGGCCACACTTAACGCCCGGATCTTGCGCGTGTCGTCCAACAACTCTCGGCTCTCGTTGAGCACCGTGTGGTCGTTGGGATTGCTGTTCAGTGGCACCGTCATCTCCGTCTCGTCCAGGAGGCTACGTACCCAGAGGATTAGTTTTCGTTCGTGTTCGGTCACAGGGGGCCCGCCTTCGGTTTTCAGTCGAGACAGCACCGCCAACCATTTGCTCAGCAAGAACGCGCATTCCAGGCTGCACAGTGAGTGCTGGATCGACCAGAAGAACGTTTGCGTGCGGGCCACAAAATCGATGCCTAGTCGCACGGGTATGGAGAGAGCGTGCGCGGAATGTAGGAGAGCCGGCGTCAAGCGCGGATCGCGCCGGAGGTCCGGAGTATTGAGCAGGGATCGGGCAATCTGTAAAGGATTTCGAGTCTCGAGATGGCGGAGAGGGCCCATGTCGACGTGCAAGCGGATATAGGCCAGCCCCAGGAGAGCCGTTGAGGTAAAAGCCACCGGCCCATTAGGATTCTGCGGGTCGAGACTTGATTCGGGCGTTCGTTTCCACCCAGCCTTCCAGGCGTTGAGACCGCCATCGAGCACTGAAATGTCTTCCATCCGCAAACTTGATCCGGCCACGCCAGGCCACGCGAGGGATAGCTGTCGGGCGAAAAAGATCTGCTGGATGATGGCATGAATGAGGATGTAGTTGCCCAACGGCGAGATGGGGGTCGCTGCCGCTTGGTTCTGTTTGTTGAAGAGGCGAAGAAAGGCGGTTTGGAAGGGCATTTGCGGCGAGGCATTGGCCTGATGCAGTTTCTTCCACTGCTCTGCCGTGGTGGCTTTCCATTCATTGGCCGGGTCGGGTAGGTTCAGTTTGATCTCCGAGTTCAGGATGAGAGGAGGGACATTCCACGTGATCGAGTGAAGGTTGAAGAAGCAATAGACGATCAACTTCGTCCGCTTGTCTCCTTCAATCCTGATCCAATCTTCCCAGGTGAGTTCGTCTGGAGACTGCATGATCTCAGGACTAGTGAGACCTGCCTCGCGTACGAGGCGGGCTAGTATGCTCTGGAATGCTAGGGCTTCACGAAGCAACTCGGTATGCCGCTCCCAGGTTGCAAATGCCGTTAGGAGCAGAAGCGCTTGGATAGAATCCATCTGCTCTTTGCCATCCGGGGCAACGGCCAGTTCCGGTGAGATATGTTGGAATGGACTGCTTGTATGACTCTGACCGGCGAATCCTCCACTTGGCGATTGAGCCATCGATCCTGTCCTAGGCCTGTTCCACGACTGAGAAGTTGTCGACTCGTCACGGCGTCGTATCTGTTCCATCACTACGGCTTTGGCTGCATAAAAAAGTTCTATCCCTCGGCTGTTCTCGAACCGATACTGTGCCCCGACAGCAGCCAGTGCGATGATCAGTTCAGGGGCGCTTGCTGCAACTTGTAGAGTGGGTACGTGGATGAAAGGGAGGTGTTCGTGAAAGCCGTTGACATAGCCGGCCAGATAGCGAGAAAGCGAATGTCTCGATGGAGGAATAAACCCTTTCGGCATGACACTGTCAAATGCTGCCAATTTGGCGACAAATGTCGACCTGTCGGAGTCTGAGACGTCCCAAGTGGTCCGGACCTTGATGGCCTCTGCCTCTTCGATCGAGCTTCGGGGTTCTGGCCGATGGAAGTCAGGCTCTCTAGACTCGGGCTGGAGGGAAGGCAATCTCGAACCGAATCGGGAAAAACTGCTGGTGTCTTCTTGTGGCACACCAAGCTTGCTGTCGATGGAATGCTCACCGTTCAAATGAGGTCTTGAGATGTTGAGGTGATCGCTCCTCAACTCTGGTGAATGATAGTTGTCCACCTGGTCATGGCCAAACATATTGGCATACCATTCAGACGACAGTCCTACGGAGTCGAGGAAGACGGTAAAATCTTGCATGGGATCGCCGAGGTCGGGCGGGTCGAATAGAGGCGGTGGTTGGGCGTAGCCGTCTGAAAGCATGCGAGGTTGATATTGTCCTTCCGACACGGCGGGTATCATCGACTGTAATGGCTCACTGAGCTGTTCTTGTGTCGCCTGCGGCAGGTCTGACATGTAGTGATCCTGGCCACTGGAAGCGACGTGGCTGGCAGCATGCGACAGCAGATTCAGATCGTATCCCCAGGACGGATCAAGCGGCGGAGCGCCTAGGACGGACGGCTGGTGCGATGGCATTCCCTCCATCGAGTGCATGCCGTTGGTCGGTTGCATGAGTTGAGGGTCGAGCATGTCCATCATCCCTCTCCCCTGGTGTGGCGCTTCTGGGGATAGCAAGGGCTGAGCCGGCTGCGGTGCAATGTCCATCGGATCTGAGGACACGGACGAGCCCGGATGTGGGTGTAGCGACTTGGTAGCATTGTGGTTTTGAATGTGGTGTTTATGGGATTTTCTTGTGGTGTGATGGTCCTCGTCACCCGGATGGACGAGTCTCTCGTGGCGGACAAGCAGGTCGCTGCGGGCGAAGGACTTGGTACAGATGTCACAAACAAACGGCTTCTCTTTCGTGTGGGTGCGGATGTGTCTTTGGAGGTGTTCCTGTCGGCGCAATCTCGAGTTAGCTTGCGACCGAGGTAGTGAATTCCAATGCGACAACGGGCAACGGGATGGAGACCTACCAGGCGGGCGAAGAGTCGCTGGCAGTGCGGACAGGGCAGTGTCTTGCTCTTGTTGCCGGACTGCTTCCTCTTGACTCTGCCACCGGCATCCAGCGATTGTTGCTCGTCCATGCTTGCGAGGGGGAGGGGGAGGTGAGATGGCAGTAGTACTGCGCAGTGTTTGGCAGCGGTCGCGAGTCGCGCAGGTGTGGAGATGAGGGGTTTGAGGGGAAGACAGAATTCAGCAGGCAGGAGGCTGGAAAGAAGAGGAGAAAGTGTGGAGGTGGAGGAGGAGGGAGGCAGGGAGCGAGAGATGGATCATGAACGATAGAATACTGTGATAGCAATGGCTGGACACTGGACACGGGACACTGGACACTGAATAGCAGCTGGTGGTGGTGAGAGACGAGTGTCCTGTAGCAGCTGGGCAGAGTAGCTGGAGAATAGCTGCAGCCGCAGTCGTAGCTGTAGCCGTAGCCGTAGACGTGGTCCTAACCACCGCGGCTGCGAGACTGGGAGAGCGACTGCGACTGCGAGAGGGCGGAATCGAGTCGCGCCCGTTGTTTACCTGGTAGGTGCCTGGAACTGGAATTACTGCCTGCCACACCCACCGGTAGCACCTAGGTAGGTGACTGCTAATTAGGTGACTGGTGACTGCTGGGCCAGTAGGAGCCACTGCCACTACGTACCACCGCCACTGCGAGATCGAGTGCGCATTTCGAGAAGCTAGTCCACAGATGGTTAGTTCTTCTTGGCATTCGGCATATAGTTTATCCGAGATGATCAGCGCATTCTTTACTCTTTCCAGACTACAAACTACAGACGTCGACTATATTCGTACCTCTGCACCTAACACAAGGCTGGCCGTCGCATACCATTGCCCTACAATCACTCTCGAAGCAGGAGCACATCTCGCAAAGCCCATATCCTCGTCCTCATTTGCTACACCGGCTACCCATTGAGCTGCCGCTCGCAACCCAATTCTCATTATGCTTTGGTAGGCATCATCTCTGCCTGGGCGCTCACGCAGGCGGAAACTGCCCGTCATCCTTCCACCTTCGCCGATATCAGTGTAGTACAGACAAAACCTTACATCGTCAGGCTCGGTGCTCTTCCCGACAGCCTCGGTGCCTCCCCGACAATCTCGGAAACGTCTATTTCACCCAGGGACCAGCGGCACAGGAAGCTTTCCCGGAAGCTTTACCCGTCCCCCGCGATGCAGCAACTCCGCGAACCACCAATTGCATTGTCTGATATTGGCACGTGCGTCGAGGAGAACTCGTGGTTCCCCGTCTCGAGGCAAAAGTGCCTGGGATGTCGTACGGCACTCAGTCCTTATTACGCCGTTCGCGGAAAGCTCCCTGTCAGGATCCCGAGGTATATAGATGGCTCTCTTTCCCATGGAAACTGTACAGCTGAAATTAGAGGCTGTCGGTTCGTCACACTCTTGACTGTTCGACTTCAGCAAGAACCAGACAGGTTTCTGGGTGCCTCTGTGCTCTCAAGTTTCCAGGACCTCAACCTCCGTCCAGGCTTTTTCTAATGGGGACTCCGTCACAGTGGGATATGTCACCAGAGACGAGTCTTTGAGCAGTCACTAGAGAGAGAGTGATTGTTTCGCGAATTGCATGATATCTAGGGCTGTTCAAGGCACTATCATCGACACCCGCATGCCCTCAAACAAACCGCCGCATGCAACTGCTCCGGAATTCTGGCTTCTCTCTTCGATCATTACACCTTTGTGGCATTCGCTATACCAGAGCAATTAATCCACCCCTCTGAGCTTGCCAAATCTCCCAGTGCGCTTAATCCGCCGAAGTGGAGCTGCTCGTCCAGGTGGCGTAGGAGCCTCCCTCTTGAGTTGCGCCATGATGACACACTACCACCTTCGAGAAGTTGACCTCTTGTACTGATGACTTGGGATCAAACCGGTCGCCTAAAAATGGATTGTGGCGAATGAGCCCAGATGGAGTTCGCAGCATGGAGCATGTGCAACGGTGGACCCTATATGTCCGGAGGGTATGGACGACCAACATTCGAAAGAGCGGAAGGTGGCAGTGACTGGGACATGCCCCAATGATCCGGAAACGTCTGCAGCTGATATTTCCACGGGCATGGTATGGCGCTCCACGCTGACGGTGCGCTACAACGCCCTCTCCGTGACATTGTTGTCAAAACACCGGCCGGTAGCAGCCAATGTCTGGAAGCTGAGTTGAGAGGTAGGCTAGGGATCTCGATTCCGTCTGGTTTCGTCTGGCAGCTGTTCCGCCAACATACCGCTAGCGGAAAGCAAAAGCAACCAATAGCGGAACCGGCAGCCTCTGCACAAGACTTACACCGTTGTACCAGGCGTGAGAGTGCGGAGAATGGAGTGCGATATTTGGGGCAGACAATCTGGTCGTTCAATTGTTCGGCAATACTGTCGTCATCATGGCGTTTCGTGAGTGCCCAATACCAAAAGCGGGAGTGTTAACGAGTGTTACTGTCGGCTGCCCCCTTGCAATTCAGGTTGAATCCCTGACGTCTTCCCAGATCAGTATGTGGTCGGTAAAGTTTGCTGGCGCTCCACGAAAGGCTAAGTTTACTGGCCAAACGTTGACATCACCCCAATGCTCTCACGGAGCAGATGCTGTCGAGGGATCAAAGTGTGGTGCAACACCCCAAGTGTTACGTCCGTCTTCATGGGAGTGGGTTCTCGTGTGACCCGTTCCAGATCATCTGTAACTCTTGTGAAAGAGATTGCATAGGCCATCCACTGGAACGTTGACACACATCGAGAAGTCCGACGACTGCTGTGCGTTGGTGCAAGTCTCTCACACATAAGCCAGCTGCGCCAGCCAGTCAGCCAGTTCCAAGCCGGGGGTGGAATTTCATACCTATGAAAAGACACTGAGATGTCATGCTACTCGACGCATAGTCGAACGCAGTGGTGGCAGCAAGTCCACAAATAGTCTCAATGTATGTGGCGATCTCTCTTTTCTGACGCACAATGTCTTCATAGCCTCGGAGGAAAGGTCGGTACATTTGAAGGAGAATGCGAGCGGCGCAGTGGATTTGAACCGCGAGACCTGGGACATGAGTTAGTCCAATCAGGTGTACGGCTGTGTTTCGCTTACCGAAAGCCGGAGGGTGGACCCATATTGGCTTGAAGACAGCCGGGCCGTCGCTCTCCAGGGGTAGAGGGTTGAACTCAATGGGCAGATGCCGCTGCCAGTCATCGAGCATGTGTGCAAGAGTCTCTGCTTGGTCGACTCGAGGTCTGATGTCGACTTCGCCCCGTGCAACTTCCTCCTGAGAGCAGTAGGTCACAACTTGGGCCAGGACGTACACTGATCGTGCGGCTATCTCGTATGAGTTCAAGTCGCTGTAATCCCTGGTAGGAGTCCAGGAATTGAAGGGCTTCCGTTTCTCTCGAAACGCAGCCCACACATCCTGACACAGCCATGCCCACCATACAGTTTGGCTGAGACCGCGCGAGTCCCCATCGATCCGCTGCGCACGTTGGATCCAGAACACCCCTTGCAGGTGGCGTTCCCAGTCTTTCCGGGACCCGTCCAGCATTTCATATGCGGAGATGATCAAACATGTAGCGAGGAGTTCGGCACTCGTGTTGTAGGAATCGTATTGCATCGCCTTTTGGACATAATGTAAAGTTTGGTGGTAGTAGGGGAGGGAATCGTTCCTGTCATGGACAGGTCCCGTTTCTGCTGCAGGACTGAGGGACAAATGTCTCACTGACAATGCAAGTATTGCATTCATCATACCGACATTGTGCATCTAACAAGCAAATCATGTCAGCTCCGTGTTATTGCCAGGACTGCCAGTACCAAAGAGGGAACTGTTCCGGGAAATGGCGAGGCTACAAAAAAAGACTCTCCAGGAAGCAATAACCGGAACTGGGAGTTGACAGCTCAGGCCAGGAGTAAATGACACATACCGCTAGGTGAGGAACATATGTTGAAAAGTGGCAAAGTGGATCGAAAAGATCAATCTAGGTGAACCACGTCAGTACCGTAAATGCCAGTGCGAGTGCAAACGAAGGGGGCAGGTGAACGGACATACCCAACGGCTGATTCGAGTGACGAAATGGTCAAATATGGCCGTCTCATGAGGCCTGAGGGTCAATGCGGATGTTGATTGCCACAGGTGCGAATCTGGAGGCACCGGGTGCGAATACGGAATCCGGTGGGAGGCGGTCCGTGATGCCCCCAAAGATGAGGCAGACAGGCCGGAAGGGAAACCGCCGTTCAAGTGAGGATGAACGTGGCATGCTTCATGGTGGGCGAGAGCATGCGTGCGACCCCGGACAGGCTGATTGCCGTTGCAGCTGATGGAGGGCGTGCCGCCTTCAAGCTCTGCGTCGCCCGCCAACAATCCGAACCACTTTGCAATCGCCGCATCGGCCAAAGGACCCGAATTTGAGATGCGTGAAGCCGTGGCTAGGTCCTCCGGGCTCGACACAGCATGGATACTCTGGGAGGAGATACTCGATTGCATCAGGGACTGGAAATAAGGCGCACCGGGCGAGAGTTCGCCGGTCACTGACACAGGCGGGGCCTTGGATTGAGGCGAGTCTTGTTGAGAGATGGAGTTAAGATCATCCCAGCCGGTCAGCACAGGGGTGAAAAGTGAAGCCGTAGCGGTGCTTGAATAGTAGTCGGACTGTTTGGCGGCGTCATAAGGGTCAGCTGAAGCGGTTCGTGAGACACTTTGCTCAGGCAGTTCCACCGATGAGGGAGCCGAGTTGGAGGTTGATTTCGAGGCCGGACCAGAGGTCGGGTCGGCATAGACGCAGGTATGATTGCTCCGGGTACATGGCCCACAGTGTGGCTTCTCTTCGTCGCACTTGAGATGGCGTTTGCGGCAGGTCATACACCCAGTCCGGGTGCGCAGACCGCGGCCACGAGGCTTGCGCTCTCTCGCTCGGCCAGGCTTCTTGGTAGAGTCGCCGGCGCGATGGGTCGGCACGGTGGTCATGGTTGTAGGGCGCTGGGAAACTTGAGAAATTGCATGCACGATTACAAGGGAGGAGGGTCGGGCAGCATCGAGGCTTTTGAGGAAGAAAAGGACATTGTCTGATTTCGCACTCGGGTTGATATAGAACGAAAGATCCTGGGGTAGAGAAGTTGCCACCTCGTAGACACATGCAGTCTGCGACAAGACGCGGACCACATCCTGAGCGAGGAGTCGGATAGAGTGATGTGAGCGGATGTCTGGTTGATTGACTGGAGTGACTTGTCTGGACTGTCTGAAGTGATCGAATCATGGATGATGCCCAGGGCGAGCGGACGACGAGGGACTGCGTTTGGGAAATAGACTTTGGGGCCAGACAAGGTCGACAATCTCAAAGCTAGATCATTAATTAGGCACCTGCCAGAGCCGAACAGAGCCTAAGCGGCTTAGGCAGGCGGCGTGGATGTCGTAGGTGCTGTAGGTGCGGAGCGAGGCTCCGGGCTCTGCGGCAGGGTGTGTAGGCCCTGTAGGCTTAGGGCGGATGTCATCCTCGGCGTGGGCGCGGCTTAACCTTAAAGCTCGACACCCTGGACGGAGCACCTTTCCAGGCTTAGAGGCTCCGACCCCTGCTCATATAGGGAGGGCCCTGGGGCTTCAGCTGGGTCGACTTCTGGGAACGACGACGCCGGCGAGCTGTCTCTGCCGCCCCACGCTCCGAACTACCCGAACGATCCACCGAGGAGTACTCCGTACTCTGTAGCAGAAGCTCGTCCTTTTTCATCACGATTGCTGCCATTGCTTGGTCGCAGCTACGAATAACACCACACCGCTATGCAGATGTACAAGTACGTTGGAGAGTGTACGGTGGGTGCGGTGGGTGCGGCGGCTGCGGTTCGCCACCACGGCACTGACAGATGTACAGATACTACTGTAGGGCTGCCGGGCATCTTAGTTCAGGTACATACATACCTGATGTACCCATGGAGTACCTAGGTACTCGCTCAACAAGGTACCGATACACCTACCACCTACCTACTACCTATGTAGGACAGACAGGCAAAGTTTCAGGATCAGTTTCTTCTCTGCCTCCTCACCCCTGCTTCCTTGCACACACTCTGCGCCTCTGCGCCATCCATCCAATCGCCTCATTACCATCCTACGCCCAAGCTTCTGTCTGCCCCTTGCTGATCCATTCTGGCAAACAAATCATTCGGTTCTGGCCACGCGCTCGGGCTTCGGGTTTGTGTAGGCCGTGAAGAATTTTACCTTCCATCTCCGACCTCGAGGCGATCCATACCGTAGACAGGAAGGCGTTAGCTAACAGTCGCCCATGCTGTACACTGATTATGATATCGCTGACTCGTCTGATAGACGATGTGTCGAGTAGACAAGGCTGCCATCGGCCTGGAGCGAACACAGAATCCAAACCTCGACCGCGACGTCGACCGCAGGCTAGTTGACGTTATCACTACTAGAGAAGAAGGGGGACCTCAAGCATACTGTATCTATCGCCCCGCCGCCAGCACTGTGGATTCGAGAAGACGCCCAAGCCTGCGAACGCTGCCTCATGTTCAACTAAGCCACCTGTGGCACGCCCAACGCAGTCAAGTGAGGTTGACGAAGCCAGTCCATAGGGTCTGAGAGCTCGGCAAGGACCTTGTCGGGCCCTGTCGACCAATAGCGCACAGGTCAGCCGCGTCATGCCGAGAAATCGGCGAGGCAATGGGAGCCGACCGATACTACTTGAACCTTCAGTATTAATTGTGGCCAGGCGATTCTCGGTGCAGAGGAAGTTCCGCTTTGACGATGTGCCTCGCCCCGTAGGGCCGAAAGGATCGATAGTGGCAGAAAGAGAATGTAGAATGGCTCACCGCCTGCTGATAAGACCTATTCTGGAAATCGCCAGCCGACACCCTCTCTGGCAACGGATACAACGGCCTTCGAGACATGGTCAAACCTTGTTCGCCAGCAGGCAGATGGTCCTCTTGACGAAGAGTCGGAGAAAGTTAAATATACATCGGCCAGCCATAGCGTGCAGTTGAAGCTCTGATCCTGCTGCTTCGGATATGACGGCCCGCATTACAATGACCAGGCCGCCGTCATCATCGACGATGGCATGCGGCCTAGACGTCAACAACCTTATGGAGTAGATTCGACTCGACCGCACTGACTAGATGTCGGGCAAATTGTGACTCGGTCCTCACTTTCTCCTTGCAAAGGATCTTGCAGAGCGGAGACTTGGATCGCAATCGTACTCCCGCAACGGAGGATTAACCTCAGATCGACACACAAAAGGGGGGGAGACTTTCCGGTGCATCCTGTCTCACAGCCTTGTTTGAAGAGGGGTCTCCTGAGCCACAGGAAAAGGGAGAAGCCAGCAGCACCCCGGCGACCGGCTGGACAGGTTCCAGCGACCAAAAATGTCGACACGGTGCTCGAGGTGACTCGGCGCTCTCGAAGCTACGCCACATAGACGACTAGATGCGGTCGATGTCACACACTGTCGGGTTGATATCCGCAATATCCACATGCTACAGTATCTGTCATCGACACTGGGACAGCACTGCGATCTGGTCAACACTGGTCCGAGTCCACCGATATGGTACAGATTACAGACTAGTGAGGATCCATGTCCGAGGCTGGTGCTACAGCTCATAGGACGCCGTCCGCAGCAAGCTACGACCGCAATAGGGAAGTCAGACAGCGTGATCGGGCCTCTTTGACCCGCATGCCGTTGACCCTTGGAACCAGCTACGCAGGACTGACGTCGGATACTGATACGTGCATACACCATAGGACTAGAGGATAAACCTCGCCTAGCATCGCGTACACGTCCACCAGGTACTAACTGTACATTGTATATTATAGAGTAGTAGTAGTCATAGTCGCAGATGTTTACTTCGAGAAGGGTGCAAGCTCAGCTATGCCAAACTCCCAACCGGTCTAGACACTGGGATAGTGGACATGCACGGGATTGTCTCGACAACAAGCCATTTCCCCATGTTTCAGGTCATCTGACGGCTGGCATGTGTACGGATAGACAGCAGATACTATGCGGACCGTGGACACCAGACACCACGACACCAGACACCCTCTTTCTCGATAATGAACAGCGGCGCTCGGTGTCAACCATCAATCAATGATCATCTACGGGCAGTGGCAGTGGCGGTGTCGTGTGAGGACAGCGGTTCCGAGGCCTTAGGGCCCCTTAGGGCTAAGGGGCCTTAGGAGCCTCATTCGCCAAGGACCTCAGGCTTAGGGGGTGTGCACGCTAAGGTAGGTACATACGGTAGGTACCTACATACCTCAAGTACTTCCTGCCTGAGCTGAATCATTCTTCTTCCTCAGCTGAATCATTATTCGGCATTGCGCATTGGGCAGCCGGGACAGCTGATCCGGTCGAACAGGATGAATGATTCCTATTCCTCTATGCCGTAGTAGGAGCGTGTATCCGTCCCAAGGCCTTGTTATTGGTGCAGAGGACGAGTACAGCAGGTATGGACGGACCTATGATGTCCTACTGAGAAAGAACTGTGCGTCACTCTCACTCTGGCATTCAGCTGAAGTTCCAAGCTGTCGGTGCCTTTTTTCCCTTTCTGGGCCTGACTGGGCCGGTCTTTCTATCCGGTGCCTATCAGGTGCCTATCACCCATCACCATAACGGAGCAATCTGCCTACCTACCTACCTACCTACCATTGAAGGAGTGCTTCTTCCTACTCTATACTCTGGATTCATTCCCTGATCACCACGCACCACGCACCACGCACCACGCACCACGCAGTACGGATGGATATGTGTACGGCGTAGGCACTGCAATGATCAATCCCCTCCGACGCCTGGGCCTCAACTGAATGAATGCGCACTGGCAATCAATTGTCTTGGCCTTAACCTTCTTTTTCGGTTCGGTGGGAGCTGACTTCTACTCTACCTAGTGCATTGCTTCCTGCATCCTGCATCCTGCCAACTTGACAAATGTTGGTCCTGCTTCGACCCCCTCCCCGTTGGAGCCCCGTTGGGGGGTTGTTGTCGTTAGCAAACCTACTCTACTGATCCACTTGGAGCTGCCAAGAACAAAATGCCGGTTTTTACTTCACTGTTTCACCCAGACCTGACCCTGACTGGTCGATGCTCAAACCCCCCTGGCCTCACCCCGTGCGAGGGACGGCTCGGTACTGCTGTATCTCTCGCCGAGTTTCATCATGTGCCTGGTTATGGACAAAGACGACGGGACGCAGGACAATTCACCAATTGCATCTGACACTTGGGGCGGAGCCTTGGAAATTGAATCGCGAGATATTTCTACACATGTCAAGGATATCCTGGCGACTGGCGACTGGAAGATGCCATTATGTTCATGTCATGAGATATACCACTGCCGCTGCCGCCCTATACCGCTGCCGCTGCCGCCGGTAGGACTAAGCATCCAGACTAGAGGAGTGGAGTCCGGGACTCGACTCGCAAACCTTAAACTGAAACCTATTCTTCATCACATCCTCCGTACTCCATATTACAGGATTCTCGTCGGGGAGACTAGGGATTTGCCAAAAATAATGGAAATGTTAGGAGAGACATCATGATCCCCTCAGGGACACTCCACTCATGTCGAAGCTGAAGCTGGCCAGATCAGGCCAAGGCTGTTTCGCCCCTCCCCCCTCTTAGACCCGGGGCCCTCTCGGGAGTCAGGATGCTCTCTCCGAAAGATGAAAGCAGTGGGTGCAGTGCAGGAGGAGCGGATTAACGAGCAGGAAGAGCGGATATTGAGCCGCAGGGAGCGGAAAACAATGCAAGGAGGCGGATAACGGTGCACGAGAAGCGGAAAAGCCGGCCCATCTGGTTATGTGACCGGCCTCCTCCTGACGAGAGAAACGAACGACGTGCTATGAAAACCAAGTCGATGGTATGGATGTCACGCGACAAAATGGTCTGTTCGTATCCGTACATATGATATGCATGATCAAGATCAAGATCAATGAATCGCATTCGCATCATTCTGTCCCGAGTCCTCCATTTCCCATTCCCATCCCATTCCTATTCCCATTCCCATTCTCTCTCCCTTTCTGTGTGGAATATGCAAAGGTCAAGGTAGGTCCGATCGATCAGTCAAACACACCCACACACAATGGAGCCCGAGTCCGAGCCCGAGCCCACAATGGAGCTCTCGCCGACAGAAAGCCCAGGCCCAAACCCTTTTGGTAAGTCGGGGCTCGGGCCTAAGCCCTCAGCCCTCAGCCCGGGACCGGGACAGGGACAGAGGACAAGCCCACTTGGTACACTTGGTAAGTCGGGGCTCAGGCCCTCAGCTCAGTCCGGGACCGGGACAGAGACACAGACACAGAGACAGAGGACAGAACAAAAGACAGAAGACAGAAGAATCGACCGACCCGCCGCTGCCGCTGCCCTGGGACCCAGCACCAGCATTTCTACTTGAACGCTCCGCCGAGCCATCGGTTCTGTTCGGTGGGGAGTTCGAGTCTCACGTCAACAGTCAACCCAGGTAAGTCACTTGCCTTGCATCAGTGGCCTTGCCTCAGTGAGCCACTGCAGTCCGCTCAGTCAGTAGTGGCTCCGGTGCTAGCCTTAGGCCTCTTGGCCTGGGACGCCTTTTCGCCCGACGCTGACGCTGACGCCGACGACCTTGGAGGTTCAGGTTCCATCGCACCGCCTGTACTGTACTGTGGTGCAGTGCAGTGTCGTAGTGTGGTGTACCTCACCTCACCTCATCACGCTGCAATGCAGCCTTGATTAGATTCGGTTGTGGGCTGCAGCGACTCTGCTGGAGAAGGGACGGATGGATGGACGGACGGACGAGCGAGCGAGCTGAGCTGAGCGTATGTCTATGTCTATGCCTATTCCTATGCCTATGCCTAGCGAGGATGAGGATGAGGATGAGACGAGGAGGGGATATGAAGAGGTCGATGTGCGGACTGGGAGTAGTGGGTTCGATCTTGTCGTTAAATAAAGGCTGGGAAGAGGGAGGGCAAAGGTAGGGATGTGTGTGTATGAGAGAGTGTGCGAAGCGCGGTATGTAGCTGAGCGGAGTTTCCCAAGGGAAGGGCAAGGGACTCAAGATCTGTCTGTCAGGCTCCGGCTCAGGCTCTGTGTGTCACAGTGAAGCGTGGTATGTAGCTGAGCGGAGCTCCGCAAGGGAACGGGATGGGGCTCAAGATCTGTCTGTCTGTCAGGCTCAGGCTCAGGCTCACGCCCCAGCTCCGGCTCAGACTAAAAGAAAGGGAAGAGAAGAGAAGAGAACATCATGGCCGGCCCCGTTCTGGCATTTCACTGTGAAGCTGCCGTCGACCTAGCCTGACAGACAGACAGACAAGTCCCCAGTCCCAGTCCCAGTCCCAGTCCCAGTCCCAGTCCCAGTCCCAGTCCCAGTCCCATTTTATCAATCACCTGCCATCTGGATCTGGATCTGGATCCGGATCGAGATCCGGGGAAGAAGTGGAAGTGTGGGTAGGGTAGATCTGCTGAAGCCGTCTCTGTCTCCGTCTTTCCTTTCACTCACAGAATGATTGATGGCCCATGGAGCATGGCCCAAGGCCCGGTCCACTTGGTGTAGTAACTGTAGCGTAGTCGGTCACGGTCACAGACGGCAATAATGGCCGCCAGACTCCAGAGGGACGAGGTCGCGTGACGGGACAGGACAGGACTGGAGTGTCTGTTTGATAATGAACCAAGCAAGTATGCATGCCCGTGAGACCTGGATCGTCCGGGATCTCCATTATTAAAGAGGAGAGGATGCGGCGTGCCGGTTCACTTCACTTCGCTTCGCTTCGCTGCCTTCACGAGGCTCCGCTCGACTTGGCCTTGGCCTTGGCTCTTGAGGACCTCGGATTGAGCCCCAGATCCCACGAGAGGAGAAGGAGGAGCAGCAGCAGAATCCAGGTGAGATGCGTGTATTCTCTTTCTCTCTTTGCCGCTTCGCTAGCCAAGGCTGGTGGGGGTTTGTTGTTGCAATAGCCGCAATGGGGATGATATTGACCAAGGTTTCGAAGGAGGATGATATTGATATTGACCGAGGTTTCTATTGACCTAGGTTTCGCAGGAGCAGGAGCCCATAGCAGGAGCCCATCCATGGACAGGACGTCGGTTCGGTTCTGGGCAAAAACATAGATACAGACACAGACCTTCCCAAGGGCTTAGGCCCTACTCCAGCCGGGCGCTGATGGATGGTCCGATACTCGAACGCCTGTCGCCTGTCGCCCGTCGTGGCCAGTTAGCTACCTACCTACCTACCTCTGCGGCAAACCCTTGGGCGAAAAGCGTCTTCCTAAACGACAAGCCAGAGGACTTAGATTCATAGTCATTTCATTTCCTATAGCTAATACTACATCTACATTGTTCTGAGGACCCGGCCGCTCTTACAAAGATGAGCCTTTGTAAGAGCGACACTCCAACCATCCCGCCTTCAGCAGCTCGCCAGCAGCCAGCAAGAGCTGCCAGAGCCAACTGTAATGGAGATTAGTAGTAGAGTACCGGAACTGCTCTCCTGCTGAAGGCGCCTCAGTTTTGTACTTACCAGGACGAGTGATGGAAAGAAAAGAAAGAAGAAGGAAGAGAAAGATCGGAGAGGAGGAGATACTTATACCCCAGTGCTTCAAATTGAGGACGCCAAGTCTAGAATATAGGGTGCGGCAGTAACAGGGTGCGGCATAAAGAGAATGGTAGTGAATTCTAAGTCTAGAACACAGCTGGCGGCAGTGACAAGGCGCGGCAGAAAGAGAATGGCGAGATTCCATCTCATTCCGACAGCTGAGCCGCTAGGCAGACGATGCCTTGATAGGATGTGGGATGTGGTTGCTTCGCTCACCCAAGACCTGTGTCTCTCGAGATACGAGACAATGGGGACGAATCGTTCTCAATAAAAGTTCCATGGTTCGGAAAGGGATCGCGCGTGTGGTAGGTGGTATGGTGGTATGGCCACCTTGGACCGAGAGCATACGCAGGAATAGAGAATGGACATGGCACAGCCAGAACCAAAGGACAGAACAAGAACAGCAGGCTGAAGCTTCGGTGCGGCCACAAAGGGGTCTGGGTCTATCCCGGGAAAGCAAGTCATGGGCACGCAACCAAGGGAGGAGAACCGGCCAGGGGTGTCCACAGACTTCAACGATGCAATTTGCGACGGATCTCGGAAAGAAAGAATATCAACAGGTGTGAAAGGCGAGACCTTGTGGTCGCCTTTAGCCCAGGAACGCTTGTGCAGATGCAGTACAATGGTTTGGAAAATGTAAAGCAAAATATACAACACTGATCAACTCCGAGATAGGCTTTGGCCGGTAGCTGCACAATGAAGAACGGTTATGGTTCTCGGATACGATCTCGAATACGAGCCAGTAACCTTACCGGTGGAATGTTCACCATCTTCAACTTCTGGTCTAATTCTTCTCCTTTGGTGCCAACATCAGTTCCGGTCGGACGTACTTGTCGAAATCCTCCTCCGATAGAGCCTTCAATTCCATGGCTGACTGTTTCAGGGTGAGGCCCTTCTTGTGAGCGTTCTTCGCAACCTTGGACGCCATGTCATAACCGATGACCGGGTTCAGGCAGGTGACAAGCATCAGACTGGACATCACGTTAGCAGTCAGTCCGACAGGGCCGGCCAGGGCCAGTGCATACCTTTCATGCAAAAGAGTGCTGATCCTCTTCTCATCGGCATTCAAGCCCAACACTAAATGCTCCACGAAACTGTTCATCGCATCAGACAGGATCCTGCTGCTGTGCAGAAGGTTTCGGATCAAAAGAGGCTTGAAAACATTTAGTTCAAACTGTCCACTCATGCCTCCAATGGTGGCGGCAGTGTGATTCCCCATGACCTGGGCGGCAACCATGGTAAGGGCCTCGCATTGAGTCGGGTTGACCTTTCCAGGCATGATACTGCTTCCCGGCTCGTTCTCGGGGAGGACCAATTCTCCCAGACCGCAACGCGGACCAGACCCGAGGTACCTGATATCTTGTGCAATCTTGAAAAGACTGCAAGCAAGAGTGTTCAAGGATCCGGAAGCTTCCACAATGCTGTCGTGAGCAGCCAACACCTCGAATTTGTTGGGGGCCGTCACAAATTTGGTGCCGGTTAACTTGGTGACCTCTTCAGCAATACCCTCGGCAAAGCCCTGGTATGTATTTAGACCTGTCCCAACAGCAGTACCACCTTGAGCCAGCTGCCGTAAATGTGGGAGCGTCGCCGTGATCCGCTCGAGATTTCGATCGAGCTGGGCGACGTAACCGCTGAATTCTTGACCAAGGGTCAATGGTGTGGCATCCTGTAAGTGAGTCCTGCCAATCTTGATGATGTGGTTGAAATCTTCGACTTTCTTCTGGAGGGCGTCTCTCAGGTTGGTCAGAGCCGGAATCAGCCTCTCCTCGAAATCCAGGACGGCGGCAATGTGCATGACAGTGGGGAAGGAGTCGTTGGAGCTGGCGGACATGTTGACATGGTCATTGGGATGGACCGGTTTCTTGCTACCCAGCTGGCCGCCCAAGATCTCGATGGCACGGTTGGAGATGACTTCATTTGCATTCATATTGGACTGTGTGCCCGAACCAGTTTGCCAGACGACGAGAGGGAAATGATCGATGAGTTTGAGAGATGCCACTTCGGCCGCGGCCTGCTTGATAGCCTCTCCGATCTTAGGATCTATGCCTTTGTTTAGTCCATGTTCCATGCGGCCTGCGTTGGAGTGAGCATACCGAGGCCAAATCGCACATTGACTTCTGCGGCGGCTCCCTTGAGAATCCCAAAGGCTCGCACCACTCCCTCAGGCATCCGGTCTTGAGGCTGGTTGATCTTGAAGTTCCCCAACGACCTTTGTGTCTGCGCACCCCAGTATTTATCCGACTCGACCTCGATGGGCCCAAAGGCATCCGTCTCTATTCTGGTAGATGCCGCCATTCTCGCGGTGGTGCTGAATAGTCGGGAGGTGTTTGCGCAAGCTCGGTAGGTGCTCGAGGGGCTGTATCGTGAGATTGGAGGAAGGGAAGAAGAGTGAAATCGCTGGGAAGATGTTCTCAGGAGCTGGACCGAGCTGTTACTCCGCACCGCGCTGGATGCATGTGACAGAGTCAGCTTTGCTGAAGCCGAAGGTTTAACTGCTACAGAAACCCGCCCCAACATCGTGTGCGCCGTCAGTCGGATCAAGGAGAGTACAGGATATGAAATGAATGCGACCAGGAGCTTGGGGAAATGTATTCACTGATCACTGCGAAGACGGAGCAGCACCTTTCTGGAAGAGGCCGCCGGTCAAGCGTCCATTGGCTGCGGGCCTCTCTCGGGAAAGCTCCAAGCTCTGCTTTCTCACAAGAATCGGAAAATCCCGCGACATCGCCCGATGTCAAATTCCCCAAACCGCGAAATAAAAATGTTTAGAAACAAAATACCATTGCTGGACTCCACGATGCTTACACGTTAATAGGAGCCAACCCTGGTTTATCTGACTATTATTATTAGGGACGAGCTCTATTTCTCAATCCCCCAGAACTTGATTTCGCCTCAAGATGCGACCCCAATTCGGGCAGCCACTCCAACAGACCGGGTATCTCTATAAAATCGCACGACAATATGCCAGAGGGGACCTATGGACCAGTGTTTGAGCTGGTCAAGCAGTTCCATCAATGGTCTTGACTGCATTGGCAATCATGAAATCCTTGCTCTTTGCCATCTTCACCAGGAAGCTAGGCAATTTCCACCCGAAAGCGACGCCAACACCCTGCTGGGAGCCGAGGGGCACGAACTGCATGTCTTTGGTGATCTTCTTGTAGATGTTCTTGTTGCGAGGGCCAGCAGCTGAGATCTTGTTAGTGACTGTCTTGCGTGAGGACCAAGGCGGGGTCAGCTTACCATGTCCTTGAAGATCCAGCTTGATGCTCTCCAAGAGAGCCGGCTTGGCGAATTTGATATCCAAGACCGAGCCGTCAGAGTAGCTCGCAACTGATCCAATGCTGTAAACACCTGTGACTCCGGGGACGTCCAGACGAAGAGTTGCAGGATCTGTCTTGACCCTTTGCTTGTCGTCCAACCAGTCCTGAGGCACGAACTTGGTATTTGGTCTGTCACCCGTCGCCTCAATGTAGACGTCGACTGTCTTTGTTTCTCCGTTGCTCAATTTCAATACTTCTTTGCCATCTTGCTGAGTGTGTTCCACAACGCGGATGCCGTCATTGATCACCTTGACCCCCATCTTCTCGAGTCGAGCCTGGGCATCTTGACCCAATTTCTTGTTCTGCAGTCTAGGGAGCAGACTAGGAGCACCTGACAAGAGTGTGATTTCCTTTTTCTTTCCGTAGACCTCGCCCAGCTCGCCTGCGGTCTCCACACCGGCCGCCCCTCCACCTGCAACAAGAACAGACTGCGCCTTGGGCAGCCGTGCATGGATGTCTTCAAGAGCGGCCTTCAGAGGCTCGGAGCCGTCTGAGACGGACCAGAGGGCAGTCGAAAAGTTGGTGCCTGAAGCAATGACAAGAGAGTCATAGTGGACGGCAGCGGAAGTGCTGGTGTGGACAGTCTTGCTCGAAGGATCGATAGAGGTGACATAGGCCTTGATGAATTCGTACTGCTCAGGTTTGTAGTTCTTGAAGTAAGGTGCGATTGGGATGAGAGTCTTCTCCAGAGAGAGGGAGGTAGGGTTCACAATGACTCTTGGGGCACCGATCTTCCAGAAAAACTCGTCATTGGGAGCAATCTGGGTGATTTTGTAGGCCTTCTTGTCTCCCAATGAAGGTAGGACCTGCTTCAGGAGACCCTGAGCAACTCCGAGGCCGCCAAAGGAGGCACCGATAATGACAATCTGATGGTCAGACATCGTGGAAGTCGTGGAGAAAGGCTGATTGGGGGGAGATGAGTTCAAAGGACGAGGACGAGTTGAGGAAGGACAGCGACACGCTGGGGCCAGGTGTGATAAATACAGTCAGGGCGGAAGTGGAGACGGAGCGGTCGGGGAATATTTCGAATAGACGGCGGAGTTCAGGGCAGGGCCGAAGAAATGATATTGGACCAGGTCACCCTTGGTGCCGGGGAGTACAATGCTGACCAGCTACTTTACTACTCCATATTCAGAGAGGAGAGTGTCCGGCTGGCTGCCAGTGCTTCGCTGAGACCCCTGGAACCATTCCGTCTCAGGTCATCGGGATGACCACCATGTGCACCACCAAGGGTCAAAAGTATGCAATCTCAACAACACGCGTGGCTGAAGCGCGACCAAGGCTGCTGGCTTTCTCGCAATTTCATTGGCCGTTGCTCCGCGGCCAGCCCCCACCGGAGTTTTTTGACAGGAGCTGTGATCACGTGGGTTTGTCTCTCGCCCGAGAAATATCACGTGACTGCGCCGACCTGTCTGCTTTCTCGGCCAGGAAGCAGACTTGGTCGTCGAGACATCCAGAACTCTGGAGTACACATATGTCAGCGTCGACACGGTGGCGCCAGTCAATTACTAAGACGCTGTCGATAGGAAGATATCAATGCTGCCCAAGTTACTAGCTATCACTAATCTTTTTTTTCTCTTGCTGGACACCAATCGACCTAACAGGCAGACCGGCATACGACTAGTGAAATGAACTGAGCTGTGCCCAGGGAACATAGCATGTATCAACAAGTAGTCGTCCCATTATCCTCTTTACATGTAGGCCGGTGACGAATCCGTAACAGGTTGAATCAATGGATATAAGTCATGTTAAATGGACTGGCTGGCATCTAGCCTGGGTATCTTATGCAACTCCTCCACATGGCAGGTCACCGAGCCTCGCCTCTCTGCCTTCGTGCCATCATAATCGTAAAGGTGCTCTCCCCGGAACAACAAAAACAACCAAGGCGTCGCATTTTTTAAGGATGAGGGTGCCAGCTGAGATGCTTGCGCCAGCTGTGAAGCATCTTTTCCTTCTTGGTCTCGACCGCCCCTTCGTGGGTGGCAGTCTCACCCGCATCGCTCTGTCTCGGCTGTTCGACAGGCACTGGCATTGCGTCTGTGGCTCCGGGGCTAGGTGCAACCCCAGCGTCAACGGCAACGGGATGCTCGGGCTCGGGCGCCGTGACTGAGTTGTTTCTCGACTCGAGAGCCTCTGAGACCTCGCTGTGACGACGGGTGGCTTTGCTTTCTGTCCGGCCGTGCGCCATGTGCTTGCGGTAGAACTCCGAGTGCTTGATGAGCCATGGTTCGAGCCATGCTTCCGCAGCATATGGGTTGGTTTTGCTGGCGCCAGCTGGTTGGTCTATGGCCATGCCGTTGAATCCTTCTGCCATTGTACTTATGGTAGTTGAGTAGATGTTGATGTTTGATTTAGCTTGTAGGCTTTGTTTGTGGTAATATGTGTGGTATGTTTTGCTTTGAATGCTGGAATCCCAAGAACCGGTATGGCGAACACTGCCGCCATACTTATGTTCTCGTGCCGGTGCCCAGAAGCCACGAGGCCACCACCGAAACACCTCGATGACGTTGCCGCCGCTTGCCGCAGATCCAAATCACAGTATATGGCTCAACCTATTATCAATCGGGAACATTTTAGACTGTTGGTAATCCGAAATCCGGAGCCATCCGAGGTCAGGTAGCTGGGAAACCACAAAGGACCACTAAGGATGTTTCAAAAGGTACACAGCGAATCTAAGTGCAAGGCTGTGCCCGTCAGGGTCTCGTTACTTCAAGGCATCCCGCTCCTGGTTGGCCCAGCAGAGTGGCCGGATATGCTCGGAAAGATGCTTCTGAATCAATATGGGCTGCCGAGCCTCTCCGTCGTATGTCATAGGGAAAATGCCGCAACTTGGTCCCTGTGTGAAGTGGCAGATGTTGTGATAGATCTCAATTAGGCTGACTATCTGGTTGCCATTAGTATGGTCGCCTGCAAGCATGAATGAGATAGAAACAGAACGAGATCGAGAGATGGGGCGCCTGGCTTCTCACGGATGAACATCACACCACCAACATTGTTGGGGACATGGCTCATGCCTTAACGAGGCACTTCGCAGCACAGCCTGCGCCAGACCTGGATCAATAATTGACGACGGTAAGCGCAGGATACGTGGTTACGGCCTTACAGCAAACGAAGGGCATGGGCGAGGCTGTACACTGGAGACGAGGGGATTGTACTCTGGAGATTGTACAGAGAGAGTACGGATACAGACCGGGCGAGGCCTCGGAGGTAAGGCACCGTCAACGTCATATCCCGTGACCTTTGCGCCATTCCCTTTTGGGACTATGCAATCTTTTTCTTCCTCGAGCCCTCAGCGTCTCCTTCAATCCCCAGCAAACATCGCGCGACTACAGCAGACGGACGGACGGACGGACGCACAGTACAAGAGGGCGGAGAGGGCTTTTCTTTTCGGTGGCTGGTTTGTTGGTGCTTGGACATCTTGTATCGGCAGTGCATGTTGGTGAATCCTTGTCGTTCTTTTTTCTCTTTCACTCTGCAGTCCACACACTCTCTTCATTTCATCTGGGACTGGGAGATCACAGATGCCAGCAAATGACTCTGTTCCGCCAGGAGAACAACCCCTTCTGAGGACGGAAGGCCTAGTTCTCGTCTTGAACACGCCCAAAGGTAGGTCGCCAGCCCGCACGCCACTGCGGCCCTCCAGTAAAATCACTTTTTGGCTGTTGTGATTTTGTCCGACTCCATGCTTTCCTGGCCTGTGACTTTTGGCAAAGCCACCTCCAGAGTAGGTCGAACCATAGCAGAGCAAGGCCTGACAAGCACCGATCCTCGGGATTTCTTAGGGCGAGGAGTCTTTGCGACCCAAGACATTCCCCGCAGCACCGTCGTCGATGTCAGCCCCGTGTTGATTTTCAGTGAGGATGAGGTCGAGAACCACACCAAGCACACCCGTCTCCAACATTATACCTAGTAAGAACACCCTTAGTCCTTGTCTAATGTCACATCCCGCCCATTGCGCCTCTCCTGCAATTCGATTCGATTCGGTTCTATACAGAGTATGCTCACACCACCTCCTTTTCTCTCGTCGACAGCTACTGGCCTTCCGAGTCCGGCCGCACCATGACCCAAGCGCTCGCGCTGGGGCTGGGGTCAATGTTCAACCACTCACTCCGAGGCCAGAACGTGGGTTGGAAACGCAACACCGAGACAGATGTTATCGTGTATACCACGCTGCGGGACATCAAAGCCGGAGAGGAGCTTTGCATCTCGTACGGAAGTGCACGCCTGTGGTTTGACGACGCCGATGCCTCTCCCGACGCCGTGCTGGGGGATGATGAGTTAGACACGGGTGGAGAAACATTGGCCGAGTTAGAGTTGAGTGGGCTGGGAAAGATGGATCTATAGGAGTGGGCTGGGGAAGATGGATCTATAGGAGCGGCCTGCCCCTTGAAGAGGGGGGTTGTCAAGATGGCCAGATCATATTGGTCGCCATTAGTGACACTGTACAAGCAAGCAATACCACATATCATCAACCTCCTCCCCGTTACCTGTTCACGACTAAAACAAAAGAGGCCGAGAGTTACGGCCCGATGTCGACCAGTCCTCCAATCTCGAGCAATATGCCGTAAATCCCGAATCTCGAACACGTGAGGATTTTCAGGTACTAACGGTTAACTCGACCCCTTAAAATACCTACTTCGTCTAGGTACCATAGTCGTCTGCTCGCCGCCATTGCGTGGAGGAACAATCGAACGTGCATGTCCTGGCCTATCAGGCAATCTGGGATCAAACCCCCCTGGTCTGGCACTTGCGGCGCCTGTCGTTCGGTAAGCAGATGCGAAATACGTGGATACGAGCATGTTGTCGGGTGCTATTAATAAATACCCTTTTCCTCAGCTGTCTCCCGAATTTTCCGAGGCTTGCAGAGTATAAGTATGGGTCACTTCCTGTATGAACATTATCCCATTTCCTCTTTCCTCTGAGTTGTCTGGTGGCTTGAATCATGTAAGCTTTGACAGCTGGTCAAAATAAGTGTGAAAAAGATCTCATTTTAATATATGTATAGTATTCCACCGAACTTCTTTGCGCGATCGATGCCTGTTCTGCATGTTTGAGCATCATGACCTGACATTGTATGACAACATTGACAATTTTCAGCATGGACTGACCAGGTATCTATGCTGGCGCCAGAACGATACCGCATCTCCATCTTCCCGTGCACCAATCTAGTGCATAACCACCGCAACATGGTCATCCATATACTTGTCGATATTGCCCAGGAAAATACTGGACAAGATACTGATCGACCCAAAGGCAATGCTGGTCAAGTACACGTACTTGTAACTCTCGGCATAAGCAGTTTGGCCGGCAACCACCACCATTTCATACGCCGTCTCGTTACCAGCGATGCCAGGAATGGTCTTAATCAGCGGCAACAGAGCAGCTCCCGTGTACTCAATGGCCTCGGTGATGTAGGTGACGTTGGTGATCCCCAGCTCTAATGCCATAGTGCCCCCGATGTATTTTGTGGCGTTGGGAACAAACTTGTTGATGAAGACATTGTAGTACACGGTATAGCCGATGCATCCACCAATGACTCGAATGGACAGAGTGAGAGCGGCGACGGTCGCAATGATATCGTCCGGGCAAATAATGGTGGTCATGATGGAGGCAGGGACGACAATGCCGCCGATGCCGAGACCTCCAAGAATGAGAAGACCCCAGAGTGTGTTAAGATTGTCAATGCGGGCGACTGAGAGCGCTCCACACCCTGCTGTCATGAGGACAGATGAAACGATCATCAGTTCACGGTTGTGACCGCGGAAGACTGACAGAAGCCATAGGACGACGCAAGCTCCAGTCAGAATGCTGAAACCGATGGGAATTCCTCGAACACCCACGCCGACTGGGTCATGGCCGTAGACGTTGAAGGCCTGCGTAGGCCAGAACATGATAACCGAGAAGAAGTTGGCGCCCGAGATGGCAGTAATGATCAAGGTAAGGGTGAGAATCCTTGCCTCTTTCCTCATGCGCGATGGAAACATGGGAAATTTGGCGAACTTGATCTCCCAAAAAGGAAACGCAATGAACAGCAAGAAGCCGCCGATAATGAGAGGCGCGAGCACATGGGCGGAATGCCATGGGTATTGATAGCCTCCCCATTGCAGGCCAGCCAAAAACAGGATCATACCGGAGATGGACAACCCACCACCAACAAAATCAATCTCACCAATGATTTCCTTCTTGGTAAGCCCTCGGGAGTTCGGTCTAGGCGGGGGAAAATAGAAGGCTATGGTGCCAAAGAACCCAACGCAAGCCCACAGGCCGCAGAGAAGACAGCAGTACCGCCAACCAGCATAATGGGCGATCAATTGACCCCATAAAACCGATGGGCAAAAGGGGAGAATGGTGAAGACAAGGATGGCGACGTATTTTCCTCGTTTGCGAGTTGGGGCAAGTTCGGCAGTGACGGCCAGGGATGTCAGCTCGCAGATACCGGCGCCGACTCCTGAGAATGCCATGCCGACTGCCAGAAAGTAAGTAAGTATTGGGAGGATTGGATCAAGTGAGGGCTCGTTACCGATAAAGACCTCCATGCTCTTCGCAGTACCGCTGATAATCATGGCTATGATAAGCAACCCAGAACCACCTGAAGCGACCCAGCGTCTTCCAATGAGATCGGATATCGAGCCGACAAATGGACAAATGGCTGCCAGAGCCAGTAGGTAAGCCAGGACAAACCAAATCCAACGATCTGAGCCACCTATGTCGCTATAGATGTACGGTGGTATCCCGCCCAGAATATACACTGGAATCTGGGAGCCTGTCCAGAGGAAGGCCATGGCGACCAAGCTCAGGGCTCTTGTGACGGTCATCTATCACGACTATCATCAGCATCTAGCAACCATACGTCTGAGTCGACAAGAGGGAACTCACGGGAGGCTCATGGTCATGATCCTCGTCATCACCATACGTGCGCAGACCATCTTTTTCATAATAGCCAGGATGGCCTGGAACCTTTTCATTGGTATGGACATGCTCGATATGAGCAGTGATCTCCTTGTTGACAACCGGCGATGCCTGCGTGTCACTGGAACTATCTGCTTGGGTGGCCATGATGGGCTATCGTGGGGAAGCAAGAAGGACAGTCACGGGTCGGCAAAGTGCATAGACCTGGAGGTGAGTATGGAATGCGCACAAAAGGAGAAGCAGAAAAGAAGAGGAGGAAGGGCGAGGAGGGAGAGGCGGTACTTGATATAGAGTCCAGGTGAAAGAGATGGGTCTGGATCTGGAGGTGGTCCGATTGACCAACCTGGCTAAGTACTAACTCCTCATATCTGGGTGCCCACCGTGCCCCATGTCAGAGAACAACGTGCTCGACTTTAACCTTGAGAAGTCTAGAGGGGTACGAGGCAAATGTTGGAGAACCATGCGGCGAGACACCGTGCAGGGACGGTCGGAGCGAGTCCGGTGGGTTGGTGACCCTGCGTCTCGCAGCTTATGGACAGGGTTGCCAGCGATGATGGTAAGGAAGACACCCTGGTCAAAGACTAGAGGCAAGTTGATTGGAAGCGTGGCGTTGGTTGATACACTGCAGCAGGAGAGAGATGGAGAAGCATTCAGGTGTTTGATGGTCCTTGGCAGACTGCGCAAACAGGAAGCAGGAAGCACACAGGACTTCCCACCCCGCTCCGCAGCTACGCCACCTGCCACCATCCAGTCTTGCACCTCCGTTCGATCTGTGAGTGTTTCTTGTCCCGTCGACTTGAGCACGTCAAACACCTCATCCAGCGTACCAGCATGACTCTCATCAAACGCATGGCCGCTGCCTGTTGGCTTGTCGTTTGTTATGATTGCCCTCCAGATATACCGACGGCCTTACCGTGGAAACAGTGAGACGGCAGAAAATGGACATGATAGGGAAATCCCCATGGGGATGCAGATAAGCTAAGCGACACTAGGACCAAGGCTAGGAGCACGCGGTGAGGTTGGAGGTTGGAGGTGCAAGAGACAAAAGAGACGGGCCCATCTATGCATCATCGACTTGCCGAGTTCGATATACACAGCTGAAGGGCCCCTTAGCCCTAAGCCCTTGCACCTGGCGCTAGGAGGGCTAAGGCTTCAGCATGAGTGCGGGATGCCCGCCAATCCGATCTACTTCTCCGCATTTCTACTAGGGAATGCCCCATTTTCCTGTCGTTGATCATCATGCCAGTGGTGGTTTGTGCTCGCCTGGCCACATCTGGGAAAATGCTTCGACATCTGACCACTAACACTGACTGCTTATAGCCGAAGACAGCCAGGGACCGAGGCATCTGTCGGCCGCGTTCGCCCTCTACTCTCTATAGGCTCGTCTAAGGCGGATATGGGCAGGAGGATCTTGTCCAGAATACGACAAAATAAGAGATGGACATGGTTTCCTAGCCGAGTCGCCTTGTCGCGTGCAGATTGTTGCTAGTCTCCACGACTGGAAAGACCTCCACCATCTTGACGGACCACGAGACTGTCCAAGGCAACAATCTGAAGCTATCTCCTCCCCATATCATCCTTCCCCAGTGATCCAAAATACACACACATTCTCTGATTGGGAGTTGACATTTCTGCAAATCTTGGAAGAGACGGGACAATTGCCGCATGTGGGAAATAGCCCCGAGTTCTAGACTCGCGTCACTCAACAGCACCATCGGTTTTGATCGTGTACCTCGCAATTGCAGCAGCCAGAGATTGAACGGACGGTGAGTGCTGAACCAGTCCTCGGTACTTCTCATGTGCCTTCGACTGCTTCTGTCGTCCATCGGCGTGCCCGTACCTTCCACCTGCCATTGATTTAGTCTCGAGGTGTCGTTCACTGCGCCCTGTGTCACCGAATTGACCGAATTGACATCTGGAGGGCGTAGTCCCAAAGTAGTCTTTCCACATGCTGATCTCGTTGGACCAGCCCCTTGCCCTCCCATGCGTAAACCGGCGTCAACTCAATGGAGTTTCGCAAGTCATGGTCAACGCGGGAATGCATAAAGGCTACATTCTGGTTGAATCATCGGCTCGCCTAGTCTATGTCTGACTTGTGTGACTGCGACTCTCATGCACATAGATGGCTTCCGCAACACATAGAACTTGCCTGCTGGTCACAGGGTTGAGAAGGAATTCATCACAGGCTCAGTGTAGCGAGTGTGCTCACCATGATTTTGTGTTGCTGAACGTTAGAGAGTTTTGTTCCGTTGCTTTTGTGCAATTCCTCACTGCGTGCACGACCCAGATGGTGTTCACATCGACTTCTTGGAGATAGGTGAGATCACTCATCCGCGGAGTGTTCGGCCTCCTCCAGTAGTCGACGTTCCTCTTCAAATTTGGCCTCGATCTCCGCCATTCGAGCATCCGTCACATCTTGAACCATTCTGACCTGCGCACTCGCCAGAGCATGAATCAGCTCGTTAGGCTTCCTTCCGGCCAACTCGATTGATGTCCGGTCCTCGCTCGGCTCTATCGTTATTCGGGGAGGAGTTTCCAGGTGGAGGAGCATCGCGGTCAACTGCAAATGGAAGACATCAGGCATAAGCTGCAGTTCCAATTGAGCTGGTGGGATGAGAACAGCATAGATGTCTCCGGGCCGCATTGGCCGTTTGAAATCGACGGCAATGAATTGAGAGTGTTGTTTCCCATAGTGCTTATAAAGATTTCGGACTTGATGATTGATACCTTCTTGGAGGAGAGTCGTGATGATGCCGCCGTGGATCTGCGGGAAAGGTCAGCGCTCGCAAACTGGAAAGGGGCCCAATTGAGCCCTGCAAGAGTCCCGTGTAGTGCACTCACCACATCGGGCCAGCCTTCGATGCCAAATCCCAGAAAAAACACCATCATGGTGAAATCCAGCGTCGGGTGCTTGAACGTCTTCATCATGATGCCCCGTGTCCCGGTCAGCGTCTCCGCCACCAGGTGCTGCCCTCTGCCGGGGCCATTAATCTTGCCCGCATAGTAGCTCTCTTCCACCCAGCCCTCGTCGCGCAGCGCCTCGACCAGCGGATGGCTCTCCAACGTGTCCCCAATCTCTGCGGTCAGCTCTTCGTCTTCGACCGAGCCAGGCTCGAACGTTGGTTGTAGGTATTCCCAGGTGATCAAGGCCGTCCCCGCGGCCAGGCCAGTGATGCCGAACAGGGTCGCCCACAGGACAGATCGCGTCGCACGCCGGAGGAGCGAAGGCCCCGGAGAAGGGAGGACTGTCGGTGATGGGGGTGATGGAGGAGTGTACGGTCCCGTGTATGGCGTGGTGTCGGGTGTCGGCATCTGGCCCGGCGTCTGGAAGTACTCCTTGTGAGGGCCATGGTAGTTGTGTTGCAGTGCCCCGTAGACATAATACGGTAGAACCCTGTTAGTGCGCCGGGCGTGCCGCCACAGCAGAGGCCGGAATGCCTGCATGGAGAGAGCGCAGCTTTCTGCTGTCCGGGTTGCTGGCAGAGTGGTGAGAAATTTGGTGTTCTGTCACAAAGGTCGGGGAGCTGGGCAAGGCTGCGGGATTGGAGGCGCAGGCAAACATTGGTTCAGCCTTGGCGGCGACATGGCACCGAGAGAAGAACGAGTTTCTGTGGACTAAAAAAATGTAACATGGAGCAACCTGATCTGAAGGGTTGCTCATGGCCGTATCAAGTATACTACAGACGAGCATCTACGGTGCCTAGGTCTGAAGCGATGCTGGACCGGCTGGAGGAAGAGGCGATATATCCATCACATGTAAGCAACCCCAAGCAAAAGGCCGAATACGGGAACCTCATTAACTCAAAGAATACAGCGAGGGATGTTGTGGACATGGATTCGATATTTTCTCGATGTAACATCCAGAACGCCTCCTTTCCGATCATCATAGCAGATCCCGTCTTCGAGCCGTGTGCAATTTTTAACACGCACTGGGGATTCTAAAGCTGAGTCGAAAGCACCACATAACAATGCACCTTCGGAAGTGGTGAAAATAACCGGCCTAAGCCATCCGCCATTTCCATTTTCTCTTGCAGGACCGGGATTCCACCGTCCACCTCGAAGCCGCTGGATTTGTACATCTTCGAAGGACCGCCATATTTGTCGAGAGAATGTTTATGTTGTCGGGTTGGGGTTCATCTACGTCGAAACCATCAGCATACAGACACTGTTATCACTCAAGTTGGGCAAATATACCTTTCTCTTGCCACCGGTCAATGTGACGTTGACGAATCGCCTGGTGTATTGCAGTCTCTTCTTCGCGCGTCCCTTGGGGGTCTTCTTCTTTTCTTGTTTTTCGACCTGCGAGAAAAAGCGAGTCAGTCCCATGCTCGCGTACCCAATTTTCCATGAAACCGCTCGACGGATTGAAGCTACGGCGTCGGAAATTGTAAGCTCACCTTGGGGGTCTGGGACTTGACTTTCCCGGCACGGGCGAGGGATCCGTGAACTTTACCCATGATTGCGACTCGGCTTCGTTGTCGATGAAGGTGACGAGTTTCGTGATGGGAGACGAGTTGTTCGTGTGAAGGCGAGGGTGGTTGCTGATCGAACCTTCCAAGTCGATTTGAATAATGCAGTTGCCGTGTGGGCAGCGCCAAGCCCAAGGGCCAAGGCGAGGGGTCACGTGATTTCAAACTTCACTTCGACCTTACGCAGTACGGGGTATACCTGAGTACAATACCAACTGTGATTGAGCAAATCATGATATGAGTCATAACTACGAGGACATGTTAGGAGGCAGTTATGGATCATGTTCAGCTCCTGGGACGGGAGCCCTGGTCTGAAGGCTCCTCGCAGTTGACTATTTACGTCTATTTGTGCTCCTCTGGTCACATTGAGGCAGAACTTGTGACGGCTGGCGCAATCATGCTTCAACTTCATCTTTACTCGGCAGATCAATGGCTCTGTAGAGCAGGATGAGAGCCGATGCACTTTCGCCGCCACCCGCAAGAGTCATGACTCGTTCCGAGTCAACCTCGCTAACCTTGTCATCGTTGAACCACCACCATTTGCCATCTTCCTCCCTTCGTTTGCCACCTGGGGCTTTCGGGTCGTCAACAAGTTTGCCCTGTTTCTTGACAAAACTGGTGTAATGCCCACTGTCAGCACTTGCGCCTTGGTGAGCGATCACCCCTCTCAGCTCGTACAATCCAGACTTGTTGGCTCCTTCGTCGGCTTGGAGTTCGGGGTCAATGAGAGCAAAGAGTTCTTTCTTGGCTTTCTTAATCGATTCCGTACGTTCGGCCTCATATTCGGCATCGGTCTTGTAGACATCCATTTCACCTCCCTCCGGTTCTTTTTCTTTTGTCTCTTTCTTTTCCTTTCCCCGCTGTAACTTTGCGATGGGGGCAGCCTCCTTGGCCAATAGCTCCTCCTGCTTTCGATCTTCTTCCTGTCTGTGAGCCAGCTTTTGCCGTTTTCTTGCCCGCTCGACATCCTGCTCATCCTTCCGAATGTTGCGAACCTTATCGCGGACGGGTATCAGCTTCTTCTTCAGGTCGTCCGTGCAGAACTCGACAATATCAAGTTCTTCCGGAAAAGTGACTTTTCGCAAGACTTTTGCTTTCTTTTGGACATCTTTCTTCCAGAAAAATCGAACAAAATGCACGGTCAGATATTTGGGAAGTCGAGAAACACGGGAAGTCTTGGTATATATGGCGTCACGACCAAGAGTGGGCGAATTCTTCTCGATTGTTTCGGTCAAGCCGGCCAGAAGTCCGTCTCGGAGATGGTTGATCGAGGCATCGATATGACAGTCAAGCTTCAGAAACGTCTCGTCTGACTCGACGACAGGCTCATCAGCAGCCACCTCTGATGGTGGAGCTAGCGAGGCATGGAAGGATCCGGCCATATACCGATCGATGAAAGCGATCTGCTTTTCCTCATCTGAGACCTTCTCCGTAACCTTCAGCTTCTGTCTCAGTTGCTGTACGATTTGCGACCAGGCCTCTTCGGCGTCTTGCTGTGCGTAGCCATGACCAGTCTTGGCTTTTTGAGCAAATTGAGGATAGGCAGTCCGTAGTGCGTTTAGGAACATCAGTGGTGGAAAGCCTTCTTGAGTTTCAGACATCTGTTTATAGAGATCTCGTAGCTGCGCGACAAGATCATTTGAAGAGCCAAGACCACCGAGCCCAAACTGAGTGAGATCCTGTAATGTGGTGGTTGAGGAAGCGTCGGGTTTGTAGACCTTCAGTCCGTCCTGCATTTCCGGTATACTGCGCAGTACTTGCAGAGTGGAATTGAGGTAGCATGTATTTCCAAGGTTCTGTAGGCCAGCCGGCGTAGCACCTTCTAGCGCGGCAGCTTCCGCTTCAGTCATATCCTCTGCAAATTTCGGTTTCTCAGCCGGCGCGACCAGAGCACTCCCTTCGGAGGAGGCGGTGCCGATCATGGTGAAGATCTGGCCTGGTTTTGCACCGAGTTTGGAGAGATCCGTGTCATCTTTCAGTTTTCCACCCTTGATCAAAACAGACTGACGCTCGGGTTCAACACCGGTAAGAGAGTAGAGCTGGTATTTGAGCATTTCGCCGGTCGCAGAGGTGTCAAGGTCGACATTGTACTTTTTGCCCTGGTGTTTGACAATAACTGGAACGCCTTAGCTTTGGCACTTCGACCAAACTAGTCGACTTACTTGGAATGGTAGCCATTGTATCTAGGCTCTAGGCAGCAGGGAAGATGGGGGAAAGATGGGGGAGAAGAGATGAAGGCAATGCTTCGAAATCATCTTATTAAGAGATGGCAACAGAGGATCAACAGGCACGTCAGACTACGAATACATGCCAAGGCGAGGGTGACGCCGCCCTATACTCCTTACATCTACCTGGATCACTGTCGACGTTGACACCTGCTGTACTTGAGGTTCAACAGTGAATGCGTGAAGATACAATGCTCTATGGTAATTATTTCGAAGATATTTATACTTGTTTATGAAGATACCTTCTCCTGGCCCTCATGGGGAATCTTTTGGACTATTATTGTCCAGGGAGATCCGGATCTACTGAGTAAAGGCGGCAACATCTCGCAAGGCTGCCTCTCTGCAGTCACGTGAATCGGCAGCGCCAAGGCTTACTGGTAACACCGCCAGCCTGAGCTGAAGGTGCAGCGGAGGCAGCGCATGCGCGGAAGATGATGGGCCACCACGGCAACTTCCCCTCCCATACAACCCTTCCCAACCCACGCACTCGACTCGACGAAACTTAGACGACACAAGGGTGGTCATACGGGAGATAGGAGCTGTGCCCGCTCTGTGCCCGCTGACACAACTTCTCTTCACAAGACTTCTGCTTCCATGTGGCGGTAGAGCCCGTTCGCGACCCTTGCATCCACGAGCATTGAAAATGGTATGCCTGGCCATCCCCCCTGGTTTCGAAGTAATGAGTCTTGCTGACACTCCAGTTAGTCACAGTCATTACGCCCCTACCTTCAATGCGTCCGCTCGTCTCTTACAGCAGCCCTCTCTCTTTCCAATTTCGCCTCGCAAGTCGCCGAACGACACAATGTGCCTGAAATAGAAGCCGCGAGCTCCCCAGAAGTCCTGCTCAACCCGCTAACGGTAGCCCGCAATGAAAACGAGAAGGTTCTCATAGAGCCCAGCATCAACAGTGTACGAGTCAGCATACGCATAAAGCAGGCGGATGAGATTGAGCATATTCTTGTGCACAAGTTTACTCGGTTCCTCACTCAACGTGCCGAGTCCTTTTTCATTCTGAGACGAAAGCCGGTCAAGGTATACAATATGGACGTTTCTGTGGAGTTGGTCTGACTAGGGCAGGGTTACGACATCTCGTTTCTCATTACGAATACCCACACAGAAGAAATGCTAAAGCATAAACTGGTGGACTTTATCATTCAATTTATGGAAGAGGTCGACAAAGAAATCTCCGAGATGAAGCTATTTGTATGCCATGAAGACACAAAGACACTGGACATAAACTAACTGCCATCAGCTGAACGCTAGAGCCCGATTTGTAGCTGAGAGCTTCTTGATTCCAGTGAGTATCAGGTCCGCTGTTCCCGCGCCTCAGGCTAATATCATGCAGTTCGATTAGATCGGGGACATTTCCAGCTCGCAGAGAGCAATCAAGTGCCGTGGGAGTCTAGCTTGTTTTTGTCAGGGCCTGTTGTTGCGCGCAGACCCCTATTCCGATCAACGGGACTGGCGCAAGGCTCTAGTCGGTCCGGACCTTTTCAGGGGGTTTGGTCCATGATACCATGTGACCACGACCGACGACGACGCAGAGCCATAGAGGAAGTTGGAAGCAGCAGTGGCACGTCCCACAGTCTGTTGAAACAATGCACAAAGAACAATATCATGATTGCCAATGTCCTGCTTACCCAAGCTCTATCTTTTGATATGTTTTCACTGTCTTGTGCTATCTTGTGCCATTCTGGCGTCTGATTTACTCTGTCAATAGCAGCTCGATCGTCGGAACTCAACTTAGCAAACGGATTACAACGTCCCCCTTCTACAGCTAGTCCAGGATTTGCACGAGATTATGAGAGACCAGGTTTGTAATATGTGCGTCACCCTATATTCCCCTGATGTTCACACTGAACCATAGCCCTCATCTGCTGTGGGAACATGCCTGATTTTATATGCCAGTGGTGCATATAGCCCCTCGAACGACTCGAACGAGAGACCTTGCCGGGTTTACTGTGATAAGTCCGGGTTGGTCAGTTTGAGGCTGATCGCAGTGACTGTAGCACATGCCTGGGCCTTGTTCACTAGAAGCAACGCAAAAGTGAAGTTACCTTTGGCCCTGCTTTTGGGTTCGATATGGTGCATCCATTAACTAGATCCCGATCTTCACGTGTTTTTGGCGGTGCTTGGGGAGCTTTGCACTTGTGAATGCATTCTGCAACCGGTGCTATTCTTCACTTCACAATCAACCACTCCCTGGTCTCAACTCGGTGCAGTTGGCCATCTTTCCTTCTCTTCTCCTCCTTCTACTTAACCTTCTTCACTTCTTTCTTCTTCACTTCAACCCTTTATCTCCTACGTCATATCCGTTCTTTCTCTTGAAGGTTCATCATGGAGCCGACTCAAGGCTATTATGCTCCTTCTGGTGCAAATCTGGCCGGTGGGCAAGTTCAGCGTTTTGACCGACGCCAGACTGGACGGGACGATCTGTCCATGCAGTCTGATGCCGGTTACTACTCCTATCACCCAGTCGATCTCCCACTTGCTCCCACCTACGGTATGAACAACCTGCAAGGAGGACCTCCCATGGGGTTTCCTGGCCCATTCATGCCTCCCTTTGCTCCTGCCGTGGCTCCTTCGATGGACATGATGCACGGTGGTATCATGACAGCTCCAAACCCGCTCTGGATGCCGCCTGCGCCTGGGAATTTCCTGATGACGCCTGACAATATGTTCAATCGGAATGCGATCTTTGGTCCTGTCAGTCCAGTACTGGCTTCTGAGCCTGCTGTTCCCTTTGACCCAAGTTCGGAGCCGCCATTCATAGATCGGACCGAATTTCATCGACCAAGACCCCATGGTGTTATGAAGATCAAGAATGTAAGTAGATCATACCTGACCCGTCTACCCAGATCTGCTTATTGTCTGTTCTCTGGCCCCGATCTATGTCGCAGTGTGAACCGATCTATGATTTTCTATATCAGTCGATCTATAATTTTGGGGTTACAGTGTGAGTCGATCTATAATTTTGGGGTTACAGTGTGAGTCGATCTATAATTTTGGTGTTACCAAAATTATAGATCGACTGATATAGAAAATCATAGATCGGCTACAGAAGCACGTGGCTGAGTCCAGGCTTTGTTTGGAATAGGGCCATACCCTTTGTTGCGTCGTGCGCACCTGTGCGCCTTACTGTATGGTAGCTTGAGCTGACCATGTTCTACTTACTAGATCCCTTATGCCCTCACCGTGTCGGAAGTTCAGCAGTTCATATGCAAGTACATGCACATCAGCGACCTGATCAAACCACATCAAGACGGGTTCCCCATCCACATCATCATGGAACGCTCTACTGGCAAGACGATGGACTGCTATATCGAGACGGTTTCACCTGAGGTGGCCCTTGAGGCTTGGGAGCGTGGTTTCAGCTATGGACCTTGCCGATTTTCCAAACTTGGACAGAGACATGTGGTTGTGGAGATGAGCACTCAAGGGGAGTTGATGAGAGATCTCTTTCCTAGAGCTCGCAGTGTCGCGTGGGACAATGAAGCGTTTGGGACTCCAAGATTGATCCAGACTGCCGATGCCTACTCGTCAGGGTTTGCTGGTTTCTTCACCGCAGAGGAGATGGCAGGCATTGTGCGACATGCAGAGAATCCGCAGCGTGTGAGTCGATCCAGTCGCAACAAAGGCAAATGGACGTGTGCTGACCCCTGATGTGTGCAGTCTCCCTTCGCCTCGCGCAGCTTGCAGCGGACATACGAAAGCACGATCAGTACTCTGTACAAGGTAACCAGGTTCGCAACCACTACAGGCGGAGAAAGGGCTAATGGCGGTACAGTTTCCATGGTCCAGCACCTCCATGTACACAATGAAACAGCGTGACATCCTGTTCAAGACCTACGCCCGTCAGCTGGAAATCCTCATCTTCAAGGTTGAGCGGGAAACTGCCAGCGGCACAGACCGAGAAGTCGGGCTCGACATCAAGCTCCTGATGGACTTTTTGTTCGCCGGCATGAACTGCCCCGGTTTCTCTGAGCGTCAGAAAGCCGCCATCGCCGACGCTTCACACTCAGTGGGCCCCGGCTTCCGCACCAGTGTCCATGCTCGCAACTGGGCCTTCCAGGCTCTGGGTGCCAATCCAAGCACGCTGTCTGACCAAGACATCGGCATGTGGTTCGAGATCTTGAACCTGGGCATGGTGGCTATGGAGCGCGAGAATCGCGAGTTCATCGGCATTCATCCGAATCTGGAGGTCGTGCGGGACGACAAGGGCTATGTGCTGTTCAAATACACTGACCAAGGTGCCGAGCTTGCCCGTGATGTCTATGCTCGTCTGGAGAAGGACTTCATGCGAGAGATGATGCACAAAGGCTGGGCGAGCTACATGGATCAGGCCGGCATTTCGCCTCCACCTGATTTCGAGGAGTACTACGCCCAGGCTCTGACGGATGACAGATATGACAGTGCGGACGAGAAGGCAAAGATGGTTGACAAGCATGTCGACATAGCTCAAGTGAAGGCTGAAGCAACCAACAAGCAACTCGCTTCCTTCCTCGAACTGCTGAAGGTCACCCACGGCGAAGACTACGTTAGGGAGATGGGTAGCCAGGATGCCAATCTCAATCTCACCGGCCAAGACAGAGGCGGATTCAAGAGCAACCCGGCCGCGCAGCACTCGCATCGGCAGAGTTTGTCGTTGATGTCGGAGCCTGGTGACAAGAAGCCCAGCCTCAATTCACCTCTGGAGACGGAAGCCAAGCAGAGTTGGAACCAGCAGCAGCGCCACGCCAGCGACTCGGCCTTGGAGACCGCAATGTCTGCCTTGGACATGAACACCAGTCCGCCACGCATCAGCACTGCTCGCAAGGACAGTCCCGTTCGCCAGGGCATGTCGAAGGCGCCGGCCACCGAAGGGTCAGGACTGACTTTGTTCAAAGTGCCTCGTCGTGAACGTCAAGCCGTCAGCATCCGTGCTCCAGACGGCACGCCGGTCACATTTGCTCGTCCAAGTGAGGCTGGCAATGCTGCTGAACGCGACCTGAACACTCCACATGTCTCATCCTCGACGACTCCAGCAACAGGCAGTCCTCCGACCAGCACCCCCGCCACCCCTCGTCAACCGGGCTTTGGCAACGTCAATTTCAACCACGCCAACATGAACCCCGGTGTCGTTGGTAATATGCCCATGAACCCCGTCGTCATGCCCCAGGTTGGTCGACCCAGTCCTGGCCACACTCGAAACTACGGCATGAGTTCGGCCTTCAATTTCGTTGCTTCATCCCCGGTCGCTGGGCGTGCCGGTCATGGAACGCGCATGGTTGCAGACTCGGGCTCTCCTCTCGCACGTGGCACCGGAGGTGGTTCTGGAAGTGCTCTTGGTCCTGGCATCAACCTCAATGGTGACCCTTTCCGTGCTGGACCACGTGGACGAGCTCCTCGTTCAACATTCACCCCCGGCGCAGCGATCAACGAAGAGGAGTTTGAGGAGCCAGACGCCAGATCCGGCCGTCGCGACTGAGAGTCAGGTTGGCTACTTCGCTCCAATCCGAGCCGAGCGATAGGACTGGCGGGATGTTCTGTTGTTCAGCTCGTGCTCGTGATTAATCATGACAAACCGGGAGTTAGGAGAGGATTGTCGCGCGATCGAAGGCGGACACAGACTGTATGATTCGGATCAAGGAGAGAGCCAAGCAAGACGGACAGTTGAAAAGGTGATTGAGCTTGAGCAGACGAGCTGAGCTGGGCTGATACGAGAGTGGTCGACACAAGACGACACAAACACAAAACGTGACAGATTCATTCTAGCCAAAGGCTTTCCTTTCACATCAGGTACGCGTCGACCATGGCTATCCCGGACCACCGGCCATGCTTTCTAGTCACTGGTTGTCAGTCAGTTAGCTGGTTAGCTGGTCAATCAGTTAGTTACTTAGCTAGTTGGTCAGTCAGTGCTTGAGGATAGTCGATCACTCGTGGTCACTACCTTGGGTATCCACACAGACAGACACGGATATCATGTGTGTGCTGACGCTGGCCTGAAATGACTGCCTTTTGCTTTAGCTTTCCCCTTTTTTCCTTCCCTTTTATGTTTTTCCGTGAACCTTTGTTCTTTCGATCCCCGATCTTCACGAAGAGGAAGAGGCATGTAAAGAAGTGATTTTATTTCTTTCGATGCTGGGTGAGCTCGCATTCTCCTTCTATATACTAGAAGCTAAGTTCTGGTCCGATCTGGCTCTACTTACCCCTCTTTCCATTTCCATGTATACGTAACGTGTATACGTGTATACGTGTGTACTAGGTAATGAGGGCATATCTCGACCGTCGTACTTACCACTATAATTTCTGGATATGATGTGATGTGATGTGATGGGACCGGATCGCATCGTATCACATCGGACAGGATCGTATCATATCGTATCGTATCGCATCATATCGCATCGTATTATTTGCCGACCTTGATATCGATATCGATATCCAGCCGTATACTTTGCTTGTTACGCCTCTCTCCCTCTTATAGACCAGTCTTGTCGTACTACCTTACCTATATACTATATAGATGTTATGATGTGATATACCACAACCCTCCGTCCTCCGTACTACATTTGGGAACTGTGATGTGGGAACTGACTGGGCACGGACACGGACAGTGTCATCCCATCCTATTCAAGCGAACAACTAACAACCCAGCAAAGACAGGACTAAGAGCCAAGAGCCAAAAGGAAAAATGACATGACATGACTAGACGAGGACGAAATCACCTCCTTTCTATCTCATCGGATAATATGGGTAATTAGGGAGGGATACGGATACAGCACCCTGCAACCTGCAGCCTGCCCCACCTTCTCCCCCTAGACGCCTCCTAAGGCCGGGAATTGGGCCTTAAGCCTTCACCCTCCTAACCCCTCCCCCTCACATCAGTACGATTAAAATAATAATGATAAATCCAATCCTGCATTGCATTGGGGAATTGGGAAAGGGGAACCTCGGCCTCAGTCTCAGCCTTGCATACAGCACCCAGCCTTGCATGCTTGCTTACATACATGTATCCGTACATACATACATCACACATGGTGTACGTACATATATGGTGTACACTGTACATACATACATGGCATATATACATACATGTACATACACACATACATGGCGTACATATATACATGGGTGTACATACATACATGGGTGTGCATGTGTGTGTCTCTCTCTCTCTCTGTGCGTAGCCAGGAACAGAAAAAAAAAGGACCTAGACTCTCAAAAGGTATTTAAATCACGGCATTTTCGACTATCCTATCAGAAAGAAAAACTTGCAAAACGCACCCGCACCCGCACCCGCACCCGCACCCTCACTCCCTCCTTCGGACGTTTTGTCTTTCCTGGAGACCTCTCAAAAACTCCCAGGGATCCCTGAAGATTCAAGGTACATGTGCCCCAGCATCGTCGATCCTGTGTTTTTGCAATCAGGTGGAGGTACAATGTTGAAGTCGGCTCGGCCATCATCAAGATAGCACGAGTTTGGTTGGTTGGTTGGTGCACACGTTGAATGGTCGGATCGGATGGTTTGATTTCTTCCTCTTCCATTCTAAAACCTTGTCCCGTTGACAGATGATCTGTAGGCTCCGTCTGTCTGGCGCCTTCAGCCGGCCGGCATCCACCTTGATCCTCCTTGCCTTTCTCCTTCTCAAGCCACGCATGCATGCATGCTCACTTCACTCAGCCTGGCTGTCGCGTCATCCTCGTCCATCTCAGGATCAAGACCCAAGTCCTAGTCATTACCACCTTCCAGCGCACAGACAAGCGGTCAAAGATACTATGAATACATGAAGGGCGGGCGGTTGACCGACCGTGGATCGCGCAGAGACAGAGACAGAGACAGAAAAATGGACAAAAGCCTCCCGACGTACAATAACCATAACGACGTAAAAACCAAACAGCCACCCATGTTACATTGATTGCATTCTGCATTCTGCATTCGCCGGGGAAAAAAGACGGGGCACTGATAGCCTAGGCCTCCCTCCCACAGCCACAGTGTGTTGCGCGGCAAAGAGATTGATCAAACAGCCACCCAGAGTGATTGAAATCACATTTTAGCCTCCCCATCGATTCCGCTGGCGACATGCCAGTAAGGACCGTTCCGATAATAGTAAAGAGATGTTGGGTTGCCCCGAGCCGTGTATCTTTTAATGGACGAAAAAGGCAAAGGCGAAACGAAAGCATAAAGGAAAATTAGGTCGACCGTCCCGTCGATCATGAGTACAATGCCCAAAGAGCCAGCTCCTCAGGCTAGAAGGACCGTTCCAGGGCGTGCATAATTCGAGATATGGCGCCGGTGAGTCTCACAAGACTTGCCCACTATTTCTTGCCGTCAAGTTTGCTCAGCATTTCATTGTCACTCCTGCCCCGTTGGTCAGGCAGGCCTGCCGCAGGGTTGCCCAGCATTTCGTGAACTTTCATGCCGCTTCTGCCGTTGGCCGACGAGCCTGCAGAGTTGGGTTGGTTGGGAGGCGGAGTTCTTCCGTCGTCGTGATTCGGCCCATGATGCGGCGAGTTGTAGCCTTGAGCAGACTGCGGGGTCAAGCCCGAGGGTGGTGAGGCATTGCCCTTTTGAGATTGGGTGCCGTTGGCGTATCGAGGCTGCTGCTGGGGAGGGTAGGATTGATAGCTCATGGTCGAAACCGCAGGCGAGGTCGGAGCCGCGCCGTTGGGATCATGATACTCGTAGCTACCACTGCTATTGGCGCGCGAATCATATGTGCTGTGTCGAGCTCGGCTGGCCGGATGAGGAGACTGGGATGTATGAGAATTCTCATTGTGCGGGTCATCATCAGGAGGGGGACGCTTGAGACTGACACGTTCATCATGCTGGGCAGGTTGAGCCTGCCCCTGTGCGTCGTACGGCGATCCAGTTGGCGGAGGGTACGGCATTCCGGGATAGGGGGGGTAGGGTGCCGGAGGATAACCATGTGCCGGAGGTGGGGCCGCCGGCGCCGGTGGGTAATTGTACTGGCTTGGAGGTCCTAACGGCTGGCCGTGGGCGCCATAAAGCATGGGTGGTTCTCCTTCCCTGGAATAATGCCCATTTTGGCCCGAGCGGTCGGACTGGCCGGCGACGGGGGCGCGCGCTCCAGGGCCGTAGACAGCGTTGGCTGGAACGAAGGCGGCTTGAGAAGACACAGGGTGGAACAGACACTGCTGGTTGAATCGGACACAGTTCTGGCAGCGTCCATCAGGAGAACTGTCGTATCCGGAACAGCGAATCTAGAAACAGTCAGGATTGACGGACCACGATCGTTTGCGACAGTGTAACCCACTTTTCTCTTGCGGCAATACTTGCAGGCAATGGCGGTGCGTTGTCTGGGCGCCGCGGCCGGGGGCGGAGGATAGTGCTGCGGAGGATAGTAACCTGGAGGAGGATACGGTGGTGGAAGACGATATGCATCCGGTTGCATAGGTTGAGGCGGTTGAGCCAGATCAGGCCGTGGGGGGTAGGCATAGGCAGGGTGCTGAGGATCCTTTGCTCGCACGTCAGCTTCATGTGTGGTATTTCTTGCACTCAGATCCCATCAGCTTACCGGATAGTGAGGAGGCGGAGGATAAGCACTATGATGACCGGGCCAACCCTGGGGAGGGGGAGGGTAGGCATGGGCTGCTCGGGGGTCCCCGTACTGTCCTTGACGGGCTGAGTCTGGTGGAGGAGGATAAGGGTGCGCATTCCGGTCGTCTCTCACAGGAGGCCGGGAAGGCGATTGCTGAGAGTAGTAATCACCCGCGGTCGGGTTGTCCGGAGGAGGATATTGAGCACGTTGAGGATCTCGAGGGTCTGCCATTTGCGCCATGTCCAACGGTGGTGGTGAGTGATACAAAACCAGAAAGTTGGGTAACACGCGGCCGGGAAGGGACCGAGGCTAAGGAAAACGGGCAAGGTAAAGACCGTCGAGGCGTGGTGGTCGAAACAAACGGACGCAGTCGGTGATGGAAGTCTGCTCTCAGAGCGCGCGATGCGACAAAGTCGATCCGGAAGGAGAATCGACCCCAGAACCAGCTCGAGGTCGAGGATGATAGTGACAAGGGCGCAGTCGCAAGCACTGCACTGCCAAAATGTCGAGAAGAAAGAGGACGAGGCCTGCAAGGGTGTGTCGAGGTGACGGGGCGCAGGGTATATTATGATTTGCTTTCGGGGTGCGGGCGAAAAAGTTTGTGAGAAAGGGACAAGTGTCGGCCACCCCGGCAAGAGAGGATCAGGTGTTCGTCGCGGGAGGGCGGATGAGGAGGGATTGAGGCGACAGAGGGAGTAAGCGGGCGAGAGAGAGGAAAGAGGGAGCCGTCCAAGACGCGGATGGAGGGGAGAGAAGGCGGAAGGCGGTGCGTGAAAAGGCGTGTGAAAGGTGAGGGTCGAGGTGAGAGTGGACAGGTCGGTGAAGAAGTGACGAGCTGGAGGATGACGATGAAGGGGGGAGACGCGGTTGATGAGGGATGATTGGAGAGGTGACAAGTCGAGGGTGGTGGAGAGCGAGTGCTGGGCCTCCTTGGACTGCGGCGTGGCGACTGGGTTATAGGCTGGCAGGCCGCTGCAGGCACACAGGCGAAGAGAGGCTTCTAGGGAGCTAGGCTGCTGGCGGGGGGCGGGAGTCGCAGCCAGAAAAGTTGCTCCTAGGCCCCGTCGCCCTTATACCGTCAGTTCTGGAAAGCCTGGTCTGCCCAGTCTGCCCTAAAGCGTCCCAGCGAGTCGGGACCGCCGCAAGCTAGTCTGTCTGCAGGCAGGGGTTTATCAGCTGCCAGCTGCCAGGCGGATTCGATAGATCCCTAGCTAACCGTTCCGCTGCTAAAAGAGGCCTGTCGCTGTAAGGGTGTGGCTTTCGGGCTGTCTGTGCTGCCTCTCCTCCTAGTCGCTCGAACTAATGGAATACTGGCCGTAATGGGCACACCAGATCTGGGACGTGCGTTTTATCTCTTCAGCACGCTCTCGGCTGCCCGAGCCTGCCGAGGGGGGCGAGGGAAGTCTGTGTGTTTCTCTCTTCTGTCTTTGTGTGTGTGGGTGTGTGTGAGTGCGGGTGGCCGCTCCACCAGCTGCTTGCCAGTGCAGTGCCGTGCGGCGTGGTAGGCTGGCCTTCTATGTTAGGTGGAAAGGTGGGAATACTGTAGCTCCCTTGCGCTGGGGTGGTCCTACTGTATCCACCGCAGGTGTAGTCCTCTGTACGGATCTCGAGAGCCTAGTTAGGGCACTCCTTCTCGTTGACTTTGCTTAGGCTGTCAAATTGTCAGCTCGCGGCCGGTCGTACAAGCGTGGGTTGGTTGGGTTTCGGATCAGCGCTGATGCCCCTCTTCTTTCTCGTTTCGTCCAAATGGCAAATACTGCTGCACTGATGGCGGGGTTGCGTGGTGGGTGGAAATCGGATATATGAAAGCTTAAAGGAGGTCCTAGCACACTTCTTTTGGCCTGTCTGCCCGCGAGGAATAGACTGCCGACCGGCGCCTTTTGTGCTTTCCGTCTGCTGACAGGCTGCTACCGACCCGGTAATCCCCACCGATTGTTTGCCCACCGAAGCACTTGTCCACCGCTGAGCAGCGCGCAAACTATTGGACCCAGGAAGGTTTTTGAATCGATATCAAATCAGTGGACTCGAAAGGCTCGTAACGAGAAGTCGTCACCGGCAAAAAAAACGTGCAGGGTCCACTCCGGGAGTTGGCGGGCGCGAGGGCGGAGGCGCAGGTGCAGATGCAGGCGAAGGACGGGGGATTTCCAGGCACCCCGGACGTGCGTTAGGATTTGGAAGGATTGGAAGGAGGGTGAGAAAGTGTCGGCCAGCTTCGAGCCGCCGCAGGAAGGGTAGGAAGAGTAGGAAGGGCAGGATCAGAGGACCAGGTTTGTTCTGCGCCCTCGAGTCTCGTTCGTCCGAATGGGCAGAGGAATATTCTGTACCGGGAATCGACGCTTCCCGTCCCAGACACGGCAGCGCTCCTCCACCGTGACCGTCTGGATGGTGACGCCGCTAGGTTCGTGCCTCGCTAGATCCCTGCTTCGGTCAACGTCAGGTGCGTGTCTGGTGCTGATGGGGGGCTTGGGTTGGCCGTCGGGGATTGAACTAGGCGCACACTTGGATTTTGCCGCAGTCAGCCGCGCGTGGTGATTGGGCCTCCTCCACGTTCCAGCGCTACTCCAGCAGTCCCAGTTGTGTGAGTTTAGTGCTCAGGACTAGGCACTACCGCCGTCTCTTGAAAGGGTGTCTGCCACTGGTGACTGGAGTTGCATTCGAGGCTGCCTGGATCGCTTGACTGGATCGCGCGGATCTTCCCAACCTGAATGACATGCGGCGGATGCCAAGCTACAAATTCGTACTGACTCTTGATAGAATTCGAGGTGGCTTTTGGAGTGGGGTGGCGTGGTTTGGCTGACAGGAGGATCACGATGAACGAAGATGGACGCACAGAGGGGAATAGTTGTGCAGATCCCCAAATAGCCTGTCCCGGTCTGGCGTCGGTGAGGATGTGATGTTTTCCCCGTATGTGTACTCCGGAGGCTCCCAAATCGATGTACGGAGTAGAGCAAATTCCAGTGGTGGCGTGGACGGGTGAATTGACTAGGACTAGGACTAGGACCAGGACCAGGATCTGTGATCATGTATCTCCGTACGGATAGTCGAGGCTTCCGGTTCTGAAGGCAGAGAAGGAGTCGGCTGAGTCGGATGTGCAAAAACGAAGTAACGCAACTCGAGACAGTCTGCCACCTTTTATGTGGTAGCTGTCCAGGCCTCCTTGCGAGTGTTCAGAGCCCCTCGGCTACTTTGCTCTCCGCGGCCTGCGACAAACAACAACCAGCAGAACTAAAATGCGCTGCAATTGCATTTCCTTTGGGCTGCATAGACCCTTGATCCTAGCAGGCGACGAGCGTCCACCCACGTAAGGGACTGTTCTATGGATAACATACTACTACGGAGTATAAGCCGCAGCTCTTAGTTTCTTGTGCTTGTGCCCAGTGCCCACGGCACACTGGCAGACGAGCGACATGTTTAGTGCAGCGCAAGGAGCGGCCCTTGGAGAAGGTGTCAAGCGTGCTGGCATGCAGCGACCGAACCTAGCAAGCGAGGCTAGGTAGTACCAGGGAGGTGCCAGGGAGGTGCCAGGGAGGTGCCAGGGAGGTGCCAGGGAGGTACTTGGCTGCTGAGGGGCCCAATGTAGGTAAACCTCAGGCAAAAAGTATCGTCTGAGGGAGGCGGTAAAAGAGTCCGCGCAACTGATTTAGGCGCCGTATCGTCGCGCAGCAGCCACGCACTCGGATGCAATGCAATGCCCCTCGCCCTCGCCCGCCGCCCGCCGCCTGCGGCCTGCCTGTAGACCAGCACTAAACCGATGGGCACCGATGGGCTCCTTAGGCTCCCGTCCCCCACCTCGTGCGATTAGGTACATTAGCTACCTAAGACCTCTATCTTAGGTACCTAGGTACCTAATACTATAGGTAGCGCTGACGGATGTATTCTCCTGTCACGATGCCACTTGCCTGTATCCGCTAGTATCATACATTCCTATACGTACATAACGCCCGGATGATCGCTGATCTGTGATTCACGGCCCACGGCTCGCCCGTCAAGATCCGGTCAACAGTTGCTGGACTTGGACTTTCAAACTTTGCACTCCGCTCCTTGTTGACGAGCTTGCTTGACCGCTTTCATCTGAATGCATCCAATCATCTCTGTCGGCCGTCGTTTGTGCTGAAAAGCCGAGGAAGAATCGGTAACGGGAACCTGTTACGCCGCTGCTATCTCTGGCTTGACAAATCCTGGCTGACTTCCTGGTTGACTTTGGCTGGTACCAAGTAAGTCCTTGCTAACAAAAGCTAATCGGGGCACAGGCCCTATCCGCAATCAATCGAAGCAGTCTAGGACGTGCAGTACTATCCTTGTTCACCAGCGTTTGGCGTTGCACCACCGTCAATAATGTCAACTCACTGACTTAGGAGACTCATCCTTGTCCATGGTCCCCCGTCCCCGTCAGCCTGCTAGTTCTGCGGGGTTAGCCGCCTCGCCCGTCGTCTCACAGTCAATGTTTGCTCTGTGGCCCCATAGGTCGTACGAGGGGAAGGGGATGATGTATGGATACTTTGAGTCAAACATGCCAGCATGATTGAAAAAACAGTCCTTCAACATCAACTACTGCCGCTTCTGGTTCTCTCCGTCGTTAGAGTCAATGCAGTCAAGCGGAGGAGACTGAGTCTAGCTTTTACCTACTAACACAGTAGTAAAGTTCTCAGGCCGACACTTGACAAAGCTTCGGAACCGATCTGCAGTAATGGCTGTCCCCGGCTGCATGAATCCAACATAAACCTGGCCGAGGAGAGAAAGAAAACACGTCTCTCGCAAAGATTTGCAATGTCTAGTGGCGCAGCACTTGGTCACTTGACTTCTAGGCAGCTGCGCTGGCCCATATCGGCCGCAGTTTGTATGGTACGCAGGCCAGTCTTGCAATCGGCTGGGCGCTGCTCTCTAGATCTGGAGCCTTTCAGCGTTCTGCAAAGGTGGCAACAGGTGGGGAGGATCAAGGATCTTCCCTGTAACCGGTGCCTGCTCATCATGATGTCTGTCTGAGACGCCAGACCAGTCCAGAAGGTGCTGCATAAGCTGCTCTCCTGTGCTGCGAGCGTAGCGCATGTGGCCCTGGAGAACAATCCGTCGCACACAGCCACGACAAGCCAAAGCACGGTGGTGCCCTAAACAAACGGCGATGTCGTAGAAGATCCGGCCGCCTGGCCGAGGCTAAGATGTACGCCAGTTGTCCCAGAAAATGGCCGGTTGGGCTGGGCCCAGAGGGCGCAGAACAGCGGCCAAACAGAGGAAGGCGAGGAAAGGCGAGGGAGGGTCGGCTCTAGCCGTTCGGCCGCACTCCGTACCACCACCCCAAAGACGCCCGATGAAGATGGACTTGCGCCGGCCACAGTAAGAATAATAGTCTGTCATTCTTCCTTGCTTTCCTGCTAATCAGAGTAGTCGACTGTCCACGCGTCCACATATTCTGTTTCTGGCATGCTCCGGGTGGCAGCAGTGATGAAACCCACCATCCCGCCTAGATGAGGTGATTCTTCGCGGAAGTGCCCACGGCATGTGTGGACGCAACAGCAAAGGCAAAGAAAACCGACCGAGTGCATGCGGTGTGTGACGAGGCCGCATGCCTCAGTCTAGGTCTTCTAACCACTTGTAGTTGTTAACTTTGAGCCGCGCGGACTTCACTTTTCCCAAAGTCTCGTTTTCACCCTTTTCACTGGCCAGTGTCGGAGACATCGTTTGTGCTGAAAGGCTAACCGCTTCCAACAGCAATGTTAAACCCCCGCACGCCTGTCGCTCCTTCACCATTTGTGGATGCGTGTTTTGACAGCGCAAAGGTAGTTGAGTCGATCAAATGCCGACCGGTGAGGGTACTGGACGAGAGGTGCTCGACCAATGATCGACGGTCACCGGGATGATGCCTTCTGGACGTTTACTTGTCGTTGGTACCCCCTAGATGCGAACAACCTGCAGGAGACGGCGGGCGCCCCCATCGTACAACCACCGCTGTGGAAGCGAATTGGACGCTGCAGTCGATGGGCATCAATGCAGGATAATAATGTGAACGGTCTGTGGGACAGCGCAATCGGAATGCTATTCCTGCGGGCCGGCGCAGCCCCTCGATTTCTTGTAGACTAACAACAGACTTCCAGCGTTGACACGGTTCTCAGGTGGATGTATTTCTGACCTTTAGACCCGCCGGACAGAGAGATACAAACCACGGGCCGACTTGGATCAATTTGACGTGCTTGTTGTTATACTCTGTGGTATTGCTTTCCCACTGTCCCCGCTGACAATCCATGCGTATTCTTGACACTCGGCAGAGGGTTCGGGTTCGGACTAGGGGTATCACTGGCGATGAGATCGGGGACTGAGAGGACTCGTAAGTGACCACAAACTGGGCGGCGAGCAAGCCTGAGTAGGTACCTAGGTACCTACCTTAGGTAAGTAAAATTGCCTGTTGTTTCGTTCGGTTCGGTTCGGTTCTGTCATAATGTCAAGCCTTTCTGTCTGTCGTCATGACAAAGTCACATGACTGGAAGTTGATGCCTGGTGACGGCTCGTCCCATGAGCCAACAGTAGCGAAAGCTCCAGGCGAAACGGCTTACGGGCCTAAAGCCTCTCGGTCACCGCACCTCTCGACCTCCTTTCAGCGCTCACAAGTCACACGCGCGGGCGCCGACCAATCCCCCGCCAGACTCTTGTGCGTAGCGGTTGGGCTTGTCGCCGCATCGTTTCCGCTTCTTTGAAGCATGGAGAACAAAAAAATGGAAGCGAAAAATATGGCACCTGAGTCGGGAGCGCACCTCCTCGCAAACGGAAAACGAACACGATCACCAACCCACCGAACCCATCCCCCTGTCACTACTACCCAACTCTCACTCCTAGCAATACTTAACAGCGTGTAGCAAGAGCAGGTACAAGGGGTGGGGTTGAGAACGCCAGAGCATATCGGTACTGGTGGTACTGGAGCCCCCGCGCACCAGGCGGCATGCAGGTCCTGGCCCCCTTAATTATGACTGCCAGTCTGTCAGGGCCACCCACCACGGCCTGTCAATGTCATGAGTTCGAGAGTGACAGCGAACGGTCGATGCAACGCGATCCAGAACACAATGAGGCTGGAAGAAGCAAAACACTATATGCATAATTGTCAAATTGTCAAATTGACACTTTTACCAGAGGCGCCCAGCTGAGTCCTGAGCTTCTTGGTGCACCACGAGTCCAGACAAACTCCACTGTGACACAATGAAGTGGTAGGGTGGGGATAGGAGTGTCCACGCTCAGCACCCATTATCGCCAATATACTACTACACAAGCACGAGCCGCCCTGTGCTCAGGGCAAAATCGTCGCTCACGACCTTTTTGCTCGATCGGGTGCTTCAAGCCTCCTGGACTGTGGTGGCGAGTCTCCCATTGCTACCTGACAATGCAGGCTATTTGTCTCAAGCATCTGTCTCACCACCACTAGACTCCTCCTCGTCTGGCATGACGACGCTATTGAGATACGTGACCTATTAATTGATTGACCGTGAGCACAATTCTGACACCTAGGGTGGCCGAAGACGATTTCAGAGTTTGGCAACCGGGAAGTCCTCGGTGGGGGAGAAACTTTGGACAGTCAGGATTCCCGTCTGGATCCTGCCGGCCCGGCTTTTGTGCGCACCAAAAAAGTGATTGACAAGCTGGATCTGTTGGGACATGGGGCGAGAGGGCATGAACACACTAAAAATCATGATGCCCTCCAGTCGCCATGCGAGTCACGCTGGCGCCATAAATCCTTGCCAGAGTATCCTGGAAGAGTCGAATGAGAGGCAAAAGGTGGACTCACAAACGGTACCAACACGCCAATCAACTCGAGTATTTTCAACAATCCCTGGTCGCTCACAACCACTTCGTCTGGAATTGCCTTGCCAAGGGTGAAATTCCGCAAGCGCAGTAGTTCGATACTGGGGTTATCGGCTTCGTATCCCTGCAAGACACGGGTGGTCAGATATGTTCTCAACGATCAGCAGAAAGCTGAATTCAGGACAAGGCCCAACTGGGCAAGGCCACGGTGCTCTTTTTTGCACTGAACAAGTATGCCAGTGATGAAAGTTGCGCGCAGTTCTTGCTCGCAGCCAACGAGGGACGACCCGAGACAATGGCTCGAGGAGGGGCAGGTCGCACGCTGCCGCTCCCGGTGTCCCCCATCTGCCCGTCTGCCGTTCTCAGTCCTCAATGCCGGCGTGCTTTCGGTTTGCGCGCATGTTGTAGTTGTTTCAGCCGCTGAGGTGGCATGTTGAGCCCGGAAAGCTCAATCAGGCATGCTGCGAACAAGATAGATCCGGCACACCTTCATGCGATCTCAACCGCCACTCAGGGGAGCCACTCGAACATGCTCCTCACTCTCCTGACAAGTGTCTCTCGTCTACGGAGTGGCGCGGCAATCCGGCACTTCCACGTTCACGGAGAATCCCAGCCATGTACGTGCAGCGGGAGCTAGAAGGGCTGCTGACCTAGGCATAGCAGCCGGGCTGCACAGACCTCATCGGGCAGAGGAGGCTAACGCGCCTTCGGGTGGGTGACGGAGCACGCCAGCTGGCTTCGCGAAGAGATGTGCACGTACCTTGGGCTTCGTTTTCAGGGCATTACTCGAGTTCTGGGCGGCGAAAGCCTTGATCACCTTCTTCTCATCGTTCGGTATCCCGCCCAATATATGATTCCGCATCCGGGGATCTGTCAGAATTCGCCTCAACTTCTTCGGCTTTCTGTCAATATCAGCTCTAACGAGCGCTAGTGGTTGCGCTTCGGGCATCCAGAGTCCAGCGCCTGGGACGTGCCAAAATCAGTAAGAATTCCGTAACTAGGATGGATACTCGTCATACCAACGTAACTCTTCCCTCCAGGCTGGATATGGACATAGTAACATGCGTAGGGTCCTTTTCGCCCCGTCCGAGACCTTGAAAAATTCAGCACAGACAGCCTTCCCTTTCTGAGATGAAATTTCATACCATGCAGCCGAGAAGTGAGGCTAGAAAAGCGTCAGTGAGGGAACCCAACAGGGAGCAAAGAAAGGATTTTGGTACCAAGACGAACCTTGTAAGGAGTAGGGTCAGATGAAAACCGGATATCGCGATAAATCCTGAAGACCTGGCATGCTGGTGTCAGTGTAGAGCCTCTGGCTTCAGGGCTTTCCGGCCTTACCAGGTCTTTGGGCGGCAGTTCAGGAATGGTCTCGTCGATCTCAGAGATCTTTTCTGTCAATGTTTCCACAAAACTTTCCCAGTCTTTCCATGATTGCCGGTAATCGGGATCGTGCACTAAGACAGAAATGTCAAGTCAGCAAACCCGACTTGAAAAAAGCGCTGCATCTTGAATCGCAAATCACGATTCCCAAGAAGGTTATCACCCTCTAGATACGAGCATACTTTTCAGCCATTCCCTGTCGTTGTTGTTCTTGAGGTCTTTCAAGAAGGCCATAGTATTTGGGTGAATCTTTTCCGGGACGTATTTCACCCCTCCATCGCCCCGAGGCTTCGGCTTCTCAATAAAAACCTCCTTTCCAGGGCCCAGGCCTGTTTTGACACCGGGTCTCCAGAGTTCTTTCCCCTTCGCGAGCGTCGTTGTCGAGACAGTCCCAGGCCTGGCAGGCCCATTGCCTCTGGCCTGCTTTCTGGCACCACGCCGTTTGTTCGGCGCGTCTCCGGAGTCATAGTCATCCTCGCTCTCGAGTTCACTGCTTGACGGCTCTTCCGTCACTGAAGCATCCTCGTCCTCGTATCCAGAATTCTCAGTCTGGTCGGGTTCGTCGCTGTCAGGCTCCTCGAAATACTTGCTTTTTGTCGGTGTTGTCTTGGCGCCCTTCGGCGTAACAGCCGACTCCTTCAGCCTCTTCGAACTCCGGCTTCCTGGAGTCGCTGTGGTCGGAGTCTCGGACAATTGGCGCTTGCGTTGGTTGACGGAGGTCGGAGTGGCCTTGGATGGCCCCGATTTGCGCGCTGGCATGGTCAAAAGGGGTGACTGCGTATAATGTTGCTCCGAATATCAATGAGGATCGTTCGAACCAACAAAAGGGCGAAAATTGGTCTGGGTTGAAGCGTCGCTTGGATTACACTCCAGCTGTTCAGTGTCCAAGCCGGCGGGTGGTACTGATACTCTGTAAGCTTGCAGAGGCGTTGTAGCCAAAACCACTTTACGCGTCTCAAACTCGCTCGAGTTGTCGCGTGTTATGGATGACGTCAGCAGCTGAGGGCCGAGTCACGTGGAGCCCCGGGTCTCGATAACTCCTCCGTCCACATAGGTAGACTTCCGTACCTCACTTTATTACTTTCCATTCTTGGTCTTGACCACAGACCATCCCTTCAACAGCCAGGATGAAATGCTGCAAGGGTGTCACTCACCTAGATCCCCAGCGGAGAATACAAAGCCCGTCGAGAGATGAGTACTGAGTCCCGGTGGTGGTGCTAGGTCTCCGCGGTACGAAAGTCTCCGTGACATGACATGAAAGTCTCCGACCTCACTGCACACGAGGAAGGAGGAAGGAATAAATACCCAACCAGGTATCTGAAAGCTCATCAGGCTCGAATTCCTGATCTTCAGACATACCGTATCTGCCCTGATATCCGTTTCCATTGAGACTGAGCCCACCGCAGCCACCACTTCTCTATCTATACATCCTCTGCGCTGCGATGGCGGAGGCCGATCAAAACCATCACGATCACGATCACGACCACAATCACGACCAAGGCCGTGGTCACGGACACGCCGACGAAATTCATAGCCATAGTCACGGCCATGTCGACGGTTCGCATTCCCATTCCCATCCACCTGGGCGCCAGGACGACGAGACCGTCGCAGATGTGAATCGCACCTATTTCAAGTAAGCATCTCGAATCGCTCTCCCACTCACTTCCCCTGTTAGTTAGTTCGAGCTTCTCTTTCGTCTGGCATGAGGACAACCCTTGGTGTGTTCTATAAGGGGGACAGGAACTCCGTCACACATGACTCTTTCCTCTACATGGTCCCCGGGAGCACAGGTTCAGACACCGCGTATCCTACGAGCGATGTCCATGCACAATCTTCATTTCAATCTAACTAACGTCTCCTTTTCCGCCTGACTCCAGCAAGACCGCCTCGTCATATAATTTGGAGTCCTGGAAAGACTTCGTCAACAAAATCACCGCATTCGTCCATCAGCACATCGACTGGATCGGTGTCGACTTTGTCGACCCGTCGAACGTGTTCGAGACGAACAATCAAGCTGATCCTGATCCTGACGGCCAAGGCAGACGAGTGCGCGTGCTCGACTACGCTTGCGGACCGGGTAGTATGACGCAGGCCCTCGGCGCCCGCGCAACCGAGTACATCGGCATCGATCTGAGCGAGAACATGGTGCTGGCATACAACTTGCGCTTTGGACCAGCTTCTGCTTCGCACTCTCCTCTGGTGGCTGAGGGACTCGAACCAGAGCCAGAAGCAGAGCCTTTCAACGCGCACGCTGTAGTTGGCAACCTCCTCAGCCCGTCAGATCCGTCTCCACAGAACCTGTCTTCGCCTGAGTTCTTTGAATTTGATCTTGTCGTGGTCGGTATGGCGTTCCACCATTTTCCAAACATCCCGCTCGCTACGCGACGGCTAGTCGAGCGCCTACGGCCTGGTGGCGTGTTTCTCATCATCGACTTCGTCACCTTTGCCATGGAGAATCACGGCGTTCAGCCGGCCGCCAAAACCGTCACACATCATGGGTTCAGCGAGCGGGAGTTGCGGCAGTACTTTGAGGACGCGGGTCTTTCGGAGTTCGCCGTCGTTAGGATGGGAGAGGAGATATCGCTGCCCGGGTCGATGAAGAGAGAGCCATTCCTAGCTAGAGGACGTAAAACCTCCTTGGCTTGACCTGATACCTCTCACCGAAATGTACACGGAAGCAATGTGAAGAGTCAGGGCAAGCAAGGTGTCGGGGGCTGTGCAGCCAACCTTTGAGTAATGTCGGGATCAGTCAATGTTCAGCATGGCCAGCCCGCTATCCAGTTCGTCTAATGCAGGCTCGGCTTGCTCATGCGACAGGCAACCCGATGCCTTCTGCTCCCGCTTTTGTCTTTGCAGTCCTTCTTCGCGTTTCCTCCTCCGTCGGTCATCCTTGGCCTCCCAGCCATGTCCATTCAGTGACTCGTGCGTATCCCCATTACCAGGTGTCGTCGTCGCTGTCGTTGCCAGCCCTTCTCGCTCCATGGCTCTTCTCAGCTCCGCGCTGAAGCGTTCCCGTCGCTCGGTGTTCCAGCGGAACCTCTCATTCACCACCCCGGCGCAGAGGGCGAGATACTCCTCACTCACGAGCCGCGTTGTGCTTTCCTTCCCGTCCGTCGCTGCGTCGCCCGCGACTCCAACCACAGTCTCAAACGCGAGGCCTGCGGTTCTTACTGCCACCATCACCCCGTGGTCGGGGTCGTCCAAGATCCGGAGACCCTGTAGCCCGCTCTCACGGAAGCCTGCGTTGATGGCTGCGGCGAGTAGTGGCCGTGCGTGCTGCAGCGTTGCACAAAGGATGTGCAAGATGAGAGGAGAGAAGGAGAGATGAATCAAGCGAGGGCTTGGGAGGGCCAGTCCCGATGAGGTTAACACCGAGCTCAAAGATGCGTTAGACGAGGTCTCCTGGTTGGAGGAGAGGTTGAATAGTCTTGTGAAGTTGCCCGCTCCACGGCCACTTGGAGCCGGTTGCGGTGCACCAGTATCCGCCGGGAGTGAGATAGGATCATGCGAGACATAGAGCCAGTGTCCACCGCCTTTCCCACCAGGCGAAGCCGTCGTCCTGACAAGGTCTATCTTTTGCGCGGCATCTTTTGTGTCGTCGATGGCTCGGACAGCTGCCATGCCCACGTCTACGTCCACGTCGTGGACGATGTTTCCGCCGGCAGCCTTAGCCTTTGCCTTGGGCCCTTCGACAAAGACCGCAACTCTCCCCGCACAGCTGCTGGTCGTGACCAAGCCATCATATGCATTGATCTCGTCGATGAGCTCGCGAATCTGGGCGTCAACGGTGCCTTTGGGAGATTTGTCCGTGTACGCTTCCTCCGGTTGTTCGAGAAACGACAGAATCTCGGCCTTCTTGGCCGCAAACGATCCGGAAATGGCCGGCCTCGACTGAGGACGAGGCATGAATGGGGCTAGATGACAATCAAGCCTTGCAAAGCATCAATCCGGCAGGCAGGTCGCTCCCAAAATGTGTGTGGGAATGTTGACCGAGCAGACGATAATAGAGCATTCAGCTTCTTGCTCAAGCTCAATGCCCAGGTATATCGAAGTTGAGGAGGTGCTACGCCGGTGGTGAGTTAGAATGTAGAACGATAGATGCGTTCAAGGCTGAGGAAGGGCCTGTCTAAAAGCGAGATGACGAGGTGCACCTGACGACATTGGACATACTCAGGCACCGACCCAAGTGATGTAGCAACCAACAACGCAGGGCAAGGACCTGGACAGGACTGGTAGACTCTCTCTCGCGCGCGCGGTGAGGTTGGTTGGTCATGGGGAAAAGAAGGGAAGATGTCGTCTGAATTGAGAGACTTCTAAATTTGAAGGACCTGCTCATGATTCGCTGGTTGACTGCACTAAACCTTTCCGAGACACAAGAGTATATATATGCGTACTTTCAATGCTCTTATCTATCTTCTATGAACTGGGATTATCATTTCCTGTCCAGAGGGGCATCCGTCTATCTAACCCCTGTCCAACCTTGGGTATTGCTCTATGCCAGTCGTAAATCTTACCTCGTCAAAGCTGTGTAAGTCCCAGCGTATGCCCCTATGATGCCGTGCGCCTTACTCCAAAATCCCCAAGTCCCAGAATCCATATCATGATGTCGTACTATGGCAAAGCAGAGCTAGAGTCTATGCCATTGGTGCTGCAAATGCAGCTTTGCCTTCTTCAGAGCCTTGGAGTGTGGCAGACTCCGTTGCATTCTCTGGCCATTCAAATACCACATCCTCTCTGGATGGGCTGAAAGCAGAGAAGTTAGGTTTTCCAGCTTTGTTGCTGAGACGCCTCCACTTATTGGCAAGTGGGTTGAAGGTTGCCGGGAGGCCTCTGCCATGAGTCTGTTCCTCGTCGAGTTTCGCGATCTTAATGACTTCTTCTTGGACGTCGGCAAAGGTGTCGAAAGGAATGTACGCCAGTCCATGCTCTTGGCAGTACTCTTCCAGTCTAAAGCCGCGACGAGCGAACAGGACATCAGCTTCACGGGCGGCCGGGAGATCTGACAGACCGTCGCCGACGAAAACGATCAGGGGGATGGTGCCATTTTCACTCTGCATTTCCCGGTACTCGTTTATTGATTGCGCCTTGTCGTGACCAAGATCGTTGTCGTGTCTCCAAACTGCTTCCCATTTACTGCCGTCCTCGGCAATCTTGACATCGTTGGCCACAATGCCAATGTGCTTGCTCATGTCTTCGCCGATGAAATGGTCCAGGACTTTTCTCAGAATGGGTTGCAACCCAGCTGAAATAACATGGAAAGGAATGCTATTGTTGACGCAGAATTCGTGGAAGGTTTGGAAGTCGGGATCGATTTCAAGAGCCGTCTTCATCACTTCGAAACCGTCTTCGAATGGTACATTCAGCGATGAATAGAGTTCATCCGAGACTTCACGGAATGTCCGCTCTCCCGTCTCCATTTGCGTGGCGAGTTCGGCTCTTCGTTCTGGCCCGCAGCCAAAGTTATCGAATAGCGTGTGACCGGTGTCTTGCATGAAGATGGTGCCGTCAAAGTCTAGTGAAAGTTAGAGATTGTGTCTTTCTGCCCCTCGGTTGAAGACATACCTGAAAAGATGACGATCTTTCGTTTTGTGCCCATATTAGAACTGTTGATTCGTCGAAGACCCGGACGAGCCTGTCGAGTATCCATGCGTTTAGGCTCGACCGGTGGGGGGGTGATTGCGATTGGCGCCATAGTAAAGTGTGTGTTCGAGTAAACTTCTGGGAAGAAAGCTGGATAGTTGGAAGTGAAAGCAATAGTATCAGCGTTCAGCGGCTTCGTGTTAAATGTATACAAGGAATGGAGTGAGTGCACCGACGAGACGACAGATATACGTAGGAGGCGGCGAGGCTTGCATTAGGGTCTGCGCTAGAAAACATAGGGGATTGTGGACACTGGACTGTGTTTTGGGCTGGGTAGACCGCTCTGGATAGAAGTGTCACAACAGGACTATGACGAATTTTCACCTGTTGAGTTGCCCTCGAGACCAATCGAAAGGATTCGAGTAATTGGCCGCAGAAACGGGATAATGCACGTCGACGCCATTTGAGGGAATTGTCGACACGGAAAAGATGGTTAGTTGCGCGCCTGTGGATACCCAGAATGGAGCCTGATAGAGAACAATATTGACACACCTCGGTGGCGCAGCTGCCGATAGGTGCTCTGTAGCGCGGTGTACAGAATACCTTTCTAAGATTGCATTGTCCAACGGCAGACGATGCAAGAGCATATCCTGATTGGTCCATGATGCATCTCTAGGATCTCACTGCGAGCCGCAGTCGCATGAATGTTGCATATAGAGCGGGTATTGTGACGTTATCCACGGCGAGCAGTTGGCGGCAGAGACCAGAACGTGGGAATCATAGGTAGTCATGTTCGCCAGGACATCAAGGCGGTCAGCAGCCAAGGTCGGCAGTGTTATCATACCCCCTACAAGAGGACTTCTGCCTTGGTGGGAGCAAAGACAGAACGCAGACATGACATTCTCATTCTCACATTTTTCTGAGGAGCGTTGGGGGCCAAGAGAAGTGTATCCTAGTGTAGCAGTGCGCTCAGACAGTAGAGGAGGCAATTAGGTAGTATTGTGTAGTCCATAATTAGTGCGAGTCGTCTGAAAAGAGTGGGAAATCTCATGTCACATGTTACCTACTAGTAGTATGTCACATGTCGTCGGTGGTCGGATCGGAAAAACTGTTCTCCCTGCTTGGCGTCTCCCAGTTCTGCGACGCTGCAGTGCAGTCTGTCTTCTGGTCTACAGTGTATGCTTGAACCGCAGCCTTGACCTCCACGCGCCTTCCCTGTTCATGTTTCATGCTCGCAGCTCCTTCCAGACTTGCAGGCCCTACTACTGATGTTGTCACTGCTAACACCCTCAGCACCCTCAGCTCTCTAAACCAGTTTTGAACCAGTCATCCACCCGACCGACACGACATAGCCACTCTCTGCACCTTTAGCTATTACTTGTCTGTTGTATTGACTCGATCTCCCGACAGCATTGCCATCGCAAGAAACCATGACTGAACGTAGACTCCTCATGCTCGAGTCTTATTACGCTCAAGATTCGAACAAACAGATGTGGCGGCTAACAAATCCTCCGGGCCTACCTTTCCATGACAACATCAATGACTTCGCTTTCGTCCGACCAGCGCACTGCCGTCCGGCGGTAGTAGACGAGGTGTCCAAGGTCATGTCTCTTCTCTCCACAATGGTTGATGAATGGTAACGGAGGATTGTCTGTTGCTTGGCCTCCCTGACCTTGTTTAAAAGGAGATTTCTCGGCGTCATCAGCAAAGGACCTGCGGGCGATGTGATGAAGACGGACGGAGAGAGTTACAGACGGGCAATTATCGAGAAGATCGGCAGCAGAAGACACATCTGTACCTATTGTGGAATGGCATATCATAACAAGTAGGAGCATGCCATCTGTTGACAGGCGCAGGCCGCAGCTGACCCCTCAGCCCCGATTTTCAGTCAGTTCGGCGACATTCTACAAGTCCCACGACTCCCAACAGACCGTTGCAGCAATACGTGCAGCCTCCAGCATACGTGACTCCGAGTGCAACCTGATGGATCTCTGAGAGCACAATGCAATCAGTCGCTGCACCTGATGGGGCTCGGGATGCCACCATCCGAAGAGGCAGCCTGTTTCAGGGCGCCAAGGTCAACTCAAAGTTCGTAACCACAGGAAATTCGGCTATATCGCTCGGTGGTTGGCGTCGTCGGCGGCTGTCGAGGTTGAGCCGTATTCAAAGATTGTGGCATGACACCTTTTTGACCCTGTAATCGCTCGATATCTGACCTCTTCGTCGATTGCCATTGCACTTGATATAGTATTGCTGTGATGTTGCTCTAGATCGCTTGAATATGTTGTCTCTTCGGCCACGTAACTTGCGGGTGCCGCCCAAGTGCCTAGAGCACCTACGATACCTTGACCTCTTGAGAAGGCCGTCAACGCCTATCCTGCAGAGTACCTCGATGACTGATTGAGCAGAATGACTAAGCCCCTAAGCCTTCAGATCAGGAATGCTGCATGCCGCGGCTCGTGTTATTTCGGGCTTGGAGTACAGAATTCTGTAGACAGTGGCTTCGTGGTCTCATGCTAGGCATCGTTTCTACTGTCGATTCCGGGGACGGGAATCTCCACATGTGTCCGCAATTCCTCGGAACAGCGGTTAGCAACGGCAATGTAAAGGTTCCGGGGTGAAGGGAGTTAACTGCGTTACTCCGTACATATTATTATGTTTCCCACCTTCCCTGTTTCTCGAAATGTCTTTCTCTACCCGTACTGATTAGTATTCCTCCTGCTGTCCCTTTTCCCTTGACGCCGAGAGCTGCCGCTTGCAATCTCATACCAGTATCTGATCATGGCGTTGCTGGGGGTTCCAAGACTCGTCCGACCTGGCATCCGTCTTGCCAACAGTACCGTTCTCTCCGTCACCCCTCACACTCACATCTCGAGGATAGCAGTGCGCGCAGCGTCCACGTCGAAACATCCCACCGGGTTCACGCCTCCTACTACAGAAGATCTGCACGAACTTCGCGAGAGAGTACAAGAATTCACACGAAGAGAGATTCCCGAAGAGGTTGCCGCAAAGACCGACCAGTCGAATGCGTTCCCCAATGAGATGTGGAAGAAGCTGGGCGAGGCCGGTTTCCTCGGTCCCACTGCCGATGAAGAATACGGAGGATTAGGCATGGGATATCAAGCACACTGTATTATCAACGAGGAACTCAGCCGGGCCTCTGGTTCCATTGGGCTGTCCTATGCTGCCCACTCCCAGCTCTGTGTGAACCAGTTGAGCCTGAATGGCAATAAAGACCAGAAAGAACGATTTCTTCCCGGCCTGATCTCCGGAGACAAGATCGGCGCCCTGGCCATGTCGGAACACTCTGCAGGAAGTGATGTCGTGAGCATGAAAACCACCGCGAAGGCTGTGGATGGAGGTTATCGACTGAACGGCACGAAGATGTGGATCACCAACGGACCTGATGCCGACTTTATCGTGGTATATGCAAAGACGGAGCCCGACAAGCATAGCAAGGGTATTACTGCCTTTATCGTCGAAAGGACCTTCGAAGGCTTCTCCGTGGCCAGGAAACTTGACAAGTTCGGCATGCGAGGGTCCAACACCGGCGAGCTTGTCTTCGACAACGTCTTCGTCCCGAAGGAGAATGTCCTGGGCGAGGTCAATAGGGGCGTCAAAGTCCTCATGGAAGGCCTCGATCTGGAGCGGCTGGTCCTCAGTGCCGGTCCGCTTGGGATTATGCAAGCTTGTCTCGACCTTGTCTTGCCATATACCCACCAGCGGAAGCAGTTCGGTCTGCCAATTGCCCATAACCAGTTGATCCAGGGCAAATTGGCCGACATGTACACGAAGCTCCAAGCCGCGAGGGCGTACACCTACACGACAGCCAAGCAGGTTGATGAGGAAGGTCAAATTCGGACACAAGATTGTGCTGGAGCAATCCTATACGCCGCCGAGAGAGCCACCGAATGCGGACTTGATGCCATTCAGCTGATGGGCGGCAACGGCTACGTTAATGAAATTCCCGCGGGGAGACTATTGAGAGATGCCAAACTATACGAAATCGGTGCTGGGACAAGCGAGATCAGGAGGATGGTCATTGGGAGGGCGTTCAACAAAGAATACGCCGACCAGGGCATTTAAACGCAGGTGGAATAATGTCGTCTTCAGATGGCTGGATATCCACGGCATATCATCCAAAAGCAAGACGACTCTGCCCTTTCTCGGGCTTCGGACCTCGTCCTCGCGTGCCGATTCCTCCGCGTTTTGGTTTGGTAACTGAATGCCCAGGTGGACGACTGTTTGCTGGGCCCGTGACAGCGGGCGCCTCTTGAGCTTGAAGTTCTCTGGCAAGGTGCCAGTCTTCGTGTTCGTTTCTATCCGTCTCCTTGAGGGACTGCTGACATTCCTGGCAAAAGTATGAAGTAATATCTTGCTGATCCATGTGACGCGGTCTGTGAGGGCCGTCTTGCGTATTTTCGACCTCTCCCTCTTCACTCGGGTCGTCATGCCCGTCGTCTGCTAGCTCATCCGCCGGGTCGCCGCTACTCTCGGCCCGGGCAAAAAACCGAGCAATGCTGGATGCTTCATTGAGCCTTCGGCGCTTTTCTGGTCGAGGGTCTTCGGAATTGGGTGTGGCGGTGTTGCTCCGAGGTGGTGGCTCCATGGCAGCTCTGGCTTCGTCTCCCTTCAGGAGGAAGGTATCGATACCTCTATTTCCCGACACACCGTCCTCAAAGCCGCCTACGCTCAAAGATAGATTCGCACAGGGCCACGCTCTGCCATCCACAATGACCTGGCCTAGCAGAGTTTTGGCGAGCTCAAACAGCACGGTCTCGTCAATCTTCCTGCCCTGTGGGATAGGCAATTGCTTGGATCGGGTCTGTCCGCCCTGGCGGTGATGGAGGGTGACGGTCTTTGGTCTTCTCTTGTTTTCGGTCACGCCCTCCTCGACGAGGCGGGCATAGATATCTGCGGCGAAAATACGTAACCATTTATTTGCCTGATCCGTGTTGTTGATGCTCGGCCGGAATGACTTTGCCGACAACATCGACTTGATCTGTGTGCGTGAATTGACCTCACTGTTGTCCTCACCACGGATGATGCCGTAGAGCCAGCTGCCCGTGTCATCGCCCAACTTCGCCTTCAGCTGTTCAAGAGGTATGGTGAGCAGCTCGGTGACTTCGTCGGTGCCAAAGGTGTCGACCACGTGTTCGCCCAACTTCCCGCCTAGATTGCGAATCTTGGTGAACTTGAAGCCTGACAGGAAGTGCTGGACGGCGCGATTCCGCACGATGGTCTGCTGATTGGGCTTCTTGTACCCGGCGCCCAGCTTGGCCATCATCTTGTTACGGGCGATGCCGGCGGAGCAGGTATACTTGAGCCTCTCGTAGATGGTGTGGCGGACATGGCGCACAATCTCGGCGCCGACGTTCATGGCGACATCGTCCCAGTCCGGGTCGTCGTCCTCGGCCTCGACGTGGTCGAGATCGACGAGGGCGTCGGCGTGCCAGTCGAGCGCACTGGAGGGCGGCAGGGGCAGCAGCTCGGTGGGGTCGTCGTAGGGGGCGTACTGAAGCTCCGGGTAGCGCTGCAGCAAGAGGTGATGGATCTGGGCGGACAGGTCCAAGAAGACCTCGTCGATGCTGGCCTTCTCGACCTTCTGGACGGGCGGGGCCGGCAGGATCTCCTTGACCAGGGCCAGACTCTTGCGCGACTCGAGCCGGTACGGGTCCAGCGACACCTTGTCGGTCTGGATGTGCTGGGCCGCGTCGGCGCGGTACGCCCACTTGTCGTCGCCCTCGCGCCACGTCGCCACGTGCTGCACCACCAGCTCCGGGCACTTGGTTTTGGCCTCCGTCACCGTGACGTGGCGGTTCAGCCCGAACGCCCGCGCCGGGTAGTTGATGGCGATCAGCCCTTGCCACTGCTGCACCGCCAGCGGCTGCGTCTCGCCCACCCCCAGCCGCACCATCTCGCACTGCGCATAGAACGCATCGTAGTCGATCAGCGCGATCACCCGCAACGGGCAGTTCGTCGCCGACTGTTTCAGGAGCTGTAGATGCTTGTATGTGAAGCGTGACTTTTTCCTCACTCCTCCTCCGGCAGTGGGCGAGGACAGATGGAAGGGTTGCGACGATGACATTGCAAGTTGTCCCCAGAACCTGTCGGGTTGGCCTGCTTGGCCCAAGCGACTCGGGTTTCTGATATTGGCTCCCTCAGCTAAACATTCTGTTCATGTCCACCTAATGTCGTCCGTGGCAGGAAGTAGTCACTGTCGAACTAGGCATCCATCCGGCCGTCTTATATGAATCTCGGTTGCCTTCTTGGTGTCAAGCCGTGGTAGCACCATTTCCTACACGTTGTCTGGATATGGTGACAGCTGCTGGCATGGCAAAGACTGCAGCGCGTCGTGTGGTGGTGGTGGCGGCGGTGGTGTCTACCTAAGTTAAAGCAGCACTGTGCTGAGTCAGGTACGTGACTCCACGTAAATCACGTCACGGGATCCACCGTCTTCCCCATACTTTGTACCTGATATTTTCCGCCGCCAGCATTGACTCATCTTGCAGAGTGCCACGACAAAAACAGGTCCCCTTCTCGCTTCCTGGAGAACTCTGAACCGACCACCCTGTATCCAATATAGTATCGCAGGTGCTGTCCTCTCAAGTCCGGTAGGAAGACCACGATACCTACAATATGCCGAGTCGCTCAGAAATCGCTTATTTCGGCGCGGGACCTGCTCCTCTCCCAACAGCCGCCTTGGAGAAGAGTGCTGAAGCCTTGGTCAATTTCGAAGACAGTGGTCTGTCATTGGCGGAGATCTCTCATCGCTCGCCAACAGCAAACAAAATCCTTGCCGATGCTAAAGATGCCCTGGCAACGCTTTACGACATCCCGACGGACGAATATGATGTCCTTTTCTTGCACGGAGGGGGAACAGGCGAGTTCAGTGCCACTGTCCAGAACTTGGTGGGGGCCTGGATTGAAAAGCGGCGGAGAAAGGCCGTCGCTGAACTGGGAGAGGGAAAGGATGCAGAAGTTCTGGACCGAGTCAGACGCGAGATCGAGGCTGAGCTAAAGGTCGATTACCTTGTCACCGGATCCTGGTCGCTCAAGGCCAGCCAGGAAGCTACGAGGCTCCTGAGCGCCAAATATGTCAATGTCGCTGCGGACTCGAGGAAGAGCAACAACGGCAAATTTGGTAAGATCCCAGACGAGAAAGAGTGGAAATTAACTCCGAAGGGAACCGCTTTCACCTACTATTGTGACAACGAGACGGTCGACGGTGTCGAGTTTCCGGGCTTCCCCAAATCTCTGGAAAGCACGGGCGGCAGCGAAGACGATGAGAGGATAGTGGTGGCTGATATGTCGAGCAATTTTCTGAGCCGGAAGATCGACGTCAGGAAGTTTGGCGTGATTTTTGTGAGCCATCCCCAGTTCTTCGGTCGGTATTTTCAGTTGTGCTAACGTCGACCTAGGGCGGTGCACAAAAGAATCTCGGCATTACTGGAATCACGGTCATCATCATTCGAAAGTCCCTTCTCAACCTGGTTCCCCCGCCCACATTTTTGCACGCATTGTCTCCTGTGATCCCGTTGTCAGGGGCGATTCCTCCGATAGTATTCTCTTTCTCTACCATTGCCGCGAACAACAGTCTTTACAACACTCTACCAATCTTCAACCTCTACGTCGCCACTCTTGTGCTCCAGTCGCTTGTCTCGACCTGGGGCTCTCAGAAGGTCTCTGGGCAGGAAGCGATTGCCGACAAGAAAGCTGCACTCATCTATGGCGCACTTGATGCTTTTCCAGATACCTACCATGTTGTGCCGAATAAGAGTGTGCGGAGCCGAATGAATATATGCTTCCGGATCATCTCTGGAGCCCAGACCAATAATGAGGCGGTGCCGGACGACGGCCGGGAAAAGGCTTTTCTTGCGGGAGCAGAGAAGCGAGGACTGCTTGGGCTGAAAGGACACCGCTCTGTTGGTGGAATTAGGGCGAGCAATTACAACGCCGTGTCGGAGGAAAATGCTCAGAAGCTGGCCGGTTACCTGGTTGAGTTTGCAAAGGCATGATTTGCTGGAGAATTGACCTTTGGATTGTAATCAACCTCTAAAAGTCCTAGACGATGGTGTCTGTCCTCTGTCTGAAAAGCATGAACGACTCATATTGCCTTTGCCCAAAGACGGTGTTCCAATCTGACCTCATTAAATACCAGCACGAGGCTTGCTTGATTTAATCGTAGCATAGATCATAGATCTGCTTGACCACTGTGTGATGTGCTTTCTTGCCCGTGCCTATACCAGTATAATAGTGTTCAGCCTCGTCGACCGTTGACCCGCGAAGGCGGTGAGCGCGCCGCCATTTTCCGTTCTCCACCTTTGCTTCACACGCGCCAAAATTCTGCCGCCGATTTTCTGGCTTGAGCAGAAGGACTGTGAAGGACTTTGACTGTAGTGTACTGTTCTGTATCACTCACTACTCACACACTGCACGGCACGTCCAAACACTACCAACCCTCCTGGCTCATCAGCAAAGATTGCTCGTTGTCCTCCACCCTGCTCATCCCTCAACCCTTGTCCCTCTCCCTCACCACGCATCCACATCCGCATCCGCATCCAACCATGCAACGCTCGACTCGGTGATCTAGGGCGGCCCTCTCGACGCCTGAGCCTTTTCGGGATCCGCAACTCAACTCCAGCCGGCTCGCTTTCTTCGCTCACTCCTCACTCCTCACGGTGACATTGACATGGCGCGCCGTGGCAGAGGAGGTGGGAAACGCGGGCCCGACCTGGCATGGGACGACGAGGAAGACGACCCGTCGACATTCAACACCCCTAACAGGCCAGCGCCGCAGTTTCCTGTAGGTCCCAAACCCTCATCGATCTCATCGTCGTCCGGCGACGGTTGTCTTTTCTCTCTTCCCTCTTCCTCCCTGGCGCCTCGCGAAGACGAGACCAGTTAGGATTCGTATTTTGCACTTCATTTATTCAAGGCCTCGACTGACTCCGTCCTTGCCATACTTAGGACATCCAACTACCGGTGCCTCGACCCATCTCAGCCGTCGAACGGGCGTGCGTGCAAAACTACCTGCGGCTCCGCGACCGAGCTCACAACGGACCCTACTACTCGGTGCTGGACGCGAGCAGCCTGGCAGATGCGAAGACCGGCAAAGTCATCAAGCGAGCGGGCTTCGACCCTTTCAACGACCAGGAGAAGTACACGGCGAAATACTACAAGAAGAAAAGGACGGTCCCGGACCTGAGCGGACGAAATCACGGTATGTTGAAGTTGAATCTGAAATAAATATGAGATCAACAGTCCCAGTCCTAGTCCCAATCCCGGCGATTTTGATTTTGGGAATCTTTTCTGAGGTCTCCCCCTCCCCCGACCGGGCAGCGGGAAGAAGAAAAGAACTGCGAGAATGGTGGTTTCTGCGAGAATGTTGGTTTCTGTTTCTGACAACAATGGCCCTCGCACAGAGTTGAGATACTTCCCCACGGAACTGTGGCCGCTCCTCGACCCACGACACACACACTCACTGTGGAAATCGACCGACATCGACATCGACGCCGAGACCAACGCGCCGCGCAAGAAGCGGAAGCGGGACGTGGTCATCGAAGAGGAGGAGAACGAAGACGAGGCGGAGAAAGCCAACGACAGCGATGACGGCTCGGATCCCTTGCTGTCCGGCACGCGGCGGTCCCGCAACAGCACCAAGCGGCGGCGCGACAACCTGACGACGCGCAAGGCCGGCGAGAAGCGCGGCCTGGACGCCGAGGACGACTTCTCCGAGGAGGAGATCCAGCCGCGACCGCGGCGCAACAAGAAGGACAAGGCTAAAGGCTCGGACGACGAGGATGACGACGACGACGACGAGAACAACAACGACAACAACGACAATGACAACTCCTCGAACTCGGATGACGACGACGACGATGACGGCTCCGCCGACGACGAGCCCGTCGACTCGGAGTTCGAGGAGTCGGACGACGACGCCAATGACTACGATGCCGAAAAGTACTTCGACACCGGCGAGGGTGATGATGACGACGGCTTGGGCGGTGGTGGTGGCGGCGACGACGATGGAGGCGTCTACTAATCTAATCCAATTGACGGGTCGAAGTTGATAGGTACTAGGTACTAGGTACTAGGTACTTACTTGTTCCGCAGGGGAAATGAAAATCTCTGCCTACATATCCCTGTTGAGGATTGAGGATCGACGATCGATCTGTCGTAGTCCTAATCCTATTTCATCTCAACGAGATAGTGATGGTCTACTTACTGCCGTGGAGCAAGACCGAGAGAGTGATGGTCTACTTACTGCAGTGGAGCAAGACCGAGAAAGAGAGAGTGAGTGAGAGAGTGTGACTTGTTACTCGACTAGCTAGGTGACCGAATGAGAAGAAACAACATCTGCTCATCTACCATTCTGCCCGTTCCCATTCTGCCTGTTCCCGTTCTCGTTGCCGTTCCCATTCCAATTCTCGTTCTGGCGCCAGTGTTTCCATTATCGTTTCCCTTTCCATTTCCATACGGCGTGTTTCGCCTCATTCGCACCAGGCAAGAGGAAAGAGATAGAAACTAGATACCGGACACTATATACCGGATAAGTTAGGTAGTCAGAAAGAACATGTATCTAGCTGGTGTCCGGTGTCCGGCAAGGCACGAACACGAACGAACAGGGATGATGGGGGATTGGAATCCTAGACAGATCTAGATCTGTAGGTGATCTGAAATGAAACCAAATGTATCAATGAATGAAATAAACAGGCCGTGACATAAATGAGATCTCATGAGGTCTGCTCTGCAACTGCAACAGCAGCAGCAACAGATTCAACACCAACTCCATCTACATCCGTCGGCCAGTCCATGTCCCTCGTGCGCCTAGCCTCTTCATCGATTGAATCCATGGTTTCCTCCTTCCTTCCTTGCGCAGCTGGGGGTCGAGTCGATGGGGCTCCCAATCCCACCACGTCTGAAGGTCTCCTGCATTGCTTTCTCATTGTCATCCGGGCTGTGGCTCTGGTCTGTCCTCCTTCCTCATTGTTTGCGTCGAACCCTGTTGGCTCATCCTTAGTGTCGTCCCTGCTAACTGTGGCACTCTCGCATCCAAGTCCTTTGACCTCTTTGCAGCTAGCATACACGCCCGCGCGAGAACGGCGCCAAAGAGGGTGTTCTCAGCCTTAGCATCCTAGCCAGTAGGGCGGTGTAATGCCATTCTTCTCGAAGAACTTGTCCCTCTTTGCTCTTTCTTCTTTTCCGCTTGTTGCCCGATATGGGACCAGTTCTCTCCATTTGCGTCCGAATGCTTCATGTTTACCGAACACTTCATCTTCACAGTCTAGTGTCAAGCCCAAATAGCGCAGGAAACGCCGACGCCTTCTTCTGGAGTACATAAAGTAGTCCAAGTTGAATTTCCGATAGTTAACTTCCTGAAGAGTGTCTAGCCAGGCCCCCGGAAGACAAAGCGCAGGTTCGACATCTCCGTCATCTTGCAAACTCTGCCAGAGATCACCTGCATATTCATCTGACGATGTCGACACCCATATGTGCCAGTCTTCCGGAGTGTCTCCATATGTGAAACTCACAACATGCAGTTTGAGTTCGAACTTCTGTTTTTTCCTCCACGCCGAGATCATCAACTTCCGTGGTAGCGTCTTGAGGAATCGATGCTCTCGGCGACCGTACTCCCTCAGATCTTGACCAGCCAATACCACCTCACGTGCCCACTGACGAAGCCGATGAGTCAGGCGGTGGGATGTGAGGTCTGCGTGAGAGCCTCGGAAGTAGATTTGGAGAAGCTCACATTCACACCCATTCCACCTCGTGTTAGAGTGCAAATCCAGGTAACTTAGCATAGGTGACCAGCAATTATGCTCAAAAGACACTCTCATACCGCCCAGTCCGACAGCAGACCGGAACAGAGCTCGTAAGCCGGTCAAATCAGAAGCCAGACCCCGACGATAGCAGCCAGCAAATGCTTTCGCCACACGCACGATGAGACTATCGTGCAGCACCTCCGTACAGCCTTCCCTTGACCACTTTCTCACAAGGCACGATGAATCGAGCGGATTTGGGGATAGAGCAAACTCAAACATCTTTAAACTTGCAGTTTTCTCACAAAGCCAGTACGCAACCTCTAGGCGGCGACTGAAATCTACGGTGCTCCAGTATGGCGAGACCTGGGACATGATAAAAGATGAAATTTCGACGCCGAAACCGAGAGTTGCGCAGATGAACAGAGCCCAGTCAGGAAAGTCTGAGAAAACGTCAAGCGTGGGGCCTCCTGTAAGTGCGTTCAAGGTGTCCAAGTTTGAACTACACGCATCGAAAAAGCATGACCCGTATTTGTCGTCGGATCTAACTGTCGCATTAGCGGTCACGCGAAGAAATGTCTGCTATAAGACATACCTGGACTGGGTCTGGTTAGGATCGGCGCCTTGTCTGAGAAGAAATCGGACCATCGATGCTTTCTCGAACATGACAGCCCGCTAAGGTAAACAATCAGTAGTCTGATCATAACTGAAGGGCAGCAACATTACATGGATCAGAGTGTAGCCATCCTCATCTCTATCAAAGATAGAAGCTTGCTTCGTTTCAAATAGTTGCTGGAGAGCTGCAATGTTGCCATTCTTTACGTACTTAAATACTGGTGCAGAATATGGCCGGATGTTGTACTGTCTGATGATGAAGGTTGAAGGTCCGCCTGCTCGCTCTTGAACCAGTTCGATCCTCTTCCCGAGGAGGAGGGTTTGGAAGGTCAGTAAAGTTCGCCTCTGGGGTTTCATCTTCAGGCGACGGGAGCCTGTTTCTGACACGGCCAGAGTCACGGTCCGGTCGCTGATCTCTGACTCTGCGGAGTCGGCTTCGTTTGAACTTGGTAGACTGGCAGATGGGTCTGGTTGATCCCGGCGACGGCTACTCGGATGGGCCAACAATGATGTGGAGGTTGAGAGCACCAACGCATGGATGCGAGCATGTTGTTCAATATGAAAGGTATTCATCGCACTGCATTGTTAGAGCTGCACCAGCAGATCAATCAACAAGCGTGTAACTCACTTCCACGAGGCAGTCTGAGCCAACAAGAGGTTGGCCCTAGTCCTCTCAATGCGCTGTCTGGCCTTTTCCATCACGTCGTCCTTTAGAACCACTTTGACAGAGCCGCGCCAACGACATCGTTTGATGGAATTCGACAGCTCGGAGCAAACCGGTCTCAGGCTTTGCACGGCCTTCTCGCAAGACTGCCGGCATCTCTGAACCACCGCGGGAGGAGCATAGCTGGCGATGAGGGCGTCCTGTTGGGCAAGCGTCTGCATGATCTCCTCAAAGAGATCTAGTTCCTCCAGAAGCTCGGCCAAGTCTTCCGGCGCATTTTTGATGGAGGAGTAGAGCTGCTTCAGCTCCAAGACGGTCTTTCCGAACTCAAGGGCGGCGGCGACCACTCCGACAGTCTCAGCCATGTTGCCCGAGAGGACTATCCAGAGGCAGCAACTTCAGTAAGAGATGAACGGTTTAGAAGGGAAGAAAGAGTTCCAAGGCAACGCGAGGTTGTGAGGAAGAAGGTTGCGGTGGTCAGGCTGAATCCATGGTGGCTGTGTAGTCAATCCGACTCACATCCCCGCCCGAGACATGTCGTTGTCCTGCTGGCCATTGCAGACCAGGGTATGCATGAGTTCTAGTCCAATGGTGGTCGTTGCTTCGACATGGTGTGTTCCCCGATAGACTCCCCCCGTCAAGTCCTCTTGGGGAACAAGTCGGGTGAGAGACATGGCCCCAAAGCATTGTGCAAGGCTCCCAGACAATCAGAACTGGTGTTGGGAGAGGACAAGAGACTCGGATGATTCCTTAACAGCGACTCTTGTGTGTCGCGGCAGCTGTAACCAGGTTAGATGCCAGGTACCTACAACCATGTTGATGTACTGAGCAATCAAAATGCATCTCAGCCGCAATGCTCCCCCATATAATCTGCCAAGACAGCACCACGGATACGGTAAAGCAAGAAGCAGCCGATATGCCAGTCTCTGTCGCCTGCGTTGCCATCCGATACCGGGATACGGAGAACACAGAGCACACAGATATTTACTGAGGGGACGAATTCCATCTCAAGGACGACTGGTTGAGGATGAGTTGATTCCGGGACCACACGATGCTGGTCTGGCAATCTGCACTCGACGATGGCTGCCTCGACCGAGCAAGCCCACGGAAGGTCTGCCCTCATTCTGTACGGGACAGAAACCGGCACAGCGCAGGACTTTGCTGAAGAGATCGGCCGCGGTCTCGAGCGGCTGCGATTCGACACAGATGTGGCAGGACTAGACAATGTCAGACACGGTCACTTGCATGCCTACACTTTCGCTGTCATCGTCGTCTCCACCACCGGCCAGGGCGACTTTCCCGAAAATGCTCGCAAATTCTGGACCGGCCTCCTACGGAAAAAGCTCTCTCCTACCACGCTAGAGGGCGTCAGATATGCCCTCGTGGGACTGGGTGACAGTTCCTATCCCAAGTTCAACTGGGCGGCCCGCAAGTTGGACAAACGGCTGCGGCAGCTCGGGGCCACTTCGATCCTCGACTCTTGCGAGGCTGATGAGCAAGGCGACGAAGGCAGTGACGGCGCTTTCCTCGAATGGCTGGAGCGTTTCCGCAAGACGGTCCTGGACACTTTCCCACTCCCTGCAGGCCTGACTGTGATACCGAACGAGGTCCTGCTGCCCGGCAAATCCCGCTTGGAAAAGGCTGTGACAGGCTCCCAGTCCATCGAGACGCAATCCCCCCGTAGCGATCTAGACACCACGTCCGCGAATGTCTCTTCTGGCTCATTCGCTGCCGTTCTGGAGAAGAACGAGCGCGTCACGCCGTCCGACCACTGGCAAGATGTGCGGTTCTTGAGGCTCAAGGCCAGTGGGAAGATCGACTACATGCCCGGTGATGCGCTGGCCATCGGCCCTCGAAACATGCCGGAAGATGTGGCGTTTGTGATCGACCGCATGAACTGGCGCGATGTAGCCGATACCCCGGTTCACCTGGTCTCGACGCGCCCAAAGGCAAGTCCTCTTCTCTCTAACCATCCCATCTTCACCCGTGCAGACCTCACTCTGCGGACACTCTTGACCGAATATCTGGACATCAACGCCATCCCTCGACGCTCCTTTTTCGGGGCCATTGCAAACTACACCAGCGACGAGATGCACAAGGAGCGGCTGTTGGAGTTCACCGACCCGCAGTATCTCGACGAGTACTACGACTACGCCACCAGGCCGAGACGGAGCATGATAGAGATCCTACAAGAATTCGACTCGGTCCATATCCCGTGGGAAGAAGCGACCAACATCTTCCCTCCGCTGCGTCCGCGACAGTTCAGCATCGCCAGCGGTGGGGCGTTGAAGCACGCCGAGCACGGCTCGACCACATTCGAGCTGTTGGTGGCCATTGTCAAATACAGAACCGTCATCAAGCGCATCCGGGAGGGCGTCTGTACGAGGTATCTGGCACAGCTGCCGGTCGGGACGACGTTGCAGGTGTCTCTGAAGACAGAAGGCCGCTTTTTCAAGTCGGCTGATATAGGTGATATGAGCCACGTCCTGGTTGGCGCCGGAACCGGTGTCGCGCCGCTTCGAGCGCTTATCCACGAAAAGGCCCAGCACGGCCAGCCTCGCGGCGGGACTGCGCTATTCTTCGGCTGTCGCAATGCAAGGGCCGACTACTTTTTTCATGATGAGTGGGCTGCCATGCAGACACTGACAGCGACACCAACACCAACACCAACACGACCACAACCACAAACCCAGACACCGACAGCGACACCAACCCAGACCCAAACCAAAACCAAAACCCAAACACAGACCCAGACCCAGACCCAAGCGCCGGAGCCCGATGCCCCTGCCACCGCCGTCGGGTTCCAAGTCATGCCAGCATTCTCACGGGACCACAAGTCCAAGGTCTACGTGCAGGACCGGATACGCGAGCATGCCAAGCTAATATGGCAATACCTCCGCGAACGCGACGCCACCATTATCGTGTGCGGCTCTTCGGGCGCCATGCCCAAGGCGGTGCGGCAGGCCCTTGTCGATGCGCTTGTCGATCAAGGTCAGAAGAGAGCGGTGGAAGGCAAGACGGCAGCAGCCTCGCACGCCTCTGCCTCGACCAGCGTGGATGTGGATGCGGATGTGGATGTGGATGATGCACTTGACGACGACGAGGATGCCGAGCCGATCCAGACCGAGGCTGACGCCGAAGCCTATCTCGCCAGATTGGAAAAGGAGGGGAGATATAAGCAGGAGACGTGGTCATGATCCTGGTCATTCATGAAAGATACAGTACGGATACTTCGTACAGACATGTACAGAAAACATCTTGGATCATTGTCATCTAGGATACTAAGGGGTTGTGAACCGGGCGAGAAAAGAGCTAATTAGCTTGTTGTCGGCCTGCATCTCCTGTTGGCTTTTCCTCTTTCCCCACAATATGTTGCACGTTGCACATGGCTTGTAGACATCAAGCCATCAACACATCAACACATAAACACATCAAGACATGTAGCTATGTAGCCATGTAGGTGTGTATATATAGATAGATTGGTTCTGTCTCATATCATCCTCCACATCCATATCCGCATATCCCGCGGAGAGACCAAGCACTCATTCGACTTCTCAAACATAGCATCAAGCATGACCAGTCACTAGATGAGACGACATCCATCACCAGTCACTAGATGAGACGACATCCATCACCAGTCACTAGATGAGACGACATCCAGTCCGCACCATTTCATTTCGCTAAAAGACGACGACGACAGGACAATAAACATCTCAAAGGTCAGGCAGGCTATGCTATGTTAGACCAGACCAGACCACACCAGACCGGCACTCGCTTCGCTTCGCTTCACTTCACAATCATCCCCGCCAGATTTGGTTCTTGGTCTTGTTTCTTTTGATTTGACATTCTTGCTGGAGAAAAAACGAAAGGGTCCATTTAGACCTGCACGCTGACCTTGTCCGTGCAATTGCAGCCGTTCTTGCCCGCGGCAACCTGGCTCGGTGTGCGGGCGTAGCTGGGCGGGACGTCGAGGGCCGGGTTGCGCAGGAAGAAGTTGCGCGGCCGCAGCAGCAGGCTCATCGGCTCGGCGGGCATGACGGGGTAGTCTTCGGGCGCCGGGAAGTGGGTGAGGCCGAAAGTGTGCCAGAGTACAATGTCCTCGTTGTCGATCTTCGCTTGGGGGTGGGCGTTGATCCATTGCGGCAGACCCATCGACGGCTCGCCTGAGGTCTGAGGCACATGCCGGCCGGCGGGGTGGAGCTGTTCATCCGAGTCTAGATCTTGTCAGCACGGGTTTCGTCCTCAGAGGAGGGAGCAGGAGCGGAACTTACACTTGGTGACGTGCACGGCGTGGCGCGCAAAGCCGGCGCGCTTCCACACCAACGAGTTCTCCTTGGGCAGCAGGGGCGGAACCTCGCGGCTGACCAGCTTGTACGACACGGGCTTGTGTGAGTACGGGTTGATTTTGTTCTCGTTGGCAATGTCCCATGAGCGAGAAGTCGAACCCTCGTAGTCGGCCATCGCCTCGATCGGGTTTGTGTATTTTGTCTTCTTCGCGTAGAAGGCGTTGCCGTAAAAGTTCTCCTCGGAGCCGGGCTCACCAGGTCCCTGAGCAGCGTCGACCTGGAAGATGGTGTTATTTGGGCCGTCAATATTGGGGTCGATACGCAGGCAGAATAGATGCTGGTGGTTATGCGCGTTGACGCCCGGGTACACCTCAGTGCCCCAGCCCTTGGTGTCCTCGCCGGGGTTCATGGCGTAGGTGTTGAGGATACCGGTCAGCTTGATTTCCAGCTGGATCGTGCCGTCCTGGTGGAAGATCCAGTACACGCAGTATTCGTAGTTGGCGGCGGTGAAGATCTGGCTGATGATGAGCTTGCGCGCTCGGGTGACAATGACCGAGTCGTCACGGAAATCGGTGTGCTTGAAGAGAATGCCGTTGTCTTCCTCGTGGATGCAGATGGCGTTCTTGATCGTCTGAGCTGAGCCTGCTCTGTTGACGAACTCGGCGTCCATGTAGTGGATGCTGCCTTTGCAATCACAGCCCAAGCTAAGCGAGTTGGTCATGTAGCCACCACCGTACTCTCCGAGGTCAAAAGCGTGCTTGCGCTGATGCGGGTGTTCAGGGTTTCCGTACGGGACCACCATTTCGGCCAGCGATAGTCTGTAGAAGAGGGGTCGGGTTTTGTTCTCGTTCTTGTCGAAGTAGGTGATGTTGTTGAGCACGATGCCTTCCCGGTAGTTGAACCCCACGTGCACGGAGAAGTTCTGCCATTCAATAATACGACCAGTGATCTTGAAGCTCACGCCTTCGGGCTGGGTAATATTGATGGGTTTCAAATCCGTTCTGTAGCCACCTGCTGCCTCGATGGACTGAACAGTGTAGTTGTTGGGAGAGGCCTTGCTGACAGGCCGTCGGATCTTTGGCACGTCAATGTGGACGATTTCTCTCTTGTTCGCATCGTAGATAGGGCAGAAATCTAGTGGGTAGCTATATTGCGAGTCATCGATGTGCGGGCGGTAGTACATCAGTGCTTGCTGGAGTCTGACGCCGTTCCCAAATCTCTCATCATAGCCAATGGTCCAGGGGTCGCAATACACCTTGTGCATCTCATCGGCGGGAATGCCAACCAGGCCACATTGCTCGATGACTTTGGGGTCTTTTCGCACAACGTCCTCGACGGCGTTGAGGTCCTCCATGGTGATCAGTGGTTGCACATTCGGCGTCTCCATCCAGCTGATGACCTTGCCCTCGGTGAGATCTACGTTGCCGTCGTAGACCTTCCCATCAGTCGTGATAACCACGATATCGGCAATGCGGTGAGGTCTCGGAGTGGCCTCTGGGGCGGCCAGCCATTTCAACATCTGATCCTTGGGAGGCTCCAGCAGCGTAACGGCATTGTAGTATAGTTTGCCATATTTGCCGCGTAGGATAGTGACAGCCGCTTCAATCTCCAGAGAGGACAGGGGGTCGAGGGGGTGGGCAGGGGCAATGGTGTTGGACACCTGCTGTGCCAACTGCTTGACACGCTCGAGAACCATGGTTGCCAACGGTCAAAGATACCCAGGAGTGATGGAAAGGGGCGAGGGTGCGATCTGCGTGATGAAGCAGGAAGGAAACAGGAACGAGGAGGGAGGACTTACACACATATGTATGCTGAGCGACGGCCTCGACTCCTCACACACAGATCCGGCAAATCTATGCTGGGCCCCTTTAGCCCTTGGGCCCCAACAGCATGGGTAGAGAGAACCCTGAATCATAGGACAAGCTGCTCGCATTGCTCGAGCGACCTCGTGGGAGCTTCAGGGACGATAAGCAAAGCGGGCAGATAAGAGGCTGTATCGCGTAACCTCACTCGTCGACATCGTGGTTGCATTCCTCTTCTGGGCTTGAAGTCCCATCTCATGGCAATTTTCGCCTGTTGAGGTCTAGCGCCACTCCACGCCCTCGCGGGTTCGAATGTCTGCCGCCATAGAGCGCCATGGAGATGCCTGGGAGGGCCAGCCCCGAGAGCAGAAGGCCACCACGAGCGCTGCCATGGAGCCGGAGCCTCGTGAGTCCACTCTGCGCTCGTATCCGAGACTCTGATATTACTGACTGGCCAGTGCCCGATATTTGCTGCTCGATAGTAGATAATAGATACTCCCAACGTTTTCCGGCTACCGCGTCGGACTAAGGCGAGATAACAGTGTGTGAAGCGGTTTCTCATCGGTCTGGCCATCCGCTTGCGTATCTGCTTTCCGAGAGGCCGATGGCAATCAATGGATTGACAGCCGCGACACTATGCTCTATAACCAAGCTTTGGAGAGCACCACGCTATATTGTGCAGTGCTAGTGAGGCTGCAGCCTTGTCAGGATGGCAGCTGATTTACTCCGTACATGTGGCCAACTCTAGTCCAGTGCTCCAGGCCAGGTATTTTCACTCATTTTTGCATTCTTTGCTTGGGACGCCACTCCATATCCATATGTACAGTATCAATTGAATCGGCCCTCGTCTCGCTCGAGGAGTCCTGCCTGGCTCACTCCAGCACTTGGTCGTGAGCAAGATGCGATCATATTGTGTCTTGGTTCATGACGCGCTCAGTGGTGTTGCTCTCCGTGGCCGTCTCCATGCCCGTGGGTGTCCTTGAAAAAGAGTGCTTCAATGATAACATAGCCGGTAAACGCAGCGGTAGCAATTCCAAGTCCGGGGAACGCCCGCTTGAACCGATTCCACCGAGTAAAGGGTCCAGTGTATCGCCAGGCCTCACTGAGCAGTTGTAAGTATGTGCCTAAGCATGGATTTTGCATTCTTACTTCCTAGCCCAGGGGTCCTTTGCCCGCCATTCTCTGCTTGTTGCAGCATTTGTAAAGGTTTTCATGTTAAACCCGGTCGGGTTGTTGGAGGGCGCCATTGTGTCGTGTGGTGACGGTGTTGAAGGCCCTGGTACGTCGCGAGTGAGGGAGCGGGTGTTCTGGAGCTACCGGGCACACGGCGGGTTCGTGAGACGCAGAACGCAGCGTTATCCCTCTACCAAATAAGTGCTGCACTGTCCGTGAAGACCTGCTTTGTCCAAAGTCATGCTTGCACAATGATCCGAGATGCAGCTCGAGCCAAGACTACGCTTCAAGCTCTCTCGCTGCGACTGACAACCGACAGCTGGTACGGTGCAGCACTGACACTTTCACACACTTGGACTCGCCGCGCCGCAGTGCAGCGGAATGATTGACTGTCCCGCAAACCGTCTGTCTTTCTTCAACTCACCGCGTGCTTTTGAGTAACAGCGAACATGAACTCATACAAGCCTCATATCTCCAGAAGTAATTTATGAACCCGGCAACCATGTCGCAGTCACTACTCCACCACTAAGATCTATCGCTAGCGCTCGGGGATGAACACAACTGAACTTCTGTCCCCTCCAACCTTATTGTGTTAACACATTCTCACAATGGCACCTCCTCGTTATGGAAATCAGTCCATAAACGGGCCCTATCATATTCAACAGAACCACCTGCAGTCGCATCAGCACGGCACTCTACCCCCTCCAGCCCACCTTGGCACACCCTCCTTCGGCGCCGGCGGCTCTTCGAATGCAAGCCCTTTCGCACTGGCTGGAAATCTGAGCAATGGCTTCGACCGGAGCATGCTCGACGGCAGCGTACTCCCCAATCATATGGCACAGATTTCCTTTGCTAGGGGAGGTCCTGTACAAACACATCAGCACTATGACGGTCTAGGTGGTCCGCTTGACAACAAAGATGATGCAAGAATCCGGAATGTGTGGAAGCACAACTTGAAAGAAGAGATGGCTACGTTGAGGCAGCTTGTCGATATATATCCATACATTGCAATGGTATTTGCGCCTAGATCTGTTTGGTGATTGGATTGCGCTGACTTAGGTTTTGTTCATAGGACACAGAATTCCCCGGCATTGTCGCGCGACCAATAGGCCAATTCACTACAAAGCAGGACTACCACTATCAGACATTAAGATGTAATGTTGATCTCCTCAAAATGATCCAGCTTGGAATCACTCTTTTCAAGCCCGACGGAACACTCCCTCCACCTGATTCCTCGTCGACAAGCAAGACGCAATTTCACCAAAACATTCTGCCCACTCCTTGTACTTGGCAGTTCAACTTCCGCTTTTCCCTCGAATCAGACATGTACGCTAGAGACTCGACCACGATGCTCGCAAAGGCTGGCATTGACTTCGACCGACATGCCAAACATGGCATCGACCCTGAGGAGTTTGGTGCCTTACTGATCAGTTCGGGCCTTGTTCTGGATCCCGACGTGCACTGGATATCATTCCATTCGGGCTACGACTTTGGATATCTCATGAAGCTGATGATCTGCAAGCCACTACCCGAAGATGAATTGCAATTCCACAAGTACCTGGAGAAATTCTTTCCTTCTCTCTTCGACATCAAATACATTCTCAAACACATCGGTCTAAAGGGACAGGTCAACAGTGGGCAACCCCTTACCCAGGAAGCCGGGCTAATAGTCCAACGGCTGATGACCAAATCAGGTCTCCAGGATGTCGCAGAGGAACTCGCTGTTGCTCGCCTCGGCCAGGCCCATCAGGCCGGCTCGGATTCCTTGCTTACTGGGCAGGTGTATTTCAAGATGAAGGAGAAAATCTTCAATGGGACGATTGAGGAGGACAAATATCGCTCCCAAGTTTGGGGCTTGAACACGCAGATGCCGACGGCTGGAGGCGGAGGCCCCGGGAACCGTGATTTCAACACGCCAAACATGAACGGAGCCACCTTTTACAGCCACAACGGTACGCCTACAACACCGCAGACCGGGAATGTCGGCATGTCAGCTGGACCATCGCATACTCCTGTCGCGAGTCATGGCATGATGGGAAGTATGACACCGGGAGGATTTGGAAACTTCCAATACCAAAAGGCAATGAGCTAGTGGCCTTCCCCAGGGCGGGGTTACAACAATCACGTTCCCGCCCACGGCATGATGGGAAATATGACACCAGGAGGATTTGGAAACTCCCAGCAAGAAGGAGCAAGGAGCTAGGGGCCTTCCCGACGGCCGAATTACAAGAATCGGAGATCCCATCGCTATCCTTGGTCTCACTCTGATTGGACATGATTTTGGCGGGCGACTTTGTGCGCGGAGAGGAGATTCCGAGAGGTGGTCATGCAGTGGGCGACGGGGCGTTTCTTTGGTGTCGACAAAAGTCCAGTTGCGGTCTGTGGGCGTTTCATCTGCGGCTTCGGCGAGGAAAGTGGTATGGAGGAGGGCTGGGGGTCTATTGCATTAAGCGGGGAACGATGGGCTGGCGTCCGCATGGTCAGGGTGGTTGGGATGGAAAGTGGCACACATGATCTTGCACCGAGTTCTCTTGTAGGTACTAGTATTCTATAGAGCAGCGCAACTGTGTCCTGCGCGCAAGAATCCTCTCTTTGAACAGTACTCCGTACAGGTATTGCACTACTTGGTACGGCCCATCGCTTTGTGCAAGGTTTCTGGACCTGTAGATTATATCTTATTACTTGCGCGGAGGCCGCCCGCGCCATAACACTACTGCAATCAATGCGATGTAACTGGAAACTGGTGAAACTGATATGTTCATATGTTCATTACCTCGTCTTCTTCAGCCACGCGCAGTCTTGCCTGCCTAGGTACCTCAACAATCGATCCATTGGTCGGGGTACCAACGCACGATCACTTTCAAGTTGCTGCTGCTTCAATACACACTTCTGACGTTCCACGCCCCTTTCACCGACTCCATGGGTGCTACTGGTCTTGTTTCAGTGCCCCTCTCATCAAGTCGGAGGTTTGGTTGTTCAGAACCCCAGGCCCAGTAGCAGGTCTTCAACTGCTTCTGACTGTACCTCTCAGGTACTGGTTTGGCTGGGTGTCCAGCCTTCCTATTCTTCAGAGTAAGGGGCCTTGTTCCGATCCATGTGGCCGGAATAGCCATAGGGCGGGGAAATCAGTCGCCATATGTGGCCCTCATGGTTCGCCTGTGGTAGGGATAATCGCAGACTGAGATATTTTCTGGACCTTCAGAAATCCACTGTCAACACGGTCATCGTCTTAGCTCCCCAGGTATTTCCTCCAACCGTCTCTCCAGATCACCCTTTGGCCTTCCTCCGCAAGACCAGGGCGTTCACCAACCCTAAATCGTTCCCACCGAGCATCGCGACCAGTACCGATACAGATCAACGTTGAATTGTCTGTCCATCCGAGGATCCCCTTCTGCGGCCGGCTTGGCAGTGACCCTAGAGCAGGGAGATAGGAGAGTGAGGACCCATTTATTCCTGCGTTTTCGTCGCCCATTTCAAAATGCGCAGAGGTGAAAGAGTAGATGTCGGAGAAAACACGTGGCAATAGGGGGATCTTGGAAAGGAAACCCCATTTCTGGTTCGTAGAGGACTCTTCGTCGCCCGCGACGTGGGGAGATTGCGAGCGGCGGGGTGGGTTAAGCGGGCTAGTAGGCTGTGAAGCTTGTGAGCCAGGAATATCGAAGACGTGAAGTGTAGATTTATCAGAGGTGACGGCGAGCATGCTGGAATTTGGCGAGATTGCAATACTGAAGATATACGCCGGATCAACTCCGCGACGAAGCTCGGCAACCTTGGTACAGTTGGACGTTGAGAAGACGCGGATCAAAGTCCCCGTTTCACTGGCTGTCGCTAAGAGTTGTCCGTCCGCGCTGAGCTCCATGGCACGCAGCGCGGAGGTGTGTGCTGGTATGATGCTAACATTGCCCGAAGCCAATTCCACGAGCTGGACTTTCCCTGGCGACCGGCCCGGGAATGCCACCAGCCTTGAACCCAAAGAGCAAAGACCCAGCGGGTTGTCTGCCGTCTCGAAGACGGCTGTCTTTTCGGGAGGAGACGAGAATTTGTATAGGTGGATGCTGTTTTGGATGGCAATGGCAATCCATGACTTGGTCAGGCGGACGCGGAGGACTGCGGTCTTCAACTCAAGCGTGATGGCAACTTTCTGTTTGGCATCATCCCAGATCATGACCTAGGGCAACGTATTAGCTTTCCTGCTCTTCAGGCTCTTCTTGCTTCGGCTATACCTTTGTCTGCGGCCATCTTGGATTCTTCCCGCCTCCTACTAGAGCAAGGTAGTTGTATCGACCGAGCATCTCAGCCGCTCCAATCCCGGCATTCAGATCTGTAGCATGGCTTAGAATTTGGGGGGTTTCGAGGAGGAGGAGGAGAGCGGTTACCTCGAGAGGCCTTTAATTCGCACGGGTCTGAGTTGAAGACTGTAGAAAGGGTCAGTATTGTGGAAGAGTCGGCCTGATCACCCCAACATACCACAGAAGCCTGTGTCCAGGCCAACAGCGAAGCAGCTGGCATCGCTGTTGAACGAGGCAGACAAAGCAATTGGTCCTGCAGAGTCATCGATAACAGGACGGGTGTTCATCTTGAAGGGCGATTGTCCACACCACTCCGTTCATCGTGTGAAGAAGGGCAGTTATTGACAAATCGGTGAGATCCGAATCGTATATGAGATCAACAAGGATCTGGCCTAGATACCCAGCTAGTTGATGGAAGCAAAATCACTGGGCGGCCGGTGCCAGATCAATTGGTGGTATTACTGGTACACACGTAGGTACGGATACACAGACGAGAAATGACGCAGAGGAGGCAGCCATCGCCATCCGCATCCCCAAATTGCGTTCTCGTCGCAGGTGGACTCTCTACTCTCTGCTTTGAGTTGAGGTGGTCACTAGGCACGCCTCCACCTCCACAGATCCTTGTCAGACTGCCAGATGCACAAGGTACATGTATCTAAGCATCAGATGAACCTACTGCCTTACTGACTCTCGATCACGGACGCCGGAAGCCTGACCCTGACCCTGGACCTGACCCTGAAGGCTGCCGCTCGCGGCCAATCCGCACTGGGTGGCTGTGCAAGCCGACAGATGGTATCGATCCAATTTCTCCCAGTATTTGCACTGACGATGTCATAAACGCAAAAGCCAACGCAGTCTCCTGTTCGATCAAATCGATCGATGTGTCCTTCCTGTTGGAAGAGCTCTGTCATCCTCGTTCCGTGCTCTGAAGCCACTGTGGCTGCATTCCAGCACTGATAAGCTGTTTACCACTTTGCACCCTCGCCATGACGCGGTGATAGAACACAGCCGCCCATCATCCCCATATCATCAACCGGCCATTCCGCGGCAGCCATGTCTTCGAACGCAGGAGGCAAGTCCAATGACAGGCAACACTCCCCAGCACCGTGGAGATCAACAGATCCGTGGGCAGCAGGAGGCAAACCTTCAGGCGGATTTCCAACTTCGCCGGTTACGCGGGAAATGCACATTTCAGCGCCTCATTCGTTGTCAGCAGCGGTAAGGGCTCGAAAGGATGAGTATATTCGAAAGAGGTCTATGAAAGTCAAGATTGGCACCTGGAACGTCGCCTCCATTAGCGGCACCGAAATGGACCTGGGTGCTTGGTTCGTTGACGGATATGGGGCAAAAGGACTTGCCCAAAATCTTTCCGGGATTTCGGCAGCGGATGATGACGACTCCGACTCCGATACCGACGAGAACATCGAGTCTGTCGAATCTCAAGAAGCTCGAATGGCGAAGAAGCAAAGCACCGTACCGAAAGGCGACAGTGCTACCGAACCCAATGGCGACCAGATCGATCTGTACGTTTTGGGTTTACAAGAAGTTGTGGATGTCACTTCTATGACCGAAGCTGTGAAGCCCTACACCGACCCGAATCCCGGCAAGAAATGGAAAAGGGCGCTGAAACGTGCTTTACCCCCGGGCTACAAGAAGGTTGCGGAACAACAACTGCTGGGTCTCCTCCTTCTTATCTACGCCTCTCCAGAACTGGCTCCAAGCGTTGGCTCAGTAAGCACCGCATCGGTGGGTACAGGGTTGATGGGATATTTGGGCAATAAGGGAGCAGTTGCAGCCAGAATCATGGTTGCTGAGACCACGCGGCTCTGTTTCATCAATTCTCATCTCGCCGCCGGGGCTGACCAAACAGCTTTGAATCGTCGCATTTGGGACACCAACCAGATCTTGACTCGTACTCGATTCGCGCCAGTCAGTCCAGACGGCGAAGTGGTAGAGCTTGGGGAGGAAAGGATTGGCGAGGAAGATTTCTGTTTCTGGTTTGGAGATCTCAACTACCGGCTGGATGACATTCCGGGCGAGGACGTGCGAAGATTGTTATTGCTGCATACTCGCAACGAGTACGACCTTGAAAACAAATCCAAGCGACGAATCGATAGTGAACTGGGCTACGTCAACACACCATCGGATGACTCGCCACCCCCTTTGACTCAGCACTACGAATACAAGGAGGCGGAAAGGCCGGCCAGCGATAGTACTGCAGAGCCGCCACTGGATCCCAAATCCGACCCGGCCTCTCTTCACACAACTCTTCAATCTCTGCTAGCTCATGACCAGCTTCGCAACCAACAAAAGTCGCGGAGAGCGTTTTACGAGGGATGGCGGGAAGGGGAAATCAACTTCCTGCCGACTTACAAATATGATGTCGGCAGTGTTGGCATGTTCGACTCGGGAGACAAAAAGAGAAGTCCAAGCTGGTGTGACCGGATCCTCTATCGGACTCGGCGTGACAGGCACAAATACGAAGAAGAAGCCAAGCAGCTGGAAGAAGCCCGCAAAAAGGACGAATTGATGAAAGCTCGTGGAATCGACCAAGCGACGGCCGAACATGATGTCCTGTTTGACTACGACCCCGAGACAGATGGGCTTGCGTATGGAGAAGATTACGATGACTACGACGATCGGGAAGACGCAACGCACGATGCTGAGCTGGTCCGCACCCAAGAAGATTACGAGGATACCATCGAAATCCTCAGTTACCATTCTTACCAAAGGATACTATCTTCAGACCACAAACCGCTCGCCGCCGTTTTCCGGTTGACGTACGAGGCCGTCATCCCGGAACTAAAGGCGAGAGTGCACCAAGAGGTTGCTCGAGAGCTGGACAAGGCGGAAAACGAAGGGCGTCCAGCGGTCACCGTGGTAGTGGACAGCCCTCCAGACCCGATCCCAAACGCTGACGGTGCGGCAGACATGAACGTTGTCGACTTTGGAGAGGTGCGTTACCGCGTGAGGAAGTCGAGGATGGTAACCATTGCGAACACTGGGCAAATCACCGCCTCGTTTTCCTTTGTCGACCGTCCCACCGAATTGGCAGACGATGCCGGCATTGCTCCTCGATGGCTCGAGATCCACGTGGATCCAAGCTCAGAAATGAAACCTGGGAACTCGGTTAGTTTATCTCCTGGTGAAACCATGAGCGTCGAGCTGTCCATCAACATCCCGGATGGGCTTGTGTGTGACTTGAACGAAGGAAATGTGCACCTTGACGACATTTTGGTCCTTCGGGTTGAAGGCGGACGAGACCACTTTCTTCCCGTCAAAGGGACGTGGCTCCAGTCTTCATTTTACCGCACTCTCGACGAACTGGTTCTGGCGCCCGAAGGCGGCGTGCGAGCTCTACCCAAATCGCACACGAACCGAGATTCTACGGGCACAGGCAATCTTCGAAGTACTGTAATGCACCACTCTGCTCCCAAGGAACTGTACTCGTTGACGGAGATCATCCCGATCTACATCGAACGGTCGATCGCAGAATGGGGAATGATCCACGACGAGGAAACTCCGCCCTGGCAATACAATCCCGGAGGCCTTTCTTGGCCATTCGGTCCGGGAACGTGGACGTTCCATGAAGGAGAGGAACGGTCGGAGCTGTTGGCTGGAGTGAGAGAGGCGTTGGACACAGCCAGGCCACTGGACAGCAATTTCGACCCCGATGTGCCCTGTCTTGTTAGACTGGAAGTGTTGTCCGAGACACTCATGGGGTTTCTTCGATCCCTCCGAGACGGCATAGTGTCGGCCAGTACGTGGTCTGAGGTGGAACGACGGTTGAGCATCTCGGAAAAGGGCAAAGTGCAGGCGACGTGGGAAGAGATCCAGGATATGGTCATGGATTCGATTTCTCGGTATCCTGTCCACAGCGTGTCGTTGACTTTTATCACGTTCCTATTGACGCGCATCGCCACCGAATTGCTGCCTTGCGGAGCCTCCTCGCAATCGTTGGACGTATCAGTACCCGCATCACCGAATCCTTCAAGGCGGTCCAGAGCCTCAACACTCTCTAGTGACTCGGATCATGTGCCGTCACTAGCCGGGTCAGAAACACCAGGGAAACGGAGTCTGTTCCCCACGTTACGCCGGCGTCGGACGCGGAGTCTGTCGTCCTCATCAGGGCCTCCTACGGATCCGAATGCGGCGGAGTCGGAGCGAGGCAAGAAACTCATCAGTGCATATGTTGAGATATTCGCACCTGTTGTCATCCGGTCGGAGAACGATGCGACGGTGAAGGGCCGTGAGAAAAAGGTTCTCGAAGTTCGGAAAAGGCGTGTGTTGGAGGCATTTCTGGACCTTGGGCATTGAGGGTGAGGGTGAGGGTGAGGGGGCCTCAGTGGTTGACATGACTCGGTTGGATAGAGACCAATACAAGACGGATTGACCGTACTAGATTACTCTGTACACTGTATACAATCATCTGGATTGATACAGAAGTTCAACGGGTAGGTTTATTGGCTGCACACAGACAGAGTAGGTGACATGGCCGACGCGCAGTGTCAGTCTCGAAGGGAAGATTAAAGCCTCAGGGTCATTGATTAGGCTGTCGGGCTTAGGTCTCGAAGGTTGTTCCCACTTCCGCCATAGTGATCACTGTATCTCCCGCCCACCTACCGCTCTTGCTTGGACTGACGCCAGAGGACAGCTTGCTGAATCATCCAGGGCGTAGCACGCCTCCTCCGTCTCCTACACATACGATACTCGTACAGGGCGCGCCCAGGTTGTCGTCGAGCGATTATCTTGATTGGCGGAATGCAGAAGGGGTGCAAAAGGGCGTAGGCGATGACGTAGCTTCCGCTTCTTTTTTTCATGCGGACTCACGTACGTTACGCACCATCCCATCCTACGACAGACTAGAAGTAACTACAATGCAACGCCCACGCCCTCCAGAAATAGGATACGCGCATATGCTGAGGCTGTGCAGATCAGATCAGCTTAATCAGGGGGGGACGTCCGACCAAGTTGACATTTTCGTTGGAAGATGCGGGAAAATATGCAATGGCCATGGCCTTTCAAGGTAGGTAAGGTAGGTATATAAGCATGCTGTGCTCCCCATGACCTTGACTTGACTTGAATTGTCTACGATTCAAACACAACACAAACAAGACAATAGAACACACACATACACACACACCACACATACGACAAGCTATAATTGCCTTTCACTACCACAGAGACTACGGTACGGGGAACTCTTGACCAACCAACCCAACCAGAGATCTCTCAACCAAACCCAGCCCAAAATGCAATTGAAGAAATACATCCCCGACTTCCTCCTGCCCACGGACGAACCTGCGGTCCCAGGCCCCATCTACGACGTGCCTCTGCGTCGGGAGCTGTTCCACAAGACCCGGCCTGGCAACGAGTATACTCTGTCCGCATCCTCGTCCGGCAGCCGCAACAACTCGGTCGTGAGCGAGCGGAGGAAGAGCAGTGTGTCGCCGTCGGCCTCTAGCCCTGAGTCTAAAGAGAGGAGAATGCCGTGGCATCCCTTTATGGCTTTTGGGCACTAGACCCTAGACTCTAGACACTTGACACGGCCAATCTGGTTACTGGCCCCCTCGAACCAAACAGACAAAACCAAACAGTCGAGTCGTCATCCCTCCAGAAGTCTAGACACCTGAACTGCATGGCCAACGCGAGCTATTCAAATGAGGATGAAGATGATCAAGCCGTGTTCTGTTTCTTAGCAAGCAATTGGAATGGGTCGACTGGATTTGGATTTGATTTGGATATGGCTATGACGATGAGAGAGATGGTGATGGAAATGGAGACAGGACATGACGCGGGATATTGACGACGAGTCCGAGTCCCTGTTTATAAACACATACTGTTCACTACCCTAGGTACTCATACACAGTATGGAGTACGTACCTGTATAATGATAATGATACTGGCAACGATACTGGTAATGATAATGATAATGGCAACGATACTGATACTGATACTGGTAATGATAATATAATGGTAATAATAATGGTAACTATAATCAATCAACCAACGTCTCAAGTCACTGGCCTTAGCCCCTGAGCCTCTCTCACGTCAACGTTTTCCAATTCTCCAGTGCAGTGTTCCACCCTATCCCGTGGTGACCAGGTCGCCTCCCTCATCTGTTCTATCATGGCAAAGGTAGATTGATCGATCCCCTTTGGCTTTGGACGAGGTATTCGTTAAGACAACCAGCTATACTTGAAAAAACAACCAACTACACTTGGAAACGTAGACACCCATCTAGCTCATTAGAGTCATTCATCCATGTCTTATGTACATCTAGATGTACAATATGTCAATCTGTCCTCTGTTGGTATCTAACATACCTAGGTACACATACTAGTACACTATAGTACCTTGGGGAGAATACTGACTACACTTGAAGACGTATACAGACCCAACTAGCTTATTATAGAGTTATTCATTCCCTGTCTTATGTACATCTATCTGTACAATAGGTATGTATGTACTCTGTCGGCATCTAACATACCTAGGTACACATACTAGTACTAGTACCTTGGGGGAAATGCTGGCCTGTATTCGCAGAGAATGTTTTATATGCTGGATTGCTTTATCGTCCTGCTCATGTCTCAGGCGTGAAGGAGCAGTCTGACTACATCCATCGCCCTTAGCACGCAATCCATAGCTCGCGCGCACATGCCAACCACTTTTCCAGGAGTCATGCGTCATGCGTCAATGCCGTCTCAAGACTTGCTAACAGCCTCTGCCTTCCTCTTACTCCACCTCCACCCAGCAGATAGAATTCTCCATAAGCTGGCCTTAGATAGACATTCCATAAGCTGGCCTTAGATAGACATTCTCCATGAGACGCCTTGGATCAACCTGAGGCACCAATCTTCTCCTTGGGCAAAATAGCAAATACCGTCCCCAGTACAGCCAATACACTGCAGATAATGACAAGAAACCAATCGACGACACGTTCGACCAGACCAATCTCCTTGCCATCGCTGAAGATCTTCAAATAAAATGCGATCGGTAAGATGATGCAGATGGTGAAACAGAACGCCGAACCCATCAGCGCCATGATGCTGTCGAAGTCGGGAAATCCGATCGCAATGCAGAGCGGGACCATGTTGACCAGAATGGCGACCGCACCACGCCCAGCGCGGTGTTTCCAGTTCTTTTGACTATACAAACGCGCCTTGGGGTCCATTTCACGTAAATCAATGCGGAACTTCTTATTCAGTGTATCCATGATGGGTCGATTGGAGAGCGGCACTTTGGTGACAGGGATGATGCAGATAAGCACCACCAGGATAAAGGAGAGGGCATGCGGATAAGACGTGTCGCGGAGAATGTTGGACGTAACTTCATCGCGCACCTTGTCGCCAAACATCAGATAGCCGAGCACCGCCATCGATATATCCAGGCCGTAGGTGAAGATATAGGTGTTTTTGACAGCGCGACCATATTTCTGGGGATGCCGCATGTCCTTATAGATGGCCGGGAAAACACTGTGGCCTCCCCACGGAGCCATGAACAGACCCAAACTGAGAGGTAATGTCCTCCAATCTTCGGGAAAGGCGTATGTTTGGGCCAGATCCCTCAATGACCCTGGACTGTGGGGCTTGATCAGACCATCGACAAAGACAATTATGATGATTCCAAAGCAGCAGAAAATCCCAATCACACTGGTGACGCTCAGAGCCCGAAATGGTACAAAGTTCAAAGGAATTAGACCTAGTGTAAGAAGAATTTTCCACTCGTTCAACCCTAGGCCGGAGAGAAGCGAGTTCATGCTGTCAGCGAACAAAATGACCAAGGCAACATTGGCTGCCGTAAGTTCCAGAATGAAGATTGCCTCTACAGAATTCCTGCCCCAGGTATCAAATGCAAGAAAGGCGATATCGCCATATGTGGTCGAGCCGGTGTTTGTATCGAGGCACTTGGCCAGGAGCTTCGCAGTGTAGGCGGTAGTGATGGCAGCTAGAGTGAGCAAACTGAGCCCGATGATCCAACCTGAGTACCTGAGACCGAGTGGAAGGGCCAGGATTCCCACGCCAATCAGGACATTGGTGGAGTTGAAGACCGTCATTGGCACGGTGGACTCGCCCACTGTGCGTGTGACAACCTCACCGTCCGGAAGAACCTCTTGTTCGAGCTCCCTCGGAGGTTCGTCCTTGAACTCTTCTGGATGTTCCCTTGCTCGTCTGTTGGTCTCTTCTTGCTCGGCAATGAGAATCGACGCTCGTCGCTGGGCAGCAGGTGTCAGCCTCGAAGATATGCTTCCATAGCTTGTCCCCAACTGGTTAGCTAGCAATGGAACGGATCCTAGCAAGCTAGTGGGGGACTTCTGAGCTTGACGTTGTTCCTGGGGAAGCAACCGTGACCCCTCTGTTATCTCCTCTGCCTCGGACTGTTCATCCTGAAGAGCATCCTCACTCCCGTTCTGGATATGGTACGCGTCCAACTGCTCCCTCAAAAGTGACCGACTCTGTTCTGGAGTATTTTGCTCGCCAGATTCCCCGCCTTCTTCGTCGTCATCAGCGAGACTGATGGACAATCTCCGCACAGGTGTGATCTCCCGAAACGCCGCAGCTCTTTGAAGTGACTTGGCAAAGTTGTCAATGCTGTTTGGCCCTCCCAAGTGCCGGAGACTGTCAAATTTCCTCCCGATGGAAGAAGTTCGCCTTAATCCGGATGCGTTTCCTTCGTCTATATTTCGACCCTGCACCAGGTGTGTAGTCGGCGTGGAGGAAAACGGTGCGTTCCGCTGTCCATCTTCGGGGACGGATTCAAGGGAACCGAAGGAAGAAGCCCGTCCACTTTCGTAAGCATTCCAGCTCGTTGGGAGAGGCGGTCTGTTTCGATAGCTCATTCTGCTCGGTGGCGGGCAACTGTAAACACAAGAGAGTAGTAAGAAAACAAGAGCTCGAGACTCGCCAATCTAGAAATCAAGACATAGTGGGAGAAGCGGAGGACTTGGAAGAGATAGGAAAGAGACACAAACACCGCAGATGACCGCCAGCAGCTATAAGATAATGGGCAAATGTAAAAGCAACCGAGCAGTGCAACCGGAGGTCAGGACCGATGATAACTAGGGGCAATCCATGATAGCCATGGTGCTCCCAGGCACGCGATAGGCGCGTCGAAATGAGATGCAGATAGTGGTCTGGGCGGGACAGCGGACCACTGGCAGATCTACGCAGTTCTTGTTCCGGGGGCCAGTTAGGTGCCAGTGAATGTGATGATATGCATATCATACCATTTGGGACTCTATTTACTACGTACCCATCTATCTACTGAGTACGGAGTAGGTAGGTAGATAATGACTCTGTACACGGGACCTGTGCAGTAGGTATCTAGCTCAGCATGTGTGCTCCTTCAAGCGACTTTTTCAAGCTCCCACTCCTCGACTCTGCGCAGCTGCTGGTGGCCGAGGAGGAGACTCGGAATGGATAATTTATACTCCGACCACCAATGACCCGCTAGGTTCCCTTACGCGTTCTTCAAGCAGCCAATCGATAAACCATCTTCCAACCATCCAGGGATATCAGCGACTTCAAATCTTAGTACTTTGCTACTTCCCACAGGACAACCATGTTCGACTGCATCTCACCGGCTCACTAGTATGAGGAATCGACCAAGCAAAGCTTTCCCGCAGGATGGCTACAACTATAAACGGATACCTGCTTACGCCCCAGATTGCTAGAGGCCGTGACTCTCGATATAACTGCTCGCCTTTCCCGATGGATCGAAGGCACCTTGTACGATGCTACCCATAAAGAGAACAAACGGGACTGTCTCTCTCCCATTTCCACCGGGCTCTCTTACCTCCAAAGATCGTGCCAGAGATAGACTCTAACACCATGGCGGAACCAGGAGAGAGCGCATCCGTTGCTCCCAGAACTATTCCGCCTGGTAGTCCTCCGAAACACCGAAACACCTGTTATATGGTCGTTTTCTGAAAGTCGAGACTCGTCTCGGTACAATACCCCTGGCAGTCCTTCGAGACGTTTTTTCACTTCTTTATGTTTCCATGGCCCTTTTTGTCTGGCCCAGTTAAAAGAAATCGACCCTGCTCTCCTTGGTTCGTTCGTCAATAAGTCTTACTGGTCGGAGAGTGTATCCTCGGCGGGCTTCTGGATTTTCGACCGCAAGAGAAGTGAGCTGTTTGTTGGTGGCCTCGGCCTTTTCCTGAGCCATGTTGACATGCTTGTCTTTCGTAGATCCCCTGCATCGCTCCCAAGAGAAGAGAGCTGTTCGTTGGTTGCTCTGGCCTGTTCTTGAGCTATGGTGGCATGCTTGTCTGGCACCCTTCCTTCTTGCTTCCACCATCATCTCTGTTGTCTATAGGAGCCTGGGCGTAGTAGTCCTCGAACTCAGGTAACCTTGACAGGTATTGGAGGGGACGTTGATCTGCCCGAAGTTCACATCAGTGTGGATGTTCTCCATATCAACATCCTCAGTGTTTGCGGTCAAGGAGCTAAAACAAAACAAGAGCAACGAGAGCCTGGTGAGTGCCGTCGAGGTCAGTTTCAGAGGACCTCTTTTCGTCCACCCATGTGTTGCCGTTTCCTGTCTCTGTGCATGGTGCGGCCCTACATAGAGCATAGAGTAAGCCCACGAGAGTGCGGCTATCGGGTTTGAGTCAGAACATATTTTTTGGAAGTACAAAAAAAAAGAAGTGCACGCCGGGCTGAACCCCAAACTGTTTATGTAACGTATGGTTCGAACCCGCCTGAACAGATAGAAAAAAGTACTTCTTACTAAAAAGAAATGTTGAAATGTCCGCGCCGGGAATCGAACCCGAGCCTGCTGCTAACGAATGAAATGGAAGGCAGCAATGATACCATTTCACCACACGGACCGATTATTGGGCTGATTTGAGGAATATTTTCGGTGGTAAGTCTTATGAACCTGATTACAAAAACCTAGCGAGTGGATATGAAATAGCCAATAGGACACATCGAAAGTCGCGGCCTCCGACAATCTTGGGACAATCTGGTAGCGTGAGCATGTGACCTGCAGCCCGACGAGTTTTCGTCGGCCTACGGCATTGCATTCACAACGTTATTATCACATTATTATTGTCAGGCATCTCTTACGCCAGCGCCACAGTCGTGCGTACACCACTGGACTGGCACACCGCAGCCCACCAACAACGGGCTCCATCCACTGGGCGACTCCCACGACCTCACTCATTTCAACGTCACCCAGACTCACGCTCGACAACTCCTCACACTCATCTATATCTTCCAATACTTTTCTGTCCGGAAACTCAACGTGCGAGCAGGCCGCCTTTGGTCGGTCAACCCTCCGCAAACATGAGCGCTCCACAGCAAAATGAAGCCGAAAAAAACATCGAGATCTGGAAGGTCAAAAAGCTCATCAAACGCCTTGAGGCTGCCCGGGGCAATGGGACATCCATGATTTCCCTCATTATCCGTGAGTGCCAGCCTCGCCTGCTGCGAGTTGTGTAAGAAGCTAACCGTTGTGTCTAGCGCCCAAGGACCAGGTCTCTCGAGCGGCCAAAATGTTGGCTGAAGAATTCGGTACCGCTTCCAACATCAAGTCCCGAGTCAACCGCTTGTCCGTCCTGTCTGCCATTACTTCGACCCAGCAACGATTGAAACTGTATAACAAAGTGCCACCAAACGGCCTTGTTGTCTACTGTGGTGAAATCATCACCTCGGAAGGAAAAGAAAGAAAGATCAACATCGACTTTGAGCCCTTCAAGCCCATCAATACCTCCTTGTATCTTTGTGACAACAAGTTTCATACGGAGGCACTGAGTGAACTCCTCGAATCGGACCAAAAGTTTGGCTTCATTATCATGGATGGTAATGGTGCCCTCTTTGGAACCCTGAGCGGCAACACAAGAGAAGTGATCCATAAATTTTCGGTGGATTTGCCCAAGAAGCACGGTCGGGGTGGTCAGTCTGCTCTACGTTTTGCTCGTCTCCGAGAAGAGAAACGTCACAACTACGTGCGGAAAGTTGCCGAATTAGCCGTGCAGAACTTCATCACCAACGACAAAGTCAATGTTGCCGGCCTGATTCTGGCCGGTTCCGCCGACTTCAAGACTGACCTAGCCCAGTCCGACATGTTTGACAATCGTCTTCAGTCCAAGGTCATCAAGGTTGTGGACGTCTCCTATGGAGGTGAAAATGGGTTCAACCAGGCGATTGATCTCTCCGCCGAGACTCTGAGCAATGTCAAATTCATTCAAGAAAAGAAGCTCATCGGCAAATACTTTGAGGAGATCAGTCAAGACAGCGGCCGAGTCTGCTACGGTGTGGAGGATACTCTCAAGGCACTTGAACTCGGCGCGGTCGAGACCTTGATTGTCTACGAGAACTTGGACGTGACTCGCTGGGTTCTGAAGGCTTCAGATGGCACCGAAAGGATCTTGCACACTAGCAAAGCCCAAGAGGCCAATCGTGAGCAATTCATGGACAAGGAGACGGGTCAAGAAATGGAAGTTGTTGACCAAAATTCGTTCCTCGAATGGTTGGCCGAGAAATACAAGGATTTTGGGGCTACGCTGGAATTTGTGTCTGACCGTTCCAGCGAAGGCAACCAGTTTGTGAAGGGGTTCGGTGGAATCGGGGCTATTTTGCGATACAAGGTCAACTTTGAACAGTTGGCTGACGGTGATGACGAAGATGAGTTTTACGATGATTGACAATTCAATGAACTCGCAAAGGAAAGCGAGGAGCACTCCCCAGGCGGCCAGCAGAAACTCTCCGGCAGCTTGACGGCAGCTCCCAGCTCGGAGCGTCCACACGATGCCATCACGTCCGGGCCACGGCACGGGACCGGTTCTCATGTGGATCCGAGCAAGCCACGTCTCAAACATTTCGACAAGTTAGGCACAAGCAACGGTGCATTTGAACGCGCCGAGCGAGCAAACGCGCCGCCGGCAAGACAAGATCTCGACCTGGTCCATGGTAAGTCTGCACCTTCCCTAGACTACGGTGCATTGTTCTAATCCTACCGTTGCAGGACGATCCAATCTTCGTAACATGGCAATGATTTGAGTTGGAGACGGCAATCAGCTCCAGTTGCCTGGCCAATCTTGTCGCGGTGTGCCCGAGCCATCTGCGATGATTCGAATACCTGGCTACATGGTCGACGCTGGAGTTGAAGTAAGTCCAACCCACCAACTGCTGTCAAGTCGAATGGCAATCATGGTCGCTTCAAGACGTGTTTGTCGCAGGCAGTATCATCACAAGGATGTCGACTTCGTTTGGGAAGAGGGTCTCCCAGGCGCGCTGTCAAGCAATTCCTTTTTGTTCTCTCAGTCCTTACTGAGCCAGTCACTCTTTTCACTAAGCTCGAAATTTTTGTTGGTTATATCTCAGGGGACAGTTCTCAGTTCTCACGAGCGTGGCACTACAGATTGAACTCTGCAATCGGGTCAGCTCCCGAACTGGATTCCCAGGCCCGATCAGGCGGCCACGTCCATAGGCCTCGAAATATGTCGTTACTCAAATAGTCAATCCTACTCGGTGATTTTGGGCCCCAGGTCAAGGTTCCACATGTGTAACGCCGCCTCGTAGCCGATCCTCAAATCTGCCGAGATACCTCAGACTCCCCGTGAACTTTTGCAGGTCTAGAAGCATATTGGTCAATTTCTGCTCTCGGTCGTTCTGCCCCCCTCGGACGGTGTCCGAGGTCTCTTCACACTCGACAAAGAAGACGTATTGCCAGTTGCGCTTGCGACTGGGTCTTGTGTCGATGCTCGTTAGGTTGAAAGAGTATTGTTTGAACACGGCCAATGCGTCGGCCAGACTGCCTGGCCTGGTGTGGTCGATGGTGAAGGTGATTAGGGATTTATAATACCGGGGATTGGTATGATGCCCAAGCTGTGACGGACTCGACGGCTCTTGCTGGTGGCCGTGACCAACATCGGAAGCAAACAAATCTTGACCTTGACCAAGGCCAGGGCCAGAGCGACGCTTCCGGTTCCGCAGCACGAAGAACCTGGTTGTATTCGATCCTGGTTCGTCCTCGATGTTTTCTGCCAAGCAGACCAGATTATGTTTCTGGCCGGCAAGCTTGGATGCTATAGCGGCGCTGATGCCAGTCCCGCCGTTGGAGCTGGCATTGGTCTCTCGCGCGACGAGCTGCGCCGCGGCCGAAGTGCTGCCCACATCGATGCGTTCCACCACGTTGGACGGGAACTGTGAGGCCAGGAACCGTCCACATTGGCCCCAGACCTGCGGGTGGGTGTAGAGAGTGCGGATCGACGTGGTCGGCCCCAAGGCTCCCGAGGTTCTCGTTGCGGCAGTGTTCGCTGTGTTGTCGTCGTCTGGCGTGGATTTGTGGTTGTGCTTGTGCTCCGACGACGGCGCGACAAACAAGCAGTGGTGGACAGGGAGGTAGTACTCGGCGCAGACTTCCAGGTCGGGATACAAGGCGCCAGCAGTAGAGTCGGGGTCGGAGCCGGGGTCAGGGTCGGATTCGAGACCGCACTGGGCGAGCAGGTCGAGAACCTGCACTACAGAGCCGTTGGTGCTGTTTTCAAAGGGGGCCACTGCGTAGTCGTAGTCGTAGTCGTACGATGGCTGCTCCGTCTCTTTCTCCAAGCTTGAAGGCGAGCATGTGCTCTGGATCGCCGAGAAGATGGCCGAGAAGGAGGGTAAGGGGTGAAGCCTTACAGGTCTACCAGCAGCGGTGGCAGAAGTGGAGGTGGAGGTGGAGGACGAGGTCGAGGACGAGGTCGAGGATTGTCGAGGCGTGAAGACTTCAATGGCTGCTTGGTGTGAGAAAGAGGCTTCGGGCCCAAGGTACGCGACGTTCAATGGGAGGCCATGTTCCGGCATGCTTGAAGTAGTTCGCCCTTCGACCACTTGGCAGGGAACAGACACTGGGCAAACACCAAACTCACTCAGGAGGCTGAGGCCGTTGTGATGGAGTGTTAGGAGGCTGCAGTGATGCGGCGGGCCGGGGCCTTGAACTTGAAGTTTCTCCAAGTTTTGCGTGTCATGTCTGTGTGGCCTGCGGAGTGCTAGTAGTAATTAGTACGCATTGCATATCCGTACGGCGTACACAGCCGATTCAGGGCTAAGGCGTCATACTGTAACCCCACGCTCGCAGCACGACACATATGACATATGTACAGAGTATCCGTACAGAGTATGGAGAACGCTACACCACCACGACCATTCCATTCCATCAGATCTCAGACAACTGAGGCAAGCATTGACGGCGAACACAACTTCTCAGTAGCATAGCACAGCTACCTCAGTCACCTAAGGCACACGCAGACCAGAGCAGACTTCGACTGAACCTGAACCTGAACTTGAACCTCGCAACCATGAACGTGCCGAAATTCGACGAGCGCGAGAAGGCCCTTGAGAACGAGTATATCCGGCGCAAGGAGTACGTTACCTACCTAAGCCACTTTACGTTCCAGCATCACTGTTGACGTGAACGTGATTTCCATTTCACGTTCCAGCATCACCGTTGACGTGAGTGTTTGGGCGCGGTTCTAATCAAGACGTGTGGTGCCAGGGCAGAGAAGTTCAAGCCTGCAACTGCCCAGCCGGGCGGTTCGGGGCAGGCTGGCAAGCCACCGCCAACACAGAATGTATGTACTGTTGTTTCAAGCTGCAGAGTTCCAAGGGGTTCCCGTTGTCCCAAGCTGCAGAGTTCTAAGGTTCCTTTCGTTTGTGGGTTGGCAAACTAACTGACTGACTGACTGACTGACTGATTGACCCGCACCATATAGGCTGAGGCGAAGAACTAGAGCAGAAAAGGACCGGCCGTGATGTGATGTGATGTGATGTGATGTGATGGTGATGTGATATGATGGCCCTTCAGTAGTGAGAGAAGAGAAACATGTTGATACTCCGTACATGCAATGCACCGCCGAAAGATGTCGATATGGAGCTGGACTCGAGTTACGGCATCAGTGTCAATACTCCCTGGACATCAGTATACGGATCTCTCTCATGTGTGATGCCTACATCTGTCTCCTTGTGATCGCTACCAAGGACATTCGAGCGCAGTCTGGTTCTGGTTCTTGACATTCGAGCGCTGTCTGGTTCTGGTTCTTGTTTGTGGCGGTAAATGGGTTTTGGCCGACTGGAGGATCCTAGTGGTAGGAGGCAATTCCTGCCCTCGATCGTGGTTGTGTTGCCTCCAATACTAGTAGCAGGAAACAATACTGTGCAATCTCATCGAGGGTCGAACCTCACTGTTCTGTCAGCATTGCATTGGACTCTGGCTGGACAGGCTGGCTGTATACGCGTAGCCCAGTGCTGGTCAATTCTAATCGTACGACTACGGTACGCCGCCTAAGGAGCCCCTAAGCCCTAGAAAAATGGTGGGCGTCTATGTGCGGACGTCAGCCCTCAGGCAATGTATCCAAAGCCGCTTCCCCTGCAGACGATCCAAAAGTCCTTTACAATCTCGTTCGTCTTGCGCCCGCCGCGGAGGCTCTCGACTTGACCCAAGAATCGGGTTCTCTGGTCGAGCGTGGTGGCCTTGAGGGCCTTTTCGCTCATGACCCCGGACTCGAGCTTGACGGCCTCCCGAAGCACGGCTTTGGTGAGCATGAACTGTTTCTGCACAAACTTCTTCAACGGCTCCGTGATGCTGTCGATTTCCGATCGAGCACATTCGCCTCCGAGCAAGCGCAGGATCAGGGAGAGGATCCGAGGCCCGAACCGGTGCAGGACATTGCCGACTTTCACGCCCACCACGGGGTCGAACGCCGTCAATGCGTCCGGGACGGTGAAGTCGGCAAAGGCTGCGAAGAACGAGGCCGCCGCCCGCCGAGGTAAGGTGTCGGAGTCGGCCAAAACAACTAAACCCATCTCGAAAGTCACCGCCGCCGTTCCTTCGCTGTCCTCCAGCCCGAACCAAACGGTGCCCCATTTCGTCACCAAGCGAGCGAGGAAGTCGAGCGAGCTGGACGCGAACGTGTTGTTGGGCAGTTGGCCGGATCGTTGGAATGCCGAGAGGATCTGCTCCTGCCCGGAGCAGACTAGGTAGACAAGCTTCCTGACGGCTGCCGGCACGCTGTTGGGAGCGATTGAGGATAGCAAGCTCGACGCGCACGCCAAGGTGGCGTCGATGGCCGGGTTTTCGAGATGGACCAGTTCACAGATGAGGGAGAGTGCGCGCGGGTCTGGAAATTTGAATGGTGACTGATGCTCCTCGGGGAAGCCGGACTTGATGAAGTCACAACAGGCCTCGATGAAGACGTTGTCGACGTGCGCCTGCATCTTCTTGAGAGTGGCGTCATACAGACTCAGAACGGAATGCTGGACCTGTGCGCCGGGGCCTTGGGTCCAGAAGTCCACCTGTCCCGGGCTGTGAGACGCTTCAAGATCCACGGGCACATCATGGGGCGAGCGCAGGCCTTTTCCGACCCAGGCCAATGTCTGCATCACGTCAATACAGGCTCTCACCAGCTCCTCGCCCTCTAGGCCTTGGTCGTCAATCACAGCCAAAGCCCGCGCCACTGACGCTATCAGCTGCGACAGGGGCTCGACTTTGGCTTCGTCGCTCGGAAGAGCTTGAATGATCGCACTCACGGCAGCGTAGATTCGGTGCCGTTCTGCCTCGCCAAGGTCGCCTATCGTGGCAAGAGATTCCAAAAACTGCGAGAGCCCCTCGGTCAGGGTGGATCGGTGTGAATCGCATAAGCTGTAGATGGCCCGCGACGCCGCCGTGGCAGAGGTCTGCAGGTGTAATGACGAGAAGAGGAAGTTCAGGACCACGACCAAACTGTCTGGGTGCCGTTCCAAATACCCTTCGTTCTCCGTGATGAATCGGATTCCCGTCTGGCGGGCTCTGTCCGGAACGACAGGGTCTGATCGGAGCAGGTATGTCCACGGCTGACTCGCCAGCACCGTTGTGATGAGGCCGTCGTACCTCTCGGGATCGGATGACATGGTGTCGGAAAACGCGGCAAGACTAAATGTGGCTGCTTCGAAGGTGCTCCAGTCTGGCGAGGGCCCTTGTGACAGGATCTGATTGACAATTTCTTCGAGCAGCCCCGAACCGAGGACGGTGAATGCGGACAGCAAGAAATCTTGCACGTCATACCGAAAGTCCTGGAACTTCAGTCGCTCGTCGGTATCCCAGTCTTGAGTCGCGCTCGACATCTGTTCTGGCGGAAGCTTGATCTTTACCAAGCATGCCTGACACGCATCAACCGCTAAGGCTTCCACAAACGGCTCCGCCTCGTCATCATTTTCCCAGTCGGAGGATCCTTCAACAATCTCGCTGATTTTCTCCAGAGCAATCTGGCACACTGGATCTTCGATGACCGCCACTCCTTCACAGCGCAGGAGCTGCTGCAACGTCCGGATGATTCCCTCGTAGAGACCAGTATGGAGGTAGTCCGGTTTGGTGATGTCAACCTGACTCATGATGGTCTCTAGCAAATCAACGTAGAGAATCCCGTCGGAATCGAAGTCGCCATGCGTCAGGCCATCCACCATTTCTTCCGCCCTTCTGGAAGCTGTCAGACTGGCTGGAAAGTTGGGGATCGATTCTCGAAGAAGTTTGGGGGAAAATTGCTGCAGAGAAATGAGCATTTGAAGGACAGGCCCGGTAAACGGACGCTCCTCCAGCCAACTGCTGGTGGTTGCAATGCATTCTTTGGCCATAAGTTCTGGATCTCGCGTGGAAGTCTGGTACTTTAACAAGCTGGCCCAATATGGTGTCGCCTGAACAACCAGATGAAACAACTCCTCGGGGTGATTCGCAGACCCGGGTCCGTTCCCCGCCAATCGAGCAATACAGAACCGGAACAGATGCCATGCATCTGCACAGTTCGCGGCTACGCGTGTCAGGAGCTTGCTTTCCTCAACCGAGCTCTGGGGATGGCTGCTCAGATCTTCCGCCACGATAGCAGCAACCATGAGGACGCCCTTGAGCTGCTGATCTGGACACGCCTCTGCGTGGTCCAGCAAGAGCGCCATTTCTGGCAAGTCGTTCTCGGCGACATAACGTCCGCTGATGAAGCATGCCAGCACCTGCCTCAAGGGATATCCCCAGCCTGAATCTGATCTGACGAACAGCGCTGCCAGGGTTGAGCATAGTTTTCGGAGGACGTAGTTTACATCTGGTAGATTCACAAGCCGCGTGTAGTTGGTGATGAGAGCTTCAAGCAAGTAGCTCCTCATCCCCTCGTCTTTGCCTAGATGATCGTTGTCCCTGGCCCGTGGTCAGCAGAAGGAAGGCAGAGACTGCATCGGCGGCAGTGTGATGTGCTCACCAGTCGGCATTGATCTTGATGGTCAAGGTCAGCGCCCCATAGAAGCGTAAAATCGCTTCTTCATTCTGCAACAGATCAAGGCCAAGTTGCCACGCGGTCTTCTCTCGTTGGAGCCGCTGGATCTGTCTTTGGATCTCATTGATGCGTTCGGGAGCGGACTGATTGCTGGGGTCATTGAGCTGTCTGATCAACGTCTCCATGTTGGCGGTAGCGAACATCGCAAAGAGGCATGGCTTCTCGGATGAATGCAAGAGAAGAGATCCTGGAATGGCAGACACTGAGATGGAGGTGCCGGGCGATCTAAGAGTCCTGCATCGTGTGTTTGTGCCCGTGTTTGTGCTTGTGCTTGTGCTCCCGAAATCTTCCTAGGATTCTTGTCTTGATGCTGCAGTGTTGTATCGGTGGAGAGATGCCTTCACTAGAGTCTCCATCAATCTCAAGAGAACCAGAGGTCGTGAGAGTGCAACGGGGCCAGTACGAATGCTGCCAGAATTTCCAGGAGCTGAATTCTAGATGAGGGCGAGGTGAATCCGATGTTGGCTGTACGGAGTACAAAATCGTCGCCTGCCGCTTTTAACGGTCGCTCTGGGGTTCATCTTGTCGACATCAGATTGCGTTCCTGCATTCGAGGTTTGCGTGGCGTAGACCTGCGGGATCGTCTGGAGAAAAGCACCAAGCCGAAGCTCTTCGAGCACAATGAGCGCGTGCCACTCAACCCTGTCATCTCAAGCACAGCCTGATCCCTGAGAGCCTCAACTCACCCCACGAGTACTCCGTACTGTTAAAGAGGCAAGAGATCAACCACGTGAGGTCAGGCTCTCGTCGCCCCGTTTGGGAAGGGACGTGATGCCGCTCTGTGCTCAGCCCTGTGCTCAGCCCTGGCTGGCTTCTCCTGGCGAGACGTGGACTTTGATCGAATACAATCACTATCACGAGGCTCTCTTTTGTCCAGATCCTGTGGGCCACATAGCCGTTGTCTGGGATAAGGACATGCAACTGCACAATATCAACCGCGGACGTGACGTTGATTGGATAGGTACAAGCACTGCTATTACACAAAGGCATTTCGATGCTATCACCCGAATCCTCTGCAAAATCCAATCATGGATAGCTGGGCTTGATGAGAGGATATAGCAGATTCAAACCGGGGACTCCTAGACCCCTTAGCCGGCCTGTCTCTCGCATAAAGGATCTGAACCGTGATATCTCCACCGCGAGTTCTGAATTATGCCAGGCTGTACCCATGATGTCCCCGAAATACTCTAAGAAAAAACGTCTTCAGTCCTTTTCGGAAGAAAATTCCCACGATAAGGGTAGCAAGGACACCAGCAATCCCACAAGCAAGAGCTATTTTGTTGGACTCCTTGGCCAGGCCAATGGCTTCGCTCGTAGAGGAGTTGGACGTGGGGGATGCCGACGAAGAGGAGACGGAAGAGGCAGTGGTGGTGGTACTAGTTGAAAGGGTGGAGGGAGAAGTGTTGGAGGGCGGCGATGGAGGTGCCGTTGCTGGCTCGGTAGATGTAGAAGGGGACGATGAGGACGTTGAAGATTCTGGGGACGATATAGTACTGGTGGAAGGATCCTGACATGTGGATTGGCCGCCGTCTCCGTTCTGAATGATTTGCTGCGCATCGTACAATGGGTCAACATTGTATTCCATGCAGACATTGACAATCTGGTTCGCCGTGTTTGTCAGGGCTTCGCAGCCGCAGTTTTGCCAGACGTCCCGCGCGACACCGTCGAGGAAGCTGGCACTGGAACACAGGCATATGTCTTCCTCGGTGGTTGATTCGACGCTCGTATCCCCATAGTCGCATTCAGCCGGGGCATTGCTGTAAAGATAAGTCTGGGCGCACACGAGGTAGGGAGAAAAGTTGAAAGAGGCATCACTGAGCTGAAAGGTGCGGTATAGAACCAAGATGACTGCTGGCAATCGTGCAATCATGGCTGTTGGGAGAAGAGCCATTCTGAATATCGAACCTACCGTCGGGGAGAAGAAGCTGCATGGTGGTGCAGGGCCCCTTATCAGGAAGATGCGGGCGTTAGGCTGACCAGCCTTAGATCGATGAAAACCACCACCACCACCCCCCTGCACCAACCCAGCCAGCCTAGACCTGGACATACGAGGCTGATGTCTCAGCCGCCCGTATTCCAGCCGCCCTGTCAAGCACGCTCCATGTTGATTAGCCCATCACATGCTGGGCCCATCTCCACCACCACCTACATAACAAGGATCGGGTTGGAACGATCAATAGTGTGCGCCCTCGTGGGTGTGGCAAATCGAGACATAAAGCAGCCTAGCAAGGTCCAGATTGCCGCGTTCGATCTCGCGCATGCAGTCTCATTGAATATTTGTTCAACTAGGTAACCAGGCTCGAGGTTCAGGCGCCGTTCGGTTGAAGCGTGAGTTGAAGGTGAGAAGAGGTGTGAGGAGGGTAAGTGACGAGCAGGCGGGGTTTAAAGCGGCATCGCTTGGGGAAGCGCCCACGTGACACTTCCTCTCATTGTTGAGCCTGGCCTGCTACTCGTACTGTAAGACCAGACTATCGTGACCATCGCCTCACAGTCTAGGAACACTACTTGTTATTCGATGCGCTGGTCATTCTGGCGTCTGCCCTCTCTGCTACGTCGGTCCCCGACCAGTACCCGGCCAACCTCACCGTTCCAGTCGTACAGTGTACGGTCCTTTTCCTTCTCAAGTTCCCTCCGAAGCGTCGATATGGAGACGGTAGACACCACAACGCAGTTGGCGCAATTGCGCGAGCTCATGCGCCAGCATAAACTGGATGTCTACATTGTCCCTTCAGAAGACAGTCATCAGTCAGAGTACATCGCCCCCTGCGATGCAAGGAGAGCATACATTTCGGGGTTCACAGGCTCGGCGGGGACTGCGGTGATCACGCTTGAAAAGGCAGCGCTGGCAACAGATGGACGATACTTCAACCAGGCCTCGAAACAGCTTGACAGCAACTGGCTATTGTTGAAGCAGGGTTTGGAAGATGTCCCGACCTGGCAGGAATGGTATGTCAATTCCCTGAGTTGGTTTCTCTGTGTTCAAGACTGAGCTGAGGCTAGGACTACAGAACAGGCCGAAGGTGGCAAGACCGTTGGTGTCGATCCCACTGTCATCACAGCTTCAGATGCCCGCAAGTTGAAGGAGACGCTAAAGAAGAAGTCCCAAGCCGCGCTGGTCGGTGTTGCGGAGAATCTGGTAGACGAGATCTGGAAAGAGAGACCAGCGAGACCGGCAGAGAAGGTTATCGTGCTGTCGACAAAATACGCCGGCAAGTCTTACAAAGACAAATTGGCAGACTTACGGAAAGACTTGAAGAAGAAGAAGGCTGCCGGAATGGTGGTATCCATGCTTGACGAGGTGGCGTGGCTTTTCAATCTGCGCGGCAGTGATATCCCCTACAACCCAGTCTTCTTCTCATATGCATCCGTCACCCCCAATTCGGCAACTCTTTACGTTGACTCTAGCAAAGTTGGCCAGGATGTGAAAGATCATCTCAGCGGTGTGGTCGACATCAAGCCTTACGACTCGTTATTCTCAGACTTGGCAAACATTGCCGAGACCGCTGCCGGCGAAGTACAAACAGACGAGGCCACGAAATCACATACCCCCAAACTACTTCTCTCGAACAAGTCATCGTGGGCGTTGAGTCTTGGCTTGGGAGGAGAAGAGAAGGTGGAGGAATCCCGGAGCCCTATTGCAGATGCCAAAGCTATCAAGAACGCTACCGAGCTCGAAGGAATGCGGCAATGTCATGTTCGAGATGGTGCCGCGCTGATTGAATATTTCGCATGGCTGGAGGATGAACTGGTCAACAACAACGCGTGGTTAGATGAAGTCCAGGCGGCAGACAAGCTCGAGGAGATCCGATCTAAAGGCGAGCATTTCGTCGGGCTATCTTTCGACACCATCTCTTCCACAGGACCCAATGCTGCAGTTATCCATTATTCTCCCGAGCGTGGAAATTGTTCGGTTATCGACCCCAACGCCGTGTATTTGTGCGATTCAGGAGCCCAATACCTTGACGGAACAACGGATACGACGCGGACTCTGCACTTTGGCCAGCCTACGGAAATGGAAATCAAGGCGTACACATTGGTTTTGAAAGGCGTCATCGGGCTGGATCGAGCCGTGTTTCCCAAAGGCACTACCGGATTTGCCATTGATGCCTTCGCTCGACAACATCTGTGGCGAGAGGGTCTGGATTATAGGCACGGCACCGGTCATGGCGTCGGTTCATACCTCAACGTGCACGAAGGTCCGGTTGGGATTGGCACTCGCGCTGCATATTCCGAGGTATCACTAAGCATTGGAAATGTCCTCTCCGATGAGCCTGGCTACTATGAGGACGGACGCTTTGGAATCCGCATTGAGAACGTGATCATGGCGAGAGAAGCGAAGACGAACCACAAATTCGGCGAGAAGCCCTGGATCGGGTTTGAGCATGTCACAATGGTGCCCATGTGTCAGAAGCTGATCGATCCGTCATTGCTGGATCCGGAAGAGAGAGATTGGCTGAATGAGTATCACAAGGAAGTGTGGGCGAAGACAAGTGGCTTCTTCACCAACGACGAGAGGACAACCAAATGGTTGAAGCGAGAAACCGCGCCGATATGATGGCAGACCATTTCGGTTCCACCAAGGGGCTGTAGAGCTCCCGTGTATGAGCTGTAGATTTGTGTTTTGTTACCTTCAATGTGGCTGACGGACAGCAATCCGAGAGCCATGAATTCATTCATCAAGATGCACCAGATACGGTGGTCAACCAACAACAGCGCGTCACAGAGAAGTCTCGAGTCGTCAAGTCGTCGAGCCGTCTTGAGAAAATTTCATTGAGCGCAGTAGACAACTCGACTGTTCTGCCTTCTCGAGGTAATAGCAAGCCGATGAAAGCGATGGTGGTAGTAAAGCATTAGAATTGAATCGAACCAAACCAAACCGACTTTTGGCTAAGTAGAATCGACATGAAGATAAATACATTCTTAGTACAGAGACTATTACATATGTACTCTGTACTCGATACATATAAGGATAGTATCCATCCATCTCACCTGGAAGCGCCGGGCTCTTGGTCGACCATCCACAACCCAGGTCGACGCGAGCGCTTGTATTTCTCCCATCGGGCCAAACATCAGCGTCTGGCCCCTGAACCTTCGCCTAATGATACATACCTAACCTTAGGTAGGTGCATACACTGCATGTATGTACTGCGTACCTAAGGCTTAGGTAGGTACCTAGGTAGGGGACCTGCAGGCGGTTGGACAGGTGTAACTGCAACTGCCACTGCAACTGTGACTGTAATACAGTATCCTCTACACAAACTGTATCCGTACGTAGGACCAGCACAAGACCGAGGGGGGAGTTTCATCCCCAGCTTGGCATGGGCATGGGCCTGTCGACGTCTTTGCTCCCTGTGTTGTGTTCCTTCGAGGATATCTGAGATACATAAGTGTCGTTTCAGGTCCTACACATCCATCCATACAGCTGGCTGGTCGGCTGGCTGGCTGGTCTTGATGAACGTCGCGCTTATCTCGGCTGCCGCAGAGGTACGGAGTACATACATAGGTACCTATAATAAATGCATACTGTATTGCGGTCGATGGCTAGTATTGCCCTGGCCTTGGCCGCGCTTACGGTCGTCCATTGAAACTTCGGCGTTCACATTCTGAGACGCGTGGGTGAGGCCTGCTTGATTGATTGATTGGCGTTGTTGATCTCTGCTCTGCTCTGCTCTGCTCTGCTCTGCTCTGCTCTGCTCTGCTCTGCTCTGCTCTGCTCTGCTCTGCTCTGCTCTGCTCTGCTCTGCTCTGCTGTGCTGTGCTGTGCTGTGCTCTCCTCTGCTCGGCTCTGTGCGAGTCGTCGGGGGTAAACATGGTTCATCAACGGCTATCCGTTGTGCCTACGGAATATCCGTACTCTGAATCCGTACACATACCTTCAGACCCTGAAAGGCCCTGGGGCAGTGCTTGTTGCTTGCTTGGGGGCCGAGAAGGCTGCAGCTTCCCCCTGCAAGCGCGTGGCACCATCAGATACTGTAATGTACTCCGTACGTATCATTTATCCGTCCAACTTCCTAGAGGCAGTTAGGGGCGCTTCCAGGAACATCGTGGCTGATCAGAGGCGAGGCAGCGACGGTGTCACAGGATGCAAGGTAATAGTCCAACATGAGTACTCCGTATGTGTGCTCTATTAGCCGTTGATTTCCCATTGCTTGCGTTCCCCATGTACTTCTCATATCACACATGGCAGACAGATCCATATCTTCGCATGATGGACGGCGCATGCGCACGAGCAGCATTAAACCCCTGCCTAGACCATTCTGGGCCAGCACGCTGACAAGACACCTCTCGGAGGAGCCTCTCCTCTCACGAGGCTATGGGAAGCCGGGCCGGAAGGACCGCGTGCCGCCAAAAGATATATATCTATTGTTGATCGAGTTAGCATGCCTCGTTGGCGGCTTGTTGACCGTCTTCTACTCCAGGTTGGCCATCCTGTTGGGACAAATCAACCAACTGATCGTGGTGGGCTTTCTGTTGGCTGTCATGTCCATGTGTCTTGAGGGCCAGGTCCTGCGCACCGCCGTCATTCACACGGCTATTCGGAGTGGTTCGACGATTCAAGACCTCGATGCCTTACTGCGCAAAGATCCTTTTGCATCCAAGGTCCACCTTGCATATCGTCTGCTTTTGTTATGTCTGATCGGCCTACCGCTTTTGTTGAGTGTCGGATACAAACGATTCACCGGAGGACAGAGTACAATCGAGGTGAAGAATGGAAATGGCTTCTTTGGCCTCTCATCCACCCCTGGAAAGCAGCGCATAGGCGACGGTCTGTCCATCTTGTCCGACGTCTACGTTCCGTTCTGGATCGACCCCGGCCTCAATCGAACATATGGCTTCAATATGTATATCGCGCCTGATAACAAGACCGCGGCCATCGTGGACTCGCCGTTTCCATCCTACTTGACCAGCCTTCAGTCGACTCTTCTGGGCGGCGAGACTCTGTTACTGTCAACCACGGTCAATGCAACTGTCTCGGAGATGGTCAACCCAACAGAGGCTGAGCGCAATAGTGAAGACTATTGGGCGAATGTGCAAGATGACTTTGATCATGAGTACGCGCTTAACGGCGACGATGTTCGAGGTGCGAACAACGCTCTTTGGGCTGGAATGAGTGGCAATTTCCTCACCAACTTTTCGGTCATGTACTTCGCTGCATGGAACACCACCAGGAACGAATCCTTTACGTCCGAGGCCATCCGCACTGAGCAGACGCGGAGAATGGCCAAAGCCACATGGCTGATCTCTGCATCCAATATTACACTCACCGAAACAGAGCTTATTGCAGACAGCACCCTGGCAAACCAATCCCTGGTGCAGGAAAATGCATTGGGCCTGCAAGAGATGTTCAGCAACTTCCTCGGCGAGTACGACTGGCACAATCGAGCTGCCGCATTTGATTTTCCATACCCGGCTCACCATGATGGGGAACTGAGATATTTCCAGCCAGTCAACACAGTGCCGCCACTGGCAGCGGCGATGGCTTGGGCACGCATCACCAGCTTAGATACCGTGGACCGACCGCAAGGCATTCAAAGCGGCGAGCTGAGGGCTCTGACAGGATACGACAAGGCGGCACAAGACATTTTGATAGTCAAGGCTGTTCCGACGCTGCGAAAACAGCCGCTGTTGATAGCGATCTTGCTACTCAACCCTCTGATCTCATTGACTTGTGTGGTGGTGAAAGCGTTATTCTTGTACGGAAGCCCGATCGGGGACCAGTTCAACACAATCTCGCTCTTTGCTGCAGCCGAGGGCAGTGACCTGAGTGCGATGAGAGGAGCGTCATTAACAGGTCATCTTTCTCGGGAAGTCACAGTGGCCTTTGACATTGAAAGAAGAGAAAGTCTGCTTGGTGGACAGGGTAGCACCGCGGGTGGACTTGACCAGATAGTCATGACGTTGGACCAGCCGGGCCAGACGCAGGGGAGGATTCGAAATGGTGTTGTATATTTGTGACGAGGTAAGAATATTGGAGACGTGATGCGTCGCGTAGACATTAAAGGTTGGGCAAGAAGCAGTTCTAGATGGAAGCGCTGGTCCAGGCGACGAGGCGAAGAGGTGGACGAATAATAATAACCTTCTATATTCTATACCACTTGACACGCATCTCCAACACCTCGCGTGTCGTCTCTTCTCACAGACGAATGCACCCCGAACATAATCGATTGCTTCCGCCGGCCGGAAGTTGCTCTCTGCGTCAGAGGAGATGTATAATGCGTCACCGCCTTGCTCACTGCTCCTTTCCTCGCGTCAAGTTCGTCCACAAGCATGAGTGGTAACAACCCTTACGCCCTCAACGGCCACGGAGGTCATCGCCAGTCTGGCGACTCGAATCCTTATGCTCCCACCAATGCCCCCAACACCGTGTCCGGTGGCCGGTACGCGGATCCCTATCTGAACCAGCAGAACAATGCCTCTTCTGCCTCCATCAATAGCTTCGGCTCCCTCGAGCGCAGGCAGAGATCGAACCCATATGACCAGCGCGACCGAGACTCTCCCGCCCCACCATCCTCAGGACGTTCTGGTTCAGGAGGAGGGTATGGTGGTCTTCCACGGCCAAGATATACAGATGCAAATCCACCGCCGCAGACCGACTATGACACTGGGCGGACAAGGACGCCTCAGGACTATGAACAACGGCCACAGCGGCCACCAACCCGAGACCGGGACAGATCCTACAATGAGACCAGAGATCGAAACGCAGGTGGCATGGCAGGCACTATGCCACCGCCACCCTCCTTGCCGCCAAAACCCTCTGTGTCCAGCTTGAACCAACAGAGTGCAGCAAATGGTTACCCTCCCCCTCCCCCTCAAAATGTCGTCAGACATTATTCTCCTCGACGACCACCTAAGAGAATGGAAGAAATCCTGCGTCACATCCAATCGGACTGGAAGGATATGGAGGGAGACGAATGCGTCCCGGTCAAGATGGCGCTCCGGCTTATGGATCCGAGCTCGTTGGGGTTGGCCGACAAAGAAGGCGACTTTGCCGATACCCATGTGGATTTGCAGAAGAGCTTGAAGACCGTGGTCAATGAACACTATGCCGACTTTAACAGCGCCGTGGGCACATATCATAAGATTCAGAACGCGATCAAGGAAAGCCAGACTCGAGTCAGGCTACTCAAAGGCGGGTTGATGAGCGTGAGAGGCGGAATGCTGACCACCAGGCCTGAGTTGCGAGGCCTCGCTGAGGAAAGCAGGCAGCTGGACGAGCTGCTAGTCACCCTCGGCAATATCGAGTCGTTGAAGTCAATTCCTGGAAAGCTTGAAGAGAAGATCAGTGAGAAGAAATTCCTGGGGGCAGTGGACCTGCTGATGGAGAGCCTGAAAAGCATCACCAAGAGCGACCTCGATGGTATTGGAGCCATCTCCGATCTCAGAAGTTACTTCGTCAGCCAGGAGAGTACCTTGCTAGACATTCTTGTTGAAGAGTTGCACGATCATCTTTACCTTCGCAGCCCTTACTGCATGGATCGGTGGAGAGGCACAAAAGCTAATGGAGAAGAAAGAGATCCCAAGGACAATCTCATAGGCGGTGGTGAGAATGCTTGGGACCGACCTTTCAATAACTACCTGAACAATGTGGATGTCGCATCTCCTATGATCGAAGACGCGTCCAAAAATCCCGAGGCCGACACTTTCTATTATATCCATATGATTTTGGAGTCCTTGAACAAGCTCGGCCAACTTGGCGAGGCCATCTCTAGGATTGAACAACGGATGCCGATGGAACTATACAAGGTGGTTGAAAGGACGAACACTGAAATTGACGCCAAATATCCCAGCCATTTGAGAGGCCGGCTCAACAAAGAAAGCCGAAAGGCCGTGCTTCTACATCTCAACGACGGCCGAAGCCAGGTGTTGTCCGACTTCCTTTACACTCTGTACTCCAAATTTGAGGCTATTGCGGAGAGCCACCGTGTACTCCATGAGATTGTTGCCGGTATAGCAAGGCGGGAGAAATTGGCCAAGCCGGAAAAGTACACCGGCGGTTTCAAAGAGTTGTGGAAACTCTACCAAATGGAGATGCGGTCGTTGCTACATGACTATCTGGCTACGGATGGCGACATGGTGATCCGGTCTGGCCTAACCACAACCTCCAGCAATGACATTTTTGCCCGTCCCCAGCGCGACAAGAACAAGAGGATGTTCAAACTGTCGGAGATGGACCAGAAATCAGCGGCTATGAAAGCTGAAGAGGAGGAGCTAGACGATATACTAAAGAGCTCGGTGCCTGGGTTGGTCAGCAAATCTCGAGCTCTGAACGGAACAGATGTCGCCTTGGAACGCAGCGGCCAGGACAGTTCGGCTGCCGGACACAAGTTGTTGATCGAGCCGGGCGTCTTCAACATGCCCGTTCTCCTGCCTCCGTCCCTGACCTTCCTGCAGCGTCTGAAGGATGTGGTGCCTCCTACCTCGCACATTCCGATGAGCACGCTAACATCATTTTTGGACGATTTCCTCATCAACGTCTTTCACCCACAGCTGGAAGAGGCGGTCACCGAGCTCTGCACCCAATGCATGATCGACTTGGAAGCCTTCTCAGAGGATGCTCACTGGTCCAAGCAGTCGCCACATCCAATCTTCAAAGGCACCGTATCCTTCATGGCATTGATCCGCGCCTTTTCAGGGATGCTGAGCTCGATCCCTCAAGATCAGATGTTCACGCAACTCATTATCAACCAGCTGGTCACATACTACGACAAGTGTTATGGCTATTATAAGGCCATTGTCAGCCGAGTAACGCCATCAGATAGCAATCCAAATGTCAACACGCTAACCCTGAAGGCGGCCGCTTCGCTCGCCCAAGCGGGAGAGGTTCATGATGCCGCTTTGGAGTTGCTCAAATTGGACAGATCGAGCAGCGAGGGTGTCGCACGGTCAAGGCTCATCGCCAGGGAGGTTCAGTCGCTGCTTGCGGCCACAAAAGCGAACCCTCTGTCCTCCTACGACATCATCTCTGATCCCAAATCGGTCCACCAACTCTCGTTGCTCTACAACAGCATGCAGTGGCTATCTGCAGCCCTTGCGAAGATCAGACAGGTCGAAACAAGTTCGCATTCTGGGCTGTCACATGCTCGAAGCGGTTCACAAAGCAAGAATGCTCGTCGGTGGACATTGATCACCACTCTCCGGGGTCCTACGAAAACACCGTCTCTGCCTGGCGCTGCCAATCCCATCTTCTTGCCTTTGACCTCTGAAACCGCCATTGCATTCGATCAGACCGTATCGTCTTTCCGAACTCTTGCACAGACCAGTTTGTTGACTTTGCATATTGACATCCGCTGCGGAATCATCCATCAACTGTCTCGCACACTCAGCGGGCCGGGTATGGTCAAGCCGACATCACCAATCGACAACCGGGACTCGTCTGGTTCCCTGCCACTTGATTCTGGCCTGTATCCTTATGTTTTGTCGGGTCCACCCAGCTCGGCCTCACCCCTCGTTCTTGAATTGAACAACGACCTTATCGCTTTCGATTCCAACATCGCCGCCTACCTGGGCAGGAAGGAGCGTGACTTTATTCTCTCGGGTCTCGCAAGACTGGTCGATCGGTATCTTGTCATTGCCGCGGACAGGATCGGGGTCATGAACGAGAATGGCGCAGAGAGGTTCAGGATCGATGCTATGGTCGTGCAGCAAAACCTCCGGGCCATTCTGGCCAGTACCAGTTCGGGCCACGGGAGCGACGCAGAGAAAGTCAGCGACAAGGGCAAACCCAATCCTACTGGTCTCGGTATCTCTACCGAGCCTTCTGCAGAGGATGTCGACGACGAGGATTCTGGGCTGCTGTTATCTTCCTCGCGATACATTGATCTCTTCCTTTCTGGTCCGGATTCAATCCTCCAGCACGTCCAAGACCGCAAGTCTCAAAAGAAGGACGTGGGATATTCATATGATGAGCTGAGGACACTGGTGGAATTGTGGTTCAGTGCGAAGTTGAGGGGCGAGGATCGCGAGGAGGCCATAAGGGCGCGTAAGAGCTTGCAGGACGTACTTCTCGCGCTGGGCGAGGGAATGTGGGATTCTTGATTCGAAGTGTGGCATGGTGGAAGGTCTGGCACGGTGATGGAAGTGAAATGCTGCGGCAAGTCATTTGTTCATGAATTTGCAATGTATGAGGGGCTTGATGTCTGGCGATGGCAGCAAAAGTAAGAAGGTACTTACTGTCCTGCAGTGTGAGAATGTATCAAGTCATCAAGATATTGTCATCTGCTGTCTTTCTTCTCCCTTCCCCCATGCTTCTTGCTGCCGATGATGTATGATGATATCTCGGGTCGTTCGTGTCTCACAAGTAGGTAATATGCCGTAATTTCAATTCGGATCGCTTGGAAAATAGATACTCGATTGACTGGCTGAATCTATATTTCCGTGGGCTCAGAGAGCCCACCAACACAAGCCAATTCAATCAGCTGCGTCGCGCTGTCTTTCGACCCGATCAGCGCAAGCGCATATCAAAGACTAGAGAGAGGTTGGTAAGTGTAGTCCTCCGGTCTCATTCGCCCAGGGCGATGTGGAGGCTGAAGCAGGCTTTCTGTTGTTCGGCTGTGACAGGGCCGGAGCGAGGGTCCGACCACTTGTTAGCGGCATCCTACTGTACTTTTCCATAACCAGGGGAGAAGAGAAATTTGCAGAACTGTGGGAACCTGCCTGGATCAAGTCTCGAGTTGAGTGTTATGTGTATCAAGGTCCTGTCGAGGGATGGGCTTTCTGGGCTTAGATCGAAAGTGCATAAACTTGGAAGACGTTTGCTGATTCTGGGCAGCCGCTGTCAGGTACCGAGTACTAGACCTGCAGAGTCACATCCATCCTGGGTCCGAAACACTGTGCTGAAAGAGGCGGTATGGGTTGATACATCCGCAACCCACTCTGAACCATTAGAAGATTTGTCCCCTTCTTGGGACGAGGTGTATTTTGCGGTTCTGCTTGCCGGTTTTTAGAAGAGAGCTAACATCACAGAAAGCCATTCACTTTTCTACTGACGACCTTCCATTTCCGTTGGACGGGTTGTCTGATTGGTGTTACCCTGTGGTTTGAGCCAAGTCGCCGTCGGCTCCGTCATCAGTCCTGTTGCACTGGTGTCCGGATCCGCGGGCCTCAAGGTGAACTTTGCTTTCTGCTTGAAGAAATTTCCCCGGTCGACCTCAGGCGAGAGGTGATTGATTCCTGTGGAAGGAAGCGGCGGCAGTTCTAATTTAATGCATTTCTGCTGACAGAAGCATTGTGGCCATGTAAATGAACAAGAGAATGCAGGCGTATTTGTGGCACCGCTTCGGTAGAGTCCACGGCCCACGGCCATGCGGATCAATAGTGAAGCCCAGCCGGATCTATGATCCTAGCGCGTATATTTAAGGGTAGCCCACGGGACCCGACTTGTCAATCTTCACCGTTGTCGACCTTATCCATCATAGAGTGGCATGCTGGTCGTGAATTGCGCTTGCGGAAGGCACTGAGAGCAATTGATAACAGCTTAGCGTACCTGAGAATGCGGCATCGTATACCTCGAGGCTATACGTGACAGACTTGGTCGCCTGACAGAATTGTGTGCTTTCAGCACTGGACGGAGCCTACACCTTGAAGTGGTGATGAACCGACATCGACAAAGTCCGGGGATTAACTGCGGAATCGACAATATCTCAAACGATATAGCACTCTTGGCAAAAGATCGTGCTGTTGAGGGGAACGGGCCTCGACTCTGGAGCCTGTTTCGACAATCGTTGTGCAGACGCCCACGTGGCCGATTGCAGTGTTGGCATTGTGACAGTCGGGCAGCAATAGAGGACGGGTGTTACGGGGCGGGCGGTCTCCCCGCACGTAAAAAGAGGTCTAGAATAGCTGGCATTTTGTGCCAGGATTCAAGTCTTTCGGGGGTATTCCCCCAAGTGAGCGTGGACCTCCCGTGACAACGGGTGTCTGAACGCCCTGGTCAGGACAGAATGTCAAACCGGAGGGACAGGGCAGATGGTTATGAACAGTCGAAATCTCGAGTGCGTATTGGACGAGCCTGTGACCGTTGCAAGCTGAAAAAGTCAAAGGTCAGTCATCCATGAGTCTTAAAGATGCAAGGGCCTGCTGAAACCTGAGAGCCTTTCAACAGTGCGATGGTAATACTCCGTGTTCGAGTTGCGTCGTAAGCGACAGCACTTGCGAATACAGTGTCCGACGACGACGGGAGGCGAGAGACTGGTAAGTTTGCTGGCAAATGTTGTGCAGACGCCATATCACAAGCCCTAGTTGAGCCTGTTTGTCCTCCCTAACCATTTTCGTCAACCAGGTATTGGGGAATGCAAGACGTCATGGACGAAGCGTTGCAAAGACTCTACTGGGCCTGTAGAGAGAATCGAGGATTTCCTGGCATCATTCCAGACGAGAGCAGTGGCCGTGTCTCAACCGATGCTATTCTTCGTGGGTTAGGACTGAGTCCTCCACCAGTAGAGCGGCTGGGTCTCGGGACCACCCAGTCGGATTCTGCTTTGGACGTCGGACGGGGTTCCGAACGGTTATATCAACCACCAGACATCCAGTCAGATCGTACATCGAGAACTTCGACAAGCTCTTCGAAGCCAACGCCAATCTCCATGGTAAGGGAGGGCAGACTCGTTATGGGAGAGAGAGTTCCGGTGCCAGAAGGGCCAGGCTTGCAACCCCAGATATCGCCAACGCAGGCTCAGCCGGGGTGCGAATTGCCGAGTCTTCCCCCACAGATGTCTGAGGCTGTGGACGGTTCAATGGATCCTGCGATGCTCCAAGACGCTGATTTGGCCTTGATGAACCTTGATCGCGCGATGTACCCGGAGGCAATGCATTTTCAACCAGGCGAACAATTGGCGCAGCATGACCGGCGAACGCCACCACAGATTGACCATACCCCCCTGCAGACTCAGAATTCACAGGAGGCTGGCATTGTACCTAGCCAGGGTGCAGAATGGGAGGGTCAAAGAGAGTTGCAGGGTGCAGGAATGCTCCCTTGGCCAGGCACACTGGCTGCGGTGTACAGAGGTACCAAACTTAAGCCTGATGGGACTTCTTTCCACATTCCAAGTCCACAACAATAGACCAGAAAGTACTCCGCGAGACTGTGTCTCAACATGTCCCTTCTTCCGCCCATCCTCTCAGAACAACGGGTTCGACGCTCGAGAATGTGGAAGGGGGGAGATTTTAGGGATGTTGAGTCTCAGTCGTGCGCAGACGCCAGCCCTTGGCAACAAAGCAGGGCCTTCACATCGAGACGTTGAGACCCGACATTTGAGAGCTGGTGCGATCGGAGCAATCGTCTTCTGTTGTAGAACAGATGGGCGAAGGAGCCGACGGAAGTACATGCACTTGGGAGCAGAAAACACGCCACAGCTGCGGTGCTCTGAAGCAAGAAGACAGACGACCGCAATAGATCCCGAAATTGATGGACATCCAGGGGGGATTTTCCCTGTCCAAAGGATGGAGTGGTTGCAGAGAGGAAAATGGAAACAGCAACAAGCAACATTGAATTAAGAATGCGATCAATTGCCGGAAAAGGCTTCCGTGGCAGCAGGTGGTGGCAGGACTACTGCCTGGGCGCCGGCGACTTCCACGGGTTGGTCCACCTGGCTTGGAGCTCCTGAATGGTTGGAGCCGACCTCCGTCCTGCGTACCTACTCCATACTCTGTGGGAGAATGCATCCGCCCCCAGAGACAAAGGCATCGGGGCCCTAATAAGGCCGCATTAGGCGCCTACACAGTCCAGGCATATATGTACCTTAAGCCTAAGGAGGCACGAGGTAGGTACTGTACCTAAGTGAGGTACGCAGCATGGCCGCGCCGATGATTGGACTTGATTTACGCGTCCGTACGGATATACTGCAGTACTTACCTACATAGATTCTTGACGACGCCATCTCGCTCTGAGTCTTGTAGTTCACCGATCATTGAGCCTCCTCATCAAGCAGGATAATCCGGAGATAGATGCCCTTACATAACTCGCTAGTGGCTGAACACGTCCTGTACACTCGATCTTGTCACAGGGCTTTGGTGGTCGAGTTCTCCGTACAAACATGACCGTACCGCCATCATAGAGCGGGTTCAGAGCGGTCAGGCCCTGGTTTAGCTTGACATCTAGACCGTTGGATGGTGTTGAAGAAATTGACGATGCGAGGGAGGGGCGGTCACGTGAGCATAATCGATAACAAGATGCGTCGAACTACATACGTACTTCTTCCTCTGAAATCTGGGTTGTCTTCTTTCAGCATTACACCAACGACCATACCACCCTTGCACTTCAGCGTCTAACTGTAGAGTTCAGACCTATCATAGCCCCGCCACAGTCCTTGTTGATTGCCTCGCTGGTGCGTTAAAAACATCCGATATGTCATCGAATGTAGGACTTTCTACACCCCGCGGATCGGGCACCTCTGGCTACGTCCAACGGAATCTGTCGCTGTTAAAACCGCGCGACGCCGGTGTTGGCGTACCCTACAGCCTTGACTCTTCTTCACGGCTTCCAAAAACACGAAAGCCAGATCAAGAAATTCTGAACCATGACCGTTTAAGGGAGATTGAGGTCAAGGTGCTAGAACTTCGGGAAAAACTTGAAGACGAAGAGGTCGACGAGGACAAGATTGAGGACGAATGTGACAAACTGCGCGAAGATCTGACCTCAGAAATGGCACGCAAGAGAGACCAGGGAAGAAACAGGACGGGTGGAAAGGGACTGAAGAGCTACCAAGTCCACGAGTTAGCCGAGGCCAAAGAGCGAGAAAGTGACAGACTACGGAGGGCTTTAGGCTTGAAGCCTGATGAAATTTCAGAAGACGGTGAACATCCTATGGCCAGGCAGGAAAAAAGAAGACGAGAACGAGAAGAACTGCAAGACAAAGACGGATCTGAGGAAAAGAGGTAGTTACCTCTAAACCTTGAGGACTGATCCTAATGAAACCACCTCTGTGGGTGTCACAACATGCTCCTGAGACATAGCTCAAACTCACTTGGCCATTGGAACCATGAACCTAGTCTGCAATACAGGGCAGAACACCTTCGACACGACCAAAATGCAACCTGGACAATCCACCACAAACAAGCTATCGAGGCCTTCAAATACGTGAGACAGCTACACGGAGGTAGAGAAGTCTGGCTCATAATACCAATGCCAGTGTGCGTACTCCGCGTCGAGTTCTTGGCTGGTTAGAATTCACTGCACCCACTGGTACGCGGTGTTAGTGACGAGGCTGGCCAGTAAGGAACCAGCATTCTGGCCAACTTCACCGCACCGCGCAGCGCAGCGCGTTTCGACCCTTAATATATTATTGTCGCCAAATTCCTGTCAGGATTCAGCCCAACTTGAAGTCTCACATGACCATCCCCGGATGGTCTAGTGGTACGGAGGCCGGGCTGAATCCTGACCTGCCACCAAAAAAAGGGAAGGCGGAGAGGGACTGGGCTGCCTTAGCAGGTACAGTATCCTATAACCCAAAAAAAAAACCTCCATCATCAAGATGACCTCCTAAAAAAAAGGAGAGATAGGTTTCTGTTCCTGCTCCCAAGTGAGGGCGGGAATAGTTTTTGCCATTTTCACCGAAGGATTGCCACCAGACCCTGGTGGAAGAGTCCCCAAGATCTCCGCTGAAGGTCACGCTGGCAACTTTGTTCGACATGCCCATTCAAATCCGTCATTTTTTGGCCTGAAACGCAGACTTTGGTACAATCCGGATCTCACAGCCTGGCCGATGATGTGCTTGCTGGTCCCACACGACTCTACACTACATGTACGCGCACCTCAGCGTGGAATAACCAAGCCTCCAGGGCCAGGCAATCCTGGCACAACTGCACACGACATCATCCACTCGTTCTGAATCCTTCAGTGGCTGCAGGATCACAAATTTAAGTGACTAAGTTTCATGCTCATCAAGTCATGACGCTGGTGCTTATCAGTGAGTTTGTGCTCAAGGGGGTCTAGATAGAGAATGAGCTGATGTAGTACTGCGACGCGGAAGTCAATATTACTCCCAGATTGTTAGAGAGTTGAGCTCACCGTAAGACACGACTCGTCTTCGCTCCCATTGTCATCGTTGGGCAAATACACATACAAGATCAAGCCGCTTTCGTTGATAAAACATGCAATGACCTTGGCACTAACTCTACCCACGCTCAACACCCTCGACCAGTCTTTTGCATCGATTCTGACCTTGGACCAGCCGGCTTCATTCTCCCCGTTCGGCCCACCCAGCTCTTTCATTATGGTGCTGGGATGCTCTCTCACGCCTTGCGATCCATCGGGGAGATGAGCGGGATCAAGTTCAGGGTTAATGAGGCCGGTCCACCGGCTTGTGATGTTAAGCGCATCTGTCTTGACTGAAATCTTCAGCGAGCCGTGCATGTTGGCGCTGAGTTCTAAGCGAGGACTGGTAGCTGATGACCCCTTTGTAGTAGCAACGGCCACTCTGGTAAATCGGTCCGATATCGTTTTGATTTGTGCGAGAGGGGGCAGGTAGATGTTAACATCCGGCTCCTGGGTTCGAGGTTGATGGATCCTTTCCACCACTTCCATCGAGAGTACTTTCACCGGTATATCTTGGGTGATGACTGTCTCTCTTTCCCTTGGGCCCCCTCCATGCCCGCCGATGAAGGATACATCAGGCACGTCGTCGTTGAAATCAAACTCGCCAGATTCGGCGCCAATTCGGGTCGTCGTGGTTGGGGCTGCAACAAGATTATTTCCGCTGCTGAATGTGTTCGTAACGATCGTCAAGGATAACATGGGCACATTGTCCTTCTTGGTCAGCCTGATCTGCGCCGATGTCGAACCATATGCCGACTTGAGGGCTCGGGACAGGGCCTGGATAGGAACCTCCAGGTTGATTGTGTTCTTTGGCGAGGCGGACTGAAGTATGTACGTCTCGAAGACTGTTTCGGGCTTCAGGACGGACCAGACCTGACTACCCTTGTCAGGGATGATGGTAAATTGGACATCATCGTCGTTCAGTCTACACCAGGCTATCTGCCCAAGTGAAGCCAAAGAAGCGCAGAACTCTGAGAGGCGTCAGCAAGTAGCAGGCAAACAGAATGAGAAATGCGCTCACTTGCGAACAAGTTCACATTCTTAATTTGGCCCTTGAACCGCATTGCATTGTGGCATGCAGTCTGCGGTCAGTATCAAGGTGAAACCGGAAGTACTACCGAGCGGCGAGGGCGGGATCACTGACAAGCGATCACTGACCCTCAGCCTTTTGGCACACGAGACCGCGTTCCTCCACAATCACGTACATACATACATAACTACGTACTATGCCTAAAGCGCCATGTCGCGTCTTCCGGCAACGCGCCAGGGCCCAGGGCCCAAGGGGCACCACTCAGCCCGGACCTGTGGAGGACGGACCTCGCGTATCTACCACTACTATTTGTCCCTCCCCCTGGGCGAACTGATTGCCGTCGATTTTCCTGATTCTGGACAGGGGACAGCCGAGTCCTGAGAACCTCTGCGGGAGGCAAATCCAGCGTCTTCGGAGGCTGCGCCTTTGCAAGCACGTCTCTTGCCGGCTCTACCTCCTTTCCCCTCTTCCTCATGATCATGACCTCTGCTATCTAGGCGTCCGCTGTGCCATCCTTCCCTCAAGTGTCCTGACTATCGCTTTCCTCGGACTCGACCTAAATACCAGATCCAAAGACCCCACAGCGTTGACCAACCTGAGTGTCCTTGTATACGCTCGTACAGCTCCAGCATGCTCCGCGTTTTGATCTCAGCTGGCTGGGATCTCATTAAGAAGAAAAGAGTTCGTGCTGGCGAGATAACTACAAACGCCTGAGCGAGAAGGAGATGGCCGTCTCGACTCCCACCATGCCGCATTTTCCTCGCTTCGATCCCCCTCTCGATTCTCGATCTCCGTCTCGATCTCCTCGTCGTAAAGGTCACTTCGCCGTCAAAGAGCTTGATCCTCTCCTTGCAAATCTATCTCCAGATTCTACATTGAAGGCTCTTCAAGCTACCGAAACCATCCCCGGCGGCTCTGCACAGGATGCGTTGACTTCGAGTATTGGTGACGCAACTCCTGCGGAACGAGAAATCGGTATAAGAGCTGCTTTCGCTGCACAAAAACTTCGTGAATGGCAGATCGAATTATCACAATGGACGTGGCCTGGCAAACGAGAACGTGCTCTAGGCCTAGGGTTTATCCCTCCACGAGAAGCCCGGGAGACGAACAGTGAATATCGGGGGTTTCTGCCCGTATCCTTAGCGGAGCAATACGATGCGAGACTCGAGGAAATTAGAGATGACCTTGACAGTCTGGGAATGGAAGACATCAAAGACCATGTACTGGAGGCGCATGTTCCGTCTGCATCATCGCCGTTGTCGTTCAGGTCCACTGCTATTCGCACAAGCTATGGCAGGATGCGAGACTTTACAGCCTTGGTTACGGCTACTGTAATCCAGGCACTTCCAGATCTTGCGAAGTTGAACGCTTTGCTCGATACGTGGGACATACGCTTAAGGGTGCTGCGAAGCCTCTCACCTTTTCTTGCAACTATGCAGTCCACGGAACGTGAGATTGAGGCAGCTTTCCAGGCAATCAGGAACGCTGAATCGGCACAAAATGTCAGAGCCGAATCGTTCGAGAACAGGAAGTTGGCTTTGGGCGGTCGAGTCTCCGATCTAGGTCGATGGGTTGATCGACTTCTTGATATGCTCGAAGGGCACGAGGATTCGCTGCCGCAAGGCTGGATTGATCAGTTGGAAAAGATTGAGCTGGACTATGCTACTTGGGTGGTCGAAGCTCAGCATCTTGTTCACCAAAACGAACTATCTTCGAGAATGGTCAAGGATTCCGTGGCTGAAGAGATGCCCGTGAACTTGGTGACTGATGAATCCATTCAAGAGGAGGTGGCTAGCGGAAAAGCGACTGCACCCGAACCAGAAGGGTTGCAATCCCTCTCTGGCACTGCTTTCCAACCGACGAATCCGCGCTCTGGTGTAGCGAACAAGGAAGAATCCCAACCAAAGCGGAAACCCTCCCTGAAGCTTGACATGTCCGGGCGCAGAGGACACAAGAGAGAAATGTCAAAGGTTTCAGTGGCAGACTCTACATACTCGACATTTTCAGACATATCCAATGCAGAGATCATGGACGCTAAAACCACCAGCGTGCTCCCGAGTCCGAAAGTCAGTGTTGTAGACAATCCGTTCCGGACGAGTCGGGATGAGCTCACCTGGTTTGGCAACCCTTCTGCTGCCCAGCAACATATGGCCTCCAGGCCGCCTGTGCTGCAGAGAGCTTCGACGGCGTTGATAGAAGTCGTGCCAAAAGAACAGCTGAAAGAGGTTCTGCTCAGACGCAGTGTGAGCTGGGACATGCTCTCTCGCGTTCCCTCGAGTCCTGAGAGTACTCCGACCAAGGCTCTGAAACAGTTGACCGGCTCTGATTCACCAAAGAAGACGGCGCCGGTAGCTGAGTTGGAGGCTTCAGTTCCAGGACAATGCTCTCCAGTCCGATCGACGGGTACGACTCCATTGTCCTCGCCCTCACTGCAAGTCGAGCCATTACACATTCAAAACAAGGATCAGCATGCAGATCCTGTCCTTCTGCCGTCTCTCCCTCGAAGATCAAGCAAGAGAAATGTCGTGGGCGGATACAATCCATCCTCCCCCCACAAATTAGTTGCAAGCATCGCTATGGACGTGAAGGAAAATAATCAAGATGATCAGACTCGAAATTTTTCGACCACTCCGCCAGAATCAGCATCCATCAGACCGCCGAGGCCCAAAGAATCTCTTGATGATAAGATCCAAGACATACTCACAACACTTCCAACTCAAATCCGGCTTACAAAGGATGGAGGATCATCGGGCTCTACGCAGCAGTCTTCAAGGTCGTCCACCCGTTCTTCCACACCAATTCCTTCTCTTACTTTGTCGCCGGCCAAGGCAGAGTCTTCCAGCCGCAAAAGTAGCTCCACAGAGCCTGAGATCCGTGTATATCATCTGAGCCGCACTGGTCAAGCTCGCGATGCTCCTCCAGTAAAACTCTTCGTCCGGGCAGTTGGAGATGGTCATCGTGTAATGGTCCGCGTGGGCGGAGGTTGGGCCGACTTGGCAGAGTATCTGAAGGAATACAGCCTTCATCATGGGAGCCGGGCCACTGTTGACGGTCGATTGGAAGTTGCCAGCTTTCCTGGCAGCCGCCCAAAGGACTCTCCGATTGCTGCCAACGGAAATGGAACGTCAGGACCTCAAGGTCGACCAAAGACTACATCTCCATCCGCGACTCAGACGACTTTTGGCCTCACTTCGTCGCCTGAGCTGGTCAACCCCAGGAGACGATCATCACCGTCAAGGCCTCGTTCTCCTGAAACTGTCCGAAAATCACCTCGAGGCGATGGTACATGGACTCCACCGCCAGTACCACCTATCCCATCATCCTACACCGCTACCTCTCCGACGATCGCGACCGCCACGAGGTCTGACATGGACGCTATCACCAGTTCTGTTGACCGAGACAGAGTTCAGTCCACGGCCCATTCACGACATTCCTCTGGTGCTGCTGGAGGGCTGTCTAATATGCGGTCTATCTCTATTAACAGCCCCGGGGTGACTACGACCACGGTCGTCACTCCTCCTGTCACATCAAGTTACACCCCGCTAGGCGCCGCTGGCCCGAAGATGAATGGACGACGAGCAGCTACTTTTGGTACGACCTCAACAGTTAGTAATGATGCCTGGGTGGAGGGCCTGGTCGGCAAAGCCAGAGCTGTGAGCGGAGGCAACTCGACCGTCGTACAGGCACCAACTATGACGACGACAACCACCACGACCACGATTCGTTCAACAACGCCAATAACTGGTCGGACTTCATATTTCGAGTCAAGTCCAAGTCCAAGATCGAGTCCCATGACCGGTTCCTCGAGTCCCAGCACTGGGTCTGTGGCTAGCGATGCAAAGAGCCGCCGCTCAAGTCTGAGCATCAGGTCTAAGAGCCGCATGAGTTTGAGCGACATGAGCGGGATCAAAAGAGTCTTTTTGCGGAAGAAGTCGGAGCAGATCAGATGACGCCTCTGCGTTCTGGGCCTGATGATTCATCATCTCTTGTCGAAAGTCCTGAGCCTGTCGACCCGATCGATATCATATCCCTTAGCTCAGCCCCATAAGGATAAGGCCACAGGACTTATAGGTAGCGCCGTCTAATAATAATTACGAAGATTCCAAACCCCCTGAGACCCTAATCATCGCTTTTGCCAGGATTGGACCGCCGTTCAAAGTTGTGAAAAGGGTATATAGCGGCTGGGAGCTTAGGAGCTCATCACATACTCGAGTGGAAGGCAACAATGATACCCTTCCACCACAGACAAGCACTGATCAGATGCTCTTTACAGAGAGAGGTTTCAATTCTCCCACTGCATTACTGATCTGTCTGCGGACTGCGACTGCTTTGGGGGATTGATTTGACATTGATACTAGTGGAATGGATTTCTCATCAGAAATTCGAGGCAGACAGCGTACAGTGCCGTTCTTGTTTATGTTCACCAAGCTCGAAAACATCTACCTACAATCTGCCAGGCCAGAATTTCCCCTTCTGCTTTGCTTCTCGCTCCCACGCCCAGTCATGTGCAAGGACTATTTCGACCTGAGCCGGGGAATCTTCGCCCTCCAACTGGATCCCGTGCTTCGAGGCAGCATGTAGCCGAGCCAAAGTCTCCTTTGAACTCGGAATGTCGACATGCATGCAGCAATGTCTCCCGGTCTCGTCGGTCCAGGTCGCAATATCCCTCTCCCCGGTCAGCAGGCGAACGTCGTGGCATGCGTCGCCTGCAAGGCACACAAACTTTGCGGGCTGATTGGACGTTTTGCACAACAGATTGATATGTCCCGGGAGATGACCAGGCGCGTTGACGATGTAGACCGTCCCATCTTTGAACAAGTCGATTGCTTGTGGGAACGAAGCCAGACGCTCCCACGAGAACCGGTCGTGATGCTCGGCATTAGGCGGAGGCAACTCTGTCGTGCGGTCTGACGGTAGCAGATCTGGTTCAAAGACCATATGCTTGCCCAAGTCGTGCTGCGTCTTCCCGCTCAGAAGATCAAGGACGCCATGGCCAACGATGAATTTGGTCTTCGGGTTGGAGAAGTCTCGTGGGAATCCGACGTGGTCGTAGTGGACATGGCTAAACACCACATAGTCGATGTCATCCACTCCTAATCCGCCTGCTGCAAGGGAGGCGACGACATCCGGATGTGTCGATATCGGTCCGCGACTAGCTAGATGGTCTCGCAGTGCTGTCGGGTACAGATTGAGATCCCTCCGCATGCCCAGGTCAAAAACAAGTCGTGTTAGCTTTCCGGTTTCTCCGTCGGTGTGTTGGATTAGGAAGGAAAGCGAAGGCACTGTCCGTTTGGCAACTGGATCTGCGGGTGTCACGAAGAATCGTTCGGGAATGGTGATATGACCCGTACTCAACGCATGGACAGAAACGGTATTCATTTTTTGTGGAATATCTGTCAGACCGGGGTGCGACTGCTCTCGATGGCGCTTTGAAAAAGGTGAAGTAGCCCGTCTGTAAAGTCGGATCTGTACCCTTGAGACTCAATTTCCAACTCTGAAGGGTGTCTGGTGCCATTATGCTCTCACAAGGTCGTTTATCACAAGTCCTTTCCCCCACATGTTTGTGGCCAATATTACCCCATAATCGTAGATTGTGGTGGTCTATGGCGGATGTGAAAAGTGAGGGGTACAACATACCCCAGGTGCCAGTTCTTGCTCGGGGCCATGTGGCTCTGAGAAGGCCCCGTAGACTGACTGACACGTACTCGAAGTCATACAGTAGAGAACCTCCGCATCAGAGCTAGCCAGGTGGTGGTGGCGTGGTGGAGGAGGAGGAGATCCAAATAGCAGCTGTTGTCCAAGCCTCGTGAGGGGAAGAGGAAGGGAAACGATGGTGTTTCCAGAACTGAGTTGAGTCTGTGTCTCTTCTCCACATGCTCCTGTCTGGATCTCACCGCGCGTGGGGATTTCAAAGGGACCTTTCCTGATCTTCTGTGATTCCAAAGCGCCGGCCGTGCTTGCTCAGACGCCTTCCAAAGCTTTGGCATCACCTCAAGTGTTGCTTGTCACGTTGTTTGTTGGCAACACTGGGTGGCACAAACTGAAGTGCCGACATGGATGCGGCCAGATCGTTGACGGTGCTATCCGAGACATGCTTGCTGGATTTGAGATTGCCAACTCCGATTTCTTCCTGCTCTCGCCTAGATGGCTCTGCACTGTCGCGGCGCGGTGGGACAGGAGCAGGGCTCTGTCGTTTGGGTCTCTGTTCCAATTGTGCCTCGTGTGTCCGATGTCTGCTCATTTGGGTCGGATCGGTAGCTGTAGAAACCCTCCTCCTCCGACCCTCGTGGAGCATCGACAATGACTTGTCAATACCAGTGTCGACGATGCGGAAATTGTACATCTTTGGGAACAAGTGCTTGTCCATCAGATGCAGCCGTCTTTTCTGCGGTGTAGAACAGCGTCTTTCGCACCCCTCGACGAAACAGGCATACGTCTTCTCACCTTTGGCTTGCAAGGCTTCTCGAAAGGTGTTGTGGTGTTCGTCAATGTGCAAGGCGAGGAAGTGGGCGGTGGGGAAGTTCTTGCCGCACGACGTGCATCTGTTCGAATGATCTTTGGCATAGTGAACCTCGAAGGCTTCGATCGACGCGAAATCAAGAGTCTCTCGATGCGGCGGCAGCGAACATTGAATGGCACTTTGGTGGGAAGCGGCCTCGTTCATGTCGGTTGCACTGATCCTTTTCGCAGTTGGGAATGCAGGCTGCTCCGGTATGAAAGGTTCCTCGTCCTCGGATGAAGAGTCGTGCGAGCGCTTAGCCATGGCGGTGAGAGGCTGACAGAATGCAGACCCAAGATGGAGGATCTCGCATCAGCTTCTAGCTTGGTGGAACCGCGTGGAAATCGTCCTGTAGGGAGTACAGTATGTTCCCCCTTTGTCCTGCCTGCGCAACAGCCGATGGCCACGGGTACTGTATAGAGTATGTTCAGAATGCACTACGGCGCACATAATCCTCGTCCTTTTATCAGATCCGAATGCGAGGCCTCTGCTACGCTGTTCCAGGTACTACCAGCCAGCTTCAAAGAGACGCCGACCGTGCTGGACTATTGTATTTCACAGCACACGCTTCCCACGTCCCACGTCCCACGTCCCATCGACCAAATGGTTGGCAAATTTCTCCAGGTGTGTCCATCCCACTTGCAACGAGCGAACCGAACCTAAACTAGGACAGCAGATATCTACGTAGGATGATTTCGAGAATGTAGGTACGGAGTACTAGGTAGTAAGGCTGTCGAAGAACGTCTATCTCAAGTTGCAAAGGGCCAAGTACGGAGCAGAAGGAGGGAGCAGGCCCCCTTAGCGTCGGATAGGGAAACACAGCCCTTAGCTCTTAGTGGGTTTAGGCATGGAACCGGGCCTGGTAGGGGAGATTCAGCAGGCTGATCAAGGGTCTCTAAGCTGCAAGTTGGCCCCCCCACGGTCCAGCGTAGTGCCTGGATGCTCCCTGAACCTTTTGCTGGGACAGTGCCGCGGGCGGCCACTTGGGCCTGTTGATTGGCTCTGTCCCGACTAGACTGACTCCTCCCTCCCTGTTTCTCGTCTGTGCTTCAGTGTTTCTACCACCCACCTAACCACTCGCCTAACCCCATGATCCCTGCCTCCCTCCTTACGCACCTCCATACTCCGTGCTGTGTCCCGTGCGTGCTGCCACGAACCTCTTCCACCCCCTTGTTGGTCCAGTGCCGTGTTTCAGGTTCGCCGACCATGCGACCATGATGCAAAATGTTCCTGTCCCATTGACAGCAGTGTCACTGGCCATCTACTGGTAGAGCCTCCCGACTCGTCATCCAAGTGGCCCAGCATCTACGCCTCTCGGATCCCAGATTCCTTCAGATATTACTCCTGATTCAGACGCCTTCTGCCGACAGTACGATCTGGCAGAGAACGTGTTTCCATTCCCACGCATCAGCCCTTTGTTCGACGGCACCTCCGTACCTACTACGTACCTTATCAGCCGCTCTGTGCTCTAGCTTGAAATTACAGCCCGGCTTCCTCGATTCTTTGTCTGCAGGCAAGCCAAACCATCTTCTGAAATGCCAGCTACTTGAAAAGAGGAGGATTACATTTCAGTATTTTGTTGTGTCCTCTCAGATGATGACGGAAAGGTGACGCGACAATGTTGGCCTCTAAATCACCTTACCTCGCGAATGTCTCGGCCGCTACTCAGCAAATACCCATCCGCAACTTCTCCGACGGATCACAAAGAACACAGCTGTCTTCGATGGCTCTACCAGACGGACTCTTCACATCTCCAACCGACTCAGAGTTTTCTGGTGTCTATGACGGACTGGACTCAATCCGAGCATGGGACGAGAAACAGGTGGGAGAATGGCTACACTCGATCCGCTGCGGACAATATGAATCGCTGTTCAAGACGAACAACTTCACTGGTGAAAGCCTATTGGAATGTGATCAGAAGATCTTGTCCGAGATGGGAATCAAGAAAATCGGGGACAGAGTACGAATCAATGTTGCAATAAAACAACTTCGCAACAAGTCTTCGTTGCTGCGCACCAAGAAGAACCGGGATTCTCTCGCAATTCTTGATGGCTTCGCAGCTACTCCTTCATCCTCCGACTCTCCTCGAACCCATGGATCTAGGTCACAGGCGGGGAGCGCCAAGCGGTTTTCTCGCCAGCTCGATCCAGCAGTACTGCAAAACTTCAACTCTGCCAGCACAGGGTTCAAGGTCGGGTCCAGGCCAAGCTCTCCACAAGCCGATATACATAGTGCTGGCTTGAGGTCTCATCGGTATGCTGGAAGCCCCATGGATGCCGGGAGGAGCAACCCGGGCACTGGTTATTTTAGCCAGCCAGGTTCAGCCAACTCCACATCTGGAAGACGTCCGGAGACACCCCAGCTCGCGAGTCAGACTACCCGAGCCGCTCACTTGCGACAAAACTCTAGTGTTGACGGGCTAACTCCCGGCGGATTGCCCACCGGGTCACCGGTCATCAAAATCATTCACAATGGTGGCCAAACCAAAGTTGTCAACATCAAATTCTGCAGAAACGCCGATGAAGTGACTTCGACCGTGCTCAAGAAATTGCTCCTTCCAGAGACACACTTTCGCAACTATTGCTTTTACGTCCTCAACGGTCTTGAACCTGAACCGGCCAATTGTCGTCGAGTCAGCGATAGCGAGCTTATGAGGATTTGCAACGAATCGACGCGATCAGAAAGAAACAGGCTCATCCTGCGCAAGATCAACGATGGCCCACCTGACCTGGAGGAGATCCGCAAGGCTGCGAAAATCGCGGCCGATGAATCGCAAGTCCTGCATAACAACGCATTGAGCACCAACAACATGCGCAATCAGATCAAACTTCAAAAGCTGACTGGAGAATCCTGGCATCATATTCAAGCGCCAATCTCTCCAGTCACCACAACCGACAGAAATCACAACGTCATAGCGACGGCGGATGAACAGGATCGGCAAGAAGCACAACGCCTGAGAGCCTCGAGCCAGCAGAGCACGAAGCTCCGCTCATTCTTTGGTGCTCGACCCCCGAGCGAGATGATCGTCCAGGAGTTGACCTCATATTTCCCTGCTCATCAACGTGAGGACATCGAGAAGACGATGAGGCTATCAGTACGCCGCTCGCAGCGTATGAGCCGGGCAGCAAGCCGGCTGAGCGTGATGAGTAATGTCAGCTATGCGTCGAGCCTGAAGGATGCTCCACCAGTACCTAGTATCCCCAGTATCGCCGACTCCTGGCTCGCTCAAGGCGGAACCAGTTCTCGAGCACCTGCAGGCAGACCGTTATCGGTCATGTCGACGAAGTTCAACCTTCCAAGTTTTGCCTTTAGAGATTCTATTGCGTCGTCAACCCTTCATCCACTACAGGAGGAATCGCCCGTTGAACCTAACCGGAAGTCATATGTTTCTTTTGATAGCGGGTCCGACACGGCAGCTGGGAGTGAAGCCCCGAGAGGCAGCTATTTTGACGAGAGCCCGGCTGGACTGAGTCCGGATAATCTCAACGAACGACTGTCCGTCATTGTTGCCGAAGATGGCGAGGAAGAAGACCAAGCATTGACATCCTTTCTCAACGGAAACAGCTTCGACAAGAACAACTGGATGAAGGGCGATTTGATAGGCGAGGGGTCGTTTGGCAGTGTTTACCTGGCTTTGCATGCTGTGACAGGTGAATTAATGGCTGTGAAACAAGTCGAGTTGCCCAATGTGGCCAAAGGCACAGAAGGTGATAAGAAGAAGACGGCAATGATCGCGGCGCTGAAGCAAGAAATCACGTTGCTGCAAGGACTTCGTCACCCACACATTGTGCAATATCTGGGCACATCATCCGACGAAGAGCATCTGAACATTTTCCTCGAGTATGTCCCTGGCGGGTCTATCGCAGGGATGCTGAAGCAGTACAACACCTTTCAAGAACCGCTGGTGCGCAATTTCACGCGCCAGATCCTCGAGGGCCTCTCATATCTGCACGAGCAGAACATCATCCACCGGGATATCAAGGGTGCCAACATTTTGGTCGACAACCGCGGCGCGGTCAAGATCTCGGATTTCGGCGTGTCCAAGCAAATCAACTTCAACGGCATGAGTGCCGCCCCAGGCACACGCACGTCGTTGCAAGGCAGTGTCTTCTGGATGGCCCCTGAGGTCGTCCGGCAGAGCGGCCAGTCCATCAAATCCGACATCTGGTCCGTGGGGTGTTTGGTGGTTGAGATGTTTACCGGCTCCCGCCCTTTTCCTTCCATGACGACCCTGCAGACATTGTTTGCCGTGGGCAGCAACAATGAGAAACCCTCAATTCCAGACACCGCCAGTGAGGATGCCAAAAAGTTCATGAACAAGACGTTTGAGGTGGACCATGAGAAGAGGCCGTCGGCGGATGAGCTGTTGAAGGAGAAGTTTTTGCTGCCGATGGCTTGAAATTGCAACTGGCAAATTCAACCCGCGAGAAGGGACATACATGTTCATGCGGGTGTATTTACTAAGGCTGGCTGAGCCAGAGCAGTGTCTTGCGACTTGCACACGTATAATTCCTTCTCGTGTGCTATACTTTTGCACACGCTTATTTGCAATGTGTGGAGGAAGAGACGGAGGCGGAGGAGGATGTGTATGTCTCCATGCTTGCTATACCCCTTTTATAGTACTTAGTACTTAGTACACGTATTCGATGCATCGAACTCGGACCTGGGGCTCTCAAGTTCGAAATTCGCGAGTTAGGGAAGACCGACCTGAACGACCGATCGACCTAAATACATTTGAAATGTAGGGCCAAGGGCCAAGGGCAGAGGAATACGTATACCGTACCTGTAGTATAAATACATACATACATATAACTAAATAAATGTATATATATACTCTGGGAATTCAGTCTTCGTACAATATCAAATGGGAGTAATATACCATGAATTAATCCAATACATGTACGGAGACTCCGGATGTATGTCCATATACGCCTTAGGCAAAGGCACAGGCACAGGCACAAACAGAGGATCAAGAGGCAAGACAAGCCACCATCACCATCGCCATCACCATCACCACTACTTTGTGGTAATGTGGCCAAAAAAAAAACCGTGTTTGGGTGGCTGAAATCCCACAAATTCATTCCTCGATTCCTCGATTTCTCTTGTACGTGTGGACAATTACGTGCAATCATACATCCATACATCCCATCTCCACCTCTGTATCCAAATAAATAGACAGACAAAGACGGAAGAGCCTGTCCCCAATATTTTTGCCTTCAGCCTTGGACTTGAAAGCGTCGAGGGCGTCTATATATACTGTACACACTCTCAAAGACTTCCGACATCGCAGTCGTACCCATCGACATCTTTACCGTAGATGCCTCCGGCCTTTGAGGGATGGAAGATCTAGACAGGGGGTGGGCCCTTCCCCTGGCCCTGATGTTGGTCGAGCAGCAGATGTGGTTTGATGTAGTCCTCGTCCAATTGACGGAACCATGCAGTGTGATCTGCCGCAGCGCCACGGAGTAGGTTCCTGATACTGTTGCTGGGGCCGGTGGCTGAGCTTGCGCCTGCTCCTACAGGAGCTCCTACGCCAGCTCCCGCTCCCGCTCCCACGATGCCCATATCGCCCCCGTCGGGGGTGTCGGTGCCGAAGATGATATCCGGCGCCGATCGCACTCGTGGGTCGTATGTATCGGCATTCTCGTTGCCCGGCGGCATCGCCAACGGCGAGGGTTTTCGGCGCGGAGCGGCAGGAGGGAGGTCGAGGTCGGCTGCGTCTTCGTCGTCGCTGGTTGAACCGCTGGCGGACAGTAGAGTGCCCTGTTGCGCGGCGGCCTCGCGCTCGCGCTGGCTGAGGGTCGAGTGTCTGCGATGGTTTGCGGCCCTTGTGCGACCCAACGGCGGCGAGCGGCCGTTGCTGCTGCTGTAGCCCCGGTCGTTGCGCGGGCGGGAGGCGGAGCCGTTCACGCCACCAGGGCGGCTGTTGCCGACGTAGTCTAGGCCGATGGAGGGCAGGGGATTGTGACCGAAGCCGGTTCCTAAGCGCTTATAATATGTGCCGCCGTTGGTTGTTTCGATGTCAAACTCGTCGTCTGAGTCGATTTCTTCAACCACTCCCGTACGGATGCCAAGAATCTCCAGCATACGTGCGGTGGTGCCGCCAAAGATGATGACGGTCAGCACCACAACGACGAGCACAGTTGCACGCAGTGCCGGCCCTTCATTGCCTTGGAGGCCGGCAGCCAGTGCGACACCGACGGCACCTCGTAAACCTGCCCAAAATAACATGGCTTGATAATGCCAGGGAAGTTCCTCGGCGACTTCACGGCCCCTGCGTTTGGCTCGGAGCCGGATGATGTAGTTGATGGCCTTGGAGAGCGGGAAGACCGCCAACCATCGCGCGGCGCAGATTCCAACCACTGTGACCAGAATAAACAGTGGCTTGAAGACCAAATCGGTCTCGGTGAATAAGGTGAGGCCCAGATAGATGAAGATGAAATTTTCGGAAAGTTGGGCCAGAATTTGAAAGACGAACTTTGTGGTCAGCTGGGTCCGTCTGGACATGTTGTAGTATGCATAGTGCTTGAGGGTGATTCCGCAGAACAAAAGCGACACGATGCCTAGTAACTTGTAAGCACATGGCGGTAGAAATGCAAGGCTGGAAACTCCATACCTGACATGTGCACGCCATTGGAAAAGAAATAGGTTGCATACGCGATCAAAAAGACCAGGCAGCTCTCGATCTTGGGAAACCTTCGCACAAGTGTGTACTTCAGAGCAAGCGCGGTGCCCACTCCCACCACCACGCCGATCATCAAACTGGTGAAGAAGACCAGCAGGAAGATGCCGATGGCTTCAAAGAGACTGATGATGCTCAGATTGCCCGACGCTCCTCCCTCTCGGTACCTTTGAGCAGTCTCGAACAGCACAATGGCAATGGCATCGTTTAGGATGGATTCGCCGAAGATGACGGTGTACAGTTTCGGCTCAACCTTGTAGAGGTTGAAAATGGCCAGAATCGTGACCGGGTCTGTCGCGGAGAGCGTGGCGCCCACCGAGATGGCCTCGACCCAGGAGATGGAGAAGCCGTCGAAGGGGATTCTTGTCCACAGCCACAGGATCAGGCCCAGCGAGACGGCCGAAATGAATGTGCCGGCGAACGCGAATGTCAAGATGGTCCCGATATTCCGAAAAAAGTTGGCCTAAGCTAGATCAGCAGATGCTCGATTGTCTAATCTTTTCTTTCCATCTCTTGCCGGGCATGTTCTAACCTGATGCAACTCGTAGCCAGAGTTTAGGATGATAGGTGGTAGCAGAAGGTTGAAGAAGAATTGGTAGTCGAAGCTGACCGTGTCCTGGATCGCGGTGCCTGGAGTGACGCGGATTACCAGCCCGACGATCATGCCTTGAAGATATGCGGTCAGCGGAGTGGCCACGAGCCCTGGAATACAATAGACGTACCGGCAAATATAGATATGACCGTCTCATGAACAGCCTGTATCCTCTTTTGTTGCAGGATGTAACTCGTAAAGAGCGCCGCGATCAGCAGCATGATCAAGATAAAGAGTGCCCATGACGAAAAGATCTCTTTCTGGCCAGCTTCGGCTGGTTCTGCTCAGGAATGGATTAGACAACGGCCATGGAAGGGAAGAGGAGTGGTCGTTGGGTTCCGAACGCACCGTCTGGGTCGACGTCTTCGGCTTGCCGGCCTGCATGGCTGTCAGTATGGTCGACGGAGCTGTTATGGGGTCTGTGTGCCTCTTACGGAGAAGATTCAATGTCGCGCCCACCAGACTCGACGCCATGTTGGCGCAGTTCCAGGAGTTATGTGTTCATTCGAAGTTGGGGCCCCGGGCGACTTCGCATCGCAGTTCCAGGAGGAGTTGGATTTATCGCGAGCAACAAGATCAAGGAGCGTTGGAAGCGACCGGGAGCTCTGTGGCACGGAATGACAAAGAGGGATTGCGTGGACAGAAGAGAACAGTTAGTTGGTTGGTGTTGAGGTTGTTCAGGGACCGGCTTGAGGCTGGCGCAGCTGTGGCCCGCAGGCGGCGGGCTGATGAGGGCGCCGCGTCGACTGTGACAGACAATTCGAGACACCGAGACACTGATAGATCCATCCGTCCATCCATCCATTGCGCGTCTCTCTGCCCCTTTCCCTCTATCAATTGAATCTTGTTATTACTAGGTCCACAGGTGATTACTGTGTCGTTTCAACACGCTATAGCTCATTCAAACATCTCCCATCGCTCTCGAGAACGAGACGGAGACGCAGCCTCAGCAATCTAACCACCCTATACCGAGTATGAAGTATCTCGACTATTCTCCCAGCCTATGCATGGTTCGCCTGATTTACTGCAGGAGCAGCAACGCATCCTGTCGAACCGCTTGCGAGCATGCTGAGAGGGAAACACCCTTCTGCCTCCCCTCTGTATGCCCATATTCACCCCAGCGGCACCGTGCCAAATGCATAACAAATCGAAGAACGCCCTCCAAAACCACCATGACAATTGGACCGCTTGCCTGTCTGCGTTCGCGGTGACCTCGTTATCGTACAATGGTACATTACTCCGTTCCACTCGCGGCTCCGCTCGTCGTTCCGTTCGTAGAAATTCCATTTCCGCCAGCTCCCAGTGTCAGCCTCAGCTTGGTTCCTCCTGTCGGTGCGACAGATCCTCGTGGTGTGCCAGTAGCCGACCCTGCTGCCGTGGATTCGCCATCGTGAGCGCCTCGATCTCCACTAAGCGCGAGGCCTGGGTGCTGGGCGATCTGTTTCGCGATTGCTTCGTTGCAGTGATTCTAGTCCCATCTTAGCAAGAGTCTTATGTTATACCTAGGTCAGTAGTGGGCTTACCTCAATGGCAATCGCATCATTGTAGATCATGCTGCCGTCTTCGTTGTATGTCTTCGCATTTTTCGCCAAGAGGGCGATGTCCTTGCTCAAATCGTTCAAACTCGTGTACTGGTGGTTGCTGATACGCCTTTCAATGATGTCCATGGCGATGGGCTCCTGGATGAAATTGTAGTAATCAGGATACAGTTTCTTCGGCGGCAGCTCCAGAAATGGGCCAATGACGAGTCGCGTTGGTGGCTCGTCCTCATCCTCTTCTTCAGATTGTTCCTCGGGGTCTGAGTCCGGTACTTCCAACGCTTTGATTGACTCAAAGATCGCCTTCAACGCCTTCTGCAATGCACTTCGTTCGGCGCTGGTAAGCGGGTCGGAAGACACTCTATTCGGTTGTCTGCCACGCTTCCGCTTTGACGCCGGCGTTTCCTCTTCGATATCATCACCCTTGCGCTTCTGACCCGCCGACTTCCGCGGGCCCTTCTTCTTGGGCTGAGGCTCAGGTTCTTCCTCGGAACTCTCCTGTTCTTCGGGAGAAGAAGCCCCACCTACGGCGTCACGTTCGCGTTTCATCTTGTTCGATCGTCTCTTGTCGATTCGTGCAGCCTTCCGCTTTGCTGCCTCAGTGATAGAGTCGTCAGAGTCGTCCACCGCTGCAAGCCATTGCTCTTCGGTCAGACCGTCGTCGTACTTGACTTGTGTCTTGACACGAGCACCGCGGCCGGTGTACTCCTCCTCAACCTCTTGAACGGGACTGTCTTCGGCCATGTAGATGTCCGGAAGTTCACTCTCGCCCATCAAGCGAGGAAGCGGGCGCCCTGGCCCATACAGATCGGTCTCGCTCCGTTCCTTGTCCATCTGTTTGAAGAGCACCAGCTCGTTGTCAGTACGCGCCATGATCTCGTTCAGGTCGTCGTCGTCCATTTCTTCTGTATCTTCTCCCGCCTGCTCAGCCGCCTCGGCTGATTCCAACAGGGTCTTCAGGAAGGCGTCACGTTCTTCGTTGGTGGATTTGTTGTCGAATTTACCGGCCTGAATGACCTTGCCGTCCATGTCAAGCTTGAACTGAGCGCGCTCCAAGATTTTCTCTTCCACCGAGTTGGAGCTGATAAGACGTAGGATTCGGACCTCGTTCTTCTGTCCAATTCGATGTGCACGATCCTGAGCCTGCAAGTCCTGGTGAGGGTTCCAGTCCGAATCATAGATGATGACGGTGTCTGCAGTCTGCAGGTTCAGACCTAGCCCACCGGCACGAGTTGAGAGCAAAAAGCAGAAATAGGGCGACCCGGGTTCATTGAACAGGCGAAGCAGTTCAGAACGGTCCTCGGACTTCGTGCCACCATCGAGACGGAGATATTGAATCCCTCGCAATCGCAAAAAGTCTTCCATGATGTTCATGATCTGTGTCATTTGGAAGAACATCAAGACACGATGGCCAGTCGCACGGAACTTGGGCAGAATCCTATCAAGGAGCTCGAACTTGCCAGCGGTCCGCCAGATGGAGTCGTTAGTGCCTCTTCCAGGGTTCATTTGATCTTCCACGGGTTCAAAGACATAAGGATGGTTGCATAGTTTCCTCAACTGCATCAACATGTTGCTGAGACCACGCATGTTAGTCTTGCCACCTTTCCCGTCGGTCACCACCAGCTTGTTATGCGTCATCAATTGCACGTAGAGCTTGGCTTGAAGCGCAGAGAAGCGACATTTGATGACACGCTCTTGTTTGTCAGGAAGATCTTTTTCAACGTCCTTCTTGAGACGACGGAGCAAGAACGGTCGGAGCACCTTATGGAGACGGCGAATGATCAACAGCTGTTCTTCTTCAGTCAATTCCATCTTGTCTTGGCCGCCAGTGTTGGCAAATGGAGTGTTGAACCATTCGTCGAACGACTTAACAGATTTGAAAATCGTAGGTAGCACGAAATTGAGCAGCGCCCACAATTCCGGGAGGTTGTTTTGCAACGGTGTGCCCGTCAAAATGAGCCGATAACGCGTCGTGTAGTATTGAGTGATGGTGCTGCTCAATTTAGACTCGGCATTCTTCATGCGATGGCCTTCGTCCACGATCATGTGGACCCATTTAATCTTGCTCAGGACTGGGCGATCCTTGATGATGTATTCATAAGTCGTCAGTAGCACTTGGAAATTACCCTGTCGGATCCTCATTTGTTGTTGTTTCCTGGTGTTTGGCGGTCCCTTGTACACGATACGGCTGACTGACGGCGCCCATTTCTCAAACTCCAAATTCCAATTGGTGAGGGTACTGAGCGGAACAATGACCAAAAACGGACCAAATTGGCGTTTCTTTTCGATTAGGTAGGTGATCAGACTGATCGTCTGAATGGTTTTTCCCAAACCCATTTCGTCGGCCAATATCCCATTAAGGTTGTTGTTGAAGAGAGAAATCATCCACTGCAGACCTTTGAGCTGATACTCTTTCAACGTACCACCAACCAGTATCGAAGGCTGGGCAGTGACTTCCTCCTTGATACGATGAGCGACGGCATAGTAATCGACCTTGCCGCGGCCGTCCTCATCTTCGGACTCGCCTTCCTCTTCCTCTTGCTCATCCAAGTATTTGTCTTCTGAGCCCCACGCCTCGGCAGCATTGCGCTGTTGCGCCCTCACTGATGCGGCAAGCTGCTGCAGGAAGCCATCGGTCTGCTTGAGGAGATGAGTAATACGAGAATCTTTGGCCTGCCCAAGAAGCTTCAAGTAGGTCTCTTCATCGTTGGCCTTCAACGCTTGCAGACGTTGTTTAGCGGTGCGCTCAATCCTCTTTTGCTCTTCACGCTCCATATGCTGATGATGTGTGACCATCAATCGGCCCAACTTCTGGACTCGAGCTCGTTGACTGATGGCATTATTGCGGACTTCTTGGCCGTGAGCGATTATTGATTGCAGGTGGTTGGACTGGCGGGTCTTTTCCTTGTTCTCTCGTGCGTCCCGCTGTTGCTTTTCAAGCTTCTCAGTAATGCGAGCCTCGCGGAGAGATTGCTTCTTCATCCTACGGTGCAGTGATCTGTTGGCGGTCATGGCAAGATTGTCGTAGTAGTACAAGTCCTGCTGGATGTCGCGGCGGAGATCGCGCTGCTTCTGAAGCAAAGACAGCTTCTTGAATTCAATCAGGGCCTTAATCTTCAATGTTCCATCAATAGCAGGATCGCTTGATTGACTAGTGTCCCAGGATCCAATGTTCGCGGGTTGGGAGGCTAGCTCTGCCCTGCGAGCCTGGACCCGATTATAAAGAAGTCGTTCTTGTTCTTCGCGAACTTGCTCGACATCAATGCCTGCTGGCAAAATGCCAGGGATCTTCAACCGCTTGGAGCGCTGTGTATGATCTTGGTAACCTATTGCCTTTGCAAGAAGATCATATGGGGATTGATAGGTCTCGAAGAATGACTTTGCTCGGGCAAGCTCGTTCGTGACGACCTCCTTGGGCTCGGTGACAGCGTCGGACACTTTATCATCCGCTACAGCGCCATCTGACGGCGTGGCTGCTTGCTGCTTAGCGGAAGGGAATAGTTGCTGCTGCAGTTTCACTGGTAGTGCGATGTTCTTTGACAGCATCTTGAATGCGTAGATTTGCGTCCTTAACAGGTTCAGCTGTTCCGGTGTGAAGCTCCCATTGGATTGCGACACCACGCGTTGCGCCTGTGCCGCCGGCCCTTGGGTGTTGTTGATGGCGGTGGGTTGGTTGGACCCAGATGAGGGCGTTCCGTTTACAGCGGCACCAGTGGTATCGGCCTGTGCATTACCAGTGCCGTTGGTTGTCGGACCGGTTGAGTTTCCATTCGACTGTTGACTGTGGGCCTGGTTATGCTGAGGCTGCTGAGATTGCTGAGGCTGTTGCTGCTGAAGTTGTGTCTGTTGCTGCTGCTGCTGTTGTTGTTGGGCTTGGAGTTGCTGCTGCTTTTGAGCCTGCTGCATCGCAGCCATCTTGCGGAAGTTCTGTTGCTGTTGGACAGCAGTGAGGAACCGGTGGGCTTTCATGTATTCGGGATCAGTTTCGGGGACATTTTGGGCCTTCATGCGTTGGAATTTCTGTGGATTTGTTAGTACAGTCACGGAACGGGAAATATTCAAGCCATGTGAAGTGAGGTGAGAGCGTGGCTTCAAAATTCTTCCTTACCTGATACACCTCCTGGACCTGCGCTGGAGACAGATTGGATGGTAGTGGTGGGACATTGGCCTGCACCATGGGCGCAGGCTGGACGGAAGCCATGGCGACTGATCAGTCGCGGGTGAAAAATGCCAGCTCGAGAGGTGTCTTGTCAAGGATATCGGTGACTTATTATTAGACCATATAAACCCAGTCACTACGTTGTCTATCAGTCTTCGGTGGTAGGGATTGAAGCGGCTTTGTCGCGATGGACGAACTTGGCGACAGAGTGCAGGTGAAGGACTCGTGGTGATTCGGCTGAGGCTGGGGCGTTTGCGGTGGGATGGCGTAAAGAGAGGACGAAGAGTTGCCTGCGGTACTCGGGCGCCCTCCTCAGGTGGTTCTGCGACCAAGCTCTGATCGGCCGAGATGGAAGAAGATGATTGTCGACGCGTTGATGATGATTTTCGCGATTGGAGGGGCCCTTCGCAAGGAGGATGTGACACCCAAACCTGAAGACCGCTGCACGTTTGCTCCTAGTCCTACGGAGTCGCTCCTCGCGGAAACTTGGCGAAATGTCACGTGACTGGCGCTCGTCGCGACCTCCTCCCAGACAGGCAACTTCCACGAACCTCCTTCTGGCTAGTACAATGCCAAGACTGATTAGTAATATTTAGCTTATAGGGATATATATCATATTGCTCAATTTTTGCCTGAAAATAATGCTCTATAATTCATGGAGCTGATGGGGAGAGTGGCCGAGCGGTTATGGCGCGTGACTCAAGTTTTACGACTTGGACTGTTAACCAGTCTTGAGGGTTCTCGTAGGGAAACCTGCATGGGTTCGAATCCCATCTCTCTCAATTTCTATTAACCCCCTGATCTCGGGCGGTTTATTTTTTATTTTTGTTAATTCATTATTTTTAGAGTTGAACTAAATCGAGGCTCAACACATAGAGCGCATGTCAATCTTTTGGACTTGTGTTGAAATTGATGATCAACCCTCACGTCGGTTCATCAGTCTGAGCCTGTCCTGGGATGGCCTGAAGGTGGGTTTTGGGTGAGTCTTTTTACAATGCAGCTAAAGGATTGAGGTGTTTGTTCCAGATCACTTGATCATGTCTAGTTGAGGCTTGGGACAGTTTCGAGAACGCATGTGGCCTTCAGGTTCGACATCTGCTCCGCACTCCCTACGAATCTTCTTACATATCCGACGGATAGCCTCCTTTATAGAATCCAATCATAGAGTGCATATACGGTTGCGCTCAACGATCGTCTCTCTCGTAGCAATGCTCCGTGATAGTGCCGAGCAGAATTGAACCGGGATATAAGACAAGTTGATGAAGACGAAGACATCTTCGATGAATCTTTCCCGGTTGGATTGGAAGAGCTCTACAGTCTGGATGAAAGCTGTCAACTTTGTGCTACTGAACGAGAAATGGAAAGTAAGGAGTCTCTGCGTGATACAGTTCATCATCATGCCGGCGTTCTAACCATTATATACAGAATTCGGCATCCAGAGTGTTTTGAATGGTCTTCTACACTTGCTATGCAAGAGCTAGCTGACGTCCGACCAGCACCCACTCCGCCGGGACGGTCCTCCAACAGATGTGGCATCCAACCTGACCTCAGGTGAGGACAGTCCTTTTTGCAGGAACAGGCGGTGGAGGTGGCTTTTTAGCACGCGACGGCGGTGGTGGAGGTGGTGCAGCACTCTTTTTCCCAGTCGATGGTGTGAATGGTCCGCTGCCATGCGAAGTTGCAGGAGAAACGGATCGTTCTCCATAGCCGTGGTCAGGGCTGCTGTTTGTGTAAGATCCTGAGTCGTCGGCAAAAACATCCTGCTCCTCTACATTCCGGAGTTGTGACCGGGCGGTACGGATTGTTAGAGAATCACTAGGTACTCTAACCATTCGAGGCTGATTCCCTGAGGATAGATCTCGGCTGGATAGAGACGCGCTGTCCATTGTAGTGGCCCTAGCAAAGTTCGGTCGTGCTGATAGACCAGGAGAATAATCGGCCATCGCATTTTCCGCATACCGACCCGTCTGTATTCGAGTGGATTTAATCGGCGGGCGGACTTCAACTGCTGGTATTTCTTCCACTGGTTCTACATGCTGCGTGTAAGAGCGAACGGTGTTTGATCTGGAGCGAGGGGTTGGACGGCTACCACGACTTTGTGGCTGTGACCTGTGCAACTCTGTCAGTCATGTCCAGGCATGGAGCACGGTAAAAGGACCTACCTTGCTGGCCATTCGGACTTCAATTGCAAAAGTGCCTCTCTGCACTTGTCGTGATAAGCCAGTTCGGCATCTAGGAAAGCACCAAGATCCGCAACGCTCTCCGGGTCGGCGTCGCGGATGTCTTCCATCCTTCTGAAAACATCATCGGCTGACTCCTCGTATTTGGCCTTCTGATTGCGTAATTCTTCCTCAACCCGGAAGTCCTCCTTCTTGGCCTTCTGCACCTTTGCCAGTGATGTGTCATAGGCCAGTCGCCTTGTCTCGAGTCTCTTCCGCGCTGCCTGGTATTCTTTCATTTGGACCAGGGATCGTTCCAGGGATTCCAACCACGAGGAGGTGGCACTGGCGATATATGCCTCCTGAGCCCGAGCCAACCTCTCTTGCGTCCGGCCAAACACTACTCAGAGATTAGCTGCTGAACGACAGTCCACCAAGGCAGGACGCACTGTTGAGACATTGTCCAAACTCCGAATCGAGCTCAAAATCTTCGCCATGGGAGATCATAGTGCCTCCCATATATGCAATCGGTAGTGTCTTCTCCTTGCCCTCTACTTCGGATCGCTTGGAGATGGCCTTGATATAGGCGTTCGTGGATCTTTGCATCTTCTCCAACCCTACAAGGGACGGTCAGTTTTGCTCTTCATATGTGGGCGGGCGCGCTGCGAGTGCCATCCGTACCTTCCTGCCTCAAGCCCATTTCGACTTCGAGTGCTTTGAAGTCATCCGACACATTGGTCTTCACCTCCCCACCCATGCGCTCGCCTGCCCATTGTTTAAAGCGGTCGAGTTTTTTATTGACATTCATGATGTAGACCGCGCGTTGGTGTGCAGGCTCTGGACCAAGCGAGAGGTTCTTAGATGCAAGAAAACGTGGACGTAAGGATAGGTGAAAGAGGTTGATATTCTTTTATGGCTCGATGCGCGACGGAGTGTCCCGGATCAGTCAGACTATGGAATTCTGGCTGGAATGCAGCGAGGGCAGTCCTAGGCGACAAAAGAAAAGTCAGGCGAGTGGTGGCAGGATAGGACATAAAACGAGTGTCTGCGCTTAACGAGATGAACAAGGAAGAATGGACAATCCAACAGGATCAGGCGCAAACACACTCTGCAGCCGACTGTTATCGCTCGAAGCTGGCAATGGCGATCGTGACGCGCAACCTTTTCAACAGCAGTAGTGTTTGGTAGTAACCCGGTCCTGGAAAAACGCAACAGGAACCACTGGCTTCCGTCGCCTACCCCTGACCTGGCACCACCTCTGAAACAAGCAACGCCACCAAGCCGCCTAGATTGGGCCGTGGCCTGCCGTTTGCATTGGCTTGACACTGCTCTGGCAGTTTCTCTGGCACACCTCCCACAATACGGATAGGGAGCTTGTCGCAGCGCTGGCCTCCCCACTTGGATAGGTTTGGAGCCGGGCATGCACCAGAATGGCATTGGCAGCCCAGATGGCAGATCAGATATTGGCTGTCTCTATTCTAGCAGGAAATTGCGCCAAAGCTGCGCCGCAACAGGTGACGCTGATAGACACAGGGGATCGTACAGTAGATAAGATTTGGATCTTGGGACTGGAGAGCACATGAGGCATTTCCCCGCCGATTCTCCTGAGACAGATCTTGGTCAAAGGTTCAGTGGTAGCGCTTCTATTCTGTAGCTATCTGTATTGGAAGTGCCTCAATGGGCTTTCCATTGCCAGATATCTGAAGGCTTCCCATAATGCTGCGGTTAAGGAAGTCGTAACACAATCACACCCTTTTGGACACCCAATGCACCACTCAGCCCTAATCCTTCGTCTTCTGGGTACCACGGAGCAAACCGGTTCTTCTGGCAGCAATGAGACCAGCCTTTTGACCTTGGGCGGCGTATCTCGAGATGGTGGAAGCCTTGCCGATATGTTGATGGTTACCACCACCGTGGGGATGGTCGACAGGGTTCATGGCAACACCACGAGTCTTGGGCCACGAGTTGCGCTTGACTGCGAACTTGTGCTTTGCGCGAGATGCCTCTGTATTGATCGTCAGTATATACTTCACAGCTATTGTTTCGTAGCAACGTACTCAGGATGGGCTTGTCGGTTCGTCCACCGCCTGCAACAATACCAATCATTCCTCTGGCAGTGCTGAGAACCACCTTCTTCGCACCACTGGGCAGCTTCACTCGGGTCTTGCCCTCATCTGGGTTGTGTCCGATAACGGTAACATAGTTGCCAGATGTCCGTCCCAAAGCGCCCCGATCACCGGTCTTCTCCTCAACGTTCGCTACCACGGTACCCTCAGGGACTTGACCCAATGGCAGAATGTTGCCGACCGACAAGTTGGCGTTCTTTCCGGCGTAGATGAACTGTCCAGTATACATTCCTTCCACGGCGATCAATGTCTCGGTTCGGTGCTTGTAGGCATAGGGGTCTCTGAATTTGACCAGGGCCAAAGGCGCTCCACGACCGGGGTCGTGGATGATATCAGTGACGGTACCGCGAAGGTATCCATGTCGCTCGCCATAGTCGAGGGTTCGGAACTTGGCCGGCGCCTTGTTGAGTCGGGTGTTGGCAGCTATAGACGAATATCAGTACAATGTGGGCAAGGGAATCGGAGCCCTTGTTGGAAATGGACATACTGAAGATTGAGCCTCTGCCCTTTCTCTGATTTCGGATGACGCGACCCATCCTGTGCTAAGGTGAGCAAGAGATGGGTTGATTCCGTCGGCAGGTAGTTTACCTGGCAGATGTTGATGATCGGACGACGACGAGTGTTCAAGCTGAGATTCAGAAATTTGGAGGTCCTGGATTCTGTGTGCGGGAATTTCCCAAAAGAGGATAGCCCAGCGTAACTCTTGGCGCAAACTCTGCACGTGACTGCAGGTATTAGGGCGGCAACATCCTCGCTTGGAACTCACTGTCTTGGCGGTTGGCGACTTCAAGTTCACCATCAAGTTCTCTAGGACACGCCACTGCATTGCATCTTGCCCTCAACGCTCTTGGTCGCGGCTCTTGAAATTGCATAGCAGCGGAGTCTACCTGAGTGGACAGCCTACAGGCGCTTGCAAACCGCCAGACTGAAAAACATCGGCACCCATCTCATGATCAAGTCGGTTTATCAAGCACCAGTGGAGGAAACCCAGCGTTCACGATTCCTGCTTCATTCTGAGTATTCCTCTGTACTGAAACGTGGCTCCGGTACTTGACAAGGTAGGCAGACACACAAGTTTGAGGGTGGGTGATCTACCATGGTTGAGTTGCAGGGCCTGGGATCGGCCTGTCCAATAACTGAGGCGGCCAGATTTACATCGATATTTAGATCGACACTGAGCTGAACAGCGTAGCTTCTCAGCTCAGTGATACCCTCAATACCAGTCACCGTTCCGCACATTCGCCAGAGACTACGGCAATGGCGTCAAGCTCAATGTCGCTAGGCATTACCAGGGTGGCAGATCCTTGACCTGGCGATCGTGGGCTTCTTTCTGCGTCGCAATTCTTGAAGGAGTCTAGCTGAGCCAGGCGACATGAACATTGGGGCATTCGCCGCAATGGGACTACCACGGCTGCACCGAACCCTTCGCTAGAAGGTCTCTTGCTCTGGATCAGCTCCCAAAACGCGAGACTGTCAAGCTGCATCGTGTCGACTGATAGAGCGACGCATATCCTAGCCAACGCAGCTCGTCCAGACAGAAGGTATGCGAAAGACGAGATCTCATATCAGACTATTTACTGGGATCCCAATCGGAGAAGCCCGCGTCCTCTGCCGCAACAGAGAATTCCCACCGAAACTCAGGCGAGGCTCAAAATCCTGACGCGGGGAAATGAGGATAGCAGGGCTCTTTCGCAAGTGACAGCGGAAACAAATGTGCGAGAAAGGCAGCCGAATAGGCACCGGCGACCAGGACTGGAGAGTACGGATATAAGGGCCACGTTGGCGGAATCCCAGTGGAAAGGGGCGCGCTTGGCACATGCGGTTGCTCAACAGCCAAATCACGGCTGGGATACCCTCCAACAGTCGAAGAGCCAGGTATCTCACGAAAGGTCCAGAGAGATCAAAGGCTCACAGGATGCCCTGCAGGTCAAGCTCTCGCCAACACTGCAGCCGGGAGTTTAGAAGACAGGATATAGGCCTCGCTGTGCCTGGAATGATAGATGGAATAATTTGTCCCAGACGCGTTCATGTAGCTTTCACGCGCCAAGTTCAGACTTTAGCTCACTTGTGCTCGCTGACCGCTTGACTTGACCAGTTCAAGTTGTGAAATCCACCTCCACCCGTGCCTGCCACTTGCCCAACGCATCCACGTCCACATTCGCACCTTCCCAATACAACGCGACACGACTTGCTATATTCTTGTGCAGACTCCTCGGCACCGTCGCTATGGACGACTCGGATTCTTCCTCGTTATCCTCAGCTCCATCTTCCGAGGATGAAGAGATGGTCCAACGAATGACGAAACCCACCGGGTTGGCTCGTTACTTCAAGCCTGCGCCCAAGGAACCCACGCCAGAGCCTCCCAAACGCGCCCCTTCCCCTCCGCACGAATATACTCTCGCCGACAATGAGGCGATTGCCGTGATTGTTATGTTTCGGAGTAGATTTCACGACGCGTTCCCCAAGTCCCTGCCACATTATGGTCCGCAAGACATTGAACGGGGCGTCTCTGGTGACCGCCCGGACGAACAAGTCGAGAGACTCTTGTGCGCGCTCTTGGGTCTGGTGTTGAACAGAAAGAAGGATGTCGAGTCAGTTCCCCATAACATGGCTGCAATTGATTGTGACAACAGTTGGAGGAGTCTAACATCGCGACAGACGAGGACACTATGGCCGAGCACTCGAAGATGCCATCTCAGCAAACAACAATCAATGGCCAACTGTGTGGAACAGCGTCAATCCTTTACATGGCGGGAAGAACTTTAACAACATGACACCGGAAGAACGGGTACGCCGCTTACTGTCACGCGTCATCTGAAGCGTTACTGATTTTCTTTGTCTACACAGCTGAGTCTGCTGAAGGCCCTGGTTCTGTGGTCACTCAATTCGTCAGAGGCAGTGCAAGGTCTCATCAAAGAATCATACAAACAAACCCGTCGCGACGACGATCGGAATCAGCCACGCAGTGTTCAGCCCTGGTTCTCAGATCAATATCGACGGAAGTACTGGCTGATCGAGGGATTGGAAGATTCACATTTCCGGATATATAGGGAGAACGATGGAAAAACTGCAAAAACCAACACCTGGTTCAGCGTTGCGGGATCAATTGAGGATGTCAAGGCGTTGGCAGACAAATTCGGCGAAGAGCACACCTCGAACTCCAAGTTAATTGCTGACAAGCTACGATCGGCTGTTCCCAGATTTGAGGCTGGTGAAGAGGTTTGTGGCTGCGCGAATCCACGGGTGAGATAGCTGCTGACACAGGCCTTAGAAGCGCCGACGGCGGGATTACCGCCTGGCCCGCAAAGCCGCATTTACGCGACCGGATCCCGGATTCTCCATGTATGAAGGACGAACTCGGGGCAAGAGGATGAGATATACATTTTCGGACGATGAGGACGGGTCTGATGGACTCTCTAGCCGGCGGTCTGCACGAAACTCCGGCATTGCTACCCCTCTGGAAGCGGGACCTACGGTCACTGCGAGTGGCAGGCAAGTCAAATCTCGAGTAGGGGGAGTATACGGCGAGAGTATACTTGTCGACCAGCGCAAAGAGTTGGAAAAGACAACCGGGGAGGGTCACTTTACGGAAACCAGCGAAGACATGCCTGGCACGGCCCCAAATGGGCGAGGCTTCCGCACATCGAGGTCGGGTCGAGCCGTCAAGCCGGCAAAGAAGACTTATCCAGACGACGTAGACTCGGAAAGCGACGAGGCTCAATCATCGGGGAAGGAGTGGAGTGGAAATGAGGACGAGCCCGATGACTCAGAGCCGGACTTTGACGCCGAAGATGAGGATGAAGCAATGAGCGATCAAGTAGTCGAGCCGGACGACTTGGGAGAGGACGATAATACCCAGGAGAGTCTGGTGGTGCAGTTGAGATATCGAAAGAGTGAAGAACCGCCTCAAGAGATCCAGCAGCACCCACCGGTTCAACCAGTCACGATTGGTATCTCCAATTCCAGCGATGGATTGGCGCCGGCGGAAAATGATGGCAAAGCAGCACTCGCGCCGACTGCTGAGGTTGTTATGGGTACCACGCAAGCGACTCCAGCATCAAAAGGCAGCAATGGTGTTCCCAGTGTCACGAATGGACTCGATGTCCCGGAAAACAATGGTTCATTACTTTCTCCCCCGCCCGCGCCGATGCCCGCGGAACCTACGCACATATCATAAGGGCCAGCCTTTGCCCGGTTCGAGATGTCGGAGGGTTGGCGGCGCAATAACCTGAGGCGGAGAAGATGTGATGGGATTTGACAGCGTTGGGGAGCGTGGGAGCCTCGACGTCGAACTGAAGGGGGGTGCAAGACTGCACGGAGAAGATATGTCTCTATTTACGTGTGCGGCAGCGGCAGCGGCAGGTATAAGGCCAACGGTGTACGGATTCTACGGCTCCAACACCTGCTAGTCTAAAAGCTGTTTGATGAGTCTTGTACCGACGGTCGTAGAGCTACGTTTAGAGTTATGATAGGCCTAGACTGTTAGGAGGACAGAACATACGAAGCTAAGTCTGGATGTCAAGCTCTTGATGGAGGGGAAATGGGATCACACCACTTGTCTGTTACTGTAGCTGACTGAATTGGTACCGGTTGAAAACATGTTGAGTGCCTGCCTGCCTGCCTGCAAAGTGCTGAGGAAGTGTTCGTCTTTCCAACATGCCCAGCCTATCTCTATACTAGAACCGGAGCCGGAGTCTAGTGTCCAGAACATGCATGAACATATAAGACAATTAATTGAACAAGCTAAGTAAGGTCGAGGTGGTATAGGTGAACAAGTAGTTGTGAGTACTCCCAGAGTGTCTCGGACTCTCCGTCTCCCTCTCTCCCTCTCCTTTCTCGCCCCAGGGTCACAAGCACAACAAGATCTCGCGACACCATCTCATCCAAAGCAACGCGTGGCCTCCTTGTTCCTAGAACTGACTCGACCAGCTGCAGGGACCACACCAAACCCAATGATTCAATTCAATGCAGTGGTGCCCGTCGACTCATCGCTGGATCCGTCCGGGTGATAGCTTCCCGGCCTCCGACAAACATAACATAGAATAGATATGCTTCTGAGCAGTAAAGTTGGGGGTATCTCTTTGAAGAAACGCAGGAAGAAAATGACAGGCAGAGCCCAGGGGGACCCCGGTGGAGGTCCCCCATCCAAAACAAAGCCGTGTCAACCAAGCCATTACATATTCACTCAGCGACAGACAGCCATTATCACGTCTCACTCCCAACTCTTGTACCTGCGTCGTCTTCACTCTTTGTCTGGCCAGCCTCTTGGGAAGGCTCGTCATCCGGCGTCGAACTGACAATGATGGCTGGCGGCGGCTGGGTCCACACCGGGCTCAAAGTGGCTCCAGATGACCGTTTGTCATCTGTCGAGGTGTTGCCATCGGTACCGTCGGGGTTGGATGCGCGTTTATCACCGGCAGGCTCGTCTCCTTGGGCCTCGACTGGTGGCTGGAGAGGGACAGAATCTTTGGCGATAGTACTGCTCTGATGTGCCGTCCGTCGTCTCATCCTCCGGTTTTTCCGCTCCTCGTCCGCCCCTTCCCTTCGTCTTCGAACGTCGATTTCCTCCCCAGCCGACGGAGCAGAACTTCTCATTTCCTGGAGAGCCTTCAAGGCTCGATCAGCAACGTCTTCGCTCTCGCTTACATCCCCTTTGCGAGTGGTGCCGTCTTCCGGACTGAGGCTGTCCTCATTGGGCTTTTCCCCCACGCTCTCGAGAGTCTGGTCTTCTTCCAGGCCTTCCTTGACCGGCAGATCAGGTAGTTGTTGGCCACTAGCAATTCTTTGATCATGTCGCTCCTTCAATCTAGCCCGTCGCCGTCGATCGCGTTGGTCTTTCACCTGTGGTGCAGCAGCCCGAAGCTTCTCAAGGAGGGTTTCCATGGCCCCATTGGCTGGTGGGCTGCCTGGGGTTTCTGACCCGCTCGCTCCACCGCTGGCATTCGTAGAGACTTGGGCTCTCTTTCTAGCCATGCTCACCTCGAGACGCCGCTTCTTCTCTTCCAGGGTCATGTTCTTGTCCCGTGACTTTTTCCACTCTGTCACGAAGCCGGCCAGCTTGCTGAAGAAATCTCGTCTAGCATTCTCATCGAGATTGTCCTCACCAAAGTAGGTCATTATGTCATCGTAAGTCCTTGATGTCTCTTCTAGGAAAAGCTGAAGTTGTTCCGCTTTCCGCCGCGCATCCTTCATGGACCTTTGTACAACTTGGGCAACACGGTCTTGAGGATGGAACTTCTTAGGATCACTCAGATTACCGGCGTCGAGCGAGGCTTGCACGTTCTTGATGTTGTCGATGTATTTCTTCGCATCCTGGAGCAACTGGTCCACGTTGAGCTTCGAGGCAATCACAACACCCGCAATGTCCTCGACGAAGACTTCCCATTGAGAGTACTGGTTGCGAACAATACGCTCAATAAGGTCGGCAAAAGTAGTCTCGTTCTTGTCGTCCTTGACCATGCCGAGGCGTGCCAGTGAACTCAGCTTGAATCCTGACGCTTGCTTGTTCGAGTCATTCATGTAATTTCCAATGTCTAGGATGAGGGCCAGCACACTCATCAACGAAGTAGAGTCGCGAATGGCTTCGGAGACGTCGACGACTTGCTTGAGTTTGCCAGAGATCTCATCGTATTCGTGCTCATACGACCTCGTGAGTGCGAGCGCGCGCATCCTGGCCTTCCAATAATGGTGCAGTTCAAACGCAGTCTGAAGGTAAATCTGGTCTTCTCTTGTTAGTTCCGACGGATCCTGTTCGCGCTTCGAATGCACGGCATCCGGCCCTGTCCAGTCCTTGCTGTACGGCGCCATCAACTTGGCAATGTTTTCCGGTATGTTGCAGAGATCCTCTCTCTGGAGGAAATCCATCACCACGTTATTGTCGAGCACCTCTCTGTCACAATGGATGATCTTTCGTACAACATCATCAGATGAGTCGTTCTTAAACTTCGCCATGGAGACGTGGAAGTTCTTCCTCATGTCGTTGCTGATAATCTGCTTCTTTTCGTCCTTGCCCTTGCCAGCGCCGCCTCGGATGATCCTGACGTCCTTTGCAATAAAGAGCTTCTCTACCTCGTCGAGGACACCCTTTCGTTGCAACTCACGGTACTTTTCCTCTCGGGATTCAGCCTTGGCACTCTCTGCCCAAACTGTGATTTGAGGCGTATCGACCTTGTCCCAGTGGAAGGCTTTGAGTTTCTTCTTTGGACGCATGACGGCGTTCTTTAGCATGGGTATGGGCGCGACCGGTGATAGAGGCATGAAGTGGCCATGTTGCGCGCCCGGCATGGGTGGAGCACCTGGTGGAGGAGGTATGGGCGATACCGGGCTCATGGGCAGTGATCCAGGGGGTGGCGGGGGAGGAGGTGGCGGGCCTCCCGTGAAACCCGGTGCTGATGGTGTGGCTGGAGAAAGAGGCATCCCACCAGGAGGTGGAGGCGGTGGTGGTGGTGGAGGAGGAGGAGGAGGAGGAGGAGCACCAGTCTCAAATCCGGGAATGAGTGCTGGCGTCGAAGAGTCTGATGGAGGCGGCGGAGGCGGGGGCGGAGGAGGAGGCCCGTTGAATTGTGCTTCCAATTGTACCTCATCCGGAGGTGTTCGCGGCGATTCGGACTCGAGACTTGGATGCGTAGGGCCCGTGGTAACGCCAGCATCGTCGCCTTCTGGTGAATTGTCATCACTGTCGTCGTCCGTCTTCTTGACCCTTGAAGTGATCTCGCTGAGAAGGCTTGCTTGTTGGTCTGCGCTGATCTTGGGTCTTGAAAATTCGACCAGGCGAGGCTTCTCATAAACGACCTCCTCTTCAACATCCGTGTCATAGTTGGCGTCCTCACTATTCGCCAAAGCCTCCAGAGCAGCTCTCCGAGGTCCCTTGTGGGCGTTACTCCTGTGCACGCTTCCCATAACACTATTAGTGAGATGCCGTTGTGTCTTTTCCTGGAAATCGGCATCGAGTGCATCGTCCATCTGTTCGCGTAGCTCCCTAAGTCGATCCGAGGGTCCCGTCTGGCCCCAGACTTTCCCTTCGAGCTTGAACTGGGTTTTGGTTCGCTCCAGATTCCGCTCTAGCCGCTCCATCAACCTCTCTCGATCCAAGATACCCTGCATTTGAGTCGGATCTTGGACTGCGGCTCCCCCCCCTTTGGCAGCTCGGGAAGCGGCAACATCTTGGGCATCCCGAAGCATCAAGTACAGCTCCCTCGTTTCCAGTTCATTCCTCTGAAGTTCCTGGGCCCGGAGTCGTTGGAGTTCGGCCACCTCGGACTTGAGAGACTCGGCTTGCCGGGCCTGCATCTCGATGATACCTGCCTGCTCATCGATTTGCTTTTGTAGTTTATCGACCAGGCCATCAGCACCAAGGGCAATCTGCGCCGCCATCTCATCCCGTTCAGCAATGGCCGCTTCGGCAATTTGCCTCGATTCCGTGGCTTCGTCAAAGGCAATCCGAGCTTCTTCGTCCGTATGTAGTCGGTCCAGCAGGCTTTGAACGGTGAAGGTCAAGCTCTGTTTAAGGTCCATGTCCGGCAATCTTCTGTCCATAGCCACGTAGCTGAGCATCGAATCCATCAGCTGAAACATTCTCAATCGCTCGTCTGGGTTGTTGTCACGGAGTATAAGCATGTGTTGCATGGCCGAGATGAAATAGTCTTGAGTCCTTGTGCCGTGGATCTTTGACATGATTGCGTCGGTGATTTGGATAGGATCCGTCATATCCTTCACTTCGCCCTCAATGCTGTCCACCATGCTGCTTCCTTCGCGTTGTAGTAGATCCTCATAGTCGATAGCTTCATTCTCGCGAAACTTCGTAATCTGTTTGTCAATGACATCGTACTGGAAGGACTCCATCTTAACCAGGATCCGCTTGATCCCACAAGCGATGAACTGAGCCCGGATATGGCATCGCAGTTGCAAGTCCCTTTCAGGAGCATCCACCAGCATGTTGATGAGAACCAATGTTGCGACAGCATACTCCATCAAGAGATTTTCCATACCTATGCCGCCGCTCCGGACCTCTTCACTCGCTCCCACAAGGCTGCCCATTTTGCCTCTGCCGTCGATCGTGACTTCGACGATGCGCATCCAGGCATCGAAACGGCCATTTTCGTTGATCATATTCTTGACTTGATCCATAGCCTGGAGCACCTTGAGGTGGCCCTCGCCTTCCTCCCAGTGACAGAGAAAGGTCAGGACTTCGCTGACCAGTTTTCTCGTAGTGAGGCGCGGAGATATGAGACATGTTGCCAGAGCCACTGGGATCTGCTCATGGGTCAAGGCATCGTCAGCGCCGTATTTGTTGTTCATCAGCGCCTTTAAACACTTGACAATGTCATATTCCCGGTCGAGATCTTTATCGGCCGAGGTGGTGGTGTTCATCGGAGTTGGTCCGTTGGCTTGACGTCGATTGATCTTCATCAGCACATTGGTCAACGCTATTTGTCCCTGGGCCTCGATGAACGCCTTGACCCAACTGATCGGTTGAGTACGTAGACTGACACTCAAGCTCTGGAGCTGTTTCGACGAAATAGTGTTGTCCACAATTCTCCGCACATACCACTCGGGTGTGCCGTCGACATCGCGGGCAATGGTCCCGTCGATGGTGCCGGTCTGTCTCGCTTGCTGTCTCCTTTTCTGCTCGCCCTGCCACTCCGTCAATTTGTCTTGGTGAACCAGAGTCCATTTTTTGGCAGGGGCATATGCCATCATTTGCCGCTTGGCTTGCTCGGGAAGATTTTGCCAGCCACGCTTATGCATAAGTTGGAGAAACAACTTTTCAACCTCAGCATCACTCTGCGGCTTGGGAAGATAGAAGCCGGCGGGAGTAAAGGAGGCGGTTGAGCTGAAGGGTGAAGATTGCTGCGCCGGCCAGCCGGAATGGGAGGTGAGTTTGGAGAGTCTCGAATGGGTGGGAGAGATGACCGTGACTGGAGAGTCCAAATCCTGGCGTGACGGTACTGCCGTTCTAGAAGAGCTCTCGGACGAGAAGAGGCTAGACCCTCTCGTTGCGGACGACGCAGTTGACTTGATACTGGCGCCATCAAACGACCTTCTCTGCCCTGCATAGGAGTCATTAGTCGAGACGGAATCGTACGTCCCGTGCTGCGCTCCGTTACTGCTGCCCGGCCTCCCCCATTGCTGATATTTGGTTCCCCGATCCCCCCCCTGGCTTGTCGCCATTGTAACCCCGTTCACACTGGAGGAATGTGGAGGCGGGCGAGGCCCGGTTGGGTGAGATGCACCATTGGCAGCACCGTTGAAGGCAGGATACTGATGAAAATCGGATCCTCGCGCAAGTTGGTGTGGTTGAGGCTCTCTTCTGGTTGGTACCTGATCGTCCCGCGGTAAATATTCGACCGATATGGGCGCATGTGAGTCCGACGTCGTCGAGTAGGGGATGGAGGTGATGACTCCAGCGGTCATGGCCAGGCCAGAGGAATCGGCATCCTGGCCGTCGTTCGAGACGACCGACTCCCTCTTCGAGTGCCGCGAACCCCAAGAGCCACCGGCGTTGGTGGATTCGAGTCCGCCACTTGCCTCGTAGCGACTGTCTACTTTGTTGTCTCGATGGCGTCGGAAGAAACTCTTACTGGAGGAAGACTGTCTGGTTGTCTTGTCGGTCTGTGTCATTGGGGGCATCCTCAGTGCTGCTGCTGCTGAGAAGAGGCAACGGGAATCATGTGTGTAGTTGAAAGACCCCGGAAGGGGGTGTTCCACCTCTTGAGACCTGCAATTCCCTCAATATAACTCTTTCCTGACGTCGGGTGTCGGGTGTCTGGACGGGATCTCTAGCCTTGCATGGCGCCTGCGACCTCTGGTACTCTGTTATTCTGGTAACACCCAGTTTCGGCAGGAGGAAGGGTGACGTGCACGTGGTGCGGCCGGACCTGCGAAGAATTGGCACAAAGGATGGCCTAGCGAGCGAGCGGTAAATCAACGAGCCGGACAATGCAGGGGGGACAGAGTGAGTCGACGCAGACGTTCGAGTTGCGCTGGGGGCGATGCAGAGGTGAACAGAGGACGCGGGTGTGCTGCAAGTTGACAAAAGAACCCGTGCACAAAGAGACGATTCAACATGAACTTGGGTTCTTCAAATGCCTGTGCACGGCGTTGACGGATGGTGGAGGGTGCTGTTCAGGTGGGCGAGGTCAGATAGAGCGCAGGGGTGTTTGCGAGCAGGTCAAAATACAGTCAAAAGTCAACAGGTGGAGAGAGTTCGTCCCTGGGCACCGTTTGGCGGCGTGCCTGCAAATGGCCTAATTACAGTAGTACTACCTAAAGTGCCTACCACCCGTCCACTGGCAGGTCTAGCCTCACAGATCCCGAGACCTCAGTCAACGGTCCAAGGGGCAATTAGGCACCTCAGTACCTATCTCTTATGTGATTTTACGGACGGAGTACATACCTTACCTGTAGGCTCTAGGCTCTAGGCTCCAGGCTCTAGGGATGCTAATCAGCGCCACCAGCACCATTCAATGCTTCATTCCTCACAGCGGCTGCGGTGCTACAGTCCAACCAATAAATAAATGATTTCCACGCCCGCTAGGCTGGAAGGGACTGCTAAAATGCTAACGCGAACCCTCTATAGAATCGTCGCCCACTAACACTGCTGCACTATTACGGCTCCTGCGGCTCTCCTCGGCAACCCCCTTACGGAGTCCGTTCCTCAGGCAGGCATTTAGACACCACTAGCATCCCTATCCTTTTCCTGCTGGGCGACCTCCAGTACGGAGTACGGAGAACGGAGTACAGAGTGTGTGGTGATATGTACTTACCCATTTCCCCTTATGATGCCCTACCTATACGCACCTTAGTCACATCCCACCTGGCAGCCCACGCCCCCTGGTGATGGGAGTACTCTCAAGAAGGAAACAATAGCTTACACGATCAATTACCTTAAAAATACTGGCTCCACGTAGGTAAATCGCCGTTAATTGTCATCCCCAACGGTAGCAGTGTGGCAGGACGCCAAAAGACACTCGCCCACCAGGAGGAGTCCGGAGGCGACACTGGCACTAGCTACTAAAGACCACCAACTCGAGCTCGCCCTCCGGTCCGTGCAACGTATCGACGCTCCAGAACAACCAGGGCTGGGGCCTCCCTAATTTCACGATCGGCAACTGAATTGCAACACCCTCCTCTTCCGTCTGGCATCTATATCTGACCCATTACACACTCCCCCCTCCCCCATCGAGCCGCCGACTATGGCGGCATAATGGGTTCCTCGTTCCTCAGGCGCTCATTGCCCGGCACAATCGTGTCGACCGAAGGCACCGCAGCCGCCCCGGTCAGCTCCCACGAGACCGCCAGCAGCAGGATGGCCGGCTCAGGCTTGCTGAAGTTCGCGAGGGTACGTAGACTGTACCAAAGCTGTCGACTAAATGACAATGACACAAGTGTGGGTTGACAAGAAACTAACCGAAAATCATCGATGTTACAGACAATCCTCCTCCCCATGTTCATCTCCGCCGTGCTATACCTGGTCATCTTTCACGCCCTATTACCATTATATCGACGACACCGCGCTCGCTATTCGCAATACCTCCCTCTCCAATCCAGCTCCCTACTGTCGTCGCATCTCCCCGAAGCCCTTCAACCCTCTTCTCTCCGCGACCGCCTGTCCACTCTGTTTCTCCGCCTCTTCCTCCCCTCGACGTGGGCATTTCGGGACCGCTTCCGCCGCCGCGAAAGTGTGGTCAATGCCGATGCCGAACTCTTTGACGAGGAGTCCGGCGAGGCCATGGTCGGCTTCGACGTACAGGAGCGCAGTCGCCGACGGGATGGGATGGAACGTCAACTGGCAAACATGAATGCTGCCACTAGAACCGTGAGTCGTTCGGCCGATCCAGGCTCAGACTCGAATCGACGCTTGAGCCGCGACCTAGAGGAAGGCTTCCGCGACGATAGCGATGACGAAGGTGATGGACATGAACTTGTGGCGGGCAGAATAATGGACATAGGCGGGCGCAGATGATGTCGAGAGGCCTCTAGATGCAGCGTTCAGAGTCATGTTCTTTTTCTCCTCCTGCAACCTCTGCCCTCTGTGGCAGAAAGCTATCCAGCTGGCTTCTTACGATATCTCTGGCATCACGAAGGAAGCAATTTGGGTCGGATCGCGGGCAGGTCACTCTCAGAAGTTGTTATCGAGTGCGATCAGCGAACCGGACTAGATGACTGTTGACCATCCCCACGGTCCGTTTAGAGGATACACTGCACGCCCCAAGGCGAAAAGAGACGGGCCCACAACATTCTGGCTCAAGCAATCGATGCTACATGTATAGAACGGGACAGGCCATTTGGGAATTCCCCTTTACGTGGATCGATATCATGCCCTCCCTAGTCGCAAATCCCGAACGACAAATGTCCCAGGCAGGCTACAGCAGAGAACCCGCAGCTCTAAAAATCGCTTTAGAGCAAATGGTCGCTTGGGAAAGGTCATGAGCGGCTGATTTTGTATAACGTCTGACGGCGACAAAGATAGACAAGCAGAGAAAATAGAGATGTGAAACACTCCATTGAAGCGTCACACTTTTCTTTCCACTCGGAGAAGATTCTCGATAGATAGCTATATGTACAGTTTGTCCAGCAGCGCCATGTTTCCAATGGCGCCAATCTCAGTCGAAATGTGAAACATCTTGCCTCTCGTATCCAAGCAAATGCAAACGTAAGAAGCTTGGACAGAGCGCAAACAAAACATCCGCTCAAGTATCCGGCGCGGATGTGGTCCCTTTCGCCGATTATCTGCAGAACGCATTCGTTTCACGACGTTGGAGAGATCTACTGTCGCCTCGAAAGGTGACGCTCCATTTTCCAGCCATAACAACACCTCCTCTCGCTCCAATTTCCAAAGACCGGAATAGAACAACATCAGAAAGATATTTTGCATCTGGATCATCAGCTTCATGTGGTGGTATGTTTACAGATTCTGCAACATCGAAGGTTGAACAAGTTGACTGGGGGCCATCATCGGATGAGACATGGATTGCATAACAAGTGTTGATGGCGGAGGCATCGACATGGCAACCATGCCAGAAACACTCATGGGCCGGGTGACTTCGTCCGGAGAGGATAATTCTTCCATGGAACCGAAGTCATTTTCTTCATTTTCCAGTTCCTCTTCGCTGGTCATGGGAGCAGGCTGACCATCTTGTTGCGATTCGTGTGTTCGACGATGTCTGTGAGTTCCAGTAAGTCACCGTTTGATTACACCGTCAGCGTCTACTTACTGTGCCAAATTGTCGGATCGTGAGAATGCTTTGTTGCAGTATGGGCACACGTAGGGCCGCTCTTGAGTATGGGTTCGGACGTGTCTAGATTCAAGGTACATCAGTCACCGTGGAAGCGAGGAGAAGTGAGTTGACGTACCGTTTGAGATGTTCGAGGCGCTTGAAGAGTCGGCCACAGCTTGGGATAGGACACGAATGGGACTTATAAGGTACCCCGAGTTCCATCATGGTCGCGCTTCGTGCCCTTCGTACGGGTCCTGGCCTTTCCAACCGGACGGCGGGGCTGGCCTGTAGTGAGTGGGCCTGCATATCATCTCCGTTGATTCCAGCCATGGCGAATGTATGCGCAGCATCTTCCTCTAAGCTGTGTAGAGGAGTCGAATGACGGGAAGCGTCATTCAGATGATCCCGGTTCATGATGGAGGATGCATAGCTGTGAGCCAGGCCTGGCGGAGACTGTCCGGCTGATTCGTCCCCTTCAGCGATAGGGAGAACAGAGCTAGACATGGACCGTCGAAGATCGCTAGGCCTCTGCGGAACATGAGCTTTCATACCGTGCGTGACCTGGGCAACGGCGTTGGCAGCAACAGCATTCATGATGGATGAAGGAATAGAAGATCGCCTCCTCCGGGCTTTGTAGGTGGGAGAACCTTCAATGACCGAGTAGACGTTCCCCGGTGGAAATGTTCGGGGAGCACTTGCATAAGTCGGACCAGCCATTGTGGCAGGAGGAAGCGAAGCCATCGGATTGTACGCAGACATCGGCTGCATCTCTGGAATGGCCGAGTAGAGGCCGGTGTCTTCGTTGGCGATGTAGGCCGGCTCTGTGCCGACCGGCATCGCATGCTGGGGGGGAGTGATGGGTTCGTATGAGAGACCACGAGTGCTGTAGTCCTCGAAATGCGACGAAACGAAGGAAGGGGCCGGAGAGTACTCCATATAAGCCGCAGGCATGGACGCATGTCGGATGTGTGCGCGGTCATATGCGACACCATTTCGGTCATAGGCGATCTGGGAGAAATCCTGCTCTCGTGACATCGCTGTGGTGTGAATGGGGTTGGACATGGCCATGCTTGTGTACAGAGATTGTTGCTGCTCCTGCGATCGGGGCATGTGTGGTGGGCCCATCTGTGGAGGGGGCATTGAATCCGTTGCGCGGAGCACAGGAGAAGGGGCTTGGGAGTACGGCACGGTTCCATTCGCGGTCGCGAAAGATGAGGAACTGGCTTGTTGAGCCTTGGTGAGTTGCTCGAAGAGTGACTGGGAGGAGTCGAACTCGAATGACAGTGCCGGCTCTGCCACGGCCTTTGTCGTCGCCTCCTGGTTCATCTTCTCGCGCTTCAAGTCTCGCTCGAGAGCATCGAGGAACAGGCGATCATGAGGCACGCTGTACCAGTAAAACACTTTTTGCTTCTTTTGTGTTCGGATGCAGTTGTTCTTGTACAAGAAGTCCAAGAACGGACTCTTGGGTTCCTCTAGAGACGCGTCCGTGCCGGACTTGAGATTTCGCAGGTCTGAGAAGATGCCTTCCTCGAATTTCTTGGGATTCTTCACTGGTCGACCGAATGCTTGAAAACGGAAAGATAGACACCTGACGATATCTGTGCCGGAGATGTGGAAGAGATTGTTCCATAGAACGCAGGAGACATATTCGCCGGTAGGGAGGAGAAATCTCCTGATCAAAGAGTCCGGGCTCCAGTCTACCGGAGCCGAGATGAGAAAGTATTTGAGGTTGTCCACTTGCTGCAGGGCGACTTGCGCATCCTGGGGCAGGCTTTGCTGGGCCTCATTCGAAAGCATGAACGTTTCGGGCTTCTGAGGGTGAGCCATTGGCGCACCACTCGAAGGATACATGGTCGCCGGGGGAAGTATGGACACGTCGAAGGAGAGGCGGGGATCGTCACAGACTTTCACAGCTTCCTCCTGACCGTTGTGCTATCGCATACAAAACCGTGAATTGTACCACAGTTCTTGTCTCTTTCTCAGTAAACCCAAAACGGTGGTCTGATTTTGTAGGTAGTGTTGTCAGGGCGGGAATGGGGGGACTGGGCGATAGATACAGTCAGGAAAGCGGACCGGGAGGGCGATGCTGAGAATGTTGTATAGCGAGTGTGCCGATGATGTAAATGGAGTCAATGCGAGAGACCAGCTTCGCAGAACGTCCAGACGTGGTGAAGCTCCTGTCTCGAATAAGGGAAGCGAGGAGAGGTGAAACGAAAGTGGATAAGGAGAGGAGCTAGTCGCTCTCAAAAGTCCTCCAGGGCAAAGGCCGAGGATGGAAGTGAAGACAGGGCCCGGGAGGAGGAATAGTGTGCTGTAGAAGCAACGAGGTGAAACAGATGGAGGATGGATGAAGGTGGAGGAGAGGAAGCAAGGTAGAGATGTAGAGAGAGGGAGAGAGTCAGAGTCGAAGGGGAAAACCGAACCAGCGAGGGAAGCGAGAGCGACCGCGGAAAGAAGAGGTAGAGAGAGGGTAGAGTAGGAGTCGCAGGTCGTAGTGGTACTAGCAGAAGCACAGATTATAGGCGTGGATGGGGGGGAGGGAACTAAACATGACCAGGATGTTCGGGGGCTCAGGGCAGCTGGCTAGAGGGCGGGTGTGCCTAGGGGGAAGGAAAATCCTGGGCCGGAGGGGGGCGTGCCAGTCACCACTCACCAGTGCCAGTCAGTGGGGAAGCCCGGCTAGGCGGATGCAGGCGCTACCAGCTCCTAACCAACTGCGCGCCGTGCAACTCCAGAGGACGAAGCACCAGACCAGTGACTGTCAATGGGGAATCAAAAAGGAGGAGCCAGTAATTAGTATAGTTTAGAGGTGATGGCAGCTCCCATGCCCCAGGACCAGGGCAGCATCTAGGGGCCAATGGACCAGTAATGATATTGTCTGCCATTCTATGCTGTACCCGTCTTCTTCCATATCACTTCTACGAGAGATTGTTACGTAGGGAGTACTCCGTATAGCTGCTGGAGATGGAGAGACGCGCAGAGGGCAAAGTGCGGAAATTCTGTGTACTCTGTACTGTACACCTAGTACTAGGTGCCTAGAGTACGGAGCAGGGTGTGCGCCTCGTCTCGTGTCGATCGATGGTCATGTTGCCGCTTGGGAGGAGACTCCCATCCGTTGCACTCATCCCACAGTACCTCTTTTTTTGCGCTTTTCCAACCAGCTTTTGCGGTTTAGCCGCCAATTAGTCGTACAGTAGTTGGTGGTAGCCTCCTAAGCCCTTCCGTCCGTCCCACTGGGCACGATACATGCACTAGAACAGGTACGAGCTCTCCACTCTCCTTTCGAGTCCAACGGTGTCAAAGTCGGCATAGTATGGTATGCATTCATTGTTGACAAAAACAACAATGCTGGCAGCTGCACGACCAGGGTTCCTGTCTTCGGCATCCCCCAACCCGTGATTGAACAGCACCTCAGTGCCTTTTGCGCGCCTTCTGATCGAATGTTGACACACATCGCGCGTCTGATGTCGGCATTCCACATGGGCGTCATCCTTCGGAAAGATATCCATGCAGGCCACGACAGACGTATGTTATTGACATGGCACACCCTCGCTCGACAGATACAAGCCTAAGGCTACACATCCTGGCCCAATGCTGTGTGCCATTAACCGAGACACCCGCAGAGCATCTGCGCGACCTACTACGGAGTACTACTAGTAGTGTCCATCATCTTCTTTGGCAGGTGAAAGGAGAGCACAAGACACACCACGAAAGGTCTAGACAACGCGCCGATGGTGACTCCATCCGCAGTTGCTATTTTGAACAGGAGGAGGCCATCTGCGGATACGCATCCCTACCTACCATAGTACGGAGACGGAGTGCACATACGGCCAGGTCAGCGTGTCGCTGTGCCCGCAGACTATGAACCGTTGGTCTGAACAAGGCTTGGGGGGGCGAGATGCCTGGGGTGTGGCAGATGAAGATGAAACGAGTGGCTGAGAAGTGGCGGACCCGTTGCACGAATAGCCTGCAGCTGGCGGTTGGGGACTGCGCCTTGGTCGCTCTGGCGCCAAAGAGCTCCCGAGTTCCCGAGTTCTCCAGCCAGCAGCTTGTTCGATTCAGAAACACATCTCAAACTGACGCCGCGAAGCAAAGGCCAAGTTTCACAGTCCTGAGCGTGCTCGTCGAGGGCGACGTCCTGGTAACCTCTCACATGGCTCCTAGTTCGGCCGAAGGGACCTTGTCCCTTGGGAGTCTGGCAGCCACTGCCTGTCTAGTGTCCCTTGCGACTTAATCTCCACCACCACACGTCGGGTGCTGGCAAAAAGGTAGACGTAGATTTTGTCTCCGATGCGACCAGGGTCGACAATCCTACTCTGTTGCCCCTTTCTTCGCATGAGCAAATGTGACCAAATTTCTCCGACGACTTCCAGGTTGACACCAGGATTCCCCGCCGCTGCATAAGCGTGACGGTCGTTTACATCCGTTGGCTCCTCTACTTGGTAGTGTGGCTCTTTTGTGTTATTCTTGTTCCATTATGGATGCCATCGAATACGGGCCGAGTCGGTCGGCCGCAACTGGTAGAGGAGACCGCAGGCCGACCGAGATGATTAGCACAGGTGTGTACGACCGCAAACGTTGCTTCGACGCAGCCATGGGGGAAGGATGCTGGCAGAGAAGAGCACTTGGTACATGAACATTGAGGATTGGTTGAGGACTGGTGAGCTGAGATGCAGCGCACAGGTAAATCGCATTGTAGTAAGGTATGCAGTACTGTACGTGAACGTGACAGGCGGCGATCAGCCACCTGCGTCCAACAGTGCGAGTACTGCGTAAATCGACCATAATTAGAAATTTCTTCAACTTCGGGCGTTCCTCGTCCCTGATCATCACAACAACGCCTGCCCCGAGTGACAGGATCCAATGTACAGAGCACACCCGTGATGCTTTCTCTCCACGCACTATCCTATTGGCTTTCTTTCCTCCGAACTTGGCCGCCATGGTCTGTGTAAGCTGCGAGGCCCTGGTGGTGCTGGGTCAGATCAAGGCTATTGGTGGTCGACATCAGACTGGCGCGCTCGCTTAGCCGACAGTTTCAGAACATCATGCCAGAACCTCAGGGACAAGGATGGGAGAGCGCAACCCAGGCAAGCAAGTCGCCCACGAGGGCCAACGGTCGCTTCGCTCAGACTCGAGAATCTGGACGCACGCGCCATGCTCTAGAGTGACCCAGATGGCGCTACGTTTCAGATTTATTCTCCCTATGCAGTCACATTGGTTGCGAGGGGATGACAGGATGAATTTTCTCCGTGGAAAGAGTGATTGGACCGCCAGGCTCGTCATCCATCTCGCGCCTCCGACATGCACATCATCAATGATGCATATGCTGTTGTTTTCATGGGCTTCTAGAGAACCAGCCCCTCCACGCGACTTTCAAACCAACCCGCACAGATCTGGTCTACGAACATCAAGTTGCAGCTGCCAAAAAGTGAAGCGGAGCACGATGCATGAAACATTGCACCATGATCGGGCGCTTTGTCTGCTTCCCCCCCAACCGAGGTGGTGGCGTGGCGCCCGCTTGTCATAAGAATATGCGACCCTTGCAAATCTCCGACAAACCAACCTCTGGTCTCCGGGGCACGACAGGGTCACATCACAGACAGTCCAGGGAGGCCAACGTCCATTACTGTCACTTACTGTTCTTGGACACCCCATCGAGCCCAGCCACCACGGATACCAGCGAGCCCGACTGATCGTGCGACGATTGTTCCTTGCTGTAGCTCCAAGGCTGAAGCGACGGTGTGACACGAAGAATGTTCTTTGACCAGGCCCAAAGAAACCAGCCCTAACGTGAGGGGACATGTTTCAAGCATCGACCGTTATCACCAAGGCGGCCTCGACGTCACTTCATCCCTTGACAAGTATCCGTACCTATCCTTCATGGAGTTTCAATGATAACAAACAAGCAGGTCCGGGATGTGACGGCAGCTCGGTCTTATCCGAGGGATCTATCAGCATTGCGCATCATCCTGGTTGAGACGAAACACATTACGTTCGGACAAGCTCAGGGTCAGGGCCCAAAGAGAAGACAGACGAAGAAAGGGGCGACTGTCTTCCGAGGACAAACCATGGTCACCGAGGCGTCGCTGGAGCTAACGTCGGCCTCTCTTTCCTCGACCGCCAGGACGACTCGGGCCTTGGATGTCGACGATGTCTCTCTTGCTCAGTTTCAGAGTGCCTCCTTGGAATCTGCCCACTGCAGGCACATCTACTCCACGCTCTCTCCGAGCTGGGCTAGATTTTGACTTCATCGTGGGTCTCTCGAGGATGATACCATTCTCTCGTGCCTCCCTTCTTCGCACTCCTTCCCGAGTTGCCGCTTTGGCAGTGATTCCCCTCCGGTGGGTCAGGGGCATTTTCTCTTGATGAAAAATCGACCCCTTTGATCCCAGTGACTGTAGCCGCATGTCCACGGCCTTATGTCGGTGTCTCCCCGGCGTGGATGCTGTCTTCGCTTCCTCTAACAGATGCGATTCCTTGAGAAGGCGCTGAAGGTCGAGATCATGTTTCAGATTAAGTTCCTCGGATAAATCCTCCTGGTCTGCCTGTTTGTCGGGTTTTTTCGGTGGCATTTGCTCGACGTTCTTAGGGGGCGCCGAAGTCTGGCTTCCGCGTCAGCAACCTGCATGTGTACAGACTGTCTCTTCCTTGTACGCAACGACTCACCATGAACGTCTTGAATTGCTTGCGCTGTAGTTCAGCCTCTTCTGTGCCGTCCGTCGTGAATGTCCGATGCTCGATAATCTCCACTGTCGTATTCTCTTGTTCAGGCTCTGAGAGACCTTCCCACTCCACGTCTTCCTCATCTGAAAAGTCACGGGCATTTTCCTCGTCTTCCAGCAACGAAGGAGTCGGTGCGTGAGACTCGGGCAAAGGTTCAAAGGTGGACTCGAAGTATTTCCTGAATATATCTCGCTCAACGTCGGAGAGGGTTGTGTGTGCGGTCGGCTGTTCATTGTCGCTGTCGGTGCCGCGTCGGGTGTCGCGAGCGGCAACGACGACTTCTCGTTTTCTTTTCCCCAATGTAGCGGACATACTGCGCTTAGAGATGGAAGCGAAGGTCAAGAATGTCAGTCGGGTCCAAGCAGCACCGTGTTCTGAGTGTCAGTGTCTGCCCCATGGGATGGCCGGCCAAGGTCGACTGTGCTGCGCTGCACTGCAAGAGCATCACTGGCATCGCATGAGTCGGGGACAGAACATTTGTGCCAAGAAGTTGAAGCAGATCTCAGCCTGACCCTGCCAGTCACAGTGAGGCTCCGCCGGGGAAAAAGTCGAATAATAATAACCTGAACGCGGAAATGACTCCGACTGGCAGAAATCAAACGACGAGCCTTCTCGAGAATTCTGATTCTACTATCACTATCACTATTACTACTACTACTGCTGGAGTACTACAAAGTACTATCCGTACAGAGTACTACCTACGTGGGAGCCATCTATCTTTTACATCAGGGTCGGCTGTCCACTTTCGAACGTTCGACCCCCGACCTCTGTAGTGTCCCATCCATCTCATGATCTGATCCTAGCAGCGGCGGGCAGAGGACCAGAAACTTGATCAGGAACTCAACCTCGGTCTCGATCTCGACCTAGATCTCGCACGCCGCCATGACCCGCTTCCGACCATGTATCGACCTGCACGCAGGCCAGGTGAAGCAGATCGTCGGCGGGACTCTCAGCACGCAAGAAAGCGAGCTCAAGACGAACCACGTCTCGCACCATCCGGCCGAGTACTTCGCCGAGCTGTACCGCGCCGCCAACCTGGCCGGCGCCCATGTCATCATGCTCGGGCCGGGCAACGACGACGCCGCCCGCGCCGCTCTGGCAGCCTGGCCCGGCCATCTGCAGGTAGGAGGGGGGATCACCAACGGCAACGCGAAGCAATGGATTGAGGCTGGTGCGGAAAGGGTGAGTCGCTCGCGCATCTGCCCTCGACTTTGTCGATCCTAATCCCATCACCTCCCAACCCTTCCATGTGGCTCATGGGCTCCGGCGGGCCGCCGTCGAGAGTGAGAGTGCCTGTTTCCCCTGAGTGATCAAGCAGTAGGTCATCATCACGTCGTTTCTTTTCCCCGCCGGCCGTTTCTCTCTGGAGAGACTGCAAGCCGTGCTCGCGGCCCTGGACAACGACAAGTCCAAGCTCGTCATCGACCTCAGCTGCCGCAGGAAAGACGACACCTGGTTCGTCGCCATGAACAAGTGGCAGACCATCACCGAGATGGAAATCACCAAAGGTACGTACGTGCATGTGTAATCAATCGAGACCTGCAGGCCAGTCCCAAGTCCGGATGATCCATGACTTGCTCTGAGTCACGGTCACGGTCTTGGTCTTTGATTGACCGTTTCGCCTCCTCCTCCTCCTCCTCCTCCTCCTCCTCCTAGTCCTGTCATTGCTACCCAAGCCCAAGTACTAATACTAATTGATGGGTTCTCTAGAGAGCATTGCAGCGCTCGAACCCTATTGTTCGGAATTCCTGATCCACGCAGCCGACAACGAAGGCTTGCAGCAAGGCATCGACACCGAGCTGGTCTCCAAGTTGGCCGAATGGTGCTCTATCCCAGTGACCTATGCCGGGGGCGCCCGCACCGTGGAGGATCTCGACCTCGTCAGGAAACGCAGCAATGGCAAAGTCGACCTGACTATCGGAAGTGCGCTCGACATCTTTGGCGGGAGCGGAGCATCCTTCGAAGACTGCGTCAGATGGAATCAAGACAATGCATCATCATCATGATGGAAGTGAAGAAGTGAAGTGCTTGATTAATGACATGAGACATGATTCTCCAGTTTTCTTCCAATTGATCCCTGCGTGTTGAGTCTGTTGCGTCATGCGTTCGTCCCGTCAGTCATCATCCATCGCACCATCCTGGTCCTGGACTCCCTCGCCTGATACTGATGTCAGTCTCAGTTTCAGCCTCAGCCTCACAAACGTTCGAGTATTCTTCAATGCCACCCTCCCGGCCATCATCCGCATACGAACAATCCATCGCATCCAGATCGAGCATGTCTCATTTTCTACGATATCCAAGGTCAATCGTCCATACGCGCATCCGCTTTTCAATTCTGTTTTCGTCCCCCTCCTCGTCTCCGTCGCCGTCGTCGTCCTCGAGGGTCCGCCTCAAGTGATAACCACCTTCCGGATCAGACACAAACTCACTCTCGGACTTGATCCATTCTTGGCGCTGCCACTTACACCAGCCCGCGGCGTTCTTCAGCCCCCGCATCCTCCAGCGCCGGGTCTTGCGCATCCTCCTACTCGTTTGCTGCACCTGCTGCAGGAGGACGTCCCAGCCCGCCACCACGGCGAATGAGCCATCATCATTCCGTACCACGTTGACAGGCCAAACTTCATGGGTGGTCGGCCCTTGTAGCTGCTGGCTGGATGCTGGCCAAAATCGCAAAGTGTCGTCGTTCTTGTCTTTGTCTTCGGCTTCATCTTCGTATTCCGCCCCCTGACTCGAATCTGGCACCGGCCCTGGCAATGTGCGACAGGTAGGAAAACGGCCAATGTCGTTCTTCTCCCTCCACAGCATCATGCTCGCCAAGAGGGTCTTGAGGTTAAGCTACGCGCACATGAAACACAGTCTAAGTCAGCATCGCTCTTTTTCATGCTTGGTAGGTATGCAATGGATCCAAGACTCAAGCTAGGCATGGCAGGTAGGCAGGCAGCAATTTGAAGGGAGGTGCTGGGGGGAATCGGGGAGCTTTTGCGACTTATCCTCCTGTGTGCCTGTCTCTGCAAGATCACTCACATCCATAGCCTCGGTGGCAAGCCTTGCGATCCACCAGTCCAGATGAAAGGCCATCGTCTGCGGAATCGCGGCCCTCTTGACCAGTCTGGGCAGTTCCAAGACCCCAAAGTCGAAGTCAAAGTCGAAGTCCATGTCGAAATCCAAGTTCCAATCCGTGTCCAAGTCCCCGGTCATGTCCATCCCCAATTCCAATTCTGACTCCAGGTTCTCGTTTCCCTCCGAAGACCCGTGATTTTTGCCTTTGTATCGGCGTGGTCCTCGATCGTTGTCTTGTTTTTCCGCCCATTCGCCGCGAAACCCCTGGCCATTCGCACTATATGTCCTCTTCTGGGCTTGGTCTTCCCTGCGGCTGTTCGGCGACTTTGCAGGGCACTCTGAAGGCATGCCACAGGAAGTTTTGCTGAAGAACCCGTGAGGCAGGTCGTGGTAATATTTCGACAGCGAAGGGAGCGACTCCGGCGAGCAGGAGGCCTCGAGGACCGTCGAGCACGGCGACTCTAGCCGGTCTGTTGTATCCCGCGCCATGTCAGAACCATCAGTCTGTCTCTTTGGATCCTGGGTTCGTGGTTGTTCCCGCATCTTGACTCCTAAGCGGTTGCTATCGGGGGCGCAGGCCGCGGATGTGGCACAGCTGCTGGGACTAGATGGCTGGCATCGACGGCAGAGAGGAGATGAATGGAAAAATCCGAAGGCGTTTGCATTACAACATGTGTGTGATGTCTTCCGTCGCTTGTTGACTTTGTCCCATTTCTATCGAACGTGTTTGAATTAACTGTAACGTCTCAAAATTCACTCCCTGCGTACCTTCTTCAGGATTAAATTCCCTCTTCTTGATAACAGTTCTGCTTCCGGAATAGACTACTAACCGTGGTGAGGAAGATAGCTTTGGAAGTCCCAAACATAGGCAAGAAAGATTTCAAACAACAATTTGAACATGTAGACAAGGAAATCAGAACATTGGGCGATATATCAGACGCCATGGTAACAAGAAATCTCAGCTAGATACATAATGCCTGCAACTATTCTCCTTACACCATCCAATGTTTCGAATGGCAAAAATTTGGGCAACACCTTTACTCTGTTTGCATGATAAACACGTCACACAAAATTACCAGTTCCAAAAAGGTTGATTTGTCAATGTCTCATTGATTCAGCTACCTATTTCGGTGCTATTCACTCTTCCGAGCATGTTCGTAAGGAATACATTCATCAAGACCTCATGAAAACCCGCATAGTGTGCAAGAGGTATTTTGACATGTTCATGACTGATCCAACCACTTCCACCGCGTTTGAGAAACATTCTTAGGAACTGTTGCTACGAGGTATCGTGGTGGACATAAGAGATGTTGTTTGAGGAAGTCGCTTAGTGAGTAGCAGCCTGCTTGTTGCCCTCGGCAGAAGCCTGAAGTAAGTGTTAGTGTGGCAATGGTGATATGGAAAAGACTGCGAACGTACAGAGCTCTTGCTCTCGTCAAGTTTGTCACCGGCAGCATCCTTCGCAGCAGAGGCACGAGTTCCCAGAGACGCGTCAGAGTCTTTGGCGACGTTCTTGTTGGCCTCCTTGGAAGCACCGGAGGTGGCCTCGTTGACCTTGTCACCGACGAAGCTAGAGGGGAGAGTCAGTGCTGTTTGATGGAAGAGAGACGATGAGACCGAGGGCAACAACGTACTTGGCAGCGTTCTTGACGGAATCCATTGTGGAAGGGTTGGTGGGTTGAGTTGATTTGGTTTGAATTGAGAAAAGTCTTGAAGGCTGTGTTGGTATGAGAGCTGATGGATTGTGTGATGGTGAGAGAGAAGTTGAGAGGAGGGAGAGAGAAAAGCAGATACTTATAGTGGCCAGAGGCCGGATACAGTGACAACGTGGAAGGAGGCCTGGTGACTTCACAATGCCTGGCCACCTGCCGTGTTGAATGAAAACAGTTGAATTGCCCCGCGACAGGCTTCACTTTGTTCGTTACGTGCTGCCCCACTGCCTTCCTGCCTTCCTGCCCTCCTGCCTTCACTGGCATCGCAGGCATCGCAGTGCATCGCAGGGCCTCGCAGGCCAATCCAAGGAAAGCGCCTCGTCCGCCGGTGGGCTGCTAGCCTGTCGTTCACCCGAGATCTCCATATTGCTTCACGCAGATGACGTTTTGGCTGCGCAGGTGACAAAGGGCAAAGGCGGATCAACGCATGGCATTTGGGTGAAGATGGAGGTGACGTACAGAGTACGTACGGGACTCTTGTCTGACCCCGGACCGCCACAAATGACGACAGCCAGCGAATTGGAGGGCGCGAGAGCGCAGTGGCGCCACACCTTGATCTCAGTGTGGAGGCCGCCGGCTGTGGCTAAGCAGCGTACTGACTTCTGATTGGGCGGCTAACATCTTACTCCAGCAAGGCCTGCGAAAGGATCTTGCTTCCGCCCACCCACCGCAGGAGGAGCTGAGCCTGAGGTGCATCACAGTCTTGCGCTTTCCCCTCCCAGATCCCAGTCGTTGGCCTCGTGAGTCCTCGGACCTTCCAAGTTCCCATGACGTCTTTAAAGACGCTGTAGAGAGAAGCTTCAAGTTCGGTTTGTCGCTGAGAGCTGAGATGCCACCCACTGCCCAACTCACAGCCACCAATTACACGACACAGAGGACAAACTTCGGTACGACCAGGACACAATAATGCCATTCTCTCATCCCCCATGGCACATTGAGAGCCGCGTCACTGCTGCCTTGTATGACATGCACGATTTCAGCTTATCCATTGAGCGTCAACTACAGCCATTGCGGAGCCTGCAGCGCAGTCGACTTCTCATATGCCGTATGCCGTATGCCCAACTTGAGCCCTCAGACCACATGTCCTCGGTCTTTCTTTGAACTGTGCGAGGTGATTCTAAGATAGTAGCCGTCAGGATCTACCAGCCGAAAGTCTCGCAACCCCCAAGGCTGCGACTCGATGTCTGCATCCAGCTTCCAACCCTTTCTCAGCACAAAGTCCCTCTCCTTGTCCACGTCGTCGACTTCAATGACGATTTCGATTCCCTTGCTGGGACGGCGGTAGCTTTCCTTCTGCTCAAGAGTCTCTGTTGACCCGGTCTCGATAGCCCCGATGAAGATATTGTCTCGTTGAAGGTAGGCGTAATCGCCCTCGTGTCTAATCAGCTTGAAGCTCAAGATATCGGTATAAAAGGCGATCATCGGTTCAAGATGAGCAGGGAACAGCTCAATTCTCAATGAGGCTGGCATGATGTCTGAAGTTGAATCCGGACCGGATGCGCGACGAGGGGCTATGATCCGTCTGGTCTTCTCTGCTCGGCGGTATTGATAAGAGGTTCCCTGCTTGCCAGCTCGAGGAAAGGTTCACCGTACCAGTTCGAAATAAATACGAGTTCCAATCCACAGCGATCTTCACCCACGATGTGTATGTCTTCGATTTTGTCAGCCGTCGGGTCTGGATCCAGGCTGATGAATGTTCACTCATCAGGTCCATGCTCCCGTCAGCATCCGGGTCTTGGCATTCATGGCTTGATGGACGAAGAGTACTAGTAGGAATTACATCTTCAGAGAAGGGAGTTTGCAAGAAACATGCATTTCCCAGATTCCCTAGGCATAACAGCTAAATTCTAGCTTAGATCCGGTGTTGTTGCAAAAACTCCAATATCAGATGCCCAATTTCCTCTGCATGACTCTCGGACGAGAAGTGCCCACCATCTAGCAAGACGACCTTTGCATCCTTGACATCCCTCTTGAACGCTTCCCCCCCCGGGGCGGCGAAGATGAAATCATTCTTCCCCCAGACCGCCAACACAGGGACCTGGGTGTTGCGGAGATATTCTTGAAATTTTGGGTATAGGGCGACGTTGCTCGCATAGTCCTTGAACAGGTCAAGCTGGATCTCCTGGTTGCCTGGTCGCGACAGCAAGGCCCAATCGAGGTGGTACGATGCCGGGTCGTCGATCTTTTCGGCTTCCGGTTCGCCGACCAGGTACTGGGCCTTTGTTGCCTCGAAGGTCAGGACTGCATCCCGCACCGATTCGCGGACCTTCTTCTCCTCGTCGGAGCCATGTGGCGCGGCCCACAGTTCGCGCAAAGATTCCCAGAAGGGGGCGAGCCCTTCGTCATAGGCATTGCCGTTCTGCGACACAATGGCCGTGATGGCATCCGGGCGTTCGAGAGCGAGACGGAAAGCCGTTGGAGCGCCGTAGTCGAAGATGTATACCGCGAACTTGGTGATCTTCAGAGTGTCCAAGAACGAGCCGATGGTGTCGGCGATGTTGGCAAAGCTATATATGAAGCCTGACTCGGCCGGCACCTCGGTGAAGCCAAAGCCTGGCAAATCCGGCGCGACAACGTAATATTTCGCGGCCAGGGTCGGCATCAATTTGCGGAACTGGTGGGACGACGAAGGGAAGCCATGCAGGAGGAGTATGGTCGGCTTGGTCGGCGACCCGGCCTCGCGGTAGTAGACCTTGATGTGGTTGGGAAGGGTGATGTACATGCTTGAAGGCTGGGATTTGTCCTGTTCTGTTCAGTAAGGAGTGATGATGTGGAGATGGGAGTTGAGATCAAGATTGATTGATTGCCTTTTCAGTTCTGAACTGTCTGAACGGAATGGGATGGAACTACTCATGCTTTCGAACTCGGATTCTGATCCTGATATATATATATATTATATCATCCCCGAACTATCTTCTATCCATGACCATTTTCGTTCAGGAAAAGGAGCGAGGCCGCTTTAATGAGGTACGTGACGGAGCATCGAGGACGCTCGGTCGAGCCCGGGAGCGCGTCGCGGGAGCCACGACAGAGCAAGGGGGAGTGTGCTCGAGCACTGGGCGAGCTACCGGGAGCGCTCTCTGATGCCCATTCGCAGAAGCCAGTTCGGGCTCAGGGGTTACCTTCTGGCCCCCTCCTGATCGGCTATACTTGCCTCTTGGCTGGGCATCAGTTTTAGACGAGCGTCAGAAACCTGGCAAATTCCCTGCCGTTGCGATGCTGCCTAAATTTCCTTGTGAGAAGTGGCGCATGTGTGGGCTGTGCTAATCTGACAGGGCGAATCAAGATCCTACGCGGCTCATTGGAACTTAGAGGGGTCCAAAGTAGTTCCTCGTCAACCGGATACTAGGATCGAGATGAGTTTGCCTTTCCGCTTCTACTATACAATATACTTTATGTTAGAAAGTCATCTATGTTCACATCACTGATATTAGTATCTTACCGAAGGACTCGAGAACGTCGCACGACGAGCTTATTCGTGCGTTGTCGAAATTCAACGGATGGTACGATAGGTGGGATACATTGACGGTTTCAAGGCTCATGCATTACCTCCGGAAAAAGTTATGGGAGGCTACCCATTATTCGATAATTTGAATCTTCAGGCTGTGTTTCACAAGAAATCTCGAGTCACGTACATTAACAACGGATCGGAGTCATGCTATCTGAAGGTCGCGAGATTCAATTCCGAACTTCGCCGGATGCTGAAGGAGCTAGAGGCTATTTACACTCTGGCAGAAAGAAAATCACAGCTAGAACCTGAATTGTTAGGATGTGCCTTTGAGAGATCACGACACCGAGTTATTGGATTCCATATGAAAACAATACCTGGCAGGCCGGCTTGTATTTCAGACATGCAGGATTGCAAGGAAGCACCCCGAGGGCTACACGCCTCTGGTCTCCTTCACGGCGATTTGGTCAAGGACAGTATATTGATCACAAGCGAAGGGCTGAAATTTATTGATTTCGAGCACTCATCTGCACCCCCAGGTAATGACCTCGAGCGCTGGAATGCCATGAAAGAGCAAGAACTTTGCAGCCTTGAAGCGGCTCTGCTGGATACTTCAGGCAAGGGTCGGCGCTGGGACTAACAACCTTGAAGAACTGATAATGGCGTCAACCTGTTAATGAATGCAACTTGTCCGCGACTTTGAAAGCTTATAAGATACCTTAAGCGCTTGTTGAGTACGACCGACACTTGTGACCCGATGTCTTCTCCTCTTCCGTACTTCCAAACGCCCTTGCCGCACTTGTTATCTGGACTCCCTTCATGTTTTGGGCATTTGACAAACTCGCTATTCAGGGTATGTTCGCAGGTGTATCGAATCTGATACTGAGTGCACACGGGCCGCTGTGGAGGCATTTTGAACACAACGAGACAGGGATTTACGGTGGAGTTGGTTAAGAAGATGTCCGAGGGACTGAGTTGCTTGGCTGGGTTGACCTTGTTCGGACAGAGTCCCTGTGTCAATAGAAACCTGAGAATGGCGGCTCGGCGCTTTGAAGAGTGATTTTTGGGTAAACATATCGTGGCACTCCTAGGCGGTTGGCCGAGGACTACTCCCGGTGTGGCTTTTGACGGTGCCGCGGCGTCAGACTTTTTCCCTACCTTTCCCACTTTTCCTGCCCTTCATACCTTGCAGCCTTCCTGTCTTGTACGATTACGTACGCTAGGAAAGTCACCCGGCGTGATGGGCTTCTTTGGCGGTTGTTTTAGACTTGCGAATCAGGTGGGAGATCGTACCCAGCGGCGAATCTTGACCTCTCCAAAGTCCATTTCCTTTTCCGGACGTGAGCAACTCGCCATTGAACCCGAGTCATGACTAAGCCGTTTTGAGCTGTGGCCGTGCGATTCTGAGTCAGCCTCGCAAGCCCTGAGGTACGAACATGCAGCGCGAGCACAGCCGTGAGCATTTTTGCAGGGCCCCTGACTAGGCCCCAAGAACCCCTGCTCCCGGCGCCGGAAGGCCCAGGAGGGCCTCGCCCGGCGACCCCTGTATTCGGCTTGAGCTTGCCAGGAGCGACCTCAAAGTCACCGCCGCGGCGACATGAGGCCTGGCGCCAGCCAACCTTCCCTCTACTAGTGACATAGCCGTCTCTTACTGACTCAGTAGATCATAAGGGTCTTAGGGACTGTCAGACCATATATCCTTCGAAGCTGGACGATGACCACCATGTCCCACCGGAAAAGTAACCTATGGGCAACGGACAAGGTTGTAGATGGGTAGCATTGACTCTGCTCCTCTTATGCGCCTGTATTCTAGATACTTACGTAGACAGTTGCAGCCTGTACTTGCCAAGCCTACTTAGGCTAACACAGCCAGGCCAGCCACCAACTCCAAGACTGTCGACCAACGCGAGGAAGATTCCCATTTGGAATAACTGAACAGCCATAATTGACTTCGCATGATAAACCTCATGTTGCCATTCCAAGCATGACAACCTGTGAGGATGAGATTGACCTACAAATCCAATCAAGGGAGTAAACCACTCTGATCAGTAAAGTTTTGTGTGGCTAAACTGCAGCTTGCGGTGATAGTTTCCGCTGATCTGGCCAAGGCATTCCGAGCCAGGAGATAGCGCAGGCAGAAAGGGGAGACGGTCGAAGGCCAATTGGGTCAATTTGAAAATTGTGACTGGAAAAGACATTGCAAGTTGCAGAAGTGGTGCGACGATACTTGCGGGACTGTTTCATACACGCGCGCGGTAAGGGACTAGGCTCCGCCCCGCCAACCGTCCCGAAAGGCAAACGGGGCAGACCGAAGCTGGCAGATCTTCTGCTGAGGGCCCAGCATTTCTGTTGATAAGTAAATAGTCGACTCTACTTCTCCTGCAACCATTACTGGGATTGCCGCAGTGCGTTCTTGCAAATTGATCAATATTCACGCGCGAACAACGTGTCTTTTGGGAATATACCTCCCCATCGTTGGATATAAATGAACGCAACGACTAAATTGACTCACGGCTGGGTTAACTCGCCAGACGGACGAGGTACGATCGACATTATATGGAGCTGTGTTGTCACCATATTCTTGTGCAGCTGGGCGGTCTTATTCCTAAATGTTCCTCGCAAACCTGGACAGAGGCACTTTCTTGTGACAAAGCTTTTGTGGGTCGCTTTCACCATTTTTCTGCCTGAGGTTTCGGCAGCATTCGCGCAACAGCAATGGATCTCAGCCTCTCAATCAGTCTCGGACTTCTCGCAGGCCGGCTACTCGCAATGGTCACTCAGACATGCCTTTTTCGCGGACATGGGTGGCTTCATGCTAGAATGCCCTGACTACGTGCCATTCCCTGTCGACGCCCATCAAATATATTATCTGGTTACCAACGGCTTCATGGTGTTCCCTGAAATCGAGAAGAAAGCTATTTGGGATAAGAACAAGGCAGATGGCTTTGCCCGCCTCCTCACCTCGATACAGGTGTGTGGGTTTGCCCTTCAGTGCCTGGGGCGCGCTATGCAGCGTCTACCAATCTCAACTTTGGAACTTTCTACCATGACGTTCGTTTTCTGCACCTTGCCCACATTCTTCTGGTGGCGTCATAAGCCTCTCGACGTTGCCACGACAATTCCTATCTGTCTGAAGGATCAAGTCAAAATCAAAGACGTACTCCAATCTGCGGGCGCCCGTGCAAGCAGACCCTTCAGATCCACTCCTCTCGACTTTGTTAACCCACGACCCTCTCGATTCGACTTCGTGGGACCCGTTGTATGGGGTATCGATCTGCTTTTTGGTCTGGGTAGAGCTCACAAGTATGGTCCGATCACGTCATTCCGAAATAGCACACGAAACCCTCCAAGAGATGCGCGAGTACTGGATTGGGTAGTTATCTCTACCATCTCCCTAATGTACATGGGCTTCTATTTTATCGGGTGGAACTGGGTGTTTTCCACAGTCCTTGAACAACAACTTTGGCGCGCCGCAACTTTGACTCTCTTGGCATCCTTTTTGTCCTACGGGATATTATTCATCATCATAGCGTGGCGATTGCCAGCGGCCTGTCATCTTTTCGGCGTTTCTGGGGCCAATACTGTCCTTGAGCTTTTGTTCCTTTTACCGTTGTGGCTACAGTACTCGATAGCAGTAATCTGGATCGGGTCATATGGACTGGCACGACTATATATTATTGTGGAAGCGTTCATCGGCCTCCGCGCTTTGCCACCGGCCACATACAACACTGTGAACTGGTCCAATTTCCTGCCTCATATATAAGATTGTGGCGTGCACAATATTTTCAACAAATCCCATCAAGCAATAACGTCGGCTCGAGGATAACGCGAAGATGCAATCAGTGTGTTGGTTTGACAAGAGTTCTACAACTAACAAATCTACATCGTAACAAGGAGGACAGATCTGAGGAGAGAGAAAGGGAGGAGAGAGAAAGGGCGGAGAGAGAAAGGACGGAGAGAGAAAGGACGGAGAGAAATCGTTTCAGAGGAATTCGAGCGGCTTGATCTAAGAAGATTCGGACAGTCACAATATCCCGTGAGAAAGATTTGTATCCAAACGGGACGCACGACACGTATGCGAAAATCGAAAGATCTTGAGAAATGCGATAGCGTCCCTCCAGAGATGTACCCTGATAGTATGCTAGCGAATTTCATAAATTTCCGACAGCCGAGAGCACTAATACATGCAGCAGAAAGAGAACCCGAAGACGTGATATGGTTGCTGCTGACAAGAAGCGACGTTAAGGCTGACTATAAGGATGAAAATAGGCAGACAGCATTTAACGCACGCAGTAACGAGGAGCAATAAGGTTGTCGTTGGGATGCTACTTGCTCGAATCGCATAGAGTGACAGACACCGCTATTAAGCATCTAATAATAGCGGATCCTAGAAGTAGTAAAAAGGATAAGGGGGGTAAGTAGCGGCCTAAGCAGGTGTTACGAATCGCTTCACACAAGGTGTCACAAGACGGAAGGTTCCCTGCAAGATGTTACGAATCTGCCTGCGGCCAGGACAACGGCCAGTGGTCCGGAACCAGTAAGGAAGGTCAGCCGAGGCAAGGCTCCGACGCAGGTGAGGCTGGATCACGTGACACAACTCGCTGCTCTGACTGCTCCAATACTTTGGTGCTTTGCTGGCAGAGCACACAGAGCAACAGAGCACTTAGATATATACATACAGTCATTCCATAGCTTTAATACATAGTTAAGTTCGTTCTCGATCATATCCATACGCTTGAGTATGAGTATTGGTCAGCTTCGCTCTGGTACATTGACTCGCTCTGTACTAGTCACTCCTCGAGACAGTCCCTGGAACTTCCCACTTGCCAAGGAACCCTTGCGTCTTGTGACACCTTGCGTGGGGCGATTCGTAACAAGAGGGAGTAATCTATACAAGAAGGATAGAGAGAGGGAGAGCGCGCAGAGGAAAAGGAAAAGAAGAAGAGGAGTATTATACAATAGAATGGGGGACTTCACTTAACCCCGTCCAGGAATATAGCAGGGCATTCTCTCAGCGATTCTACCTTTCATCAGGGCCGAAATAGGCGATACAAGTAATCGGGTAAAGTTACTACAAGGCTGGATATAGGCAATATTGGCGCTTATAAGACTGGAGCCCGAACGGGAGCCTCACCGGGACGTGAGGTAGCGCCGCAAGAGCGGGCCAGGAGCCGGGAGGGAGCAGAAGGGAGTAGAAGGGGACCGCGAAAGATAGAAAGGGAGGAGGAGGGAGCGGAATGGGGAGCGAACGGACTAAATAGTCGTTAGCGGGAGAGTAAAGCGGCGAGGGATGAGTTAGCGAAATGTCCCTGGGCGTCGACTATTCAGGGATTATATATATATATATATATATACACTGGCTCACTGCTCACCTGCTCGCCTACTCACCTGTACGACTCGAGGCGTCTGACAAGCTTTAGTCAAGGCGGCACCACCACACCGCCGCCATCGTCATCTTAGTCAACACGCTGCATTTGCATTTGATCGTAGGGAGGGTTGGCCTAAGCCATTTAGTTGTAATTAGTTGACCAAGCTCGAAAACAGCAAGAGGCAAGAAGCAAGGGGCAAGAAGCAAGAAGCGCTAGATTACATTGCCCCGGGACAACCCACAACCACTTTCGCGGTACTTTCGCAAGCATGGCGTGCTGATGGTGGGTGGTTGGTGGTGTGTGGTAGACGGTGTACTCGTAGTAATCAAAATCTAAAATCAGAGGCACCCAAGGGGCAGCGTTTAAACCGGCATCAACACCAGCTTTCAAAGGGCAAGTGATTGCACCCATATCAGGAATAGCGGCCAATTGAGATTGAGACTGTTCCTCATATGGATTAGCTGCAAACGGGAAACTTCAGTGACATAACCACATGCAATTACCTAATCATCTAATAAGTGCTAATTATGGAATGGTACTGGCTGATTGAGCGACCTTCGCATGCCGCTTTCCAGAGCCCGGTCTTGCTGCTACAACGGCAAGGCATAGCTTCTCCAGGCGGAGAGCTAGCTAAGGTACGTACACACCCAATGATTGTATCTTTGTTATGTACGGAGTACAGAGTGGTAGATGATTCAAGGCCCACACTGCACTGCATACCTACTGTTGATGGAGGTGATGACAAAGTGTGCGTCGAGTTGACGTCGACCGACCGGGATTGAGGAGCAACCACAGCACAGCACAGCACTGCATTGCAGTACGAGTACGTTGCATGCGATCAGTATACGACTGCCGATTGGGGATGAGGATGGGGATGGGGATGGGGATCTAGAGTGTTGCTCCATTGACTATGATATGAAGTGAAGTGCGGCGTATGAAGTACGTGGTGTATTTGGTGTCCCTTGAGGAGATGGTTATCAAGGTGCGAAAGTCACCTTGCCGCCACGGTATGCAACATTCAAGCCTGGTGCCTGCAGCCAAATACTGGTGTGGCCTTGGGCCTTGGACCTGGACAAATTCCCACTGCTTCATGCTAACTACTAACCGGAGCAATCCAGAGTCCAGCCATGGCAGTGGGCCAACAGCTGGATGTTTCTGTCCGGTTCCTTAGTTGCCGGGTAGATATATACTCCTGTCACGTTATATATGCTTGTGTCACCTCATAACTTATGTTTCTTCTCGCCACTGGCAATCTTTCTAAACTCCTCCTGCGGTGCGCCCTTGATGAAGCGCTGCATGCCCTCCATGACCTCCCTGACGCCCTGGGCCTCGAGGCTCTCGAGAAAAGGCCGTCTGATCAGCTCCTTGATCTTGACCAAACTCTCTTGGTTCAAATGGTCGCCCAGCTTGTCTTCCACCTCGGCCAAGACCTGCTTCAAGAAGCCGTCGCTGTCATTCTGGTCTTTCCCGGAAAACACCTTGGTCACGAACCCACAAGCCACCAGCTCGTCGCAGGGGATCCGGCGGGACATGATGAGGGCTTCGTTGGCCTTGGCCAGGCCCAGACGTTGCACGAGGCCGATGGACGCGCCGCCCTCGGCCACCAGGCCCAGCGAGGTGAAGGGGGTTAAGAGGAAGGTGTGTGGAGCGGCATAGATGAAGTCGCAGAAGCCCAACAGCGCCGCGGACAGGCCGACGGTCGGCCCGTTGAGGGCGGCAATCAGGATCTTGGGATGGGTGTAGAACGACCGCGTGATGTCGAGGTTGTTGGCCGCGAAGGATCGCAGAATGTCGTTCCGCGCCTGGTCCTTGCTGATGCCAGGCCCACCGCCCGGTCGGGTCAACGTCACGTCAGCTCCGGCCGAGAAGAATCGGCCATTGCCTGTGATGACGGTAATTGTGATGTCTGGATTCTCTGCAATGTCGCGGAGGAGGCAGGAGATGCGATAGTAGTAGTCTTGGTTCATGGCATTGAGTTTCTTCGGTTGGTTGAGTGTGATGATGGCGATGCGGCCCTGGGTGCGATAGAGGACCGCTTCTTCAGGCGACGCCATGATGTATGATGTCTGTCAGCGGTAGAGTTCGTGGTTCTGGTTCTGGATGGGGGAAGTGGGAGAGAGAATCGAATCGGACAGGTAGGACGTGCCGGCGCGTTGAAGAGCTGTTCTGTCGCTGCCTGCGCTGACCGTCAAGTAGTAGAGGGGGTAGCAGTCGGGGTCAGAGCGCGAGAAGGGGGTTCACGAGGTTGAGGTTGAGGTTGAGGTCCAGGTAGATGGGAGGTACAATGCACAATGCTGCACGAAGTCAGACAAATATAAAAGGTCAATGATGGGGATCCTCGGCAATCTGGACTGTATACCAAGGGACAAGGACATAGTGATAGATGGTAGATACTTACTGGACGCATGTCCCTGACTCCCTGGCGGGTGCGGAGAAGCAAAGCAGAACTTGAACTTTGAACCGAGGTCCGGCGTGCTTGGCATCCATCAATCAGATCAGAGATCACTGCGTACGAGTACTGCCTGCGTACCGCGTACTGCGTATTCCGGACTTCGTTTTCCGTACTCTGCTGCGGTCAGTGGCTTTCTGTCCTCCTGGGAACCTCCCGTCAGCTGTCTCCTCACGCTCTGCCGGTCACTGCTGCTAGATATCAGCTACTAGCTATATTACAGCACTACCACGGTCTCTCTATCGACCTATGGAGACGTTAGATGCGAGGCTGAGGGTGACGGTGTATTGCTGGACGAACCAGGCTGAAGACTCAGGGGCCAGGGCCCAGGGCCCAAGGAGCAGGGCAGTGAAACCCAATGCCATCGACTCACTAATTACAGTACTATAGGTACCTACCACCTCCGGTACATCCAGTACCTACTGTACAGTGTACAGCGTACACAGCAGGCCCCGACTAAAGGTAACTGATCACATACAGTGGATGGGCCGAGGCAGCATCTGGTTGGCTTCCCCGACCCGCGAAGTAGCCGTCCACGGTCCACGACAACTCTGCTGGGGTCCATGCCAGATGCTAGATGCTAGATAATACTAGATCAGCGCACGGTTTGTGGTTTGTTATCCCCAAAGAGAAAGAGAATGTACTCACAAGTAGAAGTATTTCCAATTCACACCTGATCCCTTCTTTTCGTTCAGCCTGCACATATTTCCAATATATTGACAGTTTTCGGATCAGATCATCAACCACGCACGACCTACATACAGTACGCTACAGGGTCTACCTGTCTATCTAAGGTGAAGGTGGCCAAGGTTTTTGTTTTTCAGAGGCACGAACAACAAACAATATATTATACAAGACACCATCCCCTCGAATACCAAGATGGCCAAGGCATCCGAGAACAAAAGTGTAGCCGTGCTGGTCATACTCCGTCCTAACCGGGCAGAAGACAGGCACAAGGTACGTACTTACGGTCTCTTTTTGTTCTTAAGAGGGTTGGTTGTTTTATGTCCCAGCCTTGTCCCTGTTCCCAGTCTCGGTCACGGTTGGCGCCATTCATCTTCCTTTCTCGTGTCCGCTGTCTCTGCGAGTTGAGATGCCTCAAGCACATCCTCCTAAGTCTGGCTGGCAGGTCATCGAGTCGCTGTCATCGCTGGCGCCCTTATTCCGCCGCCCGACCAGCCAATGCACGACACGGAGCTTCTTCACGCCCGCGACTCGCAAAGGCGCCCTGCTCGGGATGGTCGCCCCGGCCGAGCAAGACCGCCTGATTGCCGGGGTGGAAATCTTCACGCGCCCGTCCGCCCTGGCGGCCGTGCAAGCGTCGCCCGAATATAGGGACGCCGCGTCCTCTTTGGCCACGGCCGCGCCCGCGCCTCACTTGACCACGTGGTATCCCACCGCGGGATTCGTAGCGCGCCGCAACCAGATCGAGACCGGACCGGCCCAGATCGTCATGCTGGCCAAGTTCGTGGTGAGGGACGGAGACGGGCTCAGGGAGAAGTTGGTTGATGTTCTGGGGTGAGTTGACCCTCCACTCCATCAGCTTCGCATACAACACTCCCGCTCTGCGTCCCGAGTACTGTACTTCCTTGTCTTCCTCACCCTCTTTGCCCTTTGGATGGCCATTCATCACCCGGGTCATGTCAGACGAGGTGGTCTCGGTGGCTTTTTGTTTTGTTTCCCTCTCCTCGATGCCCGTCCCATTCTATTACATCACCTCTCATCTCATCTCATCTTATCTCATCTCATATCCTCCCATCCTGTTTTATGCTATGCTATGCTATGCTATGCTATGCTATCTTTACCATCCTCGCCTTTTTCCTACGACGTCGGCATCTCCCTCGATTCTCATTCCATTCTCTTTCCCTCCCCGACTGACAACAATCCAGCAAGTATTGCTCGTGGGTCGAATCCAACGAGCTCACCACCCTGACCTACAGCGTCCTGACCCGGCCCGACGCCCCCAACGAAGTCCTCATGTTTGAGCGCTACAAGGACCTCCAGGCCTTGGGCGAGCACAGCAAAACCGCCCAATTTCGAGCCATGTTGTAAGTGCGAGCTTGGAGAGCTTTATCCCTTTGCCCTTTGCCTTTTCCCTTTCCCGGTTTCCGTCTTGGAGAGACAGAGGTCCCCCCTATCAGTGTGGCCACATCATCGCGGACCCTTTCAAACAGCTTCTCCCCGTCTGACTGACTGGCTGTGTGTCTGGGTGTCTGGGTGTCTGGGTGTCTGGGTGTCTGGGTGTCTATCTGTCTATCTACCTATCTATCTAACCGCTTCTCCCCATCTATCCACAGCAAAGCAACAGGCCCCTTCATCCAAGCGAAAAAGACCCTCCTGAGCGAGTGGAACGAACTCGACGGCTCCTTCGTCTCCAATTTCCCCGGCGGCGGTGGCGGCATCGGCGGCATCGGCGCCCAAGCAAAGCTCTAGGCTTCAGTGGCATCGGCACCCAAGCAAAGCTCTAGGCTTCACTAAGTATGGAGTATGGAGGACGGCTAATGCAAGCAAAGCTCTAAGCTTCAGTTCAGTAGGATGGAGGACGGAGGACGGCTGATGGTATGCCTATGCCTCCCAGAAAGGATTCCATGCTCTAGCTCTATGTGCGGATTCGGATTTGGATTCGGATTCGCATACGGAGTAATTACCAGTATCTATCGTCTTGGACCTACAGTACATAGTACAGAGTACATACTCGGTAGGCTGGAGAACAGCCTTGGTCAAGTGGGCATACCATACCGGACCTGCCTGTCAGTGGAACTACGCAGTACTCTACTCTGTACGGAGTACTTTGATCGGGAACCCTCTTGCTTTCAGAAAAAAGAACAGATCCCACCTTCGGATCTCTCAGCTGGTCAATCTAATGTTTTATTGTGTCACACTACGAATCTCCCTGTCCTGATTATGATGATGGCCATTTGTCTTTTCGGCTCTAAGAAATGACCCCCGCCCCTATTAGCCCAGGCTGACCCAGTACCATACTTCCCATTATCTGCTAAGCCATACCCGGACCTCCTGTATAACCCGGTCGTATCCATAGTCACCATTCGATGTTCGGCAAGCAATCCCCCTCCACTTCCCCAAAGGGTGGAATGACTCCAGCAGGATATGTTGACAGATGTTGTTGCCGCCCTAGCCCTCCTTCGCCTCGTGTGTGTACCCCAGGATAATCTATATACAAATCTCTTTTTGAGTTGTCGCGATGAATGGATCTGCTGGCTGCAGGGTATATGTACACCAAATACCTGATCCTAAATTTATGTGTGCGGGAATAAAACTGCCGTGACGTACTCGTTCATTCATGAAGCCTTGTTTTTTTGGGGCTTGCTCGTTTGCCTTTATTGGCGGTGTCAATAGAAGAAGGCGGCGACAAATACCACGGCGGTAAACGCGGTGGTCACACAGTACTCGAGCTCGAACAAGAAACTCTGAGTGCTAAAGGCAATCTTCTTGGCCTCTGCTTTTGGATGGGCGATTCCAGTCTTCTGGTCGCGGACCAAAAGTTCTTCCCGGTCAGGCATCGTAGGAGGGTCGACGGCATACGTAAATGGTATCCAGAACGACGAGCAGACGATAATCCATGTCAGAGGTGGCCAGAAGGCGTGTGTGAGCAGGCATACCAGCTTCGCCCGGAGTGTGTGTTGCAAGAAGCACCGGTACGTCGACATGGTGACGGCAACCAAGACGAAGTAGACATAAGCGACATGGAAGCCGGCCAGGTAGTTAACCAGGATGGTCCAGACACGTCGGTACATTGGGGCGCGCCTTTTTGCGTCTCGCTCGTTCAGTGATGATTTAATCGAGCCTGTTGCCTTGAAGGCTTGGGTTTGTCCACCTAGCCATTTCGGAAGCAGGAAGGAGCGCACCAGTGTCAGCGCAATGTATGGGCTCATCCACATTTGTGACCGACTACCCCTTTGTCCCGTGGCGTAGCCAGACGGCAAGAACAGGGCGAATTCGCAGAGTCGGTTGCACGTCATGGCTGCAAAACAGGCCCGAATTAACCACCGGAGCTGCTCTTCTGTGGCATAGGCGACAAGAGGCTTGTTGGCGATCAAAACGATCGGCATGGCGAAGATGGACAATGTCAGGAAGATGTTGAACAAGCTCAAGACAGCGTAGATGAAGCCCGAGGTTCGCTGTGCAAAGGTCATTTGCTTGATTTTGTCGCCCCAGAGACAGAACCGGAGCTTGAATGCGGTGTCGACGGTGCCAATTGCCTGAAAGAATGTCAGCTACGTCCAAGGACCACCTTTGGAGGAATCCAAACTTACCCATCTTGTTCGCTGTTTCAGATGGCCACCGTAGTCTTCCGGGACGGTGCCAAACTGAAGAGCTTCATGCACGTACGCGGTTTTCCAGCCTTGGCCCAGCAGCAGGGTCGAAGTGGCTACATCTTCTGCCAATGAACCACGAGGGAAGCCGCCAATTTGATCAAGAGCCACTCTTCGAATCACATAACCGGATCCGGTACACCACGCAACCCCCAAGGCATCTTTGACCGGCTCTGCCACATTGACGAAGAAGTCGAGACTCTGGCAAAGAGGATCGTCCTTGGGTACATTGTAGAACAATTGAGGCGGGCAGCCGAGCGCGACCTTGGGGTCCAACAGGAGATGAGGCATAATGGCTCGCAACCAGTTCTGTTCGGGAATCATGTCGGCATCCAAAGCTGCCATGAACTCGGACGCACCGCCAGGCATACTATGAACCTCGTCCAGACCATAGTTGAGATTGCCAGCTTTGAAATGGTGAGGAACTCCTGGAAACTTGGGACGGCGGCGGTAAAACAGGTTGGGGAAGGTCTCTCGCATATCCTCCAATGTAGTCTTGAGCACATCCGACTTGCCATCGTCCAAGAGGATCACCCGGTACCGATCAGCGGGATAGTCCAGATCACATGCCGCGCGGACGGTGTCGACAACCAGATCGTCATCCTCACCACAGCAGGTGATGAAAACATCGACCCTGGGGACGTCGTTGCCAATCAACCGCAGCTTCGGACGGTTCCTCTTCTTGAGGACAAACAGTGACCAAAAGGTTTGCATGAAGATCGGAATGGCGACACTGATCTCGACAGCAATGAACACCCAGGCGAGAGGGAAAGGCGCGTGGTACATGCGTTGTGCCGAGATGACAAAGGTGATGCGGAGGCCAAAATACAGCCAGTACAGTGCCAGTGAAACAATGGCCAGTAGAGGCGCGAACCAATAATACATCCGTCTCTTCCAGCCAGATAGAAATTCCTTGTCGTCTCTTGAGTGTAGTCGGGCAATGGACCCATCTTTGACCCAATCCTTGCTCAGGTACGTGCTAGACGCGTCGGGGACGAGAGGTTTTAATGTTTCTTGACTTCTCTGTTGAAGGTCAGCACGCGGATTCTTGCCAGCTCGAGGGATGGACTCACAAATGGCGTGGATGTCGGATAAGGCGAGTTTGCTCCATACTCTGAGTAGGTGGAAGTAGTTCTGGGAGCGAAAGGAGGAAACCCTCCATTGGGAGTATCTAGAGGACTATCCTGCAGGTTCTCGGTGGTAATGAGATCTGAGAGGGTTCGAGCATGATGGTCGGACGCGCTGCGTGGTGACTCGGTCAATGGTATACTTTCTCTGTAGCTGCCATAAACCGGGTGCACCACCGAACGAGGTTTTTCAAAATATGAATTGGCGTTCTCATTCAGCGTGGTGGACGATGCACCAGACATTGTGCTCTCTGTCATGGCCTGTAGGTACCGTTGTTGTTCTGGCCTCCCACGATCATTGTTTTTGCGAACGAGCGGCATCTTGAAGAATCGAGGCGTGAGAGTGTTTGTGAGGTCATGCAAGGGTTGGACGTTTGGATCAAATGGAGGTCCGGGAGGCAGGGAGATTAGCTCAAAGACCGCGCAGAAGTTTCATGTTCCGTCCTGAGCAGTAATGAAGTCTGGACAACGATGGATGTCCCGTGCGTATTGCAGTATTTCCCCCCCTTGTACGGAGTACCAAGCGAACGACGAGGAAAACGAGCGTGTCGAGCTGGAAGGATTGCGGTGTTTCGTACCCGGCGGGCGAGAGTTCGACGAGTTTGGTACTCAGGACTCCGTACCAGCAAAAACGAAGGTTAGTGGTACAGGCAAATTGCACAAGGAAAGTGAAGGGTGACAAGATTCGAATGGCCGGCAGGACGGACAAGGCGGACAAGTCAGAGTTTGAGGCGATGAATTGGCCTGCGCCGCGGCGGATGTCTACGTGCTACCTTATCTCGTCATAGTATTGGTGTGAAGTGGATGTCACATCTTACCGGGTAAGGGAGTGGTTGGCAACAATGGCAGCTGGCGAGCTGGGGGACCTCGCAGGCGCGCTCATCAGCTGGTTTGCGCCGTGCAAAGGCCGTAGCCGGCGTACCAGTATCCGTAGGCGAAATGCGATTTGCCCCCTTTCGCATTTGACGGAGGCTGGATCGACCAAGGAAAGCGCTGGAAAACAGGATGGAGACGAAACAGACCACGGACATGGATACCAGATGGAGGAGGCTGTGAACCAGTGACAGAGATTTCCCGATAAGCAACAAACACTGGATGGCGGGATGGCGCTGGGAGACTGGGAGACGCAGCAAAAACATGCGACGGGGACGAAATTGAGGGAGGGTGGGTATAGGTACGTACTCCGTGTACGGATACCGGTGTACGGAGTACCTGCAGACCCATGCAGGGCGGTACTGGTACGGTCAGGACGCCGGGCTCAGCCCCCAGCAGCGGGCTGGCGATTGGTACCAGGCAGGTATCGGATCTGTTTCACTTGGTATTGGGCCGTCCGATTAGCACAAGGCTTCGAAGGCCGGGAAATGAGGTCAAAGGGGCAGCCAAGACAGACGCGAGAAACAAGCGTCAGGCTAACCGGGGCTGGGGCCCAGTTTGCCCCGGTTTAGCAACCATCTGCCCCTGTATGAGCTGTAGGAGCTTATGCCTGGGGCCTGTAGACCTTGGCCCTAGGGTCACTGCATGCCAGGATGCCGCAGGCTGAGGCACCCGCCCCGTCACCTTCTCACAACGCCACCTGCGCCGCCGCCTGCGCCGCCTGCGCTCCATTTTCGTTTCCCTCCCTCGAGACAACCACCACAACTCCCAACCCATTCTTTCCGACAAATCTACGCTCTGGTGAGCTGGTGCGAGCCTTTCCGCAGAGTTCCAGGTTCCAACCATAATTAATACGGGCACCGGGCACCTCTCACTCTCACCTCGAGACTGGTACCCTTGTCGCCGCCACATCACCAGTCCGTGCTGCTGAGACCTTGGTTTGAGCGGCCGACCCCCTGGGCCCTGTGCTCCCTGCTCCGACGCCCGCCCGCACCCACTCCGGGATCTTCATTTCTCTATTCCTCTGTTCTTTGACGGCTTGTCTTTCTTCAAACAATTTGGCCATCTCAGCTCGCTTTGTTTTACTCCGTCCTCCGTACAAAGACCTCGTCGTCGCTCTCCACGGTCGACCCGTCCTCCTCCTTACGACCATTTTTGCCGTGTCTGCTGTGCGCACCTTGTTCTGCCTCGGCCCCTGGAGCTCTGCGCCTCGACTCTGATCTACGGATAGAGATACATCACGCGACCATGGGCGCCAAATCCATCATCAGCTACGGGTTTCTCGTCCTGCCCGTCGCAATCACCATTGGTATATTGCTGGGGCTCCAGGCCTGGCGAGAGTCCCATGGCCTGTCGCGACCTTTCGTGAGCAATGCCGTCAAGACGAACACGTATTGTCAGCGGGCATTCGGTATCACGCCTACCACAGATGGACAAGATTACACACGTGAGTTTCTCTGACTGGTGCACGATCTCCCTTTCCATTTGTGGCGAGCAATCAGTACCCCTGTCATTTTTGATAGCATGGAGCGGTTAAGGATTTTCCTGGTTCCTGGGCCTATGACCTGTTGGGAATAGTAGGATCCGCTGCACAGATGCCGGTGCTGGTGCTGATTGAATTCTGCTTTGCCGTCCCGAGCTGCCATTTGCTTTAGCGCGCCACTCCCGCGAGCGATCTGTTGGGCCAATCATGTCTCATGCGATTTAAATGCTGACTCGTCATCCTAGTGAATCCAAATCAATGGGGTATTACTGCCGACTACACTGGCGGTGGTGCTCTGTGCATGAATGTGAGTCCAAGGTACTTGGGACCCAAATGGAAGCTTTGAACTGACGGAACTGAAGATCACCACATTCGACAACGCCACCTACCCGACCAACACCACAGCACCGGCATGGTCAATCACCTGGCAATTTCCGCCTGGTCCGGAAACGCAGCCCGTTCATGCTTTCCCCAATATCAAGTTGGATGCCGATAAAGTCTTTCCCATTCGGATTCAAGACGTCGCACGCATTGATTTTGAAGCCGAGTGGGCGTATGGAGTTGGTGACGAGAAGCCATCCACGACCAATGTCGCCGACCTGACAGCCATCGACCTGAACTCAAACGTGGCCATTGATATGTTCTTGGATTCCGACCCCAACAATGCCACCAGTACGGTGGATGCCAAATACGAAGTCATGATCTGGCTGGGCGATTTTGGCGCTGCGACACAGCCCATTGGGTTGAAGCAGGGCGCGCTCACTACGCAAGATGTCAATGGCACCACTTTGTATGATTGCCCCTTTGCCCGTTGTGATTGGCGTGGATGAAAGCTGACTCACTTTTTAGTTCGCTCTACTTTGGAGAGAACGGTTTGGGTCAAAGTGTCTTGACTTGGGTTGCAAGTGGTACCGTTCAGAACTTTGTCGCCGACGTAGGACCGCTGCTCCAAGGCCTAACAGGCCTGGGGGGTCCTACCGTGGGCGATTACCTTGGATACATGGCATTCGGATCGGAAGCCCTCAGTTCTTCATCGAACGTCACTTTCTATAACCCTAGCCTGAGCATGGCGGTGGTTCCCAAATGATCAACAATATGCTGGCGAGGACCTATACCCACACTCACACACGGCCTCATTAACGCTTGGACATCTACGATATTTTGCGAGTTATCTTCGATTCTATCTGAAGAATATCTATCTGTCCACCTCAGGGGCAGTCGGGAAACTAGGGGGACGGCTCGTGACAGGGCAGTCCAACCCCATCCGTGGAGTGATTGGCCACCTGTTTGGACACATTGAGACCGACTATTATCTTTGCCACGAATGCCGCGAGAAGAGCCGACGAAGTCCCCCAAACGACTAGCCACAGCGGCGGCACCGCGAACAAGCCTTGAGGACATGCACGTTATTAGGCAGGGCTTGCGTCCTGTCACCGAGCGGTAACGACCAGGGGCGCAGCGGCTGCCATGTCTCTGCCATTTGAAATAGACCTTTAGGTCGGAGTATCATGTATGGTACTGACCGGGATATTTCCCAGCTCCAGTACGGAGCACTCCGTACTGCTTGCCTTTGGCTGGACCCAAAGTGCAGCAGGACCGGACGTGCGACAAGCTTCTCTCTTCTTGCGGCAACAAGGCTTGAACGGACCACACACGATACCGTTGGTACAGAATTAGATCTATAGATAAGGGAGGGGTGAGACATGCATGGGAAGCCCCGGGGATTTGCAAAGCGAAAGGGGATGCGGACCAGTCACAAGCGAGCAATCCCTAGCGACCCTCCGACTCTCCGACAGAGGCCGGGAACGGGACCATCAAGCCTGGCCGAGTCGGAGTCTCAAGCAAATCAGGCTTGTCGAGGGAGGGCGATCACTGATGTCAACGTCGAGCCTTTCTTACGCTGTATACGCCAATATCCGTACTCTTACCGCGGCTCAAGCAAGCTGTAAAGATAGCAGCATTGTTCCAACAAAAGACCTGGTTTCGCTTCTGGGTTGGCCCTATCATCTCTAGCCTCGTGTGCTTCCAGCCTGCGTCGTTTCGTATCGTGTCAACCCCGCCACCACTCAACGTGGCTGCGTGTTGCTGTCCAACCCCAGCCCCCAGAGTTCCGTCGTTTCAGTCCATGTGGCTCATCCTGTCGTATTTATTCCCCATCCCTTTCCGCACTCGGTACTCCGTACAGGGGCGATCCTTGTGTAAGTCTGGGAAGCCAGGACAAAATCAAGGCTGAAAGTCAAGGCTGGGGCTTGGTCCGATGATGCTTTGATTGTGGAAAGACTTCTTGTTGGTCTGGTCACTGTCACTTTCCAGCAATCTCATAGCATATTTCTAATCCCACCAGAGCGAGTACGGATACAGACCCTCACGTCCAGAACATTCTACGCACATGCCTGGAAAGGGAGTAACAGAGGACTTCATGCAAGAAAAAGACATCAAACTCGAGACGTCAGTCAAGACGGGTGGATGAGCAATCTTCGAGCAAGCATCCTATCCGTGAACGGCCGGCATATCTTGGTTGATATCAGGTACCTTTAAGCTTCCAAGGTAATCCCTGGGCCTGTAAAACTTTCCTTCCTTCGTCAACTTGGATGCCTCAATCTCTGGTTGTTTCTGTGCAGCCCACATGCGCATCCAGGTATCAGGTATATCCATATGCTTGCCGGGGTAAAGGGAAGTCGTCGGCACCGACCCTGCCGTTTAGTCCACGATCAGCTGTCGAAATGAACAAGCCAGTCGGACCAGAACATGTCGTCGTCATTCGTGTTGGCCTCAGGCCGCGCATAGGGTTGCACTTACATCGAGACTGAAAGTGTCGGGCCCACGGAGACATGTAGCGAGCACACCCCAAACAGCTAGTCTCGAAGCTCTTTTGCCAACTCGAAGAATCACAACGCAGAGAGCATCATCCTGGCATTTGGTATTGATCTCAGAACTATGCTTCTCGACCTTTGCTGGACTGGTCGCCGGGCTTGGACCCGTTAACTGTGAGCTTGAAGCCAGATTGTCCCCAGCTTCCCACCGGAGTGAAGAATATGGATGGGAGGAATATTAGAGCGGGAGAGCAAGAGAGGGAAGAAGAAGGTCTCCCATCGGCTTCCTATTCGATATCGCCTTCCCAGGTGCTTCAGTTGGCACAGTGGTTTCACTGGCCAATGTGCCAAACCCGGGGATATTCCTTATGAACCACGCGGGACCTGATACGATGAAATAGGGCAAAAGAGATGTCATGCCAGCCTGCAGACAAGAATTACCAGTGACAGTGCGACCCTTGACGAGGATCGCGAATGCGCACTGTTTTAAGAGGAGCATGAGCGTATACGCTCTGATGCAGTAGGCTTCGAGCCTGCACTGGTTGGCCTGGTCGACGGGCCAGGAGGACTATCACCTAATAGCATTGCCTGCACTTGCACATTTGCTGTGTGCGTGGCTCCATGCAATGGCTTCAGCCCGACCATGTCACGACCAGTGCCTTCACCGAGAGCCCAGGTGAAGACAGAGATCACGTCTGTGGACGCGCAACATGCAGCTCGGTTCCAGGCAGTGAGGGGTGTTCTACACAGTGACAGAGTCACAATGCAACACCGCCAATTCATCACCTATTGAGTGGCAAGCACTTCACCAGCCACTCAACTGGACTGACTGGTCACCTTTGGCAGTGATTCCCTGACAACAGACGCGCAAACAGAGCCTGCTTCTCCAGGTACAAATATCGTCTTCTCGATGCTGCAAATCCAACTTCCTTTTGTTCCATCCACCACACACCACCAATTCTCCTCCAAGCCTTTGACCTGAACCAATTCAAGTCAAGCCAGAATCGAAATTCAGAAGACCGTTATCTTATCTACCTCGAACACCAGTTCCAATACACAACATCGAAACATGGGAGACAAGCCTCCTCGCCCACGTCCCTATCCAACAGAACCCAAGCCATTGCCGGGTGTCAGCTAGACGAAACGGAAGCGCCATGGGCAGTGTCAGTGTTGCAGCATCGGCTTCTCTGGAGAATGAGTTGATGATGGCATGGCCAAGCACCATCTCAACATAGCCAATCTGCCAACCTGCCAACCTGCTGATGCACCGAGAGGAAGTGTTCAGAGTTTTATTGACAATGCATGATGCTGGTGGGAGGGACATGCCACAGAGCAGGCAGCCGAGAACAACGCGCGATGAGCAAGTCAAAAAAGTCCTACATACTAGCCTTGGGGTATCGATCTGATGGTTGAAGTCAGGGTTATGGTGGGAGCAGACAAAGGACTAGGCTCATCGACAAGGGGCCTGCTGTAAAGGTTCTCGGGGTCTGACGGCTACAATCCAGGCCAGCGGTAGCGGGAGCGGGAGCTCGGAGATGTTCACTATTGATATTCACCATGATTAGTCAACCGATTGAATCAACCATGAATTATGGCGAGCCAATATTGATTGATCCAAAGTGTCCTCAGGAGTAAACATGACGCCAAGAAGTAAGTTCCGATACGACCGCTTTGTCCTGTCCTCGAGACAGATAGAGGATACGCGGCATGTCTGGTGCCGCTTGCGCCTCCCGGTCAGGGTACCCGGGAGCGTCGTGGATGAGATCAGTCATGCCTAAGGCAGGCGTACACACACCCTGGTTCTTGCTCTTGCTCTTACTTGGCCGGATGGCGTACATCTCCGGTCGACATGGCGTGCTTCTTTGCTGTACCCTGCCTGTGCGACGGCCATGTCGTCTGTCGTGCGTTAGCGCCCTGATACCAGGTCGGAGGTGGGAGGGGAGGTGGTGACACAGTTCTTTCGTGGCACTAACTAGTACGTAGTCTGCACAAGGAACCAACGACATCGGCATCGGTTGACTCAGGATTGCATGGTCAGTCGGTAACGGTCACGGCATCGAAGACAAGGCGGGCATTGCTAGTGTCAATCATTCCTGACTCAGGGGCTCTTGAGGCAGACAGACAGACACTCCTAGACTTCCAAACACCAGACACGTGATGCTGGGGCCCCAGAGTCCAGTCCACGTGCCCTGTGCTTATGTAAGACGGGAGCCGAGCCCCGCGGGGCTCCTGGCGAGTTGATGATTGGTCGCAGCTCGACGTCGACTGAGGTGCTAGTGACCCAGACGAGGGTGCCCAGGGTGCCCAGTCTGCCCAAAAGTTGAACCGACGGCTCCCTGCCAGCCCTCGGCAGCGGCATGTCCAAGTCAGGGCCAGTACAACTACTAGTGCTTCCGTGTGCTGCCCCTTAGTAGAAACCTTACTGTCGACTCATCAGCAACCTCGGGTCGTTTTGAAACGGATCAATCATCAGAGGCACTTGCAGAGCACGAGGACGAGCGCGAGCGCGAGGGCGGGGGAGGCGGCACCCAGGTCGGTATTGGCATTGGCGGCTTAATTCGAAGCCATGTCGCACAGTGCGCAACACACCAAACACATCAGGCCCTCCACCTCCACGGCGAGGGTCCAGCTTGGGCCTCACAACTGCCGTCATCGTGGATCGTCCGAGGTGGAAATCAAAATTTGCCCCGCGCCATGCCCATGATCATGACCATGACCATGAGATACCTTTCCCCAAGAACCCGCCTACCCTAGATAGGCGATGTTCGTCTAGTGGTATATATTAATTAGGCCGATTGTCCTGGTCGGGATTGTTCTGATTTCATTCAATCCTCTCCTCCCCTCCAAATCCCAAAGCCCTCCTGAAACCAGACTTTTTGTGAACTGAATAGCCTGTGGCTCCTGTGGCTCTGTAGATTCCCGAACCGTTGACCGATCAAGTCAAGATCAAGATGGGTTCCATCGGTGCCTCGCTTGACCTCTTCTCAGGCTTCTACAACACCATCAACGGCAAATTGACCACGACTGAAAAGACCAGACATGGCATCAACCCGGCGAATGGCAAGCCTAACCCAGAAGTGCCGGTCTCGACGCCAAAGGATGTCGACGACGCTGTAGCAGCCGCGAAAGAGGCCTTCAAGTCGTGGTCCAAGACTTCGAATGAGGAACGGAAGAAGGCCGTGCTCGCTTTCGCCGACGCGCTGGAGAGGTATGAGAGTGACTTTGGCAAGCTGCTCACGCAAGAGCAAGGAAAGCCCGTAAGTCATAAGTCCATCACGCTCCACCCAGGCTGCGCAATTGCCCCCTTTCTGACATGACATGGATTGGTCTGGCAGCTCCAATTCGCCGTGGGCGAGATCAAGGCTGGTGTGCATTGGTTGCGCTCTTTGTCCAAGCTGGAACTCAAGGAGGAGACCATTGAAGAAGACGAAGAGAAGCGGGTCGTCGTCCGCCACACACCGCTCGGCGTCACCGTCGGTATTGTACCATGGAATTTCCCCGTCCAGCTGGCCGTGGGAAAGATTGCGCCTTCGGTCCTGACGGGAAACCCGATCATCATCAAGCCATCTCCATTCACTCCCTACTGTGACCTGAAGCTAGGCGAACTCGCCCAACAATACTTTCCGCCTGGCGTTGTCCAAGTCCTCAGTGGCGACGACAACCTCGGGCCTTGGCTCACCGCCCACCCTGGCCCAGACAAGATCAGCTTCACGGGATCGACCGTCACCGGTAAGAAGGTGATGGAGAGCGCCGCAAAGACCTTGAAGAGAGTTACTCTGGAATTGTGAGCTTCATTTCCGCCTTCTCGCCTGTAGCTTTGGGCGGACTGACGTTTGTTAGGGGTGGTAAAGATCCTGCCATTATCACCAAGAACATCAACATCGACGCGGTTGCCCAGAAGGTAAGCAGATTACTACAATCCGGCCCGGGAGGACGTTGAGCGGCATGGCTGACCCGTTCTGCAGATTGGGGCCCTTGCGTTCGCCAACTCTGGCCAGGTGTGCTTGGCCATCAAGCGCATCTATGTCCACGAGTCGATTCACGACAAGTTCCGAGACGCAATCGTCGCCTTCACCAAGACACTCAAGGTTGGTGATGGGACAGAGGAGGGGGTTACCCACGGGCCCCTCCAGAACTCGATGCAGTATGAGAAGGTCAAGACATTCTTCTCCGACATTGAGAAGGAGAAGTGGACCGTGGCTGTTGGAGGCAAGAACGAAGACAAGCCTGGATACTTCATCACCCCGACCATCATCGACAAGCCGGCAGATGACTCCCGAATCGCCACCGAGGAGCCGTTTGGCCCCATTGTTCCTCTCCTGACCTGGTCCGACGAGGACGATGTGATTGCTCGAGCAAACAACACCAAGCTGGGTCTTGGTGCGTCGGTGTGGTCTGATGACCTGGATGAAGCCACTCGGATTGCACGACAACTGGACGCTGGCAGTGTCTGGGTCAATACTCATTTGGAGCTGGACCCTAACGCTCCGTTCGGCGGTCACAAGGAGAGCGGCATTGGCTATGAATGGGGGATCGGTGGTCTCAAGGCCTTCACCAATATCCAGACGCTGTATCTGAAGAAGAAGACGTCCGCATGAACGAGTAGCTGGCCAGATTTGAGTTCAACCAGTAATCATCTATCCTAAGCGTCAAGCGTCACTTGGTCCTAGTATTGAGCATCAATGCATTCTCAAGTCACCTCCAGTGCCTATGTGAAAGTATCACGTATGGGCTGTGGACGGTGTGGGAGAATGATTCTCCGGAGGGCTCTCGCCCAGCTTGTGACTACTGCCCGACATCGACGCCGTGGACATGAGGGGACATGTATGTAATACCATGACCATGGGTAAGAAGAGTCAGTCGTCGTGCCACGTACCTCTGATGGCCGGCGAGGCTTGGATGAGTCATCAGGTCCCGTGATCTGGAGCCTGCAACGCCAAGAGCTATTTTGATCTAACCGGGTTTAGATCAACAGTGGAAATGTGACGGACTCTCCCGTCAGGACAGACACGCAGTCCAGGTTGCGAGGCAGGTCTCCTGGATCACCACCCTCCACCCTATCTATACTTGTGTCCCCTTTTGCTTTACATGTATGAGTCTTGATCGGCCGGCGAGCGTTCGTCCTGGGGCGACGCTCGCATCCTCACTCTTCGCAACCAGAACCATCCATGGCGTCTACCGCTCCTTCAGCCCACCCTGCGGCCGCAAGTGCGAGTACGAGTAACGGCACTCCGCATCTCGAACTTGACCTATCCAAACTCCATGCCCTTCCCACCGAGCAACAAGACCTGTACCTCTTGACGTTTGTCTCCGACCTACAGCGTCATGTTGAACAAACTTCCTCCGAGAGCCTCCCACCGCATCAAGCGTCAATCAAGAAGGAAATCATCAAGATTGTGGGACTGGGGGCTCCGGTACCATCTCGCGTGATCCGAAATATCCTTGGGAGGATCCTGGCAGACGCATTTGGACGAGGTAGCCGTAGTCTGCTCTACGAAACCATCAATGAGCTGGTGGCCATTGCCAATGCAGGCAAGGTCGATAAAGATGTTGGTCCGAAACATGCTGCCGCCGTCTGTCTGGGTGCGGTTTTCCGGTCTGCTGGCGACAGCGCAATCAGTCTCTCAGGGCTCGCGGTCTCCTCACTCCTCCGGCTCACGAAAGCTTCTCACACAGGACTACGGGGTTGCGTTTTCAAAGCACTGGGCGGACTGGTCATGGGTGTCCGCACCAGTCTTGATGAGCATGTCGCCCGGGACATCTGGAAGCATGCTCGAAGTGCTGCCGCAAACGACAAGTCGTCATTTGTCCAGAGGTGTGCATGCTCTTGTCTTCAGGGTCTAGCGAGCGAGACAGACTACTTTGACAATTCCGGTGACTTTGACAATCTCAAGACGACGACATGGAAGGCGTTGGAGAGCACAGTACCCTCAGTCAGACATGCAGCTGCCGGGGCTCTAGCAGCTGCCCTGAACGGAGTGTATTCCGAGCACGGGAATGCGGAAGCCCCAGTCATCAAAAAGCCAAAGAAATCCAAGAAACCGGGTGCGAATCTTGACGAGGAAGGAGAACAGGAACGGCCCGGCTCACCTACGCCAGGTCAAGTCAGGCATACTGTACGACTGGCACTCTCGCTGAATGAGGTCCTGCGAGTGCTTTCATCCCAATACTGCAAGGCGTCGAGCACGAATCGAGCACGGGCAGGCATTGCAACCTGTTACAGACATCTACTGCGGCTACTTCCACGCAAGACGCTAGAGGAAAACTACGCATCGATCGCCCTCCATTTGTATACGGACCTGCTCAACCACTCGACTATCTCGTCTAACCGATACCGGCTGCTCCTCAGCAGGAGGCTGGTCAGATGGATTCTAATACACGTCACTGCCCTCCTTACGGAAAACGCTCAGATTAACGCTGCCCGTCATCTTATCAATGATATTCTAAAGAATTACCCGCAGGTCATGCCAGAGCGCCGAGAACCCTCAAAGCGGGTCCTATCTGGCGCCCTGTCCACCTTGAATGACTTGCTCGTGCGACTTGGGCCCGCCGCGAACGTCTTTCAGGACAGTTGCAGAGAGGCGCTTTTTCAGGTGGTGCAACACCCTAGTCATACGGTTCAGAGTCATGCCGCACAATGCTTCAAGTCCTTTGTTCTCGGATGTCCAAGTCAGCTTGTGCGCAGCCTGGAACACGCCATGTCTCAACTCCAAAAAGAATTTCAACCGTCATCCGAAAGCAAGCTCCCGCATCGAAGGTCTCTCGGCTATGCCATCAGCATTGCAGTCATGATCGGTTCTGCACGACAAAAGCCGCTCTACGGTTCCATTCAAGTCTATTCTGACATCTTCACTTTCGCGACTGACCTTCTGAAGTCAAGTGCCGCCGCCGAGTTGCGGTTATCTGCAACCCAGGTGCAAGTGGCTTGGACTCTGATTGGCGGTCTGACGAACTTGGGGCCGAGCTTTGTCAAGGTGCATCTGAACCAGCTGATGCTTCTCTGGAGGAATGCGCTGCCTCCTCCGTTGACCCACGAAAATGCTACCAAAAGGGGCCATCTGGAGCTCAGTTTCTTGTCCCATGTTCGAGAATGCGCCCTAAGCGCCTTGCTCATGTTTCTCTCCTCCTGCAGCAGCTTGGTCACCACAGATGGGTCCAGACGAATATCTACCATGCTTCATAATACTGTCCTCTTCCTTGAAAGCTTACCAGTGGCTCGTGAAGCCGAAGATCTTTCCCACCGGCTTGTACCTGCTCTTCAGCTGCAAGACTATACGATCCTTCTTCGACGACGTGTGCTCCAATGCTTCGGAGCCTTGGTAAGCTTGAAGCATCTGGAGCAGAGCGAAGTTGTATCTCAGTCTGATCTCACGGGCCTCACAATGCGCACCTTCATAGACCCAGAGCACCCGGTGTCGAAAAACCTGGAAGCATCCTTGGCGAATGCTGCCAGCAACTTCGAAGGACTGTGGAATACTAGCGACAACTGGAGCTTCGGCGTCAGCAGCGTCGCCGAAAGCTTTGATACCTACATGCCATTCGAGAACCACCTTCAACCAAGAGCAGATACAGCTACCGAGCGAGAGGTATCTTTCCCCGACGTCGTGATCCGGTCCCCAGCACTTCCGGCAATCGAACATGATCCTTTTCTAATTTCCCGGCAAGATGATGTGATCAAGGAGGCTGAAATGTGCTCACCGGCTACTTCCTGTGTCAACCTGGCGATTAAACTCTTCGCAATTTCGCTGCCACTTCAGGCTCCCAAGATCCAGGAGAGCACGATCGAACAGTTGATCACGACGGTGTCCCAACCTCTCCCGCGCGAGCCCGGGAGGAAAGCCGCGATGCAGGTCAATACTGCTCTGGCTCTCCTTTGCGCTCTCGCAGTCGCAAACAGCGAGACTCCTTATGTCTCTGGCCGGTTACACGTGGAAGCCGTCGGGCCGGTCATTAGCGAACTGCTGGAGAAGTACGTCTGTAACCCCGACCCTACCTTGAGACACTTGGCTGCCCGTGCGATCGGACGCATCTGCAATTTGGCTGGCACCCTGTCCACCAATAAAGAGGTCAAACTCCTCATCGACACAATAGTCGCTGATCGGGACCCGAGTGCTCGCGCGGGATGTGCCCTCGCTTTGGGGTACATTCACTCTGAGGTGGGGGCTATGGCGGCCAACCTGCACATCAAATCTATCGTTGGCGTTCTTCTATCATTGTGCAGCGACAGCCATACGACGGTCCATTTTTGGGCCTTGAGAGGGCTGGTGCAAGTGGCGGAATCTGCAGGACTGGCGTTTTCACCATATGCCACCAGCGCTCTCGGCCTCCTAGCACAGCTTTACTCAAACGACACCCACAACGAAGAATGCGCATCCCTTGCAACGTCGAACCTTGAGCTCGAACTTTTCACCCCCCTGGCTATTGCTCAATGTGTGGACAGTATCATCAACGTCCTGGGGCCGGATCTGCAAGATGTGTCGAAGGCTCGAAACTTGATTCTGATATTGATAGGATCTTTGCAGAAGGAAGCTTCGCCCCAGTTGCGCCACGAGAGCTATCAGTGCCTACGCCATCTTTCAATGTACGCTCCAGCTCATCTCCAGTTTGCAAAATACGTGCAGGATTTGCAGGCCAATCTCTCGTCGGACGAAGATCTTCTGCAATCTGCTGCGATCAGGGGGCTCAGCGAATTGATGAAACGGAATGCTTCCGAGGTGGCACGAGTAGCCACTGCAAAGTTGAGTGATGACTTGTGGGCACGCCTCGACGACAACCCTGGTGACACGTTCCTGCAAGCGATGCTGGAGAATTGGATGCAACAGGCCATTCTGGTCGACACAGCTGACTGGATTGATAAATGCCAAAGCATCCTCTCCCGAACCAGGGCAAAGGGCCAAGCGCCGTCCCCGTCTCGTGCGACGCCAGCCAAAGCGGCAATGCCCGATCTAGCGGATGAAGAGGTCGCCGGCTTTGCTGCGGCGGCGGCGGCTGCACAGGGAGAAGCGGCCGATGCCGTCCCCGAAGGTCAAGAATTTCTGCGTTGGCAAACACGAGACTTTGCTATGCGTTTGCTCAGTGAGTCCATGGAGATCATCCAAGCAGCCATGTTGCCTGACCGCGTCATCTTCGCGGAGGAGGTGCTGCAAAGCAAAGTCGCCGACGTGGTTCGGGTGGCATTTTCAGCATCAACTGCGAACGTGGTGGAACTGCGCATCTGGGGACTGCGGATCATTGATCAAATCCTCAAACTATTTGGCAAAACCCCAGACCCGGATTTCCTAGAGGCTTCACTGCTGGAGCAATACCAGGCACAAATCAGTTCGGCATTAACTCCGGCATTCGCAGCGGACTCGTCGCCAGAATTGGCCGCTGAAGCGATAGGCGTGTGTGCAACATTCGTGGCCACGGGCATAGTGACCAATGCAGACCGCATGGGTCGGATATTCAAGGTCCTCGCGGTGGGCGTGGAAAACCTGACCCAAGCAAACCCCGAAGCTGCCATTGGCGATCTCGAAAATCTCAGTCCAAACGCCCAGGCAATGTTGAAGATGAGCGTCTTGTCGGGATGGGCGCAGTTGCAGCTGGCTAGCTCGGAGCAGCCTTATCTCGACGAGATTTTGCAACCATTCATCCCGAAACTCGCACCTCTTTGGTTGACTTCGCTCCAAGAGTTTGCAGGGCTACGTTTCGAACCCGAGATTTCCGATACGCTGGGTGGCGAAGTGGCGGGTGGAAACCTTGATGAAAGATATGCTTCTTTCCACCGTGAGATCCGCCTCCAGTTCTATCAGAAAAGCTGGTTGAACATTGTGGATGCCATCGCCGTGCTGGTGGAGAAGGACAGCGAATCAGTGTTCGACGCCCTAGATAATAAACGGGGGCCTTCCGGCGACGAGGCTGCTACCGACGCGCATACGCAGGGGAGAGACATGAGTTTCCGTGAGGAACCGGTGGCCTTCTTCTTCATCCTGTTTGGACTGGCCTTTGAGGCACTGGTGACGCAGACTCGGGAAGACCCGTCGCAAGCTCTGTCAATCCTGCAGGCGCTCAAAAAGATCTTGACCCCCGAGGTTTGTGGAAATGCCATCTATGAGGCGGCGGTCTTCAACGAGACCACCGACACCCTTGATCGTCTGGCACTTACCAGCACGACCGAGACGCAGAGTGTCCTGGTCGAGATTGCAAGAAATCTGGCCCTCGACCACCTCGCGGCAAAAAGTCAGGACCGTGACGAGAACTTGTCCGATGACATTGAACAGTTGTTCGAGCTGACGAGAATCATCCTTCTGGTCTTGACTGGTCTTATCCCGACCCTCGAAGATCCGCCAGGGTCTGCTCTTCGGCGATTGGGAGACGACGGCGTTGCTCTTGTACAACTGTCTTTCCAGGCGCTGGTCGATGTTGCCTCGGTGTTCCCAACCATCATCCGTGCAGACCTCCACGCTTGCATCATTCACAGCTATTGCACGATTCTCGCCACGGGGATTTGTCAAGACGACGTGTTGCCGCGCATCATGCCGATTTTCAAAGCATTCTTGCAAGACGTGATCAAATCGGGATCAGACGAGGTGGCCTCCAGGCTGGTCAGGGGAGGCCTACATCGCATGTTAGCCACTTTGACCATTGCTCAACGCCGAGAGAACGAGCAGGCCCTTCCCTGTGCCAAAAACACCTTGTTATCCATGACAATCCTGCTCACCACCGCCGGCTCCGTTATCCCTGCCAATGACGAGCTCGTGCCTCCAGCTGTGGCTGAACTGTTGGATTGTCTCCAGGATGTTGGCCTCGCAAAGATGGCGGCCGGCTGTGTGCGATCTTTGCTCGTGACGCACCCCAAAACCGTATGCGACGAAGTGATTGGGCGAATGTTATGGACTCGGCTGATCCCCTTTATCCACGATGTGGAAGTGGAAGACCCTGAGGGTGTCAAGACGCCCTTGACTCAAGCTCTTGTGGCATCTGTGGTGACTCTTCAAGGCTCAGGTCGGTTTGCGGCCATGTCGATCTTGGTCCCCTTGCTCCTGCTCCGAGCCAAGCAAATTGCTCCTGGAGACAGTCCGGAAGCCATGCGGGGGGAGACTGCTGCACGATTGCTTGAGCTGGTGGCTGCTGACCAGGTCGCTTTTAAAGTGACCGTGGGCCTACTTGACGAGGACCAGCGGTCTGAATTGGAGGGTCTGCTGAGGGCGACTGGGGTTGGGAAGCGACAGGAAGCTGCCTTGTCAGAGAACGTCGAAGCCAAGCCAGCGATCGAACTTCGGATGGACTTTGGATGAGGGAAGGCATTACCAATGCGCATGGAAGATGTAGAAGCAAGGGACCAAAATAGAAATTATACATGTGTATACATGTATGTGCACATACTAAGATACAAGTGGAAGCGCAGAGTATAGAGTCCAGAGTACAGTGTCATTACACATCACATCGATGTTGCCTGCCCAGGTGTGAGAATTTTCAGCCTCGTCGAGATGCACCTGCCAGCCTCACCGCTTATAATTGGTGCTTGGCATGGACTAGTGCAAGGTTGGGCGAGGCTCGCTCAACATCAAAAAATCCCGCTTCCCGCTTCCCGCTTCCCGCTTCCCAGACCATTGGTGTGAGATGAGAATCACTTAGAATTTGACTTGTGTCCCTTCGGTGCTAGACGCCGTCGACACTCACACTTGGTAGACTCGAACTCGAACCATCCCAGCCAAGATGGAGCACGACCCCAAAGTCCCGAAATATCAGACGTCCGACCCGACCTCATTTGCCTTCAAGTCGGCGCGGGAACGGTGGCCGGCAATCATCACGGGGGCCATCGACGATGTGCACCGTACAGTTGCCTCGCTGCCAGCCTCGGAGACGGAGAAGGAAGCCATCGCGGAAGGCAAGTCGATCGTGGCCGCGCTGGGGACGCTCAAGTACGAACTGCAGCACAACCGGGTGATGACGCTGATCCCGTACGACGGGCAGGGCGACGTCGAGAGCTACAACGCCGAACTGGAGGCGCGGGGCCCGCCCAAGTGGCACGATGTGGAGTGGCTGTTTGCGGAATGCTACCTGTACCGGCGCATGGCGACGCTGTTCAGCACGGCCAAGACGGGCTTCTGGCAGCGGTACGACGTGTTCCAGCGGCAGAAGATGAGCACGTTCCGGTCGTCGCGGCCGGCGGTGTTGGAGCTGGCGGGCCGGTACCGCGACATCCTGACGCAGATCCGTACGTCGCGCGATCACGGCGTGGTCGAGGCCCAGGACGCGCAGCAGGAAAAGGAGGCCGAGAAGCTGCTGTTCGTCGAAATGGCCGAGGTGTGTCTGTGGGGGAACGCCACCGACCTCAGCCTGCTGACCAGCCTGACCTACGAGGAGCTGCAGAAGCTGCAGGGCAGCCAGGCCCGCAAGGACTCGGAGGCTAAGGTGCTGGTCAACGACCTCGGCCAGGCCTTTGAGGTGCTCTACGCCGCTGCCCACCAGGCCGGCGATCCCGCTACTGCTCCCGCTCCCAGCAGGCGCGTCGACATCGTACTCGACAACGCCGGCTTCGAGCTCTTCGTCGACCTCATCCTCGCCGGCTACCTGCTCGCCACGGGCCTCGCCACCGAGGTTGTGCTGCACCCCAAGAGCATCCCGTGGTTCGTCAGCGACGTGGTCCCGGCTGACTTTGCCGCCCTGCTCACCGCCATGCAAGACCCTCGCGCCTTTTACACTCCCACTGCTACTGACGGTGATGGAGCTGCGCCCGCCGCGCCCCTGTCCGACCACGACGCCGCTCTGGTTCAGTTCCTCTTCGACGACTGGAGCCGCCTTCACGCCGACGGCCAGTTGATTCTGCGCCCGTCCCGCTTCTGGACCCACGCCGGCAGTTTCTGGCGCCTGCCGCACACCGCGCCCGCCGTGTTGGACGATCTCAAGGAGAGCCAGCTCGTCATCTTCAAGGGCGATCTGAACTATCGCAAGCTGACTGGTGATGTACGTTCCGTTCCCTTCCGTTCAATTTGGCTCCATTCTGTCTGCACGTAGCCGTCCCTGTCCCTATCGTTCCTACCTGGAATTGTCTGTCGATATTTCTATTTCCTGTCTTACCTCTCAAATATCTGTTCGATACCTGTCTCTACTCTCGATCTATATCTATCTCCATCTCCATCTACTTTGCAAGTGTGTTTCTGCGAAGCACTTCAGAATGGATATATATCTGTCCTCCATACTTTTACTTTTTGCTTTTCACTTTTCACATTCGCCCTTTGTCTATACTTCACCTCCCATTCTCATTCCCATTCCACTTCCAATCTCCTGTCTCTGCGCTCGTTGCGTGACAAACTCAGCTGACATGCAATTCTACTTGATGTTTCAGGCAGCATGGCCCGCCACCACCCCGTTTGCCACCGCCATCGGCCCGCTCGGTCCGGCATCTGGGGTCAGAACGCTGGCGCTGCGCACGTGCAAGGCCGACGTGGTGGTCGGCTTACCCGAGGGCAAGGACGAGGAGATCCGGGCCACGGAAGGCGGCGGCGGCGATTCCGGCGCCAGGGCCTGGGCTTGGAGCGGGAAATGGGCCGTCGTGCAGTTCTGTGATGGCAAGGTCTGAGTTGACCTTGTCGGTCACGGTCACGGTTTCAACTGATCCGAGTAGATCACCTGGCTGGCTGGCTGGCTGAGGATGGTATCGGGTTAACAACAGGGTGGGAGAAAGGATCGGGGCTGAAGAAGAAACAGGTTGAGTTGACAAAGGAGATGAGATGAGACCAGGTTGGATGGATGGTAGATTAGATTAGACCAGACCAGTGTCATCCCTTGTTCACTTCCTCTTGCAATTGCACAGGTAGACAAAGCCGTGCACTGCATTCACATTTACATTGACATGCACGAGGCTGCACGCACATGTTTCATCTTATTGGCCAGCCACCCCCCTTTAGCTTAGGGGCTTAGGCTCCTTACGCTTAGGTAAGGCTTGGGTGCTTAGGGGCTAATGGGCCTAAGACCTACTAGGCCCTAAGCCCCTAAGCCTTTAGTACCGGCGAAGCTTGTGGCTAAGGCTAGTCAGGGCACATTGGCAATGCTCCCTGCTGCCAGTGGGCGCACCTGTCCGGACTTGCTTAGCCCAGGCACCAACTTTACTGTAAGACTCACCCTGAGCCCTGTTGCGCAACCACCACGCGAGACAGTTCATCAGGCCATCACCACCATCATCTATGAGATTTCATAGTACTGTGCCGTACAGACTACTACCTACACACCTCTAATCGTACGACCATCTACCGTAACTACCTACTACCACCTACCATATTGGCTATCACCACCGTCTGCGCTCATTCACCCCGGGAGCTGCGGCTGTCTTTGTCCTTTTCTCCTCTGCATTCTTTTGGCTCCTGTCGCACACTCGTTCCAATCGACTCGACCGCCGTCAACTACTCTCGAGAGTCGACCCTACTACTAATACACCCACACACCTACACACCTCCACGCCTTCACCCCCTGCCTGCGGACGTCTAGATTCCACTTGATAGGGACAGATTCACCCCCTAGCTAGGGCCGTATCTCAACGCCCGCCTCGCGTGGACACTCCTCTCCTCCACCTCCACAGCCTCATGTCCGCGCCGATTCTCGCGTTCGAAATGCCCGACCATGCCAAAGGCACCAGGGAGCAGAGAGTATCCTACGTGTCGTCGTTTGTGCGCTGGGTCCAGCTGAAAAAGTACCAATATGAGGTCACCTTCTCGCTGTACATGCTTACACCCACCGAGAAGTTCATTTTCAGTGTGTACTCCCCCATTCCATTCCCGAGGCGTTTCTTTTGCTGCTGGCCCTCTCGTTCTAGCGTTTCTTTGCTGCTGGCCCTCTCGTTCTAGCGTTTCTTTGCTGCTGGCCCTCTCGTTCTAACTCCTGTGCTTCAGATCTGATCCTCTTCGTCCTTGTCTCTCTCCTGGTCACGGCCGCGCTGTTCTACCTCCCGAACCATATGGCCCTCATCTACAATCGCATCTACTACTATGTCAACGGTGAATTCGCCTACGCCACCGCAGGCGCGGGAGGGAAGGTGTCTTCTTACGCGCCCGCACTGGTCACCTCTACCGCGCAGATCGTGGGAGACACGGCCAAGGCTACGTTGAGAGAACTCTAGGCGGAAACGAGTGGACAGCTACGAAGATGTCGATTGGGTCCATGCATGATTTTGAGAGTGCAATACGACAATCGAGAATCGAGCATGGCGTGTGGGATTGGTTCGCGGGTGGTGGTGGCGGTGGGTTGAGCAGTCTTGACTCTGACAATTCTTGAGTGGACTGAGATATCATTATATGCTTTTTAATACGTCGAGATGGAGCGGAAATGCTTTGTCTCATCTTGGTACCATACACCAAAAGATATGTCTACAACGACACGGGCCTCAGCGGAGCAAATCTTGCCGCAAGTCTGCATCTGCAGGGTTCGCGCCCACTATGCTGGTCGAAACAATGCTGCGTTTGGCTTTTTGACTCTTGTACAGTATCCCATGAACTCCGTCGCAATGCCCAAGACCCAGCCCAAATTTTTGGTGTTTAGTATTTCATACATGTCCGCCAACAAATGTACCATCATGCCGTGCCCTCGTGCTTTTCTTTCGCTGGTTCCCTGAACGCCAACTTGGCCGCGCCGAGAGCGTCCTCGGCTCGGTGGCGGCGCACATTCTCCCGCTCCTTCATTTCCGTCTGGATGCGCTCGACCTCGGCCTTGATTTCATCTCGTTCGTAGGGGATCTTGTGGCTCTGGTCCTGCGTCGGCCAGAAGCCCGGCACGGAGAAGCGCTCTTCCAGATTCGTGCCGAAATAGTACATGTATCCTATGGGGAAGGAGAGATAGAGGCCGAACTGGAGAAGGAATTCGTTAGACGACGACAACAACAACAACAACGACGACCGCGACCAAATCAAAACGGCCGCCGGGGTGGGAGTGGGAGTGCGAGTGGGAGTGACTGGGAACGGGTTCCAATCTACACTTACCTTGAAGACTTCGAGGTTCGTGCCCCGGAGGACGCGGCGAATGTAGTTGACCACCATCAAGATCGCGCACCAGGCAGGGACCAGCTGCCGATTCTTTGCTGCAGGGTTGGAGGGTTGGTCGACCAGGCTGTGCCGTGATCGTGATCAAGAGTGAGAGTGAGAGTGAGAGTGTCGTCTGGACCGGACTGGACGGGGCAGGGACTCGAGGATTGTTGAGTGCGGGTTTGGTTTCTGTCGGAGGTCAGAGAGGTAACCTGCATTCAAGGTAGGTAGGTACTCTGTTCGGACACAAATACACAGATACACAGATACAAGATACACAGGCTGGTTCTCTTGTCTGATTGAAGCCGCAGTCGCAGTTCAGTTCTGTCCCGGTCGCCGCCTGAGCTCGATTGGGCTTGGCGGAGAACAGGTGACGGAGTATGTATCAGTCCACTCTCTTTTCTACCAACCTACCTTACTTTCTCTACTACCTACTTACCTACCTACCATTAGGTACTGCCTACTACTGTACTAATACCGACTTACTGTGCATGTACTGTAAACTTCAACTTCAGTCATCTGTACATACAGAGGTGCCGGTGCCTAGGTGTCGGCAATATGCTACTCTACAACCACTCAGCGAGATAGCCGAAGTGTGTGCGGTACGAAGTGTGTGTCGGAGTGTGTGCCCGGAGAGGCTCCCCGTTACCTACCTCCCCCCTGCAGGTCTCCAGACTCCAGACTCCAGAGTAGGTACCGAGTACGGAGTACGGATACTGATATTGGCCCAAGACTACTCGTCCCGAGTACGGATACAGAGTCATGCATTAGCAGTGCAGACCCTGCTTGCACGCCTGAGATGCGTTCCATTAATGATCTCCGGCCCCCATGTCTGAGGGCCTGAGTCTCAGCCAAGTTCAGGTTCTGGCTCCTTGATTCGAAATGACAGCCTGAGCACAGCCTCTGCAGGTTACACAGTTACACAGGCTGATAGGAACCTACCGTCTCTGCAGATCCAGCCACCAACAAAATCACCCAGTACTCGGGAGCTCTTTCTGCAAGCATCACCCTGGTAAGTTTGGCGGTAGTCCTTGCCCCTAGGAGGGCTCGGCTGTGTTTTGTGGCTGCAGAAATCGTCCATGTCAAGGATCGACCGCCTACGGAGTACGGAGTAACTACTCCGTACAGCATCTTTGTATTGGACAGCCTGACACAAGTGTCCTCTCGAATTGGCTTGCTGCTTACCTGCGCCCGTCCTGTGGGCAGGGATGGACGAAATAGTAACCACTTGCCTAGCGCGAGAAGTGCTGTCGACCACGAACCGGTTGCGAGGCCAGCCTCATTACCTTCTTTCCCATGAAATGATATACTGGTCCCAAGCAGATGCTCAGCCGTCACAATTGACTGCTGCAGAAACAGACCATTGACATTAACCTCAATCCAGGCATGAACCCGGTGTCTCAGCCCGGAAGCACAAGTCCCGTGTCTGATGTTATGACTGACCCAACTACAACGCCATCTTCACAGTCCAACATGACCTTGACCATCTTTTTCCACAAGGCCAAACGCTTTGTTCTACGCTCAGGGCCAGCTTACGAGTACGATCTATTTGGCGATACCGATACCGATGCCGACCTCCAGAAAAGTGAGAGAGTGGCGGGTTGGCACCAAGGTGCCCGTCTATGTTTTGGAGGCGCGTTATGTTGCCTCATCATCGAAGTGGTGCTCTTGGTCGGCTTCATCATTCGTGACCACAAAGTCACGGGTCACGGCGTCATTTTTGAAGGCAGTTGTCAGAAAGTCAAGCATCTCAATGTGCTGTTACTCGTGCCCCTGAACGTGGTGGGCACCTTTCTCATCTCAGGCAGCAATTATGTCATGCAATGCCTTAATGCTCCCAGTCGCCGGGAAGTCGACAAAGCGCACGCCAACGGGGCCTATCTCAACATCGGAGTTCCCTCCATCACCAACGTCAGATATCTCGGCTTCAAAAAGACTGTGATCTGGGGGGTGTTGGGCTTGTTCACCATCCCCATCCACCTGCTGCTGAATTCGGCGGTTTTTGCTTCGTTGCAATCCAACAATTACGGCGTCCTGGTGGTGGATACAGGATATGAGGATGATCCTACGTGGCGGCTGTGTCAATCTTCGGAACTGAGTGACGCCCCGTTGACCTTTGCTTGTACGCTTCTCAACCATGCAACCGGCGTCAACGTGACCAGCAATCGGCGAGAACCCGAGGACTGTATCCGTCTATACTTGAATACTCTGGGGAGCAGCACGTCGAATGTGATGTTGGTGACGAAGAACACCACACAATCGCGTTGGAGTCTTTTTGCCACGCCCACGATCGACTCGGACCACTTTTCGGCATGTAACCACACATGCTACGACAATCTTCCCGGGATGCTGAACGTGAGCCTCGTGTTGAGCACTGCAGATGTTGCCTGGAACATCAGTTCAATCTTGGGGGTGTGGGACGCGCTGGACTACAAGTACATGACGAGCCTTCAATACTCCAAGTTCGACTTTTCGGGTCCCGACATGAGGACGGCCAACCGGTGGGAGCCCGATGCTTGGCTCTGCGACACGGGTACCACCGGTCCGCTTCAACCGTGCGTTTTAGGCGACGTGGCAGAGACCGCGGCAGATTGGAGGATAACACCCAATTCCCTGCAGATCGATCATTGCTGGGTTGAACCTGAAGCTCCAGAATATTGCAGATTGTACTACAGTACAGCGATCATGGCGGTCGTGATAGCTTGTGATGTTGTCAAGACCTGCTGTATCGCGTTTGTCATCCGGTTGTCCAAATGCAATCGAAAGTCCCACCAGGTTGTGCTCGCCACCCTGGGCGATGCCATCGAGTCCTTTTTGGACCGTGCCGATGAAACCAGCGCCGACAGGTCTCTGATCGACCAGAAGCGTGTCCGGTCCATGCTCGGAACCGGGATTTACTGGATGGACGACGGCGACTATTTTGAAAGCTTGCCTCTTGAGGAGCGGGTGGCGGAATGTCCTCGAGTATTTGGTCCGCAACCGATCACATTCCAAGCTGAAAGACATCGACTGTTGGAGCGCCCGTCACGTTCGCGCTGGCTTGCAACCGGCCCGATTTTTGGCCTCATCGTCGTCGCGGCTTCGGCTGTTTTGGGCATCGGCATGGTCAACTTGAGAAGCCTTGGAGTTTCGGACATCTGGTCGCGCGGGATCGGAACCATCGACCCTAATGCGATTTTCACCACCACCGCCATCGACCCTATCTATGCGAGATTGTATGATGGGGCAGAGACCGGGAGGATGTTCCGCCTCATCCTCATGATCAACACCCCTCAACTGTTGGTGTCCATGCTCTACTTCCTGTACAACGGACTCCTCACCAGCATGATGTGTGCCTACGAGTTCAGCAAGTTCAGCCTCCAGCCGACAACGTTGCGGGTCAGCGTGCCATCTGGACAACAACGTTCGACGTATTGGCTCTCTCTGCCGTAGAAATTCAGCTTGCCTCTGATCATGGTTTCAGCTACAATGCATTGGCTGTTGTCCCGAAGTCTCTTCCTGGTGCAAATCGAAGTCATAAACTAGGAAGGCGTGGTTCAAAACTTTCGAGACATTACCGCCTGCGGATTCAGCCCCCTGGCGATCCTGTTGTTCCTGGTGATTTTGTTTGTCCTGGTGGCGGTCCTGATCGCGGTCGGTTCCAAGCATCTACCAGCGGGTGTGCCTTTGGTCGGGACGTGTTCCTGGGCCATCAGCGCTGCTTGTCATGATATCGGAGGGGAGAAGGACGCCGCCATCAAACCGCTCATGTGGGGTGAGATTGCGTCCAGCGACCCAGATGGGTTCGGTCATTGTTCGATTTCTAGCCGTACAGTTGTGCAACCGACAGAAGGTCGGACCTACGCATAAGACGTATTTGTACGACTCATACATATAATGTCAATCACAACGGTCCTTGAGCATCGACGATGCGGCTGAAGACACGTCGGACGTCGGTGTTTGTCCCTGGTCGCTGCCAAGCAGCCTCTGAGACGCCTTGCATTAGTCTAAGCCCAACCACTGTGGCGCAGCCTTTCCTGTGCTGTCAAGTCATAATCTCGAGGTCTCCCCGTCTTGTCGACCTCCAGTGTGAGAATAGTCGAGTCCGAGCGTGTACTCCGTACTCCGTACAGGGTCAACAGGTATTGGAGTCTCACCAGGATGTCAACCACCACGGCAGCCGTCCCCTTACAGCCGCTATCCCCCTCGTCCGCCGGAGTTCCACTCGCGACTTCAACTGTACAGCCTAACAGTAGCACTGGCAGTCACCCGAGCAATGCTGGTTCATCGAGCCCACCTCAACAAAGTACAGTCAGCAGTCATGCCGGAGTGGCTCCTGGGGTGACCTCTCGATGGAAGACGGTCAATACAGGGCTGTTGCTCCTAGCCAAAGTTCTCGCTACTCTCGCTGGGATTGTGGCAGCCTACTTCGCCCTGTCAGTCACCTTGTGGACAGCGGCCAAAGACTATCGAGACGATTGTCGTAGCCGAAATGTGAGGATGACATGCCTAAGCTTCAAGGTACTCATGAAAGCTTGCTAATGTACATGTTCTTGTCAGAGCAAATTAGACGCCCTCACTCCAGATTGCCGTGCAGCCTTGCGCAAACCACTTTCTCCCCCTCCCTTCTTGTCCAATTACCTGGGCAGTGTGAAAGTCAAGCGGTGGCTGGAGAGCCCCACGACAGTGTCAGACTCGGCGACATTGGCGAGGGTCGACGTACTCCTCCTTGCAGCGGTGGTGATATCTGGCCTTGGTGGCCTGCTGCTCAGGGTGTCTCGTCTCCGTCCACGAGCCGGGGCTGGACACAATGCCACGAGGAGGAGTTCCGAGGTGGCCATGAGCATCCAGCGGATTGGATTTTTTGTGCAAGGCGGCCTGCCGTGGGTTGCAAACTCGATTCCTCGACGGGAGATCTCGACGCCCACATCCCCGTTCACATCCACGTCTATATTCCCGTCCACTATCCGGAAAAGACAGCGCAGAGTCGTCGAACTGGCAGAGGACAGCGAGGGTGACTGGGAGCCAGCGGGAGTTTCGGTCACCCGGGGGCAGCCACAGCCACAGTCACAGCCTTTGCTAGAATCGACGCAGCCAGCACCGCTATTGAACCGGACTCCACCAGCAACTGACGCGACTTCATCGCCTAATTCCGCACGGTTTCCATTCGACCGCGAGGTACACGAGCGCCGACCGGTCGAAACCGAGAGCAGGGTCCAGCTGATGAGCGAATGGCAGCACAACGAAGAGCCGCTTTTAGGGGTTGATGGTGCACTCGGATCAGGAAAACTTTCCAGCACCGCTGCTTTGGTGCGAACAGCAAGCAGACATGATGATGATGATGATGAGGCTATACGGCGCCTAATAAAGGAGCTTGATGATGAGGCTACACGGGGCCTAGTAAAGGAGCTTGATGATGAGGCTACACGGCGCCTACAAAGGTATCTCGATTATCAGGCTACACGGCGCCAACGAAAGAAGCTCTATGATGAGGCTGCACCGCACCTACAAAAGGTGCTCTATGCACCGCGCCTACAAAAGGACCTCGATGATGAGGCTACACTGCGCCTAGCAAAGGAGCTCCATGATGAAACTATACGGCGCCTACAAAAGGAGCTCCATGCCAAGGCTGTACCGCGCCTACTGAATGAGCTCCTTGATGAGGCTAAACAGCGCCTACGAAAGCTGTTCAGGCTACACGGCTCCGATTAAAGCGGATCCAAGAGGAGCTCCATGAGTTCCGCGAGCGTATGAACCAACCGCATCCACTACCACCCACCTAAGCCGTGGGACTGGCTCGAGCCAGCAGTCTGAAGCACTGAAACGGATTCGACGAAGACAGCAGCGCTACTTGGACATTGGGAGCCAGGAGAGGGTGTTTCCAGCCTAGCCGAGACTGACGGAGACCATGGGGAATGGAATGTGCAAGGCTGATTTCTAACATTTCTAACGGTGGGTCGAGTTTCGTCCGGTCCGGTCCGTGCCAGTGGTGTGTATGACAGCATCAATCATCAATCATCAATCAGATGTAACGCAGACGTAGCTGTGCGATGGACAAGTCTATTGCATGGTATGCTGACCTCAAGGTCAAGTCTATGGCTATATCCAAGTCCAAGTCTATCCATGTCTATCCAAGTCTATGGCTGTGACCATGTCTATCCAAGTCCAAGTCTATGTCTACCTATTCCCAGACATTTTGCCCTTGATGGTCAGTCCACCTATTCCCAGACATGTTGTTTCCCCGGATGGTCCGGACGCAGCTTCGGACCCAGCCCGTCCTGGAAATAATTCTCGCGCGCCGACCCGGCCGGCCCAGGAGCTGCGTAGTCATCCCAGATGACGCCGCGGGCCTTCAACTCGGGCCACACGAACTCAATCAGATCCTCAAAGGTGCCAGGCGAGACGGTATGGACAAAGTTGAAGCCGTCGACGCCGGCCTCGTCGACCCAGCGCTGCAGGATGTCGGCCACGGTGGCGGGCGAGCCGATAGCGCGCGGATGGGCGCCGCCCAGCGCCAGTTCCTGCAGCACGCGCCTCTTGGTCCACTTGATGCCGCCGGAGTTGGGGATCGTCTTGGACCACGTCTCGACGAACGAGTGCACGCCGCCGACGGTCTGGAAGGTGAAGTCTTCGTCGTCGTCGAACTGCGATAGGTCCGTGTCCGTCCAGCCGCCGAACAGGGCCGCCATGCCTTCCGGGTCTGCGTACGATAGCTGTTCTGCGTACTTGGCCTGTGCCTGCTCGTCCGTCTCGGCCACGATCACCGTGATGCCCGCCACGAACTTGACGCTGTCTGGGGCTCGACCTACTTCGCGGAGTCGGGCTCTAGATATGGAAGATGTTGGTGAGCGAGTTAGATACAAGAAAGGTAGGAAAGCCTGGATGTAGGAAAGGTAGGAAAGGTAGGAAAGCCTGGATGTAGGAAAGGTGGGAAGCCAAAGAAGAGTCAAGGGACGGTCATGTTTCCCGGAAAGATGTTGTAAGTGAGATGGACGTAGGAAAGGTAGGAAACTCCAAGAACACTCAAGAGACGGTTATGTTTGGGTCCGGGCAGCAATCCACACTTACCGGACAGTGTCGACCACCTTCCTGGTCTTGTCAGGTTCCAGACCCGGCACGAACATGACCTCGGCGTGTTTGGCGGCAAAAATCGAGCCGTCTCTAGATTGATGGGGATGTCAGGACAAAGAATCTTTAGTCAGATGCACTGTGGCCGGGTTGGGACGTACTTGGATGCTCCGGCCTGGAAGATGAGCGGCGTGCGCTGCTTGGACGGCGGCAACTGGTTCGTGGCGTAGGATTGGAAGTATTTCCTACACCGGGACAGATCGACTTGGATGTTAGTTGCTTGCAGACAGTGTCTATTTGGTGGAGGTGTGGCAGAAGAATTGTGTCATTGGGGATGTGAGTTAGCTTGCTTGCAGTTTAATCGGTTGGGGCTGGGCTGGGCGTGAAATGGCTGGGCTGGCTACTGAGGTATGGCAGAAGAATTGTGTCAAGGGGTATAAGATAGAAGGATTATATCAAGAGGATGTGACAGAAGGAGACGATAAAATAGCTCGGCTGGCTACGGGGATAAGATAGAAGAATTGTATCAAGGGGATAAGACAGAAGGAGACAATTAACTGACCCTTGATGTGTGATGGCTCGAACATGTTGCGGATCACTATAGACGCCAGACACGGGGTCTTTGACCACAGCTCCGTCGCGCCAGGTGCCTTCCCACAGTTTATAGGTAAGTTCGAGGAACTCGTCGGCGCGAGCATATCTCTCGGCGTGGGGGATCTGGTGGTCGAGCCCGTAGGCGCGGGCGGCGCTGTCGAGGAATGAGGTGACGACGTTCCAGCCGATACGGCCTTGAGTCAGGTGGTCGAGGGTGGAAAACTTGCGGGCCACGGCGAAGGGCGAGCTCTCGTACGTGGTGGACAGGGTGATGGCGAAGGCGAGCGAGGTGGTGACGGAGGCCATGGCGGAGACGAGGAGGCTGTGGTATATGTTAGGGGGGGTGTGTGGGTGTGTGAGTATATGATAGGGGGGGCTGTGTAGGTGTGTAGGTATATGGGGAGGCTGTGTTGGTATATGATAGGGGAGGCTGTGTAGGTGTACTGGTATATGATAGGGGAAGCTGTGTGAGTATATGATAGGGGAGGCTGTATAGGTATATATTGGGGGAGGCTGTGTGAGTATATGATAGGGGAAGCTGTGTTGGTATATGATAGGGGGAGGCTGTGTAGTGGTATATGTTAGGGTGGAGTGGGAGAGGGGGGAGAGAGAAGGGGGGAAGGGGAGAGAGAGAGAGAGAGAGAGAGAGAGAGAGAGAGAGAGAGAGAGAGAGAGAGAAAGAGAGGGAGGGAGGGAGAAAGAGAGCAGGCTTAGACCAGCCAACCAACCCCAACCAACCCCCCTTTCTTGCTTTCTTTCCATCTTCCATCTTCCATCTTCACTTACATCGGATCCCCCAGGGGAAATTGGGCACCAGACCGCAGTGCGGGATCACGATTCGCAGGACCCTTGTAGACGTCGTAGATGCCGAGATGGTCGGCCAGGAACAAGCCGTGGAACTTGCCCCGTTCGAGCAATTTGGCCAGGTCGATCCAGTACTTGAGGTCGGTGAAGTTGAGCCCGCCGCGATCCTGGGGATGTTTCCACAAGCCTGGGGGAGATGAATGTGATTAGTGTGAGTGTGAGTGTGAGTGTGAGTGTGAGCCTGTGGGATGGTTGAACCGGGTCAATTAAACAGAAAAAAACAATAGGGATCCGGGGTAAGAGGGGGGAAGAGGAAGAGGAAGAGGAGGAGGAAGAGGAGGAAGAGGAAGAGGAGGAAGAGGAAGAGGAAGAGGAGGAAGAGGAAGAGGAGGAAGAGGAAGAGGAGGAAGAGGAAGAGGAGGAAGAGGAAGGGAAGAGGCAGGGGAAGATGAATCAGAAGAGGAAGAGGAAGAGGAATCAGAAGAGAGGGATGGAAGGACTGCTGTTGCTGTAGCTGTCACTGTTGCTATTACTATTCCTCTTACTGACCAGGAGACACATGGCCCGGCGTGAACATGGTGAAGGCATTCAAGATCCATGGCTTTTTGGTTTTGGTTGGAGGTGGAGGAGCTGGAGTGGCCATGGTGCTGGGTGAGTGACTGGGTGAGTAACTGAGTAGTAGGTGAAGGGTACCAGGTATGAGGTGAGGTATGAGGTGAGGTATATCAAGATATACTATACAGTGTGTGTATAGTGTAAGGTATAAGGTAAGGTAAGGTAAGGTAAGGTACTCCGTATATATACAATACAGGAAATACAGACCAGAGACGGTAGATAGTAGGAGTGGTTGGCCAACTGACTCTCAACGTAGGTTAGGAAGTAGGAAGTAGGAAGTAGGGAGTAGGTCTGGCTTCTCCTAACTTGTAGAGACTGACAGAGGGAGAGACAGAGACAGAGACAGAAGGAGAGGGAGAATGCATGGAGAGAGAATTCCCGACTATAGACTACTGTAATTAGACTACTCACTACGGAGTACTCACTACTCACTACGGAGTACTCACTACTCACTACTCTCTACTCTACTCTACTCTGTACGGAACACTCTGTTCTGTATAAACAAACCAGTGTCCACTGTCCTGTAGACTAGGTATCACACAATTATCCCATAACCACAACCACATCCATAATGACGAGATCCATACTCCGTACGCGGTACTCCGTACTCGGCAGTATATCCGGACATGTAGGGTCGGAATAGTAGTGGTAATCCCCTCGCTTTCCACCCCAGATCATCCTCATTCATCATCCTCATATGGCGCAATAATACCGGGTCCGCAGTATCGGGGACCAGAAATACAGACCCAGTCGGATCGGGGACCAGAAGAGAAGAAAGAAAGAAGTCAAGTCAACTTAACTTGGATGAATTAGGACTGTGGAAGGGAAGATTGTGATTATGATAGATGGTGATGAATGTTGATGAGATGGCGTGCTTGTTTCTGTATCTGAGACTGTATGGATATATGTACCTAAGTGTTCATGTTAGTGTTCGTGTTAGCACCGGTGAGTATCCGTAGTACTTCAAGACTAATCAGGGTCGGGTTCCAGTTGCTTGCTTCATGATGGAGCCTCAGAAATAGCATCAGATCCTGCTGTGATCTCACCATCGGTATGGAGTAGAGTATGAAGTACCTAGGTAAGTAGGACCTCCAGGACGGATACCTTGGTAGTATCACACCTAGTGACCTAGCTTGGTGACTATAGACTAGGTACCGATGCCTAGGTTAGGTAGGGTAGCAGTCTAGAGGTGAGGCATCTAGGGTTAGGGTTAGGGTTAGGGTTACTAAATATCAATTAATGGACCACAACCCTAACCCTAACCCTAACCCTAGAGTATACAGGTACCGAGTATACAGTATATCCCTACTACCTGCAGAGTACAGATACAGAGTATAGGTACCTAAGGTACTCCGTACTCCCTGCCTCAGTCCTCAGTGTAGTTCTCAGTGTAAGGTAGCTGGTTGCTGGTGGCCAATACAAGCTTACAGCTTATACCTACATCTTCACCTACAATCACATACACCTACCCCTATTCATACACCTACCCCTATTCATACACCTACCCCTATACCTACACCTACCTACACCTACACCTACCTACACCTACTGCCTACGTCCTACCTTCCCTCAGGTGCTGCCTCTGGGCCAGAGTCCACGATCCATGATCCACGATCAGAATCCAGAATCGCCCGTTTAGGTACTCCGTAACGCAGAGCTTGACCGGGCTGCTGGCAGGCACCTGAGGTACCAGACTGCTCTATCGTCTTATTGCGTGACAGAGGTACGTGAGCACCCAACCACCAGCCCCAGTACCAGCTAACACCAACCCAACACCAGCCAACACTATTATAGACTATACTACACACTAACTACACATAACTACAAGTTCAGACTAAGCGCAAACGTGATACGGCGACATCTGCGAGATCCCCGAACAGACACCAAACCTCAGAGACCAAAGAGGAAAAAATGAAAACATGTCGGCGGTGTTGTCGGTCGGTCGCCATCGATATACTCCATGGTACATAAACAACCAAGCATATATAGCTCCCTGTATTTCCACCCGTAATGCTTGTCGTTGTAAGAGCGCTACCACTCACCAATCACCCACATCTCTTCACCCAGGTCATCAACCTCCCCCATCATGCATGGCAAACGACAGGGTCGGGCCTGGTACCACTGGTTTGCCGAAACCGACACACCCCAAGAACGAAAGCTGTTGCTGAAGCTCGACCTGCTGATTGTGCCCTATGCCTTTATCGGGTTCTGGATCAACTTCATCGATGGCTCCAACATTAGTAAGACAGACTCCCATCCTCGATCCTCACCCAACTTCTCCCTCTGACACTCTGACCCCACAGACAATGCCTGGGTGGCCGGGCTCGCCGAAGACCTCAACTTCCATGGAAACCAGCTCGTCGACTTCCAAACCATCAGCTCCGTCGCCGGCGTCATCGGCCAGATCCCCTTCGCCTTTCTGTTCCCGTACATGCCCATGAACTGGCTGGTCCCCGGCGTCGAACTGTTCTGGGGCGTCTTCACCCTGTTGCAATACCGCGCCAAATCCTATGCCGAGTTCATGGCATATCGCTTCTTCGTCGGCTTGTTCGAGGTACAGTCCGAGTCTCGTCTACCGTCCGCCATCCGGTACTCACTGATCATCACAGGCACCCTTCTTTATCGGAGTTCACTTTGTCCTTGGATCATGGTGTGAGTGTCCCTTGGCAGGTAGGGCCGGCCAGAACTGACCTCGACTCTAGATCGAGCCGATGAGCTCGGTCGCCGAGGTGGTATCTTTTACATCGGCTTGACCCTTGGCTCCTTGACCTCGGGCCTGATTCAAAGTAGTGCCTCAGCCAACCTGGAAGGTGTTGCTGGCCTGGCAGGTTGGAGGTGAGTGACCCTACCCATCACCCTACACCCTAGTTGATCCCTCGAGGACTGGACATGAGGACTGGACATGTGAGCTGACGCCACCCCCCTCCCCCAACAGATGGATGTTTATCATCGTCGGCTTGATGACCTTCGTCGTGGCCTTCGCCGGCTTCTTCATCTGGCCCGGCACCCCCGACATCCCCAACAAGCTGTTTCTCTCCGACGAGGAACTCGACATTGCCCGGCACCGGCTCCAAGAAAACGGAACCGACGGCACAAGGCCCGCCAACATTGCCCTCCCCAAGGTGACCCTGGGCTTGCTCAAAACCGTCTTCACCAGCTGGAAAGTCTATGCCCTCGTCGTGTGGAACTTGTTCTTCTGGGACAGCGACCCTCAGCCCTGGGGCGGCTACTTACTTTGGATCAAGAGTCTCGGCCGATACTCGAATGCCCAAGTCAACCGCCTTGGCGCCTCGGCCCCGGGAGTCGGCATTCTCTATGTGCTGTTCATCAACTTCAGCTCCGATCTCTGGCTCGGTCGCACCGGCTCCATCGTCCTGGCCCACGTCGTCAACATCGTCAGTATGGTCATCCTCGTCATCTGGGACGTGCCCGAGTCCGCCAAATGGTTTGCCTTCAACATCTACTACTTCGACATCGGCATGAGCAGCGTCCTGTACGGCTGGGCCAACGACATCCTCAGGCACAACAAGCAAGAGCGGGCCATCACGCTGGTGGTCATGAACACCATCCCCACCGCCATCCGTGCCTGGATCGGTCTGCTGGTCTTCAAGACAGTCGAGTCACCACGCTTCACCAAAGGCTACTCGTTCTGTCTGGCCAACTCCATCTGCCTGATAGGCTTCACCTTCGTCGTCAGGAGGTTGTATAGGAAACAGGAGTAAGTCGTCTTTTCCCTTTTGGTTCGGCCGTTGATGGCTTGTGCTTGTGCCTATGACACCACGACTGACACGCCCGATACCAGGGAACAATACGCCCTCGAGTTGGCTCGCTCGTCCGAGGCCGTGGTCGAAGAGATAAGCCACCCAATCGAGAAGAAGGAGGCGGGTGTTGGCAATGTCACGGTCGAGCCTGTTGCATAGATTGCAGGAAACAAGGTGATAAGCACGGAGAGAGAGGAGTCCCGCCATCGCATCCGTCACCGGCGTTCCGAGGCAATATTGAATGGTGAGGGTGAAAGGATCCCCCGACCATGGCTTTGACGGAGCTATGTCTCGACTCACCCCACGTACTGGCCTCTTCGTCCGTGATAGCGGTCGTGATACAACCCGATAGACTTCAGATAGACTAATTGAAAGACGCACATAAACCCCCATCATATCTTTTCGGGCTTGATGCATCCCGCAGGCAACCCAGGACGAGCAACAGCCATGGCGACTGGTCAAGGCTCCGATCCCCGACTCTCCGGATTGATCCAGTTATTGGCGCCACGAGCACTCGAGTCAGCTCAGGCTGCCTGTCGACCAATGCCATGGCCATGGCAGTGGGGGTCCCACAGCTGGAAGGATCCGTTGAAAATCCAGCCACGGTGGTTGGATGGCCGGGGTCGACATCGGTGCCGTGCCGAAACGGGGGTCGTTCCCGGCGAGTCACCGTGGTATCGAGTATATACAGTATGTATCATCCCGCCATAACCATCGTGCATAGCCCTATGCCCATGCTGCCAGCGACGCATTTTCGATTCACGCCCCTCGCCGTCGCCGTCGCCAGCATCAACCAGCATCAACCAGCATGACTTGTCCACAGAAAGCGTCGTCTTGTGATGCCTGTCCCAGCGACGGCCACCCCAATGACCGTGTGGGCGACATCGAGGACTACAAAGTCGAACTCGAGACGTTACGCAAACGGACTCGCGAGCTGGAGCAGAAGCTTTCCGAGGTAGGCCTTAACCCCGGGGATGACGCCCGTTCAACGTCGCCCAACCTTCGATCGGCTCGTTGGTTCAATGACCACAGGAATCCCGAGATGTCGGCGCTCTATGCTGAACGGTATCTGAATTACGGCCTCACCGAAGAGGAGCTAATGTCGGGCAAACCCATCGTCGGCATTGCCCAGTCCGGATCCGACCTGGCTCCTTGCAACCGCCATCATCTGACACTGGCCAAACGAGTGCGTGAAGGCATTCGGTCCGCCGGCGGCATTGCTTTCGAGTTTCCCACCCATCCCATCCAGGAGAGCTCGAGAAGGCCGACCGCCACGCTCGACAGGAATCTCGCATATCTGGGCCTGGTCGAGTTGCTATTTGCCTATCCCCTGGATGGGGTGGTCCTGCTGACAGGCTGTGACAAAACAACCCCCGCCTTCCTCATGGCTGCTGCCACGGTGGTAGGCTTGATCCTCGATTCGCACTCATGGCCATCTGCTGACCATGGAATCCAGAACATTCCAGCCATCTGTCTCAACGTCGGCCCCATGCTGAATGGCCGCTTAAAAGGGTCGGCCGAGCGCATGGGCTCAGGCACCGTCTTGTGGAAAGCCAGAGATCTACACGCTGCCGGGGAAATCGACGACGACAAACTCGTCGAGATGATCTCATCCGGGTACGCTGGACGTGTAGTGTTGGTGACATTCTCCTAGCTGACGGCAGAACACAGATCTCCCTCTGTCGGTCATTGCAATACGATGGGCACCGCATCAACCATGAACGCGCTGGCCGAAGCTCTGGGTATGGCGCTCCCAGGATCCGCGGCCATTCCAGCCGCGTACCGCGAACGAGCACAGGTTGCGTACAAGACGGGCAGACAGATTGTCGAGATGGTACATGCGGACCGCAAGCCCAGCGATATCATGACGAGGGAAGCCTTCGAGAATGCCATCGTGGTCAACAGTGCCATCGGAGGGAGCACCAACGCCCCCATCCACCTGAACGCGATTGCTAAACACATTGGCGTTCGACTGGATCTCGACGATTGGGACCGAATCGGGTTCGAGATCCCGTTGCTTGTGAACGTGCAACCGGCCGGAGAGATGTTGTGTGAGGAATATTACAAAGCTGGCGGCCTCCCGGCCGTCATGGCCGAGCTTCTAGATCAGGGCAAGCTGCACGCCCAAGCCCTGACGTGTAACGGGAGGACCGTCAAGGACAACGTGAGTGGCCAGCACTCTTGGGACCGGCAGACCATCAAAGCCTACTCCGAACCGCTGAAAACATGTGCTGGATTTCTGCACATGACCGGCACTCTCTTCGATTCCGCCATTATGAAGACCTCGGTTATCTCGGATGAGTTCCGGAAGGAGTTTTTGGAAGATAGCCACGACCCCAATGCCTTCGAGTGTCAGGCTGTCGTGTTCGACGGACGGGAAGACTTCATCCGGCGCATCAATGACCCAAATACCGCCATCGACAAAAGGACCATCCTGGTCATGAGAGGCGCGGGCCCGATCGGGTACCCTGGTGCGGCAGAGGTAGTCAATATGCATGCTCCTGGGCATCTGCTGAAACAGGGCGTTCACTCTCTGCCGTGTATTGGCGACGGCAGACAGTCTGGCACGTCAGGTTCGCCATCCATCCTGAATGCAAGTCCCGAGGCAGCGGCCGGCGGCAACTTGGCGCTTCTGCGTGACGGCGACCGGCTGCGGGTTGACCTGAACCAGAGAAAGGTCAACATCCTGGTTTCGGAGGATGAATTGAAAAGCCGCCGGGACGAGCTCGAGGCCCAAGGCGGCTATGCTGTTCCCGAGAGCCAAACACCGTGGCAGGACATCTTCCGGCGTGAGACAGGCCAACTGAATGAGGGAATGGTCCTGAACTGCGCCCCCAAGTACCAACGGGTGGCACAGCGCTGGCCTGCGCCCCTCCACAATCATTGATATAAGCGTTTGCCCACTGCCCGGTGTATCGCATCAGATCGAGATCGGCAGACTGCTTTCCTTGTATCACCAATTCTCCCAAATGACATCCGGCAGGACCGTTCGCATAACTCTCCAGTGACCCAATGCGCTCTTGGCCTGCCATTTCTCCAGTTCCCCCGTCTTGCCACTCATGAGAACAGGGCCGGTCTTCTCAAAGGCATCTGGAAGGATTTCATACTTGGGCAGTAGGTACTCTCTCCGAGCACCACTCCCAAGATAGTCCGCTGGGATGGGCCTTCGAAAGGTAATCGGCATGTTCTCCTTGCGGCAGAATATGACCATGTTAGTAAAGTCGTCCGGTTTGGTCCCAGGGGCCGGCGCCTCGTCTTCCCTGAAGGTTCGGCACGACGCAAAGACTGATGTGATGGTGCGATAGATGAGCGAGGAAGCAGGCATTGTAATGTCTCCGGCATAGTTGATGGCTATCACCCCGTCCGGTCTCAGTAGCATATGAAGACCGGCCAAGAATTCAGTGGTGAAGAGCTCAACAGGCTCTGCTCCACCGGTGAAGACGTCATGGATGATGTAGTCGTATGAATCCGCCTCCGAAGCATTGGCATTTCGAACAGCCGCCACAGCATCACCGATCAAGTAGCTGTGGTTGTGTGGAAGGGCGAAATATTTGACGGCAAACTCGTGTACCACCGGGTCGATTTCGAGGATGGTAGTGTTGACTCCATGTGCGATCATTGCAGATGGGGCGGTCCCGATGCCGAGACCGATGTTCAAGGCTGTCTTTTCCGAGTTGCGAGACGACGGTTCCACGAGGCGGACAGCTTCAAGCATGGTAAATACGGCGTAGATCGGTTCACCCACTTTCCTCTGGTTCTTCTTTGAAGGTGGCATCTTCCATTCGCCTCCAAGGAGGCTATGATCGCATCTCATGACGCGAAATCCGCGTTGATTGTCCTCAAGAATGGAGATGTAGCCGGTCACGGACTCTCGGCGTTCCAGAAGAGTGTAGTCGTACAGGGCCAATGTGTTGTTCAAAACTTGGCTTGTCCTCGACAATGTACAGTGTGGATTGGCCACCATCGTGAAGGCGATTGCAGGCACGCAGGGCCAGATCAGGCTTTTGGGCAGCACCATCCCATACAACGAGGCGATCATCAGTTGGAGAGCGATGCGAGACCGGAGAAAGCCCGGCCCGGTCATAGAAGAGATAAAGGCTCTCGAAGCTCTCTGTAACATTGTAAAGACCACGAATAGACCCATCGAAGGCACCGAATCGCCGTAGCTGGAGTCAGAGGGGGTTGGGTTTAGCTCGTCAAAGCACTGAATTGCAACATACACGGACAGCACCACGAGTGGATAGCATGTCAGGGCTTCCGTAACAACAGGCCCCAGCGGGTTTCCGAGAGTTGAGCTGAACTGGAATAGGAAGAATTGCAGCGTAGGGATCCAGAAACAAAAAGGCGTGATGGCCCGGGAGATCCAGGAGGGTAGATAGCCTCGGAGAGCAAAAGCAAGCAAAAACGCGGCCGTGAGCCCGTATCTGTGATAAAGCCCGGCAGGCACGGCTCCGTAGACGGGGGACAGGGTCAGCTGGGAGACCGGAGCATACAATGCCGCAAGGAGGATTAGTTGGAGGGCTCTTTGCACCCTTGTATCGCCCAGAAGGGTCAAGACTGTTCTCGGCTTCGCGGTTGCGGTCTGCACGGAAGGGCTTAGGCTAGGGAGGCTCGGCGGTGATCCAGCTGTCACATGGCTCTCACGAGGCTGAGGCTGAGGCTGAGGTTGAGGCTGCCTGCTCTGCTTCCCCGGCTTGTTCTGTCTCTTCGCCATGGTCCACTTGACGGTGGTTGCGACTGGTCAGAGATGATGAGATGGAGCTCGGCCGCGGTCATTTGAGAACGGTTGGACGACGGGAAACAAAGACGCGTGATATCAAGGTTCAAGGTAGAAACCACACGCTGGGTTGAACAACAAAGGCAACAAATGCTGTCTGGAAGCCAGGGTGCAATGGACTGGACTGCATTGAATTGCATTGATTGATGCGCAGGCGGAAGTATCAAGTTGATACTACACCTACTTTGCTGTTGTACTTGACCGTAGCAACTGCGGCAGAGCATTCATCGTCTACACGACACCCCGCCATCTGACCCCCCAACATACCTAGGTAGGCACCTACTAGGTACTCCGTACTCCGTACTCCGTAGATGCATCGCACCTACATCGTCTTCAGCACCCATGGTGCTTGCCTGGTAGGCTGATGGTCGATTCCTCCGTACAGATGGAAACTACCGGTATGGCTGCAAGAGACTGCTCGGCCCAGCCGCCATCCTTACAGTGGGAGATTCGACATCAGCTTTCCTTTTGCCACGCCTCCATACAATGCCAGAGTGACAACACGCTAAGACCTACCACCTACCAGCCGCATCCTGTCCTCGCCAGGGCCCCTCGTCCGCACGGCACAATCTCGAGTCTTGTGTAACATGGGTTGGGCTGGACACAGCTGAGGCTGAGCGACGGCAGCTGCAAGCGCTGAGACGTGGTTGCCTTTCGGCTTGCAACATGACCAATCCGGATGCACAGACGAGGCCGCTGCCAGCTAGAGTTCCCTGACCACAAAAGAGGCGTCCAATGGCTGTATTGCACGAGGGTGTCACACTGCACAGGGGGGTGTGATTTCGTCTTCCCGTGCAACTTTCGGCATGGCTGACCCCGGCATGCGGCTCTGCTGGCACCTGACACCTGACACCGGTCAGAGTCAAGAGCGGTGGTGATGGGATATGGATGGCTTGTGCGGCACACAAGGGACCAAATCTGATAAAGTCCCATCTTGATCGAGTCAACCTTGGCCACAATAACAACAGAACCAAGAATCTGTCACTTTCTAGATCTTCTATCTACAGCAATCCCGACGGCATCCGTGGATATGCGGCGACAAGGCACTGGCGAAAGTGGCGATAACAGGGCACTTCGGCGCAGAGGCACTCAACCGTTCTCCTTACAAGGCCAGGAGCCTCCTCAGCCCCTGCAAGACCGGTACAGAGTCTACAATAAAATGACCTGGGACAAGCTCAAGAGTTACTTGGAAGCCAAATTCCCAAAGTCCAAGTATCCCGGGCTGGAATTCAAGGAGGTTCGAGTGAGTGTCTGTTGTATTCGAGGAAAATCCGTCTTTCTGACTCGGTCCTTGCTCAGGTCGACGATTATTGGGTTTTTGAAGTACCCGAGCTTCTGACAGCGGTCAGTTTGTGCCACAGGATACAAGGGATCAAGCACTGCCTTTGTCGTACATTATGATTGTTTCCCTGCTGACGTTGGGTATGGCAGGACGACCGAAAGCAGCTGGAGAAATTGAGAGACCAGGATCAAACTCGGCACCCTTCCCAGTCGCCAGAGCCGGAATGAACAGGCCAAAACCATGGCCAGGCAAACCATGTACTTTATGCACGGGCGACATCACAATAGGAGGGAAATTAAAGTGCAACCACGTAACCGACAGACGTGGCAATAGCCGCGTGACTCGTCCTGTACTCTGTACTTGGTATGCCTAACGATTGTTCAAAAGTCACCACTGGGGGTGTGCTTCGTAACAAGGCTAAGGAGGCTTAAGGGTGTGGCACCCAAGCGAGGGGCTGGCGCAAGATCACTCGCTACCAGCGACCCTCGACCCCCCTGCTAGGCGGGCTGGAAAAGGTGATTTTCGCTTGCAATCTCTCGCTCAGCCACCGAGACGACTGTACACAGTTCACGCACATGTCGTGTCGAATCCTGTCTGGAGCACATGCCGCAGCTGTAGCACAGGCGCCAGCCAGGACATACGGCCAGCCACATGGACCGTTGTGGGAGGCAGACTGGGAGGTCTGTTTCCCAGATTTATAGGGAGAACGACATCTCGCGATCAGTGTCTTCTCCAGCCTGAAACTGAGATTGAGAATCTTTCACGTGGCATCGAGGTAACATTGACAAAGTTTGACAAAGGCATGCAAGCGCTGCAACTACCCACGGTCTTTCAGCAGTCGTACCTGAACAGCGAGTCCTATCCGCAGAACTTGTTCTATAAAAGCACCCTCACCTATCGAACGGCCCTCCAGGCTTTCAAGGACCGTCTCGATGCTGTCGCGCCGGACCTCTTCGTCAACGATGAATCGAAGGTGGAAGTGTCGTTCAGAGACCTTCAGAACGACTCCGGGAGAGGTATGAGTAGTGCTGCCCTTCCAAAAGCGAATTCCACACTAACTGGGAGCGTATTCTAGCATTGGAAAAGTGGAACATTCATACCGCGTCCAAGTTGACGGACTGGCTGGGGCTTGAAACTGTTACTGACCCAGCCGATGCGACCAAGCTGGTGATCGTGGCCAGGAAGGCCGACCCCAAATCTCGATTCATGTGAGTCTTTCCTCGCTGGAATCGGCAGCCGAGCATCCTTCATGGATTGACTGTGCGGTCAGATATGTGTACGGCGAGCACTCGCGGGCTCCGCTGAAGATCACTCGCGACATGCTCGCCCAGATCTTGACCTTCCACCAAGTGATGCCTATTTATCTGGATTTCATCTCAGTCTTTGGTGCCCAGAGTGAGCCGCGCGACCGCAGATTCAGCGGGTTTCGCGAGCAGAGCACTCTCTCCGACCCTCCCCGCGGTCTTGCGATCCCCTCGCTGGGCAGAAGCGGACGTCAATACCAGCTTTGCTACAACCTCAAAAGCGTGGCTTTGGTGTCAAAAGATGCCACGAATCCAAGGTTCCACGAATGGTCGATCCGGCCAGCCGTTATCCACCACCAATTTGACATCGTCACAGGGACCAGCCTCTGGATCGTCACCAAGGGGAACCGTGATCTCCATGAGCGATATAAGGAGTTGACTGGAAATGAGGCGCGGCCGGAAGACAGATCTTTCGGTACAGTCGGGGAGTGTCTCCGATCTAGCCTGGCTGCTCACTTGATGTTCTGTCACTGGTCCACGGAGAACTGGCGGTGGTACATGCTTTGGCTCGAGACGGTGATCGAAGAAGAGGTGAGAAGATCCCAGCCAAAGTGCGACGATGGCAAGCCAGTGCTTAACCCGAAGGACAGACATCCATGGTGATCTTGGGCGCTCGCGGACCGGGACATAGCTACCATCGGTCCAAGCCGGAACACGTACAACACCTCCAGCTGTGGGAAGACAAGACCAACGAAGTCATCATGGTCTTGGAAGCGAATGTTGATATCATGAAGTCACTGTGTCGATTCTACGATGGCTTGCGATCCAACAAGGACGTGCCTCAGAGCCTAAAGGACGAGTGCGGGCTCGACATAGTCACATTCATAGGCCAGATTGAGGACATGAGTTCCGACTTCAAGATGCAGATTGCACGTGCAAAACTGCTGGTCAAGATCACCAACGACAGGAAGGAAATGGTGAGTCTGGTCGCGCTGCCGGCAATCTCGTATTATCCCTTTATGCGAAGGCTCCCTGCTGACGGTTCCGAATCCTGTCGTGCTGTAGGTCATCCAACACCTGCAGAGCCAGGCGACCGAGAGAATGGAGAGGCTCAACCAAAACATGGAGAAAGAAGCAATCGTGATGCGAATCATCACCCTCGTGACTTTGGTGTATCTGCCAGCGACGTTTGTCTCGGTAAGTCACAATGCTCTCCCCGTGCTCAGGACACCGGACAGGCGGCTAACGAGAGGGCGGGGCAACCAGACCTTCTTCAGCACCGACATCATCAAGTACCAGAATCAGAACGGGGGCCCTCCAACGGACGGGACGTTTTCCAAGACGGCCATGTACCGCTGGTTGCAGGTGACCTTGCCGCTGACACTCGCCACCATGGGTGCGGCAATCGTCTCGTTAAAGCTAACCGAGAGACGTAGGCAGCAGCAGCAGCGGCCGGCAGGGTACAAGCTCTGGAAAAAATGGGCCCGAAGCAAGGCGGACGAGGTTGAGCTGTCGAAACTGTTCTCTCGTAGAAGCTCCGATTCGGTGGTGTGAGGTGAGATGGCGCCCCTCATAGGAAACAGGGGACAGGGGACAGGCCCGACAGGGGGTTAAGTCATAATTCTCGTCTAGAGCCGGCAAACCTTTTCAGCAAAACCTACGTCGCGAGAATCCACTTGGTTCAGGCGGCCTGAGGGCGCCATGAACCGGGATCCTGGTCGGGTCGGGCAGAGGCTCGTCGGGCTTAGGGCTCAGGAGACTCAGGGCTAGGGAGGCTTCTGGGGGTAAGGAGGCAGTGCTGCCCGCAGCGGTCGAGGGTTTCTATCTCAGCCTTGTTGGCACAACCTTGGCTATACAGTATCTACAAATGCCCTGAGGGAGAATGACGCCGTCCGCACACGCACCGAGTACTCGTACTGGAGGCGACACTCTAGCTGGCCAACCACCCTCTCTGCCGATGTCGCAATCTTTCTGGGCCAGGATGAGCGGAATCTGGAATCTGCCTCTCAATGGCCACCATCCATCTTGTCTGACGACGCTGTGTCACCCTCTTCAGGCCCTGTAGGTGTGAGTGGGGCTTGGGCGAGGTTCACCACTGGCTTCGAGAGAAGCTGGCGGTCGAGGCATCCAGCTCAGCATTCGCTAGACTCTTCCTCCCCATGCAAGGCGAGTACGCCTGGGATAGGCTGTGCTGAAGTTTCGTTCACACTCTCTTAATGCCGGCCCCAGGGTCAGGGCAAGGGAGGCTGGAGGCCGGAGTCTGGAGAGTGGTTGAGCCCCAGCCTCAATGGGTAAGGTGCCTCTTCCGCTCTTGCACATCTATTGTCTGTTGTGATGGCAGAGAAAACAGCAGAAAGGCAACCGTCTGGCCTATTAAACCTGTGAACGCCCCTCCTCCCAAGAGGTCTGACTTTGTTATCCAGCCGTCCACGGCCACCATCCTCCTGATCCTGATCCTGACAGTTTCTCCCACCCTTCTCTTCAGCACATTCGCTCTCTCTTCTCTCTGCCTTCTCCTTGTTATTCTTGTTCTTCGCCTCGTCCCTCACACTCTCTGCCATACAGACGTCTGGACTTGGTCGCCGTTGGCCATCTTCCCTTCTCGCCTGGCTGCGCCTCGCCATGCCCAGGCCAGCCTCTGAGCCTGAGCGCTCTTCAGTATGTCAGATATTCCGCGACATGTTGCTCAATGAGTGGTACCACGATGCAGCTTGCGGCCGGCAATTTGTGAACTATTTCAAGCTACTGGACTGGATGACCAAAACCGACACCAACGAGAAAGGGAAGAACGTCGCCAGACTCCTCCGGGAGCTTCACCAACTCAAGGCGCAAAAGCCCCTATTCTTCGACTCCTCGGTTAAGATCGCGACCGAAGAGGATTTTGCCCTTCGCGTGTTCGGCATTCTCCTGGAACTGGACCGCGGCGACTTCATCCATGCCTTCAGCCGGGCAAATATTGTCGACAAACACTTAGCAGTTGCTCCTCAGTGCTACGTCCACCTCGCCCAAGAGCTGAATAACGAAGGGCTGAGCGCGCTCGAGGCCAAAGACCTAATCGAGGACTTCGACCATAAGAGATGGTCCTTTATCCCCGTCACCATCAGCTATAACATGAGCCGGTCCTTGCACGACGGCCAATGGGTGCTACCATTCTTGAAGAAGGAGCGGATCAACGGCAAGGGCGGCACAGCTGATGTGTACCAAGTCTTGGTCCAGGAATACTTCATCGACCCTGTCCTCCGAGACGCGATCAAGAAATCGAGGTTCCATGATAAGGACTACGGATGGGTAAGCAGAAGCGACGTGGCAGCCCTCCCCCTCCCTGTCCCCTTATATCAGGATACCAGGCTGACTGTGACTCGTTAGTGCTATCAACTGGCCCTGAAGACTTACTCTCCCAGAAATAAAGACTTCTTCGAGTGGGAGAAGGTGGCATTCAAAGGACTACGAGGCCAGCCCGGAATGGTACAATATCTCGGGGACTACGTCTTCGAAGAAATTCCCAACGAGCCCGAATCCTGGACCTACAACATTCTCCTGGAGCTCGGAGAGCTGGACCTCGACGAGTTCTTCGCCGACCAGCATTCATACCCGCCCGTACGGACCCCAGAAATCATTGCCTTCTGGAGCGCCTTGTTCAAAGTGGCGGAAGCGATTAAGCGACTCCACAACCTTGAACGTCGAGACGAGGACGGGGTTACGGAGAAGTATCATGGGTAAGCCCCTTCTATCCTGTGGCCAATTTGCATTTGCTGAAGAGGAGCGCAGCTGGCACGCCGATATCAAACTCGACAACATCTTGCGAGTGCACGGTGAATATAAGCTGGCAGACTTTGGATTTGCCAAGTTCAAGCGAATCAAGGAGGAGCCGCCGACCGAATACATCGAAGGAGGCACCCAGACCTACGGTATGTATCATGTATCTCGCAAGCAGGACGGGAAGTAGGAGACGAGGCTGAGGCTGACATGCACATCCCCCAGGGCCCCCCGAGACGGACCCAAAGAGGGTTCGTGGTACTTCGACTGCTGTCACCCAGACCATCGACACCTGGTCGTTTGGGTGCGTGCTGTCTATCGCCGTCACCTGGGTCATCTTGGGCTACCAAGGCATCCTTCAGTACGAGACGCTGAGGAAGCAAGCCATCGCCAATTTGAAGAGGCGGCAAGAGCAGGAGACCGGGCTCACGACGCCCACCGCCCACGACGCCTTCCACAATGGGTATAATGTGCTCCCCGAAGTGCTTCAGTGGCACAACTATCTACACACCATCAGCCGCCGGTCGGACTCGCTGTCCATGCGTGTGCTGGGCCTCGTCGAGCAGGAAATGCTGCTCGGGAGCCCCCAGCAGCGCATCTCGTCGACGGCCCTATGTGAACGACTCAAGTTCATGCTCAAGGCGGCCGATATGGACTACGCCAACTCGCGCCGGGACGCGAGCATCCACGAGTCGGTGCTCAAAGCCCTGCTGGAATACGACCAACAAGCGCCCGCCAACTCGACCCAAGCAGCCCGAGCCAAGTCAGCGGGCTTGGAGCGCCTCGCACCGCCCTCTGCCTCCTCCCGCGGATCTGCTGCCGCCCAGGATGCTGCCCCTCGCAAGTCGAGACGGATCGGCAAGTCGGAGAGGCTGGACAACATCCCGCGCGGAAAGACGGCGCATCGGGCGGAAGATCTGGAGCGTGAATTGCAGGCTCAGGCGGATGTCCACGAGCCGGAGCCCTCAGCCATGTCGGATCTCTATGACAGCCCGGTCGAGGAGGCCGACGGGGCCATGATACCGTCTTTCCAAAGGCCTGTAACGCCGACACCTCGGTTCCGACCAAGGCCCCAGCAGATCAATGTGACCCAGCTCGGAGATCCAACGAGGAAGGTCAAACCTCCAAACGGGCCGGATCCTGCAACCAACCCCCAACTCCCAAGGCAGCCATACCAGCCACCAAACGGCGACCAGGGACGACCACAAGTGTCCCCTAGTTCAATGTGGCCGCGGCCAAGGCAGCCATTTACTCGTCCCCCACCAGTCCGGGAGCCGGAATCCAGTCCAGAACCAAAGAGGTCGACGCCTCCGCGGATGCCTCCGGGGCCCGTCCTTGTGCCCACCCTCGAGCCCTCTCTCGACATCTGTCGCGTGCGAGAGGAACTGGAAAGGAATCGGCCGAATAGAATCGCGTCATTTGTCGGCATCCCCAAGAAAGATTTGTACTTGAAGAAATTCATCAAGAACCGAGACATTGTAAGTGACAGTGACACCTCACCTGGACTGGACTATGTTGAAAGTCCCACCTAACAAATGCCTAATTAGAAATTCATCGTCGACAACGGCACCACCATGCTGCCGTTCTGGGGAGTGGCCACGTACGTGTTGGAGACGTTGACGTTGAAGTTGGCCGGCCTGGACGAAGACGGCCTCGACCTGGTCTTCACGATCGGCGAGGAATTCAACATCAACAACGCCCGACGAGCCAACTCGGCGGCCAGGTTCCAAAAGGCCATGCAAGAAATGACTCCCAAGGACCCGGGCGATGCGGACGAGGAATTCCTCCGCACCGACATGACGGCCGTGCTGGGCCGCGTGTTTGACGAATATCTCAAGACCGACCGACACAAAGCCATGACTTTGCTCATCCTGACCGACGGCCTCTGGCTGGGCTCGGTCAAGGAAGACGTGGTCGAGAAGAAGATTGCCGACTTTGTCAAGGAGCTCAACTCGATGGAACCGCGGCGGTTCAGTATCGAGTTCATTCGCTTCGGCGACGATCGGACGGCCATCAAACGGTTGGAAGCTTTGGACAACGCGATGGAAGATCGGTATGGAATCGAGTGAGTGTTTCTGTCTTCTGTCTGCTGTTTGCTATTTGTCATTTGCACCAAACTCTCAACTAATCTGTGTCTGTATCCAGAGACATCATCGACACTGAACCTTGGACCGGACGAGTCAGGAAGATGATCGTGGGAAGCATTCTGGAAGGCGAGGATTTGGATGAAAACGAGCGGGAGGGTCCGACTCCTGCCGCCTCCGTTCCGTCCTCGCCGGGGTCTGGTGGTAAGTTCTTGAGCCCTTGCCTTGGTCAGAGCATGCGTCCTCTGGAAAGTACTGAACGAACCCCTATTTCCAGCTCGTCCGAATGGTGTCCGGAATAGCGTCAGTCAGATTTACGGTCGCAGCCCTTCGCAGAAGAAGCCGAACCCGTTCTCCAGGCTCATGGGCTAGACTCTCGAGTCTCTCTGGGGGCAAACTCTCCAAGGACTACTAGGTAGTTACAAGGACGAGCTTGGTTGGCTGATATCGGTATATCTCCGTGGGGTCCCCGACCAGGTTTGTATTGGTGGTGGTGGCAAGTTGAACCCAGGTCCGGCCTAGGCGGGCATGTTTTAACATCTGGAGTGGTTGGGGTGTAATTACAGTGATCTCTGACGTGGTGCCGGTCCCATTGCCAATACATCAGTCGCATGGTGTTGCAGAGTCGGAAAGTCAGACTCACCACGGTCGGGTTTGGTCCTGACAGGAAGACAGTACTGGCAGCTCTCGTCTTCACCCATGACATGATATGAAGGATGAGCGGGGTTTGGATCAGATATCAGATAATGATCTATCAAAGTTTGGGTGGGAAAGGAAAGGAAAGGGGAAGGGAAAGGGAAAAGGAAAAGTTCGTCCTATCTAAAGGGTCTTTGGTTGCCCAAGTACAATACAATACACATTGACACTGGCGGTGCGACAAAGCCAAGGTTACCTACCTACAGGTAGGGTAGTAAACGTAGCTAAGCTACCTACCGACCCCTGGTTTAGAGTTAGAGCTCTGATTGGCCAATTCGCCACCGAGGCTTAGCCTTGTCAGGGGCTCGGGTTCGGACCGGGGCGGCGAGGCTGAGGCTGAGGCTGAGGCTGGGTGTATACTACGTATGTCCAGTGCATGTCTACTATGTTACGAGTACATATGTCCATGTGTACTAGTTGACTATGCCCATGTCCATGTTCTATATCAATGTCGTATGAGAGTCTATGGTACCTAGGGACTACCTACTACCTTAGGTATATAGGTACGCAGTACTCCGTACTTGGTGATTTACCAAGCAAGCCCAGGATATACTGTATACTGCGTATGTCCATGTCTGCTATGTGACTATGTCCATGCCCATGCCCTATATCAATATCACATAAGAGTCTATGGTATATAAGTACTCAGTACTTGGTGATTCACCAAGCAAGCCCAGGACATACTGTATACTGTATACCTACAGTGTCCATATACAGACTCTGCAAACCATTCGATTCACATTTCACCATAGCTAGCTAAGGTAGCTACCTAGTCTAGTCTAGTACTAGTACTATAGTAGTAGTAGTAGTAGTACGTATCGTATCAATGGTGACAAAAGTAAAAGTAAAGCAAGTAAAAACTTGTTATGTAGTGCATCGCTAAAAAAGCTGGAGAAATAGAGATATTAATCTTTTTGGTTTTTGGTTTCCACCACGCTTCCACACTCCGTTCCAGCCAAGTCGAGTCAAGTCGATCAGCTAAGGTAAGGTAAGATAAGGTGGTGCTGTAATAGTCGGTCCAGGTCCAGGTCCAGGTCCAGGTCCATGCCGCTGCGAAATGAAACGATACCTCGACCTCGAGGCGGCAGAACAGAACAAGACAAGACAGGCCAGAACAGAAAGATAAGGTAAGGTAAGGTAGATATAAAAAAAGGCAGACAGGCAGACAACAAACGAAAACCCAAAATATGCTCTCGAGATGCCGATGCCGCGGTCGTCTGTCCACTGTCCACTGTCCACTGTCCAGGCCTCTCCTCTCCTCTGTACAGCCAGCCCAGCCTAGCCTAGCCCATGCATGATCCCATCGTCACCCTCTCCTTCGCCCGGACGTGGGATGACGAGATGGAACGGGACAGAACAGGACAGAACAGGGCAGGACAGGACAAGACAAGACAAGACAGAATACAGCACAGCAACGAAAGTAAAAAGAAAATACCCAACCCCTTTGCCGGCCGTGTCCCCGAAACACCCCCGTCGTCCAAACCGTGGGTATCAATCAGAGCAACCGAAACCAAAAGGCCAGATGAGCCGCCGTCATGCACACCTCGCACCTCGCACCTCCCGTACCAGTATGGTACTGTGCGGTACTGTACTCCATTCGACCAGACAACAATTAGACGATTAGGTGGTGAGGCTGGACCTGAACCATGATCCCCGAACCCCAAACCCCAAACCCAGTCCTTCAAAGACCATACCACATGGATTCACCTCACTCATTCGCCCCCAGGGCCACCCTCTTCTATCCTGACACTGACCATGCCCCTCGTCTCGTCGTACACGTCGTCGATGGTCGTCACACGCTCCATGGAATCAGTCACTCAACTTCCTCACGCGTGACAGCCGGGCGTCTCGTCTCGTCTCGTCTCATCTCGTCTCGTCATACCAACACTCCCAGTCCGATCGGGGAATCCACAGGGTCGCTGCTGAGCAGCCAGTCTCTCTTATTGAACTTCTTGGCCTCTTTTTCCGCCTCGGCATCCACGTCCAAGCCCAGGTCAATGCCACTGTCGTCATGAGGGTGACCGCCCGCCTGTCTCTTGACCGGACTGCTCAGGCCGGTGTGGAAGCTCGGCAAGTCTAAAGGGCCTCCGCGACGCAGTTCATCCAGTTCGGCGTCTGTTTCATCATCATCCACCTCAGCCGTCGCCTGTTCTCCCGACGGAACTGCAGGAAGGGTCGGCGGACTCTTCGGGGCTGTCTCCAGTTTCTTTGGTTGGTGGGCGCCAATCTCGGCCATGGCCTGCTCGTCTCCTTCGACGTCTTCCTCCGCTCTCTTCCGCTTCACCGCACCACTAGATGAACTCGGATGAGCCGCCATCTCCGTGCTCTTCTCCTTTTCTCTTTCATCCGCCAGCTTCTGACTCTCTTCATCCATCAACAACCCCTCCATCTGGGTCATCCACCCCAACATCTGCGTGGTAAACGACTCCACAAACCACCACGACTGATAACTGTGGGCGCCGTTCTGTCCCATTTGCATCATGACGCTGCTCCAGAATCGGGAATGCCAATCAACCATACATTGCGGATGATGGCCAGCGAACAATTGGGCCAACTGCTCCAGCCAATTGATCCATTTCTCCAACAATGGCATGGCCTGCTCCGGGCTTTCGGGAGGAAGGATCCCCCCCTCCCACTCCAAGTCGTCCTTGAGGAAGTTTGCGTAGCCACTGGTAGGATCCTCCTCGGCGGCCCGCACCAATTCACCGTCGACCGGGAAGACAAGCGGCCTCATGTCGTGTTTTAGCACACCTTGTATCCTCTCCAGGCTTTCCGGTGGTGGCATGCTCTCCTCTAGCAAACGCTCCGGATCGACCATGGCCATCAGATCGAGCCACATTTGCGTTCGCTGCTGTGGATCCTCCAACATGCGACTCAGTTGCAGCGTTGCGGCATTGGCGCCCTTGAGCTTTTTCAGCAGATTCGCAAACCTCGCGGCCGGCACTGTCTTGGCCACTACCACATGGACTGGGCACTTTTCCTCGAATGCTGAGATGAGATGACTGACCAGTCGCGCCCCGATCCGGTCGAACACATTCCACACCACATCTGGCACGTTTTGGACAGCCAAGGGAGCGATGAATCGCACGATTTGTTTGTACATGCGCATGTCGCATTCTTGAATCCACGGGGCCAGACATTCCGTGGAAAATAGCTTGGACACCGGAACAGTCATTTTGCCATTGAAGGCCGAATGGTGATTAAAAAAGGGCTTTTCCTTGCATTTGCGAAAGGCATCGATCACATCGATGCAGTAGGAACGATAGAGATGGAACAAAGCCTTGGCAATCGAGGCGTCATAAGTTGTGCCTTCGAGGTACGGGAAGATGTCGGGAAATTCGATCGGCGCCTCTTGCGACGAAGATGAGACCTGGGACAGAGAATCGATGGTCGGCATTCCGAGGTACGTAGCCAGACTGGCGGGTAGATTAGGTCGAACCGAAGGTAAGGCGGCCACAACATTGGCAGGAAGAGTTTTGACAGGCAAGCGGATCGTCGGGGTATTAATGTATTTACAATCCATCTTCTGCATGTGTGGCCTCACTGGTGGTGACACCACGTCCTCGGGCTCAGCAGTTTCCCGGGCTAAGAACGCGGCACTAGGAGCTGGGAAGTCGGCCGTCTCCACGGTGGCACGGGAAAGCGGTCGTTCCACAGGAGGTGAGATGTGTGTCTTGAAGAGATGCTTGGATTCCGCGTGGGATCCGTGTCTTTCATGATGACTGCCGGTCGCAGTTCCAGGTCTTTCCTGTGCCGGGACATATTGTCGGTCGTCATCATCCACAACCAACGACAGGTCCACGTAGTGATACTTGGATTCGCCTCGAACGCCGAGTCTTCTCGTCTGTACATTGGGGAAGATGATTCGCACAAGCTTGCCAAACGATGCAGGGTTTAGGGTGGGGACCCGCTCATTACCACAGCGCTCCGTGTATCGAGTAAACACACGGTCGCGGCGGACCGAATTCGAAGATCGTTGGCAGCTTTCTTGCAGCCTGTAAAAGTCAGTCAGCATCGGTCCCCATGTTGACGTGGTAAACACTGAAACGTACCATAGCATGGCGAAGACTTGTTTTGCTTTCTCCGACTTCCCTCCAGACCCCTCGTTCTTTTGCACCTCGGCGGCAACCTCATTCAAGGATTTGCCTTGGTACTGCGCAAGTAGACGTCTCAGCTCTTGGTCATTTGCCACACTGGAAGCCGTTCCTTTTCTTCGCTTCGCACCCCCGTTTTCCGTGTTCGAGTCATCCGGCGCGGGCGATCCTTCGAACTGTTCTGAATGATGGCGAATATGATGCATATGCTGATGGCCGACAGCGTAGGGCGGTAGTCCATGAGGATATTGCATGGGGAAATGTTGCATCTCCTGGAATGCTTGTTGTGACATGGGCCGCATGTCGTGTTGTGGTAAACCCGCCGAGGGATCTAGAGGCTGTTGTTGAAGGTGTGCAGCCATGCTGTGCGGATAGTGCATGAGCATCTCTTCAGGATTGGCATTGTACATTGCGGCGGCCGGGTGATGGCCATGCTGCATGTAGAAGCCACTCTGATCGAGCGGCATGGTCGAGTCGTCCGGCGGTTGAGGCGGTTGAAATGCGCTTCCTACGCCGACAGACTGCAGACTGGTCGTCGAACCCCGGGATTTTGGACGGTGTTTTTCTTTATTTGATGTTGCATTGTTTGTATGGGCAAGACCTCGATGTTCTGGAGCTTCCTCCATGCTGTGGGTAGGTGATTGCGGCATACTGAACTGTGCGCCAATTAGCCTGCTGTCATGTGGAAAACAAACAACTCAGCAGGGCGATTGCAGTCAAAGCTCCTCAATCTCACGGGAAATGAGTACCTTGAAGCTTCCACAATATACTAATAGCCCACGGGCTCGATCTGCAATCCTCTCGTTCCGTTCACGAGGCACGGCAGCCCATTCGCGAGAAGAAGCGGTGGAGTTCAGGTTTGTCAGTCGCGGGAGGACGCGGGCAGGTGTCCGGGCTGCTGGGCGCAGGCAAGAATAGATGGCATTGGGCGTCCAGATGCCGTTCAACGTTCAATGTCGTCCCACTTCGTGCCCGCTGGTGCTGAGGGCGACTCTCTTACGTCGACTTCACGCGCTGCGGCTGTGGCTGTTGATGGGTTGTGTTGAAACTGGCCCAGCGAGTAATTGTTGTGCCGAGTTGCTTCAGCAACAGTGCCAAGAGCGCCGCTTTTTGCAGCCCTGGGCGAGTCAATGGTGCTGGTGTTAATCCCGCCCCGTCTGACCGGCACAAAACATGCGCCCAACTGCCCTAGTCCACCTATAGTCCGCCGCTGGCCACCGCCTGAGCGGAGCGAATATCTTTTGTCAGACAAAATCCTGTCCCCGGTCACCGACCACGTGATGGATGCTCCCTCCTTCTGGTCACGGAGCACCTACGGAGTATCCGGAATGCGTCCGACGAATAGTCCGCTCTCACGTGCGGTCATCCGAATTCATTAGCCACCACCAGCACAACTAGATACATACCGCCAATACCATACTGGGCGTTGACGTAAGCCTGAAGTGCGGGTGGCCGGCCTTAACCATTAACCAGTCAGCACCTGCGTTGTGCAAGCAAGTGGCTTCACACAACCTGAAATCGCCTGCCGGCCCAACGACAATCAGACGTCACCTCCATTCTTCTCAACTTCATCCAACTGTCCTCAATCTGCTTCATTTCGTCCATCACATTTGCGACATCAATTGCCAGCAAAACTCTACTTCAATTCCCTACCTTTTTAAGTTCTCCATTGACAGCCGCGCCTCTACAGCCACCATGTCTTTCCAGGATCGAGCCCAGCAACAGATCTCTCAGATCGATAAGGAGGTATGTGACCGTCGTAGCAAGCAGGCATTCGCATCGGTGGTCCTGTTCTCGCTGTCATTCTTCAATCCTGGAGTCTGACCCCCTAAGCCCTTTTCTCATCTATTCCGGCATGCTCTGGTGAGCAGGCTCAGGCTAACTCACGATCATTACAGCTTTCCAAGTACCCCGCCCTCAACAGCTTTGAAAAACAGACCAATGTTCCCAAAGTCTACGCCTTCCTCGGCCTCGTTGGCCTCTACTTCTTCCTAGTCTTCTTCAATATCGGGGGCGAATTTCTTGTGAACTTTGCGGGCTTCATCATTCCCGGCTACTATTCCTTGGATGCGCTCTTTAGTACCAGCAAGGTTGACGACACCCAATGGTTGACGGTACGTGATCGCAACTCTTCTTCCAACCCGAGCAAGCCGTGAGATATATTGACGGGTTTCATAGTACTGGGTTGTCTATGCCTTCCTCACCGTTCTTGAGAGCGTGGTCAATGCAGTCTACTGGTTCCGTAAGTTACTCTACTTCAACAGGCTCGACGGACCACCGCTGACTGTCTTACAGCATTCTACTATGTCTTCAAGTTCATCCTGATCCTTTGGATGGCCCTTCCCATCACCAACGGCGCCCAAATCGTCTTCAGCTCCTTCATCCACCCAATTTTCTCTCGCTTCTTCACCCAAACTGGAAGCGCTTCCGCAGATGTCCGAGGCAAAGCTGATGCCGCTTTCAAAAGCCAGTAAACGATTCAAGCAATCGTACAAGGATTTCCTGCGGGATTTGAAGAACATCGCTGACGTTTGACGCGAAAGAGCTGAAAGGGCAACATTTGACGCCAAGACGAAGCCCATACATTGGTCTCCATGTCAGAAGGGGATAGGAATGGCATAGGCAGGCCGAACAAGGTTGAATTCGCTGTTTGGGACTGGCAGCAACCGATGGAGCAACGGGAGAGCGAACGGGGCGAGGAGGAACAGTATTATTACTGATATGCACAATAGACCCATTGATAGTGTCATGATGACTGGAATTGTTCAAAGATATCAACTATGCCCTTGTGCTACTGCCTCGTATTCTGCGGCGGAGTATATGTGCACGCCATCAGTCGAGCTGACCAACCAATGTGCTAGTAGCATAAGCTTCAATTCCAACTTCCAAATCCTCTCTCGGCACTCTCGTGCTGCTTGGGATTGACCACTATCCTATAAGGGAAGGGATTCTGATCGCTTGTGGTGATGGGAGGGATATGATCCTTGTCTTTGTTGACAATGGCGACAATCTTCATTGCCGTCTTTTGGAGGGAAGATTCCATCGCTCTGCGGACTTTGATACGATCTAACATGTGCGGGTAAGCCACACCAAAGGTCGTGCGTGGTACGGAGTACAGAAAGACAAGACGACTTACCCGCTTCGCTCCGAGGCCTGGCCACGATCACTTGCACACACCATTCCTCCCAACACACTTCTTCTTCTGTCTGACCCCCTCCACCCAGGCGGCCCAGCCAGCCGGTGGTGATGCCCGTCCTTCGACGCTTTCGGTCATAGAACCGAACCATGATCTCCCCGCGAGAACCTCCCGATGCCGCACTTGTCGGGGATTGGGGCGTCAATTGAGAGACGAGAAGGGCAGTGTGAGAGTCGATCGCGGCGGAGATTTCGGGCGGATCAAGGATGGATGGAAGTGGGATGGGGAGCGACTGGGTCGGATGCGAGGAGTCATGAGATGATGAGGCCGTGGGCATATACAGTGACGGCCGAACTGGAGGGAAGTATCGGTGGAAGAAGATTGTGTGCAAGACTCCTGCGAGAGGGATGTGTCAGTTCGTCTGCGAGGGCGAGTGGCGAGGGCCGAGCCCTCCGAGCAGCGAGGAGCGGGTTGGTTCTGACCTTTGACAATGTCTCTCACAAAGCTTTGGTCGGCAAAGACTTCAAGGATGTATTCGTGACGGCGCGGATCCATGGTTACAGAGGCACTCTGCCTGGTCCAACGGGTTGTGGTGGGGGTTCGGTTGAGCGCAAGAGGAGGAATGGATGGCAGCCAGCAAGTGGCGCCTGTACAGGAAGTAGGTGCTCAAGACATGTTCATGTCCAATCTCAGCTTCCAGCAAACGTACATTTGACACTTTTCAATCTGTCGCTTTAGGATGTGCTTCGACTCGAAACAGGAGGACAAGTAGGTACGTAGGGGAGACACCCACACGCCCTGATGCTTTGAGATGGTGGGGGCGGGCACAGACACCCTAGACACCGACTCGCGGACGCAGCGTACATACTCCGTACGTCCTGCAAGTTCCCCCAGCCATCATCAAGACACAGTGCTAGGTAATTACTCCGTCCCTCCCTAGTACGGAGTACGCAGGCAGACTCTTAGCCTCGGCACCGCCACAGGTTCAGGTTCTGCCACTTCAATCCTCAATACAAGCGATCAACAGAACGTGTCCGAACAACGGAACTGCCTGCCACGCCTACTCTCTCGTGAGACGCTCCTCTTTGAGCTCTCCATTTCCCTCATGCCACCTGCGGTCATGTACCATTCCCCGGACGATCTGTACCTGAGATAGAGGAGCAACTAGTCTAACCACCCTCCTCCTCCTCCTCATCATGATCTCAGCCACACGTCGCTGGCTTCGGCGAAACCGCAATGGAATTGCCATTGGTGCTGGCGTTATCGGCGCTACATATTTGGCAGGACAATATGTCCTGGGCAAGATCAACGAGGCACGGGAACGCATGCAGATGGACAGAATAGCGAAAGACAAGTAAGGAGATGCTCCCCCCGGGTTTGTGGTTTGCTCTCGCTCACGCCAGATCCTAGCATCCGACGACGATTTGAACAAAATCAGACCGACTGTACCATCACCGTTCTGGCCCTCCTACCGACCCTGACTGAGAATGTGTTGGACGAGCTACCTGTTGAGCAGTTGACACATGAACTGCAACAAAAGAAGGCTGAACGGTTGGCACGTGCTTCAGGCGAAGGCAAGTCCGAGGCCTCAAGCATGCAGGATGGCGACACGGTCAGCATGTCCAGTTTTCAAACTGGCAGCTTTGTCCATGCTAGCCAATATCCCATGGAGGGAAGCCAAGGGCGACCGCGAAGGACAAAGGCCCAACTCTGGAACGAGTTGAAGGTCACATCCATCACACGGGCGTTCACCCTGATTTATTGTTTATCACTCCTCACCATCCTGACCCGAATCCAACTTAACCTGCTGGGACGCCTGAACTACCTATCCTCTGTAATATCGCTGACGCAGCCTCCCCCACCTGGACGAGCCAATTCAATCTCACTAGAAGACCACGATGATGGCAATGCAAACACCAGCTTTGGGAACGACTTCGAAACGAATCGAAGGTACCTCACATTCTCATGGTACTTATTGCACAAAGGCTATATACAGATCATGGCGAAAGTAAGAACGGCTGTCGAAGAGGTCTTTGGCGGCATCTCGCCCAATGAGGGAATAACGGCCACCAGGCTCAGCGACTTGGTCCTCGCAGTCCGGAAACATGTCGAAGGCGGCTCTGAGCAGGAGAGGTACGCCACGAGGTGGCTTCAGTATATGTTGCCCCCGAGGGAAGAGGAAGAGGCAGTCCTGATCGAGTCAGGCGTCATCACCCCAACTCCATCGTCTCCTCCTGACCCAGTTTCTGAAGGAGGGAGCCGATGGACACAGAGCACATCTGCTCGAATTGACACGTCAACAGGACCTTTGCGGCACCTGCTTGACGAGACAGCCGATCTGATCGACTCGCCCACATTCACCAGAATCCACACTATTCTTCTCGGGTCTATGTTTTCCTATTTGATTGACACCAAAGTCATTCAGCAGCTATACCCGCAGCCGGCGACGTTACAGCCTCATTCTCCCTCGTCCTCGATCTCCGGCACGCCGCACCCGCGCATTATAGACCTTGATTCAGCGGTCACGGTGGTTCCAGGGGAGCCGCGCGTCAAGCTGGCCAACATCCTCGCCGTTGTAACCCGTCAGGCCCATGCAATCGGCAACGGCAACAACCCTCCCAACGAATACTTGTCTACCGCGGAAGCGGAAGTGAAAGAGCTCGAGGCGTTCGCGGCCGTCATTTACACCAGCAACTTGGAGCAGAGTCTTGAAGAAACTCGACGCAGCCCTTCTACGGCTAGTGGGCTGAAAGGCACAGACGGGGTCGCAGCCAGCGACGTGGGGACCGTGCCGGTGGAGGAGATGATCGAGAGCAAACTCGAGAGTGCATGGACCAAGGTCACTGAGCCGATCCTTCCTTCCAGATGATTGGGAAAGTCCAGGGCCTTGGCTTGACACAGCCATGGCCGCCATGGCCGCCATACAGAGTGCATGGGATATATAAGGGGAAGGGGCTGAGTGAGCATGACGATGGACATGGACATGGACATGGACGGGACTGGGAAGGAGTCTGGCGGCTGGGGGGGGCCGATGGCAACACGGGAACACAGGAATCCGGGAACACGGGCTGGACATTGGGATCGCCCCCCTTTCCTACTGCAGTGTATCTGTACCATGGCTACAGGCTACAGGCTACAGGCTACAGGCTACAGGCTACAGCTTAGCACCCAAGAAACGCGTAGATCTCTCTCACGGCTACTGAACCTGAGAACGGAGGTACCTAATAGAGAGATTCATGATGATACATGTATTCTTCGCCGGCGGCTGCTCTGCTGAGTGTCGACATCGGAGTGAGTGGGTGACAGTGACAGTGACAGTGATAGGGCCAGGGGGGCATCCTAACGTCTCGTCAGACAATATGGACCTGTTCGGACGATAGGATGGTATTGACGAAGTGACATGGAAAACACGGTGATATTAACTTTTCCATTTATTAGGTACCTGGCAGTTGGTGTTTTGTCGCCTGACAGACGCTCTGGACATATTGGCACAATCACATTCCATTTCATCTGCGCCCATTTTATTCCGGTTTTTTCATTTCCATTTCTGATCTTCACTCGCTCCAACTGTGGGACCAGCACGCAAGCGTTCTCGCTCTCTCTCTCCCGCTCCCTCTGCATGGTAGAAAGACGAAGGTGGAAGCACAAAGGAGAGCGGCGGTACATTCACGGTCACCGATTATAGATGCCCGTTCCCCAGCAGAGGCGAAGAATGGCCAGGCCGACGGCCATGCCGACACTGTCCCGGATGACGTTCAACTTACTGCCCGTGACCTCCTTCCAGCCGACGGCGACCTCGACGACAGGGATGCCGGCAAACTCGGCCAGCATCAGCATTTCAACGTCGAAGATCCAGCCGTCCATGTGCATGTGCGGCACGATGTAGGGCAGGGCGGGGCGGGAGAACAGCTTGAAGCCGCACTGGGTGTCCTTGATGCGCGCCGTCTGGGGAGGAGTCATGAATTTCAGGAGCAGGTGGAAGGAATGCATGAGGAAGTTGCGCAGCTTGGACCGTTTGACCACGGCCTCGCTGCCTACGAGGTGCGCACGGCTGCCGACGGCGACGCCGCGGCCCTGCTCGTCCTCGATCTCCTGGCACGCCCGCACCAACTTGTCCAGGTCGGAGAACTTGGTCGCGCCGTCCGCGTCGGCGAAGACCACGTACTGACCGCGTGCGTGGCGCATGCCGTGCGTCACCGCGCCGCCTTTGCCGCGGTTCTCCTCGAGCGACACCACCCGGACCGACCCTGGCGGGATCTTGACCCCGGTCTCGCTGCGGTGTGTCCACGGGCCGGAGAGCCGGCGTGGGTGTTTCGGTAGGATGTGGACGCGCGAGAAAGTCTGGGCCGTCAATACGGTGTGGTCCGTCGAGCCATCGTCAACGATCAGGATCTCCCAACCTCGAAGCGGCGGAGACGACGATGACGACGACGAGGATTTCACGCCGTTCGCCTTCCTGCGCCGTATAGCCGTTGTCGCTTTCGCATCCCCATCTGCATCGACGGCCCTCGTAGTTGATGGGCTTGTATCCTTAGCTGCAGTCTTCAGGCTAGCTGCCGCCGCCGACCCATATTCGGTCTCTAGGACATTGACCGCCTCCTCCAGCATCCCTGTGAGTCTGTCCTCCTCGTTGAACGCCGGCACGACCAGCGTCATGAATAACTCGGCCGGTTCGATCTCAGTCTCGAGCTCGATTTCCTGCTCTTCCCGTGTCGCCTTGCCATATCTTCGTAGCAGGTCGTCATACCAACAGGGTAGGGGTTCGGGCTCTGTCACATCGCCCGTCTTGTCGACCGTAGTGAATTTCTTCTCGGAAGGTCTGGGTTTGCGTGGGAAGGGGACGAACAGCGTGACCAGCAGCCATATCTGTGAGCGTGATATGTGGTTAGCATGGCCCCAATTCCAATTCTCGACGCATCTTTGCGCTTGTGTCGCCGATGCCCGGCGGTATCCCAGCTGGACACCTGTTTGAACAGGGATGGCAGGGGTAGGAATGGGGTTGGGCTGGATTGCATACCACTACCACAATAGCAAAGGCGACCCAGATCAAGATGAAGGGGATTAGTCGCCAATTGAAGGAGCCATCTTGCGGATATAAGTCGACGAAATGTCGGCCCATCACACCCATGGCGGTGACTTCAATTTCAGAGCCCGGGGTCGGGGTGCCTCGAGACTAACCAACAGAACGAGGTCCCGGTGGGCTCGAAGCAGTGAACAGGGTCACAAGCCGTAGGACGCAGGTCATTTATATTTTATTTGCAAGACACTGCAGGCCGCGGGGAGCATGAGGCGGAAGCCGAAGCCCAGGGCAGCGGGAATGGAAAGGCAAAGCCTGAGGCAGATGACATCTGTTAACAACTCATAACGGACGAATCGGCGTGCGTTGCAAGGCTCCGTGCAGATAGAGACAGATAGACAGATCGACGCGCGGGGCCTTAGGACGCCTTGGCCCGACAGTATGTAATTAGGTACCTTAGCTTAAGGGTCTCCTGATCATAAGCCCCTAAGCCTTAGGAGCCCTCATGAGCCCGCCCAAGGAGTACCAAAGTCTGCATGAGCCCGTCCAAGGAGTACTACTACTGTAATAGTCGTAGATCTTATGAAGCCGTGGCATGCACTCTAGCCGCACTCTGGCAGTCTGCCTTTAAAAATCATAAAGTCTCAAGGCTACCTGGTAGGTGCCTGGGACGTTCAGCTGGTGCCTGTCTTCAACTCATGAGGGATCTTTGTTCAGCGCCTCTTTCCACTTCTTTGCCATCTCCATCCCTTGAGCCAGCGTGCCGACTCGAGCATCAATCGCATACCCCTGCCGATCGAGCTCCGCGAGCTCATTCCACAGATTGTCCAGCGGGATGGTGAAACATTCGATATATTCGCTCTCCTCCAACTCGGGTTTCAGATTGCCCTCTTGATTCCGCGGATCCGACATGTCCACTTCGACAAAGATTATCTTTGTATTCGTGTTGCAGAAGCCGGGATCGTTCCACATCAGGAAGCCCTCTGCCGCATTTGCATCCTTGGGTAACGTAGCGATGTAGCCCGTCTCTTCCTTCAGCTCCCGTAATGCGGCTGTTGCGGGGTCCTCGCCTTCGTCTATCAGGCCCGAGGGCACTTCGATCGTGACTTTATTAATCGGGGGTCGAAACTGTTTCTGCAGGAGCAAGGCCGGCCCGTTGGAGGATTTAGGGTCGTTGAGGACCGCTATCACGCCTACTCCGTCCACGTCTGTCCCTTTTGGTCGTGTCTGTAACTGCCATCAGCCTCGCGAGCTTTATGCCAGGCCAGCGCCCAGTTCTGCTGAGGCGAAAGCGCAATGCCACCTACCTGTCGCTCGGACGACTCCCACGTCCTTTCTTTGCCCGTCGGGTCTTGGTAGGATATCTTCTTCAAGGTGATCCATTTCGCCTCCTTTGGATCCTGAGAATCTTCAGCAATCAGCCACGGAACCTGGCGCGGGGCCAATTGTTGAGGGCCAGTCCTACCATGGCCTCAACCGCCGTGACTTTGGCCGACAACGGAGAGTACGTCGACATCTTGTCGGCCATCTTGAGGATGCGGACTCTATCGACTGACGGTCTATAGCTTCTAGACACACAAACGCCGGAAGGCTTACAAGAGAGGGTAGCACCAAGGGCCCTCAGCATGTCATCGTGGGATCGAGTTACCGGCTAGACGCAGGATCAAGACTGTGCTTGTCGGGTGGAAACTCGAAGGAGAGGAGACCACGGAGGAGACCAATCATGACCATGACGTAGCCTCTTGACCTGCGGCAGACTCCGAATGCAGCTTACCTAAACCCGGAACCACGACTCCTGCCCCGTTCAGCCTCATCGCGTCTCCTGTCTCCTTACGAGCAGGTCTGTTACGTTGTGCCCCTATCGATGATGACCTAGTAGACAGTTTCGGGCTGAGTCTGGCGTTTCCTAAAGCCTTCTGCCCGGCCTGCTCCCGACTATGATTTCAAGCACTGCCTGATCAACCCCTGATTTCATGTCGCCATCAGCAGCCACACCAACGAGACCATCCCGTCAGTTCCTGGTCTCAACTCAGACCCCCACGAAGAGAGCACAAGCTATCCACGGCTGCTGGTGCAGCTCGCCTCGACAGTCCCATCCTTCACTCCCAACCCTGGCAAGGCTCACTCTCTCGCCACTGGCTGACAGCCTTCTTCCTGCTGCGGCGAAACGTCCCATATGTGGCTGTCATATCGCAAGCCCATCTTCTCGAGTTGCTCAGCGATGCGGCGCTTGACCGTTCGCACCTCTTCTGAATCCTCTGCGTGTGCTGTACGCACCAAGGCGAGATTCGACCTAAAGTTCCGCAGCCTGGCCTGATCGTTCTGCGCGTTGGCCCCCGACCTCTCCAGATGCCCTCCGTACATGATGGCGCACTGAACATCGATCTCCTCTTTGGTGAGATCTTTCAGGCGAGCTGTCGAGTTGTTGGCCAGTCCCCACTCATCAAGCTGATCGACCACTTGACTATCTGAGTAGCTAAGCTGGCGTGGAACTGGCCACGGGAGAACTCTCATCTTCATTCGATCACGACGGCGTCGGTGATTCAGCGTGCCTTTAGTCGGTCTGCCCTTCCCGCCTACAGGGTTGGGGATCATGCGGTCGACGAAATCCTGGTGGCAGATATCCGGGTCAAGGCGACACACGGCTTCCATTTCCCACCCCTCTATCTCCGTGCTGATCTGGAACGGCATGGCGGGCGAATACCTAAGTGCACGGTTCTCGGCGGTGAGGTACACCCTGCCATATGGATCCAACAGTGGATGGAACTCGTGTGGAGACTTTTTCCGTCGGCCGTTTGCCGGCGTGTATTCGTACTGACCGATCGGATAAAGCTCAAAGAGAATCTGCGGCCGACCTGCTGTCCGCGCACTGCTCCAGTGCTGATAAGGTCTTTGACGAACTGTGATATTATCTCCTCTGAGCAACCAATCTGCGTACGTGGCACAGACAAAGTGATGATCGTCGGTTTTGATGAGCGGTTCGTTGTTGATGTGCACTACCTCAGGAGCATATGGAACCCGAGTTCTCTGGTCTGCTCTTGTAATCCAGATCAAAGAAGGCAATACAGACAGAGACACTCCAGAAACTCGTGGAGCTTCAACCCGATCGGTGGCAGCGATCTCGTCTATGGTCGAGGGAGGGTCGCGTATTGTGTGTGGGAGTTCGGTCAAGTCTTGGGAGTGAGAGGGCTCCACGACTTGCTCGCCCCCAGAGAGTGCAAGGACATCAGCATGCTGGATTCTGACAGGGTTATCAACCTGACTGACAACAGCATTCTTCTGTGGGACATCAAGTTCTATACACCGTCAGCTGGACTCCGGGGCCAACCGACAGATTCGGTGCCTACCTTCTTCCTTGAACCGCGTCCGCTCATACGACTCCTCATGGCGGCCAATTCTGAGGTGCACATGGTGCATTGTCTGTCCTCCCATGAATGGCTCTACCGTGTTCAGACTGACTTTTGGCAGAGCTGGCTGGTTTGCTTGTGTTCGTCCTAGGGAAGGCTGCATAATGTGTTTATGAGTGTCCTTGAAGCCGCGTGCAGGAGGAAGGTACAAAATCACTAGCCACGTAGTGTCAGCACTGTGAGTGTCGAGTGAACAGTTCCTTTTTGTTCACTTGCAGCCTCTTTCTTCCTTCACTAGGCAGTGCCGTGTCGAGGCAGCTTGGGGCTATTTCACTGTTTGTCACGGGCCTCTCTTGTCTTCGCAAGCATCCAAAGTACCCGCGGTGACCAGAACGACAACTGGCACGTTGGAAAGTACCGCCACGGGACAGAAAACCCAACCTCTCTGGCTAGGAGGCCACCCTCAACATGACTTCTGGCCAGCTACGCTTGATCTGGCCTGGTAAACGCGGTTGACAAGGCGATAATATCGGAGACCAGATGTTCCACGAGATTTCACAGGCGGGCAGGTCAATCCCCTCCACAAAACCAGCCATTGCTCTTTCATTCACTGCTGTTAAAGGGCTATGAAACACAGGTGGGAGACTTCTCCTACAGGTCCACAGCATCGAAATTGACTGGCAACTTGCCGAAATACAGCCTTCTGTTGGCACAATTGGAACGAAATGTATATTTTCTGATGAGACAGAATTCACTGTCGCTAGCCATGGGAACCCGAGATGTCCATGACGCACTCTAGAGCCGTTCGAGAAAGGTGACAAGAGAGAGTCTTCTTGAATTTCATGCCAAAAGTGAAGAACCATAGGTGGGCGAGTGCTCTGTATATCGAGGGGTGCAGCTATGCCAGCAACTATCAAGAAAATGTTGATTTTAGCCCCTTTCCGTTGTCTCTTGCCCCGAATCCATCACTTTGCCAACCACGTTCTGGAAACTCGTAGTAGCCGTCATCAACGGTGATAGGTTCTGAGGATCTCCCATAACCAAGCTATAGAGCTCTATGTCAGATGCATCTACCCTACAAAGTAGATTACTGCGGGAGAATACAAGAGAGCTTCAAGGACGTCAATGTAGATACGTTCCCATCATTTCTTGCATTAGATCATTAACTAGGGAGCTATACAATAGCCAGCGATACGACTTTTCGCAGCCTCAAAAATTATGCGAGGGCCTCAAATGGCCTGGCCGGACGGGCACTCGCTGATGCCAGGGCACTTCAGGGTCCACACCGCGATATCCAACCCCCGGTTGCGCTGCAGACGCTCCGCCGCCTTGTCCTGGCAACTCATGAGATTCTTGTGTGGGCGGCTGGCCAGAATAGTATGCACCTCCTGAAAGGTCGGATACCCCAGAGATGTTTCGTCGATGGGACGATCGGGGTTGATTTTGGTCGTCTGGAAGTTGATGGGCATTGCGATGTTCGTCAGACAGTTCGTTAATTCCAGCAACGTAGCCTGCAGCTGCTGGGTTAATGGGCGCCGGTTGTTGGAACTGACCACTCCCTTGTGAATATTCGCTTTGGTCTGAGACAGACAAGTGTGAAGACCCCTGATGTGGCGGAGGTGATGCCGAACCCCAGGACCGGACTGCTGCTGCTGCAGGTAGAAGTCGGTCCGGAGATCGGGGTGGAACAGATGGCAGCGAGGTCCGAGGCGGGGAAGGCAGCTCGGAACGTGTAGCGGAACGATTCGAATATCCAGCCACAGCGGCCATGGCACCCATGGTAGGGTCACCACCTGCTGACGGGCCTCCGAGACCACTCATGTTGGGCATAGGGCTGTTAGGGTATCGGTCGGTGGCAGAGATAGAGTCTCGTTTTCTCCGACGTCTCATGAACCAGCTGTACCAACCGCCAAAGATAGCGGCGGCTAGGACGACAATTCCCACACCAACCCCGATGCCAGCCTTGGCCCCGGTCGACAGACCGCCGCCACTGCCACTGCTGCCGCTTGATAACGCAGCAATAGATGGCGAACTGCCGGGCGTGCTGGTAAAGGTGCCGACGTCAACGACTGTGGTGGCAGGATTCGTTGCAACCACGACGGAGGTAAGCGTTGTATAGCCCGGTACACCATTTGAAGTTGTTGGAAGCACTTCAGTGACGTACGATGTGCTGGTGGAATACGAGATGGAGGAGCTACTGGTAGTGACCACCACCGGCGACGCGGTGCTACTTGTTGTGTCTGACGAAGTAGAACTTACGTCGGTGCTTGAAGCTGTTTCTGAGGAAGTGGACGGAGTAGTGACTGGAAGAGAAGAACTCGTTACTGACGTTGTACTTGATTCGGTCGAGGTAGAGGGAGTTGGGGTAAACGACTCTGACGAGGCTGCAGCAGAGCTGGGGGTAGGGCTGGAACTGGCCACAGTTTCCGTGCTAGAAGGTGCTGGAGCTGACGCGGACGCAGAAGGTAGTGAGGACAGTGACGCTGTATACTCACTAGTAGGGCCGCTGGAAGAAGTCGACCCCGAAGACGAGATCGACGAGGTGAACGAGGAGGTAGTAGTGCTGGGAGTAGGAGTAGGAGCAGGAGCTGTGGTGGAGGAGGTGGGGTTAACCGGGGGCGGAGAGCTAGAGGAAGTAGATGAAGGGACACTCGAGGTGGTAGTGCTCCCTGAGGTAGTGGTTGAGGAAGACGTGGGATTTACTGTGGTAGTAATCGAGGGAGAGCTTGTGGTAGCTGCCACACATGGCTCGCATGTTATAAAAGCATTTTGAAGCAAGGGTAGGTTCATTGCTCAGACATAAAAGCATTGGATGTAGAACTGGGCAAGCATGAACATACTGGAACTTGAGGTTGTAGTGATATCGCTAGTAGTAGTAGTTGTTGTAGAAGGTAGGGAGGTAGTGGTCGTCGTGGGTGAGGAGGTTGTGATTGTTGGAGACGAGGTCGTAGTCGTTGTGACGATGACGGTCGTTGTTGATGTCGGGCTGCTCGTGCTCGTTGTAAAGGTGGTTGGCGTGGAATCCGAAGTGGTTGTACTATCGGAAGTGATCGTGCTGACTGAGGTAGTATCTGAGATGATGGTGCTAGTTGTGGAGGATGTTGAGGTAGTACTTGTATTCGACACAGAAGCGATGCCGTCTGTCGTCTGAGCCGCCAACAAGGCGGCCAGTCTGAGCAGCACCAACACCTGTACAAGCCTCGCCATAGCTACGGACACTGGCGATGGTGCCGCGCAGTAGGCTGCGCAAACACTCTGCTGCTCTTGTTATCGATGAGGCTGTAGAACGAGAAAAGAAAAGAAGTCCAAAAACAGCGGGACGGCCATGTCTTGAACTTTGTCGGCCGCAAAGGCTTCTAAGACCATGCTAAGAAGGTGGTAGTCGCTAAGGTCAGCGTTGCGCCACCAGGTTCAGTCAGCCATGCTGCACGAATACCAGTAGAGCCTCCGATGGAGTGGGCAGCCCTGCGAGAGCAGCGGGGTACTTTTTTCAGCTCCCGCTCATAAAGTGCCAGACCATTGGAGCACAGACACATTTTGATGCCGAGGGCGGAGGGGAGGACTCAAGGGTGGCACGGATTTCTACCGCAAATCGACTAGCTGCCAGAATCAAGCACGTAAGATGGGAGCGGGTAGTCGTAGTAGACTCCAATGGGACCCAGGGCGGGATGGGAGAAAAAGAGCCGGAAAGGGCTGGAAGCCACCCGCGGTATTATTGGCCCAGTTCTGCCCTGTTGGGTCTTATCTTGCTGTCCCCGGAAGGCCATGGCTGGAGGAAAGAAGGTTTCAACACGAGCGGCCCAAGCGAGGCCGGGAGCTCCGCGAGGGCCTGGAGGAGAATTCAGCGTTGGAATCCGAGGTAGTGCGGTGAGGTTGAACCGAGAAGAAACGCCCGAAGGAGGGTGAAGACTGATGCGAGCAGAGCGAGTGGCAGTGGTGGGCTCAGGCCTGAGGAGCCTAGTGCGTCATCCAGCACAGAAGAGGCACCAGAGGCTCTCGCTCCAAGGCGCGGGGTGCCAGTTTGTGCTCGAAACCATGCGAGCTTTGGCCGGGTCAGGAAGCGTGGAGAATATTGGGTATATAATTAGAATTTAGTATCAGTGCAGCTTCTAGCTTCTAGGAAGTAGCAGCCACATCCGAGGCGGCAGAGCAGACCGAAAAAAGAGATACACAAAGAAGCCTTTTCTTTTCCGCTGGCCTGGCGCAGCGCAGGCAGACTCCTCCGTACACGCTTCTTATCTTCTCGTGACTGTCCGATAACAAGGTACAGACCTCGAAGAATCATCAAGTTGGTATTTAATGTTGTTATTTGACACTTGCATGAATCTATGACCAGGCGATTCATCAGCTACCTACGGATTCTTGCTGGTACGGCCATCTGCGTGCTGCTCTTGAGTCGCTGCGACGTCATATTGACTCGGCATTGAACCCGCGCACGACACGTTGTGGTTCTCGGGCTCGCAGTCGCTGTATCACCCAAAATGTCAGCGAGGTATGGCCATTGGAACCAGTGATCGGACCTGCTGGCCAGATATAGTCTGTTTCTCTCGTTTGGAGCCGTAGATTGCTTGCATGGGCCTGCTGTCATTGTTCCAAGGACTTCACCGACTTTGCCGCCTCAGCAATTTTCAAGATACCTAGTTATAACAGAATTAACTTGATCTCTCCCATTTCTCCAATTTGGCACGTCCCATTCTCTGCTATAATCATTGACATCTCAGTTGCTGCCTCCGATATGGCTGCTGTGCAAGGAGGCTCCGCGTCAGAGGACAAATCGCCTGTGGTTTGTGTCTTGTGCGTCCAGGGAACACAAGCCCCAGCAATATCTGTCGAAACAGCACTAACGCCTCGTCAGTTGTGGCTCTTCGCCTGGGAAAGACCCGGTGCATTTAGAATCCGCGCAGATTCTCGCCAAATCCCTTCATGGAGCAGGCTACAAGCTTGTCTACGGCGGAGGAACCATGGGCATCATGGGCGAGGTAGCCAAAACCTTGGTGTCGCTCTCTGGCCCCAGCTCTGTGCGAGGTATTATTCCTCGTGCCTTGATCCGTACAGAGGTCGACAGCTCGATTCGACATGGAACCAACTCCAGCAAAGTAGAACGGACAATGTCACCCGAGGAGCTGCAGCGTATCGACAGCAATGAAGATCCCGACAGCAAGATTGTACCGGCCAACGAATTCGGGGCTACAACCATCGTCCCGGACATGCACACCCGCAAGCGCATGATGGCTCAATGTGTGGAGGCTGGAGGTCCGGGCTCAGGCTTTGTTGCTCTGGCTGGTGGCTATGGCACTCTGGAGGAGGTCATGGAGATGGTTACCTGGAATCAGCTGGGAATCCACATGATCCCGATTGTTCTGGTCAATGTCAACGGCTACTGGACTGGCCTTCTAGACTGGGTCAAAAATAGCATCAGAGAAGGCTTTGTTGGTGAGGGGGCGGCCAATATCCTGGTCGAGGTTAAAAGCGCAGATGAAGTTGTTGAGGCTCTGAGGCAGTATAAGCTAGCCCCCGGCAGATTTAAACTGGATTGGTCCAAATAGAGCAGCACAGCAACAGAGAACGAAGCCTAGAGAAACAGAAAAGAAAGAAGAGGACGGCATCATTGAAGCAGGATATCTAGCTTCATCAATGCCCTGACCACGGAACGTCTTGACCACGCCATTCAGGCAGCCTTTGCGCTCCAAACGCCGTGCGATATGCATACCGGTCCCAACTCACTACAAATCCGTCTCCATAGCTTCACCATCCGCATCATCTGCCAGTGTAGATTCCACGTTCGCCTCCAGAAGAGGTGCAATGTCCTGACCATCATACAACTTGAAGTTTTCCAGCTTCTTTCTGCCATTCTTCTCGCCCACGCCTATGATCGCCAAACTGGTGTTGTCGACAGTCAACTCTTTGTCTTGTGCCAGACTCTCCTTCAACGCTAGCAATGCATGCTTGATCAATTCGTCCCGACTGGAATCTGCAAACTCTTCCAAGTGTCTTTCTAGATATGTGCGAGCCATCTGACTTCGGGCCCCAATGGCACAAGCCAGCATCTCTTGCGTAAGACCGGACGGCGAGAACTCGAACAGATGTGGTCCCAGGTCATCGACACCTGCAACTAACAGCCCGACGCCATATGGTCTTTTACCGTAGTGCTGAGTGTTCGACTGAGCGCGGTCACCAATCATATTAACAATCCGTTCCACTGGTATGGGTCGACCATAGGTCATTTTGGAGGACAGTGATTGTTGCTTCATGAAGTTCGAAAGAACGCGGGCATCAGAGGCGAGCCCTGCAAGCGCAACTCCGAGGTGATCATCGACGCCGACAATCTTTTTCTGGTATGAGGATAGTTCTTCTGCGTTCCTCTGAGTAATGTGAGCATGATTTGCCCCACGAACAGCGAGCTCATGTACCAACCTTGACAGCAGTCAGGACGACATGCTTCTTACTCACAACCCCGACAACGACCGAACCTTGTTTCACGGCCTCCTGAGCATATTCGACTTGAAAGATCCGGCCTTGGGGGGAACTGCGGAGTGTTAGCATACCACACAAGGACGGTGTCTAGGGAAACAGCCTCACAAGGTGACAGAGTCGTTGTCGTAGTTATTTCTGAACATAGTGCCGGCGTACTGATTGATACAGGAGAGCGAGGGGTGGTTCGATGGTAACTGAGAGAGAGATTGCGGGTTGCAGATGGCCTCTATGGCAAAATCGCACAGAGCCAGGCAATGGTAGACGCGCAACTTCTAGTTAGGCGCGATGTCCCAGATCGGAGCTTCTTCTCCACGCCAGACTGCGATTAACCCCCAGCCACAATGCCACTTCACATCATCGTCAGGGCAAGACGACCACATTTTATTATGGTCAACTCATTATTCAAGGCTTTCTATATTATCTTTCTGGCATAGCAAACCTGTCAAGCTCCCGTTGCGGTATCATTCTCCCACCTCCCCTGGTGTCTCAAGGCCCTCCAGTCTGTGTCGCGCACGTTTTCAGAACAGGCACCAGGTTGCTCGATCCAGCTCGCATCAAGCCTCAGTCATGACGGCCGGTCTTAAGACAATAATTGCTCTTTCTTTTGTACGATGACCTGCGAATCCATCGACTATCATGGGTATTGACTCGCGCACAGGTCCTTGCGATAGGATTCCTCCTCGTCATCCTCTCGGCTGCGTTATTCCATAACTTCCTCACGCTCATCGTTGTCGCAACCTATGTGGTAGCGCCGCTACCCAACTGGATAGCTGGAAGATGTGCCAATCCAGATGATTTCATTGAGAGCAATTCAAGTGCATGGCTGGACCTGGGCCGATTTGTTACGGGGTTCCTGGTTGTGATGGGCATTGGTGCGTTTTCCGGTCTGGACTTTCGAGACACTATGCTGACAGCATCATACAACAGCCCTTCCAGTCCTCCTAGCACACTGTGCACTTATCCAAGTCCCAGCCATGGTCATGTCAATTATCGGAGGTTTGCTGATATACGGGACTATCATCAGCTTTTCCCAGTTTTTCAAGGAGGAGCAGGACTTCTAGCCTCAAGCAAGAATGACTGAACTTATATGCATGTGGAGGCGCAATGATCTGCTTGATGTTTACTTGGTCTAGGGGGGTGAACTGGAAAAATTGGGCGAGACTACCGTGGACAAGATTTTACCTATTCGTTCTGGCCGATTGCATGAACGACACTCTACACATATCCCCATGTCCGAACCTAATCTGCGATGGAAGATTGCATCGCCGCCCTTGTCATCAAGATATCGACCACCTGATACTATTCCTGCTTGGCTCAGAGACTTGTGCACCTGAGTTCATTAAGACTTTGCCCGTGCTAGGTCGAGTGTCGTAGAGGTCCCTTTAGAGGGCGTCGCCTATTCCACTTTCGCTGCTGTCCGTACATATACGAAAAAGTTCAAGATTCAGCTTGGGAGCGGAGTGCCATTCTATCATACGTACCTACCTATGGAATCCTGTAGTATTTTGTGTTGAATCAAGAGAACGAGAGTGCCTGTCAGGTGGTACCGAAGCAGCTGTCATGCATGTCGGGATTGTGTCCCGAAGCTCCGGTGCCACCATCACCAGCCACATTTACAAGGGCCTTTTGTGACACACTGCGCCTACTAACTTCACAATTGCAGGACGACATTCCACTACCTTGAACTGCACACGGTCACAACTACGTTCATTTCATACACTATCTTAATCATTCTATCGAGCGCACGCATTTGTATCAACATGTCGACGGACCGACTATTCCGCTTCCCGAAGCCGGCGTGGCTCAACAGCGCCAACACCCGGACCGCAGGCGTCTACCTTGCGGGAGCTTTTGTATGCAACAAGCACCATCTATTCCCCCGCTGGCCAATTTCTTGAAGTGACGCCTTGACTGACGAATCTTGATCTGTTTCTAGTTCTCTCTCGGCTTCTTCTTCTTCATCGACGCGAGCGTCTTCTCCAAATCTCCCTTGAACGGCTCGATTGTGCACATCACTTTTGTCGACTGGATCCCCGTCATCTGCTCGGCGCTTGGGATGCTGGTGATTAACAGTATCGAGAAGTCGCGCTTGTCGGCCGACAGCTTCTCGTACAGCGGGAACGGCGTCGCCTGGAAAGCGCGCACCGTTCTTTTCCTGGGGTTTGCACTCATGGCGGGTGGGCTGGCTGGAAGCGTCACTGTCATGGTGCTCAAATATCTATTCAAGGACTATGCCCTCCGGACGGTCTACATGGGCGTGGCTAACGTCGTGGCAAACGGCCTCGTCATGCTGAGCTCCGTCATCTTGTGGGTCAGCCAGAACATGGAGGACGACTACACCTATAACTTGCAGCTGTGAGCGGGATCCCAAAAGTCTAGGTGACGGGTGTTGGTGGGTGTTGGCCATGACTCCCAAGGCTCTTGGACGCGGATAGACCACTACGGCTGGCAGTGCGCCACGAGCAATGGAAATGAACAGCCGCGTTGCGGTGGAGGCGGCGTCGGCACGGCTAGGGCCATTGGGTTTAAGGCAAAGCATTATCAAGTGTATAAGTCAAGCGGGCAATGGTATCATATTATCTGAAGTGCCGCTCCAGCCTTTCTACTCTTTTATCGCTGGACTCTGGATTACTTCTTAATGTTTAGCCTCAGAAACCTCTCCGAAGGTACATCAGACCGGGAGTCTGTGCTTGTGGCATTTTTTGTCCTGGTCATTCATTGCCAGTCCAGGCGCCAGCCTAAAATGACGAGTCCTCCCTTGGGAGCTGGTGCCTTCTCGAATCCTTTTGAATATATTTCGCCTCCAGGGATCTACCCTCTGTTTTCGACGCCACCTCGTTGGAAAAGTCGGGTGATTGTGGATTTGTCTTGCCAGGCGCTGTCCAATAATCCGCGTGGCAGGTAACTGCCTTTCTTGTCTTGGATCGCTGTCGCTGTCGCTGCCGCTACCTCTCTCTCAGTTTTCCCATGATTGCGTCAATGACATCCATATCCGCCGCGGACACCTGGTCGGGCCCGACGATATCCTTGGGTAATCGCTTGACGGCCTCATTCATGGCCGGCTGATAGTTCCGGACCCCAGAGCTCAGGGCGTAGACGGCCTTTCTTCGCGTAGCCTTGTCCTCGTCGCCGAGAGCCATTCTGCACAGCTTCTCTATGCCATTGAGGCCTAGGAGTCGTTCCTGTGCTTTCTCGTTGTTTTGAACCGCGGTGCCGAGGCACCAGGCCGCCATGCGTCGCAAGTCCGCCACTGGGCTGTCGAGTTGCGACAGAAGTGGCGTCCACAGTCCGAGCGGCTCCATGTTGTTGGCGTTGTCCAGGTTTTCGATCAGCTGCTCGAAGTTGTCGAAGGCGATCATTTTGGCATCGTGCGTGACTTCGGGGTCCGAAGACTGGACGATAGCTATGGCTTCACGCATCAGGTCGGCGTCGCTGGGACCGCCCATCAACGCGCGCAGAGCATCAGCCGATAACCCTCTGGGTTCTCTGGCCGGTTGGTCCTGTGCGCTAGCTGAAGGTTCGGAGTTTTCAATACCCCATTTGAGAAGTGAATTCAGTGTTGGATCCATGTCAACAGATTTTTTTCTTAGATGTCCTGTGTACGCTCTTATCGCTATGGAGTCAACGTCGGAGGTCAACGTATGAAATAGATGAGCCTTTATTCAAGAGCACATTTGTTTATGAGTATTTTGAATTGCAATTGATCTGGAGTGCCAGTGACGGGCCTGGGGCGAGGTTAAGGCTGAGAGGTTAAGGCTGAGTCTTGGCTGTGGGAGGGATGCGAAGTACAGGTACTAACATCTTCCAGTACCTACCTTGACGTTCTCCACGTTTCCAAGTGATGATTGGTGGCACCAACCCTCAAGGTCCGAGCGTAGGTGATGTTGCTTGACAGAGCAGCATGCTTGGATCATGGATCCTTAGAGACCAAGTAAAGACATGGTCATCCAAGGTAACCTCTTCTCATATCCCGAAGTTGCAGTCGGATTAGGTCGTGGTGCCGCGAGAACGCGTAATAACACAAATGGCAGTCGGTGGCGGTGAGTCTTTTCAAAAGACGTTTGGTGATGGGGCCGCCTAGTCGTTCTGACTACGCCCATTCAGCACTGGGTACCCCATCATTGTGGCTGGTACTTACAGAGTACGGATACCTACCAGGCACCTACCAGGCACCTACCAAACACACCGCATTTCAAGGCTAAGGCAACGCACACCGGTGTTAGTCGACAGGTGGGCTGGGGTGACCCCCTAGACGCGAGCTCCATTTGTCTGGACTGGTAGACCCAGATATTTCTAGGCTTGTCTGAGGAATGGAATGAACTCAGTATAGCACGGCAGGGGGGCAGTAACTCCGTAGAGGCTGGAATGCAGATCTGACCCATATAGTATGGAGTACCGAGTACCCATACTGTCTTTCAATACAGTACGGATACTCCGTACACTGCTCGCGGTGGAGTCTAGAACAAGTCACCTAGCATGGACGGGATATAAAAGTACCTTGTGCCTGAAGGTATCAGTCAGCGTGCGCTGCACCCGACGAGCTGATGAGATGTCTGCCTTAAACACCCGAAATTCTGATATCTCGCAAATTTCACATTGTCACATAAGGTGGCTTGCTAATGGTAGCTGCCTAGATTTCCCAGCTGTGGTGATGAAGGCTCACATGAGGACAGAGCATTGCGTGGCCCTTGCCGCCACCCAACCGCGGAGCACTATTTCTGGCCGGTATCCGTCACATAGCAACCTATCATCGGGAAGAGCGTTCTTGCCTGTTAACCTTTTGGCTCACATTCTGCGAATGCTGCGTGGCAGGCGCTGAATATCGATGTGCTTCAATGTCGGCCGACAGCCACAATCACCTATTAATTAGGCACCTAAGTAAGCAAGGTACCTAGTCCCCAAGGTACGAGTACCTAGTAGATAATCCGGACTTGCCGGTACGTCAGACAGCACCAACAGAGTCCAACTAAGCAGTAGTAGGGGGTTGCCTAACTAAAAGTGGTACCCCAGCAGTGCTAACGTAGTACGGAAGACTACGCCTCCTCCGTATCAGTTAATTAATCGTTGGGTGAAGATGAAGGCGAAGCTCGAGCGCCGGGTCTTGGCGCAGCTTCCCTCGCCCACGGCACCGCCCACCGCCTACCGCCTGCTCTTCAAATCAACCACCTCACCCTCTTTCTCGCAACATTCCAGCTTCGTCTCCATCTTCATCCTTTCTCACCTATCCACTCCCCTGCCTCGTCGTGCCCGAGGTTCTATCTGCCACCCGTATCTCGAGTCTCTCGAACCTTACTATTCAGCTTGCTCTGTCCATCCCCCCTCATCTCGACCTAGTCTAATCCGCCACAATGGAAGGTAAGCTGCACCCGATCCAAAGTCCACCGGCTTCTCAAAGTCGAGGTCATTATCTGGATCAATGCTGATGTGTCTTCCTCTCTACAGAAGAAGTTGCCGCGCTCGTCATTGACAATGGGTAAGCGCCTCCCCTTACCCTGCTTATCAGTCCCCGCCTCGTCGTTCAACTCGGCATCCAGGCACGAGTGAGCGATGGGCGGGATGTCGGAAGAGCAGGAACTATAGTGACATGACCAACATGGTGCTGACAATAACCTTGCTAGCTCTGGTATGTGCAAAGCTGGCTTTGCCGGTGATGATGCGCCACGAGCAGTATTCCGTAAGTTCGGCCCGCGATGCAACGCCTGCGCCCTCGGGTTAAAATGCTGATAACTCGATAGCATCTATCGTCGGCCGACCTCGCCACCATGGTATCATGATTGGTATGGGCCAGAAAGACTCCTATGTTGGAGACGAGGCCCAGTCCAAGCGTGGTATCTTGACCCTCAGATATCCTATCGAGCACGGTGTTGTCACGAACTGGGACGATATGGAGAAGATTTGGCATCACACCTTCTACAATGAACTGCGTGTCGCTCCTGAGGAGCACCCGGTCCTGTTGACTGAGGCTCCTATCAACCCCAAATCCAACCGAGAGAAGATGACTCAGATTGTCTTCGAGACCTTCAACGCCCCCGCCTTCTACGTCTCCATCCAGGCCGTGCTCTCGCTGTATGCCTCCGGTCGTACCACTGGTATCGTGCTTGACTCTGGTGATGGTGTCACTCACGTTGTCCCCATCTACGAGGGTTTCGCGCTTCCCCACGCCATCTCCCGAGTGGACATGGCCGGTCGTGATCTGACCGATTATCTGATGAAGATCTTGGCCGAGCGTGGTTACACTTTCTCAACCACCGCTGAGCGGGAAATTGTTCGAGACATCAAAGAAAAGCTCTGCTACGTCGCACTCGACTTTGAGCAGGAAATCCAGACGGCCTCTCAAAGCTCGACCTTGGAGAAGTCCTATGAACTTCCCGACGGTCAAGTTATCACCATTGGTAACGAACGATTCCGAGCTCCCGAGGCTCTCTTCCAGCCCAGTGTCCTCGGTCTCGAGTCGGGCGGTATTCATGTTACCACCTTCAACTCCATCATGAAATGCGACGTCGATGTTCGAAAGGACTTGTATGGCAACATTGTCATGGTAAGTTAGGCCGATCCCTTTGCTTCTGTTCGAATCTGACATCCTTGCAGTCTGGTGGTACTACTATGTACCCAGGTATCTCCGACCGGATGCAGAAGGAAATTACTGCTCTCGCCCCATCCTCCATGAAGGTCAAGATCATTGCTCCACCTGAGCGCAAATACTCGGTCTGGATCGGTGGATCCATCCTGGCATCTCTTTCTACCTTCCAGCAAATGTGGATCTCCAAGCAGGAGTACGACGAGAGCGGTCCTTCAATTGTCCACCGCAAGTGCTTCTAAACTCCTTTCAAACATTCTGGAATGTTTGATACTCAATTGAAACGCAGCAATATTCTAGAGGCAGCAGTGAACGACGTTAAGATCATGAATGAAACCTAGGGGCAAGCGGAGCATAGAACTGTGGAAGGCGAAGTGGGTAGTGAAAGGCCAAAAGTTATTGGGAGCTAACACTGGCACGGACAAGTCTGATACGCCGTAGGGGATTCAGACCAACTGAAGTATGTATCGAGAAAAAAATGACATCTTCAAGGAGCAGCACCATTCCAATAGGGTCTAGAATGCAATTCTAGCAAGTTTAGGTTTTTTTTTTTGTCCTTATCCTGGTGTGACTGCTGAGCGGAGCGAGACCGGCTCTGTAAGGAGATATCTGTACAAATCGTTCACCTCTGCTTAACACCTTGTACATATGTCGGTACATCACCCGAGACTTCCTCGACTGTTGCACCGTCCTCGGCAGGCTCTAGAATCTTCCACTCACAGCTGATGCCTTCGTCGTTGAATTTCTGGACAATCACACGAGCAATGGCGTCGAAGTTCTCGGTGGCCAGGGCCAATATCGTCGGACCAGCGCCCGAGAGACATATTCCCAGAAGGCCTTTGTGCGTCTTCGGCGACATTGAGGATAAAATGGCGGGCAAGGCGGGGATCAGTGTTTTGCGGTAGGGTTGGTGGATTTTGTCTTGCATCGCGCTGTAGATGAGCTCCGGATCAGGTGGAGAGTCGGAGAGGACGGTGGTCAAGAGTGCAAGGCGTTGCAGGTTGAAGATCTGTTCCAACCCGGGGCAAGAAAGGTTAGTGAATGTTGCGCGTTGGCTGCCGAACAAGAGATGGCATCTCTTCCTATGTTTTTGGGGGTTTGTAGAAAATGAAAGCACAGTGCCTTACCATATCCTGCCGTGAATAGTTCTTGGGTAATACCTCTCTGGCCTTCGCAGTGCTGACTTCGAAGTTGGGGATGATGGCCAGAGCCTTGATCTCCTTGGCCCAGTTGAACCTTCGGTAGTGGCCGATGTTCTCTGGAGGGATTGGCGGGGTGAGTCCCGTATCAATCCCGCCGGCGGGCTGAGGGAGGACCTCTGAGAGCGGCACTTCCTTGCGCGCCATGTCGAGGGGGTCGAGCTCGTTGAGGTACGTACCCACGAACCCGCCGTACAGGGCCGCGGCGACGTTGTCCGGGTGCCGCTCGACCATGAGGCAGAAATCAAGCAGGCGCGGTTTCGACAGCTTCAGATTCCCGACCACGTTACCTAGCAAGACTCCGGCGACCACCGCGGCGCCCGACGAGCCCAAGCCTCGACCCAGCGGGATCGGATTGTGGATGTGCACGTGGGTCTGGGCCGGGAAGTCGTGCTGGTCGTGGCAGCGCAGAACGTACAATGCCGTCCGTGTCAATAGGTTGTTGCCCGGGTGCAGGTCGATTTCTTCCGCGCCCACGCCCGTGTACGACACCGTACAGTTGAGAGGGATAGATGGGTCGGAAGGTTGGGTGCGATCGATGCTCACGCGTAGCTCAAGGTACATTGAGAGCGCGAGCCCGATCACGTCGAAGCCCGGGCCTGCATATGATGGAGACACATAAGTTTGAGATACAAGCTGCAGCTGAAGACCGAAGTTGCGCAGACTGTCTGGTAGGAGCTGATGCCCACAACTGGCGTAGATCATGACTTACCAATATTGGCGGATGAGCATGGCACCTCTAGTCAAGTTAGCTTCGGGGGGACTGCACCTAAAGCATTTTGGAACATAAGGTAGCACTGACTTATGAGATACATGGTTAGAAACTGGGGCCCCAGAAGGGCCAGGGAAGACTGAGGTTGGTGCGTTGATACGGCGAGTTGATTCTCGATCGTTGTGGGAGTAGATGATGGTAGTCAGTCGAAGACTTGCTGATCTTTTCCCCAGATCGTCCGTGTATGGTTGGATTTATCTCTGGTGCAAAGCAACTAGAGTACGATCTTGTATTGACTCACAGCACAAGCTTGCGGTCGAAGTAGATTCCCTTCGGTGAATCGAAAATCCTCGCTGTCGTCGGCTAGCCAATCGCAGGGCGCAGTGAGCCAGACATCACGTGATGTATACGGATAAGTATAATTATCCTGGATGGCTTTTCTATCTTAAACTGCGATGTGTTCCCATTGACCGATTATGCTGTAGCATGCAACCTAGGTAGGTGTTAAAAAGGCTGCGCATCTACTTATTACAACGAAGTCCCAGCCACAGTGCCAGCATATATCATTCACATGTACGCCAGAATGTTTGCATGTCACTCTATACGCAGTGTTCCACCGTAAAGCCGCCAATTCTCAGCAACCAATCGGAGTGAGCAAAGATTTTTATCAGCCTTGGCATCAAATTGTACCAGCTTCTAGATTTTCCATGCTGGATGAATGAAAACTTTTGATGTCGGCCCCTGATGTTGGACAGTGAAATCCCGGGGTTCGTCGCCTTCTGCCGTGGATGATCCATTTCCATTCGCTTTTCTAACGTAAGTTTGACCAACGTTACGCCGGAGTTGTTCTTCCTCACCCCTGTCTGTCTTGCCAACCAGCAGTGAGAAGCGTTGAGGATCTTTGCCAGACCGCGGCGCGTCGTTTGCTCAGACGCGGCTTGCAGGGCCCGTTGGTTTTACATTACCTTCTGTCGCGGCGTTTATTCTTTGCTTGGTGGCAGGCTTTCAAGACTCAGACGGTCAGGAGTCCCTGAACTGACTTCTCGCAGCTCCAGACTCGGACCGTACAGTTGCTGCTCGCAGCCATGACGGAAAGGCTACGCATACTAGTCATTGGCTCCGGCGGGCGCGAACATGCGCTCGCCTGGAAATTGGCCAGGTCGCCGTCCGTCGATGTCGTCCACATCGCACCTGGCAATGGAGGAACGGAATCTGACAAAGTCATTAACGTGAAGATCGCGGCCGATGATTTCACAGAACTGGTTTCATATGCGAGGAAGCATGGGCTGAACTTGGTGGTAGTCGGCCCGGAAGCACCACTGGTAGACGGCATTGAAGGCTTCTTTCGGGCGGTCGGCATTCGCTGCTTCGGCCCCAGCAAAGGCGCTGCGCGGATGGAAGGATCCAAGGCCTTTTCGAAAGACTTTATGCGAAGACACGGCATCCCAACAGCAGCCTTCCGAAACTTCACAGACTACGAGTCGGCTCGAGACTATCTCGACTCTGTCAACCATGACGTCGTTATCAAAGCGGATGGATTGGCTGCTGGAAAAGGCGTCATCATTCCCACCACCAAGAAAGAGGCACATGATGCTTTGAAGCAGATCATGGTTGCTCGCGAGTTTGGATCTGCCGGCTCACAAGTAGTGATTGAAGAGTTTCTTGAAGGCGAGGAGTTGAGTGTCCTTACCTTCAGTGATGGCTACACGATAAGGTCGCTACCGCCTGCTCAGGACCACAAACGTGCTCTGGATGGAGATCAAGGCCCAAACACTGGAGGCATGGGCTGCTATGCACCTACAAGAGTCGCTTCGAAAGAGCTGATCGCACAGATTGACAGAGAAATTGTCCAACCTACCATTGACTGCATGCGGCGCGAGGGCATGCCGTTTGTTGGCATGCTCTTCACTGGGCTGATGATCACCAAGAACGGACCGAAAGTGCTGGAATACAATGTCAGAGGAGGCGACCCCGAGACCCAGACTTTGCTGCCGCTTTTGAGCGACGAGACAGACCTCGCCAAAGTCATGCAGGCCTGTACCGAGCACTGGTTAGATGGTGTTGACTTGAAGATCGAACCCAAGTTTTCTGCCACTGTGGTTGCCTGCGCTGAAGGCTACCCTGGCACGTACGCGAAGAACAGGCCTATCACATTGCACACACCCCCGGAAGACGTGCTGGTATTCCATGCCGGGACTGGCAGAGACGGAAAGCAGGTCGTGTCGACAGGAGGCCGTGTGATCGCTTCAACAGCAACGGCAGCGACCTTGGAAGAAGCGGTAGCCAAAGCCTACAAGGGCATGGCCACGATTAAGTTCGATGGAATGCACTTCAGAAATGATATCGCCCATCGGGCGTTCAAGAGAAAAGCCCAAGGAGAAGTCCACGAAGAAGCTGCAATGACGTATGCGTCGGCCGGTGTGTCCATCGATGCAGGAAATGATCTAGTCGCCCGGATCAAGCCAGCTGTGAAAGCAACCTCGCGACCTGGCGCTGACTCCATCATCGGCGGCTTTGGTGGTGGATTTGACTTGACAAGAGCCGGCTACCACGAGAAATCACCCATGTTAATTGGTGCGATTGATGGGGTTGGCACCAAGCTCAAGATCGCCCATGCAATGAACGTTCACGACACAGTCGGCATTGACCTGGTAGCCATGAACGTCAACGATCTCGTTGTGCAAGGTGCCGAGCCACTGATGTTTCTTGATTGCTACACTTGCAGCATTCTGGATGTCGACATTGCCAGTGATTTCATTCGTGGCGTCTGCGAAGGATGCAAGCTTGCCAATTGTGCACTCGTCGGAGGTGAAACAGCGGAAATGCCAGGTCTTCTTAGTGGAACCGAGTACGATGCCGTCGGCGCCGCGATAGGAGCTGTTGATACTGCAACTGGCAAAAGAGTGTTGCCCGACATGGAGAGCATGGTTGAAGGCGACGTGCTCTTCGGCCTGGCTTCAAGTGGTATTCACTCGAATGGCTTCTCGCTGGTCAGGCGCATTACCGAAAAGATGCATCTCGCTTTCTCAGATATGGCACCTTGGAACTCGGAAACAACCGTCGGTCGATCTCTCCTAACTCCGACACGTATCTATGTCGTCTCCTTGTTACAGGCGGTCAAACGAGACTTTATCAAAGGGATGGCACACATCACAGGTGGCGGCCTGACCGAGAATGTACCGCGAATGTTGCCAAACCACCTGGCCGCCGAGATTGATGTGTCCACCTGGGACCGCCCTGCCGTGTTCAAATGGCTCCAAAAAGCCGGCAATGTTAGTAATGAAGAGATGAGCCGGACCTTCAACAATGGCATCGGCATGGTGCTTGTTGTTTCCAGTGTCGCTTCCGGAGAAGTGAAGAAGATCTTGGAAGCTGAAGGCGAGACGGTGTTCAGGATTGGAAGGCTTGCTGGCCGACAACAAGGCGGTGAAGGTTGTGTCCTAAAGAACCTGGATTCCTGGAACTCTTCTTAGCCTGTGACATGGCAGAATACGAACCTGCGCATATAGGACAAGATGCAATGCATTCGCTCAACAACTCCCCTGTGGACTGCAGAAGTCTCTTGTTCAACATGAGCTGAAATGCTCACGCACATCTATCAGTTCGCTCATCGGAGGGTTATTCCTCCAGCAATCTGACCCGCAATCTCGTGGACATTGAGGATAAGCAATCGCAGGGCATAAAGGAGCGCTTCGTGCCTTTTGCTGATCACCGCCCAGAACCCATTCTGCGCCCCAGTACAAGGGCCGTCGAATTTATCCACGCTTCCTACCACCTCCAACGCACCTTGGCGTCGACAAGCGGCCATTTATTGTCAAGAATGGGCGCCAATAAAACCGTCCTCATCACTCCCATCCGGGGCATTGGCCTCGAACCTTTCGAGTGCCTGGTTTATTAGCTTCCAAAGAACGACGTCGAAACCATACGCAGGCCTTCTATGCTACTTTGGCAGAGACAAGCTTTAACCTAGAGATTCAAGTTCTGCAGCTCCGTTAGACAAGACGCGATCTCGGTTCTGATGCGTGTCTTACGGCCTTCTACATCAGAAGGGCGCGAAAGATCGCTACAGTTCGTCAACCACAGTCATGCTTAATGCACGTTGGCGCAACTGTAGGGCCTCCGTGGGCAACAAGCGGCCAGTGAAGCAGATGGCGACATGTACATGATCCAGCTCCGTGAGGGTACCCTAAGAGGAAGAGCGGACGGTGGTTGCAATGCATCCTCGCGGGGTTGATATTCCCAAGGTCCCGTGGCTGAAGGAGCCAATGCCGGTACTGCACTGGGAGTAGAAGTCATGAAAATCGTTGACAGACTGAACGGGGCCAATGTAGCGAACTTTTCCACATCGATAGTATTACTCTGCCCTTGCGATCATCCAGGTTTGGTCGAACGAAGAGCCTGCTGAAGATTGTTGGCTGGACTTCGCTGGTCACCCGGAGCGGAGGTACTGCAAAGATATGCAAATTGCACATTTGAAGAGGAGGTTGGCGCCGCAGCCTTTCCAATCGCGGGCTGCCCAGGCGGTGATATCGCCTACAAGCAATATAGGAGAGCTGCAGGAAGGAAATGAAGCACGTTTTAGACTCCTAGTATGAAGTTCTGGTAATAGTATGTAGTACGAGTAAACTACGCCCCGGCAAGGCTGGCTCCGCTGATGCCAAGCCCGCCTCGGCAAAGAAAATGAAGGCATTGCGGAACTTGAACTTGGGAAGTTCTCGCCCGCAGCCTGGTGTCTGGCAATCTCCCATCTTCTTTTCATCGCAGTCTTTCCTTTCCGTTCTCCTCTACTTGAACAAAGGCATATTTGTTATTATATCACGAGCCGCCGTTTCCGTTCTTTAAGGGGTGTCTCCGGAGGTTGTCCTCCCATGCTACCCTTTTCCGTCAAGCAGCCCATATGTCTGTTATGTCGACTCAAGCACAGCACACGGGCGATCACGCCAATTCCACGAAAACCTGCCATCCCTCTTGATTCGCGATATCTCTCCTCCGGCGCCGTTCGAAATGCATCGCGACCCGGCCGAAGTCCCGCAAATGGGAAGCGTCCATCCCGAGCTCGGAAGTCTGTTAAACGAGAGCTGCCCCCAGCTACCAGTAGCACATTGACTGGCGAGCAGAAAAACAAAATCAAGGCTCTGACCGATTTTCTGCCCCTGCTGCAGGAGCACGCCCAAACCCTCGTACCGGAAAATGCGCCAACGGTCGCAGGACTGACCCTTGAACAAGTACTGGGAAGTTTCAAGCCTAAATCGCGGGCACTCCGCCGGACAATACCTATCCTCCAAGACTCATACGCTGGGAAACCCTTCCATACATTGAACTCTGATCTCAGTCGCCTCATATCCCTGACCCCGCGTGGGAAGACGGATGTCATCGACGATGGGACGAAGAATATCTTGAGAGGTCTGGGTATTCTCAATGATTCTGTGGTTCAAGAACCCGAAGCCAGTCCGGTCAAGGCAAAACCGGGTCGTCGAAAGGGCGCTCCTAGGGTCGAACGACCCCTCCCCATCCTCAAAATCCGTCGACGAAGCAGCAAAGGCCTTCCGCTATCTCCCCGAGAAACATCGTTGGGACAGATGGTCACTGGTGCAGAAGAAAGAATTTTGAGTAGACCCAAATCTGCCGAAAAAGAAAGGATTGCGACGCTGGATCAGGCGCACCTAGAAGTCGCACGACTTGATAATTTCGCGTTGATACCAGTGGAAGTTGAACGTTCAAAAGTGCCTACCTTAAGCCATGACTTATCGCGCGTCCTTTTTAACCCTGGTATCTATCAACTACAAGATCCACGCTCGAGAGTATGGAACTTTGATCCTTACCTGGGTAACATTATGCCCGTGTCCGAGTTCAATTATGACGCCCTAAACAGGTATATCACATCCTCTGAGGATTCCCATCTGCGAGACGTGGCTTCGAAACATAAAAAGCGCTATATTGGTTCTACTTCAAGCATGTCAGGTGTTTTGGCTCATTTCCACTTTCTCCTTTCGGCGTGGCGTGAGTTAAACACAAACAATCTAACTCGGGGGTTTAAAGACGAGGGAACTTCTTTCACTAAAATTCAGAGAGGACCAACGGCCATTTTCCTCCGATACAAAGATGGCGTATATGCTGTTGACGCGGACAAGGAGTTTGACTCAGCAAACATCTTAATGAGCCTCGGTCGATCCATGGAGAAGCTCCTGACTTTGGATAAGGATGACTACGAACGATATCGAAAGACGCACGATGCGCAGAAAGACACCCAAATGCATTCGACCGAACCTGAAGCATACCACTATAGCGAGCTTGGGAAGTTTCTTCTGCGCTCCCAACTTGACGCGCACGATCCCCGGCTTCCTGGTACGGGCATGTTTGATCTCAAAACGCGGGCAGTGGCGGCGGTCCGTATGATGGTCCATAAGCACGAAACAGGCGCTGGCTATCAAATCAAAGAGAGATTTGGCACCTGGGAGTCATTTGAACGGGAATATTATGATATGATGCGTTCAGCCTTCCTCAAGTACTCGCTTCAAGTTCGAATGGGTCGGATGGACGGAATCTTTGTCGCTTATCATAACACGGAACGCTTGTTCGGCTTTCAGTACATACCACTCCCCGAGCTGGACCTGGCTTTGCACGGTCAGACCGACCAAACATTGGGCAACCGAGAATTTCGGCTGAGCTTCAAGCTTCTCACCGATATCTTCGATCAAGCGACGGCGCGATTCCCCGACCAGTCTCTGAGGTTCCATTTCGAGGCGAGAGAGGCCACGCCAGTTCAGGCGCCTCATATGTACATTTTCGCAGAACCGGTTTCTGAGGGAGAGATCGCTGACATCCAGAGTAAAAAGAAAGAGGAGATCGAAGCCTACGAGCAGCGGATCTTTCACTCTAAATCGCGCCAAACACAGATTCCTCCAGATGACGAGTGGGAGGACGCTGCGCCCGAGGAGGAGGAGCATGATGACTCGCCGGAGACGGAGGCAGCGTCTGCAAAGTCCGCAGATCAACTAGAGGCAGGGGACACTCCAACATCCGCATCAACAGGAGGAGAAGGTATTGGATCAACCCGTGGGTCGAATGCGGCCGATGTTGGCTTTTCGCAAAGTCTCATGGGCGTTGACCTTTCCATCACCGACAAGTCTGAACCGAAAAAAGAGCAGGCTAAGCCTTCCGAATCAGCGCCAGAGCCAGCCAGTCAGAAACCCATCCTGGCTTGGAAATTGAACATCCGCAACATTGTGAACGGGCTTCCCGTCAGCCGACCTCAAAACTTGAAGCAGGATGACAGCTGGGAAGTTCAGTATACATTGACACCCTTCGCCGAAGTGTCCGGACATCGAAATTACGTGCTGTGTAAAAACCGTCGGAAAGCGGTGCTGGAGGCACCTCAGGGTGAAGACGAAGCTGTCAGCTACTACATCCAGCAATTGGTCTCCATGAGCCAGAAAGGAGCAGACTGGCGACGGAAGTTAGACGAGCTTGACGCCCAGCGGGATAGAGTCGTTCTGTATGGCAACCGCATGGCTGGAGAGAAAGATTGAGGTTCCCTCACTTGCCTGAGATCATGTATATTACCCCCGTCGCACGGGATCTTGTGCGACCGTCGCATAGCCATTAATCTTACTCAGAAGCGCCGTCACAATCAGCAGAGATCTCGGGCCGCGATTCCCAAAATATATGAAAGGGGCCCTTCCCGTGAGCTGTTCCGAGACCTTGGTTTGAGGGTGAGACTCCGGTGCACAACAAGATCATTTATCTGTCTGAGAAGACAATCCCAAAGACAGACTGGGTGACCGACCAGAGACATGTTTCATCAACTCTTGTTATTATTTCTTGTTCCTGAAAACAGTGAGGGGGTTCTGAGAGGGTGGTGCCACACTTGCAGAGGCCAGTGGATTTGGTTTGAGCCTAAACGCGTGGAACTGGTCTGCTTCCCTATCGTCGTCCAGCCATTGGTAAAGTACCCATACAGAGTATCCGTACATATGTCAGTGCGCGGGGCGACGGAGGGACAGGGCTAAGGACTGCAAGATGCCTACTTCCCGTATGCATATTGCTGACGCCAGGCAGATCGCCCTCGATATTGTGCAGTGTTACTCCTCCGCGAAGATCATGTACCCGTGCAATACTGAAGAACAAGTATGGAGTAAGCGATGGATGAATAGAACAGAGCAAGGACGTTGAGTTGCCACTGCGGCGTGGTTCGGCAATCGAAGCACACAGTAACCCGTACAGTCTTTGAAGAGAATCGAGATTGCGTCTGCAAGTCTCTGCCAATCGTAGAGTAGGTCGCAACGACTTGACTCGCTCGCAGCAAGTGTCTCAGCATCATCCGCGGGCGTTGCTGATCGGGGAGCCCTGCATGGCCTGCATGGGGGGGAGGGAGCAGCTGAGAAGCCGGTTTAGGCTTCGAAAGAGAACCAGTCAAGCAGCATAGTGAAGCGGCGCCGCCCTGGAGAACGGAGACCTCGCCCACTGCCATCCTCTGACGAGTTCCACCGCCGGCAGAAGTCAATACAACTCTCCCTCCCATCAATCACGAATTAAATGGCCCCGGCGGGAGAAAGACTACCTACGGAGTACTCTGTATCCGTACATGGATCTGCACCTGCGGAGGTTACGTAGTACCTCACTACAGCTCTCTTTTCGTTCCTCCACCCTTCGCTCATCCCGCAGCTTTATGCCCACCCTCCAGCCTGTGCTCTGTCCTACCTGTTAAGGCTCTCCGGCTTCTGCGGTGTCCTATTGTTTCCTTGCTTGGCCTTGGTCACTTCAATACATTGTTCACCGAGCATCACCAAGTTCCAGACACGAAGCACAGCCTCCGAGACCTCTCCGCCACGGTCTGCCTTCTTGAGAAGAACCCGGTTTCATGCCGCACCTGCCCCTACATCCAGTGAAGTCCCGGCTTCCAACTGCATCTGGTAAAAGAAAAACGGGCATAAGAGCTGGGAACAATGCCGGGTAGAGTGGTGGTCTACGAGTGCTGAGGTACGGGGCGGACATGACTGGTCCCAAACCAAGAAGGAGCCTCTCGACCCCGGACAGATCCAGAAACGTCTGCGTCGTGCGACTTTTTGGGCCGTGAGAGTCTATTAAAGTCATCGTGGTGTCAGATGTCATCGTCGCCGACATGGCCGACAAACGCAGGAGGAAAAGCCTCAGCATTTTCCGCCAGAAGATGGACGCAATTCCGCCCATACAAATACCCGGGAGTCCGACAGCAAAACTTTCGAGCGATTCGCATCTTGCCAGTCCCATCTCCTTGGATCAGCCGAGCCCCAAGGCCCGCCCTAAGACTTTGCAGAAGGGCAGTCGGACTTCTGTCTTCGGATCTCTACGGTCATTACACTCCCTCGATGAAGATGAGAAGGCCGCCTTGACCAGATCGGACTCCAAAGCCTCATCCCTTTACGAAGACGGTGAAATGAATATCAGGGGACTCTTGGGCGATCGGGTGCTGCAGTATGGCGAGGTTCAAGCTGCAGGCACCAACGTCTTCAGGAAGCGGACCCAGTTCATGGTTTTGACCGAATCACACCTGGTCCGCTTCAGAAGCCAGTCCAAAGCTGTTGAGATGTTCCCCAGCATTCCTACCAGTGTTGGCAAGGGGCACACTCCGCGCACATCCTCGGTCGGCTCGTACTCGGAGCTCCAGATGGTGGCGTATTCGGATATCACTTCGGGCATCCCTCTCGACCAAGTCATCGCCGTATACAAGATCGATGACAGTCGGCCTTTCGTTACTGTTGAAGTCGCTTACCTCGACGAACGAACGAGAAGGGCGTCCGTGATGCAGTTGCAACTGGCTGAGTTTCGAGAAGCACATTTATGGACCGTTGCCATCCGTATGGCTGCCCGTCAGGCAAGGTCTCTGCTGTCCCAGCAAATACCGGATTCAACCTTGGAGCACCTTGCTCGAGTTCTTGAACGGGAGAGGGACTATGATCCCCAACATTTTCACGTCTTCAAGGTTGTGCAGCGGTCGGCGAACAGATCTGTAGGCAGAGCATCCAGTGAAGACCTGACTAGGTTTGGTTCCGGAATTTACTACCTTGTCATTGGTCTTTACAAAGTTCATTTGGTGCCTTTACAACGCAGTTCGACGCGGTCATCAAGCACCTCCCTCACTGAGATCGAGGCAATGACCTCTTTCGCCATTGTCGGACTGAGTTCGGTAAAGGTCCTGGCAGAAGAAGACGCCTTCCAGCTGGTGTTCAAACCGCCTATGGGCAAACCATACACCGCTCAGCTTGCTTCCTTTGCCGCCGGAGAGATTGCGCTTTGGCTGCGATACGCCTCTGAGTATCTGCGACCCGAATGGCTTAGAGTCCCCTTTGCCTTCGATGTTCCCGGAGAGCTCGAAGATCAGATGGATCCTCCGGATTTTCCCAAGGAAGATCATGACTGCTTCGATCGTACACTCATTGCATATTGTGCAGGTTATGATGTGAATACTTCGCGGATCTGCTATTCGGTGGATTACCATTGCGAGGATGCCCCTCGCTTTCAACTCCTTCCCTCCTCGACCGGGGTCCCATATTCATCGTTGGAACTTCTCGCCGTGTTTCGAGCCCTTCGCTACAACGAGTCGTTCACTTCGATATCGTTTGCGCGGATTGATCTGAGCCCACTCCGGCACTTATACGACGCCTTCAGCTCAGACACGGACGGATTATTCACACGATCTGGAAACCCAACAAATATAGCTGGCCACCAGGACTTACACGTTCTAGGGCAGGAGATCCGAGCATTGGCACTGAAGAGTCGTAGACTAAGACGGCTCGACTTTTCTTACACTCTCCCTCAGAGGGTGCTGGCAGAGGACGAACAGCCTATAGACTGTGGCATTCTCGAGGCACTGGCACCGTTGTGCAAGAAATCCCTGACTAATGTCGATTGGATCGTGCTCACTGGACTGCGGCTGGCGGATTCCGACCTAAACTACCTGGTCGATGCTGCTTCCGAGCGGAAATGCCATCTTCGCGCCCTTGAAATCGGCGAATGCGGCCTGTCAGTGCACGACATTGATGTCATTCTGTCTGCTCTCGCCGTGCAAGAGAGTACAGTAGAGGTCGTGGACATATCTGGGGCGCAGGGCCGGTTCAGTCCCGAACTGTTCCAACGAGTCATTGGTGCTTTCACGCGAATTCGGCGATTGAATCTCACCCGGGTCCAGAAGACGGCCGGTCCGGAACCACTGGTGGCCCCCGATGCGTTATTTTCCTGGAAACTTGAAGCGCTTCACCTGTCTCAGACGACTCTCAACGAACAGACAGTGGAATCGATCTCAATGTATCTTGCTAGCCCGAAATCCGATATCCTCCGAGAGGTCCATGTCAACCAATGTGGCCTCACTGGACGCGATCTTGCAACCTTCTTTCAATCTATGGTACGGCCAGACGGGCAGCCGCGGGTGATGCATGTGAGTGCCAACGAGAATCGGCTGAAGTCAGGGAACACGGCGCTGTTCAAGACCATTGCCCAGAGCTTCGGGCCGACATCGTTGAGCATGCGGATGATGGACTTTGACAAGGAGAGCCATTTTCGAGAAATGATCAAGGCCCTGACGGCCAACACTACTTTGCGCAGCCTAGATATCTCTGGTGCTTCATTGCCGTACGATGCCAGTGTAGAGACGTGCGAGGCGCTGAAGGAGATGTTTGCCACCAACCAGACACTGCAGGAGTTCGACATCAGCGGGGAGCATGTGCACCTAGATGCGACTCGGTTTGGAATCGGACTCAACCTCGCGTTGCGGGGCTTGGAAACCAACAAAACACTGAGAATACTCCGGATTGAGTATCAGGGCCTAGGATTGCAGGGTGCAAACACATTGGCGGAGGTCCTCGAGAAGAACGACACGCTATTGGAGATTCATTGCGATCACAACGACATCAATCTACAGAGCTTTACCGCGCTGGTGGACGCACTGGAGAGGAACCACTCCCTGCTTTACATGCCGACTATGGACCATGACCGAGCCAAATCTTTGGAGAAGGTGCATCGAGAATTTGAGACGATGGAACACGTCGAAAGCCCCAAATCTTCCAAAAGTGGCGCGACTATCAAAAAGACCCTCACCGGGGCGTTGACCGGTAAAGCGCATCGACATGGACACGGACACGGACACGGACACGGACATCGACATCGACACAGCAATTCCCAGTCGTCAACGGCATCGTTCACCGATCATGATGTGTCAGCCGTAATCCGAACGCTGGACGACAAGTGGAACGTGCAGGTTGCAAGGATGGAAAAGTACTTGTTTCGCAATTATTGTCTTTCACAAGGCGTCCCGTGGCAAGATGAGGCAGCTGGAGGAGAAAACGGAAACCTTGCGACGACGGCCTGTGGGGACTCAATGGCGCAGCTACTGCAGCATGTGCAGCTTGATAAGACTCCGACAGGGGATAATCCGACGTCGTTGGACTACTTGGATGAAAAGCTAGGAGATGCCGGCCAGAGGGTGTTTCAGATGCCCGAGGACTGAAGCCGTGCTGG